AAAGATGATTACAGATGAGTTCACAAAATCAGCAAATTGCAAAAATTAACTAAAAAACATAGTGAAAGCAACCGACCAGAAGGGGTTGAACGCCAAAAAACTTACCACCTCTTTAGAATCAATATACGGAATATTATGATATAAAGGCCATTCAACTTCCTTTGCTAATCTCAGGACCCTTAAATTCAGCGTTTGTGTCTGCATCACCAAGATGAAATTTGAATGAGCAAACAAAGGATAATGGAACCAGGGTGTACCAATGGCACAAGAATGAGACCGAGATACTATGAGGCACTATGAAATTAAAGAAGCCATACGAAACCAACCTTGGGCGATATCAAAAGCAATGGAAATAACAGTGAAGCAAGTTCCTCTAAATTGTTTATCTGATCATGGAAGCTAGATATGGCATTTTTTATGAATGAACAAACAACATCACAAGCCAAGGTGTTATCATCTGCTGCACCTGCGAACAGAAACCACAATATGTAAACAATAAGATGCATCATACTCCAACAAAACATTATGCAACTTCTCAGTTTAAGCATTTTTTCTGTTATTTGAGTTTGAGCACAACAGTGTTTGACTGTGTAGTAACTAAAGAGATGCAAACCATGAAAAGCATCCACAATACTCACCAGACTTCAGGGACCTAACACATCTTTTGAGCACATGATCTAGGGCTTTGAGAATATCAGCAGAACTAAGCATCTCAGGCAACCCCTCAATAGACAAAGCTGCTTGAACTACAGTAAGGTCGTCATCATGAAGCTGGCGAAATATGGCATCCTTAATGTTAACAAGCCTCTGGATAGAAGGCCAACAGAAAACAAAACCATACATGAGTATGCATTGTTCCAGCAAGAGTAACACATAAATAAGCAGTACATGGACTAACAAAAAAGCTAAATGTCTAACATAGTACAGGCAGATAAGAATTATTTCTTGACATTGTAGGCTGAACTAACAGGACGTTAATAGATTTTCACATGACATAGTGGATAAGAAGCATCACAGATCATCAAATAACACGGTACCTGCAAATCAGCGCCCTCAACTTTCAAAATTCCGGACGAGCCTAAATTAGACAATGTGGCACGTCGCACAGCAGCCTGAATATGTCAGAAACATGAAAATATTGGTTAAATGGTAAAAGAAAACTCGTGAAGCATAAAAGGTTTTCGTATACAACACAGAACTATACCTTGGGATGCTGCAAACCGAACAAGATTTTGGATTCTGAGAGAGCTGCTGGCAGATCCAAATTTCCTTCTAATATTTTATTTAAAATCTCAAGAACTGTGTCATTTTTCTTGTCTTGTACTTTACCATCCTGAAAAGGTAGCAGCTGTGAATAACATAGAAGGAAGAAGGGTTTTTTTTTTCTTTTTGGTGATGGTAAGGAAAGTGGACAGACCTCTAAAAACATGCGAACAGCTTGCTGAAACTCAACTGGATAGTTCTTATGAATAACCATGAGAACTTTGTTTGCCCAGCCCCCTGAAAATGCAGAATCAGAGAAAGCAACAATAAATTAAATGTGAGATGGATATCTCAAAAATTATAGTTCCACAATCACATAATGAACCATTTGCCTAAAATGAGTTCACCGATTCTACAAGATGAGCAAAGAAATTATATAGAACAAAAAAGTCTGCCTCATAATAACAAAAGAACAATAGACGCATTAATAACATTACCCCCGAGAACATAGTTATCAAGAGGTGAGAATTAATGACCCAACTGGCTCAAAAAGACTGATGACCAGGAATCATACTAAATTCATTGATAAACATCAAACGAAATGACCAGTTAAGCAAAAATCACCCAACCCAGTCCAAGCAATCTATGATCCAAGATGACAGATGACCTGTCTGACAACAATATGATCCACGGCACTCCACAACCCATCGGTCAACGTTACATATTCTGCCAGCTTGACTTCTGACCCTACCCACAATACATGGCAACATGAAATTACCCAACCCACAAAATTACCCACCTATAATGTTCTCTCATATCAACCACAGCTTAAGACAGTGGGTTTACCTCAAAACTAATCATCCCAATGTAGCTTTTCTATGTCACCTTTTCTCATGACCCTCGCCCCTTTAAGGCTATCATTAATACACTACTTCAAGTTTTGAAAAAATTAACCAGAAGCCTTGTGACGAGCAACCTTAATTGTGGGATACCTGATGAAAATTTACCAGCATGATGGGTGTAAAATTTTTAAGTGATGTAATATCTCACCTGCATCAGATGCTTCTGTGCCAACATTCCTTTCAGAAACTTTCAGGCAACGTGAAAGAATCCTCAAGACCATACGATTGATAAACTTCTTTATAGGGACTTTCTCTATTATGAATGCTAAAGCATGATGATATGACTCATCATGTAAGCTAGAAAGATAAAAGAGAACGAGTCAGCACAAGTCGAAATATTTATATGGTAGAAATAACAAGTTACTAGTCCGGTTCACACCTGCACTCAATCAGAGAATCCAAAAGCAGGTCAAGGAACCTGTCTATGTTACACTCCTTAGACAGTTCCACAAGAATCACATGCATATCCCTTCAAAAAAAAACCATGGATACAAGTGATCAAACCGGTAACATTCAAATCATTCAAATATGTGAAGAAAAAAAGGCTACCTAGTTTCCTTCAAGATCTGCAATGTATTCCTTGGGATCATTTCAATGGCCTGCGTCTATAGAATATTTATGGAGAACAGTCAGAAACAAAGACACATAAAATCAAACAGATAGTTATTATTAATGTTGTAATTCTCAAAAACCCAAATGTCCTGTCACAAATCACAACAGATAGAATCCATTCCATAAAAAAGAAAAAGAAAAAAGGACATCCACTAGCTAACAACTAGCCTAAGCAAATAGTGTAACCCTACAAAAAGCTCACCACAGTTTCATTTCATGTCAACGGGTTCGGCTAGCAACCAGTTTCTTAAATCAGTTCAACAAATAATTAGGCATATTCTTTATAAGCAACACAAGAATAAGCAACTTTTCTTGGGTCATTTAAAGTTGGAGTAAGGAAAAGATAGAAAACCATACATACAGGCATATACATTACATGAAAGCAAAAGCATAAGTAGCTAAGGTCAACATGAAAGCAAAGATAAGATAGTACCTGCACAAGGCTAATTAAAGTCAACATGGACAAGCGCACCCACTGCAGTTCAGTAGGCTCCATGGCATCTTGCTGGGCTATTCCAGCAATTGTCCGCAGCCATTTATTTACAAGTTTAGGAGATAAAGCAACTTTACTGGCTAGCAGACCAACAATCATCAAGGAACCAGCCTGCACGGAGGAGGAACATTCACATTTTGAAAATTGAAATCAAATAAAATAATTTGAAAATAATAGCCTCCATGCAATTATTTTTGGACTTAAAAACATCTACGTGAAAATTACCTTGTGATCAGACAGCACATTGCCACCAGCCTGAAGTCCAGAATCAACAAACCGAAGGATTCTCTTAACAACATCGTTATTGATGCCTGTTGAGGAACCCAAAGCTTCAATGACCAATGCTGTGCAAAAGCAGATTACAGGCTTTGCAGGATTTTTTGAAGAACACGCCTACAGAACATTGTATCAGTATACAACATAGTGGACAAATCACTCAATGAGACTGGAACACTCACATAGATGCATATGGTCTCTAGTACTCCTAGATCACACAAACATTGCTGCACAAGGAAGCTTCTAGGTAGACGAGCACCAGATTTTTGAACACCTTCCAGAAACTTCCATTTACCATCTCTACAACAAAAAACAGGAATAAAAAAAAACGGTAATCAATACACAGCCATGCCATTTCAATAGTCAGAAAAATGGGGAGGGGTGTCTTTCTTCACCTTGTTTCAACCAACTGAATCAGTTTAACAAACCAAAGGGTGTCATGATATGGCAAAGCACATAAAATCAGATCCTCTGTGTTGTGCACATAAATCCTGAAATTTCAAACATACCCAACACCAGAAATTAGAACTAGAGAAATCTAAGAACCTTCACCAACAATTATCAGATCACGGGAATTGCAGGAAGAATTGGCGAAATGTTTACTTGTATCTGCGAATCAAGTACTCGAGCGTCTTACGGGCAACTTCCAGCTCGAGATGTCCGGAGAGCAAGCGTAAATATGAAGCGATGGATGAATTGAGGTTCTTGTTTTCCTCTTCATTCATCTGTTCTCTGTCCAACTCTTTGCTTTTAATGCTAAACAAGTCGTTCCTATAGTTTCTAAACCGCTCGTCGACATATACAAGCCCTTCGAGACCTGAAAATCAATAGCCGGGATAGCGACGAAGTTAGTTACCAACTGATATCAAAATGAAGGGCCACAACTCCATTACTTGCGACAAATTAACAGAAAAATTTCCCAACATGTATTACAAACGAAAGACATATTCACAATGGAACCAATAGACTCAACAGCGAGACAAACAATCACTAACCTGTAACCGCGTTCTCGTATATCGTATCAATATCAATGTCAGCAGCTTTTTGAGCGTCATAAAGAATGGAAGGCCGAGTAATGGGTCTCTTCCGGGAATCAGAATCAGAAACTTGTGCCACGGACTTGATTACCCGCAACTGAGCATTGAGACTTGTTGCCATCGCTTCCTTTCTGAACGCAAGAAATCCCGCAATCCCCTTAGGTCAAAATTTCTCTCAAAACTTCAAAAGCTTCGGACTTCAGAACTCCTAGCGAATGTCTGCCCAGAGAACCAAAGACCCTCAGCTTCAATCGTGTAGGGTTTTGAAACCAGCCTGCCTCCACTTCAGAGAAACAAAACTTAGGGTTTATCAGTTGGCGCCTTGGCGGTGGTTAGAAGCATTTCCCGTCTTCCTGAGAAGCAAACAAAACGACGACGTCGAAGAATCTAAACCATCAAATTGCTTTTGGGCTTGGAAACATAAGTGCATAAACCCAGGCCCAAACCCAAACCGGTTGAAGTTTGAATAACTTGACCCGGCTCGAAAAGATGGACCAAGCTTTTGACTCGCCGTGACAAATCTACAGCAGTCAAAAAACCAGTCGTTGCTCTCAGTCTCTCTTCTTGCTTTCTTCCCTTCCCGGACCGATCAAATCTGCATCGTCGTAGAAAGCCTTGGCATTGTCGTCGCCTGATCTCCGTTTGTCGGAGAATGGTGAGCTTAGCTGCTGAGTTGGGTTTGATTTGATTCGTTTCCCCCCTCTCTCTCTCTCCCCCTCTCTAGAACTTCTGATTGAAGAGGGTAGAAATGGAGTTTACCGAGGCTTACAAGCAAACCGGTCCGTGCTGCTTCTCTCCCAACTCCAGATACGTCGCCGCCGCCGTCGATTACCGGCTGGTGATTCGTGACACCTTCTCGTTTAAGGTATGCGCTGCTCTTCAGAAATCACAATCGGAGCTCGCTCTGTGAGAAATTTGAATATCATGCTTTAACTTGAATTGAACGAACTAGTGGGGGGGAATGTGGCAAAATTGGGAGAGTCAGTAAGGAATTATGACTGTTTTTTTGAATTTTCGTGATGTGATCTTGAGATTTTCCAGCTGGTTGCAAAATTGGCCAGTCAAAATTGGCAAGCACAGTAATTGGGAGTTGCCTGCATTTTATTCTATGGATGCAGGTTGTGCAGTTGTTTTCGTGCTTGGATAAGATCAGTTTCATAGAATGGGCTCTTGATTCTGAGTACATACTCTGCGGCTTGTATAAAAGGCCTATGATTCAGGCATGGTCCTTGACCCAACCAGAGTGGACATGTAAGATAGATGAAGGTCCGGCTGGTATAGCTTATGCTAGATGGAGCCCGGATAGCCGCCACATTCTTACCACCTCCGAGTTTCAACTGCGGTTAACGGTGTGGTCCCTACTGAACACAGCTTGTGTTCATGTGCAGTGGCCAAAGCATGGATCTAGGGGAGTTTGTTTCACCAAAGATGGGAAATTTGCTGCTATCTGTACTAGGCGCGATTGCAAGGACTATGTCAATCTTCTGTCTTGTCATTCGTGGGAGATAATGGGCACTTTTGCTGTGGATACGGTAGATTTGGCTGATATTGAATACTCGCCTGATGATAGTGCTTTAGTGATCTGGGATTCTCCTCTTGAATATAAGGTACTGGGCTCATATTGTCATTAACGTTGCCATGTTACATTGCAGATTGAATAAAGAATCTCTTTATGTACAAGAGGGAAGGGTGATTATGTGGAAAACTTATGGAGTGAGAACTTGTGTTTTGATTGGCAGGTTCTCATCTACTCCCCAGATGGTCGGTGTCTGTTCAAGTATCAGGCATATGAGAGTGGACTAGGGGTGAAAAGTGTTTCCTGGTCTCCTTGTGGCCAGTTTTTAGCTGTAGGTAGTTATGATCAAATGTTGCGGGTCCTAAATCACCTTACCTGGAAAACATTTGCTGAATTTATGCATCTCTCTACCGTTCGTGCTCCTTGTTGTGCTGCTGTCTTCAAGGTAATTTGGTTATTTGGCTTGAAGTTTTCTGTTTAGAAGTGAAACGGGAAAATTAACTTAATCACAAGTATTTTTCACACATATTGTCCTGATTCATTAGGAGGTGGATGAGCCTTTGCATCTTGGCATGTCTGAATTAAGCTTAAGCGAGGAATTTCTCCAAGGCAATTCTGGTAAAGCATAAGTCTTGTGATGACATTATACATTGAAGGAGCATGTGATTATTGTACTGCTGCTTTTCTATTGCTTTTCAACCGAGGTTGATTCCTTCACTTGTCCCTTGTCCTCCCCAAAAAGATGCTGCAGAAGAACCCTACAGAGTTAGATACGAGATTATGGAAGTGCCTATTTCTCTGCCTTTCCAAAAGCCTCAGGCTGACAAGCCAAATCCCAAGCAAGGAATCGGTGAGCACCTCTTTCGCCTGCAATACATCATCTGCTCGTAGATGTCTTGCATTTTTCACAAGCTTTACTGGCCATTTGCTCAGGTGTCATGTCATGGAGCAACGACAGCCAGTATATCTATACCCGAAACGACAGCATGCCGACGGCACTCTGGATATGGGACATCCATCACCTCGAGCTAGCTGCTATCTTGGTGCAGAAGGACCCAATAAGAGCTGCAGCGTGGGACCCGACATGCACCCGTCTCGTTCTCTGCACAGGTAGCTCTCACTTGTACATATGGTCCCCTGCTGGGGCATACTGTGTGAGCAATCCCCTCCCTCAGTTCTCCATAACTGATCTGAAATGGAACTCCGACGGAAGTTGCCTTCTACTCAAGGACAGAGACTCGTTTTGTTGTGCTGCAATGCCTTTGTTGCCGGAATCCAGTGAATATAGCTCTGATGAATGATGGCAAATACCTATGCCATCAATGAGAAACCAAAGCAGTTGTAGCTGTCATCGAAACGTTTTATGTATGTTGGATTACTCCCACCAGCTGTTGTAATCGAGAGTAGAATGCCCCAGACTCATGATTTGTTGTAAAAACTAACTGTTGGTAACATCTCGTAGTAGCAATTTTATGTTTTCGTTCTAAACAATTAATAGAAGCCGCCGGCCTGAGTGATATGCCAAAAGCTAGCAATTGTAGAGATGCAACAATGCTTGTGGTTGTAGCAAAATCTAGATCTTTGGAATGTATTATAGGAGAAGGTTTATTTAGTTCATGAGTTCAAGTTCATATGGTACGAGATGAAGATAGGAGATAAAATGGAGGACATTGGTAACAACTTATTTCATATCATTATTGTCCACATATATAACAATTATAATACATCAGTTCGTAAACAAACATACAAAAATTCCCATTACTTCTCAGCATCGCTCGAGCTTCAGCCGGCAGAACGACGACCTGCAAGCACTCAGAGTCGCACTTTTTTCCAGATAAAAAGATACAATGGCGCATATATGGGATGGAAGGTCACAGCACCTTCTGTTCCCTGTCTCACAGTAAAGTTAGCATATCCGCTTACAGAACAAAATGGTCTATCATGTGCTGGACCACGTCTGCTCCTTCTATGTGCAAGCTCTCATCTTTCACCTGCATAATTAATCCCACAATCAACTCTCACAATTTGGTGCGTTTAAGAACTGGGGACAATTCTTATCCGATTTCTGGATAATAGGGCGAGCATACTCACATGGATAACACTATGAGCAGCTATTCTCAGTCTGCTCGTGTGGAAACTAACATCTATCTTTTCCCATGACACTCGTGACAAACCCGCCACTAACTCCTCTGCACAAACAGATGTTGTTTCAATTAGCAGACTTCTCAAATAGAGAGGAAACTTGTGATTCGATAAGCATCAACCATAACATAAGCATGGCATTCTGGTTATGAAAAGTCATCTTCATATATAATCAAACAGATTGAGCGTCTGCAACAGACCTTCAATCTTGTCAAATTTATCATCTTCTGTTGACAAGGGTTCAGCCAGATCAGTTTCACCACAGGCCTTGCAATGTTCTTCATAAACCACATGTGGGTATTTCTCATTTAAACAATCCTCCCACTGACACAAAAATTATATATGGATCAGCGGTACCACACAAGAAAAGGAGCAAACTCAACACATGATAGCCAATGGTAACGGTAACTACCTTTGGCAGTTCGTTATTCCTCCTAATTGAAGATGTTCTCCACCCCACAATGTCTGCATTGAATCTCGTCAAAGAAACCAATAAAAGCTGCTGGATAATAGTTTTTTCTAATCATAATAATCCACCAACAGCATAAGAAAGGATACGGTCATAGCCGACATTTGAATATACCACCCGACGTTTGAATGTCCGCAATGCAGACCTGGAAAAACAAGAGTGATCATATTGAATATTACAATCTTTTGGCAAATTGAAGACAAAAATAGGAACAATCAAATATCATACAGAATAAGTGAAGTATTAGAGGAGTGGTATACATGAAATTAAGATCACCACAATCTTCTATCATCTGCTTAAGTAATGGAGGTTTCTCCTCATCGTTGTCTACAAGAAATAGATGTTGACCTGTTCTCCTAAATATCCAATGAATGACAAGACCTGCCACTTTTTCCAAAGCATTTAAGCCAAAAAGAAATGGTACCTGCAAGATGCAATATTTCCTTGAATGAAATGGACGAGCAACTCTGTGTTAAGAAAATCAACTGGAGACAACCATTTGTAGGATGCTATACACTTCAAAAAAAGATTAGACATGACTAATGCAAAAGACCGAAAGAGGACCCCTGTTCAATCTAACAAGGCACCTTCAGTTCACATTCCAATGCTACAACGACTAGACCCAGACTTGGATGAGATTAGCAAATACAATGGAGTGCACAATTTAAGGGAACAATCTTATTCCTGCAGAAGGGGGATTCATCTAACTTCAACTCTACAGGGGTCACAGCTGGAGGACAATGGACCATTGACCAGGCTCTCAATGATAGATAAAACCTTCACTTTGACAACATCGAAAAGTATCCAAGATTTCCAAGTATCATTGGCCAATTTAAGCTCACGGGTCAATTGAATTGTGTTTCATTTAGCTAAACTGAAACAACAACAGTTTTCCTCCCCTTATCAGTGCTGGGAAACATTTCTTCTAGGTTCCATTGGAAATTTCTCAGTTCAACAAACAACGGATAAGTGAATGAGAAAACTAAAGCTTTACCTGCTTATTGCCCCTAGAACCAAGGTGAGGGGTAGCAACAGTAATGAAATTGACAGCCTCCAGGCCACCTATCGTGGCCCTCGACTCTTCTTTATTCTGATCAGCATCTGGACCCCCTGCATCTTCTTCTCTGGGGGACCTATACAATCTCCCGATAGCATACCTTGCAACTAGCCCTCCTACTGAATGTGCAACAAACGAAATCTTCCGTAAATTCGGTTTCCTTTGAATCACTTCAAGGACCTGCAGTTCACATTCAGGACAGATAATCCGGAATTCAAACATTTCACCATGAAGAACATGTAGAAGCTTAACAATCAACTGAAAACCATTTTTCAAGAGCCATTCGAAACGAACCTCCTGAGCCAACCGTTCGCCCATCACATCCACTCCATCGAGAGTCAGCCTATACATGTTTTTTTCACTACCTATAAGATGTCAGAAGCCAAACCCGTCAGTGAAGGTAACCGGCATAACCGAAATTTCATTGCTTTTTAACTCAGATCCAAAAGTGCCCGCACGCCCAGAAGACGCGGGGAGGATACTTACAATGAACAAACACTTTATCCGGCAGATTCCTAACGAACCGCTCAGCCCCATACTTCCAGTCATTGGAGCTGAAAAAAGCCAGAATGGCGAGACAGAATCAGCCAAATTTCAAAACCTCACCAGTACAAACATTTAAGATGGAGTATCGTACACTCTTGTTGATCGGGGGAAAAATTCAATTCAGTTACTGAATTACAATAGCAAACAGAATTAACCGACTTGATCCTCCAAGAGCATAATCAAGCACTGGTTTGAACATAACTATGGATGGGCAGAAAAAAAATACGAGATCAGCAAAAACCCAGATAAGAATTCGAATCGTCTAACCTGCCGAGTATACCGTGGACCATGACAACGAGATGATCAGCAGAAGAAGAATCGGATTCGTTACAGCTCCAGACATCCCGGCTTCCGTCTGCCGACTCCGACGAGCAGACTGCGTTATCCAGGGTCCCGTTCTCCGCGGCGGTTCCGTTCTCCATAATCGTTACAGAATTTCCCTGCCTCCGGCTACCCTTTTTCCTTGTCCCGGCGGTCAGTTGATTTGCATTTGAAAAACGAGTCGCCAAGATCTGCCGATTCCCCGCGGCAAATGTACCCGGGAAGTAACTTGGTAAGAGAAAAGACAGAGAAAAGAAAGTGGAGGGATTATTGAGTCTCAACTGTACTGCTTTTGCCAAAGGTAGTTGGAGGAGGAAAAATGGCGGTGATGATGACTGGTGAGAGGGGAGAGAAACCCGAACGCGTAGGAAAGCTTAACGACAGGGTTACGAATTATGAACACATTGAATTTTGAGACAAAAAATTTCGGCATTTGTAGAAAAGAAGGCTCGTATTTCTGTAGGTCGGCCATCAAATTAGAATGCTCCACGTAAGGTGTTTATCCTCAATTATGTAGGTATTGCTGATTAGGAACAATAAAAAAAATCTCCAACGGTAAACTCATTCTAAAATTACTATTGGTCATCCTAATTTTAATTTTCTGTTCATAAACTAAAGCATTTGTTTTATTTGAAGAGGAATTTATTTCTAGAACATATGATTGTTCTAAACCGCATTTGTGCGACTAGTCGAGCAATATCTGACTCATCGTCATTGAGCTCTATGCTCTTCGTGATGCTCTTTGTTGTTCTAGTGCTTTCCTACACTAATATATTTGTTTTGTGGTCATCCGCAAGTTGTCATACGGTTAGTTAATGCGATTGATTCGTCGCACGCGATGGGCTGAGCTAGCCTGCAGGAAATCCAGGTGTCGCGTACATCTTTACAGCATGGAACGTTTCATTTTGTGCCGCGCAGGTATAACAGGGCTCTCTTTTCCGTGGTAAAAAATACACTTGTTGAGTTGGTTCGTAAACTTGTGGACCAATATTTTTTTCTTAGTTCCATTTAGTGGGCAGTGGCCTACCCTGCAATGGTATTTATATTGTCGTATCTTTGTTGTTTCCTTACGGAGATATCTTTGGCCAAAAAAAAATACTCTCTCTCCTTCCCTTCGATGTAGGTGGCGCTCCTACCTTTGCCTCTCCCTCACAACAATCTCATCGTTCCTTGAAACCGCCCCTCTAAAATCGTCATCGTGTTCCTCTGAAATCAATTCGTGTTTTCTCTCTCCCGTAACCAATTAGTCGCTTTCCTTGTTGCTATGTTCTTGGTATTCAGGGACGGGACCTTCCGCGCAATTCTTTTCTTGCCTCAAACGGGAGGCGTCATTATTGATGGTCTTTCCTGAGGAATGCAATATACTGGACCGAAGGGAGAGGAGTGGGTTCCCCCAGGTGATTCATCAATCCTCCTTCAAGCTAGGGGATGGCTGGTTGTGAAGGTCTCTTTGGGATGAAATGGGCCAATAAGAATAGCGTCCTTTGAGAGTTCGATATGCAGGAACGGGTCTTTGACTTTCGGTTCAAAGGATCTAATTTCCTATGATGTCGTTGGGTATGTGTTTGCGTACGCGTGACTCAAGTCTTTCACGAATAGATTAATGAAAGAACTTTCCATTGCTCTAGCTTGTCACTTCTCTCGCATGCCTTCCTCTCCTCTCAGCCACTAATGCCACAGCTAGAGAAGAAGACGAGGAATGGCTACTTTGTCCCACGGAAACGGCCACTAGAGAAGCAGAGGTGTAACTCTCCCTAACCTGAAACGGCGTGGCGAGATGGCTTGAATAATAATGGTTGGAATGAAACTCTTCTTTGGTTGAGCCACAATCAAATCATTTGGATCAGTGGTCAACTAATGAATGAACGGGTAAAGGGTTAGCGATAGTTTAGTATTTTACAATGTTTTCAGAACCGGACCGGAAGCTGAACCGGAAAAGATAGTGGTTCATGGTTCAGTGGTTAACCGTCAGTGAACCGTTTATAGATACGCTCACACTTATAAAATAAAAAAGACATGGAATAGAGACTAATTCAAAACTGAAATTCCATCAACCATAAACAATCAAAATACTTACTATCCATCACCAAAAATTCTGACAAATAATAAAACTGTTTCACAAACAATCCAACGAAAATTATATCAAATAAAAGTCATCCTAATCATATTCTTATGGTTTTGAAAGGAATTATTATATAAAATTGTCTTTGAATCAATCATATCACTCGCATGGCCATGTTTTAAAGAATAAAAGAAAAGCAACAAGAACAACAGATATAATTGTATAACACAATAGAAAAGAAACAAAGACCAAAGCATAGATGAAGTAATACGATTCCCTTTATTCTTTTTTTTTTTCTTCACATTTTAATGTCATCAAAAGCAGACCATTGGACAAATCAGGCCGTTTCGGCTTTGCGGTTTCCTTGGGAGATCGGTAAAAAACGTTCGGCCCATCAATGGCCGCTTTATTATAGAGACCGGACCGCTACTGTCATCGGTTGACGGTTCTCCCGGTGCGGTTCACCGGTCCGATCCGGTTTTTACAACAAGGGTATTTTATTATTGGAAAGGTCGGAGGGAAACCCACTTCCCAATAACATTTCCTCCGCTCTCGAAACCTGCCACACGATGGGAGGGAAGGGCACAGAAAGGAAAAGCCACTGTTTTACTTAACCCTCCAATTTGGAGAGAAAGTCAATCTTTCCATGCATTTTTTTCCTTTTATTTTTAATTGTCACTAAATGCTGAAGCAGAGGGTAATTTTAACCCTAAAGAGCTAGGTTAATTTTGGGTTTTATCAAGGGGTGGTTACATGGATGGTCAATCCGCTGTTTGATTTCAATTCACCCGTAAATAACTAGATCTGCAGTGGGTGGGTGATTGATGTGGGTGGATTGCGTATTGATAAATATTCTACCCGCACTAATTCAGATAGATGGTGGATGGATTGCGGGTCGCTCGAATAACCCGCACAAAATTTTCACATGACAAAATGTAGTTTCCGGTACTATCAAATAGGCATCATATTGTTCAACGGAAAAAAATAGTCATCATATTTCTTAACTGCACTACACATTTACCATCTACTTCTAAAGTTAGAGAATAAAGAATATTTTCTAATTACTATTATTGATTTACATGTTATGTAATGTCCATTGGATATTGGGATCAAATTATAAACTATTAGTTGTATCAAAGTCAAAAAATGTATAAATTTTCTCTACACAATTGGTTGATGGGGCAATGAAATATTTGCCGCAAATTACTACATGGATCCATAGGAGACAAGTGAGAAGTGTATATATTGACACAATCAAACTAATTTGCGAGAAAAAATATAATATATGTTAGTCAAGTTTTTTAATGGTTAGTTGTAGAATTGTTTCTGTGGGTTAACCCACAATCCAACCACATTCATCTGTCATCCACCCAACCCAACCCAAAGGGAAGTGTGGATGGATAGTAGGTCATAATTAGACCAACTCCCTAGTAATATTAAACAGATGGGTCTATTTGAGACCAAAACTCAACAACCTGCTCGCTGCCCACCCATATTCTTCCCATTGTTATAAGAGCTAAACTGAATCAACGGTTAGGCCAGTAGAACCACTAATCCACTTACAAAAGTGGTATGGTTCATTTGATTGGACGGTTAAAATGGACCCAACGGTTTTAACAGTTTGGGATGAAACTAGATGAACCACCACAGTTTGACTGGTCCGTTGGTTTCCAATTTTGAGCACAAAAAACCTAAGAAAAAGAAACTTTAACGTAAGCTACAATCATTCATTCACATTCACTAATTTTGTTTATGCTTCATTTTATAGCTCTTTGTCAGCTATATGTGGTCCACGAATTATCACCCTGATTACTAACTTGAATTTCACAAGGAAAAAAATGAAAACTTTTGTGAGATAGTTTGAATACTTTGTTATAACTTTTTTATGATAGAATATATGGGTTTGAATTTGTTTTTGGTTAAAAATAATTTCTAACTCTAAATTAGTGTATTATATATGTTTTTTATGTTATATAATTACTAATAATTTCACTTCTAAACTAGTATATTATATATGTCTTTGTGTAAATGGTCCTTTCAAATGTTAACCTACTATTCTATAACAGTAATCCATTAAACCATCCATCATTAAATTTTTTTCGGTTATGCATCCGGTCCGGTTAGGAAACAACATCGAGATTTACCCGCAAAACCCTATTTGAGTTTTGACCCGTTTTGACCCTCATTACTCGCAAAGAAACCAGTCCCCCGCCTTCTTGCCAGCTACCTCGACAACCCCACAGCAGGCCCCATTTTCCGGCTCTTTCCTTCCTCGCGACTGGCGACTCTTCTCCCGGCGATTTTCTCGACCTTCCAAACATCACCACAGCTTTTGACTCCCCCGCCGTCCGGTGAGAATTCCGCCGCCGCCTCCTCTCTCTTCTCTTGGCGAACCCTAGCTTTTGATAGATTCCGTCGTCTCGCCCAACTGTCTGTGGAACAATGGGAATGGCTGACGCGGTTGACATTTGATCTCATGGTTTCGCAGAGACGACTGTTATCAGGAAGGTAACCCCATCTACATCGAAAGATCCACCCCCCAACTGTCTGTGGAACAATGGGAATGGCTGACGCGGTTGACATTTGAAGGTCAACAAATTAAGATATTTATTTTTTAATTAATTATTAAATCCTTAGACTTAATTTCATTTTTTGTATTTTTCGTTCTTTTACATATTTTTTATTCATTTCCACCCCATATCTTCTCCCTCATGTTCCTCTCTCTATTTATATAATCAGTGTTCCAAACTAATTTGATTAACTATCAATAAAGAGCAATATTTTCTTAGTATATTCTTCAATTCTCCTCATATCATTTTGCATATCTCAGTTGGCCAATGTATAGTGATTAAGAGTGTGATGAGATGACCATAATTGGATTGTTGAAACTACTTTTGGTGGAATATATAATGTAGAGGTGGGTAAAGGATTAATAGATTGCAAGTTCATATTAATTATTATATCTTTACATAATTACATTTAACGGGAAGTGTAGCGGTTGTTGTGTTATTAGTTTTCAGTTATAATGTTTTTCGAACTGCATCTTTCTTTACTATCAATGTTCACTAATATAAAATTATTTTACCTTCGACAAAACTCTCCCGCACCGCAGCGTGGGCTTCTATACTAGTATAGATGTAAAGTCAAAACATCTTTTTCTTTTCTGCTCGAATTGACGGTCTTATTCTGTTTTATGTTTCAATAGCTTATGTTTGGATGACATTTTCGTTTTTGCTGCTTTGTTAGAGGTATAGTGGATTGGGCCTGATTCAGAAACTCTTTTATGTCTTACCAAACTTCTGGACCTCTTTTTTCAAGAGCATGTTGGGCCAAAAACATATAAATTCTAAGAAAAACCATTGTGTATAATTTCGTGTTAAAACCAAGTTTGTATTAATTTTTCATGAAATTTGTCATGCAGTACAAGTTTATCATGGCGAACTGAAAAGAATGGTAACATCATTATTATCTACTAATTTTCCTTCTTAGTTCCTGTTTGACAAAACTCTCCCGCACAGCAGCGTGGGCTTCTATACTAGTATAGATGTAAAGTCAAAACACCTCTTTCTTTTCTGCTCGAATTGACGGTCTTATTCTGTTTTATGTTTCAACAGTTTATGTTTGGATGACATTTTCGTTTTTGCTGCTTTGTTAGAGGTATAGTGGATTGCGCCTGATGCAGAAACTCTTTTATGTCTTACCAAACTTCTGGACCACTTTTTTCAAGAGCAAGTTGGGCCAAAAACATATAAAATGTAAGAAAAACCATTGTGTATGATTTCATGTTAAAACCAAGCTTGTATTAATTTTTCATGAATTTTGTCATGCAGTACAAGTTTATCATGGCGAACTGAAAAGAATGGTAACATTATTATTATCTACAAATTTTCCTTGTTAGTTCCTGTTTAATACTTTTGATTTAGCATTTTTTGTTTTCTCACGAAATCCATGCTAGTTTAATGTGACAGGTAAATGAGGTACAAGGTGGCTATATACTTGATGATTATTAGTTCTAAGATTCATCGATGTACAAAGGTTCACTCATCGCATGTACTAAATTTATACATTGTCTTTACTTGATTTTACTGGCACGTGGTGGTAGTCCATTGGGGTCTATTCTTCCTCAGATTCAGCTCATCGAGAGAGTTAGTGAAAATGTTGGCGGCTACCAACTGGAAGAGTATATCTTGAATAACAATGTGCGTTCAATCGTGAAGGGTATGCTTGCAGATATGGCGCATTCTCATGTCAGAAGTCTGTTTACATTGGACGTACACCTACTATGTCGTCTTTATCAGTGGAAATGACATATGTGATTGAGATGGAGAAGGGGCAATATGATGGCCATCTGGCCATGTGTACTATACCTGAATCCCCACAGCAACTATATAATGAAAGATAAATAATATTTTATCAGGGTAATGATTTCAATGTTGTTGGTCGCATCATCGAGGGAATGTTTCTAACAAGCAAAAAAGGCCCTATGAAGGCAACCATCTGGTGAAGTTATTTGCACGATCTTTGGAAAAGAGATATATGAACTTTTTGTGTTTTATGTGTCTAAAAGGTTTATCTAATTTTTATTAATATACATGTGTGGCTTATGTGTATCTTATATGTGGCCTGTCAGAGGTCTTATATATTTTCACCCGTGCATGTGGAGTTGGTTCGATAGGATGACAATTACTCATGAGGCTAAAATGGTTATCAACACATTTTCCACTTTAATGAAAACTAAGGCATGGTAACTTGATCATCACACGCCGATACAGCAAAACTAGTTGATTCGTTATAGGCATTATCTTGATATGGGATTCGCTTTCCAGGATGTCGCTGGTTTGTGTCATTATATATATGTCGTATTCGGACATATAGATGTAAAGTCAAAACACCTCTTTGTTAGAGGTATATTTTCATGACATTTTCATTTTTAGCTGCTTTGTTTGAGGTATAGTGGATTGGATTTGATGCAAAAACTCTTATGTGTCTTCCCTGACTTTTGGGCCACTTTTTTCGAGAGTAAGTTGGGCGACAAATATATGAAATGTAAGAGTAACATTGCATATGTTTTTGTGTTAAAATCGAGCTTGTATTAATTTTTCATGAAAATTTATTATGTATTACAAGTTTATCATGGCGAACTGAAAAGAATGGTACATCATTTTGTCTACAAATTTTGCATTTGGACGCGAGCACGATGGTTTATCACTCTTAGAATGGGTATTCATGCGAAAGTGAATGAAAGATTCCCTGCAAAACAATGCAAACATTTAGCACAAATAGGAAAATACAATTTCTATCACAAGATAGAAGTGAGCCCTTAAAGTATAATCACAATTATAGAAAAACAACAAAATAAGTTGTAGAAAATAAATATTGTTGGCGATCAATTACAAAAAGTCGAAAAATGTAAAAAGCAAAACATGACTAATAATTGAGTCAAACAATCAATTAGCCCCAGTAGATTGTAAAAATTGTAGAAAATTCAAATACAATACCACAATCAATTGTATAAAACAAATACTGGTTGATCCGTTATTGAGAATAATTGTAAGATACATACAAACACTAGAATATGAGTCTCAATTAAAGAATCTACAAATGAAAAAATTAAATAATAATAAAAATCCACCTTAAATGGTAGACCTTACCTAAAAAGAATAAAAAGAAAACCAAAAACTATAAAACAAACGCTAATAAAACTAGATTAGAGCCTGCCCGATTGGGCGGTTTTCTTTGTGAGAAACATTTTATTTTTATAAGAGGTAACTCAATCTCATGTAGGATGAATTTGGATACGCATCTCTCCACAACTTATGCTTGATTTTAATTTTGATATTATATAAGTGATATTCATTTAACAACCCCTCCTCCTAACTCATGCAAATCATTTTGGGATGAAATGTGTGTAAAGCTCATTACCTATTAATCATTTATAGAACGAACATCGAATCCGCTGAGAGAGCCATATAAAAGTTAGTGGGTATCAGCCTATCGGGGGATTCGAAGATGACAAATAAAATCACTTATGATTTAAAATCATGGATCTATGGGTGAAAACATATGCTAGAAAATTAATATCACGATAAATGTGAACAACTCTAGTCTCCTAGTCTCTAAGTCTCTAGCTCGAGTTAGTAAGAGGCCCTTGGGCGCAACCTATAACTTCGTGCGAGTGATTGTATATTTTTCAATATTGACTAAAAATAGAAATCTATCATTATAACCATATTGTATATAAATTTATTTAATATCCTCCTACATATACATATGTATGTAGTACATTAATCATAAGCATCCACTTTATTTACTTACACTTATAAACCCGTAAATATATTAAACAATGAAATCAAAATATTATATGGAATTAGAGATTCGATAGAAATGGCCATAATAAAAAACCCTATTTGAGTCATTCATCTTTATTTAGTAGTTGAGGTTTCAAAATCAACTTAACGTTGGCATGATCAAACAATCATGAATTAATCCATTTAATTGAAATGTGTTCAATTCACTTATCCTAAATGTGTTTAATAGAAAGGACTGTTGAAAATGACCAATACAAAATTTTGGGCAAATTTATTTTGTCATTTTCACTCTTTGTTGAAAGCCCATGCGAGCATATCATACATTATATGTTTTTTCATCATAATCTACCCATCATTAGTTAGGGGGGGGGGGGGGGGGGGGGGGGGGGGGCGTCATCCATCACGTTCTAACCATCTACGTTCTAACCATGAAAAAATCCATCCACTACTCAAAAACGTGATCAATCATTAGTTATGGAATCACTGTAAGCCATACGCAATATGCAGGTATTTGATTGCAGGCACGCATGCTCATCCTGTCATTTATAAACAATGAAGAGACGGAAGGAGGGGGGATCACTAGACACATTGTGGAATTACATAAGAAGTGAAAATCACATTGTTACTGGTTAGAATAGAAAAGCCAAGAGAGAGATAAAGAGATGGAGAATTAATTGTTATAGACTTCCCAGAGGCCGATGGCGGAAGGCATACATCCGTCGGTAGTGAGATGGAATAGAGTGGGCGGAGAGAGGGAGTTCGGCATCGTTTCTGTGTTACCAATTGCGCAACGACAAGGCATCCGACGGCGTGTCATGGGTCGTATAAGAGAAAAAATGGGAGTTTAAAAAATTTAAGCGAAAAGACGGTTACACCCTTCTGATTTATGTGGGCTGACGAGAGGGAGCTGACGTGTCAAAACAAAGATCTTGACATTCGCTTATATGTTTGTGTAGATCCCTATAAGACTGAAACAAAACACAAAATAAACAACTAAAACAAAATCATAAAGCAGAAGAAACATTAATTACTTACCCACTAAAATTGAAAACAATTTTACCAACTTAAAATATTAAATCCTTACACTTACCACAATAATTAAATGAAAAAATTCTCACATTGACCATAAAAACCCTCACCTAATATAACAACTAATAAGACACCCCAAAACGACATTCAATATAAAATTAAATAATTATTTGATGAGTCCTAACTTGGGTCTCTTTGATCATAATTACGCAGTTCTCAAAATTGAAGGATTGAAGTGAAGCTCGAAGAAGAACAGGTAGGTATTTAGGTGTTTGTGTATGGAACTTTCGTGCAATCTTTCATAAGGAAGAAGGCTCGAGAAGTATAGATAGAAGCTAGACCACAATCAATGTGTCTAATTGATCGATACAAGCAATCATGCAACTTAGAATTCACTAAGCAACTCAAACAATTCACGAAACAAAGCTCAATGAACCAAAACTCAAAGGTTTGTATTCAATCAATCGAAATCTGCCTTATAATGCGAAAGGAAAGGCTTTAAATAAAACTCAACTAAGCTACCATCTATAAATGACGGCCTAAGTACAATGGAACTCGGAATCAACCTCAAAACTAACAAAGAACAGAAATCCTGGTGCAATAAGGAAACAATTTGCTTGGTGCAAGATAGAATTTCCAGGCTCCATACAATCTTGCACACGTTCGTTCAAACCCTTATAGGTATGTTCTTGATCATCCAATTCCTTTAGGTTGCTAAAAAACTCTGGTACTTTCACGTACCAACCCCCTTTTACTTTGACTCTTCCCCTCCAGATCGAGTAAGCCCTCAAAGTAGGGTACTCGAACATAGTGCCCGACTTGGCCAAAATTGGGCAGTTTCTCGGTAGCTTCATAGCATCTTCAACAAGTTCGTTAATGGCCTTAGGAGATTGTTCTTGTGCAAACCAACCTTCAGAGATGTAGTTTCAAACTTGCTCTTCAACTTCTAACCTTCCTTTTGCATTTTCATTGAACCATTTGGGAGATATGAATCCCCAAAATAGGCACCCTGAAACATGTTTGACACTTAGCCAAAATTTATCTCTCTTCTTGCCAACTTGAATTGCTTCTTTGGCAATCAATAGAAACTTGTATAGTTGGCTACTTGGGATCATATCAGGCCCCTCCCTCTTCAAAAAGTTTTGACCTCAAAACTTGAAGTCTCCTGTGTTCAAAATCCTCACTGAACGGCTCCCAAACTGGATCAAAAGCAACATACTTGCACTTCCCTTTCGTCAGGTTTAGGTCAGGTTCATCTTTCATAAAAAAAATTTGGGAGTTTAATTTTGGAGGATCCCCAACCTAATTCGTTGTTCCCATGCACTTCGCCAGGCTCCCAATTCAAGTTCTGAACCATTCGCCAGTCTCGACTCACCTCCTTCTTTGTCGAATCTACCAATCTTCCTTTTCTGCCATCGTCGGAATTTAAAATTTTGTTACCCAGAATTTCCAATTCGATTTTGGGCTTTTCTAATTGAGGCATTATTGAGCTGAATTGAGTGTTCCTACAACTTCCTGATAACTTCCTTGATGATTCTGCATCAGCCGATTGGATTGAATCAACCTCAATCTCTCCAACCAATTTGGTAAAATCTTTTCCTGTTTGATCGTTTCTAGGGGAGTTTTGGCTCGAATTGGATTCGACAACTGGACTTGATTCGGATCAATCCAATCCAGCGAAATCATTCCTGGGACTTCCTCGAATGTGTTGGCTCTCTTGGTTTGTCTCGAATCATTCCCCCAAGTCTCCACCCAATTCACTCTCTCTCCTACTCTGCTCCGGCGAGGGAACACAAAGTTGTACAGCTTGGCGACAATAGTGTTCTTTCTTCTTCTTGTACGTAGTTAACATGAATCGTCGGGTTACAAAATTGGATTCCTTGGTTCCTATGAGTGTATCCCACTGGATTCACCCTTTTGCCACAGTCGATTTGCCTCTAATTGTCGTTGATCAGTTCGAGCTTCCGCCAACGACAACTGTTTGAGCAAGAAGTTCTAGTTTCTAAGCTTGAACTTGTAGAAATTCGTGCCTCCGTAGTGGCAAACCCCTCGATCAAAATGCCAGGGACGTCCAAACAATAGATGGGCGACTTGCATTGGTGCAACATCAAACAGATCTATTAAGTTTAGGTACTAAATTGTCATTTGTAAATGAGTAGGGGTACAAATTCAAATCCATATCTTAAAAACCTAACCTAACTCAGCCCAAATAAATGGGTATGGGTACAAACTCATCAAACTCGGCCAATTTACCATCTATTTGGATTTCATACTCAACCCAATTATGTTAGGTAGTAAAATATTCATGGATATGAGCAAAGTGGCCATCCCTAGTCACGGGCATACTAGTGAGGATTTGGCCATGTCTATGATTCTACGAAGGAACATAGGGTCTCCAGACTAATGCATGTGCAAGTCATGGTTGTGAAACTGATGGTATTTCGGCTGTTACAATCGAGTTCAACTAATATTTGATAAAGTTGGTTAGAAGATCGCTAGTATGGAATGGAAGTCAAAACTGGTAAAAAGTGTTCGAAATCGAAAAATGTGTGATATGACCAAAATGATTTTTCCCCCTAAACAAAGTGACATCAGTTTGGTGGAGTTAACTACAAAAAGAAAGGAATTTGTCGGATTTAAATGTGAATATTTAGATGTTGATGTTATTTATTGAGTTCAAGTATAGATTTAAATGTGAACATTTAGATGTTGATGTTATTTATTGAGTTCACGTAGGATGTTGAATTATATAAATGCACAATTAATTTGGTCATTTGCTTAACACTTTCTTTTTTGTTTTCCTTGAAGCTCATGCCTAATGGTCCTCAGTTCATGGCGTGACGTGAGGTTGTCACAACCATGAACGACAAAAGGCAACTAGATGACTAGAGCCTTCAATATCATCGGCAGAAAGGCGGTACTGGCCGACGGCGGCGTGATGATGGCGGGAGTATCTATCGACAAAATCCGTGCTGCTCGAGCGTCGTCCAGGGTGGTAAATGTTTTTGCTGTGAAACTGATGGGACTTGACTATAAGCCTAGACTTGTTGTGAAGAACCTCAGGGGCGAGGAGCAGGAGCTGGATAGTGTATCCGAACTTTTCGAGACATCGTCGAACGATGTGTTCTTCGAGAATGTTGTGGTTGTTCCTGTTGGAAACGACGAGGATGATGATGAGGAGGAGGAGAAGTCCAGTGTGTTTTTGCATGTTTGTGTGGTATAGAGTTTGCAGAGATCACCACCAAGAACTTGATTTGTTCAAGGCTTGCAAGTTCAGATTGGTCGACAATGGTGACTGCATAATACTCTCTCTTATTCTGACTTGCGTAATGGTGTTTTCGGGGAGAGGAAGTCATGTTTATGGCTTGTTATTTATTAGGGGTATCATAGATGGACACACTATTCATGTTTCTGGGTTGTTCTGCAATTTCTTTTTAGTAACTAATTAAAGAGTATTTTCTTCAATCCCACTGTTACGAAAAATCCCTCGACGACCACCTTCTATGGATTTGGTGAGGGATTTGGATCAATCATGGATTTTGTCCAAAATCCATTGTTTGCTTGATGCATTTAGGGACCACAAATTCGTGGGCCCCACGAACTTTAAACGTCCAAATCCGTGAACCCCAACGACTTGAAAGTTCCACCTATTTAGGTGGGAATTGATCATGGACTTTGAAGTCTATCATTTGAGACCAAACTACCCCTTCTATTTCATTTCTCTTCTCATACCAATGAGGGCACTAAAAGTAAATTTCACTTCATACATAAGAATCTAATTAACCAATTCCATCATGAAATCTATGAAACAAACAATGGTATTTTTCAAGTCCATGATGAACTCAAAACCCTCATATATCCATGGTTTTGCAAAATCCAAGTTTTACCAGAACATTCATTTTTCAAATTCACGAAAAAAACGAGCCCTAAGTGTTAATGATAATCCCGAAGTTTTGATGAAGCTACTACATATGAAGTTCGGTGACGTTACCTTACCTTCATGGAGTGTTACCTCATGGATGCATAAATCTGGATTGTAAATGAATCTTCAAAAGAAAAATAAAATCCCATGTAACCAACGTCACAAGTTGGGTTATATAAGGTTAAAAAAAAAAAGAGATTGATTGCTTTGATAATGATGCGTTTTTTACTTGCTCGAAACTCCACCACTAGATTGTCAATTACTTTAGCATCAACTCACAGACTACTTATCCAATTGAATGGTTGTCAAGACAACATTCTTAAATGATTATTTAGATGAAAGAAATTTCAAGGATTATTTTGTCGACAGAGCGACATACTAGTACTAGAAGCGATTAGCAGACTCGAGGATAGAATGACGACCAAAATAGCGTTATTAGGCGTCATTTTTCCAACTATTGCCCTCCCCTTATCAGTTCTCTTCACATGTATAGCCTCCATCAATGAAAGAAGACAATCTCCATTATCATCAATCATGCCTAGATGTTTGAATATTTTCCATCGTATAACTCTTGTCAAATAACTCGAGAAAATGAGCTCGTGAAAGCTTAGGAATTCTCTATTTATATAAGTTACAAAACAATGTATCTACCCTGAATTAAAGCTAAAAATCATCTCCTATCAAATAAGGAATTCAAATATCAAAATGGAAAGGAAATAAAGCAATAATTTACCAAGAATCCTCCCAAAAGCAATGACTTAGTCCTCGAGTAATTCATTTCTTCCTTCTGCCGAGTTGGGCCCTTCCTATTGGACTCCAATGAATGGTTTTGGATCACTCTGGAGGATCACATCAGCACTGAAAGGTGTAAATCGTGTATGGAAAATCCATCAAAATTCTAATACAAAATTTATGACATAGATAACTCATGCTCAAAATAATAATATTACACCTCACACACAAACTGTGAAATCGAAAATCACATACACCAAATAGTTAAGAAAATGAATACATTTCCCACACTTTTATCTTGAAAGTGATAATAATGATATTTTCTATTGTTTATAATACCATGCGTTAATGTTGATAATATATGATTAATTGATAAAAATTTATCTAAAAATATTGATAATACCTTGAAGCAATGTTACCATGTGTTATTGCATCATTGTAGTGATGATTAACCTTATATAGTTAATTTCCTTTTGAACGGTTTACCAAAACGGTATTAATTATATGTTATCATTTTCCAAAGTAAATTATTCTTGGTTATCAATAACCAATAAATAAACTATTCACATTTTTTAGACCATTGTTAACAATTGAACATATCATCAACATTCAAAATCATTAACAAAAATGCTTTATAAAGGACGTTATTAACAATTCTTAGCATAAGGATTAACAACATCAATTGAATGTTTAAAAACTATCATTGACATAATCAACATTTAACATGAGTTATCATTACAATTTTATGACGTGATTATTAACAAAAATGTTTCATTTTTCAATGACGACCCCTTATGAACCAAGAATGGCAGGACGCGGCAGGATGGAAGGACGACGAGATGGCGGGATGACGGTGGGATGGAGGAGATGTTGTAGCGACGGGATGACGAAGGTTCTTACGATGTCGGGATTAAGGTTGGCAACGGGGCGGATCGACGACGGATTCATACCATCCGTTCCCCGTCCGTTAGCACTGTCCGGTTTCCCCGTCCCTGTCCCCGAGCACTAAACAGGGAGAAAACTGTTTCCGTTACCGTGAAACACCGGATTCGGGGAAACCACGGGTCCCCAGCTACCCGGCAGAAACAATAGATAATTGAGGTTTTCCGGTTGCTTTGTAATTAGGGCAAAGAATTTTTTGAGCACCATCATGTATCCTTTTTTGGATACAAGTTTTCACATGATTCCTAAGGTGCGAGGTTCCATTACGAGTATCACCACCGAGGTTTTTTCAACAGTACTTGCACTTAGCTTTAATAACCCATTAAGCTTAACCCTAGTGTAGTGAGGCCATACATCAGATGTCAATTTGCATTCTTCAACAAGCACTTCAGCATTTTCATTAGCCAAGTTACCGTTACCGACTTACCGTTACCATTACCAACTTGTTCGGGTTGGTTGTTTTGATCAACAGGTGCAGGCTGTGGAGAAACAAGAGCATTTACAACATTTTCAGGTGCACTGTCCATCTGACATTGACATAAGCGAGTATAGAAACATCAGAGGATTGCTTGGTTAATTTTTAGCCTTTATTTGTAAGATTTCTATGTTCAAAGCAATAGTCTTTTAGATTCAATTACAGAATGCAAATGAGACACTTATACTAAACAAGACATGATTCATGAGCAGATCCAAACAATCAACAGAAACTCGAGTCCCTAAGTCCTAATACATGCAAATCAAATTAAGTAAATCGTCCTTAATTCCTTAACTAACCTCGAATCTAGAGAGAGGGGGTCTATTGTCCAGAGTTGTAGATGGTGAACTGATGGTTGATACGAAACTGCAAAAACTCAAACAAAAGTACGAACATTACATTCCAATGAGTCAAAATCAATACAACAAACTACTAATTACAATTTACTAAAGACTAAGGAACTATGATTAGTGATTACTTCGAGTATGAGAGCATGCACTCGCAGGTGTAGATGAAGATGCAACTGAAGGGCCCTAGAAAGAACCAGTAGAGTTAATTTATACGAACCTAAAACTAAAGGAAGAAACTAGAACAAGAAAGAAGAATTGAATTTGAAGGTACTTATCTCGAGTTCTGGATTATCAGAACAATAATCAATGACAAATCCTCCCAATAACCTCGAATAGGAGATTGGAACAGTCATCTTCTCCTTTTGCATGTTGTTCTTTGCCTAAATCGATGAGGATATTAGGCTTTGATTGGTGAATGAAGAGGATAATGAATGATTGACAACCTGGATGGAGAGAATTTCGCGGGGGATTGGCAATAATCCGAAATCGAATCGATGGATTGAGCGGCAATTGAGAGAAGAGAAGAGAGAGCAACGAGTTTTCAATTAGGGATTAGGGTTGACCTCGAGCTCGACTGAAGGATATGTATATGGGTATAATACGGCGTCGTTTTCTGGATCGGGGTGGGCTCGGGGTGGATAGTATGAACTCCGTCACCACCCGACATCTGTTACCCACGGATAACGGGTTTCCCCGACTCCGTTAATTCCCCGTCAACGCCGCGTTGGAATTGTTCCGCCCAGCCGGGTTTCGGGCGGGTACCCGCCCGCGCGGTTTGAAATGTCATCCCTAGTCGGGATGGCGGATCACAGTGCGATGATGGAGCTTCTTACGACATCGTGATGGCAGATGGCGGCGGGATGAGGCTACTGTCGTGGTCCGTCTTTCTTCTCGGGGGTGGTGATATTTGAAACATGGGTTTTGGAGAAAATTGGGCTAGGTTTTAATTCTTTTTTCTATTAATTATTAACAATTATATTTATTAATACCCATAAACCTTTAACTACTTATAAACAACTAAACGTCCATTAACTAATTAAATTCTATTGAGCCAATAGAAATGGTTATGTTAGAGAGTGCTATAAGATACATCATAATCTGCTTCCAACAATTCGAGTTATTGGGATCAACTTGTTCTTGACATGGTATCAGAGCCTTCTGTGACCGGGAGGTCTTGTGTTTGATTCCTGATGACCCCTTTTGTTAAGCACATGGTATTCGGACCTGTGCAAACTTCAAGCCCTTGTGAGTGATTTTCGTTTGGTATCAGAGCTGGTTTGACCAAGTGATCGTGTGTTCTAATCTCCAATATTCCCCGTAGGTCTCGAGTTATTGTGATCAACTAGTTTTTTTTTGTCAATAGTAGCTGTAACAATCAGTCATACAAAGAAAAAAGAAAAGCGCGGGATTCGACCAATCGTCGAACTCCCGATGAAAGGGCCTGATGTGCCACAAGATGAGCAACCCTGTTAAGTCGACGAGAGACAAAACAAAAAGAACGCCAGGTGAACTGAGCCGCCAAAGTCCTTGCCTCTTCCAGCACAGCACCACACCGATCATGCGCCAAATCACATCGCACCATACGTTGGATCAAATTTTGAGAATCCCCATGGAATTTAACACAAACAAAACCATGAGTTAAGCACCATTTTAAAGCATCTCTGAGAGCTAAGCACTCCATGGTAAAAGGATCACTTAGACCATCATAGACTTGCCAAAAGCAAATATGCGGAGAAGGGGGAGACGGGGAGTGAAGACTGAAGCCTCCGCCGCCGTAACCGCCCCGCCGGCCCGACTATAGTCCAAATAGTTTCTTCTCCGAGTCTTCTCTCCCTCATCATTCCTTTCCTTAAATTACTGCCATCCCAATTTTGAAGCAGATCTCTCTCTTCTCTCTGCCGCCTACCTCAACTGCATCAATGGATCTCTCAATTGCGCTGACCTTCCCTTCCATTACCACCAAACCTTCCCCTTCTCACCTTCTTCTTTCCCGCTCTCTCTTCCGCAGCTCTTCGCCCGGAAGATCCTTGCTCTTCACTCGAAACCCCTCTTCTTCCCGCCATAACCACCGCACTCCTAGACAACGACTCCGCCGCCGTGTTTCCGCAGCCGTCGACGACGATGATGGCGGCTTCGTCCTCGAAGATGTCCCTCACCTGTCCGATTTCCTCCCCAATCTCCCCGTATTGATTCTCCTCCCTCTTCTCTTCTCTTCTCGTCCCCCTTTTGGTTCAAGATAGTGATCTCTGGTTCCCCCTTTCCTTGCTTCAGCTGTATCCCAAATTCCCAATCCTTTGGAGAAGAGCCAAGCTTATGCCATTGTCAAGTATGTAGTCTCTCTACTTTGCCTTCCTCATTTTCACAACCTGAGCTTCTTTGTTTGTGATCAATGTTTACTTCCCTTAGGCAAACCTTCGTCGGCCAGGAAGATGCGGTGGCGCAGCAGGTATGCTATCTTGTACATTTCATTCCCGCGTCTCCGCCTAAAATGTGTTAGTTACCGTCTTTTTGGTGCTCCCAGGTCGTTGTTCATAAAGGCAGCCCCCGAGGAGTACGCTTCCGGCGAGCCGGCCCTCGAGAAAAGGTTCTTATCCTACTCTAGCTTTATCCCCCCCCGCGACGATGACACGGGGAGGTAGTACGTGCAACAAACCTCGTGTCAGGATTGGGTAATTTGCGGGCCTGCTGCCTTCCTTGGATGTGGTAGTCGTTTCTCAGGCTCTCTCTCCGGAATCGAACCCTAATTCTCCGTCACCCGTCACCACCATGGTAGGCCTCTATCCTACCATCGAAAGTTGATAGGACAGAAATTTGAATGATGCGTCGCCGGCACGGGCCATGCGATCCGTCGAGTTATCAAGAATCGTCAAAACTACGGGCAGAGCCCGTGTTGACCTTTTATCTAATAAATGCGCCCCTTCCAGAAGTCGGGGTTTGTTACATCGGTATTAGTAATGGTACATGTACCACCAATTTGGTACCAATCTTCAGTAATTGTTACCAATACCATTAATTTGGTACCATTCTTATTAATGTAACTAGTACCACTGATTATGTACGAGTCTTAGTAATGGTTACACGTAGCATTAATTGGTACCAGTTTTATTAATGGTACGAGTACCACTGATTTGGTACCAGTCTTATTAATGGTTATCAGTGGCATAAATTTGGCATCAATACTATTGATTTGTTAACAGTACCATTGATTTGGTACCAGATAAGAGATATTTCTATAGGCAGTGGAGAAGGTACTGAATTTTCAGAATCAAACACCAAATCAATTGTGCCAATGTAAGCAACAGTACTTTACCCAAGATCAAATTAAAGACAAGAAATACCCATCAGCTTCTTCATACTTGGAAACGTACATAAAGCAATTATGCTACTCTTTAAATCCAAACACACAACCTAGCCCAACCTAGCCCAACCTTCTTCTCATCCGAAATACCGGCCTCCATAATCTCGATGATTGAAGTCGGACTGCGCACTTCTTCTTGAAGGTGCTTTGACTTGATGCTACAGTCTGTTGCTTCTTCTTCTTGTTGCGACTCTTTGTTTCCTCATCACGTGGTCGTTTTTTACTAGGCCCAACACTCGAATCACTTGAGTCCCCCAAGCGTATTGCTACCTGTCGATATGCACAACCATCAGGTTGTGTGTTTTCCCGGATGATATGGCTGAGATCTTTGTTCTGCCATTCCTGCAACAACAACAAAAAATGCTTGGTACGAATTTTTACTCAAAACTTCAAGAGGGTTATCTTGTCACAGAGATCCACACTTCTAAAATGATATCACTACACAAGTACTGCTACTAATACTATTAGCAATGTAGAATGTTACTGTACAATACTACTACTAACAATCTAGAATGTTATTGGTACCAATCAGTATGTAATGGTTACTCTTCAGTGGTACTACTACAAATCAATTGGTACCAGTCCCACTACAGATAGAACAAGTTGTGTCATTCCATTAAACTACCACTATTGGCATACCACTGTCATTGGTACCAGTAACACAATTACCATTACAACTGGTACCAATATAAAACTACCATTCAATCATACCGAAACGAATACAACGGTACCTGAAGCCCCCATAAGTGGTACTTGTACCAATAAGTGTGTACTTGTATCAATTCATTGTTACTGGTACAAATCAATTGGTATTACTATCACTACATCTAGAACAAGTTATATCATTCCATTAAACCACCACTATTAGCATATCAATGTTATGGGTACCAGTAACACAACTACCACTAGCACTATACGAATTTAAGACTACCAATGGATCATACCAACAACAAACAAACACACCACACAAGAAAGACAGGCCTGCATGTGGCTTATTCCAACGTTGCATTAGGAAAACAAAAGCAGTAGTGTAAAGAAACCTCACCGACGATTGTTTGTACGACCGCAGAAACGAACGACGGCGAAAGGATGTTCGCCTATGCACTTAACCAGAAGGAGAAAAAAACTAGTTAGGATAACCAGAAGTGAATAGAAAAAGATGAAGAAGTGGAGAGGAGCGATAGAGCCGACGAATCGGGACGGGAAAGCAAGCATAAAAGGAGACTAAATGAAAATCACATAGTAAAAGTTTTGATTTTACCTGAATTACATATGCTCTGAAAAACTAAGTCTTCGCAATCGAACGAGACCGGACGAGTTGCTATCAAGAAAAGCGGAGAAAAACGATATGAGACGGTGAAAGGGGATGCTTTGGGCGACGACGGAGGAAAAGGGTTTCAGTGGAGTAATGTATAGGCGGTTTTGGGGAGACGAATGGTTTGCCGGGGAGGGTGGCTAATTTCTCTCCACCACCGATTTCTTTGCCTTTTCAAAACGGGACTGACGTTAGAGAACTAATGGGAGCTGGATCCAGTGTGGAAGCTCTCTTTTTTGCCCCTGTCTATCATCAATCGTCGGATGGAGATATAAGGGGATGGAGGGCTAGGAAGGGGGAAGCGAAATTGATAACCCCTTTAGGGGTGGTCACGCTATCCGGCCCCTTTAAATCTTTAAAACCTTTTTTTTTTTAACAATCTTTAAAATCTTTAAACTCTTACGATTTTACACGATTCAAATCTTTTGAGTCAATTTTAATTATTTTTTCTGGGAGATACAGCTTTCACATGGAGTTCAAAGAAGCAAGCTATCGTGACACTGTCAACTTGTGAAGCTGAGTATGTTGATGCGACATCGTGTGCGTGTCATGCGATATGGCTGAGAAAGTTGCTGAAGGAGTTGAACATGACACAGGAAGAGTCAACTGAAATTTTTGTGGATAACAAGTCTGCCCTAGCGTTAGCAAAGAATCCGGTGTTCATGATCGCAGTAAGCACATTGATACAAGGTATCATTTCTTGAGAGAATGCGTGGAGCAGAAAGAAGTGACGTTGAAGTATGTGAAGACTGAAGACCAGATTGCAGACATTTTCACGAAGCCACTGAAGCAAGATGTGTTCGTCAAGATGAGGACGCTACTCGGAGTTACGACAAATTAAACTTTAAGGGGGAGTGTTGAAATTAATAAAGTTTAATTATTAAAAATAAAAATCAGAAAGGTCTAGAGAAGTAGGTAACGTGTGTGGTATAATGGTGTGTCAAGAAAAAAATCAGTGTGTGGAATGGTGTAGAATGAATTAAGTGGTATGATTAAACAAAAGGAAAAAAATGAGAACCACAATTGCATGGCGGTTCTAACTACCCAAATTAAATGTGTTGCAGATTTTTGTGTAGTTTCAAGCCTATAAAAAGCTGCCATGGTGCATGAGTTGTAATGCAGAGCTAAGAGAAAGCAAAAGAAAGAAGAAAAGCAATAAAAAAAAAACATCCCTTTCCCTATAGCCTATCCACTCTCTGCCATTTTCATTCATCCCAAAACCTGTCCATCAACATTTCCAAACATAAAACCAAAAGTCTCCCACTATTTGCCAACGTGCCTACCAAGTGTAATAGGAAATAAATATTATTTTATTTCCAACACGCTTCTCATCTTCTTCTTTCCCGCTCTCTCTTCCCCAACTCTTCGCCCAGAAGATCCTTGCTCTTCACTCGAAACCCCTCTTCTTCCCGCCATAACCACCGCACTCCTAGACAACGACTCCGACGCCGTGTTTCCGCAGCCTTCGACGACGATGATGGCGGCTTCGTCCTCGAAGATGTCCCTCACCTGTCCGATTTCCTCCCCAATCTCCCCGTATTGATTCTCCTCCCTCTTCTCTTCTCTTCTCGTCCTCCGTATTTTTTTCGCAGTGGATAACCTTCTTACCGATATCGATGATCTATCATCTTTACCATCTATAATAAGAATCACCCCAGGTAATCATCGCTGCAATCCAACAAAAAATAAGAATACAAATGAGTAGTGTGGAGGAGAGAATGAACCTACGCACAACAACAATCTACCATCATCAGTATTATATCATCCCAAAACTCCCGAGTTAAAAATGAGAGAGGGTAGAAGCAGAACCTATGTAAGACGTTGGAGTGAATGCTGTGTAACCATAGCCATAGAAATCATCTGGAAAGTCATCTAGGACTTCAGCCTCGGATAAGATTACACAGTCATAGGGGGGGCTTGAGCCACCAGTAGCACTGCTGCAGTCACCATTGTCGATCAATTTGAACTTGCAAGCCTTGAAGAAATCAGCTTCTGGGTCAACATGAGATCTATACCACACAAACATGCAATACACACCAGAGTTGGCATCATCATCCTCGTCGTATCCAAAAGGAACAACCACAGCATTCTCGAAGAATTTGTCGTTTTGTGCTGTACCAACAAGCTCGGATACAGTATCCAGCTCCTGTTGCATGCCCATGAGGTTCTTCACAACAAGTCTAGGCTTAAGGTCGGGTTTCACAACAAAATATTTACCACCATGGACAACTCTTGAGCAGAGCCAATTACGATAGATACTCTCCCTGTACATCGCCCACTTTAAGGGTGAATCATGAAAGTAGGGGTGCCACAGTAGCTTGTCCATGTCAAGACCATACAAAACGTTTTCACCACAATAATTCCACACAAGAACATACAATACATTCCCTGAAACAACATGACCTGAGAAAGCAGGGCGGAAAGGCTCACCATCCTCGTCTTTCCAGGTCCAAAAAGGGGTTTCAACTGTCACAACACTGAGATCTTTGAGATTCAAAACCTCGCAAGGAGCAGGACACTGAGCCTCTCCGTTACCACGACAATAAGTCCGCTCCAGCATGATAATCTTCTCTTTGTAGGCCACATTAATGCACAGTTGCTTCGGCCCCTTCAGCTTGTTTGGGTGTACTTCAAATACGAGCGATTTAAAGTTTTCGGGATTCATTGTCAGATCACACACGTATAAATCTCGCGGATACTCACGAACACCACCTGTAGATGGGCGCCTACCAGCTTCACCACCAAAAGCATATAGCTTCGTTCCTACCACTGCATAACCCATAGAACAAGGGAATTTTTCCCCCTCGTAAAAGGAACTGCTACCAGCTGTCACGTTGACGGTGGTTGTGCGGATCTTCCCGGACCTGTCAGGCGTACCCACCAGAACCGCACGCAGCTCCTTTCCGGAAGTACCAACGATTCCGAATTCCCACCACCGCCGCCGCGGCTTCTTACCCTCCGGTGAGCTGCTCGAATCATCGGACATCCTAATGAACCCAAACCAACCAATCGGCCAAGGAGGAGGAGGAGGTTATACTTGTCTGCGCTTTCCCCGTCTTGCCGGCGAGGAATCGTTGGCCGTCGTCTGGGCTGGCTGATGAAAAAAGGAGAGGGAATGGTGGCGGGGGTGAGGAAGTCGCTCGATTAGGGTTTTGCCACAGCCTAATTGCCTGGGCCTCTTAAATTTATACTACCAGGATGCCTATTGCCTGATCAACAAATGGACCCCTGAATTATTAGGATTTCCCAATTAGGCCCCCAAACAAAACCATTATTATTATTATTATTATTATTATTATTATTATTATTATTATTATTATTATTATTATTATTATTATCCTATAGTGGAAAACAGAATATTATTATTATTATTATTATTCTGAAACTGAAGAGTTTTACATAGACACATAACTTGCAAGAAAAGGAATTACAATCCTGAACTACAAAGGAAAATTAATACTACTAATTATCGAAGAAGAAAAAAAACTAATACTACTCGGAAACCAACTCCCAGTCACCAAAGCAACTTCTCTAACGTGGAATCATGGATTACTGGATGAAGCGAGAGTCGGGCTTCGGAATGTGGCCCGACAGTTATGGCTCGGTCGGTGAATTGGGATCTCCTCATCATCCCCTAAAAGGTTGACCTTATTTTCAAGGTCAACGTCTGGGAAACATTTTATCTGCACCAGTTATAGTTACAGAGTGGTAAAATGTTATATTTGGTTTAGATGTATATTTTGTTGTGCCTGTAAATGTGGATTCCCTAAATAAATGCATGTTGTGTCTATCTATCAAGCTGCGACTTTGTCCGTCCTCCTGCTTCAAAGTTAAGACTTTCGTTTTACAGTTGTTCATAGCTATATTAATCTCCTATTTGTGTGGTGTGTTTGCATATCAAATTCAGTGAGTTTGTTGCGAGACGGTCGAGGTGAAATTTTTGCACTATTGAATCTCTTGTTCCAAAAAATTTGTGTAAGATAAAATAGTAATCTTAACACTTGTGTATGGTTATACTAACTTCAATATCACTCCATTTGGGATCTTTTTCTCTCTCTATGAGTAAGAGACATTGTGTTCTTACTACGCCTCAAAACCTAGAGGACCTAGAAACATTTCAAGGTTGAAGAATTAGACGATGAGTTGTGGTTATGGGTGATATGTCACTCAAACCTAGAGCTAGCCAAGTCTCCCTGAAATACGTCAAGGCATGTGAGGTAACTGGACGTCTAGAGTAAAGCAATATTTCGGTGTTTTGTTTGAAAGGAAAGTCTATTTTTCAAGAGAAGGAAATACGGTCGAAACGTAGCATGTAATCAATGTAGTCAAAATCCCGATTTTAATCTTAAAATCTTACGATTTTACGATCTTACCTATGGGTTCCGATCCTGATTTTACTGTAAAATCTTTGAACCTTAAAATCCCATAAAATCCCGATTTAAAACTCTAAAATCCATAAAATCTACGATTTCTACGATTTTGTACGATTTCAAGGTTCGTATCAATTGGATCAAAATTAGGCCGGTCAAGTTGGGTTATGCCCATGAACCGAGTCAAATTTACTTTCCCCAACCCAACATAATGAACAACACAACCCCAACCTGATAGTTAACCCTCAATTTATTTTCATTCTCTTCCTCGTATCTTCCTCTTTCGCACGTTGGCGCCCAACTCCTTCCATCAACGATATCTTCCACCCTCCCAATTAGCTTGTAGTTTGTTCCCACCACCCTCACAATAATCCAAATCTCCATTACATTGCAAGCTTTTGTTCATCTCCCAATCCTTCAGCACCACTAACCCTACCTTTTATCAATTAAGAAGGGAATGCATCAATCAATGAGTTATGTTTTCCAGATGATGGTAATCAAGGAAATATGGTTAATGGTGAAAGTACTTCAAGTGATCATAAGAGTAATGATATTAGTCCTTAAACAAATAAAAACGATGAGAGTGAGGGTGAGGTTGAGGATGATGACGATGACGATGATGTGTAAGTGATGTTAATGTTGATCCTAACGATCTTATGTGATTTTCTACTCTTAACAATTAATTAACAGTGATATCTATAATGTTTCAGGTTTCTTATTTGTGTGTTTCTATTATGTACAAGAAAAATATATGGATTAGTTGTGTTTGTTTAGCAAACAAACTTATCTTGGGAAGTAATTATGCTTTATGTGGTTGATTGTTATTCAAGATATGCATTATTATTACTATCTAGTGTTTTAAGTATTTATTTTAATATGAACCTTAAAATCTTACGATTTTACGATTTTAATCTACGATTTCGATTCTACCTCAGTTTTCGATTTTACTTAAAATCTAGATTTTGACTGCATTGCATGTAATTAGATATCTATGGTAAAACGCTAATTTGGTGTTTTGTTTGAAAGAAAATTCTATTTTTCAAGTTGACAGGACAACAACAGGAACCAAGATATAGCTAACAATTCTCGGAACATATGTTAAATCCTCATGGGCAAGGGAAGAACCGGAAAAGAAAAGAAAAAAACCCTCTCACAAATACTCTTCTAAGTTCTTCAGAAAACTAACAAAAACCTTGATGCACTCTAGACTAAGATGTATCTCTACTGAGTAGATCGGATCACGGCATGGTGATATTGTGCTTGTCGAGAGATGCAATCTCATCTCCATCGAATCTCGGCTCAGTATTCCCAACAACACCGAGGCTCCTCAATAGTTCTTCCCATTTCTTTGCTAGCCCCTGCATCCCATCTTTCATGTCACCTTCCCTCGACATATTACAACGAGTATTCAGTAAAATCAGTTGGATGTTTAATGCACTACCTTCAACGAGAGATCTTGAGCCATGCAGTTCTGGATCATTTCAGACAGTGCAGGAGTACCATAGGTTGCAACTGCCTTCTCGACTCCTCTAGCCACCGCCGCTCACATCCACTGGATCAACTTCATCGCACTGCAGCAACATTTTCGTACATTCCCTATGTTTGGCCCGACATTTAGAAGTGTTTTTCGGCTTTAAAAGCTGAAGTAGGGCCAAACACCTGTAAAAGTTTGGCTTTTGAAAAACCGAAAAGCGCTTTTGTATAACAAAAAAGCAAAAGCTCCGATGTGGAGCTTTTGCGAAAAGCTGTTTTGAAAATACAAGATTATCCTTAATATATTTTAATTTTATTTCAGAAAATATAATTTTGCTTCATTTATATCATTTTAAAAATAATATAAATTATAAAATCATGTTATTTAATATAAAATAAATCTAACAAGATCCATTTTGACTACTTTTTATTGTTTAGAATTTTTATTTATATTTTATTATTTTGGGAGTGACATATGAAATGGAACGGGTCGTCCTGGTAATCCACCCAACCCGATCCAGAAACTCACAAGTTAATCAAATTAAGGTCATTGAAGCTATGAAAATTCTATTTTTCGGATGGGTTGGGGTCGGATCATAATTTGCTAGGCATATACATCGACGTCGCTATTTAGTACTTAACCGTTAATTTTTATCAGCGAGATGAACGAAGGCGAAATGTGCGGAGAAGTGGGAACGAAGGCTCCGCCGCCGTAACCGCTCCGCCGGCCCGACTATAGTGTTGTTTACTGCTTCTACTGATCGGCGGAGCAAAACCGCCCCCAAAGCGAGTCCGCGAGTCCAAAGTCCAAACAGTTTCCTCTCCGAGTCTTCTTTCTCTCTCTGTCATCATTCCTTTCCTTAAATTACTGTTTCCCTTCCCATTCCGCGCTGACCATCTTTCTTCTCCCATCGCCATTCCAATTTTGAAACAGATCTCTCTCTCGTCTCTTCTGCCGCCTACCTCAACTGCATCAATGGATCTCTCAATTGCGTTGCCATTCCCCTCCATTACCACCAAACCCTTTCCTTCCCATCTTCTTCTTTCCCGCCCTCTCTTCCCCAGCTCTTCGCCCGGAAGATCCTTGCTCTCTACTCGAAACCCCTCTTCTTCCCGCCACAATCACCGCACTCCTCGACAACGACTCCGCCGCCGTGTTTCCGCAGCCGTCGACGACGACGATGGCGGCTTCGTCCTCGAAGATGTCCCTCACCTGTCCGATTTCCTCCCCAATCTCCCCGTATTGATTCTCCTCCCTCTTCTCTTCTCGTCCTCCTAATCGTATAGTTGGTTCAAGATAGTGATCTCTGGTTCCCCCTTTCCTTGCTTCTTCAGCTGTATCCCAATCCCTTGGAGAAGAGCCAAGTTTATGCCATTGTCAAGTATGTAGTCTCTCTACTTTGCCTTCCTCATTTTCACAACCTGAGCTTCTTTGTTTGTGATCAATGTTTACTTCCCTTAGGCAAACCTTCGTCGGCCAGGAAGATGCGGTGGCGCAGCAGGTATGCTATCTTGTACATTTCATTCCCGCGTCTCCGCCTAAAATGTGTTAGTTACCGTCTTTTTGGTGCTCCCAGGTCGTTGTTCATAAAGGCAGCCCCCGAGGAGTACACTTCCGGCGAGCCGGCCCTCGAGAAAAGGTGTTTATCCTACTCTAGCCTTATCTTTTCCCACCCCCCCCCCCCCCCCCCCCCCCCCCCCGGCGACGATGAATGAACAAGAAATCAAGAGAATGATCAATTGAGTATTTCTTAGGTGTACTTTAAGCCTGACGAGGTTCGGGCTTGCGTAGTCACATGTGGAGGGTTGTGCCCAGGGATCAATACAGTCATCCGGGAGATAGTTTGTGGGTTGAACTACATGTATGGTGTGGATGACATTCTTGGTATCGTGGTGAGTGAGCTCTTTTTGAGTATCAGAGTTTCCCTCTTGTTTCTTTCCTTTTCTCTGGGAAAATTTGATTGGTGTGATTTGCAGGGAGGGTATAGAGGCTTCTACTCTAAGAACACTGTGAAGCTGACCCCTAAAGTTGTGAACGATATCCATAAACGTGGCGGCACTACCCTTTTGACATCTAGGGGAGGTCATGATACGGTTAAGATAGTTGACAGCATTCAGGACAGGGGAATTAATCAGGTCAGTTGTTGATCTTTTCTGTATGATAAAGCACACTCACACACACACAACGGGCACGAGAATACTAGGCCAGGACGTAGAAAGAGTGGCGAGTTTAAAGTTTTGACATTTCTTTGATCTTAGGTGTACATAATTGGAGGTGATGGGACCCAGAAAGGAGCAGCTCTAATTCATGAGGTTGGTGTAGACTCTTTGAAGTGTTTCGTTTGTTTGTTAGCATGGTGAAGTTTTGCAGTTTTGACAGTGTGCCACACTTTCCATTTCCTTGTGCTGACTTGCCTTTGTGATGGTACTAAAGGAAGTTGAGAAACGTGGTATGAAAGTAGCAGTTGCTGGGATTCCCAAGACCATTGACAATGACATAGCTGTAAGTTCTGTAAACCTGCGTTTGGATTTAATTATACTTGAAAGCCAATTTCATATGTTGTTTGGTGCTATACTTCCCTAGTCACATTAGTCATCCTGGGATACATATCCATGCCAGTAAATGAATACAAAATGTGTAATAGTGGATCAGGTGAAAGAATTTTTACAATGGATCGAGTTTGAGCAGAATTTTGACTCTGAGGACCGTTAGAATGTTTGTGTTAGAACCTCGGCACACTGTTATAATAACCGAAACTGTGTTCTTGGAAGTAGACTGAGCACTGGAAGGATGATGATTCTGTCTGTTTAATTGTCTGCCTCGTGTCCAAAATATTTTTAAACTACATTGAGAACTTGGAATGTAATGGCTAATTATATTTTCTGCACATAGTATCAAAGTATTTAGGCGGGTTCCATTTTTGTATGATTGTGACAGCCATGAACGTCTATATCTTGGTTCTCTGGGGAAATACTTAATATGTCTTTCACTTATACTACTGAATGTCAAGTTTGAGTAATAGTTGAAGAGTGATGAAATTGAGAGTTTTGCATTTACGTTTGCTTGGAGACAGATGAATCTTAGATATATTTTTTTTTTCTTTGCTTTGAAGAGGAACCTGTTAGACATTGTCAAGCAATGAGTTCCAACAAGAATATGATGTTTTCAATGCTCATTTTAGGAGATAGACAAATCGTTTGGGTTTGATACTGCTGTTGAAGAAGCTCAGAGAGCAATTAATGCTGCACATGTAGAGGTTGAGTGTGTGGAAAACGGAGTTGGAGTAGTCAAGCTGATGGGACGATGTAGTGGTGAGTTCTCAACATTTGACTATAGGCTTTTTAAACTTCAGTGTCTGATTTTATACTTTTGTGTATATATCATCACGAAGCAAATGTGTTGCCAAAGGGAGCGGAGCCTGACCCTATGCCTGTTCCTAGTGTTTGGTGAATGCTCCAGGATTGTTGCTTGATTCCAGAATCTCCATTTTATCTGGAAGGTCAAGGCGGGCTGTTCCAATTCATTGAAAGCCGGATGAAAGAAAATGGGCATGTGGTTATTGTGATAGCTGAAGGAGCAGGGCAGGAATTTGTTGCTCAGAGCATCCATGACGTCAATCAGAAAGATGCATCAGGAAACAGGCTACTTCTTGCTGTTGGTCTCTGGTTGTCTCATAAGATTAAGGTTTGGAGCACAAGCTTTATCTCCTTCATTGCAATTGGTCTTTCGTAATATTTGTGGTTTCCTTAACTTTTGGTTGGCATGAGTTGCCTTCTTATTATCATAAAGACTTGTAATAATCCAATGGCAGGATCACTTCATACAAGTTCGGGAGATGGATGTAAATATGAAATACATAGGTATGCTTCGATTTCAGTGGATTATTGCGTGTTGCACTTGAATACTTACCAAGTCCTGATATATGGTAGCAAGTTGTGCAAATCTCAATTCTTGAAACACCCTTGCTAATATATTTTATAAGGATAATCTCACTCTTCTCCCATAGTCACTCTATCTGTCTTTGAGTGAGGCCATATGAATAAATAAATATGAATGGTTGATAAGTCTGCATACAGTGCATCCTGAAACATTGTTGGGGTTAAGACGTGCTGAGCTTTTCTGTTTTCTCCAGTCTCTGTTAAGCTTTTCACCTTGTTTTTGTCCTGTCATGCAAAAAGAGAAGAGGTTTATCCCATTTATCTACCTGTTGTGATGATATAGATCCAACATACATGATACGGGCTATTCCAAGTAACGCATCAGACAACATATACTGCACTCTTCTTGCACAAAGTGCTGTACATGGGGCGATGGCTGGGTACACAGGCTTCACAGTTGGACCAGTTAATGGCAAACACGCCTACATACCCATTGCTGTAAGTAACTCCATCTCGTGCGCTTTTGCTGGCAAAGAAAATCTTAGACTATGACATGGGAGACTGTTTCGCTGCTGTTAATAAAAGTCTGTTGAGATAAATGTTGTGATAATCAGTACTGAGTTTGTGATTATGGTGGATGGATTGCAGCGGGTCACAGAGACACAGAACACAGTGAGATTGACGGACAGGATGTGGGCTAGGCTTCTTTCCTCAACAAACCAGCCAAGTTTCTTGAATTCCTGTGATGATATTTTGTTGCAACAAGAAAGAGTCGACAGAGACACGGTCGATATGATTCACAAACTGAAGATTACTTCCACATAGACATAGACACCACCATTCAATTGCTGGCTCTAAAGCTCAACACGGAGAAGCGCATCGGGCGTGGCATGTATCAGCAGCATAACAATCGCAAGCTAGCATCCATGATGTCGGAGGAAGGTACAATGTGTTTGCATGCTGAGTTGACTATCATTTTGTTGTATGTGTGGGATGAAAGACTGTTGTGCTTGGTTGAGTTGAAGTGTAAACAAGAGTATAGATAGGCGGGGGAAACAATAATGAAGAAAACAGAGTAGCAACTTGATTTCGACTTTGCAGATAATACCAAATGATAGGCTTTTTGTCTGTCTGTCTGTCTGTTCCATCCATCATTCCATCCACAAGTGGCAGTGGGTTGGTTCTTCTTCCTCCCTAGTAGTTATCTGGCACACCATGCACGTCGGCTGCGGGCAAGTTGCAGACGTAGGCATTGGTTATCTTTCTATCTGTTCTAATCTGTCCACCGTAATTGCCACTTGCTGCTTTCTGTTGGACAGATTTGGGTAGGGTAAGGTAGTTAAATGCGCGATGGCTTTAGGGATAGTATTTTGCAGTTGCTGGGAGTTTATCCGGATTTGCGATTCCTGCAACTGCAAGCAAGTGGGCTTTGATTTTGCATTGACAAGTTGATGGACTGATTGATGCTGACTCTGACTCTTGCTCATTCAAATATCTCCGTTTTGTTATAATTTATAAAATAAATAAATAAATAAATGGGCGTGATGTATGATTGTCAAACCGATTTATGTTGGTATGCCAGTCTAACGGAGGGGGATAGCGTGACAACCCCTAAGGGGTTGTCAATCTCGCTTCCCACTTTATAGCCGTCCGTCCTCCTTTATCCAGCGTCCAGGAGCGCACGAAGGGTGTTTTTGTAAGTAACTAAATGAAATAATTTTGAAATAAAACTTAAATGCATGGAGAAAATATGGGAGCGTGATTGGTGGGAGCTGAACAACCGATTTTGGGCGGGACTCTTTCCCTTCCATTTCTGACTCCTCCCTCATCAAACCATACCACAATACCTCCGGAAATACAATCCACGCGGTCGCCGCCATACAATGGACGGCTACATCATCAACGATGACGACAGGTGGGAGCTGAACCTACGTGTTTATTTGGGTTCGATCTGAATGTCCCATTAACAAGCAACGACAAGGATATATATGAGGCCGGAGCTGACCAGGCGGACCCGACGGACAAAGGTGATGATGTGTGCATGGTGGATGTTGACGACGTTTTGGAAGTGGAGGAGCTGGTGAACGAATATCATCCGGAACCTCGGACCACGTCCAATATGGCCTCGATGTGGAGAAGAACGACCATTTCATGTTGCACTCAGGCAATCTCGTTGATGCCGACGACGGCGGGGCGGAGAATAGCATCGATGCCAACAATGGTGGTAGGTTAACCCCTAAGCCGTTACGAATTCCTTTCCATTTTTAGTGTTTTACTATCGGTACAACTAATGTTTAAAAAAAATGTACCATTAGTTATGTTTCAAGTTAGGTAGTGGTAGTATTATTGTAGGGATAGTCACCTAGTGGTAGTCCCCTAGTGGCAGTCCCCTAGTGGTACTCATTTAGTGGTAGACACGTAGTCATCTAGTGGTAGTTATTTAGTCGTAGTTCATTAGTGACTTCCTAGTGGTAGTAGGATACGGGTAAGAGGGTAAATAATGCGACTTGCTAATATCACTAAAGGTATACCATCAATAGTAATTTACATTGGTACCAATACCTTTACAGTGGAGACATTACCATTAAAATTGTACCAGACTTCTGGAAGGGGCGCATTTATTAGATAAAAGGTCAACGCGGGCTCTGCCCGTAGTTTTGATGATTCATGATAACTCGACGGATCGCACGGCCTTCGTGCCGGCGACGCATCATTCAAATTTCTGCCCTATCAACTTTCGATGGTAGGATAGAGGCCTACCATGGTGGTGACGGGTGACGGAGAATTAGGGTTCGATTCAGGAGATGGAGCCTAAGAAACGGCTACCACATTCAAGGAAGGCAGCAGGCGCGCAAATTACCCAATCCTGACACGGGGTTTGTTGCATGTATTACCTTCCCGTGTCAGGATTGGGTAATTTGCGCGCCTGCTGCCTTCCTTGGATGTGGTAGCCGTTTCTCAGGCTCCATCTCCGGAATCGAACCCTAATTCTCCGTCACCCGTCACCACCATGGTAGGCCTCTATCCTACCATCGAAAGTTGATAGGGCAGAAATTTGAATGATGCGTCGCCGGCACGAAGGCCGTGCGATCCGTCGAGTTATCATGAATCATCAAAACTACGGGCAGAGCCCGCGTTGACCTTTTATCTAATAAATGCGCCCCTTCCAGAAGTCGGAAAAAATCCAAAACTACCACTGTTTAAAAAAAATTACAAAAATACTACCCACTCCAAATAATTTCCAAAAATACCATCGTTTATATAAAACCGCGCCTCCAGGAAGCGTTTTACATTATAACCGCGCCTCCAGGCAACGTTTTTAATTTCCAGAAAAAAACGCTTCTGGAAGGCGCGGTTATAGGCTAACCCTACCACAAAACGCTTCAGGAGACAGCGTTTAACTGTCGGCATTACAAACCGCCTCCCCAAGCGGCGGTTTACAATGTCAGGACATAAAGCGCTGCCCCAAGGCGCGGTTTGTGCCTGGTCACCCGACAGCCAACATGTCGGACATGTCGGCATGCAGGGGGTAGGGCTGCATGGCAGACCTAAAACCGCTCCCCCCCCCCCCCACAGCGATTTTGCTGCAAAATTTGCCTATAAAAGGCGGTTTCAGAGAACTCAATTCTTCACACCTCCTCCTCTTCCTTCTTAAAATTTCAGTTTTAAATTATTTAGTTTTTGCGATTAACGTTAGTTCGTAAGTTTGTTTCGTAATTACTTTTCATTGTCCTTTGTGATTTTATGTTAGTAACTTAATTACTTTTCATTGTCCTTTGTGATTTTTAGTAACTTAATTACTTTTCATTGTCATTTGTGATTTTATGTTAGTAACTTAATTACTTATCATTGTCCTTTGTGATTTTATGTTAGTAACTTAATTACTTTTCATTGTCATTTGTGATTTTATGTTAGTAACTTAATTACTTTTCATTGTCATTTGTGATTTTATGTTAGTAACTTAATTACTTTTCATTGCAGATGGCATTCCAAAGGTTCACGCTTGGGTTGCGGTGGAATGGTTACACGGAAGAGACCGAAAAGGGTGTAAGTTACGTCGGTGGCAATTTTTATAAAATGAAGGTCCGTACAGACCGATGCTTGAAGAGCTCCATCAAATGTGCACTCAGATTACCTGCATGGATGGCACTAGAAGAGTTGATCGAATGATGTATCGATATCCAAACAGACATGACGGGTCGCTGTGGAATGAGGAATTCCTACTTACCACTCAGGAGGACGTTGATGCCATCGTCCAATTTTTGACCACCAATAAAATTAAGCAAGCGTTACACCGAGGTCGTCGAAGGCAGTGTAGGTCATTCTGGAGATGGCCAAACATCTGGTATCCACAGTGGGAGTGTATTATACGAAGATCATCCCCACCAGGATTTCCAAGAGTCGAGCTGGAGGCAGGAGTATCATCATGGTACTGGAGGAAGTCATCAATCCTTCCCTTCATATGAAGAAGAAGCTCAACAGGCGGATTACAACCAACAAGCAGGCTACCAGTACCCACCCGAGTACAACTTCTATCAAAGCGGTGTTAGTTACCACAACTACCATTACGGAGCTAGTGAAGGTGAAGGTGCCTTTCATGCTGATAGTCAGATGGAAGAAGAGGTCAATCCAAGTCCAGTTAGTGACCCTGAGGTTGAAGAAGAGGAAGGCGAAGTTAGTGCAGACAGCGACGATCCGCTGGAAGGTGTTGATGATTCCGGTCTAGATTCAGACGCAGATGGTGATGAGGTAGCTCACGACCGTGTACCTATTCCATACTACAATCAAATTCAAAATGAAGATTGGTATGTTGATGCCGACATGGACCCGCCAGATGTGCCAGTATGGGGTCCACTAACTGGCTTTACGAAGGGCCAACAATTTGCAACGAAGAATGAGGTTCGACATACTATTTCCACTGAAGCAATGACTCGGAGTTTTGAATGGCAAACAACCCATTCCGACACAAAGAGGCTGATGGTTCGATGCAAAAATGAAAATGAGGGATGCAAAGCTAGGGTCCGGGCCATCAAGAGCAAGAGAGTCGGCCATTGGGTCATATCCCGTGCGGTGAACACACACACATGTGTGTCATCAATAACATCCCAAGGCCATCGACAGTTGAAATCAAGGGTGGTTGCCGCGGCTATCAAACATCTAATTGAGGAGCAGCCCGACCTGATGGTCAAAACCATCATCGCCCACATTTCTAGTCGTTATGGTTATATCATTAACTACAAGAAAGCGTGGCATGGGAAACAGAAAGCAATGGCTGCCGTGTTTGGTGACTGGGAAGAATCATATGCATTCCTTCCCAATTGATTTTGGCGTTGGAGGTGTCTAACCCTGGCACCATTTTCTCGCCTCGCTACCAAGATGAAGAAATTCAACCGCCGGTGCCTGGTAACAATCGCCAATTCAAGCGTCTTTTCTGGGCCTTCAAGCCATGTATTGATGGTTTTCCATACTGTGTTCTTGTGATTCAAGTTGATGGAACATTCCTTACCGGCAAGTACAAGGGTACTCTACTGATTGCCAGCGGAGCAGATGCAAATAGATTAGTATATCCATTAGCCTTTGCCATTGTGGAGGGAGAGAATACCGATAGCTATGGATGGTTCTTCAGACAAATTCAGCTCCATGTCACCAGGCGGACGAACCTGACTATCATCTCATATCGCCACGCCGGAATACGGGCTGCTATCTTAGGCTTGGATCCAGCCTGGAACTGGTCACAGAGATGGTGCATACGGCATTTCAAGAGCAACTGGAACCATCATTTCAAGCAAAAGAAGCTTGCTGACAGTATATGGTGGATCGGTAAGCGTTCTAATTAATTGTGTATCTGTAAATTTTTTCAACTGTATAACAGTATGGAGTGTTTCAATACAATACAACACTTATCTAGACTCTTTATAAAGAAATGCATGTCTAAGGAAATGGGGTCGCTCGAGGTCGTGGATTCGCTCGATGCCTGACACGCTAAAACATAACACCTAACAATGGCCAAGTGTAACCAATGAAAGGGACTGCAGTATAGTGGCACAATTAATAAATATCGAATCCACGGGTCTCTAGAGTTACTATTACTCAGCTTCAGTTCATTATCTAGCAAACTAGATTAAGGATTGATTGACTAAACTACTCTACTAACTAAACTAAGTAAAACTACTAATTACAGTTTGGGAACTCAGTTAGGTATGATTCCCCCTAGCTCCTCAATTAGGTCCAAGTTGTAATTCCTTTTGGTTGTTTTACTGTTGATTAAACTGCGGAAGATCCGACAGTAGCTTGGAATCTCTTAAGCTGACCAAGCCCTCTCAGTCTAACTATCCGGCAGACGACTAGTCTTCACCGGGATAGAAAGCTGAAGCAATAAGCACAGAACTCCACTACTGGAATTGGATTCCAGTACAAAGCAGTAAACTGGCTAACTCTCGTATAGCCAATCTCCTACTACCGAATGATGAGGCTCTAACAACCTAATCAGATTCTATCTATCTCAGGTTGCAGCAGAAATCAGGAAAAGTTGATCAGACTTCAATTGACTCAATAAACATGCATCATTCGATTATAATCAAACAATATAGCATTCAAAACTTCATACAAGAAAGATCCTAACTCATGGAACTAGGGTTCCTCAAAACCTAAGTGAAGGGAAGTTACTCCATAGAGAAGAGAGAGACTGCAGAAATCTGATCTAGATCTTCAATCTCCATCTCCAAGCTTGATTCCCGAGCTCCAATGGCGAAGAAATCCTCCAAAATAGCTCCAAGAATGTTCCCAAGTCGCTCTCTCTCTCTAGGGTTCGTCCCTTGGGTGTTTGGGAACCAAAAACCCAGCTCTCCTCTTTCCTTTGGCTGAAAATCGGGTTTTAACCAGCAATTCCCGACTCACACGGGCAGGCCGCACGACCGTGTGGCTCACCCAGTTGCCCGTGCGAGTCAAAACGCAGCGTATCACTTAGTTGAATTCCAGGCTTCTTACACGGCCAGGGTCGCACGGCCGTGCAGCTCACCTTGCACGGCCGTGCAGCTCACCTTGCACGGCCGTGCAGCTCACCTTGCACGGCCGTGTGGATTTTCTGCTCTGCCCGTGTGGCTTGCTCAGCCTCTGTTTAATGCTTCGTTTCTCCCTCGTCCGGACTCTGAATCAGTCGCCGTTTGATCCCAGACGCTCGTAGTCTCGTCCTCTTTCGTTTCATAACAAGCTTGCATGATTCTTTGTCCATAAAGTGAGGTAGAAATCCATTCTTCTTCAGGTCATGCCCGAGTTTCTTCTCTCGAATCGTCAATTGATCTCTGATTGACTTGAAACTTGCGCCTATGCTTCACTTTATGTAGGACCTGAAATGGGACAAAGGAACACAAACTAGCATAAAATAGGCCAAAGACGCAATAATTCAAGCTCAAACAATCAAGAAACAAAGGGGAAAACATGTGCAAATACCGAGTCATCAATGCCATCAACCTAAATCGAAGAAAATAACAAAGTTAGCCATTTAAAAAATAATGCACCGCATGACTAAATAAATAAAAAAATAATTACTTACCAAAGCTCCGTCCGCCGCTCCTTCGGGGGTCATGTAACGAACAGATTGTCTTCGGTAGGTTTCCAGGTATGGGTCATGGTAGCCCATCCGCCCCACATGAGATGCCGTCACAATATCCTGATCTTGCCTAACATTCCACAGGCGGATCAAGTTTTCATACTCCTCCGGCCAATTAGTAGGTCCCTGTCGACCATCTTTCCCGTGGTACCCCTTCTGACTCTCCGGGACATCCAATGGTATGCATTGCTCACGTCCAAATTGTCGTAGACATCGATCCGGCAAGTGCCACTCCACTATATGGTGGCAGATTAGTGGAACTCGGGTGCACCATTGACCGGGATGTAACGGGAATTTGTGAACGTGATGCGCAACAATCCGTTCTGGATATGGATCGAACTTGAGCTACAAAGGTTTATTAAAAAAAAACCATTAATCAACATAATAATATAACATAAAAAAGTAGGTTTTAATAGCGTATTATGATGCTCACCTCTGCTTCCCAAAGGCGATCAAGCCTCCTACGATACTCCTCCAACTTATGCGTTCCTAGGTTGTCGCATGTTTTTTCACCAAGCCACCTATTCAATCCAAATAGTATGGAGTGTTAATACATAATACCCAATTCGTTATAAAATATCCAATTAGTAAAAAATTGTGAGAACTATGAGTGGGATAGAAAATATTTACCTACAACCATAAGCTTCATGTCGTAGGGGATGGTCGGGACCCCATTTCTTGTCGGGTTCAACCTTCGGCGCAATCCATGGCAAATGCTCCCAAGCCCAAAATTGGACGATGAACATGGCCTCATCAATCTCCTTCACCGCTCTCGCACTAGCATTACATAGGGATCGGTAGAGATGAGCTAAGCAAGCAGATGCCCAGCTCAGGTTTCCCATGTCATCCCAATTACCAAGTATGATCTTCAACCATGAATTGCTGATTAGGTTGTTGGATTTCTTGGGGAAGAAAACTCCTCTGATCATCCCGAGGATGTAGATACGTGCATAAATGTCTTTATCACGCTCCGAACTTTCCTCCATGAGGGGAATGCCTCCGAACTCAGGGTTGTGCTTACGCCTGATCTCCGCTGTCAACCACGTGATGGATACTTGGCCCTTGGACAATGGTGGATGACCATCGGCATCGTGATCTCCCTTTTCTGGCGGACACAACCCGGTGACCGTCCATATAAATTGTTGCCAACCACTCATATTTGCAACAACTTTAGGTGGTGGCGTAGAGTCCACACAAACAACATCACCATCGATGGGGAGATCGGTTAGGATGGCGATGTCCTTAAGTGTGATGGTGCACTCGCCTTCACGAAAATTGAAGCAGTGTGTCTCCTTTCGCCATCTCTCTACCATCGCCGTGATGAGTTGGCGGTCGATCTTGATTCCATTGAAATGCCTAATCGAATCCAATCTTGCCCTTTTTAGAAAGGGCAAGATGACGTCGTTCCATTCAAGCACATTCGTTGTGCCCCTATAGCGGACTATATGGTATGCATCCTAGAGAAGAATTTAAATTTCACTATAAGTTGATGATTTATACATATATAAATATATTATAAGATACAATTTATATATAAATCAAGGTTGTTTTAGAGAAATATACATTATCTAATAAACATTTATTTTAACATAACTAACATAATTTTCTAAGATGCAATATTAATTAAATCAAGCGGTTTTTATAGAAATATACATTATCTAATTAAATATTAATTTAACATAACTAAATAATATTATAAGATGAAATATTAATTAAATCAAGGTTCATTTAGAGAAATATACATTATATAATAAACATTAATATTAGCATAATTAAATAATATTAAAAGATGCAATATTAATTAAAGCAAGGTTGTTTTAGAGAAATATACATTATCTAATAAATATTAATATTAACATAACTAAAGTAATATTCTAAATTTAAGTATAATTATTTTTTGTACACATACACATAAAAATCAAATATATTATTTTGTTAATCGTATTGATTATTTTCAATAATTTAAAGCAATACAAGTACACTCGTAAAACTCTTAGGAGAGGTATACATCTCCTTAGAAATACAGTCTTTTTGACAGAAAAAGGGGGGATCCGAGGATCGCTTAGAACCCGATTTTCTCAGGTCATGGGGGGATCATGATGATCGCTTAAGTCCCCATTTCCTTAGACATGCATTTCTTTATAAAGAGTCTCAATAAGTGTTGTATTGTATTGATTTAAATTATTGAAAATAATCAATACGATTAACAATTAAGTAAATTATTGTACAAACAAATAAATTACTTTAACAAAATACAAATTACAAGTGATGATAAATAATATGTACCTTGTGGTCGTTCCAAACGTCTCTTGAACAATGATTTGCTTGATCGTATAAAACTGTCGGATCAATCGGTCCTTGATCAACATAATATCGTTGATTGAAAATATCAACATCCGGCCCAACCTACGAATAGCATAACAATAACATAAATCATTAGTATATAAATTAAATAAATCATTATAACAACAACAACAACAATTGGGAAAAATGAGTACGTACCGTTTGATAATCATCATAAAAAAGGCCCTCTTCTTGAGCGAAATCGGCCATTCTAAGGTTTTTTAGTGAAAACCGAAGAAAAAGTTTTTTGGAGGCAGATCGGACTTAGCCGCAACCAACAAAAAAACTAATTCTAAGGTTTTTGGGTGGGGAGGGGGGTGGGTAGAGAGAAGTTAGAGGGAGAGAGGGGGGAGTGTGGTTGGTGTGCAGAAAACTGAAGGGGAGGGGAGGTTTATATAGCTGCCAAACCGCGTGGGGGAGGGTCGGTGCAGTAATTTCTCCCCACCAAAAACCGCGCCTCCAGCACGCGGTTTGCGTTTCCCAACGGTCAAACCGCGCCTCGGGGGAGCGGTTTTCGTGGGCGACGCGGATCGCTGAGTTGGCACGCGTTTTAGCCGTCAGATCGCTCCTCCGACGGGCGGATTGATGCACCGCCACGTGGCAACGCAGTTTGACAGCCATGCAAGGTCAAATCGCGCGTTGGAGGCGCGTTTTGCTCTATAACCGCCGCCTGGAGACGCGGTTTCATTAAAAACCGCTCATTAAATGCGCGGTTTTATATAAATGATGGTATTTTTGGAAATTATTTGGAGTGGGTGGTATTTTTGTAATTTTTTTTTAAACAGTGGTAGTTTTGGATTTTTTCCCCAGAAGTCGGGGTTTGTTACATCGGTATTAGTAATGGTACCTGTACCACCAATTTGGTACCAATCTTCAGTAATTGTTACCAATACCATTAATTTGGTACCATTCTTATTAATGTAACTAGTACCACTGATCAAGTACCAGTCTTAGTAATGGTTACACGTAGCATTAATTGGTACCAGTTTTATTAATGGTACGAGTACTACTGATTTGGTACCAGTCTTATTAATGGTTATCAGTGGCATGAATTTGGCATCAATACTATTGATTTGTTAATAGTATCATTGATTTGGTACTAGTGAAGAGATATTTCTATAGGCAGTGGAGAAGGTACTGAATTTTCACAATCAAACACCAAACCAATTGTTCCAATGTAAGCAACAGTACTTTACCCAAGATCAAATTAAAGACAAGAAATACCCATCAACTTCTTCATACTTGGAAACGTACATGAAGTAATTATGCTACTCTTTAAATCCAACACACAACCTAGCCCAACCTAGCCCAACCTTCTTCTCATCCGAAATACCGGCCTCCATAATCTCGATGATTGAAGTAGGACTGCACTTCTTCTTGAAGGTGCTTTGACTTGACGCTACAGTCTGTTGCTTCTTCTTCTTGTTGCGACTCTTTGTTTCCTCATCACGTGGTCGTTTTTTACTAGGCCCAACACTCGAATCACTTGAGTCCCCCAAGCGTATTGCTACCTGTCGAGATGCACAACCATCAGGTTGTGTGTTATCCCGGATGATATAGCTGAGATCTTTGTTCTGCCATTCCTGCAACAACAACAAAAAATGCTTGGTACGAATTTTTACTCAAAACTTCAAGAGGGTTATCTTGTCACAGAGATCCACACTTCTAATATGATATCACTACACAAGTACTGCTACTACTACTACTAGCAATGTAGAATGTTACTGTACAATACTACTACTAACAATCTAGAATGTTATTGGTACCAATCAGTATGTAATGGTTACTCTTCAGTGGTACTACTACAAATCAATTGGTACCAGTCCCACTACAGATAGAACAAGTTGTGTCATTCCATTAAACTACCACTATTAGCATACCACTGTCATTGGTACCAGTAACACAATTACCATTACAACGGATACCAATAGAAAACTACCATTCAATCATACCGAAACGAATACAACGGTACCTGAAGCCCCCATAAGTGGTACTTGTACCAATAAGTGTGTACTTTTATCAATTCATTGTTACCGGTACAAATCAATTGGTATTACTATCACTACATCTAGAACAAGTTATACCATTCCATTAAACCACCACTATTAGCATATCAATGTTATGGGTACCAGTAACACAACTACCACTAGCACTATACGAATTTAAGACTACCAATGGATCATACCAACACCAAACAAACACACCACACAAGAAAGACAGGCCTGCATGTGGCTTATTCCAACGTTGCATTCGGAAAACAAAAGCAGTAGTGTAAAGAAACCTCACCGACGATTGTTTGCACGACCGCAGAAACGAACGACGGCGAAAAGATGTTCGCCTATGCACTTAACCAAAAGGAGAAAAAAACTAGTTAGGATAACCAGAAGTGAATAGAAAAAGATGAAGAAGTGGAGAGGAGCGATAGAGCCGACGAATCGGGGCGGGAAAGCAAGCATAAAAGGAGACTAAATGAAAATCACATAGTAAAAGTTTTGATTTTACCTGAATTACCTATGCTCTGAAAAGTTTTGACAGTTGATACACAGTCGTTATTCATCAGCAGAAAATGCATTTTTCTGGTGAAGTTCTGGGTACGCGCTCTATATTCATGTACTTCTCCTAGACTGTTCTATTAATGAGGAAAGATCAGACAATTGTTGATCTTTTTTTCTCTCCCCTTCAGCTTCTTCTCGTGGATCTGGAAAACTCCCTCAGCTAAATGCCATCAACTCCAAGATGGGATGTTGCAAATGGTGCTGGTGTCATAGTAAGTGTGGTGAGGAAGTTGCTCAATACGAGACTGTAACATTACCTGTCCTGCAGCTTCTGTCCCTGCTCTCTTACTCCCTCCTCCAACTTCAGCTTTGGATGAGCACTTGGTTGCTGGGTTGTTTCACAGGTGGTGAATTTAGTGATCACATTGTTCATTTAGTTTCAGGAAACTTACTTGTTCCTGCACCTTCACATTGATTACATAATGCGTTACTCTTGCTTGGATTGGATATTATGCTATTGAGACTCTCAGTTCAGCACAAATAATGCTTCTTGGACTTTTAGAAGCACCTTCATCATGGACTCCTGTTACACTCCATGCTGCAGTGCAGCTCGTGGAAGTCCTCTGAGCGTCCGAAGATTATGCAACTGGCATCCTAGTGCGTCATCATTATACATTGCAAACTATTCATTTCCCAGATGAAAACACGCCTTACTCAAATGTCAGATGCTCTTGGGCTACGGACAATCGGACATTATCAATTTGCTAATGAACCTTGGATCTCATATTTGTTTTATTTTTTCACAACATCTTGGAAATGCGGCTTCCCAGAAAACTGGATGCATTTGCATTTCTTACGTGCAATAGGGGCTGCATGTCGACGTGACCTGGTGTTGCTTGCCGATGCTGCGGCTACCATACTCTTCCGTATACCATTGATCTTCCCGCCTCTGAGGCAAGTCAATTGGATTTTAGTTCAGCATGAACCTTTTGGTGAATACATCTCAACAAACCGAAAGCAGAAAAAATGTGAGCATCAGGCTGTTGTTTCTTTCAATTGTAATAGCCTTATTGAACATGACCTTGACCTGCAAAAATTAATCCATGACCAAATAGTAGTGCCAGCAGCCAAAGCAACAATCGAAGCTACCGCCCTGGTGATCGCATTCGCATACATGCTGTGTGCACATGGTCCTGAAGTAGAGTGGAGAATCTGCACATGAATATTGTTACTGAAAGGAAAATATCTGAAGATGTTTGACCAACTTTACATCCTCATGTTGCTCATATCCATCTGGTGTAATGTTTGAGCTTTCTCCAACCTTCCTATGAACGCAAACCTCCAGGCTTGCCATCAAAACGCTTCTTGCAGTGTACTTGTGCACTGACCCTCGTCCATTCTAATTGTTGCAAAATGCTTCCAAATCTTTACTTAGTTCAGGAGATAAATCGATCACCGACCATATTTTATAACCTAAATTCAAAAAAAGTAAAAGATCATATAAAAGACAAACCCATATTGTATTTCCAAACGGATGAATTATCATTGCAGAGGGAACAACAACTAAGGTCTTCAGTAAGGACAGAGTAGCAGCACAAAGGGGGGATTACTTTCCTGCTGGATGAACTTTCTCTTGCTGATATCGTTTTTGAGTGAAATTAACAACTGAAACAGTATATTTATATTGAACTCAAACAATGAATGGCATTCCAATTGAAAAGAGAAAGAATAACATTGGATTAAAGAATCTGGACCTCACAATAAACAAAGGGAATCTGGACGCTTGAGTCTCTGGGACTAGAAGTGAAAGACACATTCGTAGGAAGAAATAGTTTGAGTGAAATTAACAACTGAAACAGTATATTTATATTGAACTCAAACAATGAATGGCATTCCAATTGAAAAGTGAAAGAATAACATTGGATTAAAGAATCTGGACCTCACAATAAACAAAGGGAATCTGGACGCTTGAGTCTCTGGGACTAGAAGTGAAAGACACATTCGTAGGAAGAAATAAATCGGAAAAACAATCAACAGTAGCACATAAGATAGTACTAATCATAACAACAACACAAAGCTTGCTATGCACGAAAGGAGAAATTTTTTGCAGTGGATAACCTGCTTACCGATATCGATGATCTCTCATCTTTACCATCCATAATAAGAATCGCATCCATAATAAGAATCGCCATAGGTATCCATCGCTGTAATCCAACAAAAAATAAGAATACAAATGAGTAGTGTGGAGGAGAGAATGAACCTACGCACAACAACAATCTACCATCATCAGTATTATATCATCCCAAAACTCCGAGTTAAAAATGAGAGAATGATAGAGGGTAGAAGTAGAACCTATGTAAGACGTTGGAGTGAATGCTGTGTAACCATAGCCATAGAAATCATCTGGAAAATCATCTAAGACTTCAACCTTGGATAAGATTACAAAGTCATAGGGGGGGCTTGAGCCACCAGTAGCACTGCTGCAGTCACCATTGTCGATCAATTTGAACTTGCAAGCCTTGAAGAAATCAAATTCTGGATCACTACGAGATCTATACCACACAAACATGCAATACACACCAGAGTTTGCATCATCATCCTCGTCGTATCCAAAAGGAACAACCACAGCATTCTCGAAGAATTTATCGTTTTGTGCAGTACCAACAAGCTCAGATACAGTATCCAGCTCCTGTTGCATGCCCATGAGGTTCTTCACAACAAGGCTAGGATTACAGTCGGGTCTTCTCTCTTTCACAACAAAATATTTACCACCATGGATAGCTCTTGAGCAGAGCGAATTACGATAGATACTCTCCCTGTACATCACCCACATTAAGGGTGAATCATAAAAGTAGGGGTGCCACTGTAGCTTGTCCATGTCAAGACCATACAAAACGGTTCCACCACAATTATTCCCCACAAGAACATACAATACATTCCCCGAAACAACATGACCTAAGAAAGTAGGACGGAAAGGCTCACCATCCTCGTCTTTCCAGGTCCAAAAAGGGGTTTCAACAGTCACAACACTGAGATCTTTGAGATTCAAAACCTCGCAAGAAGCAGGACACTGATCCTCTCTGTCAGGACGATTGAGGGGACAATAAGTCCGCTCCAGCATGATAATCTTCTCTTTGTAGGCCACATTAATGCACAGTTGCTTCGGCCCCTTCAGCTTGTTTGGATGTACTTCAAATACGAGCGATTTAAAGTTTTCGGGATTCATTGTCAGATCGCACACATATAAATCTCGCGGATACTCAAGAACACCACCTGTAGATGGGCGCCTACCAGCTTCACCACCAAAAGCATATAGCTTCGTTCCTACCACTGCATAACCCATAGAACAAGGGAATTTTTCCCCCTCGTAAAAGGAACTGCTACCAGCTGTCACGTTGACGGTGGTTGTGCGGATCTTCCCGGACCTGTCAGGCGTACCCATCAGAACCACACGCAGCTCCTTTGCTGAAGTACCAACGATTCCGAATTCCCACCACCGCCGCCGCGGCTTCTTACCCTCCGGTGAGCTGCTCGAATCATCGGACATCCTAATGAACCCAAACCAACCAATCGGCCAAGGAGGAGGAGGAGGTTATACTTGTCTGCGCTTTCCCCGTCTTGCCGGCTTGTCACCGATTGATGAGACAAATAGAGGAATCGTCTGGCTGATGAAAAAAGGAGAGGGAATGGTGGCGGGGGTGAGGAAGTCGCTCGATTAGGGTTTTGCCAATGCCTAATTGCCTGGGCCTCTTAAATTTATAGTACCAGGATGCCTATTGCCTGATCAACAAATGGACCCCTGAATTATTAGGATTTCCCAATTAGGCCCCCAAACAAAACCATTATTATTATTATTATTATTATTATTATTATTATTATTATTATTATTATTATTATTATTATCCTATAGTGGAAAACAGAATATTATTATTATTATTATTATTATTCTGAAACTGAAGAGTTTTACATAGACACATAACTTGCAAGAAAAGGAATTAGTATGTCTCTGCTGTGAATATGATGTTTATGAATGAGTTTTTTTCAGTAGGTTTCATGTAAGTTGACAGTAAATAAATTTGAATTTCCCTATTGAAAATAAATTTGAATTATGTTATTTCAGCCAATAAACTAATTTGTTGTTTATTTTTAATAAAATACCTCGTTTTCCATATCTGCCATCCTTGCTTCAAGTTCTTCCAGGGTCAGCCGTGGTGGCTCCTCTTGGTCAGCAATATTATATTGATTGGGAGGCTGAACTGCTACTTCCATGACATTAGGTGGGTTATTATCTGGCAAGATCTCTGGAATATTGAGGTTGCCGTAGATTCTGGTGGCTGTAGTTGTTGACAAAAATTTGTAACCTGCAAGATGTAATATTATGATTAATATAAATTTGTTAGTGCTGAATTTGTATGCTTAATTGTTACCTTTATATTCTTTAACTACGATGGAAGTGATGATCAATAGTATTGCTTCATTTGCATTTGCAGCAATGATGTTGTTAAATTGCTCTATAATTTCACCACGTAATGTGACTTGAACCCTTTCTTCCCTGCATGTATTTTGAGTGGGGTTCATATGAAAGTAAGTACTTTGTTAACAGTCTGAAATGATTAAATCTATTGAATCAACATGAAATTGATAGGTTTGATTATATTACCCTGGGAGGCTAATTTGAAGTTCTTTTCTGACTGTTTGTGTTGTTCCATTGGAATGGCTTGCGGTTGTCGAGTACTCTCGAAGGCGGCCAAAGACATCTGCAATTCATAGTTGGAAGAAATTACTTACGTTTTTTCACCCAATATGATAAATTGAATGTTGAGTTTATTACCACTAAGAATATTGATCTCGTTGCATTTGTTGTCGAAGTCAGCAGACTTGAGGAAGCGAAATTTGTAGCGGGGCATTTCTTCAGTCTGTGTTGTCGGATGTATCATTGTGTGTGTGGTAAAGTGAATTGTCAGCGGGTTGTCAGTTGGCTGGTACGGTCCCAGTATTCCCAACAACGCCGAGGCTCCTCAATAGTTCTTCCCATTTCTTTGCTAGCCCCTGCATCCCATCTTTCATGTCACCTTCCCTCGACATATTACAACGAGTATTCAGTAAAATCAGTTGGATGTTTAATGCACTACCTTCCACGAGAGATCTTAAGCCATGCAGTTCTGGATCATTTCAGACAGTGCAGGAGTCCCATAGGTTGCAACTGCCTTCTCGACTCCTCTAGCCACCGCCGCTCACATCCACTGGATCAACTTCATCGCACTGCAGCAACATTTTCGTACATTTTTGGGAATGACATATGAAATGGAACGAGTCCAACGGGTCAACCTGATAACCCATCCAACCCGACCCAGAAACTCACAGGTTAATCGGATTCAAGTCATTCGAGCTATGAAAATTCTATTCAACCATTGCATTTCGGGTAAAATTTTTTAAAATCACAATAATTATCGAAAAAACCCCATAATTTGCTAGGCAAATACATCGACGTCGCTTATTTAGGACTTAACCGTTAATTTTTATAAGCGAGATGAAATCTCTTTTAGAGCATCCACATTGGTATTGCATTCTCAATTGCAAAATGACATGACATAGGTGTTTGCAATTGCAAAACCAATTGCATTGATGTGGCTACCAATTGCATATTTGCAAACTTGCAACAAATGCAATTCCATATGCAAGTCAAAAAAGCCTAAAAAATGGAGATTTTTTATTTTATATTATTTTCTTTTCTCTTTTACTTAATTTCATATAATTTAAACATAATATTTAATTACATTTGCAATTGCAAGTTAATTGCATTGATGTAGGTGAATGAAATGAATGTGATGTGGATTGCAAAAAAATTAAGTTAAAAATAAAAAACACAAATACAATTTCTTTTGCAATTGCATTGATGGAGATGTTATGTATCCGTCGTTAACGAACTGCGAAATGTGCGGAGAAGTGGGAACGAAGGCTCCGCCGCCGTAACCGCCCCGCCGGTCCGACTATAGTGTTGTTTACTGCTTCTACTGATCGGCGGAGCAAAACCGCCCCCAAAGCGAGTCCGCGAGTCCAAACAGTTTCCTCTCCGGGTCTTCTCTCTCTCTCTCTCTCTGTCATCATTCCTTTCCTTAAATTACTGCTTCCCTTCCCATTCCGCGCTGACCATCTTTCTTCTCCCATCGCCATTCCAATTTTGAAGCAGATCTCTCTCTCGTCTCTTCTGCCGCCTACCTCAACTGCATCAATGGATCTCTCAATTGCGTTGCCATTCCCCTCCATTACCACCAAACCCTTTCCTTCCCATCTTCTTCTTTCCCGCCCTCTCTTCCCCAGCTCTTCGCCCGGAAGATCCTTGCTCTCTACTCGAAACCCCTCTTCTTCCCGCCACAATCACCGCACTCCTCGACAACGACTCCGCCGCCGCGCTTCCGCCGTCGATGACGACGATGGCGGCTTCGTCCTCGAAGATGTCCCTCACCTGTCCGATTTCCTCCCCAATCTCCCCGTATTGATTCTCCTCCCTCTTCTCTTCTTTCTCGTCCTCCTTTTGGTTCAAGATAGTGATCTCTGGTTCCCCCTTTCCTTTCTTCAGCTGTATCCCAATCCTTTGGAGAAGAGCCAAGCTTATGCCATTGTCAAGTATGTAGTCTCTCTACTTTTCCTTTCTCATTTTCACAGCCTGAGCTTCTTTGTTTGTGATCAATTTTTACTTCCCGTAGGCAAACCTTCGTCGGCCAGGAAGATGCGGTGGCGCAGCAGGTATGCTATCTTGTACATTTCATTCCCGCGTCTCCGCCTAAAATGTGTTAGTTACCGTCTTTTTGGTGCTCCCAGGTCGTTGTTCATAAAGGCAGCCCCCGAGGAGTACACTTCCGGCGAGCCGGCCCTCGAGAAAAGGTTCTTATCCTACTCTGGCTTTATCTTTTCCCACTTTCCCCCCCCCCCCCCCCCCCCCCGGCGACGATGAATGAACAAGAAATCAAGAGAATGATCAATTGAGTATTTCTTAGGTGTACTTTAAGCCTGACGAGGTTCGGGCTTGCGTAGTCACATGTGGAGGGTTGTGCCCAGGGATCAATACAGTCATCCGGGAGATAGTTTGTGGGTTGAACTACATGTATGGTGTGGATGACATTCTTGGTATCGTGGTGAGTGAGCTCTTTTTGAGTATCAGAGTTTCCCTCTTGTTTCTTTCCTTTTCTCTGGGAAAATTTGATTGGTGTGATTTGCAGGGAGGGTATAGAGGCTTCTACTCTAAGAACACTGTGAAGCTGACCCCTAAAGTTGTGAACGATATCCATAAACGTGGCGGCACTACCCTTTTGACATCTAGGGGAGGTCATGATACGGTTAAGATAGTTGACAGCATTCAGGACAGGGGAATTAATCAGGTCAGTTGTTGATCTTTTCTGTATGATAAAGCACACTCACACACACACAACGGGCACGAGAATACTAGGCCAGGACGTAGAAAGAGTGGCGAGTTTAAAGTTTTGACATTTCTTTGATCTTAGGTGTACATAATTGGAGGTGATGGGACCCAGAAAGGAGCAGCTCTAATTCATGAGGTTGGTGTAGACTCTTTGAAGTGTTTCGTTTGTTTGTTAGCATGGTGAAGTTTTGCAGTTTTGACAGTGTGCCACACTTTCCATTTCCTTGTGCTGACTTGCCTTTGTGATGGTACTAAAGGAAGTTGAGAAACGTGGTATGAAAGTAGCAGTTGCTGGGATTCCCAAGACCATTGACAATGACATAGCTGTAAGTTCTGTAAACCTGCGTTTGGATTTAATTATACTTGAAAGCCAATTTCATATGTTTGGTGCTATACTTCCCTAGTCACATTAGTCGTCCTGGGATACATATCCATGCCAGTAAATGAATACAAAATGTGTAATAGTGGATCAGGTGAAAGAATTTTTACAATGGATCGAGTTTGAGCAGAATTTTGACTCTGAGGACCGTTAGAATGTTTGTGTTAGAACCTCGGCACACTGTTATAATAACCGAAACTGTGTTCTTGGAAGTAGACTGAGCACTGGAAGGATGATGATTCTGTCTGTTTAATTGTCTGCCTCGTGTCCAAAATATTTTTAAACTACATTGAGAACTTGGAATGTAATGGCTAATTATATTTTCTGCACATAGTATCAAAGTATTTAGGCGGGTTCCATTTTTGTATGATTGTGACAGCCATGAACGTCTATATCTTGGTTCTCTGGGGAAATACTTAATATGTCTTTCACTTATACTACTGAATGTCAAGTTTGAGTAATAGTTGAAGAGTGATGAAATTGAGAGTTTTGCATTTACGTTTGCTTGGAGACAGATGAATCTTAGATATTTTTTTTTTCTTTGCTTTGAAGAGGAACCTGTTAGACATTGTCAAGCAATGAGTTCCAACAAAAATATGATGTTTTTCAATGCTCATTTTAGGTGATAGACAAATCGTTTGGGTTTGATACTGCTGTTGAAGAAGCTCAGAGAGCAATTAATGCTGCGTATGTAGAGGTTGAGTGTGTGGAAAACGGAGTTGGAGTAGTCAAGCTGATGGGACGATATAGTGGCGAGTTCTCAACATTTGACTATAGGCTTTTTAAACTGTAATATCATCACACAAGTCTGTCTAATGTTTCCCCCCGTTTCTTTCCTTTGCACTTTTGTTGTTCATTTATGCAGGATTCATTGCTATGCATACAACTTTGGCCAGTCGAGATGTGGTGAGAACTTAGTTTCTTTATGTTTGATTCTAATTTATGGTCTTATAAAGTTCTGTGTATAACTTCAGTGTCTGATTTTATACTTTTGTGTATATATCATCACGAAGCAAATGTGTTGCCAAAGGGAGCGGAGCCTGACCCTATGCCTGTTCCTGGTGTTTGGTGAATGCTCCAGGATTGTTGCTTGATTCCAGAATCTCCATTTTATCTGGAAGGTCAAGGCGGGCTGTTCCAATTCATTGAAAGCCGGATGAAAGAAAATGGGCATGTGGTTATTGTGATAGCTGAAGGAGCAGGGCAGGAATTTGTTGCTCAGAGCATCCATGACGTCAATCAGAAAGATGCATCAGGAAACAGGCTACTTCTTGATGTTGGTCTCTGGTTGTCTCATAAGATTAAGGTTTGGAGCACAAGCTTTATCTCCTTTATTGCAGGTCTTTCCTAATATTTGTGGTTTCCTTAACTGTTCGTTTGGTTGGCGTTAGTTGCCTTCTTATTGTCTTAAAGACTTGTGATAATCCAATGGCAGGATCACTTCACACAAGTTCGGGAGATGGATGTAAATATGAAATACATAGGTACGCTTCGATTACAGTGGATTAATGTTTGTCGCACATGAATACTTACCAAGTCCCGAATCATGATATTGTTTTGTGAACTGATATATGGTAGCAATTTATGCAAACTTCAATTCTTGAAACACCCTTGCTAATATCTTTTAGAAGGATAATCTCACTCTTCTCCCATAATCACTCTATCGGTCATTGATTGAAGCCATATGAATAAATAAACCTAATTGTAGATAAGTCTACATACAAAGCATCCTCAAAACCTTATTGGGTAGTTACGCTATTCCAAGTCTCTGTTAAGCTTTTCACCTTGTTTTTGTCCTGTCATGCAAAAAGAGGAGGTTTATCCCATTTATCTACCTGTTGTGATGATATAGATCCAACATACATGATACGGGCTATTCCAAGTAACGCATCAGACAACATATACTGCACTCTTCTCGCACAAAGTGCCGTACATGGGGCGATGGCTGGGTACACAGGCTTCACAGTTGGACCAGTTAATGGCAAACACGCCTACATACCCATTGCTGTAAGTAACTCCCTCTCGTGCGCTTTTGCTGGCAAAGAAAATCTTAGACTATGACATGGGAGACTGTTTCGCTGCTGTTAATAAAAGTCTGTTGAGATAAATATTGTGATAATCAGTACTGAGTGTGTGATTATGGTGGATGGATTGCAGCGGGTCACAGAGACACAGAACACAGTGAGATTGACGGACAGGATGTGGGCTAGGCTTCTTTCCTCAACAAACCAGCCAAGTTTCTTGAATTCCTGTGATGATATTTTGTTGCAACAAGAAAGAGTCGACAGAGACACGGTCGATATGATTCACAAAATGAAGATTACTTCCACATAGACACCACCATTCAATTGCTGGCTCTAAAGCTCAACACGGAGAAGCGCATCGGGCGTGGCATGTATCAGCAGCACAACAATCGCAAGCTAGCTTCCATGATGTCGGAGGAAGGTACAATGTGTTTGCATGCTGAGTTGAATATCATTTTGTTGTATGTGTAGGATGAAAGACTGTTGTGCTTGGTTGAGTTGAAGTGTAAACAAGAGTATAGATAGGCGGGGGAAACAATAATGAAGAAAACAGAGTAGCAACTTGATTTCGACTTTGCAGATAATACCAAATGATAGGTTTTTTGTCTGTCTGTCTGTCTGTTCCATCCATCATTCCAACCACAAGTGGCAGTGGGTTGGTTCTTCCTTCCTAGTAGCTATCTGGCACACCATGCACGTCGGCTGCGCGCAAGTTGCAGACGTAGGCATTGGTTATCTTTCTATCTGTTCTAATCTGTCCACCGTAATTGCCACTTGCTGCTTTCTGTTGCTAGCTTAGGTAGAACTTGAGAGCAGTCCGTCGGTTTCATTACAAGTTGGGTCGTGTAGGGTAGCTCCTTGAGAGCGCGATGGCTTTAGGGATGGATAGTATTTTGCAGTTGCTGCTCGGAGTTTATCCGGATCTGCGATTCCTGGAACTACAAGCAAGCAAGCAAGTGGGCTTTGATTGCATTGGCAAGTTGCTGGATTGGATGGATTGACTCCGACGGTGACTCTGACTCTAGTTTCACTCGGTGATTTGTCGAGCTCAACTCGTAAGCCAGGTCGTTTAGGACTATTAGCTGACTCGATACCATGGCTAGCTAGCAAGCCACCTCAACTAACAACGTGTGAGCGAATCGGTTATTAACTTTTCATTGGCTTGTTGATAACTCATAAGTTTGCTAAATTGTAAATCTCATCACATGATGTTTAAGAATTTGAGTACGTAATCAGATTTGCCTAATTTATACTTGAAAGAGAGATTGTGTACGTAAATAATTACTTTAATATTAAATTACATGATATGACCCGTTAAGAATATGATATCTTAGTCCGAGCACATCTTGTGAAATATAATATATCATTAATGAGTCAACCTCGAGGAGAGCTCGAGTCAAACACAAATCAATATATTAGTAAACAAGTCGAGCTAGTTTCATTTTTAACTAACTCGGACTCAATTCAATTCATTTGAAGCCATGTGCAGGAATAGTTAAAAATCAAACTAGCTTTGTACAAGTGTATGATCTTATTTTATTTGTCTTCGATTAGTATAGTGGATATAGCAAAGCTATTTCATTCCTTGTGATAGGGTTGCAAATGAACTGAACATAATAATTGAGTTTTCACCTAATTTGAGCTCGACTAGTTAGTAAACAAGTCAAATTCGAGCTCGGCTTGTTTACGAAAATATTGGGTTGCAAATGAACTTAATGATCATTATTGATATTAATTTTTTTAGTGACTAAACATGATACATTTTAGTAAACCCAATGACCAAACATGGCATTAGCTCGATATATAGAGCTTGTACTTATTAGTACTATAGTAAATAAATAAATAAATAGTTCACTGACATTAATTACTTCGTAATGTTACAATCCTCCAACTTTAGACCCCTCCCTTCTAATACTACCAATACCATTCCCTTCTTCACTACCGGGTCGTTTGGATCCATCATTTTGGTTCTATGGTATTTCGTATCCAAATGATGCATTATTTTGCTATGTGGCATTTCATGTGGTATTTCATTTCGAAATGTGGTAATTAGTGTAATTGTCTTGTTTGGATAAAATATTCAAATATTGTGGTATTTCACCACTTAAAGAAGAGATGAAGTGGAAAAAGAAGTTATGAGATGAGGTATTTGAAATAACTAGGGGTGGATAGGTATTTCAAATAACTCACAATGAGTTATTTCAATTGACTCATAGACAAAATACCACATTCTACTTTATTTTTGCCAAACAAGTTATTTTGATTATCTCATCAAAATACTGCATCCAAACAACCCGTACAATTACAAGATTCATTGATTAACTTAATCTACAATCTATGCAATAACTAGACTCCCTGCCACCTATATCTCTAAGTGGGCCCCGGCTGCTGGACCCTAAGGGTTTACTCTAAAATCACAGGCCCAAGCCCAGGGCCCACATCTAGGTCGCCTTCCCACTCCGTTTTCTTCATCTTCATCCTCCTCCGTCGCCGGGCAGTGCAGGCCGGCGCGTCGGACTTCCCTGCTTCCAACGGGAAATTCAGGATCGCTTTCCTGCCCCTCATTCGAAAAGCGGCGAAGTCATACGCTTTCGCGGCATCCACGTCGCTGTCGAAAGTCCCCAGCCACACCCGGCTGCCCTTCTGGGTCGGGTCGCGGATCTCCGCCGCGAATTTACCCCACGGCCTCTTCCTCACGCCCCTGAAATTATCCCTCCCGTTTTCTTCCACCTGCCTCCTCTGTGACGACGACCCACTGCTGGAACCCGAAGCGGCAGACTTGGGCGAGTCCCGGTCCGGGTCGGATTCGGGGGAATTGGAGTCGGAGCCCCGAACAGGGGATCCAGATTCTTCTTGTTCCAGTTTTACGGGCAGGGGAAGCAGCAAATCGTGGGAGGCGGAGGATATTTTGGAGTTCAGATTGGTGATGAAGATGTCGGTGTCGGTGGAGGAGAAATTGTCTTCCAGCAGGTGCTGCCGAATGAGCTCCAGAGCTTCTTTGTATTCCTCTGGCGTTGCCATTGTTGTTAGACTACCGATCGAGGCAGAGAGAAACAGAGAAAAAGGATGGATTAATGGGTAGTGAGTGATTTCAGCTCAAACTATTTAAAGGGGAGGAGGAATGCAGTTAAGCAATCCAATCAATATGGTTTCTATCAGAAGAATAAGAAGAAAAGGATGAAATTTGAATACATAGCAGTCTCAGTTTTGTCTTCTGTCAGCCATCGGCCAGCGCACGGTTTCAACTCAGAGAGCGCAACTTGGCCTTCTGGCGGGATTTGGAATATGGAACTGGATATGATTAATGCCCTTTTATCCATAAACAAGTGGACTTGCCATTTGAAACAAGTATACAACAAGAAAGGTCGATCCCCGCGAAGGGTTTGAATACTAGTAATTAGCTTTACTTCTGTTATCTAATCGATTCTTTTAGCAGGTGTAACTGAACTACAACGCTGTAAATAAGAAAGGAAAGGTTGAGTATAACACAATTTTAGTTTAAGGTGAGAAAGTTCAAGTAGAGAAGGTGTTGTTTGGACTCGGATCTCATTAGCTAGTTGTCATGTGCATTGACCAAACACAAGTTAGAGTTGATGCTCTTTCATTGACTATATGAATTTCTAGTTTTAGTGTTAACCCGATATTCTCGTGTATTAACACGCGATTAATCAATTAACTCATACTTAATAGGGGTTGATTTCATAGGAAAAACCTGCTTAATGTGGATCGTCACTTTCAAGACGAGCCACAAAAGGTCTCTACTGTTATGAGTCATCTTTGTGTGAGGTAATCAGACCCTTAAGTAAGTGTTACTCTACTTTATCCAGATTATTTATTATTGATAAAATGAGAGAACATAATCATCTCGGCCTAATTATTTCTCTCGTGAAGAGACAAAAGTTTGTTAATGTAGGTAAAACGAGGATTATGGAACCAAATTTTAGTAATTTTTTAGGGTGTCAGAATCAAGGAGGGAGCAAAATTTCAATAGATAAACAGAAAACATGCATAGTCATCCATATAGTAATGATATAACAAAAGAGAGGCAAATTGAACTCATGAAATGAATCAAATAAAGGAACAAATACAATCTGAAAGCATCGATATTACTCCTAATTATTATTATTTTTTTGTTTTGTTTTGTTTTACTATTTTTATAAGTTTTTTTTTTTTGTGTGTTTTATTTATGTACATATCAAGCAGCATCATCCCACCAAAGCTCTACACGTGTTTGTTTCGAGGCCGGCACCGGATGATTCGACGGTAAGATTAAGCCCAATTGGTCTTGGGCCGAAAGCCCGAAACTAATTTTTCCCATCGCTTCACACCGCCATCAGCCGTGAAAACGGATAGGGAGATAACGGCGACAACGGCGGGACGCTGAATATCCCCTTGACTTCGCCGTCCCAGATCTCATTCCAGCTCGACGGCGTCAACGGCACCGGTTCCCCCGTACCCTGCCCCGCCGCCGGCGACGAGCGTTTCTCCTCCTTCACCGCCTTCAAACTCTCCTCACCACCGCCACCACCACCCTCGATTTCCCCAATCTTCCTCTTCCTACTCCCACTCAATTCCCCTGAATCGGGGGGAATCGAACCGGCCGGAGAGTCCGAATTCCTGCTTGCGTCGAGCGGGAAATTGAGGATCGCCCTGCTGCCACGGAGGCGGAAGGCGGCGCTGTCGTACGCCTTGGCGGCCTCCACGGCGGAATCGAATGTCCCCAGCCAGACCCTGACCCCCTTTTTGGTGGGATCTCGAATCTCCGCCGCGTACTTCCCCCAGGGCCTCCGGCGAACCCCTCTGTAGTGCTTCTCGTCGTCGTCCACAGAGGAAGAAGAATTGGAGACACCCAATTCAAGCTGAGATGGTGGTTTGGAGATGGTGGTGGTTGGGATGGTGATTTTGGACATGGGTGGCTTCCTCTTGCTCAAAGTACTTCCGCTGCCGCCGCTGGAAGACGGAGAATGAGAAAAGGCCTCTGTTTTGACAGTGGTGTTGAAGGGGGTTTGTTGGAGGTGGGAGATGAAGGAATCCATGGAAGGGAAGTCGGTGAGGAGGTGTTGCCTGATGAAATCAAGAGTCGAAGCTTCTTCTTGGTGTGGAAACGCCATCTTGATTTGGAATTTTTGTTTTCTCTCTTTCTCTGCTGCTGCTGCTGCTGCTGCTTTTGCTTTCTGATGATGGTTTTTTCAACGGAGGTAAGAAACTATCAAGTCCGTGAAGGGAGAAGGATGATGGAGTGGAAATGGAAGTGTTGAAAGTTTATATAAAGGGAGGGCGGAGAAAGAAGAAGTCTTGGGGGGATGGATTGGAGGATGGTTCCATGGCAGCTTCTGTTGTGAGTGGGTGGGAGGAAGGATCATTATTGCTTTCTTGCTTCCGTTACCCTGCCTGGACAAGTGGGGGTATTTTTTTTCTGAAGTAAAGAGGCCTTTGTGGATAAGATGGAAATTGATGTGGTATTGGAATTCAAATATCAAATATCGGAAAATTCGAGAATAACGTTACGACTATAATTACAATCTCAAAATTAAAAATTATAATTCAATCACAATTTCATACATTTTATTCGATAAATGTAGGGCTGCAAATGAGCCAATCTGTTTGCGAGAAACTCAGTGTTGGAATCGCAAAAAAACTCGTTCGACACTCGACTCGTTATTTAACAAGACGGTTCTCGTTAGTAGACAAGCCAAGTTTGAGCTAGACCATGCTCAGCTTGATAAGCTCGTGAGCTTGCTTGACTCAATGGCTTGTTAAGAGCTTGCAGAAGGATTAATTACTCTTCTAAACATGAACATTATCTTGTTAATATGGATGTGTATGGAAGTTAACTGTTATTTTAAGTTTCTAGTGTTCTTTTTATCATTTAAATTCTCATGTGTACACATTTTATAGCAAGAATGATTTAAAAAACGAGCTCATCTTGAGTCGAGCTAGTACTCAGCTTGACAAGCTGTGTTAATGAGCATTTACCGAGCTCTATCGAGTCGAGCCCGAGCTAGATTATGTTTAGTCAAGCCAAACTCGAGTTGGAGCTGAAAATTTTATAAACGAGCTGAGCTCAAACTAAGAAAAAACTCGACTCGACTTGACTCATTTGCAGCCCTAGATATAGGTATATATCAAATACCAAATTGATTTCCTTCAAAATTATAGTTCAAATATATAAAGACAAATAATTCTCCTCTACCAGCAACTTCACAAACGATTTTCAAAATATATAAAAACAAGTAATGGTGTCAATACTCGTGCAAAACAAATGATGAATTCTCTAGTATAATAACAATTAGGAAAATGATGTGATTAGGAAGCACATTAACAAACTGAAGCAACAAACTGAAATATGAGACACTACTACACAACCCCGTAAACATACTACAAGTGAGAAAGTAAGTTTGGTATGAGTTGTCGAATAGTGTGATTGAATGAGCTATGTATAGTTAAGTGATCATTTTGGTAGTTACGCTTTTACTAGCCGTGAGGGAGAGAGTAATTGGGATAGATAAAATACACAATCATTTTCGGTATTGCTCGGTATTTCAGCATCTACCCGTCTCAATCTCGTAATTCCTAATGTCATATAACACTTAAAAATTCAATCACAACTTCGATTCCGTGAAATAATACGTGTATTCAGTAATAGCAAATATCTGACAAATTTGATACACTATGGTATACGTCTCAAATACACTATACGACAAATTTATGGCTGCGGGCTGGGTCCGTTGCATTGCTATCCAATTTGACTATTATCAATCGCTGGGCCTTCCTGCCACCTTCTTCCCCACACACGAACTTTTGTCTGTATTATCAGTCGCCATAAGATAACCATAGTTTATTATTTTGTCTCCGTTATAAATTTAGCGTTATTAAAATTGATGTTGGGATTAAGTTAAGTGTAACCATTGTTAATTCGAAACGAATTAGTGGCTAGATTCTGCTTCTGGAACCAGACTACCATCATCATCATCATTATCGTCATCATTACTTCTTCAACCAAATACAATGATTGGAGCAATGCTAGGTATAAAACTCTTTGGAGCAAAAAACAAGCTCAGATTTGTTAAGCTTCATTCAACAGGCAATGGATCCAAGCATTCGTATATTGAGTGACAAATGACTAAATGATACATATAAGTAAAAGTAAGATTTCAGTCATCAAAATATCAAAGAGGTTAATTGCATGGTTGGTCACTGAGATTACAAAAAAACATTCATGTTTGGTCACTCGAAATATTTAAATCCATTTGTGGTACTATAGGTTATTGAAATCGTTCACGTTTGGTCACTCTTCGTCAAATTTCGTTAACTTTTGCTTACGTAGCAGTCAACTCTAAAAGTTGACCGTTAAATATGTGACATGGCAATTTAAAAATAATAAAATTAATTTTTTTAAAAATTGTCATCTCATTTTCACCTCATTATCACTTTTATTTAAAATAAATAAAAACCCTAATTTCTTCTAATCCCCCATACCAATACCCAACCGACAGACGGCAACATACCCTGCCGTCGCTGGCGCTTCCATTGTTGGGCTTCTAGAATATGTACAAAAATGAATTAAACTGATCAAATTTGATCCAACCATAACCTGTTTATATTATTAAAATATGTACAAAAATTAGTTAAAGTGATTAAACACAATCCAACCATTGAACCTCAAATCACTCGCCAAATCAGTTTAATGTCTTAATCCGGTTTGACAACCTTCTACAAGAATAGATCGCCCTATAATATAGGAAGGAAAGAAACACAGCAGTCACCCATCGGGAACAATTTCACATGCATGTTTTACTAATCCACAATATATCAAGCAAATATACTGCCAAATGGAAATTATCACTCTTCAATGAACTGAAAGTCTGAAACCAGCATAAATCCAGCACATAAGCAAGGCTCAACTCAGATACACGCAGTAAGAAACCCATGAATATTCAAATATATGTGAAGGCAGAGGAACATTGTGCTTCAATCCTTTCCCACTTTTCAACAAGGTCGATGCAACTTCAACTTCAACTACAACCAAGAAGTTGAGAAAAAGCCTAAACCAGAAGCAACAAAATTAAGTATCCTATAGCAAAGAACACCTTCCAAATCATACGCCGAAACTCCATAACCAGAACCCAACTCATCGACCGAGAAACACCTTGAAGTCACAGCAGACCTAGTAAAAGAAACCAAGAACTTTGCCACCGACATTCTTCCTCCTTGCCTCTTCGTGATCCATGATTCCAGCAGAAGTCGTCAGCACAATGAATCCAAACTGCAGAATCACATTTGACAATTAATATAAGGCAACACGAACTTGCAAATACTAAGCTACTAGTCCCTCAATTTTTTCAGATTGTAAGTGAATATTAAGTTCAAGTGTTCAACCATGTTTCATTACTCACACAACCAGCAGGGAAAGCATTGCAAGTAGGGTTTACTATCTACCACACTCTGATAAGAAGCAAGAAACGGAACCCACCTGTCTGGATGGAAGCAACCTAGCAGTCCAGCCTTCAATCTCCTTGACACCGACGTCAAAACGAGGACTGATGACACCACACTTGTTTAGCCTCCCATTCAACTCGACGACAATTTTACCAGCCCTGTGATCATCAACATATTCAAACTCGCCAATGTATCCTGCGTACATCAAATGACGACAATGAGGCATTAACTATCAAGTGAACAATGCGAATTGAATTTATCCAGGACGAGAAAGGCAAAGACCCATACCATGCTTTTGCATGACAAGAAGGAACTTGATGATCACTTTCGAGGAAGGTCTGATCATGACCTGGCGCTTCCCGCGCTTCTCTGCGTTGTACATGCTCTTAAGAGCATCATTCAAAACACTAACTCTCACCATTGGAGCTGGCACAAAATTATCGAAAGCAAATCGTTAGCAACTACCCACAAGGCTTACACCCAAATTCGTACAGCAAATGAACACATAACTAAACACTTAGAGACCAAATAACACTCGCCCAATAATCTTATCTCATCTACCCCATCGGAACAGGACATAGCTAAGTTGCAGTCTTGCAGAGGCATTTATATGGCCAAAGTAGGGTTCTACAAAACCTATTTGAGGCATGGCTGATAGTATAAAAACCCCACGGAAAGTTGATTTCTTTTGCTAATTACAGATTCAAATATGTAGTAAGAGAACCATCTAGTGGTCTTGTCAGAATTAGTCACCAAAACAGCTATTCGGATGAAGGAACAAACTGATGAGACGTTCAGCTTAAAACTCATTCACCATTTCCAAAATCAGAGACTAATCAGGGCTATCTTAAAGGAATTCAAACTTAGGACCCAGAAGGAAGACACAAACAGAGCCGATAAAAGAGACTACTGCAGAAATGAAGTGCAGAGAATCCAAATACAATAGAACTACAAGTGCAGTCGCGAGGATCAAACAGAGCAAAATCGAGAGAAAGGATTTCAGAATTTTTTTGTTTCCAGTTTGTACGCACCTCAACGGAAGATACAGAGAGATCTGGCGCCACCAGCGACTGAGCAAGGTAGAGTTAGGGTTTTGCGAGAGGGATGGACGGGACGAAGACCACAAGTTTATATAGTGCTGGATCCATGGACGTTAGGTCCTTACGGCCCAGTGTTATTGGTATTGTAGCCCGAGAGCAGGCCCATGAGTCTCATATTTTACAGCTATACGGCCCAGATTCAGGCTTACAGCTACAAGCCCATGAGTATCATATGTTCTTTGTTAGAAGTTGTAAGAATTATGAACCGAACCAGATCAATGAACGGGTAAGTAGAACCGCCAAACCAGTTACATATACGGTTCGGTTCATTTGCTTGGACGGGTAGGAGTGAATCAAACTAATTTTCACGATTATACATAAAACCGAAAGAACCATCCCGATTTGATTTGTTCATTACTGTTTTAACCACAAAAAAAAAAAAAAAAAATAGGAAACAAAATATTGTACTTGTAATTGTAATACAAACTAAGAGCATGAAACTTTAATTACTAATTTTATTTCTACTTTGTCCTCTTCATTTCCCAACATCTTGGTCGTCTTTACGACGTCACACTACCGATGTCACCCTAATTTCTAACATGAATTGAAAAAGTTATGATTTCGGTTTGAAACTTTGAATGATCTATAGATATTTTTGTGATGAATGATACGAATTTGAAATTGATTATGATCGATGTCAAATTCATTCTTAAATTAGTAAGTAATACATGTCATCATTCTTAAATTAGTAAGTAATACATGTCTTTTACGTTATAGGTCATAAACGATTTTCTCAACTGTTAACCAACAATTTTATAACGATTAACCAAAAAATTTATGTTCCGTGTATCTAGTAATCCTAACTTATGAGTAGTTAAACTTGTGAGTTGTGAACAGCCCAAGTACAATCGAAGTATTCCGTATTATATATAAGATCGTTTTCGAACTTGATTACAAGAACATTCGATTACATTACAAATCATCTAAGCCACCAAAAATTGCTCATTATTACTTTCACAACTCTTTCAAGATACACGCGAAAAAGGAACTGACAACACGACCCTGGGTAGATATACAAAAGGAACATAGCCAAACGCTTAAGCAAAAACCAAATTAGAACAACCTCAAAATGTGACATGTACTTCTCTTCTCTCCATCATCACCCCTTCTCTCGACCCGGGGCGAAAACTCGGGCCATAATTACCTCTAGCTAGCCCCACATGCATAGCTACGGGTGTCTCGGTTTCGTCGTCTTAAGAGGTCTGCTGACCTGTGACATGCTGCTGCCCGAACTCCGTCGCCCTGTCCTTCATCTCCCTCGCCTTCCCGGCCAGCTTCATCCGAGCTTGGTCCAGCGAATCCGCTCCCGGTGGGTGCCTCCCAGTCACATACCTTCCAACACCACCACCACAAAAAAATGAAAAAAAATTGTGTCAAAAACTTTCTTCGTCTGACGCGCGGCATAGGGCTGAATCTTTTGCAGAACAAACACTTTGAAATTTACCTGTAGATCCAGGACAAGACGGTGATGGCTGCAATGCCGAACCCGCCGGAGGCCAGGAACCCCGCGATGAGGAGGCCGACGGTGATGAGAGCCGGGACGAGGACGGGGCTGAAGATGACGAGGAGCGGCGTGGCAATGGTCAGCACGATCACGGTTGCCGCGAGGATGAGACCCGAGAGGACGAGCATCGATCCACCCGCGGTGGCCGCGGTGGCGGCTTTCACCACTTGGTACGACCGCGGCTGGTTCTGCTGCTGCTGGTGGATGGTGCTGCCGTGCTGCTGCGACTGGTCCATTTTTTTGCTTTATACCTCAAATTGGACGAATTTTGGATCTCTTTGTGTAATAATGTGACGAACAAAGTTTATTTTGGCTGAAAGGGAAAAGAAAAATGAGAGGCTGTTTAAAAGTTGGGAGGTGGGTTTTGGATTTATACAAAAAAGGGTGGTGAGGTGGAGAGGACACGTGTCGGAACGTTGAGGCACGTGGTGAGCAGGTTGTCATGCAGCGGTTGCATGAAGGCTCAAACTGTGTTTGTCTGTGGACACGTTAATGTAGCTACTCGTTTTCGATTTTTCCTTTTCCCCCTCCTTCGACTGAATCCGGATGCCGTTCTAACAAGGTTTCGTCAAACTGGTTTATATCGATGTGCCGCTAAAGCATGTAGAATGGTACAATTTTTTTTATTTATTGTAATGATGGTTCGACCGGTTGTACAACGGGTTTACACGGATTGTGTATATTTTTATAGAACAAATGAGGAAAATGAAAGAGCAAATCGCTATGTTCGATTTTCTTACCATAAACAAAATGACCTCTGGTGAACTTAATGAATGGAAAATTTGTATTTAAAAAAAAATGATGATTTATCATTATAGTTTGTAACATGTTTTATTTAAATATAAATATATTTACGCTAATTGTTGCAATCAAGTATGAATGTTACGACGTAGACAGTAAATGTTGTGATGTGCATTTAACATTTTGTTTATGAGATTGTATTTTACTTGAATATGATAAGGTGATTGACTCTATGGGTTTTGACAATTTGAAAAGGTGGATGCGGTGGGGTTTTCTGGGGGTATTTGGGTTCTTTGGAATGCCGCTGAATTCTCCATTTCTGTCATTGACAAAGACCCTCAGTACTTACACCTTTTGTGTTCGGATTTGCAGGATAACAAGGTGGTAGAGTTGACTGCGGTATATGCTAAACCTAATGATCATGATCGTCTCCCCCTTTGGGATTCCATCCGTCGCATGGAGCGAAATATTAAGCGTCCTTGGATCCTCGCAGGTGACTTCAATTCAATATGTCATCCCTCAGAGCGACATGGAGGCGCACCTTTCAACAGCCAACGTACTACACATTTCACTACTTGTATAGAGGACTGCGGGCTGATTGATGTAGGGTTTACGGGACCCAGGTACACTTGGACAAACGGGAAACTGCACCAACGCCTTGACAGGGCTCTTTGCAATAGAGAATGGTTATCTTAGTTCCCTAGCACCTTCAACACTCACCTGATGAGGATCAAGTCTGATCACCGGCCCCTTCTTATTCGCAGTGAGAGTCTAGTTGCTTCCTACAGGAAGACTCGACCTTTCAGATTCCTTGCCCCCTGGTTGGCTCACGACACTTTTCAACAAACTTTGGAAAGTTCCTGGATCGGGGGTGATGACTTCTCACAGGCGTTGGACTCCTTGCAAGGTACTCTTCGTGAGTGGAACAAGAATGTTTTTGGGAATGTGTTTAAAAGGAAAGCCTCCCTAATGAGGCAACTCAACCATTGGGAGGTAATCAATGAGACAAGTCCCAGTAGTCATTCTTTACGTAAGGAAGCTGAAGCTAGGGAAAACCTTGAAGAAACCTTGTGGCAAGAAGAAATTTTGTGGGCACAGAAGGCTCGGGTCAATTATATTAACCACGGGGACTGCAATACTCATTTCTTCCATGCTGCAACATTAGCTCGCCGGAGAAGAAACATGGTTTGTCGCCTGCAGAATGACAACGGGGATTGGATTGAAGATCCAGAAGTCTTGGAGAAGATGGCACTCGAATTCTATGTGACCCTCTTCACTGCCGACAGCCATACCCCGCTGGACATTCCGGCAGATTTCAAGGATTTATTGGCCGAAGAAATAGAAAACCTGGCAGCACCTCCCACTGTCATCGAAGTTCATAGTATCATTAAAGATATGGGAGGCTGAAAGCGCCGGGGAAGGATGGCTTTCACGCGGTGTTCTATCAGAGGTGCTGGGAAACGATCAAGGCTGATCTTCATAAACACGTGCTCAAATGTTTCCAGCAGCCTGACTTCTTAAGGACGTGCAATGCCACCATTCTTTCTCTGTTGCCAAAGGTGGATGCTCCGCGGAACATGACTCAGTTCAGACCAATCGGTCTCTGCAATGTCAGCTACAAGATCATTGCCAAATGCTTAGCTAATCGCCTCAAGCTGTTGATGCCCAATTTGGTTGATGAAAACCAATCAAGTTTTGTCCCAAAGCGTCATATCACCGACAACATTATCATTCTCCAGGAAGCTATTCACTCTATGTCATTGAAAAAAGGAGTGAAGGGGCTGATGGTTCTTAAAATTGATCTAGCTAAGGCTTATGATAGAATAAGCTGGAGCTTCTTGCAGTCAACCCTGCAGGCCACTGGTCTTCCCCAAGATTTCATCAACATTGTCATGGCTTGTGTGACGACAACTAGTATGCAAATATTGTGGAATGGGAGTTGCACCGATGAATTCCGACCTTCCCGTGGTCTTCGGCAGGGATGTCCTCTATCCCCCTATCTTTTCACTTTGTGTATCGAGCGTTTAAATCATTGTATTAAGCATTCAGTGGAAAATGGTGTTTGGAGACCTATTACCTTATCAAAGGACGGACCCTCACTAACCCATTTGTTTTTTGCAGACGATCTCGTGCTTTTTGCTGAAGCTAACACTAAGCAAGCCAAGAGCATCATGGACTGTCTCAACCTGTTTTGTAAGGCTTCCGGTGAAATGGTTAACAAGGATAAGTCATGTGTTTACTTCTCCAAGAATGTGAAAGACAGCTTGAAGAACAGGATCAGCAACGTCATGGGAATACCACAGACCAAAAATCTTGGTAAATACCTAGGCGTTCCAGTTATTCACGGCAAGGTCAACAAGGAAACTTATAAATACATTCTGGAGAACATTGACAGACGACTCGCCAGCTGGAAAACTAAGAAGATGTCACTTGCAGGGAGAGTTACCATGCTTTATTTGTGACGTCATTGATCAGAAAATGCAGACAGCCCTCCCAAACTACGCAATGCAGACAGCCGTTCTTCCTTGCTTTATTTGTGACGTCCATCAGAAAATCCGATCGTTCGTCTGGGGAGGAGAAGAGGGGAAACGAAAATCCCACCTCGTCACCTGGGACACTATTTGCAAGCCGAAAGGAGAGGGCGGGCTGGGTCTCCGTTCAGCTAGAGCTTTGAATTTCGCTTACATGATGAAGTTGGGCTGGTCTTTCCTCAACAATGAAACTGAGTTGTGGGTTCGGATCTTACAAGGAAAGTATGTTAGGAAGAACACAGATAGGAGCGTCTCCTTTCGCCATAACCGCACTTCAAGACTTTGGAAAGGAATCTCAGATGCCTTGCCAATTATGAAACAATGTACCATGTGGGATGTGAGGAATGGGAGGAACGTGAGATTTTGGACAGATGCTTGGATCAAGGAAGGAATGATTCTCAGAGATCATATCTCAAGACAGGGGGCAGCGATCAATTTGGAAGTCTCTGTTGCAGAGATGACAAATAGCACAGGTGAGTGGCTCTGGCAGTTTATCACCCCCCACCTATCTAATTCAATAATATGTTTGATTGCAGGTACAGACCCGCCCCATCCGGACTCGGGAGAGGACGTGACAGTGTGGGGAATGGAGAAAGACGGCAAATTCAGCTTGAAATCAGCATATTGTGCGGCTGCTGAATGGTTGAAAGAAAGCGACGGGGAGGAAGATGACCAGGATAACACACCTGCCTGGAGCACCATTTGGAATTGGCCGGGGCCAAATAGAATCCGCCACTTTCTCTGGCTTGCTCGTCACGACCGACTGATGACCAACTGCGAAAGAAAGCGCAGGAAACTTTGTTATATAGATACTTGCAGTATATGTAACTCTGAACCGGAAAACACAGCTCATATCTTGCGAGAGTGCCCTCGTACAAAACAGGTATGGCAGTGCATAGGACTTGTTGATACTGCTCTCACTTACGGCCTCGATTTTGCAGGATGGTTGGCAGCTAACCTGAAGAATCCTGCTACGGGCTTGTTGTTCGGAGTTGCTGTGTGGTACATATGGAAGAGGAGAAACGAGTGGGTCTTTGAGCACAAGTTTCAAGAAGCAACTACTCTGGCAGCTCGTATTCAGAGTTGGACTGCAACCATCTTAAGAGCACACGAGAATGACGTCAATCTGCGCATAGGGACGAAAGCTAAAACTAACCAGGAGGTGGCTTGGACTGCTCCCCCTCACGGCTGGGTGGTTGTCAATTCAGATGGCTCCGTTAAGCAGCATACCTCTGCTGCCGCGGCAGGAGGTCTAATTAGGGATCCAAGTGGCAAATGCTTGGGGGCCTTTGTGGCCAATTTGGGCAGTTGTAGCATTACGAGAGCAGAGCTCATTGGAGCTCTTTTTGGTTTACAATTAGCTTGGAATCAAGGCCACAGGAAGATCAAGGTGAGACTGGATTCTACCACAGCTGTTCACATTCTTACTGCTGAAGATCAAGAGATGGGGATCTATTACAATCTCACGCTCCGGTTTAGGGAGCTCTTGCAACGTGATTGGGAGGTGGAAATCTCCCATATTTTTAGAGAAGGCAACAAAGCAGCGGACTACTTAGCTAATAAGGCTCATTCTATGAGTCTTGGTACCCATGAGTTTGATATTTCGGATCCTGGTCTTAATTTCTGGATTCTGTATGATACGATGGGCATTGCCCAAGACCGTTTAATTTAAGTTTTAGGCCGGGGCGCCCGTAAGCGTCCCATTTTCCACCAAAAAAAAAAAGAATGTAAATTGTTGGGGGAGATCTGATCAAGATAATACTAATAAATTATAGGGAGATCGTATTGACATATGATATATGTATTAATAATTTATTTAATTTTAATAAAATTTTTTTACTTTCCTTACTGTTTTCTTTTTAAACCGACATTAAACAACATAAACCGGTTACACGTTGGTATGACCATTCCACTTACTAAATTGACGTAGTGACGGGTTTGACAATCTTGCTCTACATTCAGTGCTCGTATGGAAAAATTCGAAGCAACAAGTGAAAGTGTAAAACAGTAGGGTTTTGTTTTCAGCCGTACCAATCAGTATGATCTTCTCACAAACGGGCAATGTCGAATGTCGAATTCCAAATGTTGGAGACATCATTACAAATGGCACTCAGTCCCTCTGTTTAACTTAACGTCGCCAATCACTATTACAGCTTGCAACGACGATGAAATGAGAATTAATATAAACAACAATACAACACTATGAGAGCTTCTTGAAGCTCAGCCTGCAAAACGCTTGATGAGCCAACTCTTTCAACTGTTTGAGCCTTTGGCTAGGGTTACCTCTTCTTCCAGAAGTTCCGACTTTAGCTTTTCCCGCCTTCCGAATCCTGCTTCTGAATTCCCTCCAGAACCAAGTTGCATTTGTTCATGCTGCGTGCATCCAACAGCCCGTGATTCCACAGTTTTACCATCAGCAGTCTCCAGCAACTGCACCAAAAAACCCCAACTCAATTGCAGCTGAAATTCTGGTTGTATATCATCTCATTTGCAGTCGTCGAATAATTAAGTAAGCATTTTCCTCAGAAAGATGTTATCTTTACGTACCAGAGTAGGGCTGGAGCTGCTAAGAGGCTTTTCCCATGGAGCCTGGAGAATGCCTCACACGCCCACGGGATGTGCCCATCGGCCAGGACTCTGCCAACATGCCAACAGTTATTAGAAGAATAAAAGAAGAATGAGGAAAATGAAAAGCACAGTGGCGACTACTACTGATCCAAAGGGTTTCTTTCAAACCTCTGCTTCCGGACAAAGGAATTCCACAAGTGCATTATATGTTTCTCGTCCTTGGTCACATCAACAAAGTCATCAAGCATCTGCAGAGCATCATTGCACGAGGCAGATGATTAATATGTGGATTAATAGTACATACATATGCCCGTTGTTTCATGGCGTAGATTATGGCCGAAAGAATCAAGCATACCCTTCGATCTTCGAAGTCTGCAACATCATCGTCAACTTCATCCTCACTGTCCACATCCGATAGCACTTGCTCCAATGCCATTGGCTGCAAACATAGGGAGGAGTTCAAAATATTTCTGGGTCATCAAATCCACATATATGTATCTACAAGTTGCATCTAAAACTCTTATGGATATTGCTTCAATAGGTTGCTGGCCAACTTATCTAAGAGGCATGCAGCTGCACCGATGCATAAGTTTCTATTGACACTTTCGAAGGGTTTCGAATGTGTTTGATCATGTGTGACCACAAATGCATCACAATGATGCCATCTTAAATGCATGGAGATAAAAAATATTGAAGATACACTAAATGAAAACGCAGGTCTCATTTGTTCTTTTTTCCGGAACAATTTCAATCTAAAAAAGAACTGAGACTACAATGCATTTGCACATACACTCGCATCACTCGCATAAAAGAACACAAAATGAACTGCAAGTAACTGAAATGAAATTCTACAAATGCACTATCCACTCTCAGTGGATTGTGGAGAAAGCGAACTGCACTGTGGAAGAAGAAAAAACGAGCACTGAAAACAATATTCAGTTACCTGAGCTCTATGTGAGTGAAAAAACAGTCGTTTGTGAAGAAGGCTGCGGCTGCAAAGTTACACAAAAAATTTCATAAGCTGTATGAACAATCTGATCTGAGAATCATAATCTTGATCCAAAACCACTATCCCCCCCCCCCCCCCCCCCCCCCCCCCCCCCCCCCCCCCCCCCCCCCCCCCCCCCCAAAAAAAAAAAAAAAACCCCAACACACACAGACAAAAAAAACATAGTGTGCACTTAAATGCATTAACGCCCCCTGATTAGGAGCATATATATCCAAGGGATTAGAGGTGAGCTTAGAACATACTTCTTCAGATCTGACCGATCAGCAGATAACTTCCTCGCCTTGGCAAATTGTATCATTGCAGGAGGAACAACACTGTTATCAGATGCCAACTGAACACCTTCAGCTTCCTGGTGCCCTTGTGCTCCAGAAACTGAAGCCCCAATTTCATCAAAGACAGAAGAAACTTTTCCTGCACCGTCTGCAGCACCACGGCTGATGCTTACCATGCTCTTGCCACCTTACAAACAAGGATCCAGGTCACACAAAGAGGAGGAAAAAGAAGTCAGTGCAACATGATGCTATCAGAAAATACATTTCCACTTAGAAGGAGAAAGCACTCCCGATGCATCAGCAGGGTTTCTGTTTTAAAGATTCTTCTCATAAATTTCGTGCAACATACAATTTCTACCTTCCATCAAGTTCAAACAAAGGCGTTTAACATCTTAGAGCAACAACACAGAAAACGCTTTGCGTATCCCAGAAAATGGCATTCATGCACCACGGAATATTAATTACTCAACCAAACAGATCACCTTTTTTACTCAGCAACCTTTTGCGACACTGCCCTAGTTATCGTCATTCTCAGTAATTGTTCATTGAGATGTAAGAGCATTACCGTCTATCCAATTTCAGTTACAATAAACAAAGTACATACCATTAGCTTTATCATGAAGGTCACATGCTCCAGCATGGTGGTTTGACTCAAAGATCAGAGGATAGACATGCTTTACTTGTTGAACATGGCTTTTTGGTTTCCTGCGCCTCGATTTCTTTGAGCTATGATTACATTACCAAATCAATGAGAATCTTTAATATAGAAAAAAAATATACGAGTAGTTAAAGCACCTTCACTTACCAAAAGGAAAATGTTTGCTGCTTTGGATCAACACCACGAGCAACAACCTGAAAGCAACATTTTGCACATAAATTCCAAATCAGCAATTTTAACAATCCATATTTGGGACGCAACAAGGTTCCACACTCCAACCACCCCTAATCATTATCATCATACTTTAATCGGTCACAACTCACAACAATATAACTAGGGATATATGTGTACCTCAGACCTCCAAACATCGGTTTTAACGGATATATTTACTGCTTGAAATTCTTCAGTTACCTACAGGGAATGAAGTCAGCATTTAGCACCACTTAGTCCGAAGGTCGAATACTTGCAGAAACTCAACGAGGAGATTCTAGAAGTTCACCAACCCAAAACTCAAAGTTGAAGAGATCATGTGAGGCAGGCAAATGGTATCTCAGACCCTGAGAAGAAGATAATCATGTCAGCATCTCTCATCCATACAGGAGAAACCGAAAATATATAGCAACCCAGAAAGGAATGAAGGGAAACATAAGGTGAGGAGGCTCACAATATGAGATCACAAGTTCTACCTTAAAGCTTCCACATTTTACCAAGCAAAATGGACAAGAGAATTCTTCAGTTACTGCAAGTTACAAATCCAAACCATTAGACAAGCAGGGAAGACGAATTTTCAGCTCAAAAGTATCATACAACAAACAATTAATCCGAAATATATAAGAGCTGAAAGAAAAAGTGAATATCTTTTGTCACAGAACTGAAAGTCCTGAGGATAATAGAGCTAAACCCACGTTTCCACAGAAAATAAGAGAGAAATTAACACTACCTTCGGTCTTCTGCAACTTATTATTATAGTACCTATAATTGAAAACAACATTTCCAGCCCTCAACCTAAGCAAGACAATTAGTCATCATTAGAAGCTGGAAGTTGGGCAACAAATCATTTGCATAATGGAACTCTATGCTAGGGAGTAACCAATGAAAGGGACTATAAAGTAGAAAGTTCAGAACATAGACATGCTTCTCCATTTGGTAAGGTGGATAGAATTGCATGGAAACCGAAGACCAAGCCACTCATTCTACACCAGCCAAATCTCATATCACATAAGGTATTTACCTAATAATATGAGACAAGGAGGAAGAAGAAACATCACTGCATGTGTATGAATGATAGGGAGACTTTTCCCTAGCTCCAATTTCTTCAGCAGAGACATTGACCTGCACTTGCGAAGCATCCTAGCAGACAAAAATAATCAATTGTCAGATAGTTGCCAGGAAAGCTATGCTGAAAAACACAATTGTTTAATATACTTACATTCTCAGACCCTTTTGGAATTTGTACAAAAACACACTTATCACCGTTTGAACAATTCAACTGCAAGTGTAAAATGGATCATTCAGTAGCAGTAAGCACACACAGGAATAAAAGGGACTGAACATCTAAGAGCATAAGTCTTAATTAATATTATATGTTAACATTTAACTGTAACCGTAGAACTCTAGCCATCTACACACTGTTGGAGATAGGGAAGTCAACCAAACCTGTACCCACGGATACCCTATTTGACTCTATCCAGCCAATGCATGTAGCAAAATTTGGCGGGTAGAGTAGGGCGCGAGGATTGGTCTGGCCGATACCCTTCCCAAACTATACCCGCACCCGTATCTACCCCCCAAAACCAAGTGATCTATGTAATAGTAGTACCACGTCCTTATCTACTAATATCCATTTCCCCTCTATTTCATGATAACCTCAACGTTAATTTTGAATTTTGAAATTTTTCTTTGAAAATGAGATGGACTCACTTGTGGATGTATTAATCTTACAGCAATGTAGTTGTAGCTTGTAGGAGTAATTTTTATAATAAAAAAAATATGGGTATTCACAGATCGCAGTATGCCCACACTACCCACCCGGTAGGGCATGGGTACACCCTTACCCGATGCCTGTGTGACTGGGTAATTTGGTCAGGTGTACTCGGTATGTAGTGTACGGGTTTGGGGGTACCAAGCCAACCCGACCCATGGTGAGACAATAATAACCTTAGAACTATGTGAAGCTTATAAAACCAGGCCATACCATATGACTGCAACTCAAGAACTAGTAGCCAGACCGGTTCGCATATGACTAGAAGCTCTACAGACTATGCAGAGGGTGACGATCTACTCACGAAGAAAAGAAATGCAAGCTCTAGAACAGTCACCAAAAGACAAAATTTATCCGTCTATCGTCAACAGTCTAGACCTAGAGGCTAAATCAGTAACAGTACGTCACATGCCAAGTGTTATTGACCAATCAGCAGTCCAGGATTATCAAAGACTTTTGGATGGTTTTGCTACATGTCATGCAACCTTACTCACAATGTCTAATGGGCAAAAAAAGGCAAACAAAGTATAAAAGATAATTGTCTCATTCGTACCTTTAAGAAGCATGAATACATGTCCACAGCTGATGCAACCTCTACTCGTTGTCCCAAGGCTAAGTTTGGAGACTTCTGCCATGAAGCATAGAGTGACTCTAGTTGTATCTTGCCCAGTAGGCAGCATCCTCCAACATTTTCTGTCATGAAAAAAAAAATAGACCAACAAAAGAAGACTTGGATAACAAACAAAAAGAAACCATAATAATTTACAAAGGTTTCAGCACCTCCAGGGTCCAGCTTAAGAGATGATTCATCCTACTTATTCTATTCACCGTATGCATCCACATTTATTCTGAAGCATCAATGCAGAGGCCATAGAGAATTATAATTCATCCTAAACTATAGTGTAACACAGCAGACACCAAACCCTCGGCCAGCTTATGCTTCGCCAGAATCTCTTACACGAAGTAAAAAATAAACTCATCAATATCCAGAAGACCCATGGCACATACTAATATGCACAATAACACCTAAGAAACAGTTGCAACATTTTAAATCAGATCAAAAGGGATAGGAATTCCAGACCTACATGACTCTTGGTCAAATCAAGTCCATGCACTGAATTCTGAGCTCCAGCTGCAAGGAAGATTCATCAGATGAAATTTTAGCAGCAGAATCAAGCAGAAACTCTGAAACACTAAGGGCAAACTCCATACCGAAGCTGACAAGTAAGAGAGAAAGTGACCCAGAATTTGCTTCCGATGCTAGCTTATTAGATTCTGGAAGTAGGAAATGTGCTTGTGCTTGTGTACTCCCATTAACTCCAGCAAAGTCATTCATAATGCACGCTCGACTAAACCGAAAAACTGCAGAATGCTTCTTCACCGGGCACAAACCAAAAGCAGTTGATTAGCAAACTTTAATAGGAACACTAACGATAAACTCCTACGCCAACAAATACAGCAAAAGATTGATAAAAGGAATAGATGGTTTCTCACCTCTGGAGTCAAACTCTCGGAAACAAGTCTTGCCAGCAAAATGTACAGAGGAAATGGGCTAGGAGATTGAGAAGCTCCATTGATTGTCATTGAAAGTGAAACTGTCATTTGTATTCTACATGTACAGCAATAGGAATGTGATTAGTTACTCAGTCATGTTTGAATACTTAAAAGATGAAGAGAAGAAGAAAAAGAGACAATCCCAACTTTGATTAGGAATGCAGCAGTGCACCCTAGTGTTGGTAACTGACAGTTACAAGCAAATCAAAATAAATGTGAACACCCTAAATTCAAACGTTAGGCCAATCCACAAGCAGAAGTATAAAGAAAAAAAAATGAAATATTATGAGCATACACATTCAAAAACGGGCTGCGCCGAACGGTCGAGCCATTGACTATATTGATGCTGAAGTTCCACTCTCACACATCACACCATCCAACAAAGACATTAGAATGTTCGGCCTCATCACAAATTTCTTTCCAAGGGACCATACTCACAGATACATATACCAATCCAACAAAGACATTAGAATTGTTACTGCCCACCACTAGCATTAAACTAAAGCAGTCTAGACTAACACTGTTACATTCTAGAACATGACAACATTCACAGGTAGAGATTTGTACCTCCTTTTATTCTTTGACTGTATCTTGTACTCCAAACACCTCTGTAGAAACAACGGCTACAAAAAGAAAAGAGAGCCACAATTCAATCAGAAAAACAAAGGAAATTGAGAGACAGAGACTGCCAAGAACTGATCTTTCCCCCCTACACATCCAAATGCTTGCCACAAACTACTCACATTCCCAATAGCCCGACGTTGGAGGATGTTGTAGAGCTCAACGGGCTTGCAATAAGTGGAGAGGCTTTCCTCAGCTGCCATTTCTTCTTCAGCAGACAATCGCACACGACCATCATCACGGCACATCTGATCCGCACTTCGGCTATGCCTGACAAATTTGCAAGCAACACGAGAGAAGAAAAAAAAATCAAACTTTGGACAAAAAAATTATTTGACTTTGTTTCTCCGGACAAAGTATAGACGAAAAATCCCCATCGGCGAGGAGAAGAAGCATACGAGGAAGTTTCACGAGCCACCAAAGGGATTCCCGGCATTCTGCGGCTACACAGTTCCAGCAGTCAGCTGTTCCATAGCCGTCTAAACCATTCAGTGCCCAGAAACTGGCTGAAATTTTTTTTTGAGCTTCCGGAAGCCGATGGAAAAGTCTATACCCTAGAATTTGTGTTTGGCCTTTGGGCTTCGGACAAAACCCTAGCGTGAGAGAGAGAGTAGAGAAAAGATGAAGAGAAGAGAAGAAGAGAAGAGAAAGATTGGAGCAATGGCGGATTGGTTATAGCTATTCCAATCGCAATCTATTTTGCAGGGGAAGAGAATCTATTGGGTCGAGAGAAGCTCGTAGAAAATTTTGAATTTTTTTTTTTTTCTTTCTCTTTTCCGTTTTCCTCTTTCGAGGATATGGAACAGCGAGAAGGCGAGGGGCTAATGGTAAAATGCCGTGATGAGCAGAACAGATCACCAGAATCCAGACTCCAGACAGAAGAACAGCTCCGCGCTAGGACAAAGACAAAATCCGAAATGGTTTCCGCTTTATCGGCTATGACAAAAAAAAAAATCTGATATCAAAACAAGTCCTATAGTTTAGTCTTTGCGTCAATTGTGTCGCATTGTTTTTGTTTATGACAATTGAAACCCCAAAATTCGATTGTTTTCATTGTCGCGAATCGTGATAACGTCACCATCATCAATACTCTCCTCTCCCTCGTGGCTTTCTCGTCGAATTCTTTCATCGAGTCCACAATTCAGAATCGCCAGACTCCATGGGCTCCAAGGACTTGAACTTTCCTCTGTATCTAGCCCAACGGAACCGACGCGCGGCACGCGATCGAGCCCTCACCACCATGGTTGCCCATCTCTCCCTGAATTCTGGATCCCGAAGCTACCCTAGTTCAGTCCTACAATCCCCTAGAGTATGTATAGTTTAGTTGTACCAACTAAAAGTTTTTGCTTTCAAGGCAATGTATAATAGTTTCATGCAATGACATAGACTGATGAGAAAGCTACAAAATGCAGAGCATGGAAGATTTTTTCTTGACATAAAAGTACAATGTCATTTATTGGAGCTTTTGAGTAACGCATCACTTTGTAACTTGGGCTTCACAATTAGACCCAAACAAAAACAAGAGGCAGGACGAAAGAACTGTTAAGAACCAGTTGCTCCCAATAACTCGAGTTGTTGGGAGAAGATTCGGCTGGATCTTATACCACTCTCTAACACACTCCCTCAAACGAAAACCAACTCACGGGCTTGAAGTTTGCACAGACCCACTATACCTTGTGCATTAATTAACTGTTAATATTGGGGGTCGTGACAACAAAGAATAACTAGCTTGTTTGAAAAGGAATCTTTGTGCTTCTTTGCACTATCACTTAACCTATTGCACAGCAGTGCATTCAAGGGACTCGATAAATCAACACTCACACAAGCTGTCAGGTCGCGAGATCGTTGAGATGGTGTTGAAGAGGAATGTCAATTATGAAAAGATGAGAAAGTAGAGGTTTTTTCAATTAACTAATGACGTGGCGGTCCGAGCCTGCAATGGTTGCCGAGTCATTTACTGCGAAATTAGTTGAGCGTCAATTCAGACGATTTGAAATTTGTTGCCAAAATCAAATTCGGGTCAAAATGCGGTATTAACCCATAGAAAAAGGAAGAGTTAATATTTTCGTATGGCCTAAACTTTGACCAAAATAAACATCCTGGCCAATTTTTTCGATCTATAACATCCTGACCCGAACTATACACCAAAATAAACAATTTGGCCAAACCCGATGTTTGACCGTTAACTTGGACGGTCAAACGCGTTGACTAACGGTCAACGCGCCATGTCACTGCCAAGTTAGAAGATCTGATAAATATTTAATTTTTTCATTTTTTATTTTTGGTTTAACTAAGGTATTAGATGATATTTTTTAATTTATAATAATTTAAAATTAGGGAATGTGTGGAAATTGTGAATTATTTTAAATATTTTATACTGACTTGGCAGTGACATGACGCGGTTAGTCAACGCGTTTGACCGTCTAAGTTAACGGTGAAAATTCAGGTTTGGCCAAATTGTTTATTTTGGTGTATAGTTCGGGCCAGGATGTTATAAATCGAAAAGATTGGTCAGAATGTTTATTTTGGTCAAAGTTCAGGTCATACGAAAATTTTAACATTTTCCAGGGGGCATCGAGTGTAATTTAGAAGAAAGTTCAGCAAGCCTACACGTCAACACTAAATTTTTTGAGCCAGTTGTTCTTTTCCTTCCGGCCCAAGAATCTTATCAACCCCCCCACCAATCCATACGAAGAACTCTTAACCGGACACGTCACTCACCCAACCAAAATGCTCCACAAATTAGCCGCCGTCTCCGCCACCACCACCTCGCCGGTACTTCTCCTCTCCGCCACCGCCTCTTCTTCCTCCGCTCTCTCCAACCCATTCCTCGCTTTCCCCAAAAGACTCAAACTTCCCACCTCAAAGCCTCTCTCTTCCAGACCCATCTCCCGTTCCCAGCCCACCACCATGAACATCCTCAACAAGCTCGGGTTCGGCGTCCGGTCCCCCGACCCGTCCGCCATGGACCCGACGATCCCCCAGAGCCCCGACGACGATTCCCCCGCCCCCGGCCAGCAGTTCGCCCAATTCGGAGCTGGGTGCTTCTGGGGAGTCGAATTGGTGTTTCAGAGGGTTTCCGGCGTTACAAAGACGGAGGTCGGGTATACTCAGGGTCTCCTCCACAATCCTACCTACGAGGACATATGCACCGGTACTACAAGCCACTCTGAGGTGGTTAGGGTTCAGTTTGATCCCAAGGAGTGTAGCTACGACGCTCTGCTGGATGTTTTCTGGGCTAGACACGACCCGACCACCATGAATCGCCAGGTTTGTTTGTATTGCTTTGAATTGATTGGGGTCGGATTGTTCTTGAGATGGTTAGCAGTTCTTGAGGCTCGTTAGAATATGTCTGGTTGCAGAACTGGGTGATGTCTGTTTTTCTTGTTTTTGGTGGTTGGATGTGATCTATGGTAGTGAAAGCTTGCGAGTCCTGGAAGAAAATTGCTTGATATCTAGGTTTGGAGTGGTAGAGAATGAATTCTGTAATCAGAAATCCCTATCCCCTGCTGATGCAAAGGGGGGATCAATTAGGAGTGGTCTGCTTCATGGGGCTGGATTGGAAGGAATTCGGTTAGATTGATTTGCTAGAGTGCCCCAATTTTTGGATTGGATAGACTCGATAGCACCTCGTAACAGCGATAATCAGAATACGCGCAGCTTGATATCAGTCTCATGAAAAGATAGCAGGATCAGGTTGTTCAAAATGCCTCTTATGCTCTTGATGTTGTTAAACCTATATAGCCTTGCAGCAAAGTTAAGCCTAGTAATATACTAAAGTCTAAAACCTGAGAGGGAGATCCTCTCTGTGGTCCAGTGTCTCATCGACGATACCACTTTAAAAACGTCTTTGTGTACTTTCGATTTCGTTCAGCTAGAACCGCCAGGTTCCTCTTGTATCACTGGGTGGTGGTGATATCAGGCCATTGTGTTCAAGTGTCCCTGATTAACCAGGGTTTTACACTTGCTGTTTCTTATGCCTTGGATATCACCATCCAGTTTTCTGGTTGTCTACCAACTGTGATCGTATCGTTCATTAACCATCTGAAGCTGTCGCTGAATCTGATTATGTGTTGGTGATCGACGTTGGACAGGGGAATGATGTGGGGACGCAGTACAGATCCGGGATATACTACTACACACCGGAGCAGGAGAAAGCTGCAAAGGAGTCGATGGAACGGCATCAGAAGGCCTTCAACAGGAAGATAGTGACTGAGATTTTGCCAGCCAAGAAGTTCTACCGAGCTGAAGATTACCACCAGCAGTACTTAGCGAAAGGTGGGCGTTTTGGTTTCAAGCAGTCCACTGAGAAGGGCTGCAACGATCCGATCAGATGCTATGGCTAAAAGGCGGGCAGATGCTGGCAACTGCCAATGTTCATATATATAAGCTCATGGTGAAAAATGTGTAGGGGTTATGATGTGGAGGTGACAATATGAGTTCTATATGCAGAAAAATAAGCTGTGTAATCTGTTACCCTGCCTGAAAGTGCATAAGGGAGTGTTGTTTGGACCTGTTGGTTTGTGACGTGATATTAAAGCTGGTTTGATCGTGGTCATGATGGTACGTGTTCAAATCGTCCCAATTGCTGGCTATGAGCTTGGAGCCATTGTTGTTATGCTTTTCCCCGCCTTCCCTCCAAAGCTAGTTACTTTTGCAGAGATGACAGGTTTCCTTTCTTATACACTGCCAACAAAACCGACCGACGCCATGTGCTTTGGCTGTCTGTCTCCGAAGATACGATGCGAGACCACGAGATCAGTTGCGCCAATATGACATGTGATCAGTTTATTGTATAGTTCCTAACAATAAGGCCCAAAATGTGAAGACAAGAAAACCGCACTTGACGATGCCGATCGAATCGAAGCTCTGTTCTGTACTTGGGATTCACCGTCCGTCAGGCTGCTGCAAATGCAGATAAAAGTATTGTTGTTCCCTTCTGCTTACTTGCATGGGTTCTTCTTCGGGTTTCAAAATGAGACTAAAAATGCTCTAATGGATATGAATGGCAATGTGGTTTGGGCAGGTTAATCTATTCATACTCGTCACAAACTCATGAGAGAATTTGTAACCTCATTCTTGTAACGGCAGAATTTCAAGTACCCGTAGGTAATACCTGCCTCGTATATTAAATGTTACTATAACTAGAATTCAACATGTAAATCTTTGATTATCATACTAAACGAACCAAATAAGTCGTGAAATCAACAAGGATACAACCATTCTTAATACGAAGTCAAAAGCATCCAATCCTAAACATTCATTAATTCATACAATAGTACATTACGTACTATCCAAATTATTCATCTCGGACTCGACACATGTACTAAGCAATAAATTACTGACATCATAATATTGTTATCAAGGGGAAAGAAGTGAAGGAGTTAAGAGCGGAATGAAGGAAAGAAATCCGTGTTTGGTTCGAGTGACACTAGGGAACGTGACACTCAATTACATTCCAGGTCTTTTTTTTTTTAGTTACTCCTCCTATCATTGAGAGATTAAAATATGAATCAAATATGTTTGTATACGGAGTAATATTCTTGGTGAGGCGAGTAAGAGTATTGAGTTTGGGGATGGGGAGGGTAGGGAAGTCTAAAACCATACCTGTCATATCCGCATCAAACTTTTTGGGCGGAGAGACAGTCAAGTACTCGCAGTGGTGGGGTTTGATTGTCAATCCCTACTAATTGCTCATCCATACTCGCCCCCTATCAATAGATTAGTAACTAATTGATAACCATCATATCGGGAAAACAGTAAACCGCTAACCGACCGCGACTCTACTATCAAAACAAAAAGGAATGGTTGGAGATCGATCGATTGAGGGAGCAATGAGATTGAGAGGGGAGAAATTTGGGTTTTGGATGATTGATCGATCCATCCATAGGAATGGAATAAAATAAAGAGACACATACGAATTCAGATCAGATCTATATATATTGTGTTGATTAAATTAATTTGCATGATATTCACTAAACGCACTACACAGTCTCGTGGGTTGAAAGCCCACTTTGCATGTGACCTTAGTTCTTTCCTCCGACAACTTCCCCACTTCTTTTGTTCCTATATTTCCCCGATTTGATGATCTGGGTAGAAGAAGAAGAAGAAGAACACTTATAATACATATATATATATATATAACAAAGTTTAATTAATACCAGCTCGATTTCTAGCTGGCTGGAAAGAAACAAAAAGGCTGGAAAAGAAGGCCACAGACTCACGACGGAGTTGGCTATACATGTAGTTTTGGAGAACTACGTACAGTTGGTTGGTTGGTTACAAAGATGTATGTTCGTATGCTAATGATGGGTATATTCCAAGAGAATATGGTATATATTATATGTTGGTTACATGTATTTTTCTTGTAATTTCGATGAATTGGAATCGGCCGATTACTATTTCTTATTCAATTGATCTTTAGGTTCGAGTTTAATGAACATGGCCTAAAGTTTATTCATCAGCGAAGTTAGCAGCGTATAGTTAGGTAGATATATCTCACTGATAATAGACTGTCAGACTTCTTCCCTCCAAAAGTCATGTTTAATTCACGGTGCTTGAAGTTTGCCACAAGACCAGCATACTATACTGTGTGCTTTATTTATAGACAACTCATGTTAATATTGGAGGCCGTGAACCCGTGAGGACTTGAACACGCGAATTCAAGGACAAATAACCACCTCCGATACCATGTCAAGAACCAATTGGTCTCGATAATTCGAGTGGTTGAGATTTGGGAGAATGTTAATTATGGATTAAGATATCACTCTCTAACGCACTCCCTCACTCACCTGCTTGAATTTTTGCACTTTGCAACAGGCCTACGTATACCGTACCTTGTGCTTAGATAAATTCGTTGTGTCGACCACTTGATCAAACCAGCTCTAATACCATATCATAAACCAACTGGTCCCAACAGTTCAAGTTGTTGGGAGAAGTCCATTCATATCAGGATACTTAATGCCTCCTTTGTTACCTCCCTACACTAGATGGAACAGACCACAAGCTAGCTAGCTAGGTTTCTTCATTTAGAAGTGAAGTTTTATATATATATATATATATATATATATATATAATCCTCTTCATCCTCAATTGAATCAATTCCAATTGGTTGTCCGCCAAATTCTTCGAGCACAATTCTGCCAATCATCATGGGCCGGCTCCCAGTAACTAATTCCTCCACCTCATCACCATCTTCTCCTTTACCTATCTTACCGGAATAGAAAATCTCGCGATTTAGAAGGCTTTAATATCAAGTAAAAAATCAGTTGACCACAATAACTCGAGCTACCTCCCTACGCTAGATGGAACAGACCACAAGCTAGCATTAACAAAAAAGTTTTATCTAATAACCACGCTTTAGGTTTACACTTCCACTTCACTTTAACCTATAAAGCAGCATTAGTCACAAATCACACTATAGATCAACAGTAACGTCTGTATTTAAGTGCAAACTTGTCAAAATAATAGAATTGTGTATGGAAATTAACTCATATAGTCATATTTTAAGTGCAAACTTAGTTGATTTTATCATTTGTTGACTACTTCAGTCTATTGTCAAAAAAAAAAAAAACTACTTCAGTCTATTGAGATATATGATGGAGGAGAGACATCCGATAAAATTGGAACGGTACAAAAATGATTAACATAGCCCTTGCGCAAGGATGACACGCATAAATCGAAATATATGAGCCATGCAATAGGATTAATCCTTATGCAAGTGAAGTTATGTAATGACAACCTCACACTATCAATGGGTTGTTCTAATCTTTTTCTAAGGGGCCCGATCATCTCCCCTTTTCAAGAACACACAATTAAATTAATCACTTGATCAAGGCAATAGCAAAATTAAAAATCAATAGACATAGATAGATGGGAACCCAACTGGCTAAGTTCACATTCAATCAACGAACCCTAACTAAATACTAGAAATTATTTCCCCCAAGCAACTGGAGGAGTTCAAGAAGGTACAAACTAGAAAGAGAAGAAAAACTTGAAATAATATTATTCTCTTCAGATTGCATCCTTCTCCTCAACTCTTGGATGAATTCTTCCTTTCTTAATTCTTCCAAAGTGTTTTCTCTCACTAAAAATTGCCTGAAATCCTAATTCCTCACTCTAAGTTGATTCTCTATCAAGTGCTGAAAAGGGGGTTATATATGAAAGTCTGAGGTTATATAGTAAATTCTGAAGAATGGGTTATATAGTAAATTCTTCTTTCCTTATCTGTGGAAATACTGAAGCGGAAGGTCTCGAATTCATATCCAGGCTAACGTCCTGATAATCAGGTGAGTTCTTGAGTCGAAATTCGGGTAGCATCGACGTACAATTATGCAGTAGTCATTGATCATCGCGATCCTCCAGTTAAAGCACGCTCTTAATCAGTCATCAATCGAAATCTTACTAGGTAGAAGCCAAATTTGATATCGGTATATATCATTGCACCTTTCGCTTAAACGTTTCCATGTCTCTTAACCCGGGTTTCGAAAGAAATGATCGTCAAAGTGCCATTTAATATATGTATAAGAATGATGATAAATTTTTTAATGCATGAATTTGGTTGAATAATATCAATCAACTAATTATCTTGTATCCATCTAAATTACAATCACAAAAATAGAAAGACATCAATCAATTAAGAGTTGACGATAAAAGTGCATTAAGATTCTACCATCACAAGTTATGGGCCCATAAAAAGTTGTTTTGTTCCATACTCCAGCTAATTGCGAGTACCCGTTGAATTTGACGCGGAAAGGGTTAAAGCTTAAAACTCACAAGTCAAATCCATATTTGAGGAGGAAAATCCAATATTTACCATTTGGAACGCTTAGAAGCTACCAAAAAGACCTGTATTTTATCGTTGACCAGCATTACCCCCGGCCAAAACTTCTTCATTTTCGAAGGATTTTGAAATCGTATTAGTTGTACCGGAAAAGTCAGTGACAGCCACTTTGTAATAGTATGGATTCTGGAATCCCACCTTGACTTTAGAGTAGGACACAAAATATAATAGTATTCGTACACAGTTCATAATACTCTACGCCGCCAGGATGTCATGTTCACGGTTTTCCCTGTCTACCAATAAAATACAAAGAGTTTTGTGTGCACACATTTGCATACTATATAAATAACTCTGGATTTTTCATAAATCGTGTTTCTAATTATCGATTTTGAGTTTACTAATTCCTAATTTAGTATCGAACTATCCACCCTCAAACGAAAAATTTGTCGACAAACTATGAAAACCGCCGTGAGTCATACAGATACTAACAAAATTCATGTCAGATCCACCTTAAGTGAAATTCTCTCTACACCAAATGGTGATAGGATATTTTCACTATTTTGTTGTGAAGTCGTTGTTTAATCATAGTTCAACCATTTTATAACACAAAAATCATTTTATAATAAAGCTTCAGACACCAACAGGCAACAGCCAGAAAAGAAAAGAACTAAGCAAGAAGGCTAGCTGCGCTTCTTTTTCCCCTGAAAAGTGATATAAAATCACAACAGCCAGCACTAACCAAATCAAGCCCAGACCAAAAACCACAAAACCAAAAAACCTCCCCCTTCTCTCTGCAGTTACAGCCCCAATAAAGAAACCGGGGAAAAGAAAGCAAGAAACAGCAATGGCGGCACTAGATTTGGAGATCGGTTCTTCGTCATCATCATCGTCGATGCCGCCCAAGGTGATAAGGTTCCTCTCCTGCCTCCTGCAGCGAGTCGCCGACTCCAACGACGTCATGATGACCCAATTCTGCGGCGGCGGCGGATCGATGTCGATCTTCCACGGGCTGAGCCGGCCCAACATTTCCATCCACAGCTACCTGGAGAGGATCTTCAAGTACGCCAATTGCAGCCCTTCCTGCTTCGTCGTCGCCTACGTTTATCTCGATCGTTTCGCGCAGAAGCAGCCTTCGATTCCCATCAGTTCCCTCAACGTCCATCGCCTCCTCATCACCAGCGTCCTCGTCTCAGCCAAGTTCATGGACGACATGTAAGTTCGTAATTTGTGATCTCATTGTTGAAATGGGGTTTCCCTGTGAAAATTCCAGTCTCCCCCTGTTTTTCCTCTGAAAGTCAAAACAGGGGAGATTGGTGTATTTTCAGCTGATTCAAATCTCCCCCTGTTTCCATGAAATCCAATCCGATCCCAATATCTCAAATTTTGGTCTCCCCTGTTTTTCTGAAACCAAAAACAGGGGAGGAGATTTGATACACTTTCCAGCTGATTCAAATCTCCCCTGTTTCCGTGCAATCCAATCCGATCCCAAAACCTTCAATTTAGGTATCCCCTGTTTCTCTGAAAGCAAAAACAGGGGAGGAGATTTGATACATTTTCCAGCTGATTCAAATCTCCCCCTGTTTCCATGAAATCCAATCCGATCCCAGAATCTCGTTTTCGGTCATAAACCCAGAAAACAATTTAGCAAATTTTGGTTTAGGTGATGGGTCCATGGCCAGCTCATGGCTCATGATTCGCCCACGTGATAAGCTCCGTCCTTTCCTTTCTCTCTCGACAAGAAGCACCACAAATTTTTTTGTTGTGGCTGTCTTTTGTCTGTTTCCTTCTTCTTCCAGCTACAAAAATAAAAAAGGACCAACCTTTTTTGGGCAAATTGCAATGGCACCCCGTCGCCATCATTCACCGACAGCTCAATTCCGATCGAAGCATTATATTACACGATCCTCTCTCATTCGCTAATGAATGCTCCCCTGTTTTTGTTTCAATTAACTCCAATTCTGCAACTTTTTTTGTTTTGTTTTCCTCAGATACTACAACAATGCGTACTACGCGAAAGTTGGGGGGATCAGCAGAGAAGAGATGAATCTGCTGGAAGTGGATTTCCTGTTCGGGATCGGATTCGAATTGAATGTGACACCAACCACGTTCCACACTTATTGCTCCCACCTCCAAGCTCAGATGGCGATTCTCCAATCCCCTCCTTTCCCTTTACAGCTTGTGGATCCGACGGTTGAAATGGACATGGCAGCCGCAGCCTCAGCCGCCAGATCATCGTTAAGCGTTCACCATTGCTGCTACAATGAGGACGATTCGACCCATCATCAGCAACTCGCTGTTTGATTCATACTCTGTCCTTTCCCTTTTGATCTTTTCGTTTTGTTTGGTTTCTAGATCGAGTAGTTTTTGTGTAGGTGGGAAGGGCGATGAGTTTTGGGTTCAACAATTTGCCCACTTTTTTTTGGCTACTTTGGGGGCGATTTTTCTTGTAAGCTGCTTCACGGGAAAGTGCGTAATGGTCAAATCTCTCATTTGGCGCAGCTGTTGCCGCAATACACTTTTGGAGAAAACTATTTCTGCGTTCTGCTGCTGCTCTTTGTTTGTCTTTTCGCTTTTCATATGGGTTAAATCTGTTACAATTTACAACAGTAACGCTATCTAGGTTGATATATGGTTATTGTCCTTAAATGTGAGTCGGAAGTTGAATTTTTTTATCGGGTAGTGAAGAAACGAGAAGACGAGAGTGAAGAGAAGAAGAGAGTGTGTGGCTAGGGTTTGTCATGCTCATCACTTTCCAAGTTCACGAACCTACCGTCATTCTCTCTTTTAGGAGGGTAGGCGGTTAACTACTAACCGCATCGATGATTAATGGTGTTAACCGTTAATCCTTGTTGGGTTGGCTAACGGTAATAATTTGTACTGCTAACTGCATTATAGGTTGACGATTAATCATTAATCGACCCGACTATCACCCCTCACGTTATCTCAACTCTCGACGCGTAGGATAGCGGTAATATAGTTTCTATTTATTGACATAAAAATATACTAACACTAACTCCAGCCAATAGAAACATTTCATTTTGATGACTTTTGTATTCCACAGGGTTGACCATAGTTAACGTGGATTTGTAAAGGAGGACATGCTTGTCATTGTTAAAAATTACAGAGGGGCACAAGCGTGTGGCGTTCCTCATTTATTTCGCATCTTGCGCCTCACCATAGGTATCATGAAGTAGACCACAAAACACAGACAAAAAAACACAATAAACCACACCTCGAATACCATAAAGCATACTAGAACCTCATCACACCACATAATTCATAAAAATAAACCAGAAAATTCAAAGTATAACACAAGTTTTCTCAAGCAGACCAGGATTTTGTTGAAGCAAATCATTACCTTATAAAGCAAACCACAAGTTTATTATAACATATTACAAGTTCCCTAAAGTAGAAAACAAATCACAAATTCCCTAAAACAAATCAAAAATCACATAAAGCAGACCACAAGTTCTCTAAAACAAAAACATCTTCAACCACATCATAACTCTCATGTAGCAAATCAGAAAGAAAAGAAATCTTACCAGAAACCTCACGAAGAAACCAAAAATGTTATAGAGGATGACAAGTAATTAATATTTTATAATGAAAAATATTTTTTATAATGGTAATATAAATTTTTTGATAAGTGAGAAATGAGTGTGTAACTATTATATATAATAATTGTCATAGTACTTCTAATAATTAATCAAATTATACATAGCTCTTAGTCGCGTTACTTTGTCCAACATTGTTGTTGGATTTCAACCTACCACCAAATAATGGAAAATTGATTTTCACGATATGCCCAGGTTAGGGTGCATAACCTATGATTATTTATAAGTATACAATTAAATTTAGATTCATGGTGCTAAGCGGGGTCAATGATAAGGGGTGAGATTAGAAGTCTTTTATTTTTTTATTTTTAATTGGCTTGTATTTTCTTTATTTTAACTTGAATTTTAAAATTTTCTGCACGGATTGGACGATCTCATTATGATCTATAAAATGATATCCATTTTCGATATCTTTTTTGTACCACTCGTTACCACTATGACACCATTAACATCACATTCATTTTAACCAAAATTAAAAAAAAAAATTACACAAGAAACGAGTTTATCTTGATAAACAAAATTCTGGGAAAAATCTTCAGAACCAATTATACTACCGTATTCTACCATGGTATAAAGTGGTAACTACTAACTAGTGATATATGGTGTTGAAAGGTGGGAAATCGTGGTTAATATATTTCTACTGTCATGTATACAACCATTTTATACAATAATATATTTGTACCATCTTGTTTCACTTTCATATCAGCATGATTAATATCTTTTGTATTACCAATCATTACCACTATGGTATAGATTGCTGAAAAATATTTTGAATTTTGGGATATTTGTGATCTATATTTTCTCCTAAAAACTAAAACATGAAATAAGCATACCAATTTGAAAAGCATTATTCATTTATTAAACACGGATCAAGTTTTCCTATCTAAACTTGGTTTCCAATTTTCATATGTCCTTATGACAAACGGATTAGGTTTTCCTTTTCCATAACGAACACGAAGAACCTATTTCCTCTTTCTTTTGCCCTAATCGCCCAATCCCATAAAATCCATAAATAGCAACAGGAAACCAAGACACACGCCAGAATATTAAGAAACAGAGTAACTCTGCCTCTGCACTCTGCAGCATTGTCAAATCAAGCGTACTGAGAAAATTCTGCAGAAAAACCAGCGATGGTGCTCAGAATTCGCGTCCGATTGGGAAAACACGACATCGCCGGTGCCGGAGAGTGCGTGCAATCCCCAACGACCAAGCGCCAACGAGTCCGCCGCGAACCCAAGAAAGACTCTGCTCTGCAGATAACGAAAACAGAGAGAAGGAAGAAGATGCAAAAGCAGCCGCTAATTCCAGCCGCCGGAGAAATCATCAGGAAGCCAATCAAACTGAGGATTTTGATTAATTCGGAACAACGCCGCGGTTTCGTGGAGGTCAAGAAGCCGAACCCACCACCAGTAGTTCAACAGCCGGCTTGTTGGCCTTTCTGGGCTCTGTCCCCAGGTCAAGCCTCCGATTCCGTTTCCAGTTGTTATGACGGAGGCGGCGGAGAATCCGTTTCCGTTAACCAACCCTGGCGCCCGACTTACTTCTCTTACCCGGAAGTAAACAGCTACTCTGGATTTCGCGGCGGCGGCAGAGTAAGGCCTGGCTGCTCCGAGAACAACCCGGTGGTTATCTCCGGTGACGATTCCGACAAGGACGATGCCGAATCCGTGGGTGAGAACGATCCGGTGTATGATCGGAGCGATGATGGCGAGGTGGAGTCTTGTCCAGGCGAGCGACCTCGACGGATTAGGGTTTTGAGAAAGTATGATCGTGTTAACTAGATAGTCTAGTCAAAAGATAGTAGAGGAAGGAGTAGGCAATCCATTTGGAGAGCGAAATTGCTTCGCTGTTAATTGCAGAGCTATAGCTTGTAATATATGATTAAGAGCTAATGAATGAACACAACAATGTTTGATGAACTTCTAATTTTGGTATTTTGCTTCGTTGTATATTGCAGTCGTTGCCCTGTGGTTAATTACAGTATTAATCGATAGCTTCTCATATGCAAGTGAACTATGTGTTGGTATGAGTTATTGTAGGCAATGTAGTCAAACTTCCGATTTTACCATGTTGCATATGAGTTTGGATCCTCATTTTACTATTATATCTTTAAATATTTTAAATTTACGATTAAAATCATAATTTTTTTAAAATCTACGATTTATCAATTTTGGTGAATGTCAATTGAAGCGAAATCAAGTCAAATTCTACTTCCCATGGCCCAGCATCACGAAGAACCCTAGCTCATGCTCCCCATTTTTTCTCACGTTCCACAACAACATTCAAAGTCTGCCATCTCTAAACATAAACAACTATACCACAAGTCCCCTTAAGCAAACACAAAAGCTAACAAAATAGTAGGGATGATGTTGCCTGGATTTTCCGGATTAGAGCTTCCACGCAACGTGTCTCTCACGAATCGAACAAAGGAACTCGAGAATGGCTTTAGTTATCGTTTGCTTGTGGGATTTGGGTGTTGAATTTGGCACCCAAATCCCAATCATCATGGAATTGATACAAATCCATTGTTTGCTAAGTGACACAAATCCGTGGGACCCACGAATTTAAACCAATTTTTAGATCCAAATCCGTGGACTCCACGTATATGCAAATCCCACATTTCACTTGGAATTTGTCAGTGAAAGGCAAAATGTGATACAAATCCATCGTAAATCTATAACAAACAATGTACTCTTCCAAATCCTCAATGCAACAAATCCATTATAAATTCAAAGGTTCTTAAAACTCAAAACACTCATTTTCAAATCCAGCAAGCAAACGAGACGAAGAGAAATAGACATAGAACGAAGAGAAATATAGAGGATGTGAAGGCTAAAACTACTAAGCTACTTGGGTTCCAATCTTCTAACATTATTAAACGAAAGACAAGTACATATTTATAGGCATAGAAGTCTCTACATTTACCTATCTAGAACATGATTCCTAATCCTATAAGAAAGCTACTAACAATAAGACAAATCCTACTTGAACAAGAAAACTACTAATAATGACAATAATAATAAAAGACTACTAATACTAAAACAATAAGGATAAATAGGCCCAAATAATTAGCCCAATTGCTACGATGGCCCAGTTCTCGTAACAGATGACAATGGGACAGGTTTAGGATGGGGCAATCGAGTACCCGTGGTTGTGGGTTTGATTGTCATCTCTATAAAGCACAATACAAGTCCGTTGAAGCATAACATAAACCTCATAAAGCAGGCAACAAGTACTTTGAAGCATACCAGAAACCTCACAAAGTAAATCGCAAATTCCATGATTAGACTAAAAACCTCATAAAGTATACCACAAGTTCCATGAAACAGACAAAAAATATGTGCAACCACACGAGATCTCTTATGAAGCATACAAAAAAAGACCAGAAACCACACCAGAAAGCTCACAAAGTAAACTCGAACCGTTGTAAAGGATGACAAGTAATAAAAAACTATGATGATGAAATAATTGTTTATTAATGGTAAAATATTTTTTCTTAAAAGTAAGTTGTTGATTTTTTTTACAAAGGTAGAAGTGGAGGGGCGTGATATGGGACGCAGTAGGAGAAAAGAAGGGAATGAGGAGGGGTAGGTAATTACTATGTACAATAGTCGGCCGGGTACGGAGCCAAGCAAGCATTGTGACGGGGGCTCATGACCCCCTAAAGTTTGGAAACTCTTTTTTTTTTTTTGAAAGATTGGTTGGACGTTTCATTAAAATGAAACACGGTGAACAGAGTTTTACAACACTGAAAGGAAGGACAAAAAACCAACTAAAAAAAGATTGAAACTAAAGGTGGACATCCAAAGCCCAAGGCCCACAAAATCTAAACCATGTCCAAACACTTGGACAAGCCCACCCCTAGCAAACCCTAATCCAGCTGGCCCCAACACCTAGAGGATAGCCTCCGAAAGCATTCCCACCATCAAGGAAACCGCCGCCATCGACCTTCTACCTTCGCATGGTCACACATCGGGGAACGAAAGGGGAGGCAAACAAGAGCTCCACCAGACCGACAACGTGCAAGCAAAATGGAAAAAGCAACAACCTTGACAAGGGAACCAAACCTAGCAAAAGCTCCAAGCTCCCCTGCGTAAAACAAGAAAAGCAAAGAGCAATCATCGAAAAGGACAGAGGAAAAGCGGCCAAATCACCGCCGATCTGAGCTCTCGGCTGGATCCATGCTCAAAAGTGTCGTCCCTGCTCACAAGCCCCCTGAATCATCATCCAAAAAACCAGGGTCCATGCATCTCCGAATCATCCTCATTTATGGATGAAGCACGTGGAGGTAGATGGAGGAACAGAGAGGAGCAAGCGAGTCGATGAGATCGGCCCCCTCAATCACCTACCAGAGAGTCATCCACAAAGATCTTCGATCTGGTGGGATCAAAAGCATCTCCACAAGAAAGATTGGAAAATCATCATCGCTAGGATGGAAAAAGAGCCAAACGGAAAAAAATGCACAATCGGATGCAAAAGGCCAAAGCTTGCAAGGGAAAGGAAAAGACAAAAAAGAAAAAAAGAAAAAAACAGGAAAGCATATGAACCGACAACCTCAAAAGGAAGGTTTTAGGGTTACCGCCGGCCCTAAATTGAAAACTGACGGCAGCCCCATCACCAAAATGGGTTTGAAAGCTAGTAAAGTTTGGAAACTCGAGTATGCAACACTACAACACCAAAATTATTTTGGTCCAATGATCTATTTTTATTATTTGAACCGGAAGGTCATGGGTTCAATGACTACTTTTGGCAATCCGGTCAATTCCATTTATTCCCATTTTACAATATTTCCATATTTTCCCAAAATGAAAATCCTAGAAATTTAGCCCATTTATTCCGCTTTACAATTTTGGCATATTTTTATCTCAAAATGGCAACCCTATAAATTAACTCATTTATTTCCATTTTACAATTTTGGCATATTTAATCTCAAAATTACCTATCTTACAATTTGATATCTCAAGTTTTAAATTGGTCTTCCTGGATTTCTTTTGTTTGTAATTCATACAGTGTTTGAATTATATATCATATCTTATTGTCTTCTATTAGAATTAGATTATATATAGTCTCAAAATGGCAATCCAATAATTTACCCCATTTATTTCCATTTTTTTACATATTTTATCTGAAAATGGCAACCCTATGAATTAACCCATTTATCCCCATTTTACAATTTTGGCATATTTAATCTCAAAATTACATGTCTTACAATTTGATACCTCAAACTTGAAATTGTTATTTCTAATTTTCTTTTGTTTGTAATTCATAGAATGTTTGAATTACGTAGCATTTCTAATTGTATTCTACTAGTTAAAATTAGGTTATATATAATTTCAAAATGGCAATCCTATAAATTTATCCCATTTATTCCCTTTTGGAAAATTTGGCATATTTTTATCTCAAAATGGCAATCCTATATGTTGATGCCAGGCTTAGAGCAGCCTGCTTCAATATGTTTAAGGTCTGGAGAGCGCTAATTTCGCAAATCCTTTAACAACTTCCAACTCCGTGCGAATACCTGGAAAAAGGTCATATCGGGAGAGTCCTGGTTAGAACCTCCTCCGACGCTCAAATTAGTAACCTGAATTATAAGAAATAAATACGATGGCGTTAGACCTGGTTCGATCTCACGATCGTGTTTGAGCGTCGTCGGCTGTTTAATGCCGTCCGGTGGAGAATATCCCCGATTCCATGGGTTAGTCTGCCAAATTAAAGGTGTGTTGAGTGTTTAGAAATTTAACACGTTTTGGGAGATTGGGAGGAGAGAAAAAAACGTTTTTTAGAGAGAGAGACAGAGGTCCGAAGTGGTTGTAACTTGTAAGTCACTTGTGTTTGAGTTGTGTCGTGTGAAGTAGTCGTAAGCGACTTATCTTGTGAAGAAGGGGGAAGGGGTGCTCTTATTTATAGGCAAAATTTGTACTTGAATTCCTTGACTTACGTCAATATTCCCCAATATTCGTCAATATTCTCCGTTATCCTCCAACACTCGTCAATATTCTCCGTCATACATCAACATTTCTCAACAATTATGGTACATGAGAAAGTCCAAGCATGTATGCAAAAGTATAATATGTAATGGAAAATAAAGGAGTGAGGGTATATAGAAAATTTGTAAAGGAATGTAAACGAGCAATTCTTACGTACATGCATGTATATGCACGAATATGTACGTAGGTAAATGAAAGAATGGGAATGGAGTAACGTATATGCATGTATATGTATGAATGTGCATGTAAGTGAATGAATATCTAAGAATATGAAGAAAAATAAGATAATGAATAATAATAATATTATTTTTATGGAATATAATAAGATATAATATATTTAATTATTAATAAATTCTTAACCATAACTAGAATAAATTAAGATATTTCAATAGGCATAATACTAGGTCCATCACTATCAATTAACCCATTTATTCCCGTTTTACAATTACAACATATTTTATCTCAAACTTTATCATTCTCACAATTTGGTACCTCAAGTTTTGAATCGATTTCCCTATGTTTCTTTTCTGTCTGCAATTCATACAATGTTTCAATTACAAATCATGTCTAATTGTCGTCTACTAGTTAAACTCAAGTTATATATATAAATATATAATTCATATTGACCAAAAAATTATTACAATGTAGGTTTAATTTAAATCACATGTTGACATATCATATTCAAAAATTTACAAGCCTAACAATTTGGTACCAATTTATTTTCCATTTGACTGCATCTTTTCTTCTTATTTTACCTTTTCATCCTTCATTTTTCAAAAAAATTTACACCCTGTTCGGTCCAATCATTTCCCTAGAGTACTGTACCCATACACCAGCCATTTGTAGGAAAAGGGATGGTGGACCCTCTATTAAATACCATTATTATATTATTATTATTCCCGAAGTAGAACTGCCTCTTAATTGGGCCCAACGAAACAGAATTTTTGCCTGGCCCATCGCCCACGAACCGAAATAGTAATTGTTTTTTTTTTTAAATTGTAATTGTTTTGAAGCGGCAGAATTAGAAATTACTTCTGAAGTAAGTAGTCGTTCGCCGCTGCTCTGGCAAATGACGTCAGACAACCAGCTGTATATAGAGGCCCCCTCCTCTCTCTTCAAAAAGGAAGTTTATCTTTTTTCTCCCAGTACCTTCCTCGCCGGAACTCCGAGAAACCGCCTCGCCGGAAATTTCAGAGAGTCTATAAAGTAAAAAACTCACGGTGGTCGAAGGATTAAAATGTCGCTCTTCTCCATCCTCGCCATTTCCCCACCATTTCCTTCGCTCCTTTAGCACCGATTCTCGTCCTGGCTCTCTTTTGCTTCGTCTGTCTTCCACTGATTTCACTTTCTTTCGTCTCTCCATTTCGCACAGGAAAAGGTAAGGTTCAGGTTTCCCCGGCGCGTGGCCGTATCGTTTTTTTGTTCTTTGCGCGAGTCCTTCTCACCTGCGCCGTTCCATTTCCCTTTCTTCTTAGCTTTGCTTCCTTCAACTAGCTCCTTTGCATGCTTCGATTCTGCGTTTTCTCAACTAGGTTTTGTCCCTCTTTCAAGAAAGCTCGCTCGATAAATGCTCTGGTGTTTCCTCTGCCGTTCGATCGATTAGGAAGTTCGTTCATACTTTCATACTGTTTTGATTTTTGGCTTCTCCATTTGGGAAGTCGGTTAGGGTTTGATGTGGAGGTCGTACGATTCGGTTGGGTGTTTATTTTTCTTTTTTACTGCTGCGAATTAATGGATGCTGTCGCCATTGATGATTTTGCTTGCTCTACTCCGACTTTCCTTATCTATACATGCTGTTAAATTGCCGAGAAATTTCTCGAGGATTCTTCCTGAAGATTTGGGGGGAAATGTAGCGAAACCGTCGCCTGAAAAAATGGGGTGTTGATGCTGTTATTGCTGATGTGCAGGGCAAAAAAAAAAAAAAATGGTTTCGTCGTCGTCCCGATCTCCTTTTACTACGCAACAAGTCCAAAATTCGGCCGGCCCCATCCATGGATTTAGTGGACCAGCAGCAGGTGGTCAACGTGGAGTTGACCAGTTCCGTGACCTGGCCGTGCCCCTGAAAAAGAGCAAGAAGGGGGGAACGAGAACCCTTTGCCCTCCGCCACCACCGGACTCTCCTCCGTCGGCCACCACCAGCTCCGCCGGCGGCGGGCCAATGTTGACGGGATCCAACTCTGGACGTCTCCGTCGTTTGAGTCCCGAGGAGGAGAAGGATCGAGAGCTGGTGAGGAAGGCTCTGGAGGAGTACAACCGTACGGTGGAAGTTCTTCGGAGAGGGAAACCCAAATCGAAAACCCCCAATCCCGCCGGTGTCTATAAAGAAGCCGTGGACGTTCTTCGCCGGAAACGAGCTTGCGTGAACGACGAAAAACGGTTGGGGAGTGTCCCCGGAGTTGAGATCGGCCACCGTTTCCACCACTGGGGGGAGATGATGGTGGTTGGCCTCCACCATCCGTATCGAAGAGGGATATCGGTGATGAAGCAAGACAGCGGGATCAGTTTGGCAACCAGCATTGTGGCTACCGATTCGAAGGAGAATTCGGTCACGGTGGAGAGGATCGTGTACGTGGGTGAAGGGGGAATGCCGTATGGTTGCACCGATGGGAAGCTGGCGAGGGATCAGAAGCTGGATGGTGGGAACCGTGCTCTGGAGAATAGCATGAAGATGAAGCAGCCTGTGAGGGTGATCTGCAAGCTGCCGTCGTTGGGTTCAGCTGCGGGCTATGTCTATGTCTACTATGGCTTGTACTTGGCGGTGGAGATGAATGAGGTTACGAGCGTCCATGGCAAGGTGGTGTTTCAGTTCGTGATGAGAAGGATTTCGGGTCAGCCGGATCTGCCTGGGAATCGGAGGATGCAGCGAGCTAACAACTAGCGATGGATGGTGTGGAATGCGCTTAGCAAGGTACACAATGCACAGGCAAGTTGTTGATGATGATGAATATTCGTTAACTGTTTTTAGTAAGCTTACATAGGCAGTAGCATGTCTCGGCAGTTGGTAGAATATTATGACTTGGATCGTTTAGTTTGCTAGCCATAGTAGGCACATAAGCAACTAGTGATTAGGCTTCTCCCGAACTGGATTTCGTTGTAGGTGCTTTGTTGGTGAGCCGCGATGGCGAGAACTTAGTTTCATGTTGTTAGGTTGTAGGAGGAATCGTCCGCTCCTCTTAAGAATGCAAGACTTGTTTTTGGGAGTGAGAATGAGATCTTATGTTAACAATGAAGATGCATCGACTACTCTTAAGGTAGGGTGAATGAAGAGCCTGCTTCGAAAGTATGTTAACGATGAGGATGCATTGACTACTCTTATGTGGTCGTGTTCATTGCTTAAAATCCATACTCCAAAGTATGTCGATGAATAAAGCGCCCGTTTTGACAACGATGAAGATGCATCGACCTTAAGACTAGCAGTTCGATGTAAGATGGATTTGATATTGCCAGGGAGAAATCAAGTAGCTTGGTTTGCCCATGACAAAGATTGTGGCACATAGCACAAAATATCCCCAAATCAAGTACCGAATTTCAAAATCTAGCTTATGCTAGGCGACTTTGCAAAGAGCATGATGGGCCATAGTCGCACAAAAGTCATGTTGTCTACGGGACGTGCACTACTTGGGCATGTCATTGTTCAACTTTTGCATTGTTGTTTAAGGCTAGTAACACATATTAAAAGGATGGTAAATTGGATTGTTGTGCTTAGAAATCGAGTAGCTTGGTTTGGCCCATGATAGAGATTGTGGCTCATCGCACAAAATACCCCAAACCGAGTATCGAATTTCAACATCTAGCTTATGTTGAGCAACTTTGCAAAGAGCATGACGACCATAGTCACACAAAAGTCGTGTTGTCTACGAGACGTGCACTACTTGGGCATGTCATTGTTCAACTTCTGCATTGTTGTTTATGGCGAGCAACACAAATTAAAAGTATGGTAAATTGGATTAGAAATCGGGTCTGGCCATGACAAAGATTTTGGCTTATTGCACAAAATATCCCCAAATCAAGTATCGATTTCAAAATCTAGCTTATGTTGGGCGAGTTTGCAAAGAGCACGACGACCATAGTCGCACAAAGGTCGTGTCTACGGGACGTGCACTACTTGGGCATGGCATTGTTCAACTTCTGCATTGTTGTTTATGGCGAGCAACACAAATTCGAAGGATGGTAAATCGGATTCTTGTGCATAGAAATCGAGTAGCTTGGCCTGGCCATGACAGAGTTTGTGGCGCATAGCACAAAATATTGCAAAATCAAGTACCGAATTTCAAAATCTATCTTATGTTGGGTAACTTTGCAAAGAGTATGATGCCTGTAGTCACACAAAAGTCGTGTCGTCTACGGGACGTGCATTACTTGGTCATTCTTCAACTTTTGCATTGTTGTTTATGGTGAGCAACACAAATTAAACGGATGGTAAATTGGATTCTTGTGCTTAAAAATCGAGTAGCTTGGTCTGACCATGAGAAAGATTGTGGCACATAACACAATTTCCCCAAATCAAGTACCGAATTTCAAAATCTAGCTTTTGTTGGGCGACTTTGCAAAGAACATGATGACCTTAGTCACACAAAAGTTGCGTCGTCTACGAGACGAGCAATAATTGGCTCATTGTTCACCTTCTGCATTGTTGTTTATGGCGAGCAACACAAATTAAAAGGATGGTAAATTGGATTCTTGTGCTTAGAAATCGAGTAGCTTGGTCTGACCATGATAGAGATTGTGGCGCATAGCACAAAATATCCCCAAATCAAGTACCGAATTTCAAAATCTAGCTTATGTTGGGCGACTTTGCAAAGAGCATGACGACCATAGTCACACAAAGTCGTGTCGTCTACGGGATGTGCACTACTTGTGCATGTCATTGTTCAACTTCTGCACTGTTGTTTATGGCGAATAACACAAATTAAAAGGATGGTAAATTGGATTCTTGTCCTTAGAAATCGAGTAGCTTGGTCTGGCCATGACAGAGATTGTGGCGCATAGCACAAAATATCCCCAAATCAAGTGTCGAATTTCAAAATCTAGTTTATGCTATGCTTCCTTTTGCATGCAAGCCAAGGAAAATGAGATCTAGTTTGAATATGAAGGGATTAACTTTAGGGTATATTGCAAGGTTGGTCATTGTGTTTACTAAACACGTTCATGTTTGGCCACTAAAAATATTTAATTCCATTCGTAGTCACTAAGATTAGTTAAGTGTTTCAAATTTGGTCACTCTCCGTCTAACTCCGTTAGTTTTGTCAGATGTGGCAGTTAACTTTTAAAGTTGACGTTAACTTAGTGACGAGGCAATTTAAAAAAAAAATTTAATCTTTTACAATTACAACCCATTTTCACAATAAGACAGAATAAATAAAACAAAAAAAATAATATAAATTCCAAATTGACATTCGGCCGCCTGAGCTTCAGCGCGTCGCCTCCGCTCCCACTTTCATCTAGCCGATTGATTTATGGGTTTCCAAAGTCTCCTCCGTCGCCAAATCCCCAAATCGAGAAGCCCACTCCGTAATGTACGGCAACTTCTGAAAATCATCCATCCACGCCCTCGCCTTCTTCTAGCCGTCGTACCCTTTCGGAAAACTCATCGGGAAGGTCAAAGCCGCCTGCCCCGTTTGAATGGCTTGTACTCGTCGTTGTTCCTGTTTTCGTTCTTGCTCTCGTGGGACCTTTGGAGAGCAGAAAATGCGTATTCCGACTTCCATTCAGCGACCTACAAGCAGCCGATTCCGTTGGATGCCTTGAGTACTCGGAAGTGGTCGGGATGTTTAGGGATTAAGTTACGTTTGAAGTTAACCGGGAGACCTAAATTGAATTTTAGCGAGTGGATAGATTGAATTGGTGTCGTTCTGGTTTTCATCATCACCAGCAATCTAGAGTCTCTCCACGGTTTCAGCCTCGTGAACTAGGTGGATGGATTGTTCATGTGAGTCGAGAAGCTGCTCTATTTCGGTAAGTCGGAAGCATTGCAGGTTCGCATAGCGAGCGTGTGGGAATTCTTCGAACAACGTTGGATACCTGGAAAGAAAAAAAATTGATTGGATTCACATACATTAGAAATGGCTATCTATTCATCTACCAAATCTAATTTAACATTCAAAGTACCTGCGCAAGAATCGAAGGACAGGGACGGTGAGTCCGAGGAGCTTCTGCCAATCGGCGAAGAACTAGGCGGTGAGGAAACCAGTTGGGGAGCGTTTGATTGCGTCCTTTAGAAGATAAGCGGCTTTGAGATCGGAGCGTTTGATTGCGACGGAGTGGGCTTCTCGATTTGGCGATTGGGTGAAGGAGGAGGCTTCGGAAACCCATAAATCAATTGGCGAGATGAAAATGGGAGCGGCGGCAACGCGATGAAGCGGAGGCGGGCGGATTTCAATTTGGAATTTATATTAATTTTTTTCTGTTTTAATTATTCTGCCTTACTGTGAAAATGAGTTGGAATTGTAAAAGAATAAAATTTATTTTATTTATTATTTTTTAATTGCCACGTCACTAAGTTAACGGTCAATTTTGTGAGTTGACTGCCACATCAGACAAAATTAACGGAGTTAGACGGAGAGTGACCAAATTTGGAACACTTAACTAATCTTAGTGACCACTGACCACGAATGAAATTAAATATTTTTAGTGACCAAACACGAACGTTTTTAGTAAACACAGTGACCAACCTTGCAATTAACCCATTAACTTTATGTAAATTTGGATAGGATTAGATTTTAGGCCTTGGGATTTAGTATAAATAAAGGGTATGGGTCTCATTGTAAAAGCATTTGAAACTTCAAGGGTTCATTATGAAACTTCAAGGGTTCATTTTCTAGTGAAATGCAACTGGTTTTGTGATCTAAACTCTAGTACTTTAGGATCACACAAAATAAGAAGAGCAGCAATGTCGACACTAGACACTCTCTCTCGATATTGAGCTAAACACTCTCACATTGTTTAGGAGGTGGAATTATGTGTATCTATACTTTTTTTACTATCAATACGTCGAGATATTTAGTTCATGCTTGTGATTCATCTCTCTTGCATGGCATGACGAGAAATCACGCATACATTTGAACTTAGAATAATCAATTATTGTTACATGGCACACGAGAAATCGTGCATAGCTACATTCATTTATCCTTCTGCAAAGGAGTTACACATCCCCTTCATTTGTAGAGTTTATCACCTGATCATGAAACACATGGGCATGATCATGAAACACATGGTATACAGAGCTGATAGAGAACTTCCCTGAGATGAAGAATGTCTAGGCCTTTAAACATTGAGACTCGGGTAGTCCAATGGGGATTGTAAATTAGTAATGATAGCTTGACTTTCTTGTGGACTAAGTAAGTTGCTGAAAGACGGCAGGTTTTAGGTTCGATTAGTCTTATCAATTTGGTAAGCCACTTTCGTATCATCATTTGGGGTTGTTATAAACGCACCGCTACGGATCGGGAAATCGCAGGAATCGATAAAGCAAAAATACGAAAGCGAGAATCGAAAAAACACATACACACGATTTACGTGGTTCACTAACACGATGTGTGTTAGCTACGTCCACGGGCGAGAGAGAGCCAGTTTCACTATATCGAGAATATTACGGATTACAGAGGAGTATGAGAAGTATTTATAGTACTTCACTATATCGAGGAGACCCCCGATTACCAGTCGTAGCGGCTGATAGTCCGATTCAAGTCACATCAACGGGGTTGTTTGGAGTTTCTCTTCTAGGAAAGAAAGAATCCATTGGTCTATGAAAGTGTTTGTAGAGTTACCATGGTCAATTACTTTGACAATCCCCAGTTCAAGTTTTGTCCTTTGTCTCCCATGGATTGGACCATATCCAAGAGGGTCTACTTTCTTTTTTGTCATTTAGGAAGTGAGATATTGGGAAGTAAAGTCCTTTGATTAGTGGAGCCTAAAGAGTCGTCGGATTGGTTTATAAGGAGAGATCTTGGGAAGAGGAATGTAGCTTGTTTTATAAGAAGAGGAATGTTGCAATCTTTGAAGAATAGAAAGCCAAGCCCTCCATCATCGTTTGGTGTATAGAGGTCATTTCGTTACACCAATTAATATTTTTTGACCATGAACCTTGACCAAAAGAATCGTTTAAGCATAGAGTCTCTTTTTTGGATGATAGATGTTGGAAGGAGGAAGAGACACATGATGAATTCAGAGATAACCTATAACGTAGCTTTCAGAAGTGGCTCTTTGCTTGCTGAAGATAGAAGCAAGCTCTTCCAGCCTTCTCTTGATTTTTCATTCTCTTCCTTTTCATGATATTCCTCATTCTATGGGTACTCTTGAGATATTTGGAGTGGCAATTCGAAGGTGAATATAGGTTGGCCAAGGAATCTCGACAAGGGTGGGTCGAAAATTGTTAGTAGATATCTGAATGATGTTGGACTTATCTTATGCTAGTATATTGTCGCTAAAGAAGATAAAGGACATGCTATTATTCAGTTCTTGTCTTGTAATTGCACCATAGTCTTTGATGATTCCTAAAATTCGTGAAAGTCATTGTTCCTAAAAGTCACCGTGTCATCAGACAACCGGTGAGAATAGGGCAACATCTATTGATTTTTATGCCTTTTATGTGGCTTCCATTAAATGCATTGTTTATAAAAAAAGGTAATTGCATTGGGCATAAGGATAAAGAGGGGCGAAGAAAGAGGGTCTCAATCTATTTCCTCTCGTGCGAGTGAATTGCGTAGAAGCTCCTCCGTCAATAAGGATGTCAAACTTAACTTTTCTCACACATCGTTAAATGTATCTACACCACTGGTCATATATACTATAAATTGAGGAGGTTCTCCAGACAGCCTCCCTTGACTAGATTATAAGCTTTGCGCATACCCCCCTTATCTAAACAAAAATTTTCCTTATATAAAAAAGCTTTGTGCATACCCATTTTTAGCATTACGTCTCGTTCGTTGGCCGTTTTTTGCTTCTTGAAGTGATTAAGAGCCTCATGTACAGTAATGATGTTGTCATGGATTCGAATTCTCCCCATGAAGGGAATTTGAGGCTCTAACAAAAGTGGGAGTAGCCATTTGTGAAGATGGGACGTCAAGATCTTGCAAATAATTTCATACTAAAATTTTAGGAACTAATAGATCTATATTGGCTGATGAGTTATGGTGAGTCAATTTTTTAGACAAGTGCCTTGTGGGTGGTATGTCATCCTTCTAACACGACCCTCATAAAAAGATCGAGTTCATCACCTCATCCAACAGTTTATCACAAACAGTTGGCCAGAATTTCCAAAGGAAATGGCCTGGAAAACCATTTGATCACGAAGCCTAGGAGGGATCAAGATCGAAGACAACACGGCGAATCTCAACATTGGTGATGGGGGAGCACAGGTCAGTTTTCATTTCATTCTATGAAATAGGATCAGATACGATCTTTAAGTGGGTCGTGAGACATCACAAGCGATCTTGGCTTTTTCCCCGTAGTAAGGGCGTTCAGGTGGGGAATTGAATCCTTAATCTTACACATTAAGTTGGTATTTTTCAAAGTTGATGGGATGGGGAATTGAACTCTTGACCTCTTTAATAAAGGCCTATTTACTTAACCATTATATTTTTTTATAATTGTGATATATGTTTATTTATTTTTGGGGTTTGGGTCTTACTTCATGAATTCGAAATCTGAGATCTCCAAATTCAAGACTAATTATATTACCATTAGACCAAACCTTTGTTCGTCTTAACTAGTACATTATATAGGTTTCCAACGAAATTCTTTTTTATTTTTATTTAATAGTGATATAAGTTCACTTTTTTGTGGTTTTAAGTACTATTCAAAGGATTCAAACTTGAGAACTACACGATTAAAATTAGTAATACACGATTAAAATTAATGATATTACTGCTAGACCAAACCATTATTCGTGGACCAAGCTCTAATAAGCAAATTCTATTTAAGCAAAACATGAAAGCATCGCTAAAACAACACACAAAGTAGTTATGTAATAGTATGCATAATTGCACACAGTGGGTTCTGATTCTACAATTTGCATACACTGATCCCCTAATAAACACACACCATTTGACCACAAAGATCGAGCTACGCCCAACTTACCAAATTACCTGTAGGATACCACTGGGGGTAAACAGTAATTCAAGCAGTAAAAATACACACAGTAAAACATTACATAACATGATAACAACAAGAGACAGAGAGAGAGAGATCACAGTAGTACATATATATATAGCCACATCAGCCATGGCGGTTTCCATCCCGAGCAGAGTCCGCGCCGCCGCCGCCGCCGCGGGCACTCGCAGCTCCACTTCCTCCTCCAGTGCCGGCGCCGCCGCCACTTCCAGAACCCGACCCACCAGCACGAACGCCGCCGCCGGACCCAGACCCGTACCCGTAACCCGATCCAGAACCCGACCCGGACCCAGACCCGTACCCGTACCCGAAACCCTTGGCGAAGCCGTTGGGAGATCGAGCCGAGCCGGAGCCGTATCCGTAACCAGTACCCGGGGTAGAGCCCCAGCCCCAATTATACTCCCAGTTGGGCCCATGGGCCGAGCCCGAAGACGGCGATGACGAGCCCCCGGCCTGGTTGGACATCTGGGGAAAGCCCGCTATCTTCTGGTCGCCGGCTATGTGATGGCCGTGGTGGCGGCCCACGACGCAGAGCTGTGGGACGAGGACGAGAACTAGTGAGAGAATGAAGAAAGACGGCATGGTTTCTTCTTCTTTGTGATGGTCGAATTGAACGAGAGATGGAGAAAGGAGGGTTAATATTTATAGGGAGAGAGTGTGATTTTTTGTGAAGAAGATGGTTAAGTGGGTGGATGGTGACGAGCGAACACAAAGAATAGTGAACCGAACCCGTGAACCAGGTCGGTCGGGTCCCCCCTTTTTTTTTGGCTTTCACGATCACAAGGTCACTGATTTTAATAGTCGTCCTTCGTTTATCCATATCAATCAACGTGTCCTTCCCACTACCAAATTTCGTACCTGGTAACAAAAGTTGAAAATGTAATTATTGCGGTTGGGGAAAAGTAAAAAAAATCCATTAGAGAAATATCAATCGATTGACGTACCGATAATTAGGAGGTAAAAACATCAAATCATATGGGTTCGAATTTTGGAGCAAAACAACTAACAAAAAAATAAAGTTTGGAGACGAGGAAATGTTTGAGTAGTTGTGACAAAGGTTCAAAAAGACGCTAGGGGGTAAGGTAGGTTGTTGGGATCTTGTCTAGCGACTTAACTTGACTGAGAGAGCCTGCGCGCCCCAGAAGAAGAAAAAAAATAGTAGTTACTAGTTATTTACTAAATGATTAATGAAATAGATGTTTTACAATACTATTAGTTCGAATTATTTATAATTTACTTAACAATAAGAAAAAGTAACTTACAAGTTCACGGAATCATAGCTCAATAGCCATAAAAAAAATCTTAAGCTATTGAAAATATTAAGAGAAAAGAGTGTGTTTTGAGATGATTTTAATTTCTCCATTTTGATATTGACTGCTTAGCTTCACTTTAATTACACCCAGACGACATCTAAATATCACCGTACTACGCCATAGTGTTGTGGATTCTTAACTGACTGCAGAACCCTCAAACGAAGCATTTTGATGTTGTCTACCACCTAAACGTAAGATTAAGCGCACATGTAGGTATTATCCCGAAAATAGGTAACTCGAAGTACATGGAGAATATCCCAAAACTAGGTATTATCGGTAAGTTGAGTATGATATTTGTTAAAACATTATTAATTATCGACCTACCAACAAACTACGTACCTTGTTCATGAACAACGATGGATAAATTGATATACATACTGCCCTAGTTCTCCAACACCAAAACCTTAATCGTCGTTAATTAGAAGAACTTTGGTTGTTCAACTTGACTTAAAGAGTGAGACCTTATGCTCTCACTCAATCAAGACCTTATCACCTCTCTTTCTCTTGCTCTCGTTTATTACGGGTTACGTGGTTCTCACTGAGTTAACACAAATAACTTACAAGTTTTTTCATGAGATCTCATCAATCTCCATGAATCACATTTCTGACAATCTCATCGTCGACGCCATCGATAACCAATCACCTGCCTCCAAATTGTAAACGATTTAGTGGTAAGAAACGGCCGAACCACAGTCCAACCACGATAATTACAAACAACCTATCACTAATTTTTTTCCCGTTATAACTTCCGACATCATTTCACAATCATTGATAAAAAGAACAACTCCATACTATATTAGCAATAAAATGTAGCTTGGCATTTTAACTTTAGCACAACTTGTGCCCATAGATTCATTCCTCTCTCTCTCTCTCTCCCCTCTCATGTCGATTAAACTTCTTCAATGTGTTCCCGATTCTTGAATCAAATGCACTTATTATCAAGTGGGCAGGTAATCACAAGTATGGTCAAATCATCCATCCTAATCAAATAAGAAAGGATAGAGCACTAGCACGATAGTAAGTAAGGAACAAAATTCCCACACTATTAGGCCAGAAAACGATGGACGCGCGTGTGATGAACTGATAAGGATGTAAACAAACAGAGAACCATATAAATATAGGATGAATCTGAATATGCCACTTCTGTTTATTGGGAATTTTGTGACAACGAAGGTCAGAAATTGAATCACATTACCGACGTGATAGTGGGAGAAGAAGAAGAAGAAGAAGAAGAAGAAGAAGAAGAAAGCGTTGCATTTGCATTTGCATAGCAAACGTGGCGAGGCAGCATCGGCCGTAGCCCACGAGTGGCGGTTACTAGAGCGCCTATCTATATTACTGGTGTGGCGGCTGAAAGTTGCCGACCTTCCTCCCATTTTTCTGCGGTGCATTCATTACGTTAGCATGAGGATGGTGTATTGTTTATTATGGAAAAAAAAAATCTCAAAATACACATGTTATTAAAATAAATTGACAAAATACATATGTTATAAAAAAAATGTTCCTGATCTACATGGCGGCGTGGTGGTCAAAATGCAGTGAACGCCTAACCTGTGTCAAAATTTCGAATGAACATGACTTTGCGCTTGATTATCCAATCGTATCGAATTTTTTTATTTATTCCGCATAATTATTCAAGAACTTTCAATTCTCAAACAGTCATAGGCGAATTGGTACAAACTTTGTCCTGGAAAAATCATTATTTGCTATCCCAAACGAGCAATTTTTAGATTTTGCCCAACTTTGAAAGGTTATAACTTTGTGTAGGGATGACAAAAATATCCGTAACCGTGGATATCCGCCCGAATCCGATCTAATCAGGTAGGGTAAGGCCCGAACTCGAAAGACTTTTAGTGGGTACGGGTAAAACCCGAACCCAAAAATTGCGGGTAATGGGTGAGCATGGGTGTCTTACTATCCAACCCGTACCCGCCCGATTATACACATGCATATGTATTTTGTCTAGAAATAATCATTATTTTTCTCTAACATATTTTATATTTAGCATATAAATATAACATTTTCATGAAATTGTGTTGTTTTAATTAATTTTTTTCATTCTAGTGAATTGTTTCGTACTTTTCCTCTTACGCAATGCAAGTATAAGTGTGAATGTTAACATATTGATTGGAGTTATAAAAAGAAATTATTACCCATGGATACCCGAAACCCAAACGGGTATGGGCATGGTTTTGATTTTCTACACATTTCTCATGTGGGTATGGGTATGGGGTAAAACCCGAACTACTTTGGGTAGGGTAACGGATATGCACTATCCGCCCCCGACCCGACCTATTGCCATCCCCTCTACAACCCAAACGTCACAACTTTTTTTTATTACACATATGTCGGCCGCGGTGAACCATTCACCGCGATTGTCAGTCGCGGTGATGTAAGTCACCGTGTTTGACGGTCGCGGTGAAGTCCAAACATGTGTAGATTGGGAATACTTCATAAATCGTGTGTATTTTGGGAATTGTTTTTAAGAGCGAATATACTTTTGGATTTTTTCCCTGTCTATTATTCCATTTAAAGTAGTTCAAGTTTTACTTTCGAATGGTAAATATCTGGATGGCATTGGGTCGGGGCAGATAGTCTATGTTTACTATTCTGTTTAAGGTAGTTCACCTTTTACACTTACTCATATTGGGTTTCGAATATCCATAGATGGTAATTTTTTTATAACTTCAAGAAATATGTTTAAAATTACACGTATATCGACATTGTATAAGTGAAAAGTACAACAATAAAACACTAGAACGAGAAGAATTAGATAAAGAGTGAAAAATAAAGACTATTTCTAAATAAAATATATGCGCATATGTATATCGAGCTGATTCGAGCTGGATAGTGGAAAAATCATATCCACCCAATTCTCAAATATTTGAATTCGAGTTCTACCAATACCCATAAAAAAAACTCTTTCACGTGGGTTTTACCCTTACCATCCATAGTATCCTACACAATTACCAATTTCACTAAAAATTATTTCAATTGCCATTTTATAACCTTGCCCAATTCACATTCAAGCTATCCATGAATATAGTAATCTCAATCTTTACCCTTTATCTCTTTTCATGTGATAGCCCCAAACCGGGTGACTAGGGTTATTATAGAGTCGTGAAGTACGATCACTTTTCGTAAAGAATATTTTCACCCTCTTCAAAGCCTTGAGTTACAGGAAATTTCTTCGTAGTATAAAACTATCACCACTTTAGGTTCTAGATTTACGAACGGTAAAACGTACTTAGAAGCCTTTAGAAGAAAGAAGAAGAATATGTTTGATGGTCTGTGGCATCATCCATCCCACGCATATATTAGGGGCCGAATCCATGCATTGTTTCATGAAAGTTTCCATTTATCCATATGAAATGTTGCCTTCATCCATTCGAAAGGTTGTCCCGATCCATAAGTTTGTCATTATCCATAAAGTCAGCCTTATCCATAAGAATCGTTCTTATCCATAAGTTTCATCCTCATCCATAAAATCAACCGCCACTAGGCCAAAGGGATATGTCCCTTCATGAAACTGGAATATTGATTAAAACCGTGTAACAATCCAATCCCGTCTTTGATCGTGTGTATATCCAATCTGGTTTTAAGAAACTGGATCAACCCTATCCGGTTAAAATCGAACCGGACTGTTTCCCATTCCCAGTTCCTACATAAACAATATATATCCTTTTCCTAATAGAAACTATATATATATATATCTCCTGACACTTTCTATTTTGCTTCCACCTGTACATTATTTTTCTATGATCTTTTCTCCTTTTTGTCCCCGTTGTGCTGTGACCATATAAAATTTATGAACCTGTGTTGTTGTTGCAGAAATATCTGCAGCTATGGTGTCTACAGACTACAATCTACAAACCACAATTCTGTCGACGATGGATATATTTCCTCACAACTTCTTTCTGTAGGTGGGGCATATCCACCATGCAGGCATGGAGACATATTAACTGGTTCAAACTGTGTGTCTTTGGCAATTGGCATCCGGCTGTGCATAAGATAGATCAGTGGATAATTGACTAGGAGCATTTCTAAGGTCGTATACGATCGCCAAATATCTTTGAGTACTGATGGTTGAACTAGTTGATAGCATGTCTTAGCTTTCTGTTTTGTTCTTCTTGGAACACCACAATGGTTGCTTCCTTTCGTTGTATCGGATTATGAATCGTGATTTGCGATTCATGTTTAATAAAAGAAATCTAATTCAACCAAAAAAAAGATATCAAGAAAGTTGAAAATAAAAAATGGGTGATCTATCCATAATCAGGATGAAGTTTGGGTGAAACTAATTGAGTGGAGGTAAAAACGTGTTTAGTTACTTTTTTGGACTCAGAAATAGAAACGTGTTTAGTTACTTCTTTATGGGCGTAAAGTGGTTGTTTTTATTGACGTAAAGAATTTAATGAATATTGGAAACAGAAAATAATACCAAACATATTAAATGTGTGGGGGATTTTTGTTGGGGGTGGGTGTCAAATTTTTGGCAAAAGTTAAGAGTATTAACATCCAATTAAATAGAATGGTGCAAACACTAGATTAAGACAATATGAATATTGTCGTTTTGATGGCTTTTTATTCAAAAAGGTTCACCACAATTAGTGGTGATTTAAAAAGGAGGGACAAACTTGTCATTATGAAATATAGGGGACACACACGTGTGGCTATACCCGTCTGCACGTTTATTCCGCTTCTCAACAAACTTGTCATTATGAAATATAGGGGACACACACGTGTGGCTATACCCGTCTGCACGTTTATTCCGCTTCTCACGTATCATTAATCAGACCAAAAAATATTAACGAGAAGCATACCACACAATAAAATAGTATGAAATATACTAGAAAGCATATACAGAGAACCATAACTTCACCACACCATAAAATTAAAGTATATCAGCAAACTCGATGCATATCAAAAGTTCCCTTAAGCAGACGAGAAACCTAATAAAGTATAACACAAATTCCCTGAAACATACTAGATGCCTCATAAACTGTACCACAAGTTCCATGAATCATAGCATAACCTTATAAAGTTACCACAAGTTCTATGAAGCAGACCACAAGCCATCTAAAGAGACAAGTTACCTTAAGCATACAAAAAATCTAATAAAGCATACCACAAGTTCCCTGAAGTAGATAAGAAACCTCATAAAGCAGACGACAAGTTTCCTGGAGCAGACCAGAAACCTCATAAAGCATACCACAACACCCTTGAAGCAAACCACAAATATCATAAAGCATACCACAAGTTCCATGAAGTATACTATAAAACCTCATAAAGTTATGACAAGTTTTATGAAGCATACCACAAGTCTCATAAAAAGAGCACAAATTCCTTGAAGCATACCAGAAACTCATAAAGTAGCCCACAAGTTCCCAGATGCCAGAAGCATACCACAAACCTCATAAAGCATACGACAAGTTTCCTGAAGCGGACTAGAAAACTCATAAAGAATACCACAATTTCTCTAAATCGAACCAGAATCCTCATAAAAAACATATCACAAGTTTATTAAAGCATACCACAAATTTCTTAAACACAAATCATAAACCTCATAAATCATACCACAAGTTTCTTAAACTACACTAGAAATCCAACAATTGGACTTTGTCGAGCACATAGGCTCATTTGCTTGTTGCATTTTGAAAATTAGGATTTGAATTTTAGAAACCTTTGAAATATTCCGATGCACCCACCCATCCGAAACTACAGTACATTCGGCAAGAAAATTGGACGGGCCATTCAACCCTACAACTTTCACGATTGAATTTTGAGGGAGAAAAAGAAACCGTGTGGGGCTTTGTTCAGGAACCCACATGCAATGCACAAACGAAAACCCACCTTGCTGCTGAGAGCTCTCTCCACCTCTCTTCTTGGGCCATATTCTTCTCTAACTTGGTTGAATGTATTGGCCCAGTCCATGTGCCATACTGACTCCAAAACACTGCAATCCTCTGCCTAAATCCTAGTGTAGGTAATGGGACGGGATGGGTACCTCAACATCTATGGTCGCTCCATACTAAGTGTAAATTAGATCAGGTAATGCCCGCACGGGTATAGGGTGAGGCGAGTCAGCCTGTTCTTATAAGTTATTTGAAAAAAAATGTCGATATTCAACTCTTTTACAAGAAGATATATAGAGAAGACGCTTCATAAACTAAAGAAAAATATAGCAGAAGATTAGTTGAGTATAAATAATTGAAAGATATAGTTGTATATCTTGTTTGGATGAAAGTATGATTTTAGAAATGTAAAAAAAAAAAAAAATGAGACATACATATAGAAATTGATGTAGTAATTCATAATAAAACGGATCGAAAATGGAACGAGTCTAATAATACTCACCTCAAACAGATCAAAACAAATCAGGTCCCGCGAATTATGTCAGAAATTACCATCAATACTAAATCCTTAAGAAATCACGAAGCAAATAATGTCCTTGACTTTGCTGAGTAATTTTTGGATATTAAACGCACCTCTCCATAAAGTAATTTTAATGTGGCCGATTTCCCTTCTTTTGCAAATAAGTTTCGCTACATTACCTGCAGCTCTAGCTAATTGTCCACCCTTTCGAAGTGTGATTTCTATGTTATGTATGATCATCTCAACTCTTCTTTTTTGTATGTCATAATCTATAAAAGTAGGTAACTGAAAAAAGAGCTCGAATAAAAGCAATTTTCAAATTTCAGAAGCAATTGTTCTTTGGTGCACACTATTAGGACCAAAATGTAGTATCCTTAAGAAATCATTTAGGATTGGCAATTTGAAATATAAATTTATTTTCAAGTCTTTTGCCTCTTGTATCATGTTCGGATTATCTCATGACAGTATTATGTCATCCACATAGAGTAGGATTACAGGGATCCCTTGATTTGTTTACTTGGTTTGAGCTTGTAGATGGATTTTTTCAGTTTACATGCTTTTTCTGGGAAACAGGCAAAGAGATGCAGCTGCAAAAAAAGATTTTAACCATGGAATGGAAAAACAAGTTGAAAAAAGCTTTGATTCAACAAAGTAGAGATCGCTCAGTTCAGCGGGGTTGTCGCCATACAAACTCACTCTCTGTAATAGAGAGGGCCTGTAATCCGGTCTGTTGAGCTTGAATTTCATAGAGTCATCACCGCGATCTCATTTCCATCAATCAAAACAAAAAACCAGAAACCATTTTCCATTCTAAACTGAAAGATAACATTTTTATGGGGAAAAAACATCATCCAATTTTCATCAACTGACCAACCATCTCATCGCCAATGGCATCTAAAAACAGAGAGACGAACGTAAAAAGCAGTAAACTTTTAAATGGTAGAGATTCAGCAAGCAAATATCTTAACATCACTTGACAATTGATCAAATTGCCAATCAGATCAAGTGTTGGATTGTGATATATGTATGCTTCATCCCCATCTCAACAAATTCTGAAAAACAGAAACGACAATGGAAGGAAACCCAATTGATTCTGAAACCCAAAGATCATGAAATTGATACAAATCTCGACATTTTTTCTCAAGATTTCAAAACTGGGGAAGACAAAAGAGGATACTCAGTGATGGCGGTGATATTAGGTTCGATTCTGCCAGCTGATTTCCTCAATTTAAAATCAGAAGAGGGAGCGTGGATCCTCATCGTAACCTCTTTCAGAAAGCTTCCCCAATTCCAAAACCAACAAAGTATTGAAAAACGAATTGACTGAAACAAAGTACGAGGAAGAACGACCAGATTCAGTTCAAGAGGGCAGCTAAGAGAATGAAGAAGGTGATGGGATATTGGGATTCAAGCGGCTGAGGAGAGCTTCAGGGGAATTTGACTTTATAGCAGAGTAGCTAGGGTTTTTGCGTCCAACAGTTCTTCCGAGGTTCGCTCTGATATTGGGCTCAAACAGACGGTCGGGCAAGCCCAGGCTAAGGATTTAATAAACAATCTGAAACTCCAGTTTCAGGAATAGTGGGCTTTTCTCGGCCCATCAATTCTCTCTTGCGGCCCCTTATTTTTGGGAAGTCATGCCCTTTTCAAGTTCCTCCCGATTGCAATTGAAAGTGGACTCTTTTTAACTATAAGCGTCTAATTCATATTAATAATCGACCGATTCTGGGAGACTCTTATGATATCGTGAAGAAATTACTGTTTAAGGTCGGGATCATACAGTTGAAAGTGAACTATACCGGTAGAGATGACAATGAATTGAATTGGATTGGATTGGAGGTGCATAATGTATATCCATTGCTCTATTCTATATAATTCGAGTTATACTTATATTCATGCTCATACAAAATTAGGTAGAAAATTTATACCATGCTCATATTCGATTGGTTTTGGGATAACCATGGATAGTGATTTTTTTTCCATAACTTTAAGCATAAATGTTAACAATTATACATATAATATTAAATAGGTGAAAGGTACAACAATAAATTGTAGAATGAAGAAAATTAGTTGAAGAGAACCCATTTTGATGACAATATTATATATGTATAGAAAATATCAAATATTATGAGAAGAATAAAGACCATTTCTAGATAAATGCATACACATATGTCTAATCAGAAGGGTTCGGGCTGGATATAGAGAAAAAAATGTTCACCCATCACCGCAATATTCATATTCGGGTTTTGCTCATACCCGTCATAAATCCTCCAAGTTGGGGTTTTGCTCTACCCGATTAAGTCGAATTCTGGCGAATATCCACAGGTGTTGATACTTTTGCCATCCTTAGCCAACAGGGCATGGTTGTCATGTTGGTGGTAATGTTGGTCGGTACAACCAGATTCAACGGTACTAGTTGTAAACCTAACTGGAATATCCTCGATACGACTGACATGATCGATTTTCGTTATTTAAACAAAATGACGTCCAACGAATTTAATACAAAAAAATATTGAACTATTTTTTAAAATTGAAAGTTAAACGTTGATGTCATCTGTTGGGTTCGGGAATGAATGTTTAGATGTTTATGTTATCTGTTGGATTCAAGTATAAACTTATGGGTGTTGTCGTTAAATGTTGTATTTAAATATGCGGATTTGTTTATTTTGTTTGGAGTGTTGTATTTTATTTAAATATGGATACAAATATTAGACCATAACATTTGCTAAATAATTGGTATGAACTGAGATAAATCGATTAAAAATCTGTCAGACCATACCATTTGCCTAATCTACATAACGATATAAACCGATTTGACAACAATGAGAGCATTTTCCCCTATAATACAGAGAGCATTACTAGATACTAGACTAGTAGTACATGTAGCACACAACACAATCAAACAGAAATCATTATTGAGATGGCGACATTCGATGGGGGAATATCCTGTTATTTTCCAGTGGTGTACATAATTTGTTGTTATACATTATATCCACAAAATCTTTGTTTGGGTATGAGTTTAGATTGATCTTCTGTTCTTTTCAACTCAAACCATTTATCCAAAATCGAAATAATTGCATGCATCTGAATGTGGCCCAATGCCCAAAGCAAAGGTAAAAAATGTTCAATAAATGAGCACTTCTCTGTCAGTACCCCACCCTCAGCTCGGAGTAGATGGTGTATGTAAAGAAAATCAAGTAATACGATATTTTATGTTGAAATTGTGATTTAATTGTTTTATATTATTAAAATTATGTATTGGTTCAAATTTCAATAATAATGTTTTCGGTTGAAATGTTATTACAGAATATGATTTTGTAAATATGGAACATAATGTCAAGATGAGGAACAATAATGTCCTAGTCCGAGCTTGTACAAAAGTTTGAACAATCTCAGGAGTTGATCTAGTGGTAAATGGTAATGTGGGCATACATTCATCACACTATGAGTTCGAACCTTTGAGACCAATAATTATCAGAAGAAAAAAGGTTTGAACAATCTCAAGGTTGCGATGAGTTTTTTGTTTTTACTTTTAAAATTGACTGTATTTTTTTATTTTTCTATTCTATCAATAGGTAACCATGATAAACTCGAAATAATGACCCAATTCATGAGAACGAAGACTCAAATAACGACTGGAGATAGAGCATGGATGACAATGGGAGGTTTTGGGGTTAATTTTTCTAAATCATTTCATTCATAATTAGTAATTACATAAACTCACAGTTTTCGGTTACCCGTGAGTAATACTTGTCCCGTAAATCTAATACTAATATATATGGAATTTCACATGTATATCTTCAGTTATAACACTAAACGCACCTAATAAATCACAAAATCAACAAAGATACAAACATTCTCAATATGAATTCAAAGCATCCACTCCTAAAATATACATTAGTTCATAAGACAAAGTACCCAAATCATTCATCTCTAAGTCCGACACATGACACCTCTGCTAAACAATAAACAACTAACATTAAATTTTGTTAACAAAGGGGAGAGAAAGTGAAAGAAAGAGAAAATTAAATTACATTCAACTCTTTTTTTTTATGATCCGTCTTGTCATCGAAAGGTTATAATATGATCCCTATATTTTTAATATAGGAAGAAAATTTTTGGGGATATAAATATGAGTATATGACTGTATGAAGTCAAATCCGTCTCGTCCTCATCAAATGTTTTGTGGGTTTATCCATACCCATCCTATACCAATCAATACAAATATTCTTCGTATTGACTTAATCGAAAGTGATCGAATATGTACGATTGCTGGTTTGATTGTCATCTCCAACCTAGAGGACCCAAAATCGGTTAATAAGGAGACCTTCCAAGTTCCAGCTGAATGTAGTAACTTCTATTCACTTCCAAGTTCCAACCCATTAAGCTGTCACAGTTAAAAAGAAAACCATGGTCGATTGGTCCTGAAGAACTTCCCTGGAGGCCTGGACCACAATGATATGAATCATCTACCGTCACTCTGTCAGAGAGTTTGTGACTAACAGTAGTAGAAGATCCTATTTTAAGAGAACGGAAGAGATGCTCTGCTTGGCCTTTTTGGGTCTGGTTCGTCGTCGCATTCTGCACTTTCCCCCCTTTCCTCACTTTCGTTGGTTACTCCTTCCTTCATTCCTTAGCTCAGCTCCCTCCCCACTTCCTCTTCTTACTTTTGCCGGCCAAAGATGGTTTCTTTGGCCCAGGCTCTGGCGGTTTCCTACCCCGCCGGATTCCCCTGCACCAGCTCTCACGCACCTCCTCGCCGGTGGAGCTCCGGCCGGTTAATTACTCGGCCAGATCACAATTCGAGGTTGAGATGGCGATCCAAGGCGGCGGAATCCGATAACACTCCTCCTCCTCCTCCTAATTCTCTGCCTTCGACTTTCGCCGCTTCCGTTGACGCCGCCGACTCTGCTGCTGCTGGGTACTTTCCCCCCTCCTCCCTCCCTTGTAAATTCGCTCCGGCGGCGGTCGATTTAGTACTGTTTGACTAACTGATGAATTGGGGTTGCCAGATTTTGCATCATAGAAGGGCCGGAGACGGTGCAGGACTTCGACAAGATGGAATTGCAGGAGATCGATGACAACATTCGGAGCCGGAGGAACAAGATCTTCCTGCTCATGGAGGAGGTAAGCTACTAAATAAATTTGATAATATTGGTCGATCGAGATTAAATTGGGAAGAATTGGTATTTCAATCTGGTAAAAACTACAAGGTCCGGCGGCTGAGGATACAGCAGCGGATCAAGCGCGCTGAAGTTGGAAAACCGGAGACCGACCTCCCTGATTTCCCTTCTTTCATCCCATTCTTGCCTCGTCTGGTAAAAATCAAAGCTTCTCTCCCCCTTTTACTCTCTATCTTCTCCTGTTAATAATCACAAGGGGCAAGAAATGTGACCCAACTGTTCGCTTGCTTGTGACATGGTACTAAAATACAAACAGACTGCAGCAAACCTTAAAGTGTATTATGGCACTTGCTTTACTCTCATCTCTGGGATCATCATCTTCGGCGGCCTCTTAGCCCCAGCTGTAAGACACTTTAACTCTGCTAACCATTGATTCTCAATCTTTAAAACTTGTTGCGTGTCTCATTTTTTTTCTTCTTCCTAACATGTTCAGCTGGAGCTGAAGCTGGGATTAGGAGGCACCACATATGCTGATTTTATTACCAGTATGCATCTGCCAATGCAGTTGAGGTATAGTATTAGCGATCCGTTGTTGCGAAACTTTCCTTACTTGGAGAGGAGGATTAGTCCTATGATTCCTATCATGTATCTTGTGGGAAAATGTTGCAGTCAGGTGGATCCGATCGTGGCATCGTTCTCCGGTGGAGCGGTTGGAGTGATCTCGGCATTGATGGTGGTGGAAGTGAACAATGTGAAGCAGCAGGAGCACAAGAGATGCAAATATTGTATTGGTACTGGTATGTATTCTTAAACCATTCTGCACACCATGTAATGCTTGAGTTACCCACTGACAAAAATGGATCGAAACCCTGCTAGGGTATCTTGCTTGTGCTCGATGTGCAAACACCGGAACCCTCGTCCTAATCGAGCCAGTTTCGACGACAGTCGGTGGTAGCGAAGGGGAAAGACCGCTGTCGGTGCCCAAAACGGAAAGGTGCCCGAATTGCTCCGGGTCGGGGAAAGTGATGTGCCCTACGTGCCTATGCACTGGTATGGCTATGGCGAGCGAGCACGACCCGCGAATCGACCCGTTTGATTGAAAAAAATGTGAGGTTTGTATGGCAAGGAAACAATCTTTTTTTTTTTTCTTCTGTTTTGATGCAAGGAGCTTCATCCATGTGGTGTTGTATTCATCTAACTGTTGGCTGTTGCTATGTGCGCAGCTGAAACCGGTAATGTTGTTGTAAAGATGACTAATTAATAAAGTGGTCTCTCTTTTCCTCTTTGTGTTTCAAAGGGGTTTTCACTTTTCAGCTGGAAATAGTGAAAATGAGTTGGAATTCGTAAAAGATTAAATTTTATTTTATTTATTATTTTTTATTGTCACGTCACTTAATTAACAGTCAACTTTAAGAGTTTGACTGCCACATCAGACAAAATTAACGGACCAGACAAAATTAACGGACTTGGACGGAGAGTGACCAAATTTGAAATGTTTAACTAATCTTAGTGACCACAAATGAAATTAAATATTTGTAATGACTAAACGTGAACTATTTTAGTAAACACAGTGACCAACCTTGCAATTTACCCGAATGTTGGCTGTTGGTGTTGGGTCAAGTTCTGGAACTGTGCGGGGGATCATGGTCCAGTGTAAAGTTAGTTGGGCCACAGAACATTCCATTTCGAGGATTTTTTTTTTCTCCGGAAATTGAAAGAAAGAAACCCACCGCAGCCCCTGGTACTGTACACGCAGACACCTTTTACTGTACAACGTGACTGAGATTTACTGTTTCAAACTGGCGTGTCCTTCGGTGTGGGCTGTTGTTGGGTGAGGCCTCATTGGGATCTGGCGGGGTTTGGGGGCTCGGTCGGGGTGGGACTGGTCGTTGGCTTCTGGTTGGCCTTAGTTGCGGTCGTTTGGTGGCCCGGACGCGCGTTGGTCATCAGAGATCGGTATGTGACTTTGCCCCTCCCCGGCCACGTGGGATGGGGCCTTCAGATGTGCTCAGTAAGTCTTGCGTGATATCATTGTGTCTGTTAGGGATTCCGGCTGTTGTTCGCAGGACTGTGTTGGAGAAACTTGGCGACTGATTGGCTGCGGTTGGAGGTGCTTTGGGAATGGTGGACAACTGATTGATACCGGTTATTCACCTGAGGGACGGGGCCTTCAGATGTCCTCAGTGAGTCTTGCATGATATGATTGTGTCTGTTAGGGATTGCTAGAGGGTCGTGTTGGGTTGTTGTTCGCAGGACTATGTTGGAGAAACTTGGCGGCTGATTGGCTAGGATTGGAGGTGCTTTGGGAATGGTGGGCGGCTGATTGATACCAGTTATTCACCTGATGGCGGGAGGGTGTCAGAAAGTTCACTGTTTCAAGCACTTTGGACGTCATTCAGTGCCTCGATGCGTGCGCTCTGGTGGAGAAGGCCATTTCTCATTCTTTTTGCACAAGAGGACTCATTCTCGGAACGCATTTCCCTCTTTTTTTCTCCCCTCTTTGTTCTCTGTGGTTCAGTCGTTGCTTTCTCGCCTTTTTTCTCGCCATGGATGCTACTCTGCTCTGCAATCTCAAAGGAGGTACTAGAGAGGTGACTCTGAGGCTTCGTCTGCTCCATATGTGGTATGCCATGAATCCTTCTGGGACAAGGGTGTTTAATCACTGTTGCCTCTGGGTAGATCAGACGGTAGATTCTCTTACGCTGATTCTTTGTGATTACAGTGCTTTCTGTTTTTTTGCTCTTTTTTTTCCTTCTTTGTTCTTTCTTTACTGTCTTTTTTTGTTTTTGATTCAGGGTATGCTCATTCAGAGCCTTGCTGATGTCTCTATTGGGTCTGAATTTGAGCGTGTGCTGCGCGTGGGAGTTATCTACGTTCTAAGGTCTTTTGGTCTCAGTGCCGCAAGGAATCTCTATCGTGCTTGCTCATTTGATCTGATAATAGAGTTGTCAGCAACAACTATTTTCCAGGCCTGTTCTCTACCTGCAGCTGAATTTCTAACTGATTCCTTTGAGGTTGTTCCTTATAGTGAGCTGTCTAACCGTTCAGGGGACAATCGTATCCTTGCAGGTGATTGTTGCGTTTTCTTGACTGAAATGAATTGGGTTTTATGTCTTCTTACTGCTCTTTTTTTTCGGTCAAATGTTGTCGGCCGTCTTCATTCTATTAGCGGGATTGATCATCAGGTTACTAATCACGGCTCGACTCCAAAACAAGTTCTGGTCCTTGAGAATGCACAGTAGGTCTTTTGTGTTATTTTATTTTTCCACTGGGGAATACTGTTTCATCACCATCGCGTAAGATATGATCCTTTGTTTTGCTGTCAGGGGCCAGAGAGTGTCGATCACGCTTTGGAATGAACTGACGGCAGTCCTTGATCGACCTGCTTTGATTCAGGCGGACTCCATTGAGCCAGTGATCGTTGGAGTTGGGGGGCTCATGGTTGGCCGTTTGATAGGTGTGTACTTTGACTCTTTTCCATTCTGCTTGATCATAAATTGTGAACTGATTTTGTTTTTGTTGTGTAGCTGGTGAATATTCCTGTTCGAGCTCCTCTGGAACCCGTATAGTTGTTAGCCCGAGGATACCAGAAGCATATAGTCTCGCTGCTTTGTGGGTTCTTTGTTGTTAAACTGTGATTTTGTTGTTCCAGATTTGCTTTGTGGTGTTTGGTTTGCTTTACTTTTTTGTGTCCATCTATACAGTTTTGGTGGATCCAGAGTTCCTGTTGCTGATTTGCCAGTCAAGTTTGCGACCCCAGAGGACGCTGTTGCTGATGCTGAGCGGAGAACCAGGACCATAGCTGAGCTTCTTGATTTGCACCATGGCGGTGTTTCTGTCGTGAGTTGCATTTTGATGTAGTTCTTGATTTTAGAATGGTCTTCGGGTTGTCCATTTATTTATGTTTGTTTATTGCTTTCTGGGATTATCAATGTTTATATTCAGGATGAAAAGCATCGTTGCGGTGGTATAGTCCGATCAGTTGAGTCCCGGAGCCCGTGGTATTACATGTCATGCAGCATGTGCAGAAAAAAGTGTTCTACGTGGCGAAATGGTAACTACTGGTGTCCTGACCATTAGGAGATCACTGAGCAGCAAGTGACAGTTGGGTGTGTGTTTTGTCTGATCATTAGTTGTTGTTTTTGTTTATTTCAATGTGTGCCTGTCAGGTCTTAGAGAATTTGCTTACTTTTTTTAGTTTGCACTCCCACGCCTATCCTGATGGAATTGTCTCTGTATTTTACTGTGTCGTCTCTAGCTACAAGATCCAATTGACCCTGCGTGATGGCACTGACGAGGCCCCTTTCATTATTTTCGGCCCGTGTGGGAACAATTTGGTGCTCACATCTGCCCAACTGCTGGCCCAGAGATATCCTCACAGGTCTGGCCAGTTGCCGCCTGAACTTGAGGCTTTGCTCGGCCAGTTTGTCAGATTTGAGGTCAAGCTTCCGATGGTTGGGTCAAGTGGAGTATCTACGGGTGAATTCCGTGTTTTCCGAGTTATGCCCCATGATGTTCAGGGCCCAGTGCTTGGTCTTACAGGAGTTCCAGGTGTCACAGGCAGTGTTTCTTCGTCCCAAACCCTAAGTCAGTCCTATTCTGGTCAGGAAGGAATGTTGATGCTGCTTGCTCCATGTGTACCTTTCGCAGCTTCAGCTTCTGCTGCCATACCATCTAGGTGAGCGTTGTTTGCTCTATTGTTATGTTTGTGTTAGTTAATTACGGGGATTTAGGTATGGATTTGGGTTATTCTAATTATCAATCTCTGCTGTTACAAATCTAGCTCATCCAAAGGAAAGGAAAAGGTTGTTGACTCAGTGTCACCTGGAGGGACGAATCCAACATTCCAGATTGGCCAGGTAGCAGGGTTGCCTCTCAGGTAACACATTTGGACTGTTTTACTTGATTTGGTATTGATGCATTAACCTGTGCTTTGTTTCTGTTGTTGCATGGTAAATACTTATGTGCTCATTTGGCTCTTGCAGTTCATCTCAAGTTCCTTTGGCAATCAAGGAGAATGATGTTGTGTCCGACGTGATTTCGCCAAATTTACTGCCTCCTGTTTCGTCTATTCCACCTTTGCTTTCTGTTGCTGATGTGAAAGGAAAAGGAACAGGTCCAGGGGCGACTGTTGTGGCAGCTCCTTTTACCATTGCAGATCCTTTGAAGGTCTCTAATATCCAGTCAGTTGGTGCTGTGAAAGGTGCAGTGGGGACTCCTGGAACTCTGAGTGATGGTATGGATGTGATGAGTTCTACTAGCCAGGGAGTACATGGATTGTCATCCATTGCTGGGCTGGGTTCTGAAACTCCTCAGAGTAAAATCAGCAAGTCATCTTCGGCAGTTTCGCCTTTGTCTTCAAGGAGTCTGTGAGTTTTTACTTTTAAACTTATCGTGTCATGGTTATAGTGCAGTCGGAATTTATTGTTTTGGTCTTTGACAATGCAGCTTGATATCACCTCTGGCTAAGGTGAAGATTGAGAAGCTGGAATCTTCTGGAACTGGATCTCCTAATGTGAGGCAGGATGATGAGCAAACAGAAAGTTTGTCCCCTTTTTCACTTGCTGACCAAGATTCACACCGGGCGCCTGGGAAGCCTTCCGATGCTAAGCGTCGCCTGTATGAATCTTAGGGTATAAATTCAAGTCTGATCCCTTTGTGTGTTATTTATTAGTTTTGAATGTTGATTGGTTATGTTATTTACTGGATCTAAGTTATGCTAAGTGCAGGAAAGGTGGTTGCCTTTTGTGGATGCTGGATTTGCTGCAAGGAAGAAGTCCTTTTGATGGTGGGCAGGATGATTATGTTGTTGATCGTTTGAAGTTGTGCTGGTTGGAGGGTTTGCAGCTCTTTTGTAAACTTCTGGGGAACCTGTTTGTCAACTTTGTTGTTGCCTTTCTTGGCTAATTTTGGCAACTTTGTGGAAATTATGTTGTTGGTTTCTAGACAAAACTAATGGTACTTCGGGTATCTGTTTATGAGGTGTAAGTTTTAAGTGCATGTAATTTTCTGTGTAAAATCAGGGTGGTCAGTTTGGACACCTGAAATGTTGTGACCCCAGTGTGGGCAAAATTCTGGCCTTTTGGTCCCTCTTTTGTAGAATGTGAATGCTCAGCAGTTTTTATGTATTATCAAGGAATATAGTTTTTATCTAAGGTGCCTATGTTTTACATTTATGTCTTAACTGTATGTATATGCAAATATCAAAAAAATGTTCTATACATCATGTGATGGGAAAGAGTAAGCATTGTCCACAAGAAAAATATGATAAGAACAGGCGAGATTAGTAATGGATAGCAGACATGTGCTAATATTAAAAGGAATCTTTTGGGTTGCAAGATTTAAATAATTTGGGTTAATTATGTGCCCAAAATCTAAAGCATTAAATGCAAAAGCCATCATTGTTTACCCTTGGTTACAGAACCAGCAGTCACAATGACTACTTGGATAGAGATTAGACACCTGATATAAAATTATATATTGATTGTATAATATCTTATCAAGGAACACATCAGATATCAAAGAGATTTCGTCAATGGACCTTCAACTTTCTCTTTGCCCTCTGGTTTTTGCTCCTATGTTCAGAAAGTAATTCTGTTTGTGTCGACTTTTTCCCTTCAGTGGAGTATCAGCTAGCTGGAGTATACAGCAAGGTAAGACCTTATGATCAGCTGTTTGGAGCTACCAGTCAGAGACACTCATCATTGGTGATATAGACCACGTCATCGGATACAGTTAAGCATGTCTGTATTCGTTATGCTTCAGTTACACATTAATGGAACCTCTTTAAATGATTTGGATCCTCTTCTTTGTCTGTCTGACCAAGACAGAACACTGAAGTTTGCAGTTATTGAACTTTTGTTTTTGGCTCATTTAAGTCTGACTGGATATCAAACATTTACTTCATGTAATCAGAATGACACCTAGAAAGAAGAGAGCGACTTCCAACCTGTTGAGGCGAAAGAGAGGTGACACTTCTTTCACAATCGAATCCTCCAGGAATCCAACACAAAGATTTACAGATATGAACGTGGATAACACCAGAGTAAACAAGAGATTGAGAAGCCTGCCGTTCATTCTCTCAGGGGAAATTTCAAAGTCGACAAATGCTCACAACAGTGAGTTCGTTCCTCCAGATCCTTATACAGAAATGGTTGGTGATGAGGCATCTTGCAGTTTAGCTACAAATGATTGTCAATATAAAAAAGCAAAGAAAGCATCAGCTGATGTCCCAACTGCAAGGAAGCCATTGCACAATGATAGGCTGAGCGTTGGAAAACCTGACTGTGTATGTCAGTTCTGTGGTGCTTTTTTTTGGTATGCTGAACGATTGGATCGACACAGGAAATCCTTAAATCCTGTGTATAGTCTTTGTTGTCAGAAAGGAAGAGTTTGCATTCCCCTGTTAAAGCCACCACCTCCATTGCTTGCTCAGCTGTTGGATCTTAATGGAGGTGCAATGTCAAAGCATTTTAGAGACAACATTAGACCCTACAATGGTTCTTTGTGTTTCACATCTTTTGGAGCCAAACTGGATCCACGCTCTTTGACAACAAGAGGACCTTATTCGATGGTTATTTGTGGTGAGAATTACCATAGGATTGGATCCTTACTTCCGGTTGATGGAAATAGGCCCAAGTTTGCTCAGCTATATATATTTGAACCTGAAAATGAGGTTAACAATAGACTTGCAAACTTCGCATCTCGAGAGGAAGTCTTGCTACCTGAGTTACTTGCAAGTTTGCTTCGAATGCTTGATGAAAACAACGAGTTGGTCAGAACATTTAGGCGCATTCGACAAGATCTCCAGCTTTCTTCCACACCAAATCTCCGACTCAGAATCTTTGGGATCAAAAGTAGGAATCGACAATATGACTTGCCAACTAGCTCTGATATTGCAGCCTTAATACCTGGTGATTTTGTTGCAGATAGGGAGGATAGAGATATCATTGTTGACCATCGAGGAGAAGGGCTGAAACGTATAACAAGCCTCAACCCAAAATTCGAGGCTCTTCACTTCCCATTGCTATTCCCGTACGGAGAAGATGGGTTTCATCCTCAAATATCTTATAATGCCTCCTTTTGTCCAGCATCAATGCGCAGAAAATTTGTTACTCAAAAAGAGTATTATGCTTTTAGACTTCAGTATCGATTGAATGAGGGGCATACACTGGTTCAAAGTGGCAAGGCATTGCAACATTACTGTGTTGATGCATTTTCAACAATTGAACTCAATCGCCTGGCATTTCTTAGAACTCATCAAAAAGATTTAAGAGCAGAAGTTTATCAGGGGTTGCAGGATGCATTTGCAAAGGGAGACATGGATGGAGAAAAACTTGTAAGAATTATAATGCCATCATCTTATACAGGAGGACCAAGATATATGCAGCAACTATATCATGATGCCATGGCAACCTGTCAACATTATGGTAACCCAGATTTATTTGTTACATTTACCTGCAATGCTCTTTGGGAAGAAATTGTTGATGCTTTTGCAGATATGGTTGGACCAAACAGCGAGTTGAAGCCTATGGTAGTCTGCCGTGTGTTTCACATGAAGCTTGCCATATTAATTGACGAGTTTAAAAGAGAATCATATTTCGGGAAAACGATAGCCAGTGAGTTACCTGTAGATGACCTTTCATTGTATAAAATTTCTTTTATTATTTGAATGAGCTATCAAGTTCAAATGATGGACTGTTTTTTCGCAGTAATCTACACAGTTGAGTTTCAGAAGAGGGGCCTCCCACATGTCCATATGCTTATATGGTTAGCCAAAGAGGATAAGCTAAAGTCAACATCTGACATTGATGAGATGATTTCTGCAGAGATACCAGACCCCAATCTAGATCCAGAAGGGTATGCTGCAGTGGTTAAGTTCATGATTCATGGACCTTGTGGTGTTAACAACCCCACTTCACCATGTATGAAAGATGGTAAATGTTCGAAGTATTTTCCAAAAGAATTCTGTTCAGAAACTTCGTTCGACAAGTTTGGCAATGTCGTTTACAGAAGAAGAAATTCCGGCATTCAGGTTCAAAAAGGAAAGGAAATGCTGGATAATTGATATGTTGTTCCATACAATCGGAACTTATTGGTTAGAGCTCAAGCCCATATTAAGGTGGAGATATGTCACAAGGGAGGCTTAGTGAAGTACTTATTTAAGTACATTACTAAAGGACCAGATAAATCTCTTATTGTTGCAGAAGACTCGACAAGCTCAGTTCAGGTGCCATCAAATATAACAAAAAAAACCAAAGACGAGATACAAGAGTTCATTGATTGTAGGTCGCTGTCCTCATACGAAGCTATATGGAGAATCAACGAGTATTCTATACACCACAGAGAGCCTAATGTGGTTCGACTTGGTGTACACATGGATGGACAACAGAATGTTTCATACAAGAGAAGGTCAAATATTCAAAATGTTTTGCAAAATCCAAGGGCAGGCAAAACTCATCTTACTTCATGGTTTGAACTTAACAGACATGATTGCAATGCAAGAAAGCTTACATATGCTCAGATACCAAATTCCTTTACATGGAATGAAGAATACAGTGAATGGACTCCAAGGAAAAGAGGTTTCGCAATAGGAAGAATAGCATATGTTCCTCCAGGAAGTGATGATATATTCTTTCTTAGGCTGCTATTGACCAAAGTAAGAGGAGCAACAAGTTTCCTCAATTTAAGAACAATACAAGGGGAGGTTTGTAGTACTTACGAAAGAGCATGTCAAAAGTTGGGGCTTCTGTCGGACTCTTCAGAATGGATTCAGGTATTACAAGAAATTGCAGCATCAAGTATGCCACACATAATACGGACTACATTTGTTTCAATGCTGATGTTCTGCGAGATACCTGTTCCTAATGCTCTATTTGAATCTTCATGGAGGTTAATGAGTGAAGATCATGTTTATTCTCTTCGTAAACAGCTACACTCAAAAACTTTCCAGCCTTCAGATGAGAGACTTAAGAATTGGGTGTTACATCAGCTGGAAACTTTACTGAGAACTTATGGTTCTTCACTTCAGCAATTACATCTCCCAAGATCGACAGATTCAAAACCTGACGATGGATCAAATCCCCTGATTAATGAGCATCTTAACTTTGATGATGATCAACAAAGGTTACTAGCAAATACTATGGTTAGCAAACTGAACACAAAACAGCTAGAGGCTTTCACACTCATTAATCTCTCCATCAACAACAACCTTGGCACTTCATTTTTCCTATATGGCCATGGAGGAACAGGCAAGACTTTTCTCTGCAATGCAATCATTGCAAAATTAAAAAGTCTTTCCAGAATTGCTATAGTAGTTGCCTCATCTGGAATAGCAGCCACACTACTACCAAACGGCACAACTGCTCATTCAAGGTTCAAGATTCCCCTTCATATAGACCATGCATCTACATGTTCCATAAAGAAAGGTACTCATTTAGCTGAGCTAATATGTGCAGCTTCATTGATTATTTGGGACGAAGCACCGATGACACATCGAAATGCATTTGAGGCTATAAGCAGGACGTTTTGTGATTTGATGGACATACCACTATCAGGTCCAAAACACAAGTTGTTTGGAGGGAAAACAATAGTCTTTGGTGGTGATTTTAGACAGACCCTACCAGTAATTTCAGATTCAGGAAGGGAACAAACAGTGGATGGATCCATCACAAGGTCATCATTGTGGCCCTTTTTTAAAGTGCTCACACTGTCAAGGAACATGAGGCTTAATGATTCACAGGATAATAGAAACCTGGTCGGCTGTGGAATGAACTTTGGTGAATGGATTCTGGCGCTGGGAGATGGAAGGCTTCCAACAAAATCCTTTATGGCTAACACACCTTCAGATTGGATTGAGATACCACAAATACTCTTGATATATGCTGGAAAAAATCCAATCGAGTCAATCACAAATGACATATATGACACATTTGAGGAACAACACATGAGCACAGATTACCTAAGTGGAAGGGCAATGGTTACTCCTACTAATGCAGTTGTGACTGAAGTGAATGACTTCATGTTGCAAAAAATTCCTGGACATTGCCGTTGCTACTACAGTTCAGACTCTATGCAACTTGATACAGAGGTACCTCAGCTATTTGCTGAAACTGACCCAATAGAATTTTTGAATGCTCTTCAGTTCAATGGTGTTCCAGATCATGAAATAAGACTTAAGGTTCACACTCCGATCATGTTGCTGAGAAATTTGAGCCCACCAAACGGCCTGTGCAACGGTACGAGGATATTGATTACGAAATTGGGGGAAAATATCATTGTTGGAAACATCATGGGAGGATCTTTTGACACAAAAGAGGTTGTTATACCACGAATAGTACTCAACGTAGAAGACAAACGCTGGCCCTTTATACTGAAGAGGAGGCAATTCCCAATAAGGTTATGTTATGGGATGACTATAAATAAGAGCCAAGGTCAAACGCTGGACAAGGTTGGAGTCTATTTGCCCAAACCAGTATTCAGTCATGGACAGCTTTATGTGGCAGCATCAAGAGTAAGATCTGCAGGTGGTTTGAGATTCTTGATTGAAAATGAAGAGGACATTCCAGCCAGTTACACGAGAAACATTGTATATTCAGAAGCCTTCACAGATATTGCACCTGGTTAATTTTGGAAGCATCGAAGAAGCTCGAAGTGATTATTATGAACTCTCCCAACTTTTTGAATTTTACGCCTGGGAAAATTTGTTCTTCCAGTTATTGCGTTGTTCTTAACAAGAGACACGTTTTGTGTTTATTATTTCGAAACTCAAAGCCAGAAAGCAGTCATGAGTTATGATCAGTTAACATCGGTTCGGACTATCCAGAGAGAACTTAGAAAGAAAATCGATGAGCCCAACTGATACAACTTGACAAACATTCATCACAGGAGCGTATTGTAGCCTTTTATGTAAAAAGGCCTGATTCAATAGTTAAAACCTATTGCATACCATACAGAGCCCAAACACGATGTCAAGGCCCAAACAATCGATCCAAAAAGGACTTACCCTAAGTTAACCCTAGCTTACATAAACTACCGATTGTTTTTTATGCCTTCTAAAATCAACCGCGCTGTCAAGATAAAAACAAAAAAGGGAAACCAGGATCTCGAAGAACTGGAAGCATTCTTCTACCCAACAGATTTACAGTTGTATAGTACAACTGATACGTGAGATTCCGTGGACCCACACAAAATGGACCCGAACGAACTGAAAGGTAAATACATTGAATCTGGAAAGAAATCCGACAAGCGCATCTCGATTCCTATGCAAGTTTTTCCCATTTATTATTTATCGATTCGTCTTTAATCGGATTGCAGAGTCTATTGAATCAAGCATGTGCTTTCGGGGACTGCGTTTGGGAACAAACAATCGAACGGTTATAGCAAGACATGTCGTTACATGGACTGAGTTCCGAGAAGTGCCTTTGTCCACATGGAAGAAAAGGACACATCACATGCTCTGGCTTGACAAAAAGGTTTGACTACAGATACCCCAACCATATTCATAAATATTCGTCAGAGCATTTGATTCAGTGTTAGGACAAAAGAACTTCCCAATATACAAACACTGGACATTAATTAACCTACTGGCAAATGCTAAAAGAACAAAAACTATTGACAACATATCTATCTACCATTGACTTTACAGAACAAATTGATCGAAGCACAAGTTGAAGGAGAAGATGCATCTGAGGTTTTCCAGAAAATAAAGGTTGGTTGCCTGCATGAACTACAAGATATTGTAGCAGGTCCAGCAAGGTCAGTGCAACGCGTTGTCCATCGAGAGTTACGCCTACTCCTCACTTCAGATCAAATTAGGAGACACATTGAAGAAGGAAATGGACCCCAGCAATTCCCAGTAGGATCATACACAGCAGCCGATTTTTCCATTGTGCCTCAACTATCAGAAGACTTTGTCTGCCATTCAGGTAAATATATGTCTCTCTATCCATGATTAAGAACACCATTAAACAAAGCATAACAAACATTAAATCTATAGATGTTACAGGATGTGTTAGAAGGCTAACTCATCCAGAAACAATTAAAGGAAGGATTCAGAAATTCGATCTGCTCATACAAGATGTCTGGTATGCACTTAAGATTGTACACTTTTTTTTACTTTGTCAAAATGTATAGTTAACGCATTGGTTTGCAATCAGTGGGGCAAAGGCTTATGTTGAATACAGTGGCCATGACATTGATGATTTTCAAAAGAATGCTCCAGCAATTGAGTCAAAGTTACCACTGATTGTGACAATCAGATCAGTTAGTAGAGTAACTCCTAGACATAATAGTAAGTATCAGCATGAATTTCAATCCACAATTGCAAGCAAGCTCATCATCCATTCTTATCAGGACTGCTGCAAGGATGTCATGAACATGTGAGTTGCTGTATATTGGTTTACCCAACTGATTGGTTCAACTACTATCGAGTTAGTGATACTTACACATTTATTTTCAACGTGTAGCTTTCTTGCATGTCGCAAACCAGTATACTTCATCGATGATGCTACTTGCAAAAAAACTGGACACCTGCTGAGCAATCAACTGCAAAAGAAATCGCTGAGAGAGATAAAAGAAAGGATGGAGGACCTGTCAGATTTCATAGAGGTAAACGAACAAATACCAGCATTGACAACAGTTGTTTATTTCCATCTGTTTACCTGTATAATACATCTGACAGTTTTTGCAACAGGTTACTTACATGACATTGATTAACATTCCAAGGTTTATATACAGAAAAAGCATCTGCAAAGTTCGTGGAGAGAACACAGGGTAAGCTTTTGACCATTCTCCCATGTTTACACAAGGCATAATAATACTCTTTGTATAACCTAACAAAAAAAATTGTATTGCAAGACTGACATACAAACTGGAAGGGAAATGTCGCCAAGGAGGATCTGAAATAGATGTGGTATTTAAGCATGAAGCAGCTTTGTCACTTATTCGTAAGTCACCATCTGATTATCAGTTTCTGAAGAAGGACGAAATCATTGAATTGATCGCAAAGAACTGTAACAAAAAATATGCTGCGGAGTTGAATGTCGCATGGAAAAAAGTGGGGGACAGTGATTCAGACATGCAGCCAAAAGCGACAGTGCTCACCCTCTGGGACCGATCAGCATTCGAGAAATGATGTTGTCCTTCGAAGCTTGCCATTTTGATATCGTGCAAACAACAAAGGCACGAAACTTCTGAAAACATTTTGTCCTACTGTTTTCCAACTCTTCAGTCTCCGCCATGGAACTTTTATTAGTTTAGTAGATACATCGTGGAGACTTGGCAACACTCCTAACTACATTCATGTTTATTCTGCAAAAACAGTCACTCTTTTGCATAATGGTAATAGATTATATGTTTATGACAATGACAACATTTATGTCTATGTTTGGGACATAACAATTATGGTAATAGATTATATTAAATCCCAATTAAATTATGACAGAAATAGTATCCCGCAGCAGAGCGCGGGCTGAATCCTAGTAAACATTTAACAATAATCCGAAATAGCACTACTACACAACATTTTCTCAATATAGTTGGATTTTTTTTTGTGTGTGAAATAGTTGGATTTTTGCTTAGTTGGTAAGGAAGGTAAATGTCTCCATTTAAACGGGCGATAAAGAGTATGTCTCATAAGATATATCGCTTTTCGAATTGGCAATATTCTGCTGACGTGATTATGTTAATTTCGTTGTAGATTATGAATGAAATTTAGATTACATATTAGAATTTAGATTTTATGTTAACTTAGGTGTGTAACTTAGAACTTTTCATGAATTGAGGTTAGAATAATATCAAACATATCAAATGTCGTATGTGTTCTAACTAGTTCTTTTAAATTATAAATGTGGTTCGAAAATTCACATTTTGTATTCGTTGGGACGGTGAATTGATAAATTTGACGAAAGGGATTGATATCAAGGTTGTCAATCTAAGCAGATGACTAATCGAGGAAAAATTACATGGCGTGAACTCTCAAATATAACAACTGGAGAAATGCATTAGGAATCATCGAACAATATCTGAAATGACCTGTTGGATAACAACTATGGTATTCAACATGTTGAATTCGTACTTATAGATGATGAAAGTGCGAATATTGTTTGAATTTTGGGAAGAAAATTGTGATATTGAAATGATTGAGGTGTATGTGGAGTTTGAAGATGTGGATAGGGGGAGGTTATCCTTCTTTGGGTTAGGGATGATAATGGGTCGGGTTGGGTTGGGTTTTGCCAAATCCAAACCCATGAGTTTATCCATACAAACCTCCGGGGTAAAATCCATTGGGTTAGGAAAACTTAGGGCTCGTTTGGAAGTTGAGATTTCATATGATGTATTTAGCCAATACATGTATTCAGAAGAATTTATCGTTTTTTTGGCTTAAAATGAAACAGAATGCTTGTATTTGAACAACAGATGGGCCCACCAGAATCATTCATTATGAATGATTGTCAATCTCAACTTTTAGTAGAGATTGTTTTTGAGGGATTGTTGTCTTACTTTTTGTTCCTTATTCTTTGAGGGACCACCAAAATCATTCAATCTCCAAACAATGTATTTCTCAAATTCATACATTGAAACAATGCATCTATTTATAATACATATATTAATTAAATACATCAATTTAGAGAATCCTGACTTCCAAACATGCCCTTAAACCCAACCCAACCCGCTGGGTATCCGCGGGTTCATGGGTACCCATGGGGTTTTGTGGTAAAAAATTTACAATAACAAGTTTCTATCAAAATAAAATTCAAACATCAATTTCCCCATTCAAATTATCCATACATAAAACTCCATTCTAGAAAATTCAAGCATATCACAATTACACTAAATAAATTCACACGGAATAAGTGTAGTAAGAATTAGAATTAGGATAGGGTTTGGGGAGAGTAGGGCGACTAAATAAGTGTGGATGGGTATCCATGGGTCGGGTACCCCTAAACCCAACCCGACCTCGTGAATAGTGTGCGGGTTTAAACCCAAACCCAGCCCGAAACCCGTCAAAGCGAGTTTTACCCGCGTTGACTGGGTTGAGTCGGGTAGTGTACCCGTGGGTTCGCTCCAAGAAGCAACAAACAATATTCAGATCTTCGGCCAAAGCAGAATACAGGACATTAGCAGACACATCCCAGGAGCTACGATGGATGACAGCTCTCTTCCATCAACTTCCTATCCAACCTCCACTTCCATACACTATCTATTGTGATAGTCTCTTTGCCGTCAAAATGACAGAGAACTCTGTCCAGCACGAAAGAACCAAACACATAGAAGTTGACTACCACTTCACTCGGGACCAGGTTCTTGCTGGGAAATTGAAGGTTCAACACATCTCCACAACTCTTTAGTTAGCTGATCCATTCACCAAGGCTTTACCAGTGCACACGTTCGTCAACCTTATCTCCAAGCTAAACCTGAAATCCATCCACATTTAGCTTGCGGGGGTATTAGACGATATGGACCATTATGTAAATAAACAAGTAGCTTAGGACTAGTTTAGAATAAATAGAATGTATTTAGGACCAAAATGTAATTAATTTAGGTAGTTGCAAATGAAACGATTTTTCCATCCGTTCAACTCTGTAAACCAGAGTATAAATTCGACTAACTCTTGCTGAACTCTATACGTTTTTCTTCCTTCAATTGAGAAATTCAGAGCTTCAATCAGAATTCTAGCACCTTCCTTAGCTAAGCTCTCTCCTCTTGTCCTCACTCCGTCTCCAACTTCCTCTTTTACTTTGCCGGCCAAAGATGGTTCCTTTGGCCCGGGCTCTGGCGGTTTCCTACCCCGCCGGACGCCCCTGCATCAATTCTCACGCACCTCCTCGCCGCTGGAGCTCCGGCTGGTTAATTACTCGGCCGGATCCCAATTCGAGCTTGAAATGGCGATCCAAGGCGGCGGAATCCGATAATACTCCTCCTCCTCCTCTGCCTTACACTTTCGCCGCTTCCGTTGACGCCGCCGACTCTGCTGCTGCTGGGTCCTTTCTCCTCCCTTGTGAATTCGGTCCGGCGATCGGTTTACTACTATTGACTGACTGATGAATTGATGATTTGGGGATTGCAGATTTTGCATCATAGAAGGGCCGGAGACGGTGCAGAAGGAATTGCAACAAATTCAGGCCAACATTCGGAGCCGGAGGAACAGAATCTTTCTGCATATAGAGGAGGTAAGCTAAACAACTTTGAAATGTTACAGCTTGAGAATTGTTGATCAGATTAAATTGGGAAGAATTGGTTTTTCAAATTGGTAGGTTCGACGTTTGAGGATACAACAGAGTATAAAGAGCGCAGAACTTGGAATCTCAGACGGAGAACCAGAGACCGACCTCCTTGATTTCCCTTCTTCCATACCCTTCTTGCCTCCTCTGGTAATCAAATTAAAGCTTCTCCCTTCTACTCTCTCTTCTCCAATTAATAACGAAGGATATGAAATATGATCAAAATTGGGGTTATGGTAAACGACGACAGACTGCAGCAAAACTTAAGGTGTAACAGTTCTGTTTCACTCAATTAGGATTCCACCCAATAAGCAATGCTATCCATCTCCATCCCTTCAATTGAGTGAAACAGTTCTTCAATCATAATTATAATTCCCTACATACCCCTAACAACTAATTAACTAATAACTCCTCACTAACTATCTAAAATTGAATCAGCCAATCACATCACTTTAAGATCCTCCTTAAAAAAAAAAAGTTTAAGGACCTGAACTTAGACCTTTGAACCCGTAATTTAGGATACGTGATACTCCCAGAGTAGGCAATAATCTCTCCTCACATAGCAGCAACAGATAGATAAATACACAACATCAAATGGATGAAGCTCCTTGCACTACATTAATACACAAAATGATTGTTTCATTTCCATACACAGCTCACATTCTTCAATTAAACGGGTCGATTCGCGGGTCGTGCTCGCTTGCCATAATCATACCAGTGCAGAGGCATGAAGTGCACATCACTTTCCCCGACCCGCAGCAATTCGGGCACCTTTTTGTTTTGAGTACCGACAGCGGTTTGTCTCTGACTGCTGTCGTCGTCGAAACTGGCTCGATTAGGATGAGGGTTCCGGTGTTTGCACATCGAGCACAAGCAAGGTACCCTGGTAGAGGTTCAATCCGATCGTCAGGGGTATATTCAAGCAATACATGGCTGAGGGGCAGAAGAGAATGTGTAGTAAAATGGTAAGATAATAATGATACATACCAGTACCAAGACAGTATTTGCAGGCCTTGTGCTCCTATTGCTTCACATTGTTCACTTCGACCACCATCAATGCCGAGATTGCTCAGATTGAGAACGATGCCACTATCGGATCCACCTGACTGCAACATTTCCCAAAGATACATGATACAATTAACACTCCTCTCCAAGTAAGGAAGACCATAGTTATTTGCGACAATCGATCGTACCTCAACTTCATAGGCAAATGCATATTGGTGATGAAATCAGCATATGTGGTGCCTCCTAATCCCACTTTCAGCTCGTGCTGAACATGTTAGAAAGAGGAGAAACACAATGGATCATCCACGGCTACAACAAGTTTAAGGATTGAGGATTTGATGGATAGCATGCTAGAATTATGATCAATTGAGTGAAAGTGGGATTAGGAGGCACCACAAATCCTCAATCCTCAGTTCTTCAATCATAATTCTAGCATGCTATCCATCAAATCCTCAATCCTTAAACTTGTTGTAGCCGTGGATGATCCATTGTGTTTCTCCTCTTTCTAACATGTTCAGCACGAGCTGAAAGTGGGATTAGGAGGCACCACATATGCTGATTTCATCACCAATATGCATTTGCCTATGAAGTTGAGGTACGATCGATTGTCGCAAATAACTATGGTCTTCCTTACTTGGAGAGGAGTGTTAATTGTATCATGTATCTTTGGGAAATGTTGCAGTCAGGTGGATCCGATAGTGGCATCGTTCTCAATCTGAGCGATCTCGGCATTGATGGTGGTCGAAGTGAACAATGTGAAGCAACAGGAGCACAAGGCCTGCAAATACTGTCTTGATATTGGTATGTATCATTATTATCTTACCATTTTAATACACATTCTCTTTTGCCCCTCAGCCATGTATTGCTTGAATATACCCCTGACGATCGGATTGAACCTCTACCAGGGTACCTTGCTTGTGCTCGATGTGCAAACACCGGAACCCTCATCCTAATCGAGCCAGTTTCGACGACGACAGCAGTCAGAGACAAACCGCTGTCGGTACCCAAAACAAAAAGGTGCCCGAATTGCTACGGGTCGGGGAAAGTGATGTGCACTTCGTGCCTCTGCACTGGTATGGTTATGGCAAGCGAGCACGACCCGCGAATCGACCCGTTTAATTGAAGAATGTGAGTTGTATATGGAAATGAAACAATCATTGTGTGTATTAATGTAGTGCAAGGAGCTTCATCCATTTGATGTTGTGTATTCATCTATCTGTTGCTGCTATGTGAGGAGAGATTATTGCCTACTCTGGGAGTACCACGTATCCTAAATTACGGGTCCAAAGGCCTAAGTTCAGGTCCTTAAACCTTCTTTTTTAAGGAGGATCTTAAAGCGATGTGATTGGCTGATTCAATTTTAGATAGTTAGTGAGGAGTTATTAGTTAATTAGTTGTTAGGGGTATGTAGGGAATTATAATTAAATTAAAAACGTAATCCTAGTGATGTATAAACCGACAAAGTCTTTTTATCCCTCCCTATCAGCCGAACCGTTTCTCTGTCAACACTCTCTCAAAAAACCTTCTCTGGCCTTCCCTTCCTCTTCCTTCTCCGGCCGGCCCTTCTGCACCCGCAAGCGTTCTCCGCCGTCGTTCTCCACCAAATCCAAAGCCCAACTTCCGTTCCGCCGTCTTCTCCCGCAACGTTCTCCGCCGTCGTTCTCCACCAAATCCGAAGCCTAGCTTCCGTTCCGTCGTCTACTCCCGCAAGAGTTTTTCGATTATGAATGTTATTTGACTGCACTTTTAATTTTGTTGCATGGGTAGGGTTTTGCTTCGTTGCATGGGTAATCGTTTGTATTAGGATTTTTACTAATAAAGTTTATTCTCAATTTACATATTAACGCTTTGTAATCTTTTAAAGCTCTATTGTCAATGTTTTTAACCGAGACAACAATTATAAACAAATCATTCCATTATTACCAATTTTAGGTTATGTTTGTAACTTTGTTCAATGGAATTATCAACGTTATCAATGTTTTATATGGTGGTTATTAATGATCTTTTCTATGGTTAATCATCAATAGGTCTAATAATCAATATCAATTATTTTGAATGCATGTTCAACAAAACACATATATGTTATTAATGGTTTATGATATGGTTGTCAACATCTTTTTGTTGTGATTCTACCTTTTTAAAGGTTGCAGGAATATCGAGAACTAAGAACACGTCACCTAAGATTGTTTCACTTCCACCTAGTCACCAGAGTACAATCCAGCAGCTAAGAACATATGAGAATAATAAAGATAACAAGAGTGAGTTGGACGGTTGGAGATTGGTCTACCTAGACACCAGAGAACAATAATGTAAAGTGATATCAATTTCTCGCAAAACGTTAATAATGTCATTAGAAGTCATTGTACGAGGTCATGATTGACTAGCTATGAACATGATGTGGAAATGTGAATCGTTAATAAATATGCTCTAAATCAATGATAATGATACTTAAATCATTAATAATGATGTGGTATCTTTAATAATTTATTCATAAGCGCTGATGATGGAAATATAAATTAGTAATAATTTATCCAAAATTATTAATAATGTGATTGTAAAGAATTGATAAGTATACTGAAATTTTAATAGTGATGGGTTGATGATGAAATTGTTAATTTTTCATATCATAAGAGTTGATGACGAAAATGTCAACATTTTTGTGCCTCCTATTAATACTATACTATTATTAACCTATGTAACATAATTATCAACTAAGTTGAACGAACATCAAAGTTCAGAGTATTAACATTTTTTTTGCAGCCTGTTAATATTCTAATATACTATTATTAACGTTCAATCATAAACCTATTAATAATATTATTTAAGAGAATCAACTTAATGCAACTCATCATTAACAATAAAAAGGGGTCCTTAAGGGCCGCTTTATTAACAAAAACTCATTTTTTCCAACGTAAGATCTTATACTATTAACGTTTTTCAACCATAAGAGTTTATAATAGTAATGTTTTTCTGAGCCTCCTATTAAATATAATATATGATTATTAACCTATGCAACATATCTTTAATGAAGTTCAACGATCATAAGAGTTTAGGCCATTAACGTTTTTTTCTTCTTATTAATATTATAATATACTATTATTAACGTTCAAACATAGACTTGTTAATAATGTTATGGAAGGGAATCAACTTTATGAAACTCACCATTAGTAATAAAAAAGTGTTGTTAAGTACCACATTATTAACAAAAACTAGTCTTTATAACGTCAACCATGCAAAATGAAGCAACGACATAAACCTACAACAAAGATGTTTCGTATCACGAACAGTGGAGAATTTTCCGTATTAACAAATTTTCGAGAAGATTAAAGGGAACGCCGCCAGCCACAAGCCTCCATCCGACCGATACCTCCTCACCTGTAGGCGTCGTCGGGAAAAAGGTTACACCGCCGCTGATATGGCAGGATCAATGGTGCTAATATGGTGCCGGGATGGCGGCGAGATGGCGGTGACATTGTTGCCTTTGGCGATGAAAGTACTAGCAGGCGTTGGCACGATCGCCGATCGGGGGACCGCCTGCGGGTGCCGATGGGAGGTTGGTTGCAAGATGGTGAAACGGTTGTCGACGACAGATGAGAGGAGAGAATAATCTTAGGTTTTTTATTATTACCTTTTTCCACTTTTTTATTTAAATATTCATTATATTAATGATGGATGTACGATACCAATTCTATCATTAACTACCTATTAACAGCTAACTCCCTATTAACTCCCTAGATTCAAATCAGCCAATAAGAAAGCTTTAAGAAACTCCTTAAACTTATAGGCTTAAGGACGGGATCTGACCCGGGGTCCAAAGCTTAATTAATTAATTAATTATTTTTCGGCTGGAAACGTGTTAGTAATTTCTTTTTTGTTAATTAATTTACCACTTTCCAAGACAATTAATTACATCCACTACTTTCCTCTGTCTGTTGTCCCAGTACCTTCAATCTTCCCTTCTGTCTGTTGTTTGACCCAGTACGGCAGTACCTTCCATCTTCTTTGTTCATTTCTTTTGGGGAATAGAGACAAAAAAAGTATTTCATGTAGGATAGAAGTTTGGTATCAGTATTTGGGATACACCGAATATCGTACTGAAGTTGTCTACACGACCTCAAACTACCAAGAGTGTCATTTAATTATACATAGATCATTCTATCATTATTAATAGTCGTCTCTCAACCTCCAATTCGTCAAATTAATGATTACCAATGACAAGAACTTGAGATGTCTCCTCTCCTCCTTTCTCTTTAATAATATCATAATTCAAGACACTTTGCTTGGTCTTTTCCCCCTAAATTAAACAATAAAATATAATTTCTAAATTTAATTATTAATTGCAAAGATAATTAATTTTGTATTTGATAATACCGATTGAGATTGGGATTGAGATCGAGATTTCGGTATTTGATTTTGGGATACCGATACTGTATCGATTTCCACCACTAGCTGCATGGGGTAAACTTTCTACGGGGGATCATGGTCCAATGGGTAGTTTGTGGGCCGAACTTTCTACGGGGGATCCTGGTCCAATGGGTAGTTTGTGGGCCAAAACAATTTCTCAATAGTACAATTGAATTTCTCTTAGCTGGTGGACAGGTGGGGAAGGTAAATGTCTCCATTTAAATGGGCGACAAAGAGTATATTGTTACTTTTAGAAAAATGACAACATAGGATACATATCGCTTTTCGAATCGGTTGATGTGGTTGTGTCGCTTTCGTTGCATATTGTGGTTGAAATTTAGATTACAGACTAGAATTTTAGATTTTATGTTAACTTAGGCGTAGAAATTAGATCTTTTTCATGAATGGGGACTAGAATAATATCCAACATATTAAATGTCATATATGTTCTGATTAGTTCTTTTAAATTCTAGATGGGGTTCTGAAAATTTACACTTACTATTTCTCTGGAACGATAAATTACACAAAAATTAAAGGTTGATTATCAAAGTGGTCAATCTAAGCATATGCACTAACCAAGGAAAAATTACATGGCGTGAACTCTCAAACACAGTCAAGGGATAAAATTGCATTATGGATCATCAAACCGTATCTAAAATGACCTATCGGATGCCAATTATAGTATTCAACATCCTTAGAATATGTTGAACTCGTACTTGTGTGTCGGATGATGAAATTACCAATATCATTTGGTTCTTGAAAGAAAATCATTATATTATAGTGGTTAGGTGTATGTGGAGTTTGAAGATGTGGATAGGGGAAGGTTATCCTTCTTTGGGTGGATAGTTTGATAGTAGTTTGATTGTGGTTCAAGATCCTCTCATCAGTATCATAGTGGGGTAGAAACTTATACATGATACAATCATATGTCACAAGCATATGTATATATATATAGTGGCTACTTCGGTGCGCTCACCTTTTTGGGTGCGTGCACCCAACTCTAAAAGCGTCCATAATACATCAAATTTTGAACTTTAATTAGTACTTTCAATATAATATGATGATATGACATAGAATCATAACAAATCAATCCATTACCCTAACCCCTTAACATTCAATTTTGAATCCCAACCCAAAATCCCAAATTGTAAACCTAAACCCTAACCCTAAATCCCTAAATCATAAATCCTTCGAATTAAAGTAAATTTTGAATGAATTTTTTTTCAGATTCGTGTGCTTCTTGTTCATAATATCATAAGCAACAATTGATACCGTTTTGACATGAATCGCATGATCAGAATGACAATTATGAGGCGAGTGCACCCGAAAAAGTGTATTATATATATATATATATATAATACATTTATACACTAGGACAACCTGAATATGGTAGTGGTAGAGCAGCTTCTCCAAGCATACAACTCATTCGACTTCGCCCATGTTTGTAGCGAGAATAAAGAATCAGTGAGGGATGAGTATAATGATCCTTCATGCCCAAGCTTGAGTCCTCTGTATTATAATAGTGATGATGAAGTAATGCAAAAAGTTAAAACCTAAATCTCTAATCTTCTTCTCCCAAAATTTTCTCTCAACTCTTCCCCAATTCCTCTAAATCGCTAATTTCTTCCTCTCTAATCCCTAATTACCAATCGGGAACTTCTTGAATCTATCAAACATGAACGATCCACCCCGCACTATGCAATGCTCCTATCATATCCGATGTATGATAACAACAATAACTCAGAGATCTCACCTATATTGGTGTTAGATTCAACGACTCCATTCCAAGTGAAATATGATATTTTCTCGCAAAAGGGAATTCTCCAGAGGGTTTTGAAATGAGAGGCTGTGAGTCAAAATTTCGAGTTAGATGCATACAGATCCATCAAAACAGAATTGCATGTGGAACGTAAGAAGATGGAAGAAGGATGTGGTTGGAATGTTCGAGCTGCGTTGTTGGGTGTTGAGAGATTGTTGGATTGTTCGAGCTGAACAATCATTACTTGCAGCTCAAGTTCTCTTGCTCTAGACCATCACCAACTTGATTCAAACTTTGTGGTAGATAATAACAAGCACGTGGTTGAGGCACAACCAAATAGAGCAGCATTTCAAGGCTAAAGCAATACTAGTAGAAATTCCAACAGGCTTACCCTTCATAATCACATACAAAAGGCATAGTTTGGGTGGGGAGGGGGGGAAACCATAGTTGAAGTGTATGTGAATAAGGTTAAGTCCTAGGCGTATCTCCTAATTCTCACTCAATCAATTGAGCATTGGAGTCCAGAGTCAATTTTTCAAAATTATTACAAATATTTTTGAACTCCCAATTGCCAAATGGTGCATGAAAACCCTAAAGTTTCATCACCTCTTTTGGATCTTCAAACCATGATGCATCATCTAGTTTCCGCGCAGTCTCCCTATTATCTAAGTCAATGACACATTCCTCACGATCAAATATAAATGATGCTCGCTAATCCTAACATCTGGTCAAAGCAAGTTCCACAACATGATGTTCTCATTAAAATTTATCAGTCATCCGGTGGATGGTAAATCGTAAATGGGTAGATTTCCAAATTTACACTCGAGTGAGAAATAGATAAACAGCAGGCGGACAGACAGAAAACGGGGCCAACTACCGCCGCCTTTTTGGCGGTGTCCATGAAACCGTACCGTACCGGCGGTTCAATCACGAAATACCAATATCGAAGGCTAAGTCGATAGGCGGTATTTACCGGTATAACGGTTGAACTACGGTTAAATCACGGTTTTACCATAAAATAGCCTACCGCTGACTTTCCCGATACGGTCTCCGGTACGGTTTCATGGACCATGCTTTTTGGTCCAGATGTCTGGAGTGTCGGTCACAAGGATTTATACTGTTCAATCAAACGGCAGGCATGAAGGCGTGATGTTGGAGACGTGGTGCATCCCAAGTTCTGCAGATATGCAATCTGTACACAAACAAAAGTGTTCTCAACCTGCTTACAAGATGGGAGATACGCAATCTACAAAAACGTTGAAAAATGGAGTCGTTGGGTTGGAAATCCAGGGGGAGTGGTAAGAAAATGTTTCACCTGCTTCGGTGTGGGTGCAGATGTACTCATGGACTTCTCGATCCTCAGTTTCTGGAAGTGCTCCTGCAAAAAAAAAATATGCTCAAGTTACACTCTAGCCGATGATGGCTCACAAGCCATAATCAACAGTGACATTCTACAGATCGGTCCAACCCTATTTTTTCTTTGATCCTATCTGACCTGCTTGGGTCGGGTCGGGCCGGACAAAGTCTGCAGATCGGCTCAAATCAACAAAAATATATTTGGAAAATATATTTTGGTACACAAATGTATTTTTTCTTGTAATTTAGTATCTAAACTTTTTTTTATTATAAATGGGTCCAAAATTTTGGTGACAAAATTACATTTTAGTACCTTTATATTTTTTAAATTGCATTTATAGTACCTAAACTTTCAAAACTTTACAACTAGGTCCAATCTTTTGGAATGAGGAATTTCAAATCACCTATTGTTGTTATGGGTCTTTACTCCTTGGTGCCAAAAGTGACCCTATTCTAAGTTGATCCGACCTTTATAGGATCAAAAGATGACTCGACCCTAAACTGACCCAACCCAACCCTCAGCGGGGTATCTAGACGCCCCCTAAATTGATAAAAGCTAAGAGCAAGGAAGCTGCATTTGAAACCTGTTTCTCTCGCATAATATGAGCTCGCTTGTCAGCTGGAATCTTCTCCCATCGTAAGACCTACTCAAGAGTGAACCAGCTCAAAATATTAAACCCCGGGCGTAATACACAGAGCATCTCTCATCTGGAAAGATAATTAATTGATATAAGACTTACATATTCTGCATACTGAAATGCTTCGTCGCAGCTCAAACAAGATTTCAAGCCTTGCAAAACATCCTGGAACAAAGCGGAACTAGTGAGTTTGAGCCTATATATGCATTGCTGTCTGCTGAACATTCAGAGAACGAGAACATTAAGGTGCAAGCCTAACCGTAACCGACCTTGTGTTTGGTTTTCTTCACCCTCAAGCGTTCATCAATCACGAATCCGACCTGTAAATCGTAGAGTGTTCAATTGAACAGGCTTCTTAGACCTTAGTTACCACACTACTCCTGACAATAGACAACAAAAAAAGACTGTACCTTGTCAAGTAACCTTTTGGGAGTTTGAAAGGCTAGTTTCTTTGCCCATTGATGGAATATGTGGGAAACCACTGACCTGTCTTCGACAGCAAATCTACAAAAACGCATTACTTTGACAAGTCAATATGCAGTCAAGCTACAAAGTCCGATAATTATTTTTTGGTTTCCTATTTCGAAGGAGTTGGGAGCGGAGACCTCTTTATGAACCCATTTGAATTGTAAGCTTCAATTGCTTCCATCGTCTCCTCTGAAGCTGAATCAATTTGATCCTTATTACAGGGTTTGTCTGGTTTCGTATCAAATTCAGGACTTTCTTTCTCATTTGCAATGCCATCAGCAGAGTTGGCGGAGACTTTAAGGATTCTAGGACATTTTGGCTCTAAGTCCTGAAGACAGACATCTGCCTGTCATCAAAGCGTCCCAATTCTGAGATAGTCAGTATCGCTTATAAATCAATTTAACTGTCCACTTCCGACAAGTAAATTCAACCGTACCTGAATCTCCCGAAGATGATTCGGAATTTCCCTGAGAAACCGGGATGGTTGCAGCATCTGGTAAGAGTCCCTACTGTGAGTTGAGAGCAACAAGTTGACAGATATACTGGAAAACAGTTGGTGAAAAATCAAACCTGCCAATTTGAATCCACTGTGACGTAAAGAATGAAGAGCTTCTTTCTGGCACGAGTCATTGCCACATATAACAGACGGCGTTCCTCCTACAACATATTATATAGATTGCCAATCAAGTTGATATTTCTGTCAGTGAGCAACAGACAACAACAGCCTTAAGATGAGTTCACTTACTTCGATTGAATTGCCATGTTCCTTTGCAACACCATTGTATTCATACAACAAAGGGATTTCTGAATCATTTGCCTGTGATCAGCACAAACATTATTGCCAAAAATTTACCCATTTTGAGTATTAAAATTCTTGACCCCAAAACTATTATCAATTTATGATATCAGACTGTACCTTTATTATGAAAACCACGTCCCATTCTAACCCTTTTGACTGCACAAGAAAATTATGAGAAATTAAACAAGAAACTCAGAAGAGATCGCATTCGGTGAAGAGGGACGTAGGAAGGCTGGAATGTTGATGACTCACCTGATGAATAGTGGTCAAGGTAACAGAATTGTTATTATCTTGTCTCCGAGAGCGGAAGTTTTCTTTCTCCCGCTCTGCTACGTACTCGAGAAATGCTTTCAGCTGCTTAGCACAACCCTTCTCTTCCATCGTATTGTCACTGCTCCCTTCTTCTTTTTTAGCAATTGGTGTGGACATGAAATCAGTAACATCATCCAGCAAGTACTGAAGAACCTGTCAAATATGAAATCAGAATGGTAACTACTTCAAATCAAACGTCAAGAAATGAATTACACGAGCCTTTCGTTCATATTTAAAAGTGGAATTGAAAGCTGCGCCACTGAGGACCAATAATGAACATAAAGAGTCATCTCTGTCTTACTAATTGAAGCAGCAGTTTTGTTGAATAATTCAAGTTACTGGAAAACGTGTTCTAAGATAGATAATAAGATATCCAACATACAGACTTGCTTAATCGGTCAAACAAGAATGAAATACTTACAGATCGCATATCATTGTCTTCATTCAGCAATTTCCCCCCGTCAACATCTACCACCGCCCTTTGCTCTAGAAGGTACTTCTACAAATGTCACATCAATGGCCAAAAATTGTCATGCCTCTGAGGTGATATCAGACAATTTTAGTCAAATATAGTCATTGCTCAAGCCAACTGGGAGGGTGGACGAGAAGGTACAAACCTGAGGTACCATGTTAGCTGCTGAAGTTATGACAGCTGAAATTGACTGTTCCTGAAATTCAAGCAGAAACCGTGTCAATGTGATCTTTGTTAAAAGTGAAAAAAGATCCCTTGCACAGACATACAGCCTAGCTTTTGAGAAACTATCCTGTGAGGAACAAATGTGCTTACCCTATGAATGAGTTTGGATATCATCTCTAGAGTTGTTAACACCTTACGTCCCTGGGTGAGTTGGCTCCTACAGAAATTATACGATTGACCATGTCAGCATAATATGAGAGGTTTAGAAGGGTAGGGGAGCAATCTTATGTGCCACTAGACTTGGATCATCTAGGAGTTAAAATCAATAAATTTTACGGAAGTGAGAACCTCTTAAAGGTACCGGAAACCTTGGCAGTAAAGATGTCACGGGCTGCAGATACAAAGGGGCATTTTCTGGTGATTGATATTTTGTCAATGTGACCAATAACCTGTAGATGGCCGAGCATACTATGAAAAATTAACCACTGAGAGATAGCATCCTTTTGATACTCGAATGATCATAAGCCCAAGAGTGAAATGAGCCAAATGGTACCATCTTTTTTTCTTCCTTGTCAAAAGGAAGCAAAGCCTTGAAGACTTGCCGATATGCCCCATCATCATCACAACCAGGTATTGTGGTCCTCAGCATAGCAATAATGGCCTTGACTACCTGTTGACCAAGGAGAGAGAAGGTCTTCAGCCAGAATAAGAGTATCACCAGGAGTTCCCTTATGAACGGAGTACAGGACTCAAGAAATGAAATTGAGTATGGCAAGATGGGACAACCTTTTTCCTGTAGAAGGCCACGCCATGAACATTAAATGGTATTTTCCTGTCACGAAATGCTATTTGGAATGGTTTTCCTGATACCTGGCATATAGAAAATGGACCTGATAAATGTAGCCAGCAGCTAGTTGTTATTAGTACATTGTATTGCTTTGGCAAGTAAGCTTCACCTGTCTCCGGTAAAGAATGGCTATATTTCCATAAGAAGGCTTGTCAGATGTGGCCTCCGATACAGTTTCCACTATTTTGTCAACAACAAAATTACATTGTGCTTCATCATTCTGACATTCCTTTATGATCACCTGAGCATTGTCAAAAGGATGGGAAGGTTAATGGCAGTCTTGAATCAGAAATGAAAGACTGAATGCTATAACTATCTGCTTAGAAACCCTTGCATATTGATTGCCTTAGATCCGGAAGAATTGTCGGTTAGGATATCCTTAAGTTGGCAACGTCTGATGTTATTTTTTATAAGTGATGAGGCAGCCTCAACAATGTAGCGTGTCGATCGATAGTTCTTATTGAGTCGAATCTGTATAAATGATGTTCAACCATGTCAATACTAGTGCATTCATAGATAAACTTTATAAGAAAATAATTAAAAGACAAAACATACAAACTATAGGACACAACAGACCTCTTTATAGGTTGGATAATCATGACGGAATGAATCAAACCCAGAACTGTCAGCTCCATTAAAGCTGAAAATGGACTGCAAAGTTGAGAGGGTGTTACAATATGTTACTTCAGAACCAAATAGAGCCAAAAGCAAACAAACTTATGACTTGAAACCACGGCATATATAAAATATACCTGATCATCATCACCAACAATTGTTATGCGATTATGGGATGCTAGAAGTTTCAGAAGAGTGTACTGCATAGCACTTGTGTCCTGAAACTCATCAATCACGATTGCTTTCCACGAATCCTGGCACTCCTTAAACACTGAAAGTGACACAAACCATTAGTAACCAACAATTGAACGAATTTTGTAGTGAATAAAACAAAATTTTGTTCAACACAAACCTTCGGGAAAATTGGTGAGCAACTTTACAGAACAGCTGATCAAATCATGGTAATCCAGAGCATTGCAGGATCTCAATATGTCATTGTAGTTCCCAAGGATGGCTGCCTGATTTAGTATTGATCTAAGAACCACCACATTTTGAATAAAAACAATAAGGTAGAATGGGAATCAGAGTCAATGAGCTTACTCCTGTCTTGTTGCCCAGTTTGACATAATCTGCAGGAGACTCTCCTGAAGCCTTAGCCTGAAAATGGATGCATCAAAACAATTATGCATCTGAAAGACACTCTTTACTCTCATCGTCATGCAGAACAAAATGAACATTTTAGAAGCACAAAGATGAGATATGTCTCAATCGCATGTCCACTGCACACAACATACGTCTTCTGTAATCAAAAGGATGGAATACCATATTTTGAAAATTCCACTGCAAGACTGGAGCAGGAATAGGGCAACTAACAGGCCATTTTGGGGACAACATTTCCATAAACAACTATGCAGTTGTTAAAGATTCACTTAAGTCCCTCCCTAGACATAAAAGAAAGAAAAAAGTGAAGCCAAATGAAACTATCAACGGAAAGCAGCACTGACCCAACATCATAAACGTGCTAGTTCAAATTCACATAATCAATATGAAGCTGAAAGACCCCAGAATGTAGCACACTATCATAAACTGGTTTACTGCACTAACCTGAGTCACAAACTTGAGCCACTTCTTTGATGTATCCTTGAAACACTCAGGACCAAGATTACCATCTTCAGCACTTTTCAAGGAATCATTGTTCTGGATAGTTTGATTTTCCTTCTCTAATAAGCGGATAGCCTCAATGACTGCCCTTCTCTGATGGCTATGACCGTATATCAAGAAGTCTGGAGTCCTCTCCAACCTACACTATGGCCCAAGAATCATGATTTTGTAACAACCAAGCAAGATGAGCTTCAACACACGCAGCAAAGCCTAAGTACCAACTACACGTCCAGCAGAGATTGATTGCACTTACTTCTCAGCATGCAATCTACAAAGTTGCAAGGAAAATGAATGGAATGTGCTGATAGGAAGCTCTTTAGCTGTGGCTTTCCCGGCTACTGCTCCAATTCTATCTCGCATCTCAGATGCTGCAGCTGTGGTGAAAGTCATCGCCAAAATGTTCGATGGACTAATACCCTTGTTTAAGTTTTTAGGATCAATAACCATAAACAAGAAAAATCATTAACTCAAGAGAGAGAGAAAGAGAGAGAGAGTGAGTGAGGAAGCCATAAGTGACAGTAAGGAGCAATACCTTATTGAGCAGCATCAGAACACGACCAACCATAGTAGAAGTCTGTCATCAGAATCCACAGAAAGGAGAATTCAGCTCTTAATTCGAATTAAATCACTGAAAAGCAACACGCAATATTTGAAATAAACTCTTCAAAACATGAAATATTAGAAACATACCTTGCCACTTCCTGGACCAGCAACAATCATCAAAGGGACTGAAATATCACTACAAGCCGCCTCCCTTTGTCTGTCATTCAAAGACTGCAAATACTTGGAGTACTCGCTGGGCATTTCCTCACATGACATGGTCTCTGACGTATTACCATCATCACTTTCCCTGGATTCATCATCATCCCCCGAGCCCAACACACTTCCCATCCTCTTGTCCCCATTGGCAGCAATACCCACAGCACAAACACTGCCATGGCCTCCTAAGACCATTTCACCGCGCTCGTTGTCCACACGAATACTGCCGATCGGAGTCTCCTTATCTTTTGCAGCAGAAGCTTGTTCACATATAGCATCGATTGCTTCCAGGACGGATTCATCAAATTCATCATCCAGTAGGCTAGTAGAAGTAATAGATGAGTAATTGCTGAAGCCAGAACACTCTAGCTGCTGTTTAATTGGGGTCACAAAAGATTCTGAAGCACTTTCACCAACCAAAGGAAGACAAACTGTCCCAGAGACTGGCTCCGGCTTACGCACCGGCGTTTCTAGCCTAGAGTTTATGCCCCCAAAATGAACCACAGATAAAGTGTTTGCTGATATTTCTGAAAGAGGAACTCTCTTTATGGTACTAATTGGAGCAGGTGATTCGGCAGTCTCGATTTCCCTAGCTCTGTGAATCGGAATAAAAAAACAAACACTAACTGCTGCTCAATCGGAACTGGCTGAAGCTAAAGCAATCGTTCAGTAACAAGCAAATGACCAAGAACAAGCAGTTTCTCCTAATGAAGTAAGAAGGAAATTCGAAATCAAGATGAAGTCGGGCTTACTTATGAGGAGAAAACCGGCAAGGGAAAGCGACGGCGGTGGTGTCGCGCGGCCGTTTCCGAGCAAGAAGAGCCTTGGCGGCTCTGAAGTTTTGTGAAATTCGAGCTCGCTGCTCTTGAGAGATGACTTTGGAGGGCGCAGTATGAGGCAACCGATAGCCATTTTCGTCTGACATCTCCATCTGCAGACGGAGGGCTGGCAAGTGGTTACTATGGCGGAGACGGAGCCCGGCGAGGTTAAAAACGCTTGCAACAGTCGAGGAGGAAGAGTCGGGGGACGAACCGACCAGCGATTTTCCCACCAAAGGCCGTCAAGTAAAATTTTCAAACCTTATAGGCTAATGCTCAACGTTTTCAACCGGTTTAACTCGTTGGCCCGATCGAATAAGTGGGTTGAGAGTTAATGGTCTGATCGGTTAGCTCGGATATATATAAAAAAATATATTGCTTATACATTTATTAACTATATCAAATTTCATCTAACATTATAGCAAAATAACAGTTCGTATTCATCCAATATATAGTGAAAATTCACACACACTAATATAATTTCATTATTTTAGGGCTGCAAATGAGCCAAGCTACCTGCGAGCAACTCGAGGCTCGAATCGGGAAGAGCTCGTTCGAAACTCGATTCGTTTACTGACGAGCAAGGCTTGAGCCTAGCTTTTTTCAGCTCGTGAAGCTCGCGAGCTAGCTCGACTCGGTGGCTTGTTGAGCTCAACTCGTGAGTTGGCTCATTTAGAGCTCATGAGATGTCTCAACATTGTGGTTTTGAGGGCCAACTTGATCACTGACTTATGAACTAATCGATCTAATTTGGACTTTCATAATTCATACGATTGTTAAATTATATATCTCACATCATGTGAAGTTTAACATGTTGAACATGTAAGAAAATATGCCTTATTTTTAATTCTATAAAGAAACTATGTACAAAATTGTTTCGATACTATGAAATAACATGATTTGAACTAGTTAAAATTTATTAACTAAACAATATGACACCTAAAAATTATAATATAAGATTAATTAATGTTGAACATTTGATTATTTTTTTATCGCTACATCAATCACATGTACCATACACAACATACAAAATGAAAGTATTAAATACGATCTGAGAATTTAGTAAAAAAGCCTAGCTCGAACTCGACTCGACTCGGCTCGTTAATAAATGGCTCGGGCTCGAGCTCATCTCATTTGTTAACAAGTCAAGCTCAAGCTTGGGTAAAACTCGGCTCAGCTCGGCTCATTTGCAGCCCTACATTATTTAGATGTTCAACTCAAAATTCCAAAAAAACGAGTTATGAAAGAGAAAATCGAAAAAATTATTTAGATATTCAACTCAGAATTCTAAAATAAGAGTTATGAAAGAGAGAAAATCGAAAAAGATGCTCATTTCACAAACCAACTCGGCGGGAACATGATTGTGGAGCGACCTAAAACTGCATGGTGTACGTTTTCCTTACCGCATACTGCATACAGATCAAAGCAGATCAACCCGCGGGTGAACAACCTTGTTCCCATTGCAGAGCAAAAGGTAAAGGTAGGGCCTAAAATATTGAGTGCTTTAAATGCCATAAGTTAGAGCGCTTCAGAAATCAGAGATGAATGCCTTGGTAAGTTCATAAAAGTTTTGGCCACTATTCAAGTTTCAACCCCGCAGAAAATATTTACATACTGCCTCTGCCTATTATTGCGCTTCAGCCTTTTCGAGTTTCCCTTCATCAAATGAAAACCTGTTCTTCTGAGGATTACAGATTCATCTTTAAAAACAGTAGCTGGATGACACTAAATGGGTGATTGAAGCAGACATTCGAATCTGCTTCGATTTCAAAAAGGTTCTTTACTTTCTTTAACTCAATGAATTGTAGAAAGAATGAACTGATATCCGCCAGAGACCGTCTGGTGGTTGAAAAAACACCAGAATGCTGGCTTTTCAGAGCCCTGGAATGGACTCCAGATTGTACTTATGAGGCAACGCTTCAACTTCTTTGCCGTCGTGGGATTTTGGCTTCTTCACTGCCGAATCAAGAGCCTGCAAATATGTATAAGATGACGATGCACGGGGATGAGGTGAAGGGCTCGGACTGCTGATTCTGCTCGCAAGGAATCGCCGGATTAGACCCCTGAGGAAGGGAGCCATTGTGTCTGGCTCGTATTCAAGGTAGTACATTATTCCTCCCATGCAAGCGCAAAAGAGTGCTACCTGCGTCATTGATTACAAACCCAGTATGTCTTACTCAGCTATAGCAAAAGACTATCAAAAGAGTTAAATTCCATGGCTGCATAAATGTGCAGCTAAACAAGAAGCGCAGCTAACTCATCTAAATGGTTAAACCCTTTCGTATATCATCTATCTCTCGATTGTAAGGCGAAAGATAACATTTTAAAGAACCCATCGTTCATGTTCAAACGATTCATTAAGTAAACTAGTTTTCTAACAAGATGAAAACACAACACAGGCGAGTTATACATAAAAACTATAATTACCTCAGCATTCTTTAGCTTAGGAAGTAGGTGGCGGTTGACTAAGATGTACCACAACGAATCTCCAGCACGAGGAAGGACATACAGTGCAAGTTCTGCACGTCTAGACTTTTTCTCAAACAGTACAGAAAGTGCCGATAGTCCACCGGCTACCCAGTACAACGACTTGTGGTCTCTCACAGCAACTTTCCTATGCATACATATCACACTCTAGCAACCATCCAACACACACTAATAAGATCATGTACAACAGTTAGGGGGGAAAGAAGATAAGGAATTTTGACTGCATGCCCACCTGAAAAATTCCAACAAATGCAGACAAGAAAGTTGTGGAGCGAACAGCATCCCTCAGAGCAAGCCAACATGTCCGTGCAGGTGCATCCATGAACTTCATAGGATATCAATGGCATCAACAAACAAATAAGGTACACTTGTTCACTGATCTTTCAGAAAACAATGAGAGTGTTCGTTTTAGCTAACAAATAGATAACTTAAAAATAAACTGACCAAAGAGTTGTGAGGCAAACACACATTCCAATCTAACTTTTCAAAACAGCTATTGACCTCAAATCTCACAAATTTTTAAAAATAAAATCCACTCGGTAATAAATTTTCTAATCCAACTTCTTCCTTTCGAGATAAAAATCCACTCTTTCATTAATACTCATAATCCCAACAATCACCATTTCTTTGTCATAAAAGAAATTGTCCATCATTTCATCAGCTACTCTTTTATTGATAGAAAACATCTCATATCTTACAAACACAACTTTATCTAACTCCCCCCCCCCCCCCACCCACCCACCCAAAAAAAACATTTATCTTCACTAACTAGAACTTAAAAAAAAAAACTCAAGCTGAAACAAACACACCCGTAGAAGAGAAGGAAGGAGTTAATGGAGTCAAATAATGTACCTTTTGCAAGTGCAGCACAACGTATGGTACAAAAGTCAGTGAGAAGTAGAGGGGAAATGTTTTCCTGAATGTAGCTGATGCTGCATTCCCGTGTTGAATTAAACACGAATCTGTACCCGGATGAATAATAGAGCAAGGGATGATGGCAGGGGCTTCTCCCAACTTCAGAGGGTTTAGCTTTCCCTTAGTAGATAAATAAGCGGATAATGCAGCAATGTCCACAGGACCACCTCTACAAGTTTCTCTGACAGCCTTGTAGACTGGCTGTGCAACTGGCCCTGTCTTCTGAATAAAGTCGTGATATGCTTTTGGCAAGCTCTCGGGCCGCATTACAAAGGAATACATAACCTACAGCAATACATTGAGAAAAATCATCGTGGGAAACGGAATTAAGCAGAAGTGAGAAGAGTAGGGGACCTCGGTCAAAAATTCCAGTCCTATTTCTAGAATTACCAACCACATTACAACACATAATTCTTACTAATATGAAGATCAGTGCTTCAAAGGATGTTCAATTCAACTGTCGGCACATACCTGGGCACACGCCAAAGAAAAGAGCAATGTGTCTCCATGTCTCCAATGGCTACCCCAAAGGTGAAACTTGTTCTTGGATTTAGCAGAATTATAAGCACACTGATGACCGCAGGCGAACGATTAGCAATAATTTGGAAAGAAATTATCAAAACCACCCAGTAGTAGAAACGACTTCAAGTACAGGGATGTGTTATGTACCTGAGCTAATCGAGCCAAAAGATATAGAGCAAGCGTACGCCTCCTGTTGGGATCATCTAACGCTAAAACCGACAAACCAGCAACCGAACCTGCTAAAATTCTGCTCCAATCATCCCCTTAAAACAATGTCACAAAATAAGGAATATGCCCCCATCACGCCCCCAACAGTTGCAGGAAACAGAACAAAGAGAGATCGGTTGCTTACGCGTTCCAAGGGGTCTCCTTCTTTCTGCACTTCCTCAACAAGCACCTAAGTGCATGATAAGAGCCCGTGAATCCACCAAAGAGCAAACCTACTCGGCATGCCTCTTCTCTTACGATAAGATCCTTCTCTGAAACTAGTTGCTGCCCAGCCACAAACATATAAACTAATTCAGAGTTCACACACTACCGCCCCACAATACAATAATTTCCCCCCTCCATCAACTTGCATACAATAACAGAGAAATTCCCAACCGCCGCCACAAATTGCACATAGAAATACTAGAACCGCATACGAAATTCCGGCATAACAGTGGATCGGTGCGCAATTCGAGTGGGGGAGCGAATAAACGAGGAGAGAGGATTGAAGGAAAACCTTGAGATCGAGCAAGGACGAGTAGGACTGTCCCTTGGCGAGCTTGAAAGCGCGGAGCAAGATGCCGATTCCGACGCGGACGCCGTAGGAGAGGAGAAAGCTCTGGCAGAGGTTGCCGATGGCATGGGCGACGCAGGATTCATCGGGAGGATGATCACAGGGAGGGTAATTGGCGAGCCCACGAGCGGCTTTCCGCTGACGGCGCTGCAACTCCTGGATGGCCTCCCGGAGGCGCTCCTCCGCCTCGCGAAGGCGGCGCTCGGCGTCGGAGTTGTCGTTGGCTGAGGAGACCGGAGGCGGGGACGGAGGCGAAGTTGGGGAATCGGGGAGGGAAGGCATCGGGAGCGAGCTGGCTGCAGGAACGGTCTCAACACTTTTGCACTTGTTTGTTGACAGTGCACAATAAAATTGAAGAAGAACAAATTACAATGCTACCGCATGGTAATGAGAAGAAACAGAGAGCTGGTAGGTTGGAGCCTGGATGGGAGGAAGAAGACGAGAATGGAAATGGCGATTACGGAGACGGGAATTGAAGACGCCGGAAAAGGAAAGTGGGGAATTGGGAAGGAATTCTTCCTTCTTTAACTGCCTTCCTCTTTTTGGGTTTTTGGATTTTATCTCAACTACCTCTCTTCTTTCGAGGTGGTGGGTATTCGGTCGGTTCGATCAAAATGTGATCGGAATAATTTCGAGCGAATAATCGACACCTTCTTCATATTAGTTAACCATCTTAATCCTCGTTTTTTTTTTTGTGTTCCCCCTCTCCTCTCTCGCGATTTATTTCTCTAGTGTCTCGCAAGGAGCGCTATGCTTCGATTTGGAGAAGATCGAGGAAGACTTCTCCTCTCACATGATCGATTCTCATGATTTGTAATTGTTTTCTCCTGATTCATTGTAGCGCAATTAAGCTATGAGCCAATAGCATGTCAATTCAATCTGCACCAATTTTTTTGGTTTTGATCGATTTTTGATAAGTTCATTTCTCTAAAACTTGCTCTCTAGCTAGACAGTTATCTAGTAGCCGACTGTGATGTCGACTCTGATCAAACTAGGTCCAACCGAACGGTCGGATAACAATTCACCGAGTAAAGACTCCGTATGGCTTAGCCATTCCTAAGGCCCAAGAGTGCTTCAATTCTCAGTGATTTCATTGCATCAAAATTGATCTGGTGTTCTAAGTTCCAAAATTACCCTCTAGTTTACATTAAGCATCACATCTAGGGGTGTCAGTTCTGGTCGGGTTCGGTTATCCAAATCGAAACCCGAAAAAACTCGAAAATCCAAAACCGAAGATCACTAAAACCGAACCCGAATCCGATAAGGACTTGCGGGTTCCGGTTACCCAAAACCCGAAAATTCCTTATTTGGTTCAGGTTCGGTTAAAGCAAAACCGAAACCCGAAAACACGAACGCCTAAAATATGGGCTGAGTTTTATTCATTGGAGGTTTTTAGCCGGAACCCGAAAAACCAATAAGCAAAACCGAACCCGAAACCAAAAAACCCGAAACCCAAAACGAACCCAAACCCAAAAAACCGAAAATGTATATAATCGGGTCGGTTTCGAATAAACCAAAAAACCGAACCCGAATTGACACCCCTAATCACATTCACATCAGAGAGTAGTACACCGTTTTCTTGCATCAGCTCCGGATCTTGCTGAGAACCCGTGACTCAGACTGCCGAGTCTAGATCTTCTCTTCTTCTTGTTCCCAGGACGCCCGCCACTGCTTGTCGTAAAACGTGGCCTCATCCGCCAGTTTCCTCAGCTTCTCCAAATCTCCACTGCGCCTCAGCAGAATCACTCCAACAATCGTCACCAACAGCCCCGTTTTACAGACCCAGTTCCCGGTCTGACCAACCAGACCCATCCCGGTCAGACCGTCCACCGCGTACGCCGTGAAGAACCCTATCATTGCCGCTCGTCCTGCAAATTTTGTTCCACAACAACAACAACAATTACATACTGTAACTGCTGGAAAAAACTCAATAAACCCAACTATGGCTTTAGGTGAAGAATTAGACAGTCAAAAAACAAAACCATTCAGCAGCTCTGCTTCAGGGAGATACGATCTCTTCAGCCAAGCCCACCATGGAATGATTGAGCTCCTGAAGACCACTGGTTCTTCGTTCCTCGTTGCTTCAGGAAATAATTCCAGGTGCTTTCTTCTTTTAGCCTCTGCAAAACCAGATTGACAATCCTGAACTCCATAAGATGCACTTAAGTTATAAAAGTCATAAAATAGTAGCAAATTACTTGGAAAAAACGCTCACCAGCAGTAATCAGACGATCCCAATCCATTCTCCCGTCTTGGACGAACATGTTGAGATCCCAGGTTCCCTTCTTCCACCGTTCATCAACGAATTTCATGCCACCGGATTCTGGTTTTGTTTCTGACCCATTCTCCTCTGCATCTTTGCCGGTGTTGTCGTCGACCTTTGGCACAACAAAGTGGGAAGCAGGCTGTTCAGCCATGGCTGCAGGACTTGAACCCTTTTGAGGACCATCAACGGTTACAGTAGTAACATGGGTAACTTGTTTTGAAGCCAGTGAACGTGTTTTTGGCCTGGCATGGGCAGCTGGAGGTTGTTGCTTCATTTTAGCATGATGCGAGCTGTAGCAGCAAGCGCTGTGTATAGATGCAGATATTGTTGCAATGGAAGCCATGAAATTTACCAAGGTTCCTTTTGCTCGTGTTTCTATTACTACTCTTTAGTTTTTGGTAGTGAGGACTGGTGGGAGAGGATAGGGGGAATCGGTTAGTGAACACAAGCCCCCATGCTGTGCAAGATAAAGAAACTTATCTTTTGCACCTGCAATTTCTGTCAGTAAAACAGTATGGGCTATAAGCTTCTTTTTCCCCATATTGTAATGTTCAAGAAAAAGTCAACAAAGCTCACCAGTTAAAGCAAAATCATCTGGCATTGATTTGAATCACTCATTGAATAACTTCCAGGGTGACAATAATGCTTATTGAAAGAGTCTAGTTGGAAGGTGTTTAACTGCACTATGAACCTTAATAGCTAGCTGCTTGAAATATAAATCCACATGATTCAACCACTAGACACCACATTCTCACGAGACAAAGGAATGGGGACTTGTTTAACAATGGCTTCTCTGACTAAATGTAATCAGAAGCTTGGACTGCAATCATGCTTCCCATCCTCTTAACAGGGTGGCTCGAGCAACCCGGTTCAACCCGAGAGTAAACGCCCCCATCCGAAGATTGCATTCGTGTGTCTGGCACATGCCCTTGATGTTCTTGAAGGCTTTAGTCATGTATTTCTTGAGTTCCTTGTTCACCTGTTCTTCTTCCCACATAAATCCTTGAATGTTCTGCACAAATGAAATTTGGAAGATTTCTTGTCTGTCAACTTGGTCCTCAGGGGGGACAATAATGCCCAAGAAAATGTACATCCCACACAAACTGTAACTATTATTACCTGAACCCACTCAAAGTAACTCACAGTAACACCTCCAGAATTTGCATAGATATCAGGAAGTATAATCACTCCTTTCTTTGATAGAATCTGGAATTTCATTAACTCTTCATTTATCAGAAGCCAAATCCAAAACTTTCAAGGTTCATCCCTCAATGGATGAACCGTAAAAATTAAGAAAACGAACATAATTCTTACCTCATCTGCTTCTGGGTCAGTAGGATGGTTTGCTGCCTCTATAATGTATTTGGCTTTTACATGAGTAGCATTTTCTCTGCAAAAGGCCAAACCAGATTTTGATCAGCACAGGAGGTTTGGTTAAGAACAAACTGAACATGGAAAAACAATAGAGTGGAAGGACAAGGAAATGGGATATACTTGTTCAAGACTCCTCCCAAGGCGCAAGGGACAAGGACATCGCACTCGTGCACCAGAAGTTCATTAGGGTTCATAGACTCTCCACCAGGGAAGTTGTACAAACTACCAGTGGATTCCTTGAACGCGATCAATGCAGGTATGTCGATTCCATTTGGATTCTTAACTGCACCAGTAATGTCACTCACTGCTATAACCTTCCCACCTTTCTCATGGAAGATCTTTGCTGCCCATGATCCCACATTTCCAAAACCCTACATAGAAATTCCCATTGATACAGTTTCATTACAAACCCCCCAACTATAAATCTCTAATAATCGACCTCAGAGAATCGAAGTGTCATCTACCTGAATCGCAAAAGTCAGACCCTCAATGGACTTCCCATATTCAGCCAGCAAAGCTTCTGTAGCAAAAACGACCCCACGACCTGTTGCAGCCTCCCTACCTAGCGATCCACCAAGATCCTGACATCCACAAACACAATAATTTGACTGTAAGAGAGCACTAGAGAACAGGACAATACAACTAGGGCTCATATGCACAATTATATGACATCGTGCATTTTGACAGACAATATTTTTACAAATCCATCTACACTGCACATGATTTCTTATAATTATGTTTTCCAAATACACAGCAAGCCAAGCCAGTCCTTAACCAACTCCTGAAAGACCATTTTCAGCTACCACTTACAATGGGCTTTCCTGTGACAACCGCTGGGGAATGACCATGGAACTTGGAGTATTCATCCAATATCCACGCCATGGTCTGTCGGAATAATCACCATAGTACATAAGCCAATCTCAGTCAGAACCATCATCAGAAAACTGTAGAGACAAATTAAGTTTCAACATAAAAGGGAGGGGAATACAGTTGAAATATGAATGACCTGAGAATTAGTCCCCATGTCTGGAGCTGGAACATCTGTATGGGTGCCAATTAGATCATGAATCTTCTGAGTGAAGACACGAGTTAGACGCTCTAACTCGCTCGTGCTCAAATCCCTCGGAGTGCATCCGATCCCTCCTTTTGCTCCACCATATGGAATATCTGCCACTGCGCTCTTCCATGTCATCAATTGAGCCAATGCATTTACCTCATCTGGATCGACCTATTGCAGCAGTAAAAAAAAAAAAAGTGACCCACTCTGTCAAAACCTGAGAATCCAAACAGTCACATAAGCTGAACCAAGAATCCCCCAGATTGTAGAACAAACGCCAATCGTCACTGCATCGAACGTAGTCGAAAGAAACAACAACAGAAACAAGAAACGACAGAAAGGAAAACTGCTACAAAGAAGAAAACAGATTCATGCACACACCTCAGGATGGTATCGGATTCCTCCCTTCATGGGTCCTCTAGAATTGTCATGTTGCACTCTGAAGCCAATGTAGGATACCAGAGTCCCATCATCTTTCGGGATTGTGCACTCCACCTGCGATTGGAATCCCCAAACCAAAACTTCATTTTACCAGAGCCAAATACGAAATCGAGATTCAAACACCCGACAGCGACGGAAAGAACATTCAATATCAGAATCAAAGATGAAGGATGAGATCGCACTACAATAAAAAAAAAAAAATCCCGCACCTTGATCTCCCTGAAGGGGATCAGAAGACTCTTCTCCACCTTGGAGTCCAAACCAAGAATCCTGGCTGCAGCCCGAAAATTACGGTTGGTGGCCGCAAGAGCATTCATGGCTGCTTAGTTTTTTTTTTTTTTTTCCCTTCTTCCTAATATCAAAATCGGACGACTACCCAGATGCTGGAACGAAGAGAAAAATGGACCCAGATCAGAAAGGATGGATCAACACGCAAAAATCAGGGAAGTCTGTTACTGGCGCTGACAATCAAACAGAAGAAAAGCGAAAAGGAGAAATGACAAACGGGTGACGAGATTTGATGGTGGGGGGACTGGGAAGAGAAGAGAAGGGTCTGATTATTTATATGGTGTGCCAAAGGATGCGGAGATTAGATTGGGAGAGGAGAGCAGATTGAGATTAATTAAACAAGGGAAGATTTTGAATGCGAAATGAATCAGCAACAGCAAGCAAGCTGGCCATAAGATTTTCAGAAGTCTAGGCGTCTAAAAACAAATGTTGTAGAAACTCTATGCCGATCGGACAGAAAATTCGGATATCGGACTCAAATTGGTCATTTATTTTAGCCGTAAGTAACAATCGAACTATGGTTAAATTACAATTGTAGTAAAAAAACTATCACTCTGACTATTTTTTATACAACCTCCGTTATGATTTCACAATCGTACATAAATATTGAAGAAGTAAGCTAATTAAAACGCGTACTAATTAAAAGATAAGTTTTCCTAAATTACAGAAATGCCTAGTCAGATTGATAACAAAAGGATTAGGTGAGGTGCTGCTTAGATGCTAATTTTTTACTCACTTTTTTTTCCTTCTATAACTAAGAAAACAAAATAAGAAAAGCTAACGTCCCTTCGGGGCATCCGATAAAATTGAAAGAAAGAAAGATTGCTAACTAACTTCATTCTACAGTCCAAAACTATTATTAGTGTGCATATAGGATTTTATGTAAACATGTTGCTTAAATCGTTGCATTGTACATTTGTACTTTTGTAATTTACTATTTTTACACGTTATAATTATCACAACATACATTCAATACTTATTAATGGCAGAATGTGTGATCCACGTTTAAACGCCTGCTTACGCCAACAACTTATTGCACATATCCGTTTCACACTCCACCTATTAGAGCTATTGACCAACCTTTTTTATGAATTCGTTGTGTTTTCTCGTTATAGCTCGTGGAAAATTGTGCGCACAGTTTACAATGATGATGAAAGTCTCATTTCTTCTTCATGGTAGTCCATAAAATCATTTTTAAGGATAAGGAGAAACTAAATAAGAATTATTAGTTTTAACAGGAAAGTGACATAGACGAATGATACAACAATTCCTAACGTATGCACGTCCACAAATGTAGTAACTTTCAGCATGATAACAATCTTGAAGATCATAATTGGAATTATATCATCCATGGGTTTGCCAAAACAAGTTTTTTGTCATGTGATTTTTTCTTCTTTTTTCTCAGAAGTACATCAATGTTCATATAACCTTATAAATAATAATAAAATTTATTTTTCTATGCAAAAATATTTTATGTCTAAGTTAAAACGTAAGAAATTTGGTCCGTTAAAAATCAAGAGCTAAAAATGAGTGAGAAAGAAGTATGATCTGCTACAATTTTTTCAAAGATTTCAAAATTATCTGAGTATTAGACTAACTCCAATCCAACAAGATAAATTTAACTTCCCAAATTGCCAAATGTCCATTTTTAGTTTCTCAAAACACTTTTTTTTTTCTCCAACCTCACAAATCTTATTAACTTCCCCCACAAATCAGAAGCATACGGTGCCGTTTGCAAACCCTACAAGATCTATCAATAGTCCAAACGGTGCCGTTTGCGCCGGATCCGTACGTGGTCTATGACTATATGCAGAAAAGAGGAAGGCTGTGGAGTATAAAGCAATAAAATGTTAACAACAATCCAATATCCAAATTCCAAACTCATTAAGAATCCTCTAAACAGAAACATAAGAAATGGTCACAAACATTACTCTACCGCTTCCTGTCACTTCCAAACTAAGCCCTCTCTCCAGCACAAAGAGATAGATTGATCACACTTTGATCTCCTCCCCAAGCTAACATTACATCAATAGGAGGAGAGAAGATGGGGTCATTCCCTACCTCAAATTATGAATGCAAAATCCTTTTTATCCGTCCATGCGAGCTCCAGTGATATAAATGGTTTCTGAAGGACAATTACAGAATCATCGACTGTTTTTTTCTTCTCTCGCAAGCATGGCCTCGACTACTGCCGGTGTCCAAGCCATCAGTATGGTCTGTATCGCGTTGGCCGCCTGAATCTGGGAACCCTCCTGTCAAGATTGCATTTTTGTTTCAGTAAACTTCCCCATAGCGAACAGTGAAAGATATAATGAAAGTAATGAAGACAGGATACAGGGGGTTAAACCTGAAATGTTCACAATGAAAGGTTAACAAGCGAAACAAAGAAGCATCTCATATATGTAGATGCCTAACTGTAAACCTGAAAGTCGCCTCGGAGAAGGAACACCAATTCCTAAACTAACTAATTTCCTAGTACGGTCAATTGGCACACCCAGTCAAATGTACCCTACCACAGAAAATAAGCGGTGTATGATCAAAACTTATGGCTGGTAAACACAGATGGCTTTTTCTACTTCTCACCATCCCTATGAGACTTAAAGTGGCTAGCATAAATTCACAGGACCCAATTTACCAGAAAAAAATATCACAGGACTTTCCAGTACCAACTTATCTCATCTTATAAATCACCCCTCGGATAAAACAGATAATAAGCCAATGCTGGAGCCTGGAGGCGCCAATCAGATGGAGACCACTAAAATAGCTGCACCAGACTCAACTTGCCCCAAACCAACAATGAGGGCGCTTGGCTTAGATTTATAGAAATCAGGTAAGAGAGGCAGTGACAGATTTGTGCGTCGGTAAAGGAATAGCGACAAACGCAACACTCACCCGTACCCTCCATATGGTTGATAGAAGGGAACAGGCATGAAAGGCCTTCGAAATCTGAAATAAGGGTTGGGCCGCCTTCCACGGAACTGCTTCATGCCAGGAACATTTGTTCTCTTAGCAGAGACCTGAACGTAATACAAAGAAATGAGAACCATAAAAGAAGCAGATTAACAGACTCAATTGACAGCATGAAGAAACTTCCAAGAGGACCTTTAATTGACGGCCATGCAGTTCAGATTCATTTAGCAGGAGGGCATTCTGCACAGCATCCACTTCCACAAATTCGACATACGCAAAACCCTTAGGCTGACCAAACTTGTCTGTCAAAATTGTCACTCTATTGACAGTTCCGCAAGACTGAAAATGCTGCTGAACTTCTTCCGGAGTGCAAGCATAATCCACCTGTAGGAGGAAACAATCAAGAGAAACAAACAATACATGTCACACCTGATTGTTAAGCTCAGGTCTTGGTACATACCAAAATTTCAACATGGGAAGGATATACTGATATATCCGTAAAAACAATCACAGGGAAAAAGTGTAGTGAACCTTACATTGCCAACATAGATTGAGCGGGCATCAACTTCCTCCTTTTCGGCCAGAGATGCAGAAGTACCCGAGGAGTCTTCACAAATACAAACAGAAAAGAGAATCTAGAGATTAAACACAGCCAGCGAAAGAACAGAAGCTTGTAAGAATGCGGAACACACCCAGGATTGAAACCAAAACATAATGCAAAACTGGAACGCATCAATGAAATTGATACATAAAAAATCTGCCTTTCTACCTCCACTCCCACTCCCAGAGCTCAAGATTAACCTAATTCGAGTAAAAAACTTAAGTTCGGGAACAAGCTCTAGCAAAATATCAACATAAAGACGCAGGAAGAACAGACATTGCAAAGGGAAATCCATCTGAGCAGGTACAGTTTTCAACACCCATATGAGAAAGATACAATCCATGTATACCTTGCACAGCGCCCATCTCCTTCTCTACCTTAGCCTGCATTTCACGAAGAGCGCCAGCTTCTTCTTCGATCTCCTTCAGCCTCTTCTTCATGTCCTCCAATTCCTGCCCAATCACGAAAACCAAAATAAGCCACCGACGCCAAGAACGGAAACAAACTCCAAATCCTCCCCAAATCCCGCAAACGCGATAAAAAAGGAGAGAGAGAGTGAGCGAGAAAGAGATTCTTTTAGCAACAGACCTTGGCACTGCGGTCCGCGTTCTCGTCCTCTTCAGGTCTGGCAGACATGTCGACGTCGTCTTCCATGTCTCCCTCGTAAGGGATTTCGCCGCCGTAAACCTCTTCTTCCTCGTGCTCCTGGTCGTACTCGTGATCTCCGGGCTGATCCATCTCGCCTTCTCTTCCGACGGATTATCGGCCGCCGGTTGCTGCTGCTGCTGCTACGGGAGTGGGGGCAAGACCTAGGGATTTAGTTTGAGGGGATTAGGGGTTTTTCCGCTATTGCTCCGTCTTTCTTTCCCCAATGGGGAAGTCCACGCACAGATTTGGGAGCTCACTCCTCTCTCGGCTCACAACGCGGCGCCCAATTCCATATTTGCAATTTTCAAACGTTAGTAAGGGTAGTTACGTCAATCATTGTGTAGTTGTCAATTTGATTACTTGCCGCAGTAATGTTGTCAAACCGATTTATATGGTTGCTCCGGATTAGTAAATTGCATGATTCAACCGGATACAACTCGTATGTATCAATTCATGTTGGTTTAACAATTCAAAAGAACCAGTGGATAATCAAAGAACCGATAACATCGTATAGTGATGATAAGTCATATACATTAGCAACCCTAAGATTGAAATCATCAAAGAACCAGTGGAGGTACCAATGTTTAAAGAGTCAGAGCAGCAACAACACAAAAGAATGGACAATTCATTCTTTAAAATGAAATTAGTTCACATCTCTAGATACCCAACATTTATCAAACATTTCCTCCCGGGATAGATCGAATCACCTTTTCGGTGTAGAAGCACTGCAAACTCCGGAATTCCCACGAACGCAACAAACGACAAGAATCGCACGGCGATGATTTTCTTTAATATGTTTAAAGAGATGACAATGAGAAAGTTATGCAGAGTTTCTATACAGAGCAAACCTCATAGTATGCAGGGAAAACCATATCTCCAAACAATGAGAGGGCACTGGATTTATAGGAAGCGAAGAGAAACTAAAAGGTAGGCGGTTGAAATGACACAAATGTTCGTTTATCAACGGTTACCAGTAACGTTCATGGGATTGAATGAGGCCGCTTAATTAAACGAATCAATGCCACCATTACCCTATGCACTCAACCTTCCTAACTAGTTTGGTTTCATTGGTTATAAACCTAACTATCCCACACCCATATTTCACCAATATGGTACACACGAGCTTTTGACCGCTCTTCGTCCCTTTATTCTCATCCACACCTTCATAAACCCAATATCTATCACGTGAATGAAGAATGTTATGTTTTAGTTACTCTCATGTACGAATTAGTTACATCAAAGTAGGTATATTTTTCGTTTTCCTTTGAACTGTTCATAGTGAATATATATTGAACATACTCACCACTCGGTAGATATGATATCTTTGAACCATCGATTTTTCTTGTATACTAAGACTATATATGACACATAAGTGGCATAACTAACTATTATTCGTTCATTGATTCTCACTGTTGTGTTAGTTTCTGCCTTGAATATCGCCCGATTTCATAATTGTTGAGAGAATTGACCTTTTATTCTTCTTAAAGCAACTCCACTTCTAATTGAAATAGGTATATTTCTAAACGTGCAATGCGTCTACTTGCATTGTTTGAGCATTTCAGCTTCAAACTTAGAAACCATTAAAAACCCTTTTGTCTTTTGATTACCCTATTTTCTGAACATTGTCTCGTCATGAGAACGGAGTTTGCAAAATTTGACAATGTTGGACCATCATTCACAATTTTATTTTCTACTTGAACCTAAAGTTTGGGCTAGCCAACATTACTAGGTAAAGTTACAGTCATGGTGATTTGTACTAGGCCACGTGTCCATTCCTTTTGATGTAATTAATTTCGAACCAGACCCTATATTTGTTTCATTTTATCTAGGGTTAATACCACTGGGAAACTCGAGCTATAAAAAAGTACCATTTGTATACAGATCTATTCAATATTTTGAAAATGTCCCAACGTATTACAGTTGTGTGTCATTTATTTCCTTGCGATTTCGTTGACCGTTGTAAGTAACGGTTGACCGGACATTGATCAACTTGATGTTGACTTTTGTTGACGTGGCAGCCACATAGATGCCATGTCATTGACATCTCATATTTTTAATTCAAATTAAATAAGAAAAAAATAGAAAAATTTAAAATTAACAAAATTAAGAATCTCACTATTCACCCCTCTCTCAAATATCTGCCACCGTCAGGCCTTTGGTTCATGTGACGAGTCTTTAGATACAATACACCAAAGACTAGTCTTTTTTCGATTCACAACATATAAATTATAATGTATTTTGACTTGGTATTATTCTCCTGCAAGTTAAGGTTGTCAAACCGGTTTATGCCAGTGTGTCGGTTTAGCAACTGAAATGGTTCGACCAGTGGCACATACCGGTTTGTGCCGGTTCATGCCGGTCAATATTATAAATAAAATTATAAATACTCATATTTAAACATGACATTTAATGTCAATACTTAAACATTTATACTTGAATCCAACAAATAACATCAATATTTAACTTTTATACTCATAAAATAAATAATAAAATTATTTTTATCAATTAAACTCACTAAAATAAGGTCATTTTACTTAGAGATTCGTATATCGATTATGCCGGTCATACCGATGGTGTCACGCCAGTTTTATGACTGATACCGATTGAACCAGGTTCAAACTGGTGGCACGCCGGTGAGTGTGACACCCATGCGTGCAACAGTCAACCCACGTTCGTTCGTACACACGCCAATAACACCACACATAATATATACCCTGGCCTCGTGGTGGATCATCATCATCGTCATTACTCTTCCATATCAATCCAACAAATCAACCACTAAAGCACCATGAATTACAATTATCACAGCCTAAAAGATAACCCTACTCATCAAATCTCCATAATACTCTCCCTTTTCCTCTTCAGCCTCCTCGCCGTCTCATTCTTCTTCTCCGACACACCACCACCACTAAGCAACGAACTAACCGCTTCTCCCAACAACAACGACCCGCTCGGGGCGGCGCTGGCGGCGGCTGCGACGGCGGACAAGACGCTGATCATCGCGATGGTGAACAAGGCCTACGTGGAGGAAGGGGATTGGCCGACGATGCTCGAGCTGTTTTTGGACGCGTTCTGGCTCGGCGAAGGTACTAGGGAACTGCTCGACCACCTGCTCCTCGTCGCCGTCGACGAGATATCTTACGACCGATGCAACTTCCTGCACCTCCTTTGCTACCGCCTGCGCCTTCCTCCCGCCGGGGATAATTCTTCCGCCGCCGGTGACGGAGAGGAGAAGGTGTTCATGTCACGCGAGTTTATCGGGATGATGTGGCGACGGACCGAGTTCCTCGGGGACGTGCTGGCCCGTGGATATAACTTCATCTTTACGGTACTGTCCATAATTGACAACAGTTTTCTTTTCTCTGTGTTTTCGTATAACATGGTGGTAAAGCTGAGTAGTACACAAAATTATATCATTGTGGTATGGATCGGAAGTGTGCGACGACAGTACGAATGTACTATAGTACATGACGATGAGTGTATAACAAGATGGTAGTTTCGGTCACAATTTTTTCCCCCAGAAATATATTGAATTGTATATCGCGATGAATCTGTTCTTTCTATGCAAAAAAAAAAAAAATTAAAGATTTGAGTTACAATTAAAAAATGAAGCTGGTAAAGGATGGTAATAAGTGGTAATTATGGGTAGAAGGAAAAAAATTCTACGAAACATATAAATAATAAATATAACTTTGTAAATCACAATGAAATCATTCCGCATCTATGCAATTTTTTCCTTAAAATTTGGGTTGAATTAGAGAGCTACAAGTCGATTAAAAAAAAAAGAGGAATATATATATAATTTTTAATCTCACCAATTAGCTCCGATAAAAGTAAAATCAAATGACTAAATCTCACAAATGTATAATCAAATGTTTTATGTAACCCACCTTAATTTCCAATTGCATGTCACTGTTTTATGCATTAACGTTTAGAAGTCATTATAGAGACTCCATTGCACATTTTGTTCAGATACATAATTCCATGGAACTTGACAGCAACTACACATAAACACATGGAGCTGAGGCCTGAGTGACATGACATCCATTGATGTTGTATTGTTATGGAATTTTAAATGCGCCTGAATATTGAAAAGTCCGCGTTGAAAGATCAAATTTTTGCTATTTGAAAGATCAACTTTGATGACACAGGACACAGACGTACTGTGGCTGAGGAACCCATTCCCAAGGCTGACGACGACCAAGACGCCGGATCTCCAAATCAGCACGGACCGGTTCGACGGGAACCAATGGTCCCGGTCGAACCCGATCAACACCGGGTTTTACATGGTCCGGTCCAACGACCGGACCATCTCCCTGTTCCGGTCCTGGTACTCCTTGAAAGATAACTCCACGGGATTGAAAGAGCAGGATGTGCTACAGACCTTGATTCGGGAAGGGCCTGTCCATACACGAGAGCGGCTTGGGGTTCGGGTCGGGTTTCTCGACACGCTCTACTTCAGCGGCTTCTGTCAGGGAAGCCGCGACATTCGAGCAGTCGTCACCGTCCACGCAAACTGTTGCCGCACCATCCTCGCGAAAGTTGCCGACCTCAGAGTCGTGGTGGGATTGTGGAAGAGGTTCAGGAGCAATGCCACGTCGGTTGACGATAGTGCTGTGCTGGCGAACATTGCGCACGTGGCGTGTGCTAATTCGTGGAAGTGATCTTGTGATTTTGAATGGATATTGCACATGCAAGCATTTGTAAACATGTATACTGAACACCCTCACACTTATATCACACATTGTCTCCAATGTGCACAAGACAATCTGTAAGTGAATAGAATCAAATCGAGGTTGAGTTGTCTCTCAACAAGGATTTTCTTACAGTCATAAGCTAGACGGTTGCATTCAAGTTTCGGCCCATCCCAAGACCTCTTTGAAATTGAAGTTCCCGTGAGTATGTGACCTCTTTGAAATTGGGGCTCCACCTTCAAGAGCTCTTTCCTTCCTTATCCTTGCTTTTCTTTCTCGCAAACCATATAACTCATAATGGTCGACCACCATTGCATACACCAAGAGAGATCGATATATGATGGGGTTTGGAAAAGAGTCTTGACGAATAGATTTCGTTGCAAGGAGTTTTTCAAGAGGTTGGATGTGCATTGGTTCGGCTTATTCACATACACCACAACCTCCATCGTCACTTGTGATCCATTCACCTCTTGAACCTCCTTTCTTTCTTCTTTTTGATTGTTGTCTTCCCATGTAAAGATTCAATTTCCTTCTCTTCTTCACTTTCTTCTTCATCATCTACAACCTCCGACGTGGTTACTAGCAAGATCCTCCCTATATTAGGTATCTTTATGTATTACATATGTAACATGATCGATATTTTTAACAACTAATCATGTTCTTATTGCTACAAGATTGATGGATTGGAGACTGTACCACTTGATAAGTGGAGATGTATTAGGTTGTTGATTATGTTATAATCACTAACGATGACAATTATCATAAGTTAGAGACTATCAATATTAGGAAACAACGACCGCTATATTTCCCTCCTTAAACCTTAATTTCGTCATTATAACCATTATAACTAGATATAGCTAAAGAAATTCATCATAATTGCTAATAAATATTTCTTAAAATATATAAAAGCAGTTTAAGAAAACGGCCCTCTCCACGTCAGCGTTGGAGGCTTCCCCGTGAATTTCGGAATTATGATTCTTTTTCCTTTTTTTTTCGTTTTAATAGGCAGCTTTTGCCCGCACTCAATTTTTCGGCAGGAATACAACGAATTCTTTTTGGTGGAAGTGGAAGTTGGAACTGCAAATCTTGATCCCCATTTTTTATCATGTGGTTTTATTTATTTATAAAAAATTTCGTGTTGTTTTTTAAATAAGCACTTATTCATTTAAATGGGATGATTTGATTTTGTTTTTGGGCATATGTGGCATATTATGTTTCTGTTAAGGGAAAAAATTTAATGAAAGTTAACAAAAAAAATAAAATAATGAAACCATTCTCAAGCCTTTTTTTACTGGACCAGATTATTCAATAGTATAGCCGTATAGGATATTGGATGAGATAATTAGTTTCAATATATTTCTTTTGAACATATTAGTTCAATATTATGGATTTTTGGTGGATAAATGTTCTTACCTAAATACTTATATTGGCACTTCATGATTCACCATTTTATTTTTTTAGAACTGTTTAACCAGTCAATGTCAAAAGCATGAGTTAATATTAGATTGTTTACAAAAGTTAATATTATAGAATTAAATCGTCATAAATAACCACAATAAATTATGAGGATTTTCAACATATGTCTATGATCGATTTAGGAGTTTAGGCGGCATTTAATTTTTCTCGATTAAGAGTTGAGTAACTAACTTTAAAACATACATTGACTATGGTAGAAGCACAAAATTGTTGCTTGATAAGTTAGGCAAAGGAAATAGTTCAACCTTTCTTAGATCAATATTGAAGCCACATATTGGAGAACAAATTATTCTAAAGAATGTACAAAAATAGGAAAATTCCAAAATAAATTAAATATAAAATTTTGCTTAATTAACAAAAATAACCAAATGAAACTCGCCCGGCCAACCGGCCGGGTACAAAGCTAGTTCATATAATAGAGTGTTTTCAACCACTAGAAATTCCCCCTAATTAAAGGTTTCAACGACCGACTATTGATATCCTCTCGTAATAACTTTTTAGTGGGGAAGCCTGTAAGTCCATAGCGAGGGGATTATCCCCTTGTTAATGACTTTTCACTATGAGATTTGAGTTTTTAAATATCGTTATTCCCTCGTATTTTTTTTTATAATGGTGATAAATTATGTAATTAATACTTCTGAGCTCCAAAGCGAACATGTTCTTGTTACTTAATAGTGCTTTATTGACAGTTTCTTAATTTTTTCATAAAACACATTTACAATTTTTTCTTCCACTCCTCTAAAATACAAGCTGAGTGTTCATATTTAGTTCGTAATAAATAGAAGAAAACAGCCAATTAAATGATCATCCCACTTGGCTCATATTCTAGTTTCAACTTGTCTATAAATTTAACCTTACAACTCTTGAAAGGAAAATTAACGTTATTGTTATGCACCACTGGGCTGGTATAACAGACAAAATTTGAGGGATCGCCGCCAGGGAGTAGCTAATATATATGGGTGGGCATTGGTCCATTAATTTCAAAATCGGATCGAATTGAAATAGAATATGACAAAAAATAATGGGAAAATACGGATTAGAATCAGACCGAAAACATGTTTGATTTATTTTGTTATCCAAATTCAATTTCGATTCATTTTTTCTTCGTACTTAAAAAAAAACTCATAGGAATAGTAATACATTTGATCTGATCTAATTCAATCCAAATATCAATTTGGGACGATTCTATCCAGTGTGAACCCCATTATCACCCACCCCTAGCTATATATGTTTATAACTTAACAAACTCATACAATATAATTCAATTATTATGGGTCATGGCTGCTTCTTAGTTCTTACAGTGTTCTTGTTGGATGAAGAACAATATTTTCTAATTGTATTAAAATGCAGAGTTTTGGAAATGGAATATTTTCACATGGCTTCTAAAGACATTTTGCTACCAAGTTCTTTGTTTGTCGAAAAATAATGCAACAATCCAACACCATTCATTATATGGACCACCTCGTACCAATTTGGCGGGAGGCGGAGGTTAGGGCGCTAATACCAGATTCAGCTAACATAAATATTTTGTGTAGATGAGTTTTTTTATTTTATTTTAAGAGATTGATTATAATTCATGCTAATTTTTAAAGAGAGTGACACACTTGTCATTATGAAAAATTACGGGACACACAAATGTGACGCTGCTCATTTATTCGGATGAAGCAAACTACATACACAAAGACCAGAAACCCAACAAACCATACAAAAAAAAAACATAAAATAGATCAGAAAACTTATAAAGCATACTAGAACCCTACCACACCACAAAATCGATAAAGCATACCAGAAGTCTCAAAACATATCATAAGTTCACTGAAATATATATATATATATATATATATATATATATATATATATATATATATATATATATATCGGAAACCTTATAAAGCAAGCATACCACAAATTTTCTGAAGCCGACCAGAAATTTCATAAACCAAACCTGACTATAATTGTTCTCAATCCTCATCGTAGCCCTTAATTAAATCAAGTTGTGAGAGCTCAAGGCTCACTCACCTACTCACCCTAACAGCAGCCCATGCTAGATTATTTATATATAGAAAGCTAGATATAGATATATGCAACTATATATTTTTCTCTATAAATATTTTTTTAAGAACAATTGGCAATCACATCTAGACGATAGATCAACCACTTTCATTAAGAAACCCACCCTAGTTTTGGCGGTAATTGGAAATTTTGTTTCGTGAAAAGTTCCATTAAAACTAAAAGATTGGTCAAGTTGAATGTTAGGATGAGTTCACTATAGTAACTTGATCTAGACTTGAAGTAAAATTTAAGTAAATCCATGCTACTAATTAAATCAAGGTAGAGTCTGGTCAACCGTCATAAGGCAGACAAACTATATCACATATTGTCAATATATCGATATCGACAAACCGCATTGGCAAACCGACCAGTGGATTGAAGTTGCCCGCAACCGCAAACTCCAAATAAAGTAAAATATTCGTTCATATTCAAATTTCTCTATAAAAACATAACTAATATGGTTTTACTTAGAAGTAAATTCTGCAGGCAAATGTGTAGTAAACTTTTGTGGATGTACAAGAGACCAGCATATAATGAACTAACTAGGGGACATTATTTGGGAATTGATTCATATTCAACTACATATAACCTAACTCGCAAGATGTTGTAACCAAAGACTGCGAAACCGTACCAGAGATTGTAGCGGAAAACCTCTAGCGATAAACTTTTTGTACTAAAATTGTGAGTTCGAGTCGTTTTCATATCGCTAAAAGCGACTTACAAATAGGTTTTTTTTTTACCGTCTCGAATCTATTGAAATTCAGCCTGGCAGGCTGGCAGCCACCATTTCCGTTGACTTAATTAACCCCACTCCATCGGAACTCTATAAATATACCCAACAGACGGCTCGGCTATCTCGACATCATCATCTCAACAACATGCCGCCGTCTTCATCATCAGCTGTAGTATTTCTCTCGCTTCAGCTTCTGGGCATCGTTCTGCTCTGCAGTTTCCTCCATGGCCATGCAGCAGCAATCCGCCATCACACTTTTGTGGTATCTATATACACGTCAAATTGCATACATGGTTACATATAATCTGATCTGAGATTTGCATCTTGCCTAGTTGCATATGCCCTAAATTACTGACTACTTTTTGAAGGTGAAAGAAGCGGCATACACAAGGCTGTGCAGCACAAAGAACATCATGACCATCAATGGCAACTTCCCTGGAGAAACGTTGCATGTGCATAGAGGAGATACCTTGATCGTCCATGTGCTCAACCGTAGCCCTCACAACATCACCATTCATTGGTATTTCATCATATATATGTTCCCTCCATTAATCTTTACTATATATTTCCTCCATTCTACAAGACCGGTAGGCTCCAGGAGTATAATATATAATACTTTCAGTAGATGATCTGACCGTTAGATATACTTCGATAAATTCTGACGAGCGACCAATTTGAACGGTCAATTATTGTTTTTTATTCGTTCATCAATTGAACTTCGAGTTTGTGCTCGGAGAATCTGGCCCAGGATTTATCCATTAGAAGTTAAGAGTACAGTATCATACCCCAAAATCGATCCAATTCATGGTCAAAATATATAGATTTTTATCTCAATAAAAGTTTAGTAAGTATAGTATACTCGAGTATAGGGGTGGTCGTTCGGTTACCGGTTATCAATTAACTGGTCAGTTAAACCGATAACCGGTCAGTTATCCACTAACCGGTAACCGAAGTAACCGAACTTCGGTCGGTTATCGGAGACTGGACGAAATGGTTTTTGGTCTTAAAAGTGGTTCGGTTAACCGGTAACCGAGATAACCGAGAAACCGAAGCCTATTTCGGTAGAGGGGGTGGGTATTTCGGTTAACCGATAACCGAAATAACCGAACTGCCACTCCTACTCGAGTAGTATAGTTCAAAACTGCTATATTTCAAGAGTATAGCGGGTTTGACCTATACCCGAAGTTTTTTTTTTTTTACTCTATATATGTATAACTAACTAACCCACAAATCATTTCATTGATTTTTTATTGATGTCTATCGTAGGCATGGAGTGAACCAGCCAAGATATCCATGGGCAGACGGTCCCGAGTACATCACGCAATGCCCAATTCAGCCCGGCGGCAAATTTAGCCAGAAGGTTATATTCACAACCGAAGAAGGCACGTTATGGTGGCACGCGCACAGTGAATGGACTCGAGCCACGGTTTATGGCGCCATCATAGTCTACCCCAAGAAAGGCCATGCTTACCCTTTCCCCAAACCTCATGCCGATCTCCCCATCATCTTTGGTATGTGTTTATAACCGCGCGACGCGGTTCTGATTCGTCGAAATATGTAGAGTATATATATAGCAAATGTGAACACAGACATATATCGTAATAAGTAAGATAGGGCGTATGCTAGCTTTTGTCATGTATGTATGTATGTATATTAGCTCGTGGCCGGTCAAAGTTAACCACATTAATTGCAGGAGAGTGGTGGAAGCAAGACATATTCGAGCTTTTCGACAACTTCCTTCAATCCGGCGGTGACCCTCTAGTGTCTCATGCAATCACTATTAACGGCCAGCCCGGTGATCGTTACAATTGCTCTGGACAAGGTACTGAAAACTAATGCAATGACGAAAAATAAGAATATCAAATTTTACGTGGTATTCTTGAGATTTAGAATTAATCTACGAAAAAGAAGCAGAACTCTAGCTCCTGAATCACTATTATTTTAACTTAATTAGGTTTTCTCTACAACAATATACCTACATATATACTAAAAGCTACCTAACTAAGCCAAGTTGTCACTTTTTAAGAGGTACATAATTAAAAATTGTCATACAATTGTCAATCTATGAATCATTCAATATTCTTTTGTTTTCGGTTTGCTCGTAACTCGACCAATGTTTGGGTCAACATGACTTTGTGTAGACATGTTCAAGCTGTCCGTTGACCAAGGTAAAACCTACCTCCTCCGCCTCATCAACGCCGCCATGCAAGACATCCTCTTCTTCTCCATCGCCGGCCACCAACTCACGGTGGTCGGAACCGACGGGACCTACACGAAGCCATTCAAATCCGACTACATCACCATCTCGCCCGGTCAAACCATCGACGTCCTCCTCCGCGCCGACCATCCCATCGCCGCCAGCTACTACATGGCCGCCAAATTCTACTCGAGCGCACGCGCCGCCGTCAACCTCAACACCACCACCGCCCTCCTCCACTACACCACCAACAACACCACCCCCACCACCGCCGCGAACTTCTCCGCCGTCTCCCTCCCGGCCACCGCCGACACCAACGCCTCCGTCACCTTCACCGCCCGATTCCGTAGCTTGGCGGACAAGAAACACCCCGTCGACGTCCCGCAAAAGGCGGACACCAACTTGTACTTCACCCTCTCCATGAACGCCGCTCCCTGCCCCGCCGGCGCCACGTGCGCCGGCCCCAACGGCGCGCGTCTCGCCGCCAGCGTCAACAACGTGAGCCTCGTCCTCCCGACGTCGATGGACGTGCTGAGAGCCTACTACCGAGGTATCGGCGGCGTGTACGGAGATGACTTCCCCAGCAACCCGCCGGTGAGCTTCGACTTCACGAACCTGACCATCCCGGCGGCATACAGGAGGCCGGCGACCGGGAACCAGGTGAGCATATGACAGTCAAAATCGAAATTTTACGTAAAATCGAAAATGTGGTATAGTCGGAATCATAAAATTGTAGGATTTTAAATTTCATATAAAAAACGAAGACAACATATATAATATTAATAAGAAAATTTACGAATAAAAAAAAAACACATAAAAGTTGTATGTATTATATGAACATACAACAAACGACCGGGATCGTTCAATACGACGATATGAACACGATACCAAGACAAACTCATAGAAATACCCCTTTAGCAACGAAAAGTAGACACTATAAAACTTTAATATTGCACTTAAAAACATCATGTTATGGCCCCCTTTTTCACTTGATTTAGGATTTAATACTTTACGATGATAATTTCTCGTGGTTAATGTTCCAATTTAACAAGATATAATGTTGGAAAATGGTGAATCGATGATGATTGATACGTTGCTTTGAACTGATAATGGTGGATGGTGGTGAATGTGAGATAACTAGATAATGTTGGCAGAGGAGAAAGGGAAAAAAAAGGAGTAATTTTGCAAATCAGGGGGGAATTATAAATTAAATTCGATCCAAAGATTAAAATCGTGAATGTTTTATGATTTCAAGATCTATAGATTTTATACTGAAATCGAAATCGAAATGGGTAAGCAAAATCGTAAGATTTCGAGATTTAAATCGAAGATTTTGTGGCTACTCTGTGCAGGTGAGGGTGCTCGAGTACAATGCGTCGGTTGAGCTTGTGTTCCAAGGAACCAACTTGCTGGGTGGGGTTGACCACCCGATGCACCTCCACGGGACCAACTTTTACGTGGTGGGTTGGGGGTTCGGTAACTTCGACCGGGTGAATAAGACGTACAATCTGGTGGATCCGCCGTTTCAGAACACCATTGCCGTCCCCAGAAACGGTTGGGTTGCCATCAGGTTCAAGGCCACCAATCCTGGTAATATAATAATTAGTAAATGGCACTGATTTTTTTTTTTTTCAACTTGAGTTCCAAGCTACATATTGTTAGTGTTATTTAACATAATTAACACCTGAATGCATAGTGGTATTGAGTTTATATATTGGAGGTTGGAAACTTGGAATACACTATCGCAGTGCAGTCAAAATTGCGCATTAAAATGTAAGAATTTACGTTTTTACGTGTCCAGGCCACTAAAACGTTTTATAGTTTCTACCTAAAGTCGCTTAGTCGTCAAAAATGGTAAAAACATGGGTAAAATCGGTAAAATCGCGATTCTGAAGCGTTTTTATACGATTTTGATCATCTCATAAAAACGTTCTAATTGGACCAAAATGATGTAATTTTGGAGACGTATCAGCAAAAAATAGAAAAAGGAAACATGATTTATCACTCGTTCTACAACTAGTGTCGAGATAAGGGGGCTTCACATTAGGTTGAAAAAACACCTAATGGTATTCTCAACAGTCGCCGGTCTTCTATCAGTCTTCTCCCTTAATCTTCACCTGTGGATCTTACCTGGGTTACGATAAAAGTTTATGGGTAATTGATCGTATGTAATAATGTAAACTCAAACCAGCTTATGAGAGTTTGGATTCTCAAGCTCGTTTACGGGTTACGATCTACATTTATGAGCTTATTATTAAGAAGTTATGAGTTTTCTCTTCTTTTGAGTCAACACCTGGATGCATAGTGGTATTGAGTTTATATATTGGAGGTTGGAATACACTATCGCAGTGCAGTCAAAATCGCGCATTAAAACGTAAAAACTTACGTTTTTACGTATCCAGGCCACCAAAACGTTTTATAGTTTCTACCTAAAGTCACTTAGTCACAAAAACTGGTAAAAACATGGGTAAAATCGGTAAAATCGCGGTTCTGAAGCGTTTTTATACGATTTTGATCATCTCATAAAAATGTTCTAATTGGCCCAAAATGATGTAATTTTGGAGACATATCAGCAAAACATAGAAAAAGGAAACATGATTCATCACTCGTTCTACAACTAGTGTCGAGATAGGGGGGCTTCACATTAGGTTGAAAAGACACCTAATGGTATTCTCAACAGTCGCTGGTCTTCTATCAGTCTTCTCCCTTAATCTTCACCCGTGGATCTTACTTGGGTTGCGATAAAAGTTTATGGGTAATTGATCGTATGTAATAATGTAAACTCAAACCAGCTTATGAGAATTTGGATTCTCAAGCTCGTTTACGTGTTACGATCTACATTTATGAGCTTATTATTAAGATGTTATGAGTTTTCTCTACTTTTGAGTCAACGCAAATTAGTTTATGTGTTAGATATTACATTTTAATTATGAATTTCATGTAGTTAATCACTTATCTAAAATCTACACACTCACATTTTTTACATACTATACGTTGTACTTGACATAATTTAGCTATTTTAGAGGGTGCGTCAAAAACTTACGCTTTTACGCTTTGATTCTACGTTTTACGATTTTACCCATTTCCCGCTTCTAGGTAGAATCGCACTTTTAAGTTTTAACTGCATTGCACTATCGTACTTCAAAAGCGGTTTAATCCATGTATTAGCTAGATAGAGATGCGCTCACTACGAGAATTTAGAGTATCGTATACTCCCAGGAGTATAGCAGTATGGCCTATATGGTAAAGAGACTAAAGACGAGTATACTCTAGGAGTATAGTATACTTTGGGTGATTTGGCGGTTAGATATATATATACTTCGATGAGCTCCGACAAATCAGCATGGTCAATTATTGTTTTCTAATTAAATTGAATTTTGAGTTGGGTTATCCATTATTAAGAGTTTAGGATGCAATGATCTATGCAAAGATATATCACTAGGATCGTATATGTGCTACTATCGTATACTCCATAAGTATAAATTCTAACCTATATATGATAAAAATTTGTACACTCTAGCTGCAGTTTAGTATACTCTAGATGATATGACCGCGCGCGCCGTTGGAATGTACTTCGATTACCTCCGACGAATTTGAATAATCTGAAACGTATATATTATCATTTTATAAATGAATGCAGGTGTTTGGTTCATGCACTGCCATTTGGAGCGTCATGCATCGTGGGGAATGGGGATGACTTTCATAGTGAAGAACGGGAAAGGGCCGAACGACAAAATGTTGCCGCCGCCGTCCGACATGCCTCCTTGCTGATCCAACCGGTTGTGATATTTTTAATTCGATGGGTTCTATTGTTGTTTTTTTTTTTTATTGCTTCGGCTGCGATGTAATTCAGTAATTACTTTGTTGTTCTACTCATTTACTGCATGGGTATCATAATAAAGCTTGCGATTTTCCATTTATCATTTTTGTATGTAGTGATCAACTACAATGGGTTTTGTACTCATGCAATCAATAGTCGCATCGCTTGTGGAACAAACAATCTACATAGATCGAGTTTGTCCACTATGATCAGTGAGCAAGTCGTTTGAGACACAAACGATCCAATTCAGATATATGCAGTTTGATAATATCTTATATTATTTTTATTATATTTAACAAAATAATAGCAATTTGGAAAAAAATCCGTTAGGATTTTGTCTTCTTAGGAGTCACCCCAACCAAACCGTTAAAATAAAAAATTGATATAGATTATTTTACCAAAATCAAAACATAACTCGTTAAGAGGCTTATCGTTTTTTTTTTAATTAATAAAAAACCCAATAAGTCACTTTTAATGAGTCGCTGCACCCTTTATAATACTTTCGGTTAGTCTAAGTTTAGGGTCCAATTTCATTTTAACCAAAATCGTTAAAATAAAAACTGATTTGGGTTAATAAAAAAAGGGCTAATACCACTAAAAATACCAACCTTTAGCGACTTTGCCATTTATATTACAAAACTATTGATATGACATTTGTATACCAAATCGTCTTTTCCGTTAGTTTGACTGTTATATTTAACTGGGAGACTAGTCAATGCCTAGTCATTGCCTACCTGTCACGCTGACGTGGAAATTATAACCCGCCTATCTAATTTTTGCATTTAATTAGAAGAAAAAGATAAAGAAAAGGATAAAAGTAAAATAGAAAAGGGAAATTATTCACCCTGCCTCTTCGTCACTCTCGAAGAACAAAAGAACCTTATTCCTCTCCATATTTATCCCATCTCCACCCAAGATTGACAGAAGAGTATCAACGCTGCCGGAGACTTGCTTTATCTGCAAATGGAACGCTGCCGCCTCCCTCCGCCCACTGCTCTCCTTCTCCAAATCTCATCGACAGATCTGGATTCATCCTCATCTATAATACAAAAACAGGCAGATTAGACAGGTTAAGCGGAATCGGGAGGCGGAGGGAGATTTAGATCCAGATCCAGGGATCTGGTTATCGTTGTCATCGACGCCGGGTTCGGATAGCTGGTTTGGTGATGGTCGTCGTCATCGTCGACGTCGGGTTCGGATCACCGATCCTGGAAATCCACCAGTGGAGAAAGCCAAGGAAGTCACTAGGATAGGTTGTGGATGCGAGATTGGAGAGCCGAAAGCAAATTCCTTCTCTGGAACGAAGATTCCTCCCGCGGCTGCAGCGTCATCACCGTCGAAGTGTGTCGGCCGTAAGAACAATAGAGCGGTGAGCTGGGGGATTCACTTCCGTGATTGGGAGGCGGCGAGAGATGGAGGTCGTTGTCTCCATTGAATGCGGATGAAGCAGTTGTTTTCCTTGCCGCCTTGGAGAAGAGGGAAGAAGGGATTCGATTTGGCTGCGCGTCGTTACGTTGTCGCCGCTCAGCCTCTGCCCAGAGCCCAAGGAAGAAGCCAAATCGCACGGCGCATCGAGGAGTTGGGATCGTCCGAAGAAGCAGATGTGGCATGACGGCGTCGGCGACGAGAGGAATGAACCCTGGCAGTAAGGATTGCGGAGGAAGACAGAGGGCCATTGTTTAGAAAATATTTATTTAAAAATAAATTAATAATATTAATTTTTTTCCGAAAATTAAATTAATATTTTTCAAATATTAATTTCCTACATGGCACCTAGGTGGACAACACCTAAATGCCACATAAGCAATAGTCAAATATAAGTTGACCACCGTCAGGTCAACCGTCAATTCTAACGGTCAACAGAAATTCGCGTAACACAAATGACACAAACCTCTAATACATTGGAATATTTTTGTGTTTATTGAAAGTACGTAATATAAATGACAATTTCGCTAAAGAATGGTATTTCCAATGGTATTAGCCCATAAAAAAACTCAAAGTTGATAAGATTTTTCTTTGGTTCGGTTTTGGTCTAAATCGGAAAAAACCGAACCAAATTTCCCAGCCCTAGTTCTGCTTAATGGGCTTGATTGTTTTTCAAATCATGGGCTTTTGTGTCATAATCCATCCCCTTCAGACGAAAAGGCGGGCAGGCCGGGCAGTAGCCACGAAAAGATAAGACTGACCGTCTCAAAATATCCAAAACTCTCTCTCCTTCACATTTTGCAGTCGACCATCGTCGTCATCGTCGAGGAAACGAAAAAAAGTTGCAGCGAGCAACCGCACTGTACCCACCCACTTTTAGTTCCCATGGCGGCCGCCCAACTCTTCTTCTCTCCTCCTCTCCCCAACCCACATCCGGCTCCCAACCACCGCCGCTGGGTACAGTCCTCCTCCATTCTCAGCCGGCAAAACAGAGCATCCGCCGGGAAATTCATAACCCGAGCCAACGGCGGGGACATGCTGGGAGATTTCGGGGCGAGAGACCCGTTTCCGGCGGAGGTAGAGAGCCGGTTCGGTGAGAAAGTTCTGGGAAACATGGATACGGAGCACAAGATTCTGATCCCCAACATCTCCGCCATGTCTCTGGCGCAGCAGGAGTGCTCCCCTGTTTCTCCCGTCCAGCCTCCCATGTCGAAAGACGACGCCCAACGGCTGTTGAAGAAGGTGCGAATCCAAATTTTCTTGTTCAACCCAATTTTCGAATTCTGCAATTCAATTCAGCAATTGGGGGTTTTGGATTGGGTCAGGTTTTGGGGTGGAGATTGTTGGAGGAGGAAGGTGGGCTGAAACTGCAGTGCTTGTGGAAGTTGAAGGATTTCGGCTGTGGGATTGAACTTATCAACAGAATTCACAGAGTGACGGAGGCTTCGGGCCATTTCCCCAACTTGCATTTGGAACACCCGAACCAAGTGAGGGCTGAGCTCTGGAGTAGAACCATTGGTGGGTTTTCCTCATCAAAATAACCTTCCAATTTCATTCTTTGATCTGGGTTCACTGCTAATAAGGGTGTTTGATCTTGTTTTTGGTAAATGTGGTTTGCAGGTGGGTTGACTATGAACGATTTCATCGTTGCTGCCAAGATAGATGCGATTAAGACCTCCGATCTCGCACCCAGGAAGCGGGTTTGGGCATAAAGCTCAATCTGCAAATTTCAGACATGAAATCTTCAATGTACTTTGTGTGCCAGTTTTGCTAATGATATGGTTCGATAAGTGGTACAATCGATTAAAGTTCAATTCATGTCGGTTTTAGCAAAACATGTAGAGAAGTGGGAAATCGTTAACGCTTAATAAATTCAGGCATTACATAAAAACATATTTGAAGACAATCTCTCTAAAATCTACATTCATAGTGGTAATACCACTAGTTTTGAACCTCGAGATTCTAAGTTCAAATCTTGTAAGTAGTACCAAATTACAAAAAGTAAACATATATTATCATTATCTAAAAAGTATATCCATATTTAAATAAAATAAAACATTCCAAATAAAAGAAAAAATACCCATATATAAATACAACATTTAACGAAAACATTAAAAATTATATACTTGAATGTATAAATAACATAAACATCTAAATATTCATACTTAAATCCAATATATAACATATTCATAATCAAATTCACCTAAGCGATATCATTTTATTTGAAGGCTAGAAATTTTATAACTGATACTGATTAAATCCAGTTGTAGAGGCGGGCATGCCATCAAAATTCACAACGTCACAAACACATGCCGGAAAAGCTGTGAACAGCAAACAAAACAAGAAAAAACAGAAAATGGCGGCCTCCGTTGCTCCCGCTCCTTCTCTGAAATTTTCTCTGCTTCCAAGCCAAGGTCCTCCTTATCCTACGCACATCTCCGTCTCTCGTTATCTTGTACACTCGTCTTTCTTGCTACTTTCTCAATTCGCTCATTGAGAAGTTACGTCGCATTACCTCTGCAGGGTCGAACTTAGTCGCAACTTGTGGATTGTCATGGCGACAGCAGGAGGTTCGCTTGCTTTTTTCTTCGGTTACCCACCTTCCTAATTTTGCACTGTTACGCGAAAGCATGTTACTTTGATGCTGACTTCACCACTTTGATTCGCATTTCCAAACTTTATTGGTTTCCCCTGTTTCGACTGTGAAATGCATATGTGGTGTTCGACGAAATGCTTGCTTGTCTCTCAGCCCAGCTACCTCCTTTTACCTTGTTATCTCTTCCCTCTTGAACAGTTGCCGTTTCTCTTATGCAGCGACGATCAAGAAGAATGGCTGGCCGTGTTGCAATAACATCAAAACTCGAGCTAAAGCCGCCTCCATATCCCATGGTAACCAACAACACAAAACAAACTTTCCCCCTGGTTTAACTGAGTTCTACGGTGATGGTGGTTCAGGGTTTTGTTGAATGGCTCTTGTTATGGCAGGATGCATTGGAGCCACACATGAGCAAGGAAACATTTGAGTATCACTGGGGAAAGCATCACAGGGCCTATGTAGACAACCTCAACAAGCAAATCGATGGGACGGACTTTGAAAACATGTCACTGGGAGATGTTGTGGTTGTTACATACAACAAGGGAGATGTGCTCCCAGCTTTCAACAATGCTGCCCAGGCTTGGAACCATGAGTTCTTCTGGGAATCCATGAAGCCAGGAGGTGGAGGAAAGCCGTCGGGAGAGCTTCTGAAGTTGATCGAAAGGGACTTCGGTTCTTTCGAGAAGTTTGTGCAGGAGTTCAAGGCAGCTGCATCTACCCAGTTTGGTTCTGGATGGGCTTGGCTTGTCTGTGAGTGACCCTTTTATTTATCCAGTTTCCTTTTGATGGTATGCCAAAGTCGCTTCCTTTCTGTTCTTCTGATGACATATTTTGCTTTAACCAGACAAAGCAAACAGGCTTGACGTTGAAAATGCAGTAAACCCTATTCCGTCGGAGGAGGATAAAAAGCTTGTGGTGGTGAAGAGTCCAAATGCTGTAAATCCCCTCGTTTGGGATTATGATGTATGTTCCTGTAGTTAGTTATTTATTCATCTCTAGTTTCATGATTTCACACAACTGTTGCTAACCAGCTTCTTGTTATTCCAATGCAGCCTCTTCTGACTATTGATGTTTGGGAGGTACTCATCAAAACCCTATCTCTCTGTAATGTTTTAATTTGAAATACATTTAGCTCAGACTGACTTGCTTGAACTCTGGTTTTTGTTCAACAGCATGCTTACTACCTCGACTTTCAGGTACAATCTGGCTGATGAGATAGACTATTCTTTCAGTTTTTGCCACTCATGACTTGAGTTCTAAACTTCGTAGTGGTCTCTGTGCAGAATCGACGACCTGACTACATATCCACTTTCATGGAGAAGCTAGTGTCATGGGAAGCAGTGAATGCGAGACTTGAAGCAGCGAAAGCTCGTGCGTCTAAGAGAGAAGAAGAAGATGAGATGAAGAAAAGGGAGGAAGGTGACATTGGTGACAGCCAGCCAGTAGAGATGTATGTAGATGGTGATGGTCAGGACGACGACTCAGACGATTAGTACTTTCGTATTTCGAATGATGGCTTTGTGTAAGGACCATCACATTTTCAATGAGATTTGCTTTAGTTTCCAGTTCTGTAGATTATGAACTTCCTAATAGTATTATATAGTACACATTAAAAACTAAGAAACACACACATAGTAACTACAAAAATTGTTCAAGAAAACAACAAAACAGTAAGAAGAAGAAGAAAAACAAATATTTAACCCGATTTATCCTTCTTAACAGCCTTGTTGACCACCCTACAAGAACTCCTAATCTCACCCTGCGTCCCCGTCAGGACACCCACGGCTCCCAGCCGGACCATGGCCGCCCCAAACCTAGCCGGAAAATCCACCGAATTCGCCAGGTTCGCGATGATCGGCCTCGTGAACCTGCTCATCCCGAGCTCCTGGTCGATCTGCAGCACCCCTCGACGCAGCAGTATGTTCTGGTAGTACGAATTGTCGAGCACCAGCGGGCTGAACGGGTTCTGGTCGAGGTTCACGGTGTTCTCGATCGCGTTGATCGGGCACCTCGACCGCAACGTGTTGACGGTGAACTGGTCCATGGAAGGGTCGGGCTTGCCGCTGCCCTTGAAGTTGTGGATGCGCTCGCTGAGGAACGAGCAGTGTGCCACGCCAACGGAATGTGCGCCTAATGTATGTTGAAAATGAAAAAATTAGTTTGTCAATCAGGAAGGTTCGAAAAGAATGGGTACCAAAGTGAAAGTTATTACCTAGAAGGAGGACCATGTCGACGGCGGTGAGGCCCTTATCGGCGAATGCGGCGATGGCTTGCGGGACTGTGATGGATGGGCCTGGGAGGGTTACGTTTGCTATGTCGGCCGACGAAACAAGCCCATCTCTTCTCCCTGTTTGGACTCTGTATATCCCTCCCCCGCTCTGCTCAAGGCCCAAGGGGATAGCCCAAAGGGTAAAAAAGATAAAGCCACACAATTAGCCGATGATTATTAGTCCAGAGACGTATAGAGGTACAACTATCAGAAAAATGAAGAAAAACCCAAGCTAGTTTGACCAATTTGGGGCAAATATGTTAACCTAATCATTCTAATTTTTTTTTGTCAATCGGAATCATCATACTACGAAACTAACACGATGATGCACACAATAATAATTATTTATAAATTTGTCGTTGTGCATTCGACATACATAAAACGTATAGAGCACTATCCAACAACCACGAATCACGCTAGGGATATCTTAATTTCAACGGTAATTAGTACCTTGCCCGAATTGTGATGTGATTTTTGAATTTAGGATCAATGGATAGAGATCAAATCAAACCAAGAAACATTCCTCAGATCACCAAATTTTGATTTTTAGGATACCGTTGTTGTGATATGCTCAGCTTAAAATTAAGGTTAATGGTAATACCTAAGAAGAGTGAGTTGAAAGAGAAAGGGAAGAAATTAGATATCATAGTATATTATTACGTACGAGGAAAACGGCGTCGCGGGCCGCAATCGCAATGAGATCGGCACATGAAACGACGCCGGGGCAGATCTTCTCGACGGCATCCTTCGCCTGGTCGATGATCTCGTAGCCGCGGACGCTTTGGTTCGGCGACGCCGTTTTCTCGCTGTCGGGACCGTCAAGGAGTATGGACCCATCGCACCCCTTACATTTTAAAAAAAAAATATAGTTCAGATTAAATCTGGCGGCCGAGCCAGAAATTTAAACGAGGGGGCTAAAAATTTACGTATTAATGAGTAATGTAGAAACTCACGTTGACGAAGCAGTCGTGGAAGTGGAGGCGGATGAGGGAAGCGAGGAGGGAAGGGTCGGTGAAGAACTGAGCCGAAACGACGCCGCCGACGATGGCTTCGACGTCGGCGAACCCACATTTGCCTCTGTAGAACCCGACCTGAAGGGCGCCGTAGCAAATTGGGTCACCGGACAAAAACAGCAGCAAGCCCAAAATAAATCCCACAGCTGCTGTCGTCCCCTTCTTCATCACCAGGAGCTTGATTTTCCCCCGCTTTTTTCCCCACCCTTTCCGTAAATTAATTAGTAACCATTCACCAAGAAAATATGCAAACCGGAAAAAATGAGAAGAAAAAAAAAAAAAAAGAAGAAAACCACTTACCTAACGAAGCTTTTAGGTTTTCTTTTTGCCTTTTTTTTACTTCTTTGTTTTTAGCTGGCTAGGTTTTGTGAAGGAAGTCTCATGGCTGTGGGGTTTCTTGGTACTCTTGAGCAGCTTCTCTTTCTTTTTTTCTCCTCAAATAATCCATTTCTTGAGCTGAACTGAAAGGGGCCTTTTTTGGGGTTTGAAATTGGGTATGAAATCTGTTGCATTTTTGGTATATAAAGGGTGGTGGGGTTGGTATTGGATTTGGAATGGAAACATTATTGTAGCAGTTCTGGCGTTGTCGCCGCGGCTAGTTGTAGCTTTGTTAGCCGAGAGATCATCTCTCCTAAAATCATGCATGCATGTTTTGTTGTTGTTGTTGTTAAGTGTTAACCCTAACTTAGCCTCAAAATCTGGATTAGCATTTCTAATCATTTTTCTCAAGTATCATTTCATTTCGTACTATAATATGGAAGGATTTAGTATTGGGGGAAAAAAAAGTCTTATTAGGTGTAATGTGATCCACCATCTACAGATAACAAGCTGGATCGAGGAACATCACTATAACTGTTGGAATAGATTGGGAAATCGACAATGTAAATAGGTAAAAAAAAATATTCGTATTTACGTGGTTTATTAACACGGTGTCTACAATTTCTCCCTTTTCATGGGAGGCGGGATATGATGTTGTGTGGAACCCTAAAAATAATGTGCACTTGTATAGTTAGCATGCAAGAATCAAGATATATCCTTTTGCTTGCTTGGGATCAGTAGGTGAAGTGCAAGCTTTACGTGCACTTTTTCCCCTTTACACGCTCCTATTTTATTTCAATTCTATATAAAAAAAAACGCTACTATTTTATTTATTTCTGAATGTTCTAGTAATTATAATAATAATTTAATTAATTAACAACTTGGTCGGGTATGTAGTTGAGAAAGCATGAGCTATTGTTTTGTCCTTTTAATTTTGGAATATTTCCCCAAATTACTAAAAAAAAATATATCACAATACTACAACAACAAGAATCATTTCTAAACTACACAGGCAATTAGGAGTAGATTGGTATAGGCCTATAGCATCCGGCGCTTTAGAGAGTAGATCGCTCGGAAGAGGAGCGATTCATGTAGATTGATGAAATTATCGGCGATTTCACTTCATTGCTTATCGCAGAAGCGATTAAATAAACTAAATCGCGGAGATAGAGTCGGCGATTTACAGTTTCCACGGTTTTTTAAAGTGATTTATGATAGTCTGGAAAGTGATTTACATCTCAACTCGATATGTCTCGGGATAATGTCCGTTGCAACAGGTTTTTCGTGAGTAGATCGCCGCAGTCTGCAACCATTTATGTGTTGATTGCTACAGGATGCATCAATATATATATGCACAAATTGAGCTGTTAAAAAAACTGCTTTTATATTAATGCAGCTGATCTGTTATAATCTCCTAATGAATAGCAAACCAAAGCTTTTATTTTTATGACAACAAATAATGAGGCCTCAAGAGTAGGGGTGTCAATTCGAGTTCAGTTTTTCGGGTTTACCCAAAACCGACCCGATTATATACATTTTCGGTTTTTCGGGTTCGGTTCGTTTCGGATTTTCGGTTTCGGGTTCGGTTGTGCTTATCGGTTTTTCGGGTTCCGGCTAAAAACCTCCAATGAATAGAACTCAACTCGTATTCTTAGTCGTTTGGGTTTCGGTTTTGCTTTAACCAAACCCGATAAGGAATTTTCAGATTTCGGGTAACCGGAACCCGCAAGTCCTTTTCGGGTTCGGTTTTAGTGGTTTTTGGTTTCGGGTTTCGGTTCGGGTAACCGAACCCGACCCAAACTGACACCCTTACTCAAGAGACAGGCAGAAGCTGATCAGGGCTGCATCCTGGTGGCGAATGGACTACCACATTCCTAGGTCATGGCTGTTAAATTGAGCAGCATGGGCTTATAAGTTATAATCATGTTTTTCCTTAATCACATTATTGATTGGATCTGGGGAAAAAGAAATATATCACTATGAGGGCTCTATCCTGCAGAAAGCGCCTGCACTTAACATTACATAGCACAAAGCATGTAAAAACATACAACGTTCAACGTTAATCGTCTGGCTACCTATGGCACCACCCTCGCCTACCGTCGTACTCGGTTTCCACCACGGAATCTGCAAAACGATACAAGTCTGCTGGATTGGCAGCGGCGGCAGCAACAACGCCTGGTGGTGTCGAATTCGGCAGCCCAGGAAACCCTTCTATCGAAGACGACGACCCAAACAGTCCTCCATACGTCGTAGCATGTCCGCTAACATAACTCTGCCCACCTTGTACTCCGTACGCCAAGCTGCTGCTGTTCGCAACCACTGCCTCCCGCCGAAGGCCAGTTGCTATGTTTCCAGCAGAAGCGCTCGTGGAGGGGGCATTGTACACGCCCTGGAGACGATTGGCTGCACCAGCGTGGATTGCGACGTTTTCAGGTACACCTGCAGATGAGTAAGGAGGAGGAGCTGATGTTGCACAAGGGTGTGTATCTCCTCCGTAAGCACCGAGGGGATAGTTTACCCTCAATGAGGTATTGTTATTGTTGTACGGGCTCATGTAGGCAGCTGCAGCCTTATGTTCATGTAAGCGGCCGATGCTTGGGGATCCAAAGGAGGCTCCTTGGCCAACCGCTCGTGGTCGTTTCATTGCTTGTATCATTGCGTTATCGTTCAAATCAGCTCTCCGCTTAATCATCGCCTTGGCCAGAATTTTCTTGTCTAGATCAGCATTGTCTTTCTCCAACTTGGTTATCTTCTCTGTAAGTTGCCATCCGGGAATAACTTTCAGAGGATCGAGATGACGGTCCTCGAGGAACTTCATCACGGATTTCAGAGCAGACAAGTGGCGGTCGTTTGCTTGTTTCTGCAGTGAGAATTGTGGTAGGTAGAGTCATGTACTTTGAACACAGAGAGGGTGAGACGTAAGTAAAAATCGTTTGTTTAAATGAAAGAAACATAGTCCAAACCAGCAGCATGGGCAAACTATTTGCTTCTCTTCTTCTTTTCTTTAATGCTTCTTTGGATTCGCGAAGGTATGCAGTCAGAAGCTTCTGTGGAGGAAACTTGTCATCAATCCCGAAACTAGATGCCACGTCGACAGCCTCAAGTTTGGCATTTAGTTTTGTCGCACTGATCATCATTTGCTCTATGATTTCTGTAATTATCCATAGAACACATGGGTGAATATGCAACAACGAGACTTCATTTTCTAATAAGATTATAGGGTAAAGAACGGGGTCTTGCAAAGCAAAAGGGGGATTGTCCAGGTTATGCTTCCCCTTCGATTTTGACAGAATAATTAAATTTACTGTTACTAAGGAATTTACCCTATATATTTCCTAACAAGGACATTCACAGTTTCCTATAGCTATAATCTTATCAGAAATGACAGACTAATGGAAGAGGAACACCGTTTCTAGTCTATTCCAAATCTCATAGTTCATATGCTTGATATTCTAATGGGAAGAGGGGAAATTTCTGGTCATACCTCAATCCCTAAATTGAAATCCAATTCCAATATGCACAATACAGAATCAGAAACAATAGGCGACAAGCATCAGAGATAAAAACTAAAACATAGTACTAAAGCCAGTAAAAACTACCAGCATGAGAAAAAGAAGCCAAAACTCCCACTTCCAATTGGTAGCAGAAACTTAAACTGGTCCACTGACTACTATGTTTCATCAATTAATGATAACTTGGAGAATTCTTTCCCTAGGAGAATTCTTCACAGGATTTGCTGTTGTTGACCTGAAAATTATTTGACATGGCCGGGTGGTAACTCTGATACACGCCCAGAACTTACGAAGTTCGACCAAACGAGCAAATCCGTATAACTTAGCATCCTCCTCTGTTCTGCTAAGTGATTACAATCAGCAGTCTATCTATGGTAGCATGAACCACAATCACATTAAGACTAGAACTAGTGCACCTTAGTTTATTCTATCTGTTCTTCAACATTAGAACCTATATAATGTGCACTATCAACTGGACCTAGGCACATAGCGAGCACTATGCAACTATGTTGACAGTATCCACCACTAGCATTTAATTCTACCAGTATAGATTCATAACACATTTCATCTAAACCCCAAACGCTTAGACATTCACCAGCCAAGAAACCTCATTTACACATTTTCCTCAGTTTGTAGCAACAGACACTCCAGAAAGCAGTGGAGTAAACCATACAAACATGTTAAATAGCAGAAGTTCGAAGCTAGACAGAACTAAGATACCTGTAACTCTGGAAACCAGAAGAGTGGACTTTCGAAGAGCCAGAGCAACCTGCCCAGCATTACCAGCCAGAACCAGATCCCAAATGTCCTCATTCCTGAAGAGTTTGGGAATCCCGTAACCCGCAACGAACAGCAGCAAACCCTTGGCGTCGATTTCACTAGCTTGGCGAATGCCACCTTCAATTACAAGCCTCTTTCTCCAGTTCATAGCAGCCTGAGCAGCCTCTTGTCTCACGCGCTCCTCTAGTTGAACTTTGCCCTCACCCATCAACAGGAACAATTCCAGAGCCAGAACGCAAGCTTCTCTCCCTGGAACCATCGGAGAGTTTTTGTCGTAAGCTTTGCTCCCTTGAAGATAGAACCTCCCAATGCAATCCAACACAAGCCTGGCCGGTTGCGGCGCTGATTTAAGAGCCGACGGAACCTGTTCGCGAAGCTCCTGGACGTTGTCCAGGTGAGTGATGATATACTTTCGGAGACTTTTGCCGGACATCGTCTCGCAGAGATGCAGTAACTCAGAACTCACCGGAACGGCCGCTGCCTCGCCGTCACCATGTGGCTGCTCCTCGCGACTCTCGATAGCAGTTTGGATCAATTCGAGGTGCTTCTCCAATTCGTCGAACCTGCTCTTGAATTCTCGAATGGCGGAAGACAGATCGCACAATCCTTGTACTGATTCCAAAACCCGGGACCTGGTGCGCTGCTCGGGTTGCTGCGGTGGCGATGTAACGATCGGGAGGCCATTCAATTCGACCTGCTCGGATTTGACATGAGGGTTCGGAAGTTGCAATTGGCACTGCGGCGGTGATTCTGAAACGGATTCGAGCTTCACCGGAGCGACGGTTGATTTTCCAGGTGAGTTGCCGGTGGCCGGAGCGCTGGCATTAGAGACGGAAGGTTTCGCCATCGAAGGCGACCGAGGGAGAGATGAGAAGGAAGAGGACGGCGAGCTTTTCCGGTCAACAGACGATTGAACGGAAGGTACCACTATCAACCGTCCAAACACTCTTGTAGGCTGAGAAACTTTTGGGCTACCGGACCGTCGGTCCAATGGCCCAATTTACCGGGCTCCAAAGTTTGAACAAATTGACCTCAATATAAAAAGGTGATGGCCCAAAGTGGTCCATTCTTGAAGCAAAAGTGGGTTTTGAGGACTTGCTAGATGTAACACTTCACGAAAGAGATTCATAATTTATATGTAGGAAATCGGTTTTAATGGATGACATGTGTTTTGAGTAACATAGAAGAGTTCTCGTAAGAATTTTGAAGTTAAAATGTGTTCATTATGAAGCAATGCAAGAATGGGTGACGTTAGAGAGGTCACCTTGATATGCACTCCAAGATAAAAACTATTCGAGCCTCGCCCAGACTGAAAATATGTGATATTTGCATAGCTGAATTCACTTACAAAGCGAGAATTGTTTGGGACCTGAAGTCTGCACTCCTGATAACATTAAGTCAATAGGATACAAGTGTATATTCGTACGAAAACATAATGAACATAGGGGGATTATGAGATATAAAGGCCGATTTGTTGTGGTTACAGAAGGCTCTTCGCGAAAATGCCTTTTAATGCAACGGTGTGGTTCCAGGTGTCGTGGGAAGAGATGTCTCAACTATCTCAGGTTCTCAACAATCACGGTTAAAAGTTGAGATATAACAATCAATCATTTTGAGTGATAGTTTCTGTCAGATCAGATAAACAATCTATGAATTGTTTCCATTAGAAAATTGAAAAAAAACGATGCATTCTAAACAATACATGTATAGTAATTATATCAACAAAACAATCGCAACTTCTAAACGACCCTTTAAGTCCATTTTGTGAAAAATCCAGTACGCTTTCCGGTCGCGACGACTCAAAGGGCACCTCATTGCTGTGATTCCCTTTCTCGTGTATCTGGCTTCAAGCGCCAACTCCCTAAGCTAGCTGGCCCTAGTTTCTTGATGATAGGAATTGTCATTTTCTTCTTTCAATCTCACTGCATCTCCCGAGCTTGTCATGGAATAAATAATCCGATTGGGGTACGAGCTCGATATATCCAGCGGAACATGATCGAAGAAAGAATAGATCGTAACTTATTATAATATCTGAATACATTGTAAATGACAGTGACTGTATTGCTTACTCTCCTTATTAGTTGGGGGCGAAGTGCTTTTAAAGGTTTCCTCGTGACCTTTGACAGGGTTGTAACCTCGTATTAAATGCTCAGAAAATTTACCGGATATCTATATGAGCCGAAATTTACCATCGCAAGACGGATTTCTCCTCGTATAAAGAAAAAAAAAAATTCGCCATTCCTCTCCTTTATTTCACCAAAATAAAAGCGATTCAGTCTGCAACCTTTGCTATGAATTTAATGCCCTTGCTGCTCCTCCAGCTGCGTGGACTGCTCTCTCGTAAACCTTTCCTAAACCCCTGCTTCCTATATTCACTCGGTTCTGCGTTTTCTTTCAGCTACATTCCCGATTCAACAGAGAGCCACTACGACCCTCTTCTCAAATCAGCTGATGGTTTGGCCTCTCTACGACAGATACACTCGCCTCTGGTTGTCTCGGGGTTCGTCTCCCAAAGCATTCATTTGGGCGCCCAACTCATCGCCGGTTATGCAAAGTATGGAGAACCAACCAGCGCCAGATCAGTGTTCGATCATTTGATCGGTTGCGGTAATGAAACCAGTTCTTTCCTTTGGAACACCATGATTCGGGCTTATGCGAACGCTGCAGGGTGTAGCTACGAAGCCCTGGAGTTGTATTCCCTCATGCGCAGGGCTCAAGTTTCGCCCAATAACTATACTTTCCCGTTTGTGTTTAGAGTCTGCGCTTCCTCGGAGGCGGGCTCGTTGATTCTCCTGGGGAGAGTGGTTCATGGCGAGGCTGTGAGAGCTGGGTTCGACTCGGATTTGCATGTCGAGGCCGCTTTGGTGCATATGTACGCGAAATGGGGCGAGTTTGGTGATGCCCGCAAGGTTTTCGATGAAATGCCTGTGAAGGGTTTGGTCTGCTGGACCGCAATGATTACGGCTTACGAACAGGCCGAGAAGCCTGAAGAGGCTCTTAGTTTAATGGTCGAGATGCAGAGAGAAGAGGGTTTGGTTCCGGATTCAGTCACTGTAATAAGCGTCGCATCGGCCGTTGGTCAGTTGGCCGTCCGAAAGTTGGCTGGATCGGTTCATGCTTATGCCATCCGTAACATTTTTCTCCAGCAGATAGGTGTTGCTAACTCAATTCTGGGCATGTACACCAGATGTGGAGATGCGCAAAAGGCTCGTTTGGTTTTTGAGAAGATGGTGGAAAGGAATGTCATCTCGTGGAACTCGATGCTCTCTGGCTATACTCAGAATGGACAAGCTAGTGAAGCTCTCATACTCTTTGACGAGATGAATGATTCTAATGTGGAAGCTAATGCAGTAACAGCATTGATAATGGTTGCAGCCTGCGCTTATTTGGGCTCCCTTCGTCTTGGAAGAAAGTTCCATAATTTTGTTATCGACAGGAACTTCACCATCGATAAGAATCTCCATAATGCATTGATGGACATGTATGCAAAATGCGGAGATCTTAAAACTGCGTGTGAAATGTTTAACAGTATTAATCCTAGTATGCGGGATGCCAGTTCATGGAATGTGCTGATTTCAGGGTATGGTATGCATGGACACGGTAGAGAAACCTTGAATATGTTTTCAAGAATGCAAGCAGAAGGCGTTGACCCAAATCACATCACATTCACCTCCGTTCTCTCTGCTTGTAGTCATGCAGGCCTCGTCAATGAAGGCAGGCAGTGTTTTGATGAGATGCAAAAGCTGTCCGTAGCACCCGAGGCCAAGCACTATGCTTGTGTGGTTGATATGCTTGGTCGAGCCGGTAAGTTGCAGGAAGCATTCGATCTGATCAAACAGATGCCATTTCCTCCAAATGATGCTGTTTGGGGCGCTCTGCTTCTTGCTTGCAAGATCCATGGGAATAAAGAGCTAGCACGAATTGCAGCTGACAAGCTGTTTGAACTTCAGCCAGGTCACACGGGATACTACGTGTTGATGTCAAATATATACGCAGCATCAGAAAGATGGGGAGAAGTAGGGAACCTGAGACAATATATGAAGGATAAGGGTATGAAGAAACCTGCTGCATTCAGTGTGATTGAATTCGGCGAAGAGATCCACGGGTTCCATACTGCTGACAGAGAGCATCCATACTGGGAAGAGGTTTACAGGGAAGTGGAGATATTGGCTGTGAAGCTCAAGATGGCTGGTCATGTTCCCGACCTATCATGCACTCTCCATGACATGGAAGAAGAGGATAAAGAACTCGCGTTAAACCTCCACAGCGAGAAATTAGCTGTGGCGTTTGGGATTATGAGGACTGAGTCTGGGATGACGATATACTTAACGAAGAATCTTCGTGTTTGCAACGACTGCCACTCGGCCTTGAAGTTGCTTTCACATATTTTTGACCGCGAGATTGTGGTTAGAGATGGAAATCGATTCCATCACTTCCAAGGAGGTGTGTGCTCTTGCAATGACTACTGGTAATATATAGCAGGCTTTTGCAGAAAAATGTAACGCTCTCAAATGTGTGTAGCATCGCTGTGCAGTCCACGCCTAAACTGGTACGTTCCACAACCCATATAACAACTCATCAGAGGCCTTATCAACTGAAATGTCCAGTAGGTCTGTTGTCGTGTTGTTGATTTTTATAATCTTTGGGGTGGCTAGAATGATTAGAGAGATTGGAAAAATAGAGTATTGGGTCTTTTTCAGTAATCCAATAATTGTTAAAATTATTTGGATTAATCAATTGTTGAACAATATAAATTATGAACTTTAGCAATCAGCTTTAGTATTCTATGAAGTATTCGGAATTTGACATGATTTGGATGATTAATTTAGCATGAGTATCTATCTGTCTCTCACCTCAATCCCCATTTTCTGTCTAGTTACCACTGGGAACATTTGCCTGTCACTGTCACATCTCGGCCATCCTCAAAGTTATCGCAGTGGATACATTCCCCTCAAACTTTTGAGACTGGCCTTGTTTTTAGTTGAACCACCCAGTTGAATAGTTTGAACCGCAACATTGCAGCAACCTCGTGCCACGGAACTAACCTATCTTTTTGGCCTGTTTCTGCTCTTTCGTGTTTAACATTTCAAAGGGTGGCAAAATCGGCCGACTAATGCATCGAACGAGAAACCAGAAAGAGATTACGGAGTTTATTTTAGGCATGGCCGGAAAAGCGCACGAGAATAACTCCAAAGATGAGCCGGAGCCGAAGTCCCTGTCAGGGAAAAGATGAGCAGAAGTCATTGGCTATTTGGCTGGACCTGCCCGGTTGCCGCAAGGCGCAAGTTCAAGAAGAGCTCACGTGGCCAACTTGGGCGGTTTATTTGGTGGTGTTGGGTCTTATCTGCTTACCTCGTCTGTCCTTTACCAGACATCGGACCGAGCTCATTCATGGGAACGAACTGGGAGGAGAAGAAGTACAAGTACACAGCTTTTTGGACATAAATACAAGTTCATGGTTCAACTCTGGCGGAGAGAAGGGTAGAAAACGTGCGGAAACCACACTGCTGGCTTTACGTGTCAAGTAACCCCTTTCCCCTCTTTCTTCCACCTCTCTGTTTCTTCCTTCTACTCTATTCCTTCCTTCATTTCTCCCTTATTCATCTCCAATATTCCACGCCTCTTCCCTTTGACCCCTTCTCTCTTCTTGAAGATTTGTCACATACCCACCTAAAGCTTCAAAACTTCATTCTTCCTTAATTCTCGGGATTCAATCAGAATTCCCAATATTGAGGAAGTATTCCGCTTTCGTTGTTGGTAGCTGGAGAACCAGGGAAATGGAAGTGGTGCTAGCTTCGGCGCATCTCTCTGCTCATTCGAGATGTGGGTTGACTTCTTTCCAGCTCTCCCGCTCACGCCGAATCGGCCCAGTTCTGGCGTTTACTTCCACAACTAACAGTATAGCTTCTTCTTCTTCTTCCTCTTGTTTTGGTACTTCCATTTCTCATAAGCACCATCAGAGTAATCCCCTTTCTTCGAGAAGCTCTCGTTTACGTAAGAAAGGTAGAATCTTCACCGTTTCTGCTGTGTTCGAGCGGTTTACGGAGCGGGCAATAAAGGCGGTGATTTTTTCCCAGAGAGAAGCTAGAGCCTTGGGGCAGGACGTGGTTTCTGCCCAGCACCTCTTGCTTGGTTTAGTTGCCGAGGATCGCGACCCCAGTGGTTTTCTTGGCTCTGGAATCACGATTGACAAAGCTAGAGAAGTTGTTAGTGACATTTGGCAGGACGGCACCGATAAGGATCCAACTTCTACTAGTACAGAGAAGGGCGTCAAGTCCTCGACGGATATGCCATTTTCGACTGGTACCAAACTGGTTTTTGAGGCTGCTGTTGAGTATTCCAGGACCATGAAGCATAAGTTCATTGCTCCCGAGCATATAGCCATTGGGTTGCTCACGATTGATGATGGAAGCGCAGGTCGGGTCCTTAAGAGGTACATCTTTTTCCTTCCTCATCACTTGGTGGCCTGTATTTCTGGGTTGGTTGTAGTTATGATTGAATTTTTACCGTGGTTCAATTGATAGTAACACGAGAGCGTTACAGGCAAGAAGAAAGTAACATGTATCAGTTCTTACAATGGTTCCTAGTAGAAATGCTTGAAGTTAGAGAATGGTGATAGCAAGATTAGTCTGCTTTTGCTCTATGCTCTTGAAAAAGCTGTTGGAATGGATAGGCATGTCTGATTTTGTATTCATGGAAACTGTCATCAATGTGACCTCAGATTGGGGGCAAATGCTACTCATTTGGCAGCTGTGGCAGTCACCAAATTGCAAGGGGAGCTAGCCAAGGATGGAAGAGAAGAACCATCTTTATCCAAAGGCACTCGTGAGAAACCTCTATCTAGTAAAGCTATTGCTTTAAGATCGTCGGAAAAAGCTAAGGGTAAAAAGTTAAACTTGCTGCTGGTCATCTTTCCTTCTTTCTCTCGAGGTCCGAGGAATCACACTTTGTCTTCTACATTTGTTTCCTAGAGAAAAGTGCGCTTGCCCAATTCTGTGTAGATATTACCTCTCGAGCTGTTGAAGGACTCATTGATCCTGTCATTGGGCGCGAGAGTGAAATTCAAAGAACTATTCAAATACTTTGCCGCAGAACTAAAAATAATCCTATTCTTCTGGGTGAAAGTGGAGTTGGGAAAACAGCCATTGCTGAAGGACTAGGAATCAAGATCGCGCAGGCTGAAGTTCCTGCTTTCCTTTTAGTATGTGTTTCTGTACCTAATTTTGGATCCTCTTCTTGTTCTTAGGTTTCCGGTTTCGGTTACTTGATCTTTCTCTTGTCCATGTCCTCCAAATATGGTGTTAATTGAGCTTTCATGTCATCAACAGGGTAAGCGTGTCATGTCTTTGGACATTGGACTTTTAATTGCTGGTGCAAAGGAAAGGGGAGAACTAGAGTCACGTGTGACTACCTTAATCAAAGAGATACAGAAAGAAGGTGGGTTTTTTGTTCTGCCTTGGGTTTTGTTATGATCCACAGCATTCTTGTTTCTTAGTATCAAAGTACTTCTATTGCAGGCAATGTAATTCTCTTCATTGATGAAGTCCATACGCTTGTCGGGACGGGTACAGTTGGACGAGGAAGTAAGGGAAATAGCCTAGACATTGCTAATCTATTGAAGCCAGCTCTTGGAAGGGGTGAATTACAGGTATATTATTCCTTGAATTGTTGATTGCTATTACGCTAATATCAGCAAAGATCTATACATGTGGCATTTCTTGCTTTCCCCTGGATGGTTAACTGCCTCATAAGAAACCATTTGATTCTAACTGTTCAAGAGGACTTGCAAGAGTTCGCTGGCATTAACCAGGATCTGCTAAATTGCTAGAAATAGAAAGTGTTTCTCTTTAAATATTGACTACATATAATACATGTATGGTTGGACACATTTATCTGTTTGAACTGGGCAGAGTGATCTGTATCAGTGAAATCTTCTGTTCACTCTGTTTTCTGCTTACTGGAAAAGTTTGGTCACTGATTTTACTCTCAAAACTAAGTGTCAGTTTGGATATGGGATTCTGGATCCGCTGATGAAATTATCCAGAATAATCAGTTTGGTTGAGCTAAAACGACGGGGAAATGGGTTTAAATCCACAATTTGACACAATTGCTTTTACCGCCTAAAATGGTTATGGCTGCAGTGAATCCTCATAACAGCATGCATTCTCCTGATCAGTGTGCTGCCAGTCTAATCCAACCTAAATAGTGTGGTCTATTTGAACAGTAGATTTATTTTGAAATAGAATACAAATGCTCAGATTCTCTTTTGGTCTACTCTTCCGAAATACTTTATTTAGTAAACATTGGCTTGCATGATGCTGGATGTGCCCTAGCCTCCTAGTGCTAACAAAAGTTTTCAGTTCCTTTTGTGTCTCTCTCCTTTAAGCTTTACTTCCATGTTGAACTAATATGCATGTATCATGCAGTGTATTGCATCCACAACTATGGATGAGCACAGGACACATATCGAAAGTGATAAAGCGTTGGCGAGAAGGTTCCAGCCTGTAATGATTAATGAACCAAGCGAGGTTGGTCTCGTTCATGTTCTCTGATCTGCTTTCATGGGTTATAGACAAGCTCATCTGCCACTAACTTTTCATTTTGGCATGACATGGAACTAACAATTCAGGAGGATGCTGTGATGATATTGTTGGGCTTGCGCCAAAAATATGAGGCCCATCACAACTGCAGATATACATTGGAAGCAATAAATGCAGCAGTTCACCTCTCAGCAAGGTATATTGCAGATAGATTTCTTCCTGATAAAGCCATTGATCTCATTGACGAGGCAGGAAGCAGAGCCCGTATCGAAGCTTATAGGAAAAAGAAAGAACAACAAACTGGTATACTTTCAAAGTCACCAGGTGATTATTGGCAGGAAATCAGAACTGTTGAGGCTATGCATCAAGTGGTACGAATGCACTCTTTCAGATAAAACCTAAGCATCTCTTAATCTGGTATCAGTAACAGATTTGCTGATGTAGCTCGATTTTGCAGGTTATTGCAAGTAAGCCAAGCACTGATGATAGTAATTCGAGCATTGAGGACTCTGAAGATGTCATTTTAGAGTCGCCTCCACCTTCTGCATCTGCTAATGATGAGTATGGTCTTTTGAGCCCCAAAATCATGCTACAAGACTTCCAACTCTTTCCCAGTCGTGTTTTAACTGCATTTTCTGAATACGACTCTTTTGTTTTCAGGCCCACGGTGGTGGGGCTTGATGACATTGCCTCAGTTGCTTCACACTGGTCTGGAATCCCTGTTCAGCAGCTTACTGCTGATGAAAGGATTGCTCTGGTGGGTCTTGAAGAACAGCTTAGGAAAAGGGTTGTTGGCCAAGACGAGGCTGTTGTTGCTATATCTAGAGCCGTTAAGAGGTCTCGTGTGGGGCTCAAGGATCCTGACAGGCCAATCGCGGCCATGCTTTTCTGCGGCCCTACTGGTGTAGGCAAAACTGAGCTAACTAAAGCATTGGCTGCAAACTATTTTGGAACGGTTAGGCTTATTTTTTGATCACCCTTTAACATATTGCGTTTGGTTAACTGTTCGATGATTTAAAGTTTAGTGGTATGCATATGTTGCAGGAGTCCGCCATGCTGAGATTGGACATGAGTGAATACATGGAGCGACACACAGTGAGCAAACTAATAGGGGCACCCCCAGGTTATGTTGGTTATGGCGAGGGAGGGACTTTGACAGAAGCAATTAGAAGACGACCTTTCACTTTGGTTCTGCTCGACGAGATAGAGAAAGCCCACCCAGATATCTTCAACATCCTCCTCCAAGTCTTTGAAGATGGCCAGCTCACAGATTCTCAGGTTTCTTACCATCATTAATTTAAAAGGGACTTATTGTTTCAGGATTATTGACAGGCTTGCTTTTGCGTTCTGCTACTGAGGTACTTCAGTTCTCATCCTGGAAAACTCATGTATTTTTGACAGGGCCGCAGAGTCTCATTCAAGAACGCGTTGATAGTCATGACCTCTAACATTGGATCATCAGCCATTGCAAAAGGCGGACGTACTTCCATCGGCTTCATACTTTCAGACGACGAATCTGCTTCTTACGCTGGAATGAAGGCCTTAGTACTGGAGGAACTCAAATCATATTTCCGGCCCGAGTTACTGAACAGAATAGACGAACTGGTCGTATTCCGTCCTCTCGAAAAGTCTCAGGTTCGTTCCCATCATCGTCCATTACTCCATTCACCACCCTAAAAGTAGTGGGTATATCAATGCAATCTTGACTCGAACGCCCTAAAAAAAACCTGCTCTTACTGATCATATGTGCTCTCACAGATGCTGGAAATTGTGAACATGATGCTGCAAGAAGTTCAAGGAAGGCTGATCTCTCTCGGAATCGGGTTGGAGGTATCCGAATCGATCAAGGATCTGGTGTGCAAGCAAGGGTACGACCCGGCTTATGGCGCCAGGCCACTCAGGCGAGCAGTCACTCACATTGTAGAGAACCCTCTGAGTGAAGCATTGCTTGGTGGAGAATTCAAGCCGGGCGACACAGCTATTGTGGATGTAGATGCAACGGGGAACCCGGTGGTTGTAAATCGGGCGTCGGAGAGGAGCATCCACTTAACAGACACAACTACGCTCTTGTAATTAATTGGTGTTCTATATGTTAGGAAAAAGTTCATCAGTGTATATAATAATGGACGAGCTTAGGTGAAGGACAGATTCATTGACGTGATCGCAGTTGGCGGATTCGGTTCCCAAGTGTATATGTAAAGGAGCAATGGAGCATCAATCAATACATTTGGCCAACTTATAGACAGCCGACTTCTTACTTACCTGTTAGGGCGCACACATGGGTGATGGGTGTTCAACGGATTGATCCATACAAGACTATATCCAATCAAATCGATGTTTGTATATGATCATACTATACCGAATAAAATAAAATGTGGTCTGATTTACGGTTCAATGAATTTTGTAAATACTGGAAAAAAAAAATAGAGACACAACACGATTAAATGTGAGTGAAGTATGGTTATAAATTGACAGATTAGGGGTTTTTCAATTTTAATTTCTCTTTAATACTCTTGTTTTAAATTTGTTTAAGATATTCTTTTTTCCTCTAGGCATTATTACTATTACTATATTATATTTCGAATATATGGTTTGGAGAGTTATTATGTATGTATTACGTATAATATTCTAGTTTATGAAATATTGTTTATTAGCATTAGACCACTATGACGTGAACCACTCACTTGCTATACCGCGACTAATGTTCCTACTCGGTTCTGACAATTGAAACTCTCTTCAATCCCACTAGTTTGGGGGAAAAAATGGGTCTCACTTCTAACGAGATTCAACCTGATTATATATGTGTTCAATTTGGGCAAACGGATGGGGTTGTTTTGGAGTGACAATCAAAGGGCATGAGAATATGATTATCTATGAAGCAACACTGGCCAAGAGGTGCATATTGCAAAACCCAAGGGTTATTCCCAAACCATCTCCAACAGAAACACAAAATTCATATTAAACAAGACAGTCACAAAAATGAGGCGAGACATAGTAATCCACTACGAAGATAATCTGCAGATTCTCTGGGAACAAAGGCAACGCAATGGCAATCAAACATATACTGACCCGCCCAAACTCCATGAAAAGCACTTCACTGCCAACAGCCACAGCTATGGCGAAATGGTCGCAGGGGAATCCATCCTTGTCATTCATCTGTTGTACCACATTACCTGAAGCACTGCCAGAACTCCATGCAAGGCACTGAACCGCCACCATCCACAGCTATGGCGAAATGGTCACAGGGAGGAACAACAGCGGTTCACCCTTGTCATTCATCTGTTGCATCACATGAGCTGAAGAAGCACTGCCAGATTCTCGACTTCTGTTTTGCCTTCTAGTTGGGGGGGCTTTACTAAAAGTCCTCTTGAAATCGACATCGACGAAAGTGATCATCATCCCCCCAACACCTATGCATTCTCCAATCAAAACATATGCGCCTTCGTTGACAAGAAGCAATCTGACTCAACTTCCTTAGTCCATCCACCAAGACATTAACAAAAAGAACTAAAATATAGATAGAAACACCTTCTGGTCATGGGTTTGCAGCATCTCCAAAACTGCTGTTCTTATCACTAATGATAAGGGGAGATCATGATTCTCATATCAACCCACTGCCACATCAATATTTTGCGTCAAGAATCGTGTGGATCAGAGTATGTGTTTCAATAGGAGCCTATGTCTTTAGGTACTCAACAGCAAGCAAACATAAATCCATGACCCACTTGAACTAATTGCCTACTCCGTAATAAGATCATAAGACTAGCACAAACTTTCAGTAACCACAAAAACACTTCACAGATCAGCTCAGAGTCAGCTTTTTGTAGCCATTTTCCAAATAAATATTGGCGTATAAAGTAAAGTGTGCAATTAGTTGAAGTATGGTAGAAGAAACATCCAGGCTTGCTCAACCTGCAATAACAGTCACTTGTGGCAATATTACAAGTAAAGCACGAACAGAAAAACTCAAAAAAGAGATCACATCACAACTGGTCGGACACCACACACAGTACATGACTTGCAATTTCATATGATACATATACCATTAAAAAAGAGAGCCGAGCGATTATAAAACGAGAAAGCACTAATTTGTCCATAATGATAAGAGCTTTCAAAAGGTTTTCAGTTCAGCCTTGCTGACTCCATAAGGTACATATATCTGGGATGAAAGTCATCAAACTGTTCGCAAAGCTTTAAAAGCAAATACCCATACTGATCATACAATACTTTTAAATAAGTGCCAACAGCACAAGGAAAAAAACCAAGAAAATGAAAATAAACCTCATTTGACTTTTTTTAAGATCTGGCCTTTGTAGTAACCAAATAGTAACATTTGACCACATTTATAAACTTCATTTGCATAAGCTCCATAAACTTCAGAAGAATCACCAAGCCAGTATCTAAAACACTGAGGCACCTATTAGGATCTGCAAAATGAATGAGAAGCATAAAAAGCAATTTCAAAGAAGAAATTATTTCAGACACAAAATCCTTAAAAGAAATGGTTGAAGAATTGTGACAGAGCTAGTTAAGAGCTGGAGTATAAGTACAGTGACTGGCTGACCTTTATTATCTCAAGAACATAAAACAGTTCTTCAATAACTTGAAAGGCAATGGATCAGGAATAATCAATGTAACTGAAGCAATAAAAACAAATTTAAAAAGCAGCCAACTTAAACCTTTTTATGGAGTTGCTTGGCAATGAACCAGAAACACTAAAAAGCAGCTTGATGACTATTTGAAGCAAACTACATTATTCAAATTTCCTGATATGCGCCACCATAAGAGAACAAAAAATAGTAGCCTAGAATACTTCTTGAAAGTCCAGCCTAATGACCAATTGCTAACGATACAGCAATGTTAGTGTCTATTTATGCAAACGCTACAGCAGGTTAGTGTCTATTCATGCTAACGTCTGGTCAAGAAAATCTTATACCATTTCAATTGAATATATATGTTTTTATGCTGCTGTCAATGAACTATCTATTATAGGTCAACAATTGAACAAAATAAAAGGAATTCAACACGATGTTCATACCTGAAAGACCTAGTGATTCATATAAGGGGCTGCACCACCGTATTGCGGATGTTGTCCTCTACCAGGACCACCCTGACCCATCTGTTGGCTTGCATAGCCACCAGGCATCCCCTGGTTTGCATAGCCCATCACTCCCGGGCTTATACTTGGCTGGTTACTGTATGCACTCTGGATTCCAGAAGATGGCACACCACCTTGATTGACTGCAGCAGTACCCAGAGTTCCCAGCACATTAGTCAAACCCAAGCCAGCACCTTGGGTTGCAAGCAAAGCCGTTATCGCCTGGCCAAGAGCAGGGTTCAGTGCTTGAGCCGCAGCAGCACCGTGGTTGAATCCAATTCCAGCTCCAGTTGTGGGTACCATCATGTGACTAGGCGCCCCACCAACATATGGAGATGGATCATTCCTCGGATAATGAGAGCTCTGCGCATGATGGTGTTGCTGGCGCTGTTGTGGAGCTTTTCCAGGTTTAGGCCCATCAATAGCTTTCTGGCAGTGCAAAATATGACCCTCGAAGTTCTTATGTGGCTCCTCAAGAGCCCTCTTAGCACTTTCAGGGCTTCTGTACACAAACAAACAGAAACCCTTAGGCTTACCAGTCATCTTGTCAAGCCCCAGTGGCCCTTCTTCAATCTCCCCAAACTTGGCAAAGAAGCTGGTCAGCTTATGTGGATCCAGATCTGCGCCAACGTTACTCACATAAATCTTCCTTTGAGTGTATTCCGAAGCTTGCTGCGCAACAGGAACCACAGGGGCCGGCGCCTGCACAGGACCGATGGAGGCAAGCTGACAAGCAGTCATCCGGTTGCCGATCTTTTTCTGTGGTTCCCTCAGCGCCTTCCGAGCTCCACTCCGCCTCTTGAAGAGAATAAAACCATAGCCCTTGGATTTCCCAGAAACCTTGTCCGTCACCGCCTTGCAATCCTCGATCTCTCCATACTGCTTGAAGGCTGCAATCAGGGTCTCGGCGGTGGTGTCCCAGCCCAGCCCGTGAACAAAGATCTTGCGGTGAACAGGATCCTCATCGGCTATCCTCCGTATGCGATCCGCCACATCGCGGTGGATCCCCGCAGCATCGCGGAGCAAATTAGCGAGCTGATCCTTGCTGAACGGTTCGAGAAGCTTCTCAATCGGCTCCTCGTCGTCGTCGTCATCCGGAGCCGCCGACGCCGCCGCAGAAGAAGAACCGATCTGCTTATCCCCTTCGTTCGCATCTTCGCCGCCGTCCTCCTCCTCTTCCACTTCTTCTTCCTCTTCCTCCACCTCCTCCTCCACTTCTTCCACCTCCTCCTCCACTTCTTCGGCCACCTCCTCCTCTACTTCTACCTTAACCTTCTTCGCCTCTTCTTCTTGCAGCTTCTGCAGCTGCAGCTGTTGTTGCTGCTGCTGTTGTTGTTTCTTGGGCGGCCCCGACGATGCAGCGCCTTTCGAAGCGTCAAGCTTTCGCTTCTTCGCCATCGCAGCTTACAACAGGCGAACGGAAGAAGAAGAAGAAGAAGACAAGAGAATTAGGAAGAAGAGTGTCGGTAGCAAAATCTAGGGATTGAAATTCGGCGGCTAGGGTTTCAGATTTCGGGGATCTTGTTTCAATCGGATAGTTGATGCTAGATAGAGTTAGATCGAAGAAAACGGCAATTCCGTTTGGGCCTAGAAGTTGCAGCTCGAATGGGGCCTTGCTTAATGGGCTAGCGGGAGCCCAACAAGTTGGACGGGTCCAGCTTCGAGTCAATCGGCAGCCCCACTGGGCCACTAGGGGATTAATAAACTGCTAGTTGGCATGTGTTTTCCGTCACGTGGGTGGGAAAGTTGGCATTCGCCGCGCCGGAGAGGCCGACTAGACCAGAACCAGACTATTCCAAAGACCTTTCAAACCTTACCTTGACCATGGTGAATGGGTCAACGCTGTTTGGTTTCGATAAAAAGTCAAAAAACTCAACTTTGGGGGACCATTTCGGAAGTTTGCCTCTTTCCATTGCAAGCTTCCGAGTTTGTTCTCACCATGAGAGCATCTCAAGAGTAATATTCCATCAAGATGAGTTGGGTGATGATGTGGCAATGACAAATGTAGTAGCAATGATGTTATAAAACTTTGTAAATTTGCATCATGTGAAAATCATCATGTAAATGGAAAGTGAGTTGTTTTTTTTTTGGTTATTTGCTTTAACGGATTGTTTTCGACCCTTTTTTATAATTATTATTTTGAACCAAGTTTAGTTAGATGAGCTTAATAACATCCCGATATTCATAATTATTTTTCTGATTGAGAATTCTTAGACTTCAAATATTTATATTTTTTCTTAGAAAGATCGATGTTACAGCGGGCAACATGGTCCATTTGTTGTAATCTCATGGAAAACATATGGGCCGATTTGTTGTATAAATATTTGCCCTGTATAATGAGCCAACTAAGTAACTTGTACGATTGGTTAATAAATTTTAATAAGTTGGACTTTTTTTGTCAATAAAGTCTCTACCGATTGGCAAAGAGATTAAAGAGACACGAAATATTCTAGATCTATTTAAAATGATAGCATATGGCATGTTCGTTTTGCCATTTTTACCACCATACACTCTACTTGGCCAAATTCAACGTAAGCGATTTGCTGCTCCTCCATAGGATCTAAACGGTGGATCACTATTGATGCTTTCTTTGTGAAGCCATAAAATCAAGCACAAATGTTCTTTCAACCCGATGTGGCAATTCACGTCCTACTGGAAACGTCTAGATCTTTGAATGGCTTTCATATGACTTTTGAGTAAAATCGTTATTACCTTCACCCTTCTTCGAAAGCAATGTTCGAACTAGCATATTTAATGTTTTGTGAAATGTATGTGATCTTAGGATGTCACATCGAGCAGGCGATGCTAACCAGGTTAGGTTGATATCGCGCCAAATCATATAGTTGGTATCTATCCGATCATGTTGTTGATATCGTGTCTTACAACAGGTCATGCAACATACTCAAAGTGAATCGGTTTTGTATTACCATAACTATGTGGTTCATTCAATGGTGTGCTCAAACTTTCACGGTGAAATTATTCCTAGCCTTAAAAGCCTCTTTGTTCATCCGACGAATCGACCTACAAATGTTTTAACCCCACAAAGTCAAGTCCCCAACGACTACTTAAGTGCTCGCACTAGTGGACGAGAAAAGTCTAAAATTTACAAAAAGAAAGCCTGGCAGATAAGAAAGGGAACCTTCCCACGTAGTTTTCTTTTCCCCTCACGATTAAAATTAAAGTATTACTCTGATTAATTTCTGTATCCGCCAAAGTCTTCATATTAAGCTCCAATTAGGCAACTAAGCCCTCAATTAACTCCAAAACCCGAGGTCTTTAGGCAATAAATTAATTGCCACTTCCACTTTCTTAAAAAATGATTCAGGTAACGACCCCAGATTAATTTCCATAATACCGTTGACTGTTCACTCCTTTTTCCCATTACCCACCACTTTCTTCCCCATCTCCGCGTCTATATATATAAACTCCGCCATGGCTGCCTGCCTCAGAAATTAAGAGATAAGCCAAGTCCAACATAGCAGGCAGACTGCTTCCCCTCTCTCCCCAATTTCGCAACTTTCTACTTTTCTTCCTTCTAGCTTCTTTTGCCCTTCCCGGGGAACTTGGTCTCTGAGTTCCGGCGCCGACGAAGCAAAATAAAACAGAGCAATCTGAATCTTCCCATAAATTCGGAATCTTCTCCTAGGAGAGGGAAAACAGAGCAAAAAGCAATCTGAAATTCAGATTCCAGAGATACCCAGATTCAAGATATGAGCAAAGAAGACCACCGTCTCCCGATGGAGACGGAGCTCGTCGGAGCTGACAGGGTGCCCAACAGCGGGCCGTTGAGCGGCCCGTTAAGCGGGCCTCTGAACAAGAGAGGCGGCACCGCCGGAGGAAAAAAGAGCGCCAGATTCAACTTACCGGAGACGAGCTCTGTTTCTTCCTCTGCTTCTTCAGCTCGGGACAGCAACAACGACTACGTCGAGATCACGCTCGACGTCAGGGACGATTCCGTTGCCGTCCACAGCGTCAAGCCGGCGAACGGCGCCGAGGAGGATCCGGAGATGACCCTTCTAGCAAAAGGCCTGGAGAAGCGAACGGCTTCCAATTTAGGTTCGTCGGTGGTGAGGAATGCTTCGGCCAGAATCCGTCAGGTCTCGCAGGAGCTGAGGCGGCTGACCTCGATCAACAGGCGGCCCGCGGGCAGGCTCGAGAGGACGAAATCGGCGGCGGCGCACGCTCTCAAGGGGCTCAAGTTCATCAGCAAGGCCGACGGCAGCTCCGGGTGGCTCGCCGTCGAGAGGAGGTTCGATGAGATCACTGCCTCCACCGCCGACGGGATGCTCCCCCGTGCTCGGTTCGGGGAATGCATAGGTATGAAGGATTCCAAGGAATTCGCCCTGGAGCTGTACGATACTCTGGCGAGGAAGAGGAACATTCGTGGGGATTCGATCAGCAAGTTCGAGTTGAAGGATTTCTGGGATCAGATTTCGGATCAGAGCTTTGATTCCAGGCTCCAGACTTTCTTTGACATGGTTGATAAAGATGCAGATGGCAGAATTACTGAGGAAGAAGTCAAGGAGGTAAGAAAAGGATCTCACTTTACCTAACCCCAATAGTTGACCAGCTCCATTCTTGCAATGAATTTGAAGCATGTGCTTGAGATTCAGAGTTTTCCCTTTTTCGTCGTAATTTAATCAGTAGGGGATATTCTGTTGCAGATCATCACCCTTAGTGCTTCTGCAAACAAGCTCTCGAACATCCAGAAGCAAGCAGAGGAGTATGCAGCTCTGATCATGGAAGAACTCGATCCAGAGCACCATGGATACATCATGGTAAAAAGAATTACAACAAAATCTATAATTTTGCTCTCCATAATATGCAGCAAGACAAGGTTCCCTGATGCTGCGTTGTTTCAAAATGCTTAACAGATAGAGAGCCTGGAAATGCTTCTGCTGCAAGGACCAAACCAGTCAGTGAGATTAGGAGAAAGCAAGAATCTGAGCAAGATGTTGAGCCGGCAGCTGAGGTCGACATTGGACGAGAACCCAATCAAGAGAAGGCTGAGAGAAGCAAAATACTTTCTGCTCGATAATTGGCAGAGAGTTTGGGTGCTGGCTCTGTGGATTGGGGTCATGGCAGGGCTATTTGCTTACAAGTACGTGCAGTATCGCAACAGAGCCGCGTACGAGGTCATGGGCGTGTGCGTGTGCATGGCCAAAGGTGCAGCTGAAACGCTGAAACTGAACATGGCTATCATCTTGCTCCCCGTATGCCGAAACACCATCACCTGGCTCCGCAACAAGACCAAGCTAGGTGTCGCGGTTCCTTTCGACGACAACCTCAACTTCCACAAGGTGATAGCAGTGGCAATCACGATTGGAGTGGGAATTCACGCCATATCCCATCTGGCTTGCGACTTCCCGAAGCTTCTGCAAGCGAGCGACGAGAAGTGGGAGCTGATGCAGCCGTTTTTCGGGGACCAACCGTCGAGCTACTGGCATTTCGTGAAGTCGGTGGAAGGGATAACGGGGATCGTGATGGTCGTCCTCATGGCCATAGCTTTCACACTTGCCACTCCTTGGTTCAGGAGGAACAAGCTCAACTTGCCACCGTTCCTGAAGAAACTCACAGGGTTCAATGCATTTTGGTACTCCCACCATCTGTTCGTCATTGTCTACGGGCTGCTTCTAACCCATGGTCACTTCCTCTACCTCACCAAGGATTTCTGGAAGAAGACTGTAAGTTGTGCCCTGCTTCGACTAAATCCCTTTGTTTTCTTTTATCATCACTAGAATGTTTGATTGGAAAACTGATGAGCTCGCTTGATGACAGACCTGGATGTACGTGGCTGTTCCAGTCGCGCTTTATGCGAGCGAGAGGCTGACTAGGGCACTTAGGTCCAGCATTAAGGCTGTTACAATCAAGAAGGTGGCCATTTATCCTGGAAACGTCTTGGCGCTTCACATGTCGAAGCCGAATGGGTTCAGATACAAGAGTGGGCAGTATATGTTTGTGAATTGTGCTGCTGTGTCTCCATTTGAATGGTAAGCCACCCCACCCCCCATTCTAGTTTGAATGTTTGTTTCTTTCCCATTTTGGTTTCTGGGTTTAACACTGCAGGGAATTTGTGCTACAGGCATCCATTCTCCATCACTTCAGCTCCTGGAGACGACCATCTGAGCGTCCACATCAGAACGCTGGGCGATTGGACGAGGCAGCTCCGAACTGTGTTCCAAGAGGTGTGTCAACCACCTGCAACAGGGAAGAGTGGACTCCTTAGAGCAGATGAATTCCAAGGAAACAACAACCCTGAGTAAGTCCTTCACATCTATGTATAATCTATTTACAACTTGGGGGAAGAATCTATGACGACGACGATGATGATGAACATTATCCCACCAACCATTAGCTGGCATGCATTGGCAGCATTTCAGCAGGGGATATAAACATATTTCATCACGATGTCAAAGTACATGACAAGCACCAACCACAACAAACAACAAACTGAAGCAGCCATCCTTTTTAGCAGTGGCTTATAATATAATCTATCTTTAGGTGTTGCAGCCACTTGGGCACAACAAAATCCCAAAAAACTGGCTGGATCAGTTCACATTCCTCTATCTATCCCATTCCCTGCCAGCCTCCCATTGTCTTTAGTAATTATTAATCAGCAGCCAAAAGCAAGCTTGCTTTTATAATGTTCCCGTTGAAATGTATAATTAATTGTTAATACGGTCAGATTAGGCAACCACATTATCCTTGGCAACCCACAAACAAAGGCCTAAAACCTTTTTTGGCTTGTTTCTTTCTACTTGTGCAGCTTCCCGAGGATCTTGATCGACGGGCCATATGGAGCACCAGCGCAGGACTACAAGCAATACGAGGTGGTGCTGCTCGTGGGGCTGGGAATCGGGGCGACCCCAATGATCAGCATCGTGAAGGACATCGTCAACAACATGAAGGCCTTGGAAGGGGAAGATAACAAGGACTTGGAGAACGGAATGAGGACTCCCAGCCCGCCGCCTGCAGCAATGGGCGGCGGCTCAAACAGCAAGAGGAAAGAGCAGTTCAGGACGAGGAGGGCCTACTTCTACTGGGTGACGAGGGAGCAAGGCTCCTTCGACTGGTTCAAAGGGGTGATGAACGAGGTTGCGGAGCTCGACCAGAACCAAGTCATCGAGCTCCACAACTACTGCACCAGCGTGTACGAGGAAGGGGACGCTCGCTCCGCCCTCATTGCCATGCTCCAGTCCCTCCACCATGCCAAGAATGGGGTCGATATCGTGTCGGGGACACGTGTCAAGTCCCACTTCGCCAAGCCCAACTGGCGGAACGTGTTCAAGCAGGTCGCAGTCCACCATCCTAATTCCCGAGTTGGTACGTATGCACTTCCATGAATACAGTCAAATGCGTTATTCTACATTGAAGTGTTTTGGTGATTTAGAAACCTAAAAAAAACAAACTACTAAGCCTTAGAAGGCGATTTTGATTACATTTTCCACATGTTTGTTTATGTGTTAGCCTTGCATTTCTAACTCATCCATTGTACTTTTTTTATAATCTACACAGGGGTGTTTTATTGTGGGGCACCAGGATTGACGAAGGAGCTGCGCAACTTGGCTCTGGATTTCTCCCACAAGACCAGCACTAAGTTTGATTTCCACAAAGAGAACTTCTAAGAATAAACAAAAGTAAACACCAGCCGCCCCATCCACCCATACGAGACGACAAGAGAAGGGAAGAAAAGAGAGACGTGAGCAACATTTCTTTGACTTCTATCATTGGGGCTTTTTCTCTCCACTTTCCTTTTTCCTTCTATGATTTTCTTTTTTTGATCTTTGTGATGTTGATGATCAAAGTGTATTTTATTCTTTTATTTATATAAACGTAGATGTTGTAGTTTTATTCAATGATTTAGAAACCTTATAGTACCGCCCGGTCGGACCGAAATACCGGATACTAAACGGTAGGTGGTTTTAGCAATACGAAATTGTTGAATCATATGATTCAGTCACGATTTTAGTACAAAATCTCATACCATTTTTTTCTGTATAACTTTCGGTACAATTTCACACTCATAGGTGTTACTATAGATAGGCTACAGAGAGGGATGGTGAGATGAATGATTGAGGAGGGTGGGGAGAGGTGCTGGAAAGTTGAACCACCCTAAGTTCCTTGGTAGTTGGTTGCATTCCAAGAAAGCAAACGGGTGATGTGAGCCTGACCTAAAATGTCCACAAGTGACGTCCTGCTCATCAGTTTTATGCTTCTTCCCCTTTTACTAGTCTGGTTTTTCCCACTTTCCTGCTTTATATCCCCTTTTTATCTATAGATGTGAGAAGGGCGTGTTACTGGTCCCCTCTGTTGTTGTAATTATCTGTGAAATGATTAATCAGTTAACTATCTATTGATCTAAATCAAAGATATTTTGTTTACTTAAAAGTTCTAACCATGTCAGTGGTTTTCAATCCTTGTGATTTGACATTCCCACTCAAGTGGAGTCCGTAGGATTCGGAATCAGGAATGTGTAACATCCCTTTCCAAACGAGTGAATGTGATAAAATCCGGCAGAATAAGGGATTTGAGACAAATCCCTCATTCCAAACGACCCCTAGAATCCTCTATACGTGTGTAAATCCCCAGTAAAAAAGAAAGAAACGAAGAACAACTTCAGGCTACCTACTGGTTCTCTCGAAAAGTAAACGTTCTGAAAGGTTAAAGCAGAAAACATGCTGACCTGGCCGGTAGGGATCCATCTCTCATGTTTTTCTGAGCTTCCTCTTTGGTCTTTGGAAGAAGGGTTTCATCAACTGGGTTGAACTCGAGGGTTGCTCAGCTGCTTGGGAAGGCTGGAAAGGAATGAGCGGCCTCTTCATTGGCAATGATATCTCCGAGACATTGCTGCTGCTGCTGCTGGTGGTTGCGACAGTTGGAGAAACTGCCTTTGCTTTTAACTGTCTAGGCAATTCCAGCCTCTCCAATATCCTCCAAGTTTTCGCATCCACCTGCTTGCTGCCATCTGCTGTTGTTGCTGGAGGAGACAGGACTGACTCGTTGGATCTTGGTTTCGAGATACAACTGGTGGAAGAATGTACATTGGGGGATTCATGCACGACCACCAACTGTTCCCATTCTTCCGAAATCGTAGGACTGCTGCTTTTCTCCTCTCTCCCTGCTGCTACATCCATCTTCAGCAGGTTTTCCTCTTCCAAGACTATGGCCTCCAGCTCCCCGTCTGATAAGTCAACCACCTCTGATGAATCTGCCAACAGACTAGGTGCTGCATCCAACTTTGCTGGGATTGACCTAAGAATAGACATCCAAAACAAATTGTAAGCAGAAATTGGCGGGAATTTATGACATTAATAGACAGGTTTTGAGTTGTTGCAAGTGGCACAGTGGTGCAGGAGAAGATTTTAGTGCAAGTACAGAGTTAAAGCACTAGAAGTAACGATAGTCACCCGAACTGTAGGCTCTGTTTTACAAGCGAATTCAGCTTCTGATGGAAGCCTCTCTCGTGCAGGAGAGGATTATAGTCACTTAATTCCATCTGCGGGAGATGCAGGTAAATGGGAAAGGATAAAAGTTCAGTCAAACTTATTTGTTCATGTGAATTGCAGCACTCACAATCTGGGGGACAAACCAAGTTGATTTCAAAGCGGAAAGAAAGGAGGGTATAATTTTTTACCTTCAACAACACGGCATGAATGGAACTTTGAATCTCCTGAGGGATTGACGGACTAGCAATTCGATTGACAACAGGTATAGGCAAAATTTCTTCTGAGCCTAACAGACGCTGCAAGAAGTAAAACTTTCAGTCAAGCAGCATAACAAACAGAAAACGTGGAAGCAAAAAAAAATTGACTGTTTAAATTTATTCGTGGTTTAGAATCAAGTCAATATGATGATGGGAGCTTGTTATTCACCCTCAGAAGCATCGGCCCATTGTCTGAAGGCTGGAGAATGTAAAAACAGTTGAAAGCTGCTCCCAACATAGTATCTAGATTGCCATTTGAAGAGCATACCAAGCCTTGGTCCATTGAGTACAAAGCACGGCATATTCCTCTGAAAACTGCAATACAACATATCAGTTTAAAATTGCGATATAATGGGTTCCATGAGTAAACAAGGTTGCAGAACACAAATGAACTGAAGTTACTGTGCTAGTTTCAGAAAAAGGAATTTCTTGCAACCATCCCCCAACATTTATACCACTCTTAATTACCTTGAGCATTCAGTTTTGTCATATCTTCATTACTGGAAATCCCTATTGTATGATAGTCTGTCGGCGTTACAACGTAAGACGAGCCAATAACGACACCTGTGCTTCCAAAAATGTAACAAGAAGTGGGAGTTTAAAAGTAAATCCTACTATATAAGAACCAACTTCAAGTAGTAGATCAAACATGACTGACAGACACAGAGACAGGCAGAGAGAGAGAGAGAGAAGTAGGAAGTCCTTTCAAGCATGCTAACGCCGGATCATAAATGATCCAAAACTTCCATTGCAGGGAAACAATTATCGGTAACATAAGAAACACATGTGCAGGATATCCACTAATCAACTCCAAATTTCAAACTAAGACTTATCAACAAGCAAACTTCTTAGCTTCAATGGAAGTGTATTTCATTGCCGTCATGATGAACACTTTGATAGACAAGAGGCAGCCACCACGTGCAGAGGGATAATGTACAGTCTCCAACGTTTTATAACTATTTCAGTCAGGGAACAGTACCTTCACTTAAAGAGCTTAGGTTGGTTCTCTCAATGATGTTGAATTCAATGGGGTTAGACACTCGTTGCAGCTTTATAGAGCTATGGGAAGAGGGCATATACAGTATTGTTCTCTCGCCAATTCTAACAGAATTCTCGACAACATCAGATGCTCCAAGAACATTCTCAGTGAATGGACAAGAAAGTATCTCAGCTCTCTCCTTTGCCGCATGGGGTAATAGACTGCCATGACACCTGCATGTCTATAGGTAATGTACTGCGATCGTAATTCAATCCTCACACTAAGAGGTAAAAGCTAGCAAACTGACCATGATAACATGAAATCAAACAGAAAGGGTTACTACCTGGCAAGTACTGAAATCATCCACAATTTGATTGACGGTGATGGACAGGCAACAGAGTATCTGATTCTGATCTCCTACTAGGCTATCTCTAAAGTTAAAACGAGCCAGCAAGGGCTCTTCCCTTTCGTCTCTTAGATCAATTAACCAGCGCTTTGTCAGGCCATTGAACATTCCACCACCTGCAAAACTCATGGATCAAAACCAAACACAATATCACCTGCAAAAGCACATTCTACAAAGAGCTTTGTTTTCCTGATTAGCCCCTCCGGCTCTGACTGACAGTAGAATTGCTCAACAACAAACTTCAGAAGAATGTAGCACTTTCAAGCACATGACATAAATTAAAAGAACTGACCATAAAGCAAAGTAACCACTCATCAAATTCACAACTCGTCACTTAAATAAGCAAGAAACCTTAACCTGGAATATGACTTTCCACGGAACAATTGCGAAGATGAGATAAGCCTTCCATGAAGCTGCTCGTGTTCTCCATCTCATTGCTGAGACTTGAAATTTGCTTAATGAAGGCAAACTCCACAGTTACACCATGATCTGCAGCGTCCTGTTTAATAACGAAGCTTAAAGGTAAGATCATCTGGTAGAGTGAACCACAAGGAAAAAGGGGAGTTTGCCATTTGCCTCACCATAAGAAGCTTCTTATCAACCTCCTCTATCTTTAGAGGCAAATACGAGCTCAAAACAATCAATTTCTTCTTGACATCTCTACCTCCCCAGGAATAAAGTACTTGATCATTCAGAACACTCGAAAGCTTCATATCCACTAGCAGTCAATCAATCCACTCATTTGTCAATTCATCGAGCATGTTCAGTGCGAATCACAGAAGGAAGAGAGAAAAGCTTCGTTACCTCGACAACATAGATCCCCGGAATCGCCGATCTCCGGAAGACAACATTCCGCCGGCAAGTTGTCAACGGCGTGGTGGAAATCACGGAGACTGAAGTCTCCTTGAGGACTGTACGCGACTTTGAGCTGTCCAAACTCGCCTCCAATCCATTCATTTCCGTCGAAGATAACAGAAAAAAGTGAAAATAACACTTAAAGTACAGCGGGTGGAAGAAGCAAAAGAAACACCTCAACTGAAGAGGAACTCCGGTCCTCGAAGACGTAGCACAATCCAATCCTGTCTCCGGCGCCGACCGGCTTCCGCCGCGAAGATGAAACGGCGTAGTAATTAGCTAGCTGCAACAAACACTGTCCACAAATCCGCAATTTCCATTACTCAATCAACCGACATGCAGGCAGCCACTGCCGCCATTGATCTCCGTGGAGCTAAGTTCTCGCTTGCTGAAACAAAATTGGACAATGCATATCGATTGTTACCTGCTTTAGGTCAGCAAGCAAGGAAGGGGATAGGCCTCGAAGATCCAGGACGAAGCACAGGAGCGCCATTATTCTCCTTATCTTCCTCCTTCCCTGAGATCAACTTCCGTGAACTTCTTTTACTTCTTTGGCGCGGAATGAGAGATATAAAACTGTTACTTCAAAACAAGAATGGCCATAGTCCTACCAGTCACGCGCAGGGGAGAATGAAAGGAAACGAAACGAGAACGGGTGTAGTAAAATTATGAAATAGTACCCCTATTCACGTATCTTCCCAATAATGTCCCATAAGTTAAGGATGGTTTGGTAGTTGCGGTTGTTTTGTGAGATTGTTATTATACATGTATTGTTTATAATTCATCATTTTTTTATTATGTTTTAGCAATTTATGTGATGTAACAGAAACTATCACTCTGATATGATCCCAAATGGCCAACTCTACATGTTTTTATTACTTGCCGAAGAAGCTATCAAAGTTGGGAAGAAGAAGGGCAGAATTTGGTTAAGTGTTGGAACAGTATCAAGGTACATACTTTGGAGGCATGGTTCTCGCAATTGGCTTGGTGGAAATTCCGTTTTAAGGGTTTGTTTTGCAGGTAAAGTTACCATCTTTCCAATGGTATGCTTTATGGATCCAGATGATGTCATTAAGGTTGTTTTCCAAAGCCTCAAAGTTGCTACCTCAAAACTGGAAAACTGCCAGAAAATGGTTAAGTCTGGAAACTGTTTTGTGAAGCCTACTTTGGAGCTCAGTTCAAGGAGCATGGATCTGATTCGAGACCAAAGGCTTCTACAACATGAAACTAGGTATGTTTATATACCAAGGGAAGGAATTGGATGAAAGATTGAAGTTCCGGAAAGCCTTGAACAAAAGGCGCGAAGTTAGTACGAAAGCTGCTTTTGGACTGTTTGCTGGCAGCTTACTTGCACTTGAAGAAAGAGAGTTTTAAATCCGAATTTTGAGTCCTTTTTAGAGTATATTTTTACCTTAATTGTTTCCTACTTCTATTAGGTTTGTATTAGGTTTATTTGCCTTTAAATACCTGTCTACTTTCGTTGTAAAACTAAGACTTTGTTGAATAGAAATCGAAACCGTTTGGTTTGTGCAAGTTGCGACTTGTTTTGGGTTTGGTGGATTCCAAACTTGCTGAGCTTGTGTATCGATTGAATAGTCACTTCAATCGTGGTCGAGCAACTACCCTTTTATACCAATCGAGCTATCCCCAGGTGTGGATTTGTCCTTTTGGTTCCGTTTTATCCCAAGTTCGTATTAAGAACGCTTCGTTCTTGATTCGAGCTCAATCGATTCTTCGATTGAGTCGTTTGCTGCGTTACTTTGATAACATACACCCCCCCAGAGGCGTATCACACTCAAAATGAGTGATTGTTATATTTCAGATTTTAGTTGAGATTGTTTTGTCTCAGTTTTTAGCTGATGTGACATACACAATCACACATACCAAATGTTGTATTTTACTGACTCGCTACTACTACACCGCAAAAGAAATCCAGACTAGAGCCCAAGTATATACTCTAGCTAGGTGCAGTATAGGGCAAGCGTTTTAATTGTCAAACCTGGGCTGGTCCATGTACCCCTACTTTCAATCGCTTAAATTGTTATTTAGCAAACGGTTTTGTGTTTAAAACTAAAAAAAAAACTACATAGGAAAACAAGCAGGAAAAGTAAATTGCGGAGAATTCTATATGAGAGGACTTCACCAGCGTATTGCTCCCCCTAGTCTCGTATTAAGAAACCATGAACGAAATTCTAGAGTGAAGGATGTATTTATAAACCGTGAGGCGGGTGCAACTAGTTAGGAAACCCTAACTCTCTTAGTCGATCGATTAAGGATTGCAACTACAAACTAAGTGGTCTAACTCTCTTAGCTATTCACATAAGGATTGCAACTAAAGGCTAGGAAATCTTGCCATCTTGACCAATCGAACAAGGATTACAAGAACCAATCCCTCATAAATTAATCCGGACGGCAGATAGCGACCAATCATGATGGGATCATGGCACTGATCCGATATTTGAGGTTTGTCCTCATTTGCCTAGGTGGATGACACAAATTGGCCAATAATCCAGCATCTCAAAGGCTCTTACAATAAAGGGATTCTCTCCACCTAGGTCAAAATGATCTAATAATGATTTAAAGCTAGCAACACTCAATCATTCATTAATAATACCTCAAATATTATATAAAACATTCAATCAACACAAATAGAGCCATGTTCTTACATCCTAACACACATCTATACTAGGGTTCACAATACCCAAGCGAGGGAGCACTATTCCATAGCTAGGCAAGGAAAAACAACAAAGATGAAAGAAAGAATCATGGTGTGGTGACTATCCTCCTTCCTTGCTGCTTGAAACACAATTGAGAAGAAGAAGACCTTCAATCCTCTAGTTTAGGACAAGCCCAATCCTCTTCCTTTGGTTCTTCCTTTCACTCTCTTAGTCTCTTAACAAGAAGAAGGAGATCTCTCTTTCTCTCACTAGAATTCTTCCTCATTTTTAGGGTTTTTTAGCTGGAACCCGGGAAGGGAACCTAGAAAATTTGAACCCCATCCAAGATCGAGTCTCCCTTTCAGTTGCGTTCTATTTATATAGCCCGACAGTCACTTTCACGGTCAGAACATCACGACAGTGACATTTGACCACAAACCGTGACATCGGAAAAAATGAAGGTCAATGGCGCCGTTTTTTCCAACATCACAGTCACTGGATAATTATCACGGTCTAGCGATCGTGAGTCCGTGACAATCCTTAAGCCCGTAGGTGCAAAAATCCTCTTACTTCCCAGCTAACTTCACGCCCTATGGTAAATTGTCATGGTCTGGAAATCGTGATAATTACCTCCAAACCGTGACATGTGACTATTCTTCACTTTTCCGCGCTTTTCGACCTCCAATGATCCCGAAACTCGTCATCGACCTTCCCACACGTGCTAGGACCTGAAATATGACAAAAGAAGCACAACCAATCGTAAAATAGGTCGATGAACGATAAAATGCTAAGTCAAACTATCAAGAAATGAAGGATAAAATGTGTGTAATTAGCCCCAAATCATTTACATTGCATCAAATTCGACAATATATGTATAATATTATACATGCATTCACAACAATAAATCTATTTAACAATCGCAATTTCCAAATGATCCCTAAATTACTGGTAATACACTTTAATACTTTATACATTCAAACCAAATTTTCAAATAAATTAATACAAATAGGAATGACAATGGGGCAGGTCAGGTGGGTATTTCAATATCCATACCCGTTAGTGACAGGTCGGATTCAGGTAAGGTAATTTACTACGGGGCGCAAGTTAGAGCAGGTTGTTTCATATGGGCATGTAATTTGAAGGGAAAATATCAGAAATATTAATTTTTGTATTAAAAAAATCAAGAAACAAACTATAACATGATAAGTATAGTTAAGTTATTCAAAAATTGAGATTCTCACATATTTACAACTTTGTTATACCTAAAATAGGGCGTAATAAAATTAAGATCCTAAGTAATTTTTGTAAAATTAGGGTTAAATGCATCATGTGTCACTTAAGTATAGCGTATGTTACACACTAACCACATAATTTATTTTTGTTGCAACTTACCACATAAGTTAAATTTTGATTGCAACTAAGCCATACAAATAGAATTTCGATTGCACCATCACAATTTATGTCCATAAACTTAACGATGAGTACCAAAGGAAAATTATTGTGCTACCATTTTAGAGAAAATAAAAGTTATACAATTAGTAAAATGCCAATCTTATGTGACCACTTTCTAATAATTACCATGTTTCTCTTCATCCTTTGATTCTTCTCTTCTCCACTCCTCTCCTCTCTTCCACCTTTCATCTTCTTTTTTGGTTAGCCACTAGACAGAGAACTCGCAGCGCATCATGTAACCATTCCCAACTAAACCCAAAGGTTAACTGATTGATGGGTTTTTTTATGGATGCTTTAATGGGTGTTTTAGGGGAAACTGTGGCAAAAAAACTAGTAATATTCAAAGCTTGAAACATAGATACAAAGTAATTTTGAAATTCGTTTTAAATAACAAACCGATCTGACATCGATACAAAGCAACACAATTACTAATTATTTCCATAAAAGTTTCAAAGATGTACGTTACAAAGCACATGATGTGTTGGTGCAGAACGAAACCCTGTTGTTTCTTGCAAAATACTATGTCGGTGTTGGTTGATTAATATCAGATAACAGTCAGTTATCATTGCACTAATTTCTTATCTGTTAATGATCAATAACCGCCGTTAACTAATAATCCAAAATACTCCAACTAAAAAGCCTTTTATCGGTTTACAAATATCCGACCTCTTTTCATGTTTGATTATTCGACTTACCCACTATTATATACACAAAAAATCCTCTTTTTTGTGTGTACTAAAAAAATCCTCTGGCTCCATCATGCCTTGTGCAAATGGGCTAACCGGCCTTGACATTTCTTCATTGTCTTGCTTGCTTGGTCTGGTCCCCATCCCTCCTTCCCACTACCTATCTACTAAATAAAACAAAGCTTCTGTAAAAAGTTTGACCACGCAGGCATGTTCTTTCAAAAATAGCAAAAATTGGGCAGGAAAAGGTTAAACAACTATTTCACACACAAAAAAAAAAAAAGGTTAAACAGCTAAAAGGATAAAAAGGTAAACAGCACATTTGTACTGCTATGTTATAATTTATAACAGTTGTCCGTTCTCAACAATATTATTACTAAGCCATTTATATATATCTTCATTACTATTTATTACTTAACTAACCGAAATGATATATTTGTGTTAGGTAGAAATTCATTTAACATAGTTCAACTTGAAGAATAAATATTATATAAGTTTTAGGATGTGTTTTTATATTCTGAAAATTTATTAAAATACATTCATCGTGTAAATCATGACTTGTGAGGAATGTTAAGATACTTCACCAAAAATCCATTCATAATATTATCACTGATCTGATTCCGAAGTGTTTTTTTCATTTTGTTTATTGCACTAAGTGCTCTTTTTAACAATTTGCAACTGATGGCAACAAACGCTATTTCAGAGTTTTTGTTTATATTAAACTCAATTACAAAGTATATATGAATTGAAAGTTTATCAAAGATCACAATGAACAAAGGGCATGTCTAATAGCAATACCAAGTACCAACTATTGTTGGTTTGATGGAATTGGAGGGAGTAAATTCATGGGCCCATGGACTTTGGAGGTCCAAATACGTGTACCCCACGAATTTGAAAGTTCCACTTATAAAAGTGGAAATTGAGTGTTGGATTTAAATCCATGATGACAATTTACTCGTTTATCCCTACTCATTTTACCTACTGACCAATATGCACTTCCCCTTCCCCTTTCTTCTTTCCTGATGGTGGCCTCCAACTCCCCGTCCTCAATTTTCCCTACGAGAGCGCCGAATGATAAATGAAGCCTCCTGTCTGTTTCTCTTTGTCTTTTTCTCTCTTTGAGCTGGTTTAACATCAATTTCTTGCATAACTTGTGTATTTCGGAATGAAATTTTGGATTTGTGATGGTGCTCCAGTTGACAAAAAAAATTGAGAAGTTTTCAATTTCGGTTCAATATCACCTCTTCTTCTATCGAGTCTTGTTTTTACTCCTCTATTGAGATTTCTAACACCTTATGCATTATGCGTTTCTATATTTGTAACCGAATTAGTTGACAAAGTAGCGGTTCAAAGAATTTGTATGCATTAGATTTGTTTTTAATGGAAATTTGGATTTTAATGGAAATATAAATAGATAAAGGTAACAAACTAATTTGTGTTTCATATCCACAAATCTAATCAAATCAAAATCCATAATTAAATCCAACAACCAAACAATAGACTTGTTCAAATTCATAATGCCACCAAATCACAAAATCCATGATTTTACAATACTCAGATTTTACTAAAATCTTCATTTTCAAATCTATGAAACAAAGGAGCCGCAAGTGGTTCTGTCCGTTTTGTATTTTTTTTGAGAGTCAAATTTGTATTATCAAATATAAAAAATAAAATAAAAAGAAGCAATAGAATTATAGAAACAAACAAAAAGGAAGGGGAAAAGAAAGAAAGAAAAAATGAGGTGGAGGTGATATTAGCAAATCCAATCCAATCCAACAAACCTTTTGTTATTTACTTTATTTTTAGTGGTAATTTCTGTTTCTAGGGCTACCAGTAGTCTACTGGATTTGTAACGAACACTGTTGGCATCCCAAAATTCCCACAGGTTCCCCAATTTGGCATTTTACGTAATTTTACCGGAAAAAGAAGGGTATATTCACTTCCTCCTTAACCCCCCGCCCCTTCCTCCTTCAACCCTGTCGTTTATATCTTCCGCAAACTCCAACACTTTTCTACGGCCCGCTTCTCTTTCCTCAAGTTTCATCTCTCTCTCTCTCTCTAGCTCTAGCTCTCTCTGTGCGTCTCTGTTCCCCGTATCTCTCTCTCTCTCAGCTGAAGTCTGATCTCAACCCCGCCGTCTCTGTAAACCTCTCGCAGTACAATTCGCAGAGATCCAGTCAGGTATATAACTCAAATCTCACATTGCCAGATCTTCTTCTGCTTTTGCTCCTGTTACTGTACTGCTGCCGGCCGCCATCGGAGTTCTGTTTCAGATTGATTTTCCAGCTCTCGCGCGGCGTGCACATCTGTAATTCTGTATCTATTTCTCTGATCGCTCTTTCCTAGTGTGTAATGGTTTTGCGGATTCGTGGTGGTGGTGGTGCCGGCGGCTTTGATCCAATGGCGGATCGAGCTGTTTTCCTGTTTACACTGTGTTCTGGTTTTTTTCTTCCGGATTGATATTGATCGGATTGGGTTATCCGATAGTGTAGCTAGCCGTTTTCGTTTTTTGTATCCAGCAAGTTTCGATGAATTCGATGTGCCGGATCTGATCGTTTAGCCGATCTAATCTATTGGATTTCAGAGCGCAGCTGATAGTGATGATAATTGGTTGATTCGATTCATGCATCCTGAATGTGTTATTTTTCTTGGCCGTTGCGTGCGTGTGCGTGTGGGTTGATTTTTGTTTAGACTGTTGAGTGTTTGGTGGAAGTCTGCTGAACTGCTTGTTAGTGTTGCATGTGATTTTGGGTGTTGTTTGGTTCCTTTTCACGTGTCTAACGCCTTTCTTTTTTCTTATTGGATTGGGATGGGAGAATTGATGTTTCGTTTGGCTGTCACTGATGATCGATGAATATATATTTTGGGAGGGTTTCAATTGTAATTGTTGAGCCGTTATGCATGCGCTGAATTGAAAGAGTTTTCTTCAGACTAGGGAATGGAACATGTTGTCTATTGTTTTGATTTTCCATCTCTTGTTTCGCCCTATTCTTGCTGAAGCTGGTTGCTTTCTCGGTGGTTGTAGATCTTAGCTGTTGAGATGGCGACATCGGCAGCTGGGGCCACAGGATGGTACAAGGGGAGAGTGAAAGCTGTGCCATCTGGGGACTGTCTGGTCATAGTGGCAATTTCCACCACCAAGAAAGGACCTCCTCCTGAGAAGACCGTCACTTTGGCTTCTCTTATGGCACCTAAGCTGGTAAATCCTTTGTGACCCTTTGCGTTTGGGAACTCTGTCGACTTCATAGTTTACTGTATTGTCGAATTCGGGATTTGTTGATGAGTTTGTCTTCGCGAGGCAATCTCAGAAAGTCCACGAATGGTGAAATTGGTGGGAGTTTGAACTGATGGTTGTATGGTTCCCTTTTTGCAGGCTCGGAGAGGCGGAGTTGATGAGCCCTTTGCCTGGGGGAGTAGAGAGTTTCTGAGGAAGCTTTGCATTGGCAAGGTAATGTGTTTTCTGGCACTTGTTTAGATATTGTGGATGCAGGAGGATAGTTGCTTTCCAGTTTTAGTTATTTGTTCGCTGATTGGTATGTTGTCTGTGATTTTCTTCTTTACAGGAAGTTACTTTCAAAGTTGATTATGCTGTGCCCTCAATTGGGAGGGAATTTGGTACTGTATTCTTGGGTGATAAAAATGTTGCTGCACTTGTTGTTTCTGAAGGCTGGGCAAAGGTAATGTGTCTCTCCTACTACATGGTCTTTGTATTTTCTACATTGGTTTGGTGTAGTCAAGTGTTTAATTGAGTCATGTATCTGTAGGTCAGGGAGCAGGCATCACAGAAAGGAGACGCTAGTCCTTTTCATGCTGAACTGCTACGGCTTGAAGAACAAGCAAAGGAACAAGGTCTTGGTAGATGGGATAAGGTTAGTAGTGCCATGTTTGTGTAATGTTCTGCTTGTCCCCCTCGTTGTATGCTTGGATCTCCAATTGTTTTTTAGATGATTGATCTTTTTGGTTTGAATTCAAATGAGACGTGCATATAAGTTTTCTTCTCTTCACCTTTATTAGATTTTGGTCCCTGAATTCCGGTAGAAGAATTGCCGGAAGGCGTTAGCAACATCTATCCTTATGGTTGTATAGTCATAATTCGAATGAGCTTATAATTTCCGCCCCTCCCCCCAAAAATCTCAAGCAGGTCAAAATGGCGTATCCCTTTAAAATTGATGCGAGTTATGGAGCTTGCTCGCTTGTCTTTTGGTGCTTCCTTTTTGGCTATAGATTATGCTTAATGTGTGTTCCTGACTGTAGGATCCTGGTGCTGCTGAGGCATCTATCAGAGATCTCCCCCCTTCTGCCATTGGAGATGCTAGTTACTTGAATGCTGAGGCTTTTTTAGCTGAAAACAAAGGAAAACCTATGGAATGCATTGTTGAGCAGGTTCCTAATGGAAGCACCATACGTGTCTATTTGCTTCCAGATTTTCAGTTTATTCAAGTCTATGTAGCGGGAGTCCAGGTAAATATTCTATAGAGATATTGTTACTTGCTGTTGCATCTGGATCAGACCATCCAAGTACTTACTTATCTTGGTTTCTTTTTCTAACTAGTGCCCATCCATGGGCAGAAGAGCGTTAGCTGTACCTGTTTTGGAAAAAGAGGCAAAATCAGGCGAGACAAATGGAGATACTTCTGCACCCAGTGCGGCAGAGAGAGTTGCAGCTCCAGCAACACATCAAGAAAATCCTCCTCAGCCATTTGCTGTTGAAGCCAAACACTTCACGGAGCTTCGTGTCTTAAATAGAGAAGTAAGCTCAAATGCTGCATAATGTTGTGTATCACCTGTCAAGCTGCCATCTGCTAACTTCTGTCTGGTTACCCAGGTTCGTGTTGTTTTTGAGGGTAAAGACAAGCATGGGAATCTGCTTGGGTCAGTCTATTATCCTGATGGGGACACAGCGAAGGATTTAGCACTGGAACTTGTGGAAAACGTAAGTACTCAAACATCTTTGTTAGCTTTTCTTCAGGATTTATAATTGCCTTCATTGAGTTTCTATTCATATCTGCTGATATCTTACACTTTTTCATAATAAATGGTTCTGCTGTCGCCTAGCTTTGTTGCATTTGATCTTATCTTGAGCTTGCTAAAAAGAAAGTTAGATTTGTGCTTATCACTAGGTTCTCAAATGAAGGGTCTTTGTTTGGGTGACCTATTAATGCTTTTGTATCTCTAGGAAATGATGTGATGGAGATTCGTGGCAATGTTTCTGAATCAACTTTAAACCTGGATTCTAACCCCAATAGATTTTGGATGTACCTGAATTTATGGAAGTCGTTGTTTGGTTGGGTAGATTGAAGAAAGTTATTATTCAATGTATGATCTTCAAATACTATCTTATTTATTCAGGGTTTAGCTGAATATGTTGAATGGAGAGCCAGTTGTCTGGAAGAAGATGCCAGGCGTCGGTTGAGGTCCGCAGACCTTGAAGCTAAGAAAAGTCGCCGGAATATGCATACCAATTATAATCCAGGTGTTAAAAATTCGAAGGCAATTCACGACCAAAAATTCTCTGGAAAGGTAGTGTTTGGTTTGTCAAATATAAACTTTCTTTCTTTCTGGTATGTTTATCGGTTCTCACTGAGTTGGATTTGTTCCGAGTTTGATTCAACTTCTCTTATAGGTTGTGGAAGTTGTAAGTGGTGATTGCATCGTTGTAGCTGATGATTCTTTCCCTTGTGGAAGTCCACTGGCTGAAAGACGAGTCTTTCTTTCAAGTATTAAGTGCCCGAAGATGGGGAATCCTCGCATAGACAAGCCAGCTGAGCCATTTGCCCTGGAAGCCAAGGAGTTTTTGAGAACACGGCTCATTGGCAAACAGGTATGAAATTGTAGTAGTGATTATTCTCTTTCCACCTTGTTATTATTTTCTTAGGGATGACTTGCAACGTGCTCCATTGCAGGTACACGTACAAATGGAGTACTCTTGGACCCCCCCTGAGGCTGCTGGTTCTGGAGACTCTAGACTGATGCATTTTGGGTCAGTGTTTCTCACATCTTCTACCAAGGGGGACAATGCTGAAGCATCAGCAACAGCACCACCAACTACTGCTGGTCAGCCAGCTGGTATCAATGTGGCTGAGTTGATTATTTCTCGTGGCCTTGGCGAGGTTATAAAGCATAGAGATCAGGATGAAAGATCAAGTTACTATGATTCCCTTCTTAATGCTGAATCACGAGCTACTGGTGCTAAGAGAGGGAAGCATTCCTCCAAGGAGTCTATCACCAAGCCCATGCACATAACAGATCTTACTTCTTCTAAGAATAATAATGCAGTTACGAAGACTCCACTCTGTTTTTTTTTTTATGCTGGATTGTTCATTTGTTTGGTCTATCTATCTTGTAATAATTCTGATGTGCTGCTGTTCCATTCAGGGAATTGCCAAGAAAGCAAAAGATTTCTTGCCGTTTCTGCAACGTGGTAGAAAGATTACAGCCGTAGTGGAATACGTGCTGAGCGGTCATCGTTTTAAGTTGCTGGTTCCCAAGGAAACTTGCAGCATTGCCTTAGCTCTGTCTGGTGTTAGATGCCCTGGCCGCGATGAACCTTATTCGGATGAAGCAATCGCATTGATGAGACTGCGGTTGATGCAGAGAGAAGTAGAGGTACTTTCCATTCTGTGCTGTTGTCCTCTGAACTGATTCTTTAATTCTTTCTGTTATGTCTAAAAGCTTATTATGGCCACACAGATTGAGGTTGAGACTGTCGACAGAAACGGAACGTTCTTAGGATCCTTGTGGGAGTCGAGGACTAACATGGCAACAGTTCTTTTGGAAGCTGGGCTTGCTAAGCTACAGACTGCTTTTGGCAGTGACAGGATTCCTGAAGTCCATCTACTTGAGCGGGCTGAGCAATCTGCCAAAAAGCGGAAATTGAAAGTATGAAAGGACCATACATAATAGTGTTTGCTGTTGATTAACAAAGTTTACTTACTCACCCAGCTTCTTGTATTTGCAAACTGTGTCTTCTACAGATATGGGAGAACTATGTTGAAGGGGAAGTGGTCTCTAATGGTGCACCAACCATGGAAGGCAAGCAGAAAGAAGTTCTGAAGGTGGGTGGGGTTCAGTTGTACTTACTCTACCAAATGTGCTGCCCTTTCTTATTTTGTGATTTGAAAACTGGTGCCTGATTTTGCCTTATTTTGCCAGGTCGTGGTTACTGAAGTCTTGGGAGCTGGCAAGTTCTATGTCCAGACGGTTGGAGATCAGAGAGTAGCATCCATCCAGCAACAGCTCGCCTCCCTCAATCTTCAGGACTCTCCTCCACCTGTTATTGGTGCTTTCAATCCGAAGAAGGAGGACAAAGTACTTGCTCAGTTTAGTGCAGATAATTCTTGGAATCGAGCTATAGTAAGCAAGCATCCACTGTTGCTATCCGCCGTCTTATGTTTTCTGTTTCATCATTGTAGTGTTTCTCTTCTGAAGTCATCAGGTATCACCTGGACCTTCTTGGCTCTTTGATTTTCCACTGATATTTTTGACTTTGTGTGAAGATTGTCAACGCACCAAAAGGAGCCGTCTCATCACCAAAGGATAAGTTCGAGGTCTTCTACATTGATTATGGAAACCAAGAAGAGGTCACATATGCGAATTTGCGACCTATCGAACCTGCACTATCTTCAGCCCCTCCGCTTGCCCAGCTTTGCACCCTGGCATATGTTAGGGTCCCTGACCTCGATCAAGACTTCGGCCCAGATGCTGCTGAGTTTTTGAGCGCCAACACTTTGAGCACTTCAAAAGAATTCAGAGCCAAAATAGAGGAGCGAGATTCCATTGGAGGGAAAGTTAAAGGGCAGGGCACTGGCCCAATCCTAAGCGTAACCTTGGTGGCTGTCGATGCTGAGATTAGTGTAAATACAGCCCTGGTTCAGGTAATTCATTACATTTACAACCAATCAATTCTTGGTTCTGGTAGCTTTAGTCTATTTCACGCCACTTACGAAGGAAGGCCAACAAATTAGCTACGATCATTCGGTTATTTGAACACAATTTCTCGAATTCTCGCAATGCTCTATCTGGTCTTTGATATACTACTTTTGCTGATACTTCTCCTTTCTCCGTACCATTTCGATACTATATTATACAGGAAGGACTAGCTAGGATCGAGAAGAGGAGGAAGTGGGACCAAAAGGACAGAAAAGTTGCACTCGATAACCTGGAGAAGTTCCAGGACGAAGCACGTTCCGCCCGGAGGGGAATGTGGGAGTATGGAGATGTCGAGTCGGACGAAGAGGATGTCGCCGCTCCACCGGCACGCAAGGCTGGCGGTGGCCGCCGATGATTAGTGTCGCCGTTGCCGGCAACAACAACAAAAATGCTCGTGTACATTATTCATACCTCAGCACACAGGTAAAAAAATGTTGCACAGCAAAAGGGAATATGACGAGACATGAGCTACAGTAAGTGAATGTGATGAGAGACATAAAGCTAAATCCTCCCCCATTTAGGATTCTGAGTTTTGTTTTTTTCCCTTTTCCATTTGAGGTTATAATTTGTAGGCGAGATGCGGAGGTGAACTATTTTTTTCCCCCCTAGTTCTTAATAAGGTGAACTATTTATAGCCAGTTTGAGATGTTGAGTGAAAAGTGAAAACCTTCGTAGAAGGAGAAAAAAAAAAAAGAGAACAGTTTTGGTGTTTTGGAAGGATCCATCTTTGCGTTTTCTATCATTCTGTCGTCTGGTTTCCCTTTAATGTGTTCCTTTTTGTTTTGGGAAATAAGCTTAACCTGAGTTGTATTAGGGGGCCCTGATGCCAGTGCTTTCAGAATCGAAACGGACATAGAACGAAGGATTGAAAAATCGTATTGGATGTCAGGTTGCTGTTGGAGTGTTGGTGAAGTGCACCCTAGGTTGATGAAGCAATATAATGGTGATTGTGGTCGTATTCCAGGAGTTCTCGGATGTATTGCTATTCAAAAGCTCGTTGCAATTTAACCTAATGGCGAAATTGCTTTAACACACATAGAACTAACTTGCAAGTTGCAACTAGTGATTAACTCAAAGTACATTTGGGGATATTAATCCCCCTAACTCTAAGAGGATGATCACCATGCTTAGGCTAAGAACAAAACAAATAATGATCTTTACTAAAGTAAGAGATTGGCCAAGCAATTAATTGCTTTTACTGAATAGACCCTATCGACCAACATTCGAGCATGAAGTCTTACAGGGGATTACTTTGTCGACAAAGCACCTCACCAGTTTCAGAAAGCAATCAACATTAAGCAATCAACATTCTCAGGATACTAGTTATATCGTAATTTCGATGGATGTACTCCTTTATTGTTGTCCTCATTGACGAACACTCACCTTAGAGTTTCCTTAGACGATGCAAAGTTGTATTCTTGATATATATATTCGGTTGCATACGGACTACCGTTCTGTTTTAGTGTTTTTCTTGTAATTGTGTTGACCGACCTTGCTCGGGGGGCTTATCTTGGATTAAAAAAAAAAAAAAACAACCTTTCGATCCACTGCCCGAAGAGACTTCTTTGACAAAAAATGATAAGAGTAGGAGTATAAAACCGTAACGAGTGACACATATGCATGAATTTCCTCAAACAAATATGGTTGGGGTTCTCAACTTTTCTTCTATGAATCATATCAGTTCTTGAATTATCAGATACGTATCCAAAATTATACCTAAAAAAAATTAGTGACTTCAACGGACGCAAAAGGGCACCTAAAAAATGCAACTGCAAACTTAGTACAACCTTTACTGTCAAAAATTAAAAGAAAATAAAAAACTTAGTACATCGAAAAAAAACTAAAGCAATCTAATGACACTAGCTATTATAGTAGCTGTAGCTAACTACCATAACCTCTAAGAGATGGTAAGTGTCACCTTTTTTCGTTTCTTTTCAAATACACTCTGTGCCAAGAATCATCCATCCGCCCACAAAATTGAAAAATCAACGAAGCTTGAAGTTCTACAGAGGACAGTTTTGGCCAAGAAAGGAAGAAAAAAAACCAGTAGAGATCGATCCTACCAAAGAGACAACCGTCTCCTTCGTCCTCTTTCAACCTCACAAGCATTTACTCGCGTCTGGTCGTCCTCCGACGAGGTGCGGCCGTCGACGTACTCTCATCCTTCTCCTCTTTCTCGCCACTGCTCTCTTCTTTGCTCGAAGCCTCGGTGGCTGCCGCGGCAGGTGCTGGCTTCTTCTCAACCTTGGCCTGCATTACACGAATCGTTATTACACGAGGCCGAGACAAAACGACGAGACGTGAAGGCAACGTGATCAAGAACTTACTGCCTTCTTCCCGCCGAAAATGATCTTAACGAAAACGGTGAGGATCACGACAGCGATGGAAACGAGGACGCCGATCGTTAGGTTAGGTTGCTTCTCTGCCTTCTCCACGAGTTCCTGCATGGAAGGTGTCGTCACATTAAGAGCAACTCATCCGCAGAATGGAGAAGTAGAAAACAGTCGAGAACCAAAAGGAGAGAAAGGCAGAAGAGAGTTTTTTGACTTACAATGATTTTGTCCTTGTGATCCTTCAAGAATGGGATGTCAGCCACCTTGTAAAGGAGATCGAATACCTTCTTCTGCAGGATCGAAAGAGACGCGACAATGAGTGACATAACCAACAAGTGATGGGAAACGAATGAAAAGCATACCAATCGACTGATAAACAAAGCCGTCTATTACCTGGATGCCAGCAAGACCATCTGATCCAGTAGCTGCAGCCTCCTCGGCCTTCTGTTTCTCCTTCTCGGCATCGAACTTTGGCTTCCACAGTCCCTCTCTGTGCAATGCTGCCTCAGCCTCGTCTTTAGCGATCAAGATGTTGTCGAACAATATACCATCCTGCATTGTCCAGATCTCAATGCCGACAGCAGCAATGGGCTCGAAGTCGGGCTTCTCAAGCTCAAAGTAGTCAGGGTTGGCAATCTCCTGAGGCTTCCAAATACCCTTGTAGCTAGGGTTGTCAATCAAAGGAGCACGCCATTTCCCCTTGTAGGCAGGGTTGCTCTTCATGGGCCTCTTCCATTCACCACAGCCAGGTGCAGACTCGCACTTCGGGTTCTGGATCTTTGGTGCTTCCCACTCACCATCCTCCTCATCGTCCCAATCTTCTGGTTTGCTAGCCTCAGGCTCATCAATCTCTTCAGGCTCATCATCTAACCAGCCTTCAGGTTTCACAGCATCCACATCTTCAATCTCCATGGGCGCATCTTCATCCCAGTCATCAGGCTTCACGGCATTGGAGTCGGGAATTTTAGATCTCTCATCCCAGTCCTCAGGTTTCTTGTCATCTGGGTCGGGGATCGTCTTGGCAGGAATCAGGGAGGGCTCAAAGTCTTCTGATGAAAGGAAGTTAGCCTTCTTTTTCTCTTCGCCATCAACAAGAATTCTCAGCTCGTTGTCCGGTTTCAAAATTGCGGTATAGACGTGGGTGAGCTTATCAGAAGGAACGGAAGGTGGGAACTTGAGGTGGTGCTCCACATACTCCCCACTCTTCGGGTTCTTATGCTTCAAGATGAAGTGAACCTTGTTCGTCCCTCCGCATTTGTCTGGTCCGAACATGATGGAATACGGGGAGTCATTGTCGAACTCCTTAGCTACCCACCCAGCTTCCTGTGGCCGGAGATACTTCAGATACGCACCACCACATTCAAGCCCGTTCTGGAGGCGGGTCTCGAACTGAAGGACGGTGGTACCCTCCTTCAGATCCGCTTCATTCTCAAGCTCTCTGACTATCGCGTACTTCCTGGCCTTCTCACTCACGAGAAGTCCGAAATCCTCATGTCCCTCACTCTTGGAGTGCTTCCAGACACCTACAACGAATTCAATTTCAGTTAAAAACAGAAAAGCCAATCCCAGAAAACAATTGGGCAATCAGAAACTATTGACTACTCATTCAAACTCTTAACCAATTCCTCAACCCAGCACGCACTATCGTTAAACAAGCCAGAAGCTAGTCTACAACAAAGATTCCAACTATCTGACCTAGCAACAGCAAAATGTTCCATATATGGCAAAGATCCCTAGCAAAACTTATCAATTTCATGGTGACGGTACATCCAGAGGACTCCGAGATAGATCTCTCTACGTTTGAAACAAATGCATAGCGGATTAGCGGTAGCTTGGAAGTTCCAACCAAAGCCACAAAGCTCCCGCTCGAATTTATCATTGGAAAACCAGGCATTCATACATACAACGATCTATCCCTCACTACAGATCCTTTCAGCGAAAATCTAACAGAATAATCTTCTAAACCTTACGGATTAACGAGTTGACGAAAGAGATCCAAACGAACACAGGACGAATCCATGTTTACCTTTGTACTCATCTTTCTCGGAGACGATCCATCGCCCTTCAAACGGCTCATCGAACGACTCGAACAAGATCTACAAAAACGGCACAAAAAGGAGAACGAAGCATTCAGCAAGCAAACACTCCAATAAACCGCAAATCAGGAAGCAGATTTCAGATTACCGGGAAAATGTGTAGTAAAAGCTTCTTACCGTCTTGTCACCGGTCGCGCGCAGCTGCTGGGCGAATGAGATTACAGCCAAGACGACGGAGAATAGCGCCAGTCCCACAGTGACCCGGGCCCGCCTCATCTTCGCGGTGGCGACTGTTTCCCGATCTGAATCTCTCGGCGATTGAATCCCTCCGACGGAAAGCTACGGCGAGAGAGGAAGAGCTAAGCGAAGCCGACTCACGGAGATCAGCTTCGATGAGTGCGTCAGTGCAGTAGATATAGAGAGGTGCACGGATCTTGGGAAGCAAACGCGGGTTCGTGTTGTCGCGGCCAATCAGAGAACGAGACACGTGAGAAGAGCCAATGGCTAGCCGCCACGTAAGAAATTCCAGCAAGGATTTCTGGCTTTCGACTCTTCCAATTGGAGAAATAAGAAATTTACTAAACAATTGAACTTGGGCTTGACCCAGTCTCTCTTGGCGAATTGTCTGTATAAACGCGGGCCATTTGCCCAAGCCCAGTTTAAACATTCGCAGCGGCGGTCCAGTAACCTTTCATTTCTCATAGTTATTGGATTTGAAAATGAGGGTTAATTTTAAATTTTTTTTGGATTTATGATGGATTTATTGCATTATGAATTTAGAAGAGTACATTGTTTGTTTAATTAAGGTTTATCATAGATTTATGATAGAATTGCCTCACATTTGTGCTTTCTATTATCAAATCCCAAATAAAATGTGGGATTTGTAAATTCGTGGGGCCCACGAATTTGTGTCTCTTAGCAAAGAATAGATTTATGTCAAATCTTTGATATTTGGGATATGGATGACAAATCTATCACTCAAATCCCACAAGCAAATGATACCTTAATCCTGGAGAATGCGAAAAGGGGACGGAAATCTAAAATCCCCAATTCACTTCCCCACGTTTCCACTCGTTAATACTCAATACCCATATTCGTTATGTATTATGCGTGGGCCAGGTCGGAAGATATTCGTGTGGATATAAGGTGATGTCGGTTTACCCATTTTTATATGTTATTTAAATAAAAAGCATAAATTTAAACTTTTTTACAGAAACACATAGAGAAAACACTTTATATATGAATGAAAAATATAGTAAAATGAATAATTGAGTCTAAATAGATGAAAAGCAGAGCCTTAAAGTACTTTTGGAATGGAAAATTTATTTTAGAAAGATCAAAATAGGAGGAATACATGTAAATATTGATTCAAATCATTATAGAACGAGAATGTAATGTAGATGATTAAAACCTAGGGTTCACTAATCAAGGGTTAGATTATAGTATCATGTCCCTAAATTGGGTTAATTCGATATCATTTTCTTGCTCGGTGTATGTCATACATTTGATTTTATTCAAGATACGATAAAAGGTAACACATATATAGTGGCATCTACGATATGCTCACGAAAATGAGTACATAATATGCACCCAACTTTAAAAGTAGGCTTCACATATAGAACTTTCAATTTTAATTGGTAACATTAGTTTAATATGATAATATAGAATAGGATCACAACTAATTAATTCATTACCCTAAGCCCTAAATCTTCTATTTCGAACCCTAACCGACTTACCATAAACCCCAGATTGTAAAACCTAACGCTAAATCCCAAAAGCCTTTCCAACTAAAGTAAATCTTGAATGATTTTTGTGCAAATTCATGTGTTTTCTTGGCCATTATATCAAAACTGACAATCGACATCGTCTTGACATGAATCATTTGCCCCATAATGATGACTGTGAGGCCATGCACCCAAAAAAAAGTGAGTGCACCAAATACAAAAACATATATGTGCGCGTGTGTGTGGCAATGACTGGCGTTTGTTGGATGCACTTCGTTGTACTTCAACGAATTAGAATCGTCGATTATTAATTTTTTTATTAAGTTAATTTTCGGGTATGAGTTTAGAGAATCATAACTTTGAATTTAACTATTAGAATTTATGATATAATATCACACCTCCAAATTAGATTTAATTATTCATACGATATCTCACTAAAAATCACCTGAAATATGGTAAGAGTAACTAATATTGGTGCAGTATAGCAGGAACAATAGCCTCAAGATCACAATCCATGAGAATATGGCGGACACATCACACATCTCTGCTGTTCGAGCTCGATATCCAGGAAGCAATTGGTGCATTAATCAGCTAAATGAATTGGGAATCATCCATTCTCGACAACAATGAAATCATCAACATATATTGCGATTTCAAGTCGACTGACAGATAATTTATATTCAAGTCACAGCAACACAAGTTTCATGGCGGCTTGGTTTCTTCTTGATCGCCATTTTGGCACTGCAAAGCAGAAATGAAAGTGAGAAACAATGAAGACAGAGGAAGATTGACTAATAATGAAAACAAACCTATATATACACCGCGATCGATCATGCAATGACCGTAACAAAAAAAAAAAGCAGCTGATCAGCGAGAAAGCAAAACTTTTCCAGAACAATCTCCTCAACCGCTAATCCGGACTACATGATCCCGAGATCCCTTCCTCTCCGAAAGATCGAATCGAATCGCGATATAGAGAGAGCCTGAATAGCAATTGAGGGAGAGAGTTCAGAGAAAGTTTTGGATCTCTTTGTCAATGATGAAATGATTTTTACTGCTGTACAATACTGCTAGGTAAGGCTGCTGCTATGGTTTTTTAATATGTAGGGAGAGGAAATGACGATAATAATGGTTGAGAGACTTGAGGAGAGTCATTATTGTATCCACAAAGAAAACCGTCGTGTGTATCAACCTTCAGTGACGAGGACAAGATAATATTCTTTTCCCCCTGCTGCTGCTGCAATCAGTTGCTGCAAAACTCCAAATTCAGGGCCAAAAGGGTTTCTCCGTAATCAAATTCCCATGCAATGCAAAAATGGAGATTGGCGAAGGAAGAGGACAAATTTGGGTGAGTTATTAAATTGAAATAATTAACCGCTTTCCATTATGGACAATGAAACTGTGTGTTTCCAAAAACTTCTGTCGATAAGCTGAAAGCCTTTTTAGTGATTGAAATGAATTGGGCATCGATTGGATGAGGATTCGGTTATTCAGGGATTAGGTTGATTTATTTTTTTCATTTTTACCCCTTCATTTCAGTCGAAATAAATAGGAAATGGTATTTTGTGAATTTTTTTTTTAACATTTTAAGGTAAAAACATATTGACGTGGCATGGCAATGATGTGGCGAGTTAACAGTTAGTCGATGGTTTTAACCGTCCAACATAACGCTAATTGATCTCAAGTTTGACCAATTTATTAAAGTTTAGAATTAGTTCAGCCCACGATATTATATATTGAAAAGATTTGTCAATAAGTTAAATATGGAAAAAAATTCATACCAGTCAAATATATTAACTCCTAAAACATACTAGAAAACTAATACCATACTGGAAATACAATAAACAAAACCACAAAACTCATAAAGTAAAAAAAATAACTCATAAAACATTGTCAACATTTGTTAAAATTAAAATTAAGGAACCAAATGTTCCTTCATCAAATGAATTTTAATGGCCTATGTGAGAGATTGGACCTTTGTTAGTGGGTGGAAATACAAGTAGAATTTTGAAGAGTACGCATGGGACGGCAATGGGTCGGGGACGGATAGTGCAATATCCATTATCCTACCCAATATAATTCGGGTGTTATCCATATTCATACCCATATAAGAATTGGTTAGAAAATCAATATCATACCCATACCCGTTCGGGTTCAGGTATCCACAGTTATCCATGAGAATACTTTCTTTTTATAACTCCAACCATTATTTTAACATTGACACGTATACCCACATTATATAAGTGAAAAATGTATGCTAATAATTCACTAGAATGGAGAAAAATAATTTCAACCAATACAATTTAGTGATTTTATTGTATTGGTATGCTAAATATAAAATATGTTAAAAAATAACGAAAATAATTAGACTAAATACATATGGATATGTATATTCGAACGGGTTCGAGTTTAATAGAGAAAACCATGTCCTCCTATTACTCACAATATTCGACTTTAGATTTTATCAGTACCCACAGAAAGTTCTTACAATTCGAACTTTACCCTACCCAATTAGGTAAAATTCAAGCAGATATCCATGGTTTCGGATTCTTTTTGTCATAAGTAAGCAAAGAATAAAGGAAGATTATTTTTAGGTTTCTGAAGTGGAGCCGATGAGTAGTATTATACTATTTGCTGAGACGAAGACATTGTCCCTCATGCCCTGCAACGTCGCAGCTTTGACAGGGTGTGTAGCCCGAAACCGCCATGGCTGAAAATGGAAGCAATTGAGGAGTTGCTTTGGAAAGAAATGATAGGATCGTAATCGTAGCAGTTACCAAAAGACTCTTAATAAGTTATGTTAGCAACAATGCTAACACGGCCACTATATCATGGAAACAATACGGCATGATCCTCAATAGAGTTTCTCAAACCATGTCAGACCAGAGCAAAACTGTATCATGGAAACAATACGGCATGATCCTCGACAGAGTTTCTCGAACAGTCTCAAACCGGAGCAAAACGGTGAAACGCAAAAGGTATGCAGACATACCTATATTCAACTCAAATAAGTTTGGATCAACAATGCTTGGTGTTCATCAAATCAGCTAGCAAGTTGGGATTATCCAGGGCAAACTTACTTTAGATAAGCCTCATGAATCATGAGAGATCAACTCTTCATCTAACAAAACTATGTGCTCCCCCCCTAAAAACCTGAAGGGGCTGGAATTTGCAGTCTATATTATGCAAGTCCCAAAAGAACCAATTGTATTTCCTACTTGACTTACTAGTCTCAAATATTATTCGCCGTCGTCGTCGTCGTCACCCATTACTGGCATCTGGCGAAGGGTGCTTTCCTACTCGAGCTGTAGCCTCTTTTTCATTGCTTCATAAACCATATATGTTATGCTTGCAGCAGGTACAACCTTTAGGAGATTTGGAAACAGCCCTTTGTACAAGCCTCTGTAACCTTCTTTCTGAAGTGTCCTCAAAAATACATCAGACATTCCTTTATATGGGGCAGCATCATTGGCTTGTTGAGCTTGCATTCTGGCAAATAACAGTGAGAATGAGTGATCAACCGTAAATTCTGTGGTGAAAACCAGTGGATCAATCTAACATCACATGTACCATGTCGTCGTGCAAGCCAAAGAAAGGAACAACAAAGTGGAGTAGGAGATAACATGTTTCTGACACAAAGTACAAGTATATACCTTGTCCGGACGACCTGCAAGGGGTAGACACAGGTTGCCCCAAGAGCCCCGGAGATTGTACCACACCCCAGTTGAACAAGAGGTCCCGGTTCTGCAAGGGCGAGAAGTTTTCGGTTAGAAAATCTCGTACACTCATTAGAAAATTGAAGAATATGGTCAACGGAGACAGCAAGAAAAATACCACTATCCTGTAGAAGATAAGTCTTCGACATATCCTTCAAGGTCTCATAAGCAGCAAGATCAATGCCAGCATAAGGAACAATACCAAGAAGTGATGGGACGAGACCCTTGTAGAAGGCTCGAGGCCCTTCATGTACCCAGATGTCCCTAGTAAGTGTTCCCAATTTAGGTGCTTTTCCACCTTCACACGGATGAGTTTGTAATCGAGTTTTCACAAGATCCATTGGGTAGATGGCAGTCTGTGATACCGCACCTGCCAATCCACCAGCCATAAGTCTACCAGATGCACCAATGTCGACATCCTGTCCCCCTTTGAAGTCTCTAATAACATTCTTCAGCATCTCATAAGCATAAAACTTAATAGCACTCTCAGGAGCCACCTTCGTCACGTTCAACCCATTACCTCGAAAAAACCCACGGAAACCATCATCCCTCCATATCTTCTTCACAGCGGGTACAATAGAAGCACGAGTTGTCTGAACTTGCAAAACAACCTTCAGGCGATCAAGAGGGGCAGTTGCAGTGCGTGAAGCTGCACCAGCTATTCCCCCTGCAATGAAATATTTACTCCTATGGACCTGCTTACTGACGCCTTCAGGAATAACAGCATGTTCTCCAATGTCTACAAGACAGACCCTCTCCCAATAATGATATATGTTTTCAATGGTAGCTTCATGTGGATATAGCAAGAGAAAATCTCTCCATTCCTCAAAGGTTATTATCCCATCATTATCTTTATCAACATGCTCTACAAAACGTGCAAGTTCCTCATCATCAATTTGAATGCCTGCAAAATAGGAGCTGCCGTGGCTTATAAGATGAACACAATAGGGCAAGTCAAGGACATGGTGTGGAAACTACATACAACAGAAGGCACACAATGATAAGGAACATCTAGATAAGAATAAAGATCTCCATAAGAAGAAACAACAAAATTGCAAACTTGTCAAGGTAGGCCAGTATAACAGAACCACTGTTGATGTATGTAAAGAAATGATACGGCAAAGAAGCTTAACGGGGAACTTTGAACCAAATAATTCAAGCAATGATGGCAGCGATTCGACCTATAAATATTGTGAATAAGCAATTACGAGGTAAGAAAATGTATCCTATCCACATCAAAGATAACAAGGAAACATGAAGCAACAACTGAAATAAGTAAAAACAAGGTTGATCAATAACTTTTCAGCATTTGAAGGCCTCCTTGCACATACTTCCTACCAGATGCTTGTATTTACAATTAGCATAATGCATATAGGAGAAAACATAAAGCAAGCTTTAGAATCAGTAGAAACATGGTTGAACAAGAACGTTTCAGTCAAAGATCTTGCTCATACTTCCAACCACCACTTCACCAAGTCTCAAATTCTTACCAAGTGCTTGTATCCACAAATAGAATTTCACTGAAAGAACGTTGTCCCGATGTTTCATCTAATTATTTCACAATTTCAGATAGTACACACCCTGACTTTCAAGTCCCAGATGCTGATAGGACCACATAGTAGCAAAAAGGCCAAAGCACTGGATTTACCTTGGTAAACTCTAAACAACCATGAAAAAGAGCAAAGGCCAAACCACACCACCAATACCTAAGAATTTCCAAAACTAAGTAGGCACATAGATGATCCTTAGGATTCTTAGGTCGTGACTGTACATTACAGACTCGGCAAATTCACATATCCTACTCTCATTGTCATTTCTTTCTCTCAAGTTTACTTTCTGCAATTCCGACAAGGGCAGGAACAACGAAAGTACATTGCTCAACTACCTCTGCAAGGGAGTCTAGAGTCTAGACAGCAAAACAGTATTATTTCATGGAGTAATATGACTCGACCCATAAATAAAACTCCACCGATAGACTTGTGCCACTGATGAGGCAAAAATCATTGACCACAATGAGTTTACAACACCCGATTGATGAGAGACCATGAAACAAGCTAAACATTACTAAAAAGCAGAGGACTTGGATTAGTACCAGCCTTAACAAGCGCATCCCAAAGTTCCTCGGGCAAAATGCACCCATTATGTTCCACATCAATTGCTTCGAAAATCCTGTACAACTCGAGCTCTTTATCATCCATGTACCTCTTGAACTCGGTGTAATCCACCCGCCCATCCCTATTCGCGTCGCACACCTTCAACAAATCCTTGGCATATTTATACTCTGGTGGAATCTGCAGCGCAGAGAGACCGGTCTCTATCTGGGCGTAATCCAAGTAGCCAGCATTCCCAACATCGAAGAAATTGAACAAACTCCTAATCCTAACATCCCTCTCTTCCTTGGTCTCCCTGAGAGCCAGTAGAACATGCTCCATGGTCACAGCAGGACCCGATTTCTTAATGGGGCTGCGGCGGTTCGGATTATTCGCTTCCATCTTCGGCAACCCTTGTTGGTGATGGTGTTGGCGGTGCTGTTCCACTGCGTGACCCGCCCCCGACATCGGAAAAGAGAAGCGAAAGAACGAACCCCAATCACAATCCTGCGAGCGCTAACTCCCGCGACGGCCTGGCATCGAGAGGCTTCGGGCGGAGGGGGTTTAATCGGTTTTCAACAGATCTCAATACCCAGCAATGCAATTTGGATGGGAGAAAGCAAAATCGTTTGACCCAAACAAACAAAATTGAATTGTGGGCTATGGGGTTTTACGCCATGAATGCAGGAAGAGGATTCCAGCACATGAAAGACGAGAAATTTGCGCGTGCCCAAAAGAGGAAAGAAATAGAAGAAGAGCGCCGGTTTGGAGGAGGATCAGTATCACAATTCACAACCCGGCTCGCTCCATTCTCGGGTTGAAGGGGAGGGGAGGGAAGGAAAGGAAGATGGTAAATGCGCTGGGAGATAATGGGGATTTTTCCGCCCGAGAGAAGGAAGATGGGCGGCGGTGGGAGGGTGGTGACGGAAGGAAGGAGGGACCGAGGGAGCCAGGGAGGGTTTGTTCAGACGGGATCGCCGTCCATGTGTTTGATGAAATGCGCGTGAGAAAGACGGAGGACTGAGTGGGGGAAGGAAGAGATAGAGAGATAGCTTTACAAAGATCAAGGAGAGATGGAGGGAAGTTTACTGTGGCGTTGTCCTGCAAATTTCAATGGAAGGAACCTAATTCTGCATTCCACAAGATTACAGTTTTATTTACCTGATAGATTTAGAGAAAGAAGGGGAAGAAAAAAAATCGTTGGCTGTGTTGGGAAGAGGGACCCAGGAGCAAGTGAGGAGAGGGATATTCTTCAAAGTGTCTGGTTCCAATTTGCCATGGCTCTTTCGTCACCTTTCCGCATGGTTCTTCTTCTTCCCTCCACTTGGGTGTACGTGTAACCTCAAATGATTTTTTATTTATTTTTATTTTGAATGAAACTGGATTGAAGATCAAAAATTAAATGAAATTTTGTCTTTCTAATTTTTTTCATTAGTTCGTTTTAACTCAATTTTTTAAAAATTGTGCACAAATAAGTTGTTTATTTCTTTTAGTTACGATTCACTTGACTATGCAGCGAAAAACCAGAGAACAATACGACAATTCTAAATACTTTGCTTTTGAAATCAGAGAACAGTAATGTGATTCACTGGTAGTTAAAGCGGTCCATGGTAAATCGCTTTGCTCTTTTAGCGATTTACTGAAAATCACTTAACTTGACTTGCAAGTCATGTTAACAAATTCGCGAGTTAGATAGCTTATGACTGCTGCAAACCAGAGCAAATGTTCATTCAAGAGTCAAGCAAACATCTCAACTCTAGTATTTTGAGAAATAGAGAATTGTGTTTTGCTAAATGTTGTATTTTGTGGACATCCATCATCACTGGACTAAAAATTGAAACAAAATGCATGGTTTTGCAGTTTGCACAGATAAATCTCATTTTTTTCTGAGGTACAACTGTATTTCATTTTAAGTTCTCACGCTTTCCTGCACGAATATAGATATAAAACGCTACAATAGCACAATATTCTTGTAAATATCTATACAGTGACCATAGTTTGGATAATATCTTTCGAGCATACCATATTGGTGCCATTTGACCTCCTCCAAACTAGCGGAATCTGAAACCCTAGAATAACTTGTGATACAAGAAAATCTCATCTTGGCTCATGCATGGTGGATCTACTCCCAGCGCCATCACCTTAAGCAGTACCATTTCCGACTCCGAGCCTTTCCGCCGAGACTTCTGCTGTTTTGCCTGTATACCCAGATCCACTTTGATCTGAATGGCAGCTCTTTCAACATACAATTGTGGAATATGCTACTAGTCCACTCCCATCTCCTTCATCGATTATTCGACTCTTGTTGCGTATATGGCTATATGCTATACTTCGCAATCTAATGCGTACAATTACAACAACTGTACCGTAGAACTAGGCCATAACGCGGTGGTAACCGCTTTCAGCCCCCTCCTTCCTCGCGAAAGACAACACTCCAACACCAATGGCCACTGCCATTAGTCCAAACAGAGCTACAACATACCATGAACTCAAGCTCAGATAATCACCTATCTGCAATAACAGTAGCAACCCATGAAAGAGGTTTATCAGTCCATAAGGGAGATCAGAAAATGTTTCTCAAGGCTCTTAAAGTACATTATTTCCTTGTTAACTTACGGAAAAAGGAGCGCCCAAGAAAGGGAAGGCTGATGAAGTTTGGTCCGCAACCAAAATGTAGAAAAGTCCCATCACTCCGGTATGGCCTCGCTCGCTGGTAGAAGTGTAGTTAGATTCCAGAATCAGCTCTTCTCCAGCTGCTAACTTCACTGATCCAAACTTCGGGTAACAAGTAGTCATGCCTACAATATAACCATCTTCATTCCCAGGCTCGTTTCCAGTTCCATAAATTGGAACTGAATGGCATATAACTCGTCCATCCTGAACTCCCACAAAAGCAAACCATCAAATGCCAGATCCTTGAGGTATAAACGTAAAGAAGCTGAATTCAAATAACAATCCTAAGTCGTCATGCTAAAAAGAACAAGTTTGGCAAGTGAAGAGAATACAAGGAGGGAGCATGTAAAAAAGAAATTGGAGGAGCTTGAGATCCACCTTTCCATACAGAGTTGAACCAATCCCTCCAGTATGCTGATGAGCAACGCTGTAGACGATATAACCACCGGATGGCATTGTAAAGTTCCTCCTTTTCACATCGACACACCACCCATGAGCCCTGCACGGCTCAATGTCATACTCAATCTGTAAGGAAAAATATCCCTAGTCAGCTTCTTAAATGCATATGGAACCATGTGCTCTCCCCTTCCAAAAAGGGCTTCAACATTTGAAACTAAAAACACCCGAAAGAATGTAATCACACATCCAATTCATCTAATGAAATACATCTCTCGATGTCTTGATTAAGTAAATCAAAGTAAGTTATCCAGTAATGAACGAACAAGGTCGACGATTTACCTGGCAACCATTTTCTGGACCGAACCCTGTGGAACCACCGTTCCTTTTACCGGTATCAGTGACATCGAATATGTAGATCTTGACAGGGAGAACCCCAATGTCCCAATCAACCCACTTCACAGTATAACGAAGGTACAGGTTTCTCCTTGGAGCCACAAAACCTTGTTCAACCCTGCACTCCGTGTGCCCAAAGCAACAAAACAGACCTCCTCTATAATCATTGGGCAAAAATCCAGTAACTCCTGAGGTATTGTACAGTTCACAGAGGCACTCTGTGCATCCCAACCGGTCTTCGGCACCCCTCGTGTCAATAGCATGAACATTAAGCATCCAACCCTCTTCATACCCAGCAGGAATTTCAGCAGGATTTCCAACTTGGATTGCATAAGGATCCGGAACATATGTTGATGTCCTACGAGTCTCCGAGCCAAGACCATTCGACTGTCTATTTATCCCATTCTGACAGAACCCATCATTCCTTACATAAGTAACATCCTTCCCACTAAGATTAGGATCCCTAGCCTTCTCCCTGGGGGCATGGTATCTCTCAACAAGCCAGTGATGAAGGTAAGTCTCGTAGAGAGGGACGGAATTACCGGCTTCATCCACAACTTCTGCATCAAAACTCTTGAGACCAATGTGGCCTCTAGGGAAATCAATGTTGTAAAAGAAGTTGTTCTCCACTGATCCTGGCCCTAACACAAACTTTGGTGACAGAAAAGTGGCAGACTTGATGGTGTGGCCATTTCCCACAGAAGCTTGTGAGGGAGCAACAAGTGATGTGGTGATCAGCAACAACAACAACAGCAAGTGGATATGATGAGACTGTTCCATGTTTTCCCAGTCACGGTGTCTCCAAAAATTAAGCTAGCCCTACATGATCAGGTCAAAAAGCTAGTTATAGGCTTCTAGCAATAGCCATATCGATTTGAAAAGGAAAGCAACAGAATTACAAGAACAGACACCCAATTTGTCTACTCGTCATTGAACAAGAGAGTTCAAGCAGATGGACGAGAAACCCATCCAAGCAATTCGCGAGTGGCCGGGAGAGGTGAAACCGGAGAGGGGTAAAGAGAAGGAAGATAAGGGCAACTTACCTGATTATTTCTACACCCAGCAGCTACAGCAGTGGAGTGACGACGCGAGCATGGAAACCTGTGGTTCCACCTCTAAGATCAGGCACTCGAGAGATAACTGAAGATTGAAACGGGTTGGATTATTCTCAATACTCATCGCTGAACGTGTGACCATTATATATTTGGGTTTCGTGGAGGATTGTATAGCCGTGTCATTCTGCCAAAAATATCCACCTTTTTTACCCAAAAATATCCGCCTTAAATCAATGTCTTGTGGTCAATTGTAATATACATGCAATTTAGAAAAATAATTTAGGAAAATAATGTAATGTACTTTACATTGTTTGGTTTTGGTGATAGTTCTTTTAGTATTCAACATGTTATATTATTTTTTATGAGAAATATCATTTTTGTCATTGCTTTTATGAGACCATATATATATATATATATCAAACAATCTCCTCAAAACAATCTCAACAATCTCAAGTTTTAATAGAGACAGTACTACTATCACTTATTTTGAGTGATAGTTTCCATCACATCAAGTGCAGGAAATTCAAAAAAAAAAATGCATTGTAACTATCTCAATCAAACAATCACAAAAACAAAACGATCCTTAGATTTTTGTAATTGACTTTTTCGATTGAACCATGGATACGGGTATCGTTTTACAAACACAAATTTGCATAGAGAGACTTAGCAAATGAGTCGAGATAAGTCCGAGTATGAACTAATTCAAATTTAGATTGTTTATTGAAATATTGATTTGTGCTTTGCCTTAATAAAAAAAAATATTGGTTCTCGCTCTAAATTTGCTCATTAATGACCTCATGAGTTTTTTTTTTTAGTTTTTTTTTTTTGCATTTCATGAGGCCGAAGGCCAAAGAAAGAGATTACAAGGGGGGCGTCGAGAGGTTGGGAGGAGAGGAAGAGTCCGCGACTACACGTCGCTCGAAAGTGATACCCATGTTGTCCTCTTGCAGAATACTTCCTAAGCCTTGGGGCGGGTTTGCAAGCTTCACAACTTCACTCAGCTCACAACTTCACTCGCACTCAATTCGTTTATCATTCAAAATAGCCGAATCCGTAAATTAAACGCTAAAGGAATTTGTGAATGAAATATTTTAATATTTGTATGATACATGTAGAAATATGTATTTTATCTATTATTCAACGAAATACATTCTCTCTTATTTCACTACGTCTACAAGTGAAGTATACAATGACGTTAATAGAAGAGGAAAAGAAGCTCTAGGTTCAGGTCCTTAAGCCTCATAACTTAAGAATTATCTTAAGTGATTGCTATTGGCCGAGAGAATCTGCTAGTTAATAGGTTGCTAATAATTATCTGGTAGTTAGGGATTATTAATCTATTAATTATTAAAAAAAATCAGCCGCACTCATAAATCACCTTTCCAATTCCTATACAAATGGCGCAAAAGCTGCTAAATGCGCACCGCAAGCTTCTATGGCTGGTGCTGGTTCATACCTCTCCGACCTCCGTCACTATATAGTTATGGATATGATGTAAAACATGAATCATTAATAAATATATTGTAAATCATTAATAGAACCGTTAATAAAGATGTGACAAAATGTTAATAATTCATTCTTAAGTGTTAATCATGAAAATGTTTATGGTTAACAATTTATCTTATATCGTTAACGGCCTAATGTCATTTTTAGTGTTGAAGCCGATTTATTGTTAAAAGTTTTGTTTTAGTTTTCAAAGAAAGACAACAACATTTTGAACGTTTTAATGACATTTGACACTTAATATCGAATCCAAACATTTTTAATAATTTTGTGTTGGTTCTCAATGAAAATTCAATTTATTTATTAATGACGTGTACATTCGTCATTAATGGTTTTCAATATCCTAATGTTGTGTATTGACACTTAATATTGAATGATACTAAAGATGTTGTAAATCAATGATAATGTTATTCAACTCTTTAATAATGATGTAACATAACTTTAATAATTCATTAATAAGCATTGATAATGAAAATATAAATCGCTAGCAATTGAACTAAATTCGTTAATAATATAATCATAAAATGTTGATAAGTATACTGGAATTGTTGATAATGATGTGGTATATCAATAATAATATACTTCATAATCATTGATAATGTAATTGCAAAACTTTAATAATGTCATTGGGAATTGAAGAGAGAGTGTGAATATTTTTAATTTCCTTTTTTTTAAACATAAAATACTAATCACAAATTTTGATTTTTAATTTGGAACTATTAAATACCAATATTTAATATATCTTTTATTGCTCTTTTAGGTGGTCAGACATCACTTTTTCTCTCTTTTTCCTATTGGCCAATAAAAACTTAAGAAACTCCTTAAGTTTTAGACTTAAGGACTGAATCCAACCGAGAAAAGAAAGAGTAAATGCTAGCACCTAGTCGCACATGGTTTACAATAGATAAGGTGATATTGGAGGGAATTAATGAAGAACATGGAGGGGAAGGTAGGCGTTGGTTGTGGGCGGAGTAAATGATGGTGGCCTGAGCAATATGAGGAATGATAATTAGTACGATTATGGGTAGTAATTGCTGCGTGTATGGTTGTTGTCTCCTACACTTCTCTTCAAGTTGGTGCATGAAGATTGTAAATGTCTAATTTGGACAGTAGATATTATGTCAAGTGAGATCAATTGTTCATTAATGATATAGCAATCCATATCTACATGTTTGGTGCGTTCATAAAATACAGAGTTTAGCAACAATGTGAAGTGTGGTTTGGTTGAAATTGAGGTGGACCAAGTTCATTTGGAAGAGTCATTGCAACCAGAGGAGTTCAACGACGGTACTAGTCATCACTTATGACGCTATATTCAGCTTCTAGCGAGAAGCGAACGACAAGACCTTTTCCATCTTGCAGGTCTTTATCATCTGCATTTATAATCAGCCCATTTTTCATCGTTACTATCTCAACAGTTAGGTTCAATCAGGGGCGGATACATGCATGTCTAGGGGTGTCCTGTTTGGAAACACGATTAGTCAACCTCCGATAGTAGTTTGTATATGAGAAAAAAAATATTTAAGTGGTAGTGGGACACCCTTAAAATTTGGGAAACGATTATCTAACCTCCCATATTAGTTTGCGTATTAGTACAAATAATATTTTAGTAGTAGTTTATGTGATTTAAACTTGAGACACTGCCACTATTAGTAAACATATTTTCAATTACACTACAACTCATTTGTTATTGTGTTCTAGATCCAAATATAATAGTAAAATGTTATTCTTATCCCAAATTATTTTTAAAACCTAACGATTAAACCCAATTACTGGATACCCTTTTCTAGTAGGATATATCGAAAGATCATTGTTGAGCAATATAGACACCGAATGTATTTTACCATTTTACGAAACATGTCTGAACTTTTAATGTAACTTTTATTAGTTAGATATTTTTATATTTAATAATTATTTAATTTAATTTTAATATTTAATTTAATTTTTGAAGAGGACACCTCTATGTAGAATTTCAGGATCCGCCGCTGGGTTCAATATGATGTATATCTCACCACTGCAAATTGGTTCAATCCTAGTCTCACTTTCCAACATCACTTTATTCTCAGCCATCACATCTCTACTTGTAAACATATAACTAAAAATGCTCATCTATGATAATAGACAGCAAGTATACAAGGAGATCACTCCTTTTCCCCTCTACGCCATAATTACATGGTACCCATCTTCAGTTTCCCTCCGCTTCTTCAGCCAAATGCTGAAGCCAACAGCAACAGCAACAACCGCCAATCCTAACAGAGAAAGGATTGTCCAAGTCCATTCACTAGATCCATCGAATACCTGCAATTTGGGAGAGATTCAGCTTTCCGCTAAACAATTCCAATCACATAACTGGATACTAATTACTTGGTTTGAATGGATACTTACAGAAACAGAATGGTGGAGCAAACTTATGGGTGGTGGTGGTGCTTGGTCTGCAACCATTAAGTAGAAGAGCCCCATAACTCCGGTGTGCCCTCTGGTGTTGGTGCTCGAATAGTTCGATTCCAGAACGAGCTCTTCCCCAGCTGTTAGCTTCAACGACCCTGGCTCGGGGTAGCAAGTGCTCATGCCTACTATGTAACCAGCCTCGTTCCCAGGCTCGTCTCCTGTTCCATACATTGGAACTGAGTTGCATACAACTTGTCCATCCTAACAAAGATCAAGAACACCCCCAATTATATAAAAACTAGACATCACTTTGAGCCAAGCATATGCTTTCTAGATTGCACTAATCTACCTTTCCATACAGAGTCGAACCAATTCCACCAGTATGCTGGTGGGCAACACCGTATACGACATAACCAGTTGTTGGCAGAACCACATTTGTCCTCTTGACGTCCACACACCAGCCATGTGCATTACATGGCTCAACGTCATACTCAACCTGGCACCAAACACTTTCCATCAGTCACAGTACAATCAAAATATGTATGCAAGGCAACTACACAATCTTACAACAACTATGTAAATACCAGCAAAGAAAAGAACAGAATCATCTTACCTTGCAACCATTTCCTTGACCTTCTGCTGTGGAAGAACCAACCTGCCTTTCCCCAGTATCAGTGACATCAAAGATAAAGATCTTCACAGGAAGAATCTCGCTGTCCCAGTCGACCCATTTCACCGTATACCTGAGATACAGACTCCTCCTCACAGCCTGAAACCCTTCTTTTACCCTACACTGAGTATGATCAACACAACAATGCAGACCTCCCTTGTAGTCAGAACGCAAAGACTCATCTTTCGTCACATTGTACAACTCACACAGACATTCTGTACACCCCAATCGATCCACAACTCCCCTCGTATCGATGGCATGGATGTTCAACAACCACTTCTCTTCATACCCTTGTGGAATCTCAGCAGGATTCCCAACCTCAATACCATAAGGATCGGGAACTTGTGTGGGTGTCTTCCTGGTTTCAGACCCAAGTCCATAGTACTGGCCGAGAGTATCTCCCTGACATATCCCACTGTTCCTTACAACCGTATGAGACCTGTTGTTACTCTTTGAAGCCTGGTACCTTGCCAGAACCCAGTGATGAAGGTAAGTTTCGTGGAGAGGGATGGAGTTCCCAGCTTCATCAACAACTTCAGCATCGAAGCTCTTGATACCGATATGACCAGTAGGGAAATCGATGCTCGTGTAGAATCGATTCTCCACGGAACCGGGTCCTAGTACAAACCCAGGAGACAGAAAAGTTGCGGATTTCAGATTGTACCCATTTCCCAGCACAGCTCCTGATGCAATTACTAGAAGCAGCAAGTAGCATCGAGGGTCCATATTTGCCTGTCGTGATAATCAATTGGGCGCAAAGTTAGAACTAGTCACAGTTCAAAGAAAGGTAACAAAATCAAATCCAATCCAAGATATTCCCCACCCATGAAAGGAAATGGGCAGTACTCCACAGAAAGCTATCAAATTTGAACGATTAATGGGGGGTAAAAGAAAGAAGAAAAGCCTACCGAGAGTGATCACCAGGTGGAGTAGTAATGAATAATGAATGAACCGTCTGCTGAGAAGAGGAAGAAGAACTAAATCGCAGTGGGATTTATATCCTGAGAGGTTACTGCTCAATGGGAATACGTAAGAACCAGTGGATCCCTTGTGTTTGGAAGTTTGTAGGAAGATTTATTGAGGGGGGTTTCCAGTCCATTTCCATCCAATAAAATAAGCAGAGTCGTGGAGGAAGGAGCTTCTCGTCTCTGCCCATTTTGGGTGCCGGACGGGTGACGTCATGCATTGCACCATCGTCTCAGAGGAATTGGGCGGATGACGACTGAGCTGACGAAGAAACGGCCACAAGAGTTAAGCGGTTCTAGCAATTTGTAGGCTCTGGCTGGTTCATACGGAGACAGGTGCCGGCCGATTGGTGCTGATAGACTTCTGGGTTTTCTACTTTGTGGACAAATCCTCGTGTGAATAGCGTGATGCTGATTGGGAGAAACAAGGACAGATTATTGATTGTAAAGTGTGAACCAAAGGCAAAAATGACCAAGTGAGGAAAAAAAGTACTGAAAGCTTAATCCGGTAATGGGGTTTGGACATTTGGTAAAAGGGGCTCGGACAATTGACATGAGGTTGTCTATTTAGTATTTAAGTCTCGAGCTCTAGCGATTTGTTGGTTTCATGATTACTAAGCCAAAAAGTGACCTAGATCTAGATGTGTATCTAAAATGCATGATTATTGACTTAGGCACTAAACTAGAAGATTCTTGCATCATAAAATGATTAGTGAAGTAAATGAAGGCTCCTTTCACTCAATTGCATTTAGTGTTAGAGGGATACCTATGCGGCTATGCCAAGTACCTCATCTCTATTGCGTTAGTACTTAGTTCCTATGTGTAACACATTCTACCTCATCTCTATTGCGTTAGTACTTAGTTCCTATGTGTAACACATTCTACCAACGTATCGGTCGATTAGATAGTAGTGAAGTTTTGAAGTAGTGATAGATTCGATACTACTTCGCCAACCTATCTACCTCTAGGGTCGCCTCTATACTACTTCGCCTACCTAAGAGTGCAGTTGTCCTAGGTTGGGGTAGTTAGAAAAGTTGACAGTCGAATTTTATCACTTGGTTAGCAAATAAAATTTTTAGCGCCGCTGGCAGGCACCAATTGGATCATTGTGAAAATAGGTGGTTGCTATCTTAAACATTTACTTTCTTGCACTTTTTGTTTTTATTGTTGGTTTGCGTTTTATCCTCTTTTGCATTTTACGGTTGTTTGCTAAATATGTGTAGCTATGACATGTGTGAATGTTATAGGCATTTTTGGTGGTCAAGAGTCACCACCACAAGTAAGAATCATGAATTACTATTCTCGACCAAGAGTTGAGGATATCCAATCTTCAATGAAACATCAGGAGAACCTTCCTTTTTGTGATAAAGACGAGTGTAATGACCATGATTCCATCAAACATTTAATTTCATGATTTGGAAGAACGAGGACCATCACACTCATGTACAATATTTAATCATATGCAACAATGAATCAAGTTGGTTGGGATACATGTCACGCAGCGGCGGAGGGAAGTGTCAAGGAGAGGGGTCATAAGACCCTCACTTGGCCAAAGGTTAACAAAAACCTTTAGATACATAGAGTTTTGTACGATTATTCAAGTTTAGAAGTCCATAATCTAGTCGATCTTAGCTCATATATAGGGCTGGTAATCGGGTATCCGGTTAACGGTTTAACCGGTTACCGAACTGATAACTGGCAGTTACCGGTTAACCGTTAACCGACGGTATCGATATACGGTGGACAAAATCCAGTTGTCGGTATACCGACCCATGCCCGGTTAAAACCCGACGATATTCGGTAATACCGAGTATACCGATTACCCTCCCCACTTTGCCCAATCCTCTCTCTCTCACCCCGTTACTAACTCCCTCTCAATTGGCCAATTCCCTCTGAATTCCAGAAACAAAACCCCTTCATCTCGATCCATTTCTCTCGATTCCCTCTGAATTCCAGAAATAAAAATCACACGATGAGATTTGAGTCGTCCAGCCATGGCCGTTCTCTTCTCCTCAGTCGTCGTCGGCGTTATGGAGGACCCAGAAAGCAATTTTCGATTCCGAAGCCGGCGCCATCCAATCTTCATCACGCGGTGACTCTACCTCCCCCTCGATTCTAGATCCGGCGACATACAGTCTCCCTCGTCCTGGCTCTCCTCCATCTCCATTCCAGATCCGACGCATGCAATCTCCCTCTCCATTCCAGATCCGACGCTCGCACTCCCTCTCGATTCCAGATCCGACAGCTGGCGCCATGCAATCTCTATCTCGCGACTCCTCTATCTCCCACTCTATTCTGGATCTGAAGCCACCCCAGGACGTCGCCGGTAAAGATGTTGCGTGTATGACGGCAATGACGACGACGTAGGCGTAGTGAGCGATGCCTTCTCCACCCTCAATCCGACCATCGCCATCGCAATAGGGAGGCGTTCCGGCAATTCGTCGATGCTACTGCTCGTGCGCAGAAAGACTTTGCTTTATCGGTTGCTAACGGGTATGCAGCTACTAACCGTTAACCGGCTAGTCGGTAACTGGATAGCAACCAGTATCGGTAAACGGCTGCCACTTTGACAATTTCAGTACACCGTTAACCGGGTATTCGGTAACCGGTTATACCGATCGAAGGACCTCACGACACACCCTATTAACCTGCCATGCCTTCTACTATATTTATTATTACTAGTTGAGGAATAAAAATACCAAAAAAGTGATCACAACTTGCCTATTCAAAATTGGATCATTTGATTTGAGTGATAGACTGGGATTGAATACTATTGTATTGTATAGTGTTTATTTTGCATGTTTTTTTTCTTCTTTTTATAGAAATTCATTTTTCATTTTACTACAAGGTATAGCTGTAAACTATTATTTGATTAATTGATTGCGTGAAATTGCACCAAAAACTACACTGAAAATGAAATGGTAATAGTCAGCTCATTAGCAGATTAGTATTGAACTAGTGTGGGCCCCGGCCAGTTGGCCGGAGGAAGGTAGGATTGCAATGGGTCGGGTTGGGTCGGGTTTTGCCAAATTCAAATCCAAATCCATGGGTTTATCCGTGAAAAAAATTCGGGGTAAAATCCACTGGGTTTGAAAAACTCAAACCCAACTCAACCCCCTGGGTATCCGCGGGTTCATGGGTACCCACAGGTTTTTGTCTTAAAAAATTTACAATAACAAGTTCCTACCAAAATTAAAGTCAAATATCAATCTCTCAATACAAATTATCCATATATAAAATACCATTCTAGAAAATTCAAGTAAATAACAAATTATCCATAAATAACATGATTAATTGAAAGCTTCTTCCTTTCAATTAAGTTTCTTCACTCTCCACTCGATAACATCAACTTCATTCTACACAATTAGAAAGAAAAAATTAGACATGTCTCCACAAACATAAATAAGATAAGTTGTTTAGAATATTAAATATATCGAGAAAATTAATTATATGGGTGTGGGCGGGTACCCATGGGTCGGGTTTACCTAAACCCAAATCCAACCCAACCCGATGAATATTGAACGGGTTAAAACCCAAACCCGGCCCAAAACCCGTCAACATGGATTTTACCCGCGTTGACCGGGTTGGGTCGGGTGGGTACCCGTAGGTTCGGGTTTTGTTGTCATCCCTAGAGGAAGGTGAGGTATGAAATTTGATAATATAATGGGGTGTATAACTTATTGTTGTAAAGTTTTTTTGGGAAACACGTGATAAAAATAGTGAATTTTAGCAGGAAAGAGACATTAATGATGCAACAAATCAAAAATCGGCCTTATGAACCAAAATCAAGTACCTGTTACCTTGTGAAACAATATTGTTTCTGGTAATATGATGAGGTGGAGTAAGTTTTATAGAAACTGAATTCCAGAAAATCGAATAAAAAATCGCCTATCCCGTCGATTTTCGGAAAATGAGCATCTCACAATCGTTGCTAGCTTTTACTCGGCCCGTTGGCTGATTAATTTGGTTTATAAAACTTTCATCTTGTCGTCATTGTGCTTTCTGGTTTTTTTCAGGCCATGATAAAATCTAAGGAAATCAAGAACGAACAACACGATTTGGGATAGGAACCGTCGTTGTCGTATCCCTAGAAAATGGTGGTAAACACGGACTCACCTGCCAAACTGGTTTGGATTGAGATTTTTATCGGGTATCAGGGAACCATGTGATTATAAATTAGACTTGATCAAAAGGGGCCAAAACTTGAAATGCAGCCTGTTTGACCGACCCATGCCAAATTCTAATTATTCTTTACTTTTAAACTTTTTATTTGAAAATAAAAAATAGTGAAATAAAAGAGATGACTGCCATTTGCACATCACTTATTCGGGAATAAAACCATAGAAATTCAAAAGGAACTGAAAATGTTAGGATCGTTTTAATGTTTAAAATAACCAAATAGATCTTTCTGTTTAGTTTTTTACTAACAAATACCAAACGATTCCCTATAAAATACACTATGATTTGATCATTATGATATCAAATAATTATATAATATATATTTGAAATGATAAAAATTGGACTAATTGGGTTGGTCGAGGTTGAACCATTGAATAACTTTAAAATACATTATATTCTAGCCACTAAGATGTAAAATAATAGCATAATATATTATGCCAGAGAAAATAGCTTGTTTTAGAATGTCAAACCAATGATGTTCATTTGTTTTACTTGATGGCCAAATCCCGTGTAGGTCAAACCAATTCAACTCTTTTATTTTATGGTTAGCGGTTAGCCCATTAGATACCATGCATTAGTTTATTGTTAATTTTTTTTATTTTTAGCAATAAAAAGAAATATTGTTTTTGCCTCTTCATATATATTTTATCACCACGGAGAAATAAAAGGGCTTAATGAAAAAATTGACACTCTTGAACCCGTTTAAATCCGCATGTGTACGGTAAGTTGGCCCGTTCCACAGAGGAAATAGGAAAAAAATTGACACTCCCTATTCTATCATTCCTACAAACGCTCATGGAGCAGGAAATTTAAAATGGGGGAAGGGTTTTTTCCTCCCTGCTATTATATCTTTTTAATTTAAAAAGATGCAACAAATGTACTTAGTGTGATTGGTTATGATCCTTACTTTTCCTTAAAATGGTCATGGTTCGAATCCCACTACATGTCATTTTTAATGAATAAAAAAAAGTAATTGTGAAGACCAAAATGTCCTTCCTACTTTCACTCTCGTTGCAGGAAATTTGAAATGGAGCTCCCGTTTTCCCCTTCGGTGTATTATATTATGTGTAGATATGGATTACAGTAGAAAGCCCATTGGATCAGGCTATCTCGTAAACGAATACAATTCACATTAACCTTATATTGCTATTGGGCTAAGGCCCATGGCCCACTTCTGACGAGTTCGCGTCGTTTCATCCTCCCAAGACATGCGGAAGAGCCCGTTTAGCCAAATCACTGGTGTCCGACGTCGTATTGCTGCTTCAATTGAAAGTGGAACTGTATAGTAGTGCTCTGCCAATCGTACTGTTTGATTTTCCTCGAAATGCGAGCTGACCTCCGCTCCGTCTTTTCCCTCTGCCGCCACTAAACTTTTTTGTATTCCAGCAAGAGAATCGCGACGAAGAATCGCCCCGCTCCCCGGCGTAATGAGCAATGTAGAAGCGGCTTGGACATTCGGCGCGCCCGGTGTAACCAGCCCCGTTTCGCCGCGGCGGCGGACGGAGTAGAGAGCCAGTAAGCCGTTCGAGAAAACTAACGCAAAAATAGCGCGGCTGAATAGGAATTCGAATTCGCCGGAGCAGCCAATCCCAATATAGGTGAGAAAAAACACATTGTTGTAATGCCTGTCTCTGTTCACTGTTACTTGCCCTAATCTCTGTACGTTTCTGCAATTTGAAGACCCACCGAGTCGTTTTCCTTGATTTCACTTCGTCTTCGTACAAAATACAATCACTTCCTGCGCGTACTGGTTTGGTGTGCGGTTTTGTGACGGAATGTATTCCTGTTTATCGAAATGAACATCGAATTGAGTCATGGAACGAGCTGGAGATTTGCTGTTAATGGCTGTATGTATGAATTCTGATTATGCATTATCGATATTATGAGCTAGTAGGCTTCGGTGTTTGTCTACTGAATTTCTTACTGTTACTGGGGGTTGGAAAATGTAGGTGATGAGGCGAAGCTTCTCTGTAGTTGAAAGGTCTTGGGGCTGGAAATGATCCGGTAAGGGGGCATATTGTCACTGTCAACTATAAACTCTGCAGCTTTGTTAACTACCTTTGCCAAAATTGTCAGTCATTTTGTTCAGTTTCTGAATCCTGCATTAAGAAATTGAATATGGCTGAGTCATAGGCAGAACAATCGAGGACTAGGGTTTCTTGACGTAGGAAGTTGAATCACTGAATAACCAATAAGATCTGAATGGGCTGTACCGTTATTACATTGATTCAGGAAGATGTTTATTAGGTTATGCTACATTTCATTGTCATTTATGTGGGTTCTTCTTCAGTCCTACTTCTTCAGGGTATATTGTGTATGATGGTTGTGAATTCCAATCCTTGCCTATGAGATCTGTAGCTCATAATTTTCTGGCGCTAACTCGTTATAGAAACACAAGTGGCTAGAAATTTGGATACTGTGGTGTATAAGTTCTAAGCAGATCTGACTGAACAGCCAAAGATAAGTGAGAGCCATAGCTGATAAAACATACCAGTAATTTCTGTCCTAAGTTATCTCCTTATTCTGGAACTGAGACTTTCGGATGATCCATGTGTCCTGCATTATGGTGCTCAAACAAATTTGAGTTGCACAGAACACAGTTTCGTCTAAGATCTTGACAGTGTATGCTCCTTTAGTTACATGTCTTCGCTTCAGAAGTTTGTGTTCATTGAGATGTGTGGTTACTGTGGAGATTGCTTATCATTTCGTGATGCCTTTGATCTAGGACACCATTATCAAACTGATGGATTTGTATATTGATTGACATGCTATGGGATGATACTGTTATCTTTGAGGCTTGATCAGCGTGTGAGGTGTACTAGATTTTGCTGCTTTGCTGGTTAGTAGGAAGAAACCATCTAGTCTTAGAACGGGCCATCTAATGTATTGAGTGGTTTTGTGGCTTATGGGCCTAGGTCCAAACTTTGGATGAAGAAGATTCGGTCTTGCTGGCTCTTTTCTTGTCCCCTAATTTCTTTAATCCGCCGCAGGGGAAATTCTCCATGTTCCTTCAACAACCAAGATTGGTGCAGTGCACAAGTTGCGGCAGGCCGCCACCAGCTTTCACCACAGAGTCAAACTAGGGAGATTAAGGCGTCTCAAGGGAATGGACCCCCTGTTAAGAAAAACAGGTTGAGGAAAGGTAAAGTCGTAAAGACACAGCTGTAATCTATGAAGAGAATTTGAGAACTTCGTGAATAATTTTGGATGGTTTTGCTTTGATGGTACACTCAGACTTACGTAGTTTTGTGCATATCTATGCTTTCAGCAAGAGAAGCAACGCGAGATATCCTAAAAAAGAAGATGTGGATCGCACATGGGATTTTACTTGGGTTGCGCTCGTGGAGTAGAAAGCGATCAGTTTGAAGCCAACTTGAATATCCGGTAACTATTTTGCTTTCTGAACATTTCAATGGTTATGATTACAGTTCAAGTCACCTGCTTTTTCTCTTCGGGGAAGCTAAAACTAGAAAGCTGTACACATGTATGAAATTATAATGATTATGATGAAGTTAATCCTCATCCTTTGAGTTGGGACTACGAAATTAGCTTCACCAATAACATATTTAGAATTGTTTATCCTTAATACTATTTCTCGGATCGAAAAGTCGAGACTTGGTAGTCATGTTATAGTAGAAATGATTTCATATCTAAACGGAAAATAAACTGCATAGGTCATAAGTTTCCACAGGTAATGCTTTAAATATCTACCATGACTATTGTATGTCCACTTAATTAGAACAAAAACCAATAACCACTTATGTACATTATTCCACTCCTAGATGTAGTACACTGTCAATTATGAATAGGGGCATATGATGAGTGCAGAGTTAGGTCCAGCTCTCATTCTTAGGTTTTAGGTTTTAGGTAATGCTCTCTGATTCTTCTAATATTTGACAACTTTGCATTGTACAAGTCATCTAACGGTTGTTGGGTTCCACATCACATTTTCACCATACTTTAACTGTATATCTTACATGTGTACCAACCCACTGATTTCCTAAAATGGATATTGTTGTACATTTTTCTTTCTACTGTTATACATTATTTTTCTCTCTAGTGTTATACATTAGGTCTCTCACGTCAGAAATGGCTTTAACTTTTTAGTTCCTTCTTGTTACGCTAGAAAGTAAGAGTCTGGCTTTCCTGTTTCTTGTTTCATAAGTTTTTGAGTGTTAGTGAAATGGCTTTATTCCTCGGCTTTCATTTGGCTCTTCAGAATACAAAACGACGTCTCACGTCTAAGTTTTTGTTGCTCTCAGTTTCCTTTCCCATTGTCAAGTTACGAAGATGCCATAGCAGAAAAATGCGGCACGTAAATTAACGCTTATAAAAAATGGGCAGTACGTGCATGCATAATTCCGGAGCGTTGCTTAATGCTTTAGGAAATTGATGGAACTTTACTATACCGTGCTGATAATTGGCGTTTTTCTACTACTTCAGTTTAGATTGGACTTTCACCGAACAGGCATCTACGGCGACTAGGAAGATATGGGAAAAGCTGACTACAGGTTGAGAAGGATTGTGTAAAATTCAGTCGACAGACAGGTAAGGACAAAAAAGCCCTTGTCGTTGCGTGGTTGAAATCTTTGTGATTGTGCGAATATTACATGTATCAAGTCCATAGCTCTCGACTCGAGTGGAATGACCGGCCTACAGAGATATAGATCTAGCTGCAATAGCTTGTACCACGTCTTTTTTTCTTCTTCTAAAATTGCTAGGCCATCTTCATGTCTGCCGTAGAGCTGGAAAACGGGTCGAGTCAGGTTGGATTACATTGAGGATGGTCATGATGGACCGGTTCATTACGAGTTGTGGATAAAAAAAGGTTGTGTGCAGACCCTATAGATTTCAACAAAGGGTCATTTCAAAGTTTGTTTGAGGTAGTAATTGATTGCACATTCATAATGGTCACGAGTCATGCTCTATATGTGCTCTTTCTGATGAAAACTATCTTCTCTCACTTTTGTTTCTAGTAGTAAATAGTTTGAATGTTCATAGCTATCCAATCCAACCAAAGCAATCTTGCTTTCGCTATATTTTATTCTCTTCAAAATGGTTTTTACGTCGGCAACCAATGAAAACATGGTGCTGGTAAGAGAGTTCCTTTGTACAATAATGTAAAAGATTCTCTTCTTACTCTAGTAAAGAGTCCACCCAACCAGTACACTGCTTAGTTTCGACCATTTTTAGATGACTCAGCGCATTATTGGAGTGGGTTTTAAGCTCAGCCACTAACATTTGAATTCTTTGCTTTCGTCTGAATAACTAACTACCCTGTAAGAATAAAGCTCGAGAGCTGCAAGCTTCCCTGTCACATTTATTTTTTTGTGTGCTTGTTCGACATGGGAAATATGTGGTTTTTGAGGAGTGAAACATCAGAACTAGGAAACATATTCCCTGAAGATTTTCCCTTATAAGGAAATCTCTTGTCGATCTTCCTTCCTTCGTTTTCACCAGCATTGATCAGCGGTGTACATTTCCTGGAAGCTCCCGACCTCTCTTTATACTATAGCTTTGATCTAGCTGGATACATGCTGATTTACGGCGTGGGGGTGTTGTTACTTTTTCTATATATTATTGTCGTAGCAAGCGAAACTTCCATGCAATCACACAGTGTTCTTTAAACTCGCTTTCTTTCTTCGCAACTTGTTCTTGGCTAACCTATAGCTTAATCCCTTTTTCGCGTTTGTCGTTTTGGCGCAGAATGTTCCCTGGAGTTCAGCGTTTTGCAACCACCACGCTGTCACCAGCTCACTGGTAAGAACATAATCGTTGATTGTTGCTTTCCCTAGTAGTATCTTCTTCTCGTGTTTGCCGTGAAAGAAAAATCATTAATTCATTATACGGTTGTTGACCCAAAAATAATTTTTTTGGGTCGTGGGGACTACAACTACTTGCACTGCCAATCTATATTGAATGATAATGTCTGCCTGGACCGAAATTATTATTATCTTTTCCCCTTTCCCCGCCCTTTTTTTAATTATGAAAATGAAGTTTATTGATTTATTCTGGTTCTCATTGTCTGTTCTCTACAGTTTTCGTTTTCTTTACTTCTGATATTTAGCTCGTAATTAGACTATTCCAGACTGTGTTGAAGTTGACGGCGCTGGGTTATAATAAATGGGGGACTTAGAACTACTACCCAGCTAATCTTGGATTATGTGCACCTCTCTTTCCATTGCTTGTCTCAGTGAAATTGCCTCTGCTGGGTAGCAGCGATTGGGGATTGGTCGTTTTCGTTCTTTTTTTTGGGTTACAGCTTTGATTTCTATGAATTGATTCACGGCTCAGTTTCAAACTGTTGGATACATTAAAGTCACTCCCTGTTTTAAAATGGTCTGCCACCTACTGTAAGCTGTTTTCCCTTCATTTCTAAATTTGCTGTTGGGATTCAAACCTAATAACAGTGCCGTGTTGGCTGAATTTAAAACATTTCCCCATTTAACTATTTTGGCAGCTTATCCAGCTGTTCTCTTCCCCCAACCTCACACTTGAAAATGAGATTAGCATTTGCAATTAGCATCCAGCTTTGACTCTATACCCTATAGTTTAAGGACGAGATAAGCCTGGGTTTTTTTTTTGGAAGTCTTCTGGTAGTATATTTTACTTCAGTTGTTGCATCGTGTTTGTTGATTAGTATGTCCTTCTCCTACGTGGGCCGTTCGTTTGGTTGTGTTTTTGTCCTCACCATCTAATTCTTAATTGAATTCGCACAATGCCGCAGTGTTCTGCGGAATTTTCTCTAGAGCTGTACCACAACCCAACAAACAACAACTATTATTTGCAGAAGGGGGAAGGAAGGCTGTTCAGGTGGCACCAGTTTTGCCTCTTTGACTCGTATTCTTCCTCGCTGTCATTCATTCACTGTATAGGTAACATTTCCTTCCCTTACCCTTCATGTTTTCTTGTCCGGGAATCATGCCTCGGGTCTGATTTCTTCTAGGGGAAAAGAACATGTAAAGAAACTTCTAATGGCGGGTTGAGTAACGAAAAAGAGTGTTCGTCCAGTAAAGTGAAAGAGTGAATAAACACATAAAGTTGAGACGGTTGAGTTAGATACAACATTATTTTAGTGGTTTAATTATTATTGACTGAGATGGGGTTACATTTGCAAGCTTTATGTCACAACATCACGATGTTTTGTTAACTAGCTAGTGCTGCAACCTAATTTGTGCTACGAAAGACTAGTAACTTTTTTCCTTGAGTTTATTAATCTTAATCTGTCGTTAAAAATATTGGTGGGGAAAGGGAACTCATGAGACGAGCCTGCCAGGATGTACCTTTTGCTCACCAAACCGGCCTGATTGATTATTTTAGGGACGGTGACGGCCGGGAATTTGGTTTTTATTTATTTGTTTATTTTAGTTTTCCCTTTGCTGCTTTGTCATTATGCATGAGGCTGTCATTTTCAGGGCATAAGCAGAAGTGATTATCAACATAAACGTAATAGATTTGTACTCGCCGTCCCTTCTCCCCCACCGCTGTCAGAACTTAAAAAGTCTATTTATACCGCTCCCCCAGCCAGAGGAAAGACGTGTCTCAGTTGTGTGCTCATTTCCTTTCTTTTCTCTCCTTTCTTTGTCCATACAGATACAGAGGTCTTTCTGCCCTGAGTTTTCTGGACAGAGAGACAGACCGAGAGAACATCTACTTTAGATTCAGAGGAACCAAGACTGACGTTACCCATCACCTATAAACTTCTGCCAGTTGGTCCTGATCTCGCCATTTGTGGCTCAAGTTCCGAGAACAGTTTTGCAAGGTATGCCTCTACTTGATCTGAAAAGAAAACAGAAGTATGAGTTGCAGCTGCATAATGGCGTTATATTGACAGTATTGTGTCTTTTGGGCTGGTTGATTGGGACAATCGGATCGACAATTGAACCCAATCGATGGATCAGTTCAAGAAATTCATTACTACCTTTTCCCTTTCTTCTTCTTCTTCTTCCCCTGACACCACATTCCATCCTTTCTACTCTTTCAGTTTCATGTCTCACGCGGTCTAAGTGGGTTCTCATATAAATGAACGCTCATAGCTGTAGTTAAAAGGACTCTGTAACTGCTGCTGCAGCTTTAATAATGCTTGTATCAAGCTTCTGCGTTCTCTCGGCAATATCCAAAAAACAAAACTTCTGCATTCCCGCAAATTATAACGGTTAATGATATTTCAGGTGCCATTGATCACTATGGGAGAAGACGGAAGAAACATGACCGACTTGGAAAAGAAGCAGAATTTGCCTGGAGATGTTCCTACACTCCTCAAATACATCTCAACGAGTGATCTAGCTGGTTTCGACAATCTTGAATCCATTGCGGCAGCTATGGTACTGCTTTATTCATTTTCACATTCATGTTTCCTTAGAGTTTGTTCTCTTGGTCCATTTTTTCTTATGTATTGGCCATCTCTGCACAGGGCGAGGTTGACCAACCGCAAACTTCGAACCACCAAAGGAAGTATTCCATTTCCATCAGCATGCCGAGCTCTCCAGTAGGAAACGGCTCGAAGAACACAAAGCACGTCCTTTTCGACGACACCCCTGACAAGGTTTTAGGTCCTGGAATCCCTGAACCAGCAGCAGCCAATCCGCCATCTTCGACAGCAAAAGTGAAGTTCCATTCTCAGCCGATGCCAAAAGGAGCTGCGGTGGGGCACGGAATCGAGATGAACAGCTTCACCCACCATCCAAATCCCGCCATTAGGAAGCTGAAGGACAAACGATACGACTCTTTCAAGACATGGTCGGGGAAGCTCGAGAGGCAGATCTCCAATCTGCGAGGGAAGCCAAGGGAGGAATCTTTGCCTGAAGATTCCGTTGGACCTGCGGCACAGAAGATGGATAACAACAAAGACGCCTTCCCTGTAGATCGGTACTTCGATGCGCTCGAAGGTCCTGAATTGGAGACCCTCAGGGTACGTTATCCTTTGCTCTCTGCCTACAGTTTTCTCTGTTTCAAAATTCCACCACACTTAAATGCTTAATGCTTTGATCTATCTGGATTCTGGACAGCGCTATTTACAGCTAGTTTATAATTGGTAATCTCAAATGCATCAAAACTACACAATTTTTTTGTAAGTTAGGACCAAAATGACAATTTTAGTGAATAGAAGTGGCATTAGGGTGGGTCTTAAATCTTAATCGGTGGCTTGATTAGATGGGTTAAAATGGATGTAAATGGTGGCCAGTCGCTAACTGGTCGTTCAAAATAAGATGGCAAGTCGTTTTTTTGCCAGATAAAATCTTGAACTGCTTAGTGGATTGGTCAAGAATTGTAGCATAGAACGACTAACGACATTTAGAGTTCCAAATATAAGAATGCATGGCAATGATGATAAAGAAAAAGAACCAAAAACGAAAGAAATTCAATGAGTGCATAGTAATGTGAAAAAATGCTGATCATCTCTGTTTCCCTGTTACAACAGCCTTCAGAAGAAATAGTCCTGCCGGACGACAAAAAATGGCCGTTCCTGCTCCGCTACCCTGTCTCATCCTTCGGTATCTGCCTCGGAGTCAGCAGCCAAGCGATCATGTGGAAGACACTCGCCACTTCCCCTGCCACCAAGTTCCTCCACATCACTCACGACATCAACCTCGTACTCTGGTCCATCTCCGTCATCCTCGTCGTCGTCGTGGCAGCCATCTACCTCCTCAAGCTGATCTTCTACTTCGAAGCCGTCCGACGAGAATACTACCACCCGATCCGTGTCAACTTCTTCTTCGCCCCGTGGATCGCCCTCCTCTTCCTAGCCATCGGCCTCCCCAACTCCGTCGCCACAACGCTCCCCCACGCGCTCTGGTACGTTCTCATGGCACCGTTCCTCTGCCTCGAGCTCAAGATCTACGGCCAGTGGATGTCCGGCGGGCAGAGGAGGCTGTCCAAAGTGGCGAACCCTTCGAACCATCTGTCGATCGTGGGGAACTTCGTCGGAGCTTTGCTGGGGGCGTCGATGGGGTTGAAGGAAGGGCCGATCTTCTTCTTTGCTGTTGGGATGGCTCACTACACGGTGCTGTTTGTGACACTGTACCAGAGGCTTCCCACGAACGAGACGTTGCCGAAGGAGCTGCACCCGGTGTTCTTCCTGTTTGTCGCTGCACCTAGCGTGGCTTCCATGGCTTGGGCGAAGATTCAAGGGTCCTTCGATTATGGGTCCAGGATTGCTTACTTCATTGCCATGTTCCTCTATTTCTCTCTGGTAAGTGAACCCTCTTTTCCCCCCCGCTCTCCTTGAATTTGATTTAGCTGCTGTAGTTTAGTAGTAAAACTCGTTACAATGTGTCACTGAATCATAACAATTAGGCCATAGCATATCCGAAATCGAATTGATCGACTAATTTCGACAATCCTTGCGATTTGAGGATGATTACTAATTCGCTGTTCTTCTGTTTGCAGGCAGTGCGGGTGAACTTCTTCCGAGGTTTCAAGTTCTCGTTGGCATGGTGGGCGTACACATTCCCTATGACGGGTGCAGCCATCGCAACGATCAGGTACTCGAACGAGGTTACCAATGTCGTCACACAGGCGCTCGCCGTCGCCCTCTGCGCCATTTCCACGCTCATCGTCACCGGCCTGCTGGTGTCCACGATCCTGCACGCCTTCGTCCTCCACGACCTCTTCCCCAACGACATTGCCATCGCCATCAGCGACAGGAGGCCCAAGCACAGCAGCCGCGGCGGCGGCCACCATCACCTGAAGTGGTTCCATCGCAGGACCGGGAGCTCGGAGGCCAGGGACATCGAGCATTACTTGAAGTTCGTCAACTCCGATTGCAAGGACGTCGAGGCTGGTTTCGACGACAACCAAGGATCGGATGGTAGCAACAATGCCAAGCAGCAGCTGCAAGAGCATTAGGGCGGCTTTTTTTCCGGGGGTGGAAGTTTATCGATCAGGGTTGTAGCCACGGGAGGGACGATGACGACGACGACGACGGCGGCTTTTTGGGAGATTGGGAGAGTTCCGGTGAATGTGTGCTCTGTCTGATGAGTGATTTACTTTTGTGATCTGTGTGGTAGTGTAAAATATAGCAGCATTTTGCTTCTACGTAGTAATGGAAGAAGGGAAATTTCCTGTATAAAGTTTGATTTTCTGAGTGATAATTTACTGAATGAGCTATGGATAAAAAATGTGTGCAACCGTTTTCAAAGAATAAGTTAAAGCGCATAGACAATTGTTAGTGCATCCAAAAGGAATACAAATCCTCTAATTCATCGTTAATATCGTTGCACAAATAATGACGGAAGAGGAGAATTTTTTTGTAAAAATTTAGATTTTCTAAATGAGGAAATTCTGAATGAGCAATCTATACAAAATGCGTAACCAGCTTCAAAGAACAATCGGAAGTGCAGCCAAAATGAATACAAATCCTCTTGGTAATTAGTATGTTGTTCCTTACTACAATTAAGTGTATAGATATGAGGAATTGTGATATAAATGATCAAAATCGGTACTTGATTAACTACAAACTAGTTGTGATTAAGGCTCACACTCTAATAATGAAGTGACGACCACCAATTTCTATTTCAGTAATGAATATATCAACATTATTTTCGTAACTATAAAAGTTATATAATGTTTTAAGTTTTCGTACTTTATCTTACAGACTTAAATGACTAAACTACCCTTGATTAGTTGCTTGTGGACGAAGAGTGTGATTGCGGTGGCGGCGGGAATGGACGGCCACCGAGCTCCACCGCGGTAAAAAAAAGAACCCAGTAATTAATGAGCAGGTTATTTTGGTTTGACAGCCAGGAAGGATGAAAAAGAAGAAAGAAAAAGTTCCCCAGGAAGGAACAATATTCTCCATTTTTGTCTTTTGTATGCGATTTGATTTGGATGGCAGAGTCGTAACTCGTACGTACGGCATTAACAGGCAGAAGCAGAGTGAGTGAGTGAGTGAGCTGGCCTGTGACAGACCCTGAAACGGCCTAAAAACCTTCTTTTTTCCCCCTCTCCCGTTGGCCTTCCTTGGCACGGCAAGAGAAGCAAAGGGGTTGGTTGGGCAATTGATTGGAAGAAGAGGAGCATTGTTGTTCGTTCATAGCTGCTTGCTTCCATGGCCACCTGCTAGCTTAAGGACTTCGGGGGTCCTTTTCTTTCAGCTGGTAAGTCCCCTTCCCTCTTCTTCCTTCTTTAATTTCTAATCCAAAGAGCATTCCTTTTCACTTTACTGGTGCGGGTTTCCTTCATCGTCTACCGCCATTTGCCTGTTATTGTGAATTTGTGATGGGTTTTGTTAGGGTTACAGCGTTCCTTTCTCTATGATCTCTGTTTTAGCAGAAGCAGCAGCAGCAGCAGCTCGTTCCGTGATGTCTCAAGTTTTCATGTGCTCTGTTTCGTAGTTCATTCCGTGTTGAAGTTGGTGTCATTTGATTATTGTTGTCCGATTGCAAACTTAAACCAGTAGATTTGTGAGATTGGGTTGGGAAATACGAGTGCTTGGGAAGGATGATCTTTCTGTTTGGCAAGTGAAAAAAAAACTAGTCAAACTGCAGAAACGTGGCTTGGATTTGCAGAAAAGGAACTGTTAAAATGATGCTTGATGAGAAGCAGTGCCTGACCCTCGAATTCAGGAGTCACAACAGTTGATTCTGAGCTACTGTGAGTAGGATGTATGAATGAAGTATGTGAATTGGATGAAGAAGCTGGCGTAATATATGAAAGTTCAGTAATTTCAAACTTGGATGAAGAAGCTGAGGTAGTAGATGAAGCTGTGGAGAATCTGAAATTTGATAAAGGTGCCTAAGTAGTTAATGAAGGTTAGCTGACTTTCAGGAAGTGGGTTAGTGGGTCAGAGATGTGAGAATCAGAATTCCCAGCTAGGCTGGTTGTATTTTGATGTGTGTTTTAGCTTCTAATAATGAAAGTGTTCAAGTTTGCACGATTTCTAATTTACAGTTTCTTCTTCTTGTTGCTGTTGTTTTGACAGGGAGGGAAAACCTACAAAAGGCTTTCTTAACAGAGGGAAAATGGGTGACAGGAATTATAATGACAATATGTATGGAGAAGGAAACATCCCGGTGGAGGTGGCTATACTGAGAGAGTTGGAGTACAGGAAAAAAGTCGCTCAGATGAAGCACATTCCTGAAGCCGAATTTTGCAGAAATTTCAGGCCTTTGCAGGTATATATGCTCTTCCTGAATCCTCATTATCTGTCTCTCGATTCCCCTAGATGTATTAGGAACCAGCCAATGTGATTTTGAACAACCCAGCTATTTCTTTGTTTCTAAGGTGGTTCCTGATGTGAACTGTAATTCTGAGTTTTCAGCTTTTTAAACCATTGCTGGGTGTCTTATAATTTAGAAAGCGTGATGATTGCAACAAGCAACTGACCTCTGTCTGTTTATTACTTACTGAATTGTGAATGTGGGTTCTTGGCAGTTGCTGTCCTCCATTCCCAGTCCCGGGCTCGGTCCCAATCAAAGGTTGCCAAGTTCACATCCGGCTCCTAAACCTCCAGCAAACCATGAATCCAGCCGTGGCCCCCTTCCAATTCAAGCACCAAAGCCAGCTCCTGGAGTTCCAATGATGCACCAGCAACGAAGTCGAAGCAAACAACATGAATCTCAGCAGCCTTCCTCCGGTGCAGGACGTGATCACGATGACCTTCATCAGAATCACAGCGATCACAACTTCTGCAAGATTTGCCACATTCCTTGCGCTGGCTATGACAACTACAAGCAACACTTGGAAGGCAGAAGGCACAAGAAGAGGAAACTAGAACTGGAGATAGGGGAGAGACAGCGTGGTGAGGTGGAAAGTCCTAGACGATGGTGTGAATCATGCAAGATCTGGTGCATGAATGACGAGCTCTACCAAACCCATCTAAGAGGCAGACAACACAAGAACCATCAGCTTCAGATGCTGGAAGTTGCTTCGGGGAAGGACAAGGCGCTGCAGATTGTGGTAGCAAAGCAAGCGTTACACTGTGATGTTTGTGGTATCGATTGTCCAGGTGAGGAGTCCTTGATGAGTCACTTGAAGGGCAAGAGACACACCGTTGCAGCCCAGTATTTGAGAAATGGAGGAGGAGGCACACATGGTGGCAGAACAGGAAACCAGTTGCGCTATGGATGTGATCTGTGCAACATCTGGTGCCCGGACATGCATTCACTGGAAATGCACAGGCAAGGGAAGAAGCATATAGTTCAAGAAATCCGGAGCAGGAAGGCATGATGCTGAAGTTTGGAGTCAGCTTTGTCGATGAGTAAGGATTTAGGCCTGGAACATTGAATGCCAGTAGCTGTAGTAGCATTTTATAACCCAACTTAAGGTTGTTGGAGCTGCAAGTGGTTCTAGAGCTACTTGTTCTGTTTTAAACTTGAACTATAACCTGCAAGCTCTGTTTTTGCTTTGTAGTAGCTAGTTTTCTTTCTGCCTTCAACCATGGTTCCAGCTAGAACTTGACTTGAATTACCAGAAACTGCTGTGTTTGTCCATGGATGTCCCGAAGTGGGTTTTTGTTGAGACTTGTTACGCAAGAATCCGTTTCCAGTAGCTGTTTGTGTGTGGGATCTCCATGAGTTTTGAAGCATTGTGGTTGCTTTTCTCTCTTCAAGTGGAGCTGAATAGGGAAACAAACATGCTGTAGTTGATGGCCCTATTTGCAGAGAACTGTGTGTGACGGATGTGAAATCTTATCAGTGGATTGGGAGATTGTTGAACTGAAGGATTTCGTTGAAATGAAATCGATTGGAGAAACCCGTAGAAGGAAACTTGACTTGGGAATCACGGTTTAATTCTCTTTTCTGATTATTTTTGGGCTTGAGCCCAATAACAACCTCACATCAAAGTTTTTGAGCTGCATGTTTATGGGCTTCAGCAAATCTCTATCAGTTCGGCCCAGCAGTAAAGAATTCAGTTGGCACTTGGCGCCTTCGATGGAATTTTTAATAACCAAAGAATTAAGAATGGATCTAAGGTTGAAACGGACGTGGGTATAATTCATGTTTTTTTTTTTTTTGCCATAGTTATCCGAGAGAGGGAAGTAGCAAAGATACGACAAAATACAAGATCTCCTAAGACCATGCTAGAAAAATTAAATAAATAATACACGATGGTCGACAACTGTTTGCACCATCGCTCCAAGAGCTTGTCTTGTCACGATATGGGTAGCGCTATTATACCTACGAGAAGCGAAATGGAACGTTGCACGAAGGAAAGAAGCCCGCAACACCTGAATCTCTTGCAGGAGAGCTCCGCCCACCGCGTACGACGAGTCCTTCGCGTTGATCATTTGGACGATCACCTGCACATCCCCACAAAATAAGACATTAGTGAACGAGTGAGCCAGGCACCAACGTAAAGATTCGCGAAGGGCCAGGAGCTCTGCCAGGAATAGGTCATCAATATTAGGGGGAAAAATGCCCCCAAGCAAATATAGTGGTATTAGCCTCTGCAAAACCAACAAAACCAGTGGCACGTCCGAACAAATATTTGGTGGCGCCATAAAAATGTACCAGTACTGAACCGGAAGTTATAATTCATGTTTATTTAGTGACTACTATATTTCCCACTATTAATTAACTTGCCAATCTTCCTAATTTTATTATAATCGCTTTCAAATTCCTTGATCATTACCGATTGATCAGTAATGATGGGTGTGTATGAATACCGATGGATCAGTAGTACATTCCTAGGGGAGTACGACTTGTGGCAGCATCGTGAGGGGTGACGTGGTCGCTTTATTTGAGCTTTTTCGGCGAACCTTGGAGGGGGTTCAATTACGAGAGCAGAGTTGACTGGGATTGTACATGGGTTGAAGCTTGCCTGGGAAGAAGGGGCTAGAAAGGTTGTTCTACATACAGAGTCCACGACTGTGTTGGCCTTGATAGAGTCGGCCACTCCTACTCACCCACACTATAGGAGTGTCACGAAGATCAGGAATTGGCAAGTAAGGCTAGAGCATGTGTTTCGTGAGGCGAACTATGTAGCTGACTACCTCGCCTCTTTTGGGCATTTCCTGCTTGTAGGGATGCATGTTTTTTTATGTTCCAAGCAGTACGCTTTTGTACTGGTTGTACTTTGATCAGGTTGTTGTTCAAACACCATGTTAAGTTTAATGCATAAAGGTTGATCAGGCGCCATTTAAACGCTTCCTTGATCATTATTTGTCCAACAAAGGAAATGTAACTAAACAAACGCGACCTAATAAATCTCTCTCCACTTTCAAACCCGACATTCCTAACTACAAAATTGGTTACTAAAAGCCATTTCCCGAAATGTTAACAACCAATAATTACATTGAGAATGAACACCAATCATGTTGTGAAATGACTACGTTATTGTTTGTACAAACTAGCGCATGATTAACAATAAAGTGTCTATGGAACTTTGAAATCTTATGCCTGACAGGAACCCACCGCATATATTTATGCTTCTATCACATTACCCTTTGCCCCCCTTACCAAAAGTTGGACTCAATCATCAATAAACCTTATTATGATTCCTATAGCTACTACTCATTAATATAGGGATCATTATGTAATTTGCCTTATCTTTCTCCATGTTGCTAAGTAGAGGAGTTTAGGTTAACTTCATGTATATATGTATGTATGCGGATAGACCACTGCCGATGGAAGCAAGAAGACTAGAAAAAAATAAAACCCTAACCGAGAGCTCCAAAGCTCTCCGGGGATTAGTCCCGTTCTATTCGAACGGGTAAAATCGCGTAACTCATGGTGTCGTCTCTTTTGTTCTTTTCCTCACAATCGATTTTTACATGGTATTAGAGCTGGTTTGGCCAAGTATGGTCCTATATTCGAATCTCCACGACCCCCCATGATATTAACAATCGATTAAAGCACAAGGTATGGTGGCCAGACCTATGCAATTAACTTCAAGCTCGTGAGTTGGTTTTCATTTGAGGGAGACGTGTAAGAGAGTGATATAAGATCCGTAAGAACATTCTCCCAACAACTCTAGTTATTGGAACTAAGCTGGTTGTTATTTCGATAGAGATCCGACCACTTTATTATTATTCATATGAAATCAAAACAAGTTAGGAATTTGGGAAATTCAATTCGTTGACTTGACTGCCCATCCCACGTATCCATGTCTGATGATGTCTGTCTAATTTGCGTTGACATTCTCCAACACACATGCATCTTTCCCAATTGCATGCACGAACGCTAATTACTTGAACAAGTCAACACACATGCACGGATTAAAGTCGTTCTTTAGTGTCATTAATTATAAGGTTTCATGAGAGGGTTCGACCGAATTGGTTGACCGGCTTGTTGGTCTGATTTGCAGCCGACACGAAGCCACTTCCCCGATGCATTTGTTCCCCCTGTCTTTCATTTGTTTCTTTTTTGCCCTCACCCAACTAAGCAAAATGTTGTCCCAAACGATGCTAACAACCAATTTATATTAATTAATCTTCTTTGATAGTAATTTTACCGAAGGTTTTAGGATTTTGTTTGGCTCTTAACTAAGTGGACATTCCTAAATACTCTCTGAGATTTGATTCGAGCAATGTTCTGTTGAATGCGGGTCATAACGGTTTTACCCAAAAGATTTTGTGTTGTTATGAATTAGTTGAGCGACTCGATGTATTTGTTGAAACTGGCTACCGCTTGTACTCCCTTGGTCAGTTGAGAATTTGGTTGAATTTCCTTTGTAACTCGATATGGCCACGGTCTCAGAGAGGGCTTCTTGGTGAAAATAGCTAAAGTTAACGAGAAGATAAAAAATAGCTTCGACCATGTACTAGTTTCATTTTTACTAAATGAGAAAAACCACATAACTCTCTGTGTCAATCTCGTTTTCGTAGTCGGTTTATTCCGACAGTTTGTTCCGATTATCAGTACTAACTTTTCATTTTAGTGGTCTTCAGTTCGTCACACCAGAACACCATTTACTTTCACATCTTCTCCGACAACAAGTTATTGAAATTATCCCGATTTTAAGAAAAACTAGGATGAATTAATGATGCATTTATGTCGCGAGAACTATCACATGCCACTTCTTTCATATCATTCATATCTTTCCAGCCCTAAGGACATCAATAACTCCAAAACAAAAAAACTCCTAGAAAACCCCATTTGAGGACAGCATTTGAAGACACCCACAACATTATCCTCCTCCACATCACCATATGTGTTATATATCTTGAATTTTTTTGTTCTCAAATGGGCAAAATGTTGGTGGAGGAGAGGAGACTCTCAAGCTATATATATAACATAACATGGGTGATGAAGTAGTGTGTGCATGTTTGTCAATGTCGAATAGTGACCCAAGAATCAATAGCGGCGACAATTCTAGGGCATGTATTTTGAGGTCCCGTACGGCTCTCTCTATGGGTCTCAAACTCTCAATGTATACCATATAGTTTACAAGAGAAAAACAAATGTCATTAAGGCCTTGCTCGTCTTTTTTCTTGACATATCCCTACAAATTGAAGACAAAGAAGGAAAGGGAAGTGGAGATTGAAACAAACCAAAACTAGTGAATCAATGGGCATCCAAAGTTTGGCTACTTCTCCTAGCACATTTTGTCCATGTCCCCTCTATCAGGTTACATGTCATGTGATCGCGGACTCCTTATCACAGTCGTTACAATCGTCCACATCCAAAGTTTTCAATTCAAAGATTGAAATTCAATTCAAATTGAATGTGATCGCGCTGGACAGCTAATTAAAATCTCCCAGTCCAGAATTAACTGCAGTTGCGAAAATCCCACGAATGCCGAATTATAATAAACTTCGTAGAAATCTTTACTATGTCAAATTCACTAGTTTAATGATGAGTAATTATTAGCAATTAGTTTAGTTAATGGCATAAGGTAGCACCTCATAATGTTGTATATTTACCAATTGGGCCTGCATTTTGGGAGAAGTAAGAATGGCCCAATGTGTAATATCATTGTCATTATCAGGCGCGACCCCGTTCCCAATTCCCATTATTCAAGGGGCTCAGAAAGTGGAAAATATGTTCTTTAATTTGTTTTCCTCCACAAATGTTTTTGGACTGGATTAGTTAGTTATTTCAAAAGTATAGTTTGTCAAATCACTCGGTTAACATTCTATAGTCCAATCAATCATTAAGGCAAAAACATTCTATAGTCAGATTCACAAAAAGGTACACTTTTTTCAACTAAGTTAAAAAATCAGTATATATATCTCCTAAAAGATCAGTACATATAATTAATCAATGAGCTTTTCACTTGTATGGAGATAATAATAATAATTTGTCAAAAAAAAAGAGATAATAATAATAATTTGTCAAAAAAAAAAAAGAGATAATAATAATAATTTGTCAAAAAAAAAAAAGAGATAATAATAATAATATATCAAGGCTTGAATAGTTAATGAATTGAATTTTTTCTCTCTCTCTCTCTACCATCATCATGTCAATTTTGAGGTTCAAAGGAATCACTTTCTTCTGAAATTATATAAGCTATAAGATGAATCCAAAGGAATATATTATTTTGAAGACAACTTGAAGGGATGATTCTATAATTGACACAGAAAGGGGGTGTAGCTCATATGGTAGAGCGCTCGCTTCGCATGCGAGAGGCACGGGGTTCGATTCCCCGCACCTCCATTTTTTGTTGTACACTTGATCCAAGTTTTTTTCATCATCTTAATAATAAATTATCTTATCCGTTAATCGAGTTGCACTTCAATTGTATTGTATTATTGTATAATAAAGCACTAATGGCCACCAACCCGAGGTGCGAAAATAACCAAAATCGAGCAGTACTGTCTTAGAAGAACATCGAGATACGATAATAATAATAAAAAAATTAGTCCACTGCCACATAATTATTAGTGTGTCGAGAATCATATGCATGGTCCTTGTCTTGACAAATTGGTAGCACTTCCCTAACTTTTGCTCTAAATAATTGGCCTTTGATCGATGTTTATCCATCCATAAGTGTGATCATTAGCAAGCTATAGAGCTTTAGTATTTGGCCAAGTCATTAATTACGAGTAATTGCCTATGCACTTAATTATGAAGGACAAAGGAGGCGTATGCTACCATATTGCTTGGAAAGGCAGCGGGCACAACAACATGAGTTCATAGTCACTAATTAAGACATACAATAATATCTTTGCGTGTCCCTATATACATATAGCTAATAATTAAGTGCAATATTGTCTCAAAGTTTATGTTGGAAGTTAGGTTTAATTGATGGCCGAGGGATCCACACTCCATTACTTTCTCATCCTAAATAGCAAAACGCCCAAATAGTTGATAATATCTACACCCGAAAACTACTTAGGGCTATGGTGGGAACAACAATTGGGTGGAGTTTAATTGATTGGTCATATACATATGCAATCTAGGAAAGAGAAGAAATATGGGTTTTTTTCTTCACTGCAGACTCGAACCCAATATCACAAAACGTAAAAATATCACTCCAATGTTGTCGTCACATCCATTTTTGCAAAGAATCAATATGTTAGGTTGAACCCTCTAAAACCCTATTATTATTTCATCATACAAAACAGTTGTTACCCAGGATGTTGCCCCGAACAAAACCTACAATTAGTTCGAGGTAGTGAGACGAAGGATAATGTTATGAAGTGGATTGTTGTTTAATTTATTCCGAGGCAGAGTTTCTCGTTTGGTTTGGTTAATGAAGTAATTATATGGCATTGAATGTTAAGAGGCGAGGATTGGATCCCAAAGAGGGGCGCGAGTTAATTTCCATGGTGATGGAGTTGAAATTGAATTCCGATTAGGCATTACCCTAAGTTAAATCAATGAATTCTATGAATAATATGGTCAAACTAACCATTAAATGGTATACAGATTAATTAAAGGTGGTTATGAGACTAGATACCTTCAACGATTTTGACGCAAAATCATGATTGGTAAAGATATGACGTACCATCGTCTAGAATATCTGACTTGCTCAAAATTTAATTACTCAATTGCTTCTTTATTTGACCCCTAAATACATACTCCCTCAAATTCTCAATTGAATGTTTACATCTTTTAGTTGTGCGCGGAACTGACAACATAGGTAGATCAGTAAGACCTTTTTAATTTGACCTTGTTAATTGCCTTTCACTACGCAAACAGATGAATCAGAAAAACATCCACGATTATGAATTTATATGTAAAAATTAACATCTAAGTATAACCCAAAACTTACACAATAAGATGGTCTACAAGGATCAAAAAATATATATTTTTATATATAATTCCTCCATAATTCTAATTAACTATAAAATTTCCACTTTTTCCTCACCATTACAAAAAAACCATGTGGCTAGCTTTCCTTTCCTATCAACAAATTTACACCTCTCATATCCCCTCCTACCACCAGCTGGGCACCAAGAGAGAAAGAAGAAGAACAAAGAAACAAGTGGAGATATATCCCTCTCATTTCCAGCCTTCCCCCATGTGATTTTCATCTATAATATGTGGACAATATCATTATTTGTTCTTTTCTCCTCCTCCTCCTCCTCTTCCTTATGCTAATTTACCACTTGATTCATGTTCAAAAATCCCATCATTTCCCTGAAATAGCAACATAATTGACCATTTGATTAGACAAATTCCCAATTACACACTTTTTCATAAACACATTATTATGTTTATAATCGTGACGAAAGATGTGATCACTCAACAAATAGATTATATTTGATAAGTACTATGCGCGCTTACCGAATGATCTTTTACAATGGAGGACGGCCTCTCGAATCGAGCTCTCGGAATCACAGGACGACGACGAAGCCGATCTCCGCCACCCTTCATCCGAATACGCCGCGCTGACACGTGGCGACGCCTTGCCGGACGACAACCACCTCTTCATTGCTAACTTATTAATGTTACTGCTAATAATAACTCCCTTCGAGCTCAACGACCTCCGGTTCCTGGGCCCACCACCACCACCTCTTCGGCCCGATAAACGGCCCAACAGCGGCCCAATAAGCTCCAAGTACTTCTCCACAACCCGCCTAAACGACGAGCACCGCCGCGTTTTTTCCCCGCCCGACCGAACCGGCCCGTCCTCGATGGTCGAGACCGGGCTGGAACCAACCGAATTCGACGACGACGCCGCCTTGCGGAGGAAGAAAGGCACGACGTAGCCGTCGGCGAAGAGCTCGTCGGCGTGGTTCATCGGCGGCGGCGAGTGGTCGGGGAAGCCGAAGTTGAAGTCGTGGCCGGAGGAGGAGGAGTAGCTGCGGAAGAACCTCTTGGACGGCGGCATGCGTGGGTCCATCTCGATGTAACTGGAGGCGGCCGAGTACTCGTCGGCGGCGGCGTCCAGTAGGGTTTCGAGAGAGGGTTTGAGGCTGGCGGCGAGCCAGCTGTAGGAGAAGCTCTCGATCGAGAGCGGCTGCTGCTGAGAGGTTTCCATTTTTATCAGAGAAAAGAGGGGAAATTGGGAATTTGTTGGAAGTGAAGTGAATTCCTGGTTGGATTTGTGGGATTTGGGTTATATATAGAGAGAGAGGGGAACAGAGATTACGTAATTATTATTATTATTATTTATTTATTTTTGGGATATTTGGTATGGAGTGGGATGGGTACCAAAATTATGTGCATGTATGCAACACAATTGTTGGAACGAAATGAGAAATCGACATTATAAGAAAGTAAACAACATTTAAATCTATGTACGGTTTGTTACTATGATGTGTGTTATAATTATGTAACTTACGTCCGTCGACATGGGTGAGTAGTTTCACTATAATTGAAGATATACATATTATGTATATGTATGTAAACATTATTGTTAGAGCGAATTAGGAAATTGACAATGCAAGAAAGTAAATAACTTCAAGATTTATGTGTTTCACTAACATGATGTGTGCTAGCTACGTACACCGACAGGAAAGAACAGTGTCACTATGCATATTACATAAATTGAGAATATATATGGTGTCGTATTCGGTGCACCCACTTTTTCGGGTGCACTCAGTGCACCTGCCTCATAATTGTCATTCTGACCATGCGATTCATGTCAAAACGGTATCAATGGTTGCTTATGATATTATGAACAAGAAGCACATGAATTTGAAAATATTCATTCAAAATTTACTTTAATTAGGAGGATTTAGGATTTAGGGATTTAGGGTTAGGGTTTAGGTTTACAATTTGGGATTTTGGGTTGGGATTCAAAATCGAATGTTAAGGGGTTAGGGTAATGGATTGATTTGTTATGATTCTATGTCATATCATCATATTATATTGAGAGTACTAATCAAAGTTCAAAATTTGATGTATTATGGACGCTTTTAGAGTTGGGTGCACCCCACCTCTAAAAGTGGTCATAATACATTAAATTTTGAAATTTAATGGGTTGTATTAGTCTAATATGATGATATAACATAGAATCCCAACTAATCAACCCATTACCCTAACCTATTAACCTTCAATTTTGAATCTCAACCCAAAATCTCAAATTGTTAACCCTAACCCTAAATTCCTAAACCCTGAATCATTCAAATTAAAGTGAATCTTGAATGATTTTTGTACAAATTCATGTGGTTCTTGTTCATCATACCACAAGTGATGATTGGCATCGTTTTCACATGAATCGTCTGCTAAGAATGACGATTATGAGGCGGGTGCATTGAATGCACCCAAAAAAGTGAGTGCACCGAAAACATAACCATATATATATATATGGTCGACGAGAAATACTCGATTTTCAAGTCATAGAAACAACTATATCTTGTTTTGTGCTTGTGACAAAGTTTGGGTGTGTGGCTGTCCGGCAAGAGACAATAATTTTTTGATTTTTCAATAAATATTGTTATGAAGTATTATTATTATTATTATTATTATTATTATTATTATTATTATTATTATTATTGAATTTTGTTTGAGATATTGTTTGCGGGAAATTGAAGGGGGAACAAAGAAATGTGCCCCCACAAGTTTCCACTACGTAGTGTTGCATCAAGGGACTCTTTTCTATTTTCTAACAATCCCCACCTCCCACCCTTTTTGTTTTCATTTATTGATGTCATTTGTAGCTTTGAAATTCGAACATAGACATAGTTTAAGGTCGGCTTCCTCTTTACATATTCCTTCTCATCATGAAGAGAAAAGAGAAGAGGTTGAGGTTGATGAGGAGAATACATTTTTTTTATTGGCGTGATTTGCATTTAGAGATTGTCATTTCAAATTAAAAATACATGCATGCATTTCAAGTTGGTTGATGTTAGAGATGAAGTTATTTGCTTATTTTTTTCGTACGTAACTCACTGCTATATGTTCGATTATCGATAAGGATAATTAATCTTATATTAATTGTAATCCTTGTACTCTTAATTACAGACCTCATTCGTTAGCATAATTATTTCACTTAACTTTAGAATGTATTATCAATTATCGTGATGGTTGCTCAGGGTGTCTGGTGGAAATTAAACACAGATGAGGTTGCTCAAAGTCACGAGATAACAACAATCGAAGCCGAGTTGTGGGCCATTCACCAAGGCGTAAAGTTTGCGTGGGAGAAAGGGATCAAGCTCCCGATCACAAAATCCAATTCTAAATTAGCTGCTATGGTGCTCATCCAGACTCGCCCAGACTCTTTCCATACTCTCGCTACCTTTTCCCAGTACAATCCGAAGACAAAAAATAGGTTAAGAGCGATTGATTCGCGTGGCTCACACATTCCATGAAGTGAATATATAATCGGAGACTTGTTCTCAAAAGCACCGTCTCATCTATCCGCCGATAAATTCTTTATCCAGTACATATTTGTGGACACAATTTGGTTGGCAAGCACTGTGCTTTGCTAGTATTGCGAAGCAAGGTTCATGCACATAAACTAACGTAAAAAGGCATGCTTTGCTTTCCCACCTCATTCATTTTCTTTTTGCTACAAAGTCTTTATGTATTCATACAATAAGATTCCTGACCATACTTGATTGCATCACTTCTGCTTAGCTCCATCGATCGCTCTCACGATGCTCACATCCCAACTACTGCAAACTGTAGATTTAAATTAATTATCTCTAAAGCTTAAAGCTGACTCTCTCTTAACTAAACTATAAACACAAAGGAGAGGAAGGAAGGTAATCAAGTAGTTATCAATGATTCTCTTATTAGTTTGATTAATTACTTAATTTGAAGGAAAGTGAAGTGACTCCATCGATCGAAAAGGAGAGGACAGGAGGGCTTCGTGTTGAGGGTTTGTTGAGCTGAACCTTCAATGTCTTCTTATGTTAGAGTGTGGTATAAGATCTAGCATAACCTTCTCCCAACAATTCAAGTTATTGGGACCAATTGGTTTATGACATGGTATCAGAGCTGGTTGGCCAAGTGGTTGTGTGTTCGAATCTCCACGACCCCCAATACTAACAGTTGATTAAAGCACAAGGTATGGTGGGCTTGTGCAAACTTCAAGCCCGTAAGTTGGTTTTCGTTTGAGGGGGCGTGGGACCAACTGGTTTATGACATCTTCCCAACAACTCGAGTTATTGGGACCAACTGGTTTATGACATCTTAATTACACAATTAAATAGACTAAGTGCATGGCAAAGGTCAACCAACAATATCATGATGCTGTTTACAAAGTGTAAGAGAACACAATGAGCTTGTCCGTTGGCTGGAAGTTTAGTAGATCGAATAGAGTACGTGTGGCGACAAAAAAGGCTTTCATGGCTGGTTGATCTCATCATGAAGGTAATTAATGAGGAGCTTAATTATCTAGTTTATAAGCTAACTTTGTCGGGTGAGAAGTGTAGAAGGCAAGGCTAACTAGATTTTGCAATTGGTTTGGGTTCGGTTGGGTCGTGGGGTGTGAAGTCTAAAGAGCAAGAGATGCAGTACTCACGAAATTGATATGTTAAAGGGTACGAAAAGAGATATACGTATTAACAAAATCAGCTTCACACAAAGCAACATAATTCAGTAATAACGTACAATTAAGGATCAATACTGTGGATCAGGCCATAACCGATCAAGGGTCAACACAAGTTAAATAATTCGAATGATATCAATTGATGAACCCATTTTGACGAGTTTGACTAGTTACAACGGGTCATAAAATTTCCCAATTTGCATTACTTCAGTTGGCTTATAATAAATTGAGACATATAGTGCTTGCTTGTGAAGTTGCACGAGGCCTATTGATCACGCATCAGTTCAATTACGTTGTTTTATCTCATAAATACTTCACCCAACAATTCATAGCAATGATGTTAGCCTCTTGGCTGGGGTTAAACAAACCTCACCAAAATATCAGAGATATGACTGAAAGAGATTAAGAGGCGGGGAAACAAATATTAATTTGGTGCAGAAACCTCACACTTTCACATCCACTAGCTAACAAGCAAATAAGCAGCTTCATAAACGAGTCAGGAAAAACCCCAAAACCAGTCATTAGATTGATTTTTTTATTTATTTAAAAAATGAACAGAACATAGAAACATATATTAATTGTAGGGTTCGTTTGAAAGTTGCGATTGTTAAATAGATGTATTGTTGAGAATGCATAATATTATACATGTATTGTCGAATTTGATGCATTGTAGAATACAACGTTTGGTATGTGTGATTGTGTATGTCGCATCAGCTAAAAGCTGAGACAAAACAATCTCAACTCAACTATCTTAATAATCACAACTAAAAGTTGAGATATAACAATCACTCAAAATGAGTGATAGTTTCTGTCACATCACAGAAACAATCCATGTATTGTTTCTGCTAAAAAAACGATGCATTGTAAACAATACATGCATAATGACAATCTCAACAAAACAATCATAACTTCCAAACGAACCCGTAGTAGCAGACAAGAGGTCCCCAGGAGGCTGTCGGAAAATGAAGTGGGGACAAAGGAACGACCAAAGGGTGGTTGTGGTTTCTTTATTTCCGGCGACAAAAGCCCAACAGCAGATAGCGACTCCCAACGTATTGGTCCCGGCCCGGAGACGGCGATGTCGTCACGCAAAGCAAGAGACTTATTATTATGTTTGCAAGGGTGGTTTAATTTATTGGTTACGTAATTTTCACCCTCTAATCAAACAGTGTGTTATAGAACAATCGAGGTTGCTTCAATAATCATGATGACCCCATCGATGTTCATAAGAGATAATTAGATGGGCCTAGCAGGCGCAGGCCCAGCCAATGGTTGTAGGAAGCCTCGCTCGGGTCCATTCGGTTGGGCCCACTCGGAGCAACTGTTGTTCTCATCTACGATCATCATGTCAAACGAACGTTGAACATTGAGGGCGAATAAAAAGAAGAAAGCTTTGCTCAGGTTACGTTTATGTAGGGGGGGGGTAGCGAATAGTTTCGAGCCACGTGCCCACACACGTGTCGATATCAGTATGAACGTCCAGTAATAACGTGTTAATCTGGAGAATAAAAAAAAGTCTAACCACCGTACCATGTTTTCGTATAAAATCCGAAATTCATCCCACCGAACCACGGAGTGTCTATCCACTTCCTTTTTGCTTTTCTCTCTTTTCTCGAGTCTCGAGAATTTTGTATAATTTGACTCACTTGTTGAAGGACTGCTGTTATAAACGCGCTGCTATGGATCGGGCAATCGTCGGAATCGATAAAGTAAGAATACGAAAGCGAGAATAGAAAAACACAGACACACGATTTACGTGGTTTACTAACACGATGTGTGTTAGCTACGTCCATGGGCGAGAGAGAGCCAGTTTCACTATATCGAGGAGATTACAGATTACAGAGGAGTATGAGAAGTATTTATAGTACTTCTCCATGTGGGTCTAAACCTAATCCAATATGGCAAAGGAAACAGTTACAGACCATGCCTAGAACCCGAACCCGAATAACAGCGAGACCCCCCCGACTACTAGTCGTAGCGGCTGATAGTCCGATTCAAGTCACATCAACAACTGCTCCGATCTCTATGACCAATTAGCTAGACTTCTTCCACGTCTGGAACCCTAAATTATATTATTATTGTATCCGCAATATCACCTCACTCACTTGCTCAGCCCAAAACCCATGCATAAGTTACTATAATAACGAGATTAGGGCGTAAGTTACCCACTACGCCTCAATTTCATACCACGAAAAAATCACCGTCATAGAGATACACGTGTATTGAAATTATACAATGCAAAGACTACTATAGAAATACCACGGAACAAACACGTTATCATTTTATCCCACTGTTGTGAAACAGAGAGAGGCCTCTTTGGTGGCCGTAACATATCGCGAATCCCAGATGATTGGCGCCACAACGAAAAGCTGTCAATCAATTGAAAAACACAGAATCGAATAGGGCATTATTTCACCCTAAAAGTGGAGAACAACGATGGTGAAAAGACAACCCATCAAACAAAACAGCAACCAATGCTTTTTGGAAAATGATACAAAAAACAAATGGAGGAAATTTTAAAACGACAGCCGCTCTTTAGGCTTTGAGTTTGTAATCATGATGTTTCAGTCTCTCAAAGTCTCGTCGTCCATGTGCAGAAGTTAACACAAAGAAGACGTACCCTATATATTTTGTGCACATGATCGATGGTAACAAAAAGGATGGATTGGTCGGGTTATTTGTGATCAACAGTACCAAAGGCCCTCGTTTCCTTTCTTTCTTCTTTTGATTAACTAGCTCTACTGGCAGTTGCGGAGCCAGGAAATTGGCCAAGTGGTTGCTTCTTCATGTCATGAAAAAATCAACTATATAATAGAAAAGTCAACTCTAAACGAAAATATGAAAATCAACTTCATTATATGACTAATTCAGTCTATGTAGTTAATTTGGAGATGAAATTGAGTATAACAAACACACAAACCTAACCCTAAATTAACACAAATAATAAAATTTTCAAGTAATTGAAATTAAAACTTAGATTTTACTTTGTTGTTAAAGATTGATGATGTCAAACAAAGTAATTTTGTGCTTGTTGCTCCCCTAACCTGCTCACGATTGAAAAGAGAAGGATTTTTGGAGGTGAAGGACGGAGAACGAAAGTCTGGAGCCTAGAAATAGTTTGGATTTGTTGGGTAGGAGCCGGAAATATTGGTGGTGGGTGGAGGTTCGGCGAGCTTGGAGCCAGAGATGGAGAGCATGGGGGCTGGAGGATGGATAGCTTGGAGGTTGGGCGAGCTCGGCTTGCAACTCGCAGCGCCTCTGCTACCGCTGGGTGGAGGAAGAACGAAATTGTAACTGGGGATTGCTGGGATAGATGATTAGAGTTTTGCGTTTTGATATTAGGACAGATAATTAACATTAATATAATTAAACATGTATGTATTATAAATGAAAAATTCTTAGTCGAGATGGTAAAGATTTTTCATTGTTAACCACTAAATTAGTGGTTCGATCCTTGCTTCCTACTAACATATATTGGATTTTTTTTCCGTCCCAAAGCCAAGGGGGTGCATGCACCCCCTCAAGTGTGCACAGCTCCGCCACTGACTACTGGTATTGAACAGGCTCCGATAGGATCATGTGATTCATGTTAAGATATTAGGTTGCGATGGTAATTGTCATTGTCTTATTTTCGAAATCTCGAAGGGTGTATACTACATATAGAGTGTGTAAAGATTAATTTTCACTGTAACTTAGAAATTAATGGAAAAATACGTAGCTTTAAGGCAGGTGTCACGTTGTCTCCAATAGGCATTATAGACTCTCTTAACTTTCAAATGTAGACAAATTTACATATAAAATTTCTAATAAAATTAGAAAATGGACTAGTTGGTAACTCTTTAGCCCCTCCTCTCTTCCTCTGACCATAGTTCAAATCTCTCTCAAACGTAAATCTCTTAACTTCATCTTGTTCAAATTTCTGGTTTCACATATTTCTGATTTCACAGCTGCTTTTAGGAACATGAAAAGTTGGAAACCCAAATTGTGGCGAGAAGAACTCTATAATAAATTACATAATAATTACTTTGTGTTTGTGCAGTTGTTGGGAGCTAGATTACATAATAATAGCACTCATGGTATAACATGTTTATGAACCTACACACATAAACTTGATACACTGAAGTATTATTAACAAACCAACAAAGCTAATTGATCATCATCATTTTCGTGTCATTGTTGGGGAAGCTGGATTGATGGTAAGGCTACCAACCGCGAGTTCTCTTGACATTTTTCTCTCTTTACACGAAAGCAAAATCAAGAGAGAGGTTGAAGTTTTTGAAGCCGTCAAAAATTAGAACACAAATCATCTCGATCAGAGTTCCGACTATAATATTAAGAACTTACTTCTGCCAATAATTCGAATTGTCTTGGAGACATTTTTGTTGTGCTTGAACTAGGGGTGGACAAACGGTTCGCTAAACTCGAACTGAACCAAAACCGAATTAAACCGAACCGAAACTGAATTAATGCTATTCGGTTCGGAATTCGGAAGGAAAATATGGATAGTTCGGAAACCAGGATTCTTTAAACCGAAACCGAATTTCCGACCGAAAAACCGAAATATTATAATTGCAAACTCCAAATGGTGGATTTTTATGTTTGTAGTTGTTTTTAGACTTAAATATTTGAAATATTTTATGACTTATGTGTTGAAAAGTTTGATTTTATCATTTATGCATATAATTGATATTTATTGTTTATATTAGGGGTGAAAAATAATTTAAAAGTGAGAACATATAAGTAGCTTCACAAATTCGGTTTTGGGTGAAAAACCAAATCGAACCAAATTATTATATGTTTAAACTGACCGAACCGAATTATAATTCGGTTCAAATTCGGTATGAGATTTGAGAGAATTCGGGGACCCGGTATTCCAAATTATTATATGTTTAAACTGACCGAACCGAATTATAATTCGGTTCAAATTCGGTATGAGATTTGAGAGAATTCGGGGACCCGGTATTCATAATTTCGGTTCGGACCGAACCGACCGAATGCCGACCCCTAGCTTGAACTATGCGCTTTTCTTCAAACTGTACTTCTCATACCGTGTATTTGGTGTGTTTGATCCCTGGGGGCTACCTCTTTTGTCCTCTAAACCGTCCATTTTCGTCGGTTTACCAATCCAAAAACCCTAAATCTGTAGAGCCCCACCTCTGTGAAAAATACTTGACTACGTACGTACACCCTTTTTCCAGAACCTGCATGGCTCGAGCGGCCGGTGGCGAAAGACTGTGACAACACCTGCAGCCCAAATTGACGGACGAGAGGCCAAAATAATAGAGACCTAAAAGAAGCGTCAACTTCGTGTATCTCAACAGTATCAAAATGTACAGTTAAAAAACCAGCATGTTCTATATACAGTGGCTCCACGCATATTTATAGTGCACCACGTAGCTTTTTGTAACCTAGCTATAAGACCCATCTCAACAACGTCGTCATTTCATATGTGGAAAGTTGCGTGTCTAATTTGCCACGTTTTCGGTTCATGGTCCATGGCCAAGTTTTGGCAATGTGTGGGAATCTGGAACAGTAAACCGAGTGACCGACCGGTCGATGTTTTGCCACAGTAATCAGTCGAATCGACCGACGGTACGTGTATGGCCATGCAAAAGTCAGGTGTATCTGCATCGTCGCTCGGCCAAGAGATTGCGGCAAATTAAGTCTAGGGATGGTAATTTGAACCGGCTTATTTGGATATTACCCAACTTGATCTGTAATAAGACGGGTATTACCCGACTCGTAGTGGTGCGGGACGGAGCATGGACAGTGGCGGAGCCACTTGGAGAGGAGGGGGTGCTTGCACCCCCCTTGGGTTTGGAGAAAAATTTTCCAAGTAGGGGTATATACAAATTCGAACCAATGACAATTCAGTTGCAGGAAGAATTTCTTATCATTTCAATCGAGTGAGTTTTGTTATGCAATGCACTTTCGTCTTTATTTATAGTAATAAATTGTTGTGTTTGGTTTAAACTCGCTTAATTTTTTTTTTTTTTGTAGCTCTACAACAGAGAAATTTCTTGTCTTTTGTTTAAACAAAGTTGAAAGTGAAGAAGTACCAATTTAAGTTCACTTGTTTGTTTCACAAAATCAATTCCAAGGTACTTCTTAGTTCTAATTCGTAACATTTGATGAATGAAAGTCTTGATTTGTATGTACTGAACTTATTTGTTTGACGTTGTAACCGGTGTACGTGAAACTATTTTAATGTAATTGTATGATTTTAGAGTATTGCGTTGTTGACTTTTTGTTTAATTTAAAGTTGACTTTTCTATTGTATAGGTGAGTTTTTATGATATGACAAAGACACCCCCTTGGCCAATTTTCTGGCTCCGCCACTGAGCATAGGTATTTATTTTCGATCCATTGTGTCCCATTCCCGCACAGATATTACTCACCTTGATTCATACTTGTCACTTGATGTGGGACGAGTATGAGTATTGGAAACCCGTACTACGCCCCATTGCCATCGCTACTACAAACTGTACGTATACATGCATGGCATGGATCAAGGTGTGGTTATTAAGGTGGGCTTGGAGTTTGGAGTTAAGACTGGGCTTACGGTGACTTTGCCTTTTGAAGTGAGGAGTCTAATATCGGGCCGAAGGCCCAAGATGCAAGTGGCCCCGGTAGTTAACTAGACATACATTTCTTCACTAGGGGACAGTGGTTGGTGATGTGGCTGCTGAGCTGGAGGGATTTACAAATGACCTAACGAAAAGAACTCTGAACAAAAGGAAAATCATCTAAGGGAAGGCAAGGCACCTCGGTAACTTACCACCCACGCAACCATCCCCATCCTGGACTTAATAACATGGAAGTCACTTCATGGCTTAAAGCGCCTACGATGCTCCGAGCCCTCTAGCACTCGTTTTAATCGTCGTCTTCATCTTCGAGATCGATTATCATCCTCGATTTCCTCCTGGAGACTGCACTTCCAATCTGTGGACTAGGAATAGAAATGTCCACGCCATCATCCTCCAATCCATCTGCCACCATCTGTCCATCATGATCATCATCCTCGTCAACCGGAGAAACATCCACGTCATCGTCCTCCAGTTCATCCACCATGAGTTCATTATCGTCGTCCTCGTCATCATCAGCTGGAGAAACATCCACGTCATCGTCCTCTGGTTCATCGACCATCGGCTCTCTGTCTTGGTCATCACCAGCAGCAGCAGCAGCAGGAGAAATGCCAGATGGGCTGCCACCACCAGAAGTATTATCATCTTCACCAATTCCTTCAGCACCATCCATGGCACCGTTAGGAACCTCAATTCTGCTCGCTGATGCTTCTGGAGCAAGTTTCCTGCTTTTCTTTCGGTCTTGGACCTCCTTGGCTCTCCTGTGATCCCGAAATATGAAAGGTGTACAGTCATGTAAACAAACACACAGAGACGTCAGAAGGTAAACAAACCAAGTTGGGAAAATACCTCTTCTTGAAGGACAGCAATGTTTCTTCCTCTTCAGATTCGTGTCCATTGTTGACTTCCTCGTCTCTCGTGCTGGCTTCTGGCTGGGACCTCTTCCTCTGGGGAACATGAAGTCCAAGTTGCTTGAGTTTGCGGGTAACCTGTGCAGCTGTGAAACTACCTTCTGGTGCCAGAGCATCTGCGATCATGTGGCTGCAGCTTTTCTCTCCTTTGAACCTTCAGAAATGTTCTTCCATTGGTTTAGATTGATATGGTAGAGGTGGAAAGTGATTTGATATGTAAGTTGCAGACATTACAAGTTATGCAGAACTTACTGCTCGTATAAAGCTCTGATTTTTTCTTCCTGATCCTTGCCAATAGCCGGCGCTCTTTTCCTAACGCCCCTGTGGAGGAGGGAAAGTGTTGAAAGAAAAGAAAGATTAGAACAAGCTCTCTTTGTGCAACCTTCTCCATACTGGAACTACTTGCACCAGCCTGGTTAAGCTAAGTGTCCTATCGAGAGGGTATGGATGCTTGATTTTACTTACGTGGATTTCTTGAGCAAGATTACTTCCTCTTCATTTTGAGAGAGCTGAGCAGGATCAGTAGAATCTGTTCCCATGGCTTTTCTTATCCTTTTCTTTAATGAAGCTTTCAGCCCAAGCTGCTTGAGCTTGTTTAAAACTTGTGTTGGCGAAACTCGGCCTGTAGGATCTAGGGATTCAGCGATGCGATGACAACATTTCTCATCATCCTTGAATCTGAAATGAATTCATGAAATGCATGAAGTGATGTCTTCCAGGAAACAAGAAAATCGTAGCAATGTCTCAGGACATTACAGGTAAAGTGTGGAAGCTTGAGGGAAGCACTTACTCCTCGTAGAGATCTTTGATCCTTATCTCCATTTCCTCCGTCAGCACAAATCTTTTCTTTCTTGGAAATTCCTTTCTGGACAAACTGCTGCCAGAAGTTGACGCCTTCTCATTCTGCAATTCATTTGAACTGTCTTCCATACTGCATATAGAGGAAACCACCCTAAATCATCTCCATCATCCTAGTCCTAGTGATGTGGCTAATATCTACAGCTGAAACACTAATCATAAATGGGAGAAGACTTGATGTTTTGGGTTGCTAGAAATCTAGAACATGTAAAGCTCCAAGGAACTTACTGCCAATTCCTTTAACAAACATCTAATAAGTACACTTACTTCTGATTTTCCATGTCATGGGAGATCACGACATCAGCTTCATCATCACCCAGAGCATCAGCAATGCTTCTAGGAGCCCATCCTTTGGTCCCTGATGAACCAACTTCTCCATCGGCTGAAGTGCCATAGAAATCTTTAGTCTTTCTTCTTAAACCACCCAGCTCATGTACTAAATAGTCTGCATTGATGTAATTGCATTCACTTCTGGACTTCCAGAAGAGAACTTCCAGAAAAAGGAGGGGTTGATTCTTCATTTTCCTCAACATTCTCCTCACCAGAGTTGTAAGGAACTCTACAATATTTTCATATTCCTTGCACTGAGACGACTTTTGCTCATTGAGGATGTCATAAAATGTTGTGAGTAGAGATAACTGCAAAATTTCATACAATAAGTACCTGTTAGTGATAACATTTGGTACCATGCACTGAGTACAGCCAAAAGGAAGAAGAGAATAATAAAATTCAACCTGATATAGCATTGGAGAAAGGTCCTGGTCATCTGTTATCCTCCGCAGCATGGATATGATGTAGTGATTTGTCGTGAAGGAGTTGCTCTTATAGAATCTAAGCAACCAGCATAAATTGCTAACGAAGCTATGGTTCGCGAAAGATTTCATGAAAGTTGTGACATTAAAGTCAACTTCATAAGTAGAAACAGGTTCGTCATCAGCAGACTCATCATCTGAGCAACAAGACAGATCATCATCTATAGGATTAGGATCAGCCCTTATATCATCTGGCAGTGTATTACGGTCAGGATTTCCCATCTCTGGTGTTATCTCTGTTTGATCAGTAGGAATAGCAGTGTCAGGATTTCCCATATCTGGAGTGATCTCTGGTTGATCAGTAAAAATAGCAGGGTCAGGATTCCCCATATCTGGACTTATCTCTGGTTGATCGGTAGGAATAGCAGCGTCAGGATTTCCCATCTCTACAGTTATCTCTGGTTGATCAGCAGGAATACTAGCGTTAAGGTCATCTTGTTGGTTAGATGTTATATTTTCCTGACTTCCTTTTTCCAAACTTCCAGAATCAGGTGGCTGTTCATTCCCATTCTGAATGGTGGCTTCACCTCCACTCGGTAAATCTTTGTCTTGTCTCTGATTACTTGAGGACTTCTTCTTTCGAACCTTCCTTGCCCCCTTAGAAACCTTAACAATCAAACAACATAGATTAGTATTATTTTCAGAAAGCTTATTCACAACCGGAAAAAATTTGATCGACAGGAAACTTCATTGCGTAAAATAAACATAAACCAAGATGAAAAATCAAGATATACACGCGAAGAGTGCATCTGCTAATAAAGATATGCTAAAAACATGCCATGAATAATGGTTATAAATTAATCTAGAAATCTGCTAAGTAGGAACATCTTACCCTCATAGTGCCACGAGTTTGAAGAAGTCCCATCAATCTTACGATAACATGAACTGTTTCAACCAAATCTGCAAGATCACTGAAAAGCAACTATGATGAATAATTGAGTACGACTTATGTATGAAACCCAAATATACAATTAGCAAAAAGCAGTCTGTACACCCTAAACTTAAATTATGCTGGACCACTCTGACAAATGTACTGTATGGAGAGCAGTAAGTAGAAACAAACTGGGGGTAGTTCATAATCTTCTCGTGGGATGACTGATGTCAGATAGGGTAGTTGAACACAGCATTGTGCACAAGATTCTCACATAAGTAAAAATGTATGAAGATGTTTGAGAGAAGAGAGAATGCTGGTTGGTCGTTTCATAAGTATCGCCAATGATTTACAAGTGAAATGTTCAGAAGCGCTGAAACTTTAGGTGCTAAAAAACATGTGCAAGGTCTTTTCTTTTTCTCAAGTTGAATATCGTATAGTTTCCAAGTCAGGGAGTACCAGAACCATGAAATGCATGCAGAGTAAAGAAAGGATAAGAACATTTAAACATGCACTGTGGGGTTTAGGTTAATTAATTGTGTGGGAGAAGAAGTACCTTTTCGATTGCTTATGGGTGTTGAACGCTTTAATCAGGTTCAAGATGAATTGGGTCATCCCTTGGTCAGTCTGATCATAGAATAACTTGTAAAGCAGAATCCGAGCTGTCAGAGGCTCTTTAGAATTTTCAGGCAGTACCTTAAGCACCAAGTCTAGAATGCGAATCTGCACATGAAAGAAGCATGTCAGCAAGAGAATTGCACCATATAAAGCTGAGATGCCCAACTTCTCGGTGATGTTATCATATCTAGACAATTTATCACTTCACAACAAGTTGTATATAAATCGTGCCAAGCTGATTTTTTTGCTGAGGTTACCCAAAAAACGTTTTGGTCAAACGCCGAAATATTCTAGGTAGTTACAATCTATACTCTTAGCAAATAGTAACCGGTGTGCATCTTGCAACATTCTCTAGTTGAATGTTTATGTTATCCTTTTCCATTGTCTAGTTGAAGAAATACCCCAGATGCCGATCTTGAACAAACATGGAGAATCAGTCACAGTCCAATGTCCATAAACAACTGAGCAACACCATCCTTTTATCAGGTCAACGATTTAAACTAAATATTGCTCTCAGTCTGGCATTTAATATTTCCAAGTTAAACAAGAAAGCACAGATGCAATAGCAGACAAATACATGGGTCGGATTTAATTACCTTATGCACTACAAAGAGAAACAGAAATATCATATACCGCTTACCATAATTTTCATAAGTGAACCTGCTACAGAAAGTAACTTGTATTCATGTGTTTGCTTCAGAGTATCAAAGGCATCCCGCCATGTTGAAATGACAAGTAGAAACATTGATTCCTTCATTGATTCTGCAATCGGTCCACATACATCACCTGTGAATACTGTATTATCAGCAGGGAAGCCAGAAGCTTGAGGAGAATCCCTTGCAGTTTCCGGCTGCCAAACAACCAAGGCTACTATCAGCTGAATTCCCTTTGAACGTTAAATAAATCATTATTACAGGATTACTCAGGGCCCAATTAATAACACCACTTCCAACTATGCTTTTACAAACGGATGCACTATTCATATTCACTACAGAGGAACACTTCCAAATATTTGAATGACCGAGAATGGATAGAAAAGACCAAATACTCGTGCAAAGATATAGGAGGACATATCTAATCATATATCCAAGTCCTTCACTTTATCAAAATCAAAATAATATATTTAGAACATCAGTTAAATCTTACATAGGTGTAATAAGAGAAGGTTTAGTGTGTTTTATTTTTTAATGAAAAGAAGGCAAGTAGCATTGTCCCCCCCTAATGGTATAAGGTGAGATTTGCTACCCTGTGGACCAAGCTAAGAATACACTTCGATGGTGAAACAAAGTTACTTCACATGCATTCTTTTATACCACATACATCTCTCAAGATTGCATCAAATGGGAAAAGAACCAGCTACGCCGAAAATAATGTGTAATACGCAGCCAAACTCTGGGAGCAATTGATTGTTATACCAAGGTAAGAGTAACATATCGAGACTCACCTTTGAATTCAAGAGCATGTAATACTGATAAGAAGTGGCAAACTGAACAACTTGGAAGAAAACAATGATATCGCTCTTCTGGATTCCATTTTGTTCCTTTTGGATATCTTCACGAATTGACTGGATCAAAACTAGAATTCCGGAGGATGATATTAAGTATTAGTGCAGGTTCATGGGATCAAGCATAAAGAAGTAGATTGCAATTTAAGTCTTAAATATGTACCATTATAACTTCCTGAAAGAAACTGTTTCATGAAATCATGCAGCAATTCCAAGACCTTAGGCTTCGTCACTGGAAACTTGGCATGGTCCCAGACAATCTTTTTAGACGCACCCCTTTGGATAGCATGAGGCTTAAGCAAAGCATTGGAAGCAGCACCAGGTTTTCCTTTGCATACTGTCGTAGAACCATCCTGAGAGAGTACAACTCAGTTAAGAATTTAAGAATGCAGAACCCCTCAAAGGCATCTCCCATGATCAAGGCATACCATGGTAATCCGAGAAAACGTCCCACTAAACTGGGAGTGGCGAGCTATATTCTGTGATCTGCACTGTTTAAGTTTCTTCTTTTCCTCTTCCATAATGGCCTTGAGATTGTCAACAGAAACAATGCTCCCTTCACCAGCCTACCAAAGTTTATTAGTTAGATGTTAAGTACCACAAATATTTCATCATCAATACATATGACTAAAATGAAAATAGAATTGCCGACTATATTAACTGGAAATTTCCACACCAGAATTGACCTGTTCTTTGCATTTTCTTTCGTCAAGTTGGCAAAGGCTTCAGTATGCTTTGCACTAGTCTCTACATTACTAGGAAAGGAAGAATATGAACTTCTTCTAACCTTGGAATCCTTGAAACGTGCTTTGGCAATCAAATCCGGATCTTGCCCCAGAAAGATGTAATGGAAAACTTCTAGAAGAAGTAAGTTATCATGACGAAGGAAGCCACTTGAACCAGCAACATGCTGAGTCAATACTAAGATCAGGTCCATGACATTCTCGTTGAACAGGAGCTCAAGAAATCCATCTCTCAGTGACAGGAATTGACAAGCTGATCCCCCAACTTTCTGTGGCAAGGAAGCATCTTGAATTGCAAGGATGTTCCGAAAGAGAGTCAGCACCAACTGAACCAACTTCCAATCATCCTCCGTGAACAATTCACTGAGCATTACGGAATCAACATCAGTATCAGAACACACACCAATTATAACAAATGCAAACACCTGCACTTACCTAAACAATAGTTTTGATAAGACATTGAGCAATTAAAGAAGTGCCCAGTAGAAAGTAACCTACCGCTCCAAATCTTCAAGTGGCCCTTCCAAAAGCGAAACGATGACAGCAACTGTGTCGCTACACGTTATCGCAGACTTCAGACCCCAAAGATACTCCAATTGTAAAGGGATTTCATTCGAGGAAGGGTCGATTGGCATGGTAAGGAACACAAAAACCTTCACTGAAATATCAATTGCACAAGAAACATCAACTATCCTCAGTCCTCACTACTCCGGAACAACTAATCAACGTGAGAAACTGCTAATTCACCTGCGTTCAAGACCAAATCTCGATCATCCTGGCAGTACTGAAACATCGGAATCAAATCCTTAGCGACTATATTCCATTTGCAAACTTGCTTGAACACTTCCCGCGTCTGCGGGTCATCACGCCTCAAAAACCTCACCAAATCCTTCAGATTCTCTGAAGAAAGCTTCCAACACGATCAGATCACTAACAGAGAACATCAACCTTAAAAAATTGAGAGTGAAATTTTACCTAGGCACTGCTCCCCCTTGGAGTACCCGATCCGGTTGCCGTCGTCGTCCTCCTCCGCTATGCCGAGGCCAGCGCAGATCAACGACAAGCCTTGCGTCTCCATCTTCAGCCGGCGATTTTGTTCCGAGCTTGCTGCGGTAAGGTGACAGAAATGGAGAGATTGAGAGAGGATTGACTGGGCGTCAGTCGCTGAGAGAGAGAGAAAGGGGCTAGGGCTTTTGAGGCGGGAATTTGGAGGAAAATTTTCCCGCGCTTGTTGAATGGAGAGTGAAACTGAAGACGTGACGTAGGCACGTAGCGGCATGAAATGGATAAGTCATCAGTCACACCAGCTCGGCGGGCCGGGTGATCTAAATTAAAATGGGCTTTGGGCCCGTCTGTCAGTTCTGCAATGATCCTACCGGCGGCCCATCTTCTTTCACTTCAAATACGGCACCGTTTCAAAGTCAAAGCCAGGCAGTCAACCAAGAATCAGGGAAAAATGCCGGACGTTTTGAACTGTGACACAAAGCTTCAAACGGGCAACAAGACTGTCTTCATTCTTCAACTAATTCCCTGTCGACACAAACTAGGCGGCTCCCTCCTACCTCTTTGTTCCCTTCCTCTTCGAGCTTTCCGCCAAAAATCCACTGGCCGATTTCTCCAATCAAACCTCTCCCCATCCTTAAAACCTTCAGCTCAGAGCTGTTTCCCCTGTGCCGCATTCGGCAATACCCTGTTTTTTCATCCCCATTTGGAAGCTTCTCACGGCCAATGGCGCAAGTGGTGGCTACCAAATCGATTCACGGCTCGCTGCTGAGCCCTGGCTCTTCTGGGTCGCTGCAAGAGCGAGCTGCGAGGCTGAAAGCTTCAAGCTTTTCCAGCTCCAAAGCGTTCGGGCTCGAGAATGAGAAGAAGAGGAGCATTGGAGTTGCTCGTAGAAGCACACCAATGGCGGCTGTCACGAGATCGGTCCGCGTGGAGCCTGAAGTGGTTCCCGTCTCGCCCGAAGATGTTCCAAAGGTTAGCTCTCTTGACTCTGGTAGTTGGGTCTCCAATCAATTTTCCAGCTGTTGAGGAAATGAGGCGCCTTTTTTGGTTTTCCTGTCCATTTGGGGCTGATATCTAGTTACATTTTTTGCCCCATTTTGCTTCGAATTAGAGAGCGGAGAGATTTATGGAGTTGCAGCAGTTTGGGGATACTTCAGTGGGAGTGTTGTCGAAGCCTACAGTGAAACGGAAGACGAAGATCGTTTGCACCATTGGGCCTTCGACGAATACGAGGGAGATGATCTGGAAGCTGGCTGAAGCTGGAATGAATGTGGCTAGAATGAACATGTCTCATGGGGATCATGCTTCCCATCAGAAAGTGATTGACTTGGTTAAGGAGTATAATGCTCAATGCAAAGACAATGTGATTGCCATTATGATTGATACCAAGGCAGGTTTCGCCTCTTTCCGGGCTTTTGCGATTTCCCTTTTGCTATCTTGAAATGCATTTGCAATGGGATTATGTGTTTGATTTGGATAACGTATGTTGATTACAGGGCCCTGAGGTTAGGAGCGGCGACTTGCCCCAACCGATCATGTTGGCGAATGGCCAGGAATTCACTTTCACAATTCGTCGAGGAGTTGGAACAGTTGATTGTGTGAGTGTGAACTATGATGATTTTGTCAACGATGTTGAAGTCGGTGACATGATTCTTGTTGATGGTATGTTCACGATGACCGGAACTTTAGCAATCTGTGTAACTGATGGTTTGGAGTAGGAAGACCTAACTCCAATTGACATTGTTTGTTGGCTCTTTAAACATTTTAGGTGGCATGATGTCTCTGCTTGTGAAGTCGAAGACCGAAGATTCAGTGAAGTGTGAAGTTGTTGATGGGGGTGAACTGAAGTCTAGACGCCATCTTAATGTTCGAGGAAAGAGTGCCACATTGCCTTCCATCACTGGTCTGGACCCCAGAACTCGTCTTGTGCTGTTTAGTGGCTAACTATTTTTTGGATTTGGTCTTGACTTCTTTTTGCTAATTCCTTGCCAGACAAGGATTGGGATGACATAAAGTTTGGAGTGGACAACAAAGTAGATTTCTATGCTGTTTCGTTTGTCAAAGATGCACAAGTTGTTCATGAGTTGAAGAATTATCTCAAGAGTAATATTTGGTTCACTTTGCTTGCTTATACATGAAATTGAATTGAATTCATATGATGTAGTCAAACCCCAATGCCGTAACCGTGATCCTACTATTCTGCAGGCTGTGGTGCAGATATTCACGTTATTGTAAAGATTGAAAGTGCAGATTCAATACCCAATTTGCACTCTATAATCACAGCATCAGATGGGGTAAGCAATTGGATATGTACATTGTATTTTACATGCCATATCTTGCAGTATTGATCGACTAAAGGGGAATGGTCGTCTTATGTAGGCAATGGTTGCAAGAGGGGATCTTGGAGCAGAACTCCCAATTGAAGAAGTTCCACTTCTGCAGGTTAATAATTCAACTTTCATGGCTGGCTAATGCATCCAAGTCCACAGAAACTCATGTCTTCTTTCATATGAAATTTTAGGAAGAGATAATCCGATTGTGCCGAAGCATGGGGAAAGCTGTTATTGTCGCTACCAATATGTTGGAAAGTATGATTGTACATCCTACTCCAACCAGAGCTGAGGTATCAGATATTGCAATTGCTGTTCGAGAGGGTGCGGATGCAGTCATGCTTTCTGGAGAAACTGCTCACGGAAAGTGAGTGGCTTTCGCTTCCTGTGACCTTTATATTGGATGTTTTAAGACGGATCATGGGAAGTAAGAATCTTTGCTTTGTTGCAGATTCCCGTTGAAGGCTGTAAAGGTTATGCACACAGTCTCATTACGGACTGAAGCAACTTTGTCCCGCGGGCCAATGCCAGTTGATCTTGGCCAAGCTTTTAAGGTATGTGATAGATGATGAGTCTCAGCTTGTTCATCGAGCTGATTATCAGCTATTAACAGTTAAAAGCTTGTTATCGTCCACAGAATCACATGAGTGAGATGTTTGCATACCATGCAACTATGATGTCGAACACTCTTGCGACATCAATCGTTGTCTTCACCAGGACCGGCTTCATGGCTGTTTTGCTTAGCCATTATCGACCTTCAGGGACAATTTTTGCTTTCACTAATGAGTAAGTGTTGCATTGTCCAGTTTCTAGACAAGTGAATAACTATAGTGAACGCTATTTTTTATTTAGAGGAAATACTTATCCAAATGGCAGTGTCCTTCAAGGAACTACATTGCTAATTAGATGTATCCAATGGCCATGCAGGAAAAGAGTACAACAGAGGTTGGCAGCCTATCAAGGAGTATGTCCCATTTACCTTGAATTCTCTGATGATGCTGAAGAAACCTTTGCAGATGCCTTGAAACTACTAAAGGCAAGCTTTTGCTACATAAACTGAGCTTCATTTTGTCTTGCTCAATCCGTAGTATTCTAAGCATGATGGATCATCGTGTCAACCATACTCTAGTTCTTGGGTTTGCTTATACCTATTCTGGATTTTTATTGTGCAGGATCAAGGAATGGTTAAGGCAGGCGAAGAGGTTGCTCTGGTTCAAAGTGGCAAGCAACCCATCTGGCGATTCCAGTCGACTCATAATATCCAGGTCCGCGAAGTATAGTAGAGACAACAAGGATAACAATCATCAAATGATTCTCACTCTTGTGCAATTCTAGATGAATCTGTAGATTAGTTTTACTGAATTCTGCTTTGCTCTGTATCAAGCATTTTGTAGCATGTATCTGAAGAAACTAGTGGATGTTCAAATCAAAAGCATAATGTTTACTTTATTATTCCTTGTTTTACAAGGATTCCCAATTTGGAAAGTTATCTCATTTCTCATACACTTTTCTGAATGGATGAAGTATACCCATTCTGAAGATCCCAATACCTAGACCAAAGCATAACCCCTCCATACTTGGGTGACTTCTTGATCAGCGGAAGAATCTGAGATGTCAGCACATCCGGCGGAACATACCCACTACCAGCTGCCTGAGGAGCCGCCGGCAAACCCAGGAATATCTTGCCAGCTTTAATCGAAGTCGTCCATCGATTCCAGGAACTCACCAGGCTGTTTATGTCACCTGAACCTGAAGAGTACTGGCAAGGAGGGTTGTTATAGAACTGGATCCACACATAGTCGAACAACCCTGTATTAAGAGCATTCCCCAAGTTCCTGTCGGGGAAAGGACACTGAGGAGCTGCAGTCAGGTACACCTTCCGACGACCCCTCTTGCAATACGCAGACAAGTACCGCGCCAGATCCTCCCAGTACAGAGTAGAGGCCTCGATGTCGAAATCGATTCCGTCGAAGACAGCATCCCCCAATGGACGAGATGACGACTTCCCTCCCAGGAAGTTGTTCCAGAGGTACTCCGCCACACCCTTGGCATCTGCTCGAGACGCCAACGAGTAGTTCCCGATGCCACCTCCCAATGAGAGCATTACTTTGATTCCTCTCTTCTGGCAGTCTCGTATCCCGGTGCTGATCCCCTGGCAGCCGTTGGAAGCCGGGTTGCAGTGGCCTGCGAGGTTGAGCTCTGGGGTCTGCCCGTTGCCAAAATTGTTGAGGAAGGCTATGTTGACATAGGCGTACTTTCCGGTGGCACATGTCTCCGAGAGGGTCCCTTCGTTGCCGTTCTGGCCCCAGTAGATGGCCACCCCACCAGCGGCGGAGCAGGACTGGATTACTGACAGCAGAAGGATTTGAAGGAGAACAATGAGCATTTTGGGCTGGGAATTCTTCACCATTGTTGCTCTTCGAGGATAATGAAGGTTTGAACTTTGTTGATGTAGATGACAGAAGGCTGGTGCTTCTTTATATAGAGACCTGTAGAGTGCAGGCCAGTAGCCTGGTGGGTGTGATCAGACGGTCTGATTTCGCTGACTTCACCCCCTCAGATAACTAAAATATAGTTGTTTTTTTTTTTTTCCCAGCAGTGGGCGACAGAGAGAATGGGAGAACAATTCAGCTTAGAAGACCGAAGAAAAGTTCAAAGAGAGCAACTGCATATGCAATGGCGCTGAATGTGTATGCACTACGGTCGTGCAAGGACATTTATGAAGATGGGGAGGATATTGGAGTTGACCAATCAAAGTACAGCAAAGGTTGAGCAACTTGCATTTGATAAATTAGGAAAGGTGAAATGGAGGATGGAGGCTGATTTCTGAATGGTTGACTTGGAAATGCAATAGTCCTACTAGTGGGGTAAATCATGCCAACCTTATCGGTGCTGGTAAGCCAATAAGCCATTCTTTGAATGATCTGCAGCGCTGCCATGACTGTTGATAGATTGAAGTCTTGCACTTACAGCAGAAGAACACCGATACGATTACAATTCGATTGGCCATTGTTGGGGAGCATTGATGAACCATTGAAGTGTTGTCTTGTTTATTCGTGCTTGCAGCTTGTACTTGTTAGTTTGGGGCTGCTGTGCATTATGAAATCACTTCACATCTGGCCTAAGCCCAATTATTTCATCGAATGCACACGATTTCACAGCTGCTCCAGGCTTGGAGCTGGCTGCCTGCGACCCAACCAAATACGGTCCCTCCGTTTTTTCCTGTAGTCCATCACTTGACATGAACTCTCCAAGCAACCGGAACTAGGAACTGCTGTTCAGTCGCCTTCTGATGACAAAATCGCCACCTTCTTCACCAGTAATCTCCACAAGAGCAGATTCCGTTGGAGAAACGATGGAAGCGGTTGGTATCTCTAACAATGATCTCACGTCCAGTGATCTTGGACATCAGCTTGATAGCAACATGACAATCCCCACAAACACGGAGATTCTTGGTGATTCTGATCGTCATCCCAGGCTTAGTATTCAGAAGAGCGAACACAATGGCCAACTTCTCACTATGAACCACCAGATGCCCTTCTTTATCCTCTTCCTCCACGTCATGTAAAGCAGAATTAGTCTCTGGAGTGTAACCCAACTCCTTCATCTTCCCAACCAAGGCATCGAGCTCCTCGTAGATCTCCTTGGACTGTGGATGAGACCGATCACCAGCGAGAAACGAATGAACTCGGCCTTCAATCTCAACATTACTAATCGCTGGCACTTTTGTGATTCCTTTGCTCATCATAACTGATCTGATTATATCCACATTCTGCCATTTGCCAGCCTTGGCATAGATATTGGATAGCAACACGTAGTAGCCTGATTGCTCGGGAGCTAGTTTGAAGAGCTGGTCAGCTGCTAGGAGCCCAACATCCATGTTGGAATAGACGCTGCATGCAGATAAAAGTGCCCCCCAAACTCGTTCACTTGGCACCATAGGCATCTGCGTTATGAACCGATACGCCTGGTCTATTCGCCCAGCTCGCCCCAGAAGATCTACAACACAAGCATAATGTTCCACCATAGGCGGTATCCCGTGCTCAGCCATTAGATCGAAGTAGTACATCCCTTTATCCACTAATCCTGCATGACTGCAAGCAGCCAGAACTGAAACGAATGCAATCGAATCAGGATTCAAACCGGATTCCTGCATTTGTGAGAAGAGCTGGACAGCTTGATCCCCTTGACCGCTTCTGCCATAAGCAGAGATCATCGAGGTCCATGAAACAACGTCACGAACCTGCATTTCATCAAACACTTTTCTTCCCTCAATCAAGCACCCACATTTGGCGTACATATCGATCAGGGCATTCTCCAGAAGCAGATTAGGACGGAGGGCCTTTCGTACTACATAATCGTGGATTTTCCTTCCTAACGATGCAGCTGAAACGTCTCCACATGCTGGGAGAACTGTGGATATAGTGACTGCATCAGGTTCCAAGCCCTGCACCTCCATCTGCGAAAACAGATCGACTGCTTCATTAGGCATGGAGTTGTTCACGTACACGGAAATCATCACGTTCCAAGGAACCAAGCTCTTGTTGTTCGCCATCTTCGTAAACATGTCCTTAACATAGGACACGTTGTCCTGCGATGTGTTTGTCACCGCAGGCGAGAGGCTAGCCATCGTGGAAGAATCAGGTTTCATTTTGGCAGCTTCCATCTCTCTACAACAACCCAGTGCCTCATCGAACCGTCCGCTCTGAGCATACCCAGCGACCAAGGAGTTCCACGTGACCACATCTCTATCGGGCATTTCATCAAGCACTTGGCGGGCATCCTTCAAGCGCTTGCACTTCCCGTACACAGCCACCAGACAGTTGTTAATAAACCGATTGGAATCCAGCCCGACTCTAACAATGCAGCCGTGAATCTGAACCCCGAGCCGCAAATCATCAGACCCTGAACACGCCTTCAGAACGCAAGGAAACGTGTAGTGATCGGGAGCGAATCCGAGACTCCACATGCTGTGGTAAACAGCCAGAGCCTCCCGGTGAAGGCGGTTGTTGACGTAGCTCCTGATCATGACGTTGAAGAAGACGACATTCTTGTCGGCGATTTCGTCGAACACATGGCGTGCGACTCTGGGACGGCCGCAAGCTGCGTAGGCCCTCATCAGCTTGATCCCGAGCGAAGGATTCGAGCGTAGATTGTGGTCAACCAAGATCATGGAGTGCAACTTCCTCAACGTTGCGAGGTCTGGGAATTCGTCCAGAGTTTTGCCGCATGTGTCTTCCGTCAGACATGCGCCGCCGACTCCTGGAGCCGGTTCGCGGTGGAGGCATTGAACCAAGTTTCGAATCCGTTGAGCGCCGGAGAAATGGCGGGAAATACGATCTGCAACTTTCATGAACGGGAACGGGAACAGAAAGAACTTTCTTCTCATGGTAACCCTTTTGGCCTTTTCCTTTCCGTATTACTCATTCCGAAGCCAAGAAGGAGACGAACTAGTTTTCATTTCTCTCTATAAATATACGAGCCATTTTCCTTTCACCTTAGAAAAGCACAATGTCGTGGGCTAATCTTCCAACTGAGGTTCGCGAAGAAAAATAAACGAGCCGAGTTTTGAACGAACTTTTCTTGAGTCGAAAGCCGAGCCGCTCGCGAACAGCTCCACTCATTTGCAGCCCTGAGTACAAATAGGTCAGGTAAACCAAGTTAATTGATTGGTGATCTTTGACATTCATTTGGTTTTTCTTCCGAAGAGCACTTACAATTGTAGAAACTCGCTAATAGCTAGCAAAGAAATGTTCTTCTTAGTATTGATTTATTTTCAGTAACCTTGATGGACCTAAAATCATCCATTACTTTCATCATAATTATCTTACAAACTAATCATGTGGAATCATATATAACTCAGCTATCATCATTCTTAACTTCAAAGATGATAAAACGAGAGGAAAAACGGACCTGTGTTACTGATTTTCTTATCCTTGGACTTGATTGGCACCATTTGCCCCCTGCTCTCCAGCTTCCCCTTGCGCTCCATCTTCCGCCAGCTCTGCCCTACCCGAACCAAATTCATTAAATCAGTATAAAACATTGAAATTATAGGGGCATAATTGATTATCCAAGAATCAACCTCTCTCTTCTTTCACGCGCATCGTACCTTGCAAGCTTTTCCTCTGATATCCTTCTGTTTTTGGCGTCCTTTGCGTTGATTTGGCTTTTCTTCTTGTCAATGCTTGGTCGTTTGTCACCTTTCTCATTCTTGGTAGAACCAGTCATTACAAGAGTTAATAAGCTAGGGTTCTTGACAGGAGAATTGTGTTTGCAATTGGGGTTTTGAACTGCGGGTGTTTCTGCAAGCTGGGGAGTGATAGCGACGATGGGTACTGTGTTCTCACTTATAACACAAGGGTGAATTAGGGAAAACAAGATGTCTGTTTGTTGCCTCTTCCATTTTCCACAGTGTTTTCTCATATTTATATTGTTTTCCCTAATTTGGAAGAGGCAACAAACACACACCTTGTTTTCCCTAATTCACCCTTGTGTTATAAGTGAGAACACAGTACCCATCGTCGCTATCACTCCCCAGCTTGCAGAAACACCCGCCGTTCAAAACCCCAATTGCAAACACAATTCTCTTGTCAAGAACCCTAGCTTATTAACTCTTGCAATGGCAGGTTCTACCAAGAATGAGAAAGGTGACAAACGACCAAGCATCGACAAGAAGAAAAGCAAAATCAACGCAAAGAAGAACGCCAAAAACAGAAGGATATCAGAGGAAAAGCTTGCAAGGTACGATGTGTGTGAAAGAAGAGAGAGGTTGATTCTTGGATAATCAATTATGCCCCTATAATTTCAATGTTTTATACTGATTTAATGAATTTGGTTCAGGTAGGGCGGAGCTGGCGGTAGCGGCAGAGGCAGCGCAGGCGGCACAGCTGGCGTAAGATGGAGCGCAAGGGGAAGCTGGAGAGCAGGGGGCAAATGGTGTCAATCAAGTCCAAGGACAAGAAAATCAGTAACACATGTCCGCTTTTCCTCTAGTTTTATCATCTTTGAAGTTAAGAATGATGGTAGCTGAGTTTGGCAGTTGAGTTTGGCAATAGTTTGAATGTAGCTTTGAGTTTTTCCCAGCTTCCCGTGACACTAGGGAATTTGTCAATCTAGAAGAATCACAGAACACTTATAATCAATGAGCAAGCAGAATTACATCAAACATAAAAAGTTATCATATGAATATGTGAGGGTATGATAAATCCTACCAAGCTAGTGCCATAAGTTTCTGTCTTCGCGTGTCTCCTGAGAAATCAACAGCCCATATACACAAGCAAGTCACAATCATCTGCAGCAGACAGTCAATCTCGTAAGGGCTAAAGCTAATAAGGTAAAATCAAGTCAAAGCAAAAGTGATTTAGACTTAGGTTGTGTACCACATTGACCCTGTACGATGAAATGTTTGTTCTAAGCTGAGAGGCCGACCCAGAATTCGATGCAAATGAAGCAAACCTGACTGAACAGATTCAGAAGTAGCAATCAGACGTAAGTTCTCCATTCTAACCTGAACTGCCATAATCAGATGAGTATTTTTGGATACCGAAAAATACAAAGTACATAACATTGAGCAGAATCTGAGGGCTTACAAGTTCTGCGTTTTAGCGACCAGAGATAAAATCAGTACCGCCAGAGCGATGGCCAACACATACATCCAATCTGCTAGAACCTGTCACATATATCAGATGCACAGGTTATGTCTCCTTCTAAACTACAAGCTGCAAAATTATTTAAGCACAATGGAACCAACTGCTTTCTATAGCTAACCAAACCAGTCATGCAATTATCAGTCTCCAATGCAAATGCAGCAGATAACCTTACTTGGATTTCAATATCGGACTCCACTCTCAACTCAACTATGCTACAAAGGGATCACATTGAAATCTCATGATCTATACTATGATCAGAATTTGAGTCCAGGAAGCAGCATAAGAGCATGGAAGAGATTACTTACTTACTTACAGTCAGGACCATAAGAGTTGGGGACAATGAGGGGAAAAGGAAATCCAAAGGCAGCAACTTTCATCATCATCATCATCATCTCTCTTCGTTGCATCTGTAAAAGTTGATAATCAAACAAAAAGACACGAAATTTAGCAAACTATCAGTGAGATCCCATCAAAAGCACCAAGCTTTTTCTCTCTCGCTCGACTTACTGCTCTTGTGGGCTGAAGCAGAACGCCGCGTCGGAGAAGGAACAGAGCCTAACCCAATACCGCAGAAACAACAGAGAAGTTGCAGCAGCTATCATTGAAATGAAGAGAAGAAAATGGCGAGGGAGGGAATTGAAAAGGACGAAAGGGGGGAAAACGTACAGGGACGATAGCGGAAAGCGAGGCGACCTCAAGCCATTGAAATTGCTCACGAATCTGAATCGAAAAGAGGGCATCAGAGTGAAAGATCAGATACAGGGGAGGAAGAAATTGAGGAAAAGGTTGCGAAAAGGGATTGTTTTCCCTTACTCTTCCTTGAGGAGGAGCTTGTGAGGATAGAGGGAATTGGAGACGGCGGAGGGAAACCCAAGCTCTGGTGAGGCAGTATAGGATTGAAAAGCCCCCAAACACTGAAAAGCCCCCAAGGGCTCCCACTACCCAAAACCCGGGTCAATTACAAAACCGGTCACTAAACTTTAGGGTTGTTAACGAACCAAGCTATTCGCATACAGCTCGGTCTCGAACTCGATAAAAGCTCGTCCGATTTAATAAAAGTTTGATTCGTTTATTAACGAGCCGAGCTTGATCTCGACATTGTTCGGCTCATGAGGCTCGTGAACTAGCTCGATTAGGTGGCTTGTGTTAGTTCGGCTCATGAACTATCTCGTTTTGAGCTCATGAGATGTCTGAACATTGCAACAAGGTAAGCCAACTTGATTACGACTTATGAGAAAATCGATCTATATCTTATGAGTTGGTTTGTTAATGATGCGTATATTTATTAAATTGTATATCACACCTCATGTGATGTTTAATAATCTGAGTATGTGAGCAAATATGTCTAGTATATGACATGAAAATCAGTTAATCGCATGTATACATATATAAAGTATAATTATTAGGGTATTTAATTCATAAATTATCTTACAACCAATACACAGATGAGTTAACTAACACATGCATGGAAACCTCACATTTGTTCTGATTCAAATTAAAATCTGGAAGGGAGTGATTATCATCCAATGACCAGCCCATCCAATTGTCTGGTTCAATCTTATATGCAGCAGATCTCAATAGCATAGCTGAGGTACATTCCTCGTGCACAAGAAAGCATATTGAGTAGAAAGAGTTGCCTGAGTAGCAAGAGCTAGCACTCAAAATTGAGCCTAGGTTTGGGTCTGGGAGTCGAGGGTTTACCTAACCAGCCATATCAACCCAACTCCTCCCAGCTTCTTTTACACCAGAAGCTTTTGCAGTTTCCCTCACTCTGTCGAGATCGTCCCACATTTCCATCGTTGCATAAGCATTTGAGACCATTACATACACAGACGGATCATCAGGAAAGGCAACATGGGGGGGTTTTCAGCTATACCACTAATCATCTCACTGTTCTTATGAGTAACGCAAGTTGCAAGCAAGGAGCTCCATATCGTTTTGTTAGGCCTAAGTGGCATCTCAGTAATCAACTTCTTTGCCTCCTCTAACAGCACAGCTTGACCAAGTAATTCCACCATGCAGTAATAATGTTCTACCTGAGGTTCAAGTCCGTGATCAGATATCATGGACCGGAATAGCCTCCACCCATCTTCGACCAGACCTGCATGTCTACATGCGGCAAGAAGCCCTAAGAAGGTGACTTCATTTGGCTCTACTCCTGACTTTATCATCTCTTGGAATAGCTCAAGAGCTTCACTGGCTTTTGCCATTCTGTCCACACCCGACAATGATCCCCGTCCAACACACGACATCCCTATCAGATAGACCATTGAAGAGAGCTATAATCTCTTCAATTTCACCACGTTTTGAGTACATATCAACAAGAGCTGTGGCTGCTACTGCTTTGGTTTCATATCCTGCCTTGATGCAGAAGGCATGAATTTGTTTTCCCTTTCCAAGAGATGACACACTTGAACAAACTTTCAGCATGGCAGAAACAACAAATTGATCTACTTCAAGGCCTAAACTGACCATATCTCTGTACAGGGAAAAAGTTTCTGAGCTCACCCCTGCTTTGGCGCATCCTATTATTAATCCAGACCAAGCTATGGAGTCTTGCTCGGGAAGCCTGTCAAATATTGCAAAGGAGTCCTTCATTCTCCCCAATTTTGCATATAGATCAGTAGCAATGCTGCCCACAACACAATCTAACTCGTACCCACTGATGACAATAAGACCGTGAACTTGAACTCCAAGCCCGAGGTTACACAAGTTGATGCAGACCTTCAATGCACTACTCCAAGTATAGGAGTCAAAAAGAACACCAGAATGATGGATGCTAGAAAGCAAATTCAGGGCTTGGATATGTTCACCATTCCCCACATACCCAGAAACCATAGCATTCCAGAACGACAAACTCAAACAATTTGACCCGTTTCTGGTGCAGTAACTTTCAAACAATCTAACTGCTTCATCTAAAGCACTGGAATTTGAATACATATCCACTAGTGCAGAGAGGGAATAAGAGCAACTCTCGAAACCCGACTTTAACGCATAACAGTGTATTTGCTTTCCCATGGCAAGAAAACCAACATGACCACCACAAATTTTAAGAGCACAAGGGAAGGTGAACTCGTCGAGCTTAAGGCCTTCCTGGTGCATCTTACACACGAAATCTAGTGTCCTTATGCTCCCATTGTCTGCCAAACCAGCAATGACAGTGTTCCAGGAAGCAACATTTGGGTCTGGCATTTGCTGAAACATATCCACCGCTTCCTCCATCAAGCCCTGCCCACAGTACCCTGAAATTAGTGTATTCCAAGAAGTGGTATTGGCAACAGAAAGCATCCCATCAAAAACTCTCCTTGCATCACTCAATCTACCACATTTGACGTACATGTGCAAAAGGGTATTCATCAGAATGACGTCCTCTTCCAAATTCTCTTGACTAATCCTCTCGTGTATCTGCCTACCCAGTTGAACATCACCCACCAGCCCACACGCCTTCAACACAGCGGAGTACATGAACCCAGTAGGCATCACCGACTGAGCGTCCGACATCTTGTTGAACAGTTCTATGGCATCATGAGGCTTCCCGCCCCTGGTGCAGGCATAGACCACTGATGTCCAAGTAACAATGTTTCTCACGGGCATTTCATCGAACAGCTTCCTGGCATCGGTCAGCTGGGTGAAATCAGAGTACAAAGTGATTAGATTGTTCATCATGTCAACATCCCCTGGACAAAACCCAATTTTTATCAGGTGGGAGTGAAATGACTTGCCGTGCTTGAGAGCGTGAAGCGTTCGGCAGCAGCGCAAAGCTTCCACTATGTACTTCAAATCTATTACCCTTTTACCGGTACTTCAACTCTCTTTCAATTCCAGAAGCACAAATCCTGCATTTCAGAGCAAAAATGTGCAAACTTGCTGATACAGTGCAATCCCCTGGGCCGTGCCAAGTTGGGCTGAGTCATGGACTTATTGGGCCAATGTTACAACTCCTTAACTCTTGTACTAAATTTCTGAAATCTGAATTACTTACAAATGAAGAACACTAAACTATAATGTGAGAAGAAGAGATGTTAGAACCTTAAAAATGAATAACTGAATGAGCAACCAAAGTTGCCAAACTAGAACTGAGTTAGCATAGTTAGAACTGCTGGCAAAAGAAGCCAACATCATATCATTAATCTCGAAACAGAGCCTTAGACACTGAACCACAAACATTACCGCCACCTTGCTTCTTCATCTTTTCATTGCTGCTGCTGCTGCATTCTCCTTCCTTTAATGATCTATCTTTCCCAGTCATGGGAGTCTCCATAACTACATCAAAGCTCCCTCTTCTACGTGCATCTCTCTTCGAGTGCCTTCGATCATACTTGGGTTTCATGGATTTCGGCTGCTGCTTGGGAGCCCAAACTTTGTGAAGGTCTGGAACCCAACTGGTGAAAGAAGAAAATCTCTTTGCTCTCTGTCTTCTCTCCCGAGCTTCCAGCAGTTTTCTGGCATGATCATCATCCTGTTTCATCTCATTGTGTTCTGCAGGGATTGGATCGTTCATTCTTGTCATTCTGTTGTTCCTCTCATCTTCTGTCTCCAGTCTTTCTTTCAGAGAGTGATTGCTATCCTCGCTGTTGAGCAAAGGGTTAGAGGGTTCTTCCTCGTCTTCGAACAGCAAAAGATCTAATTTTTCATAGATCCTGTGGACAACTTCACCCAGACTGTCACAATACCTGAAAGTTTTGACAAAATAAATAACTTAACACTGATTACTGCATACCCTCTCAACCAACAATACAGGTGCCAAGATTAACCAAGGGAATGTTGGTTGATGGATCTGGGTGATGGATTATTGCCCATAGTCCATCAGCATGTGCATTCCCCAAATCTCTTGTCTATATGGTCTGTATTGCTGGTGGCATAGAGAGCTAATATATGCATGAGTGGATTTGAAAATATCAACTTCGGCAATCACCCATGAGGAATTTTTTCCAGAGAATAGTACTTGAAAACCTGATTAGATATTTCAAGAGACCATAAAGCTTGATGCATTGTATTGGCTTGTCATACACATATCTAGCACATTTGAACACCTAAACCTGGGTAGAATTAGCTGACCATATTGTTAATTCATTTCCTACTACTCTGGAAAGCGTTGCTAAGTTCTCGACACCCAGAAGGCACACTATATCAGTTCATAAGATAGCCATACCTACTTTTTATGATCCTCCCTATGTATTTATCAAGACTCCAATCACCAAAAAACCCTCCTTCAAGAAGGCATTGAATGCTCTCTAAACAGGAGCAAATTTGCTTCACAAACTTTTGTTTCGAGGACTCCTTGATACTAGCTCCGATGTCTGATCGCAGCATCTCCATGCGAAATAAAATCTGCAGCTCGTATCTTAAGATTGATTAAGGAAAATTTCAGAAGTTGCTAGCATGATTACCATTAGGAAGTGCATATTATCGAAAATGCATAAAAAGAACGTTAAATTTTAAAAAGGATACTCTCTAACTAATCTATCTGAGTCAACCTCAGTTGAACTTGGATTAGATGCCTTGGCAGCCAAGTCTTTAGGCTCCTTCACTAAAAGTGTCATTAACTGCCTTGAAACCACGCTACTCATAGCATCCTCAGTTGATCTCGGTTCTTTACTTTGAACCTCCTCATTGGTTTCAGTTTCAAATTTTTTATACAACCAAAATACAGAAGAGTTAACTAGTCGCTCGGCCAAAGAACCCAGGTCCACATCATCAGATGCAAGTCCCTGTTGAATTTTATGAGGGAGATCATCTAGGAAACTTTCCAAAGTTTGTGACTGAAATTCATTACCAACCTCATCTTGCACTCGAGAAGCCCCAGTCAAAGAATCCTCTCCGACTGAAGCAGAAGATGCAATCGGCCGTTGTGCAACATCCTCAGGTAACTCATTCAATCTGTCTTCTGATTTTGGGGGATCGTCATAGTGTAGCTTATCATTATCTGTAATGGTGACACTACTAGACTTCTTAACTTCTTTCATCCAGCATTTGAGAAATTTCAACTTCTTTGACTTGTTGCTTGCCTTGACAAAGTAAACATCTTCCAGATCTATCTGCAAGTGTTCCAGTGCTGCCTTACAGAAGTCGGACCAAGTAAGGTCCTGAAGCTTATTTAAACTCTTTTTCGACTTCTTTTTCTTCCTGTCATCAGAACCTCCAATTAGAAACGGTTTTCCACAAGGCATAGGTCCAGAACTAGAGCCAATATGTGATCTGCCAGAATCCATTATGGAGTTCACGGTGCCTTGGTCCATATCTGCATCAACTTGAACAGGAGGTCCACTATTAAGTCCATGAACCTTGAACTTGTCAGATTTGATCCACAGGAGAGCTGAAGAGACTGTGAAAGGCTTCAGAATTCCAGCAAGTGAGCAGCCATTGCCATTTGAAAGAGACACCAAACCCCAATAGCCCTCCCTATAAAGGAAACTCAAGAGAATTTGCCAAATGGGTCCAGACCTCTTTGTTAGTGATTCCAACATTTCTGGTTCCAACATTTGAAGAACCTTATCTTCAAACAACTCACTCTTATTTCCATGTTGTTCTTTCTCTATACGCCCAGAAACTTCATGTACTACAACTGGAACAGGCAGGTACCCTCCAGATTTGACATCTACAGCATCCATTTTGACTGCCTTCACATGGAGTTTTGAGTTTCCATCACCAAATACTTCCCAAACTGACTTTTCCTGTTCAGAGCTATCTAATTTAGGAAAACTGTTTGAACCAGACAGTTCAAGGTCACAGCACTTGCACTCCAAAGGCTTTCCATTCACGTCTAGTATCTCAAGACTCAACCCTGCAAGAATCATCTTCGAGCAACAGAAATCAATGGCCTTTGGCGAAATCCCGATCTTTGGATAAATCAACCCAAATGGAACCACTGCAGACCCCAGCACAACATTATCACTGGAACAAAAGCCCCATCCTAAATCCCTAATCCCACTCTCAAAAACGCCAGATCTAACCGGAGATTCATCACAACCATCATTACCTTCCCAACTACCGAGCGGACACTTCACATCAACCCAGCTGAAATGAATATCTCTACTCACAAACGCATCATTCACACCCCCAAATAATCCACGATACCTGCAAGTGAACTCCTTCACATCTCTCAAGCACTCATCATCCGTATCCACACCCAAAAACTCCGACAATCCATTCAGAGACTTAATAAGGGGGGAAAACAGAACAACCAAATTCGACCTAACTGGAGAGAACCCACAATTCAATGGCGCACCGTCAATCGAGCTCGAGACGACCGAATCCCAGGCGTAGTCATGAATCAGCTGGCGGATCGAGGCCGCGAGATGGGAAGCCCTCGAGAAACGGCATCCACTCCAGTCAATTTTGGAAATAACGGACGAATTGAGGGTTTGGGAGAGCGAGTCGTAGGTGGAAGCAGGGCGGTCGAATGAGAGCGAAGACGGAGACGGGATCGGAAGCTTGGAGGAAGAGAGGAGGGGAGACAGGGAAGAGAAGAAGAGCTTGAAGGAGAAGAGAGAGGAAGCTAGAGGAGGGAAAGTGACCAGGATTCTGATGGCGGAGAGGAGAGAGTCGATGTAAGGGCGCGGGTCTGGGAAATGGAGAAGTGGGTTTAGGTCGACGAGAAGGACCACGCGCTGGGTTTTTCTGTAATCTGTGACTGAGTCGATGGTTTCCGCCATTGCCGAGGAGATGGAATTCCGGTCAGAGCAATCGCCGGAGGAAAATTTCCGACGGAGGAGGAACTGCTTGCTTGAGGGGCGGCGGAGGGAATGTGAGAGTCGTATTGGTGACAACACGAAGCCGTTTCGTGAAATTTTGGATCGAGCAATTTGAAGAGGCGAAGGTTGAAATGGCGGGATTTTCATTTTCTTTTCAACTTGTTTGAATGGCAAGGTCAAGGTTGTCAAACCGGTTTATGCCAGTGTGTCGGTTTAACAAATGGAATGGTTCGATCAGTGGCATATACGGGTTTGTGCCGGTTCATGTCGGTTAATATTACAAATAAAATTATAAATACTCATATTTAAACATGGCATTTAGCGTCAATATCTAAACATTTATACTTGAATCCAACAAATAACATCAATATTTAACTTTTATACTCATAAAATAAATAATAAATAATTTTTATCAATTAAATTCACGACCATATAATTTAGAGATTCATATATCTATCATGCCGGTTATACCGGAGGTGTCACGCTGATTTTATGACCGGTATCAGTTGAACTAGGTTCAACCGGTGGCACGCCGGCCGACGTGACAACCATGGGCAAGGTTGTCAAATTTGGGGACTGATATGATGGTCCAACCTGTTTTGGGGTTAACCCGGCTGACCAAAATCTATCAATGCCGAATATGACCCGGTTCGACCCCGGGCGCGGGGATGAAGATAAGAAACTGAAACTCACCCCGCTCCATTTCCTCCCCTTTCCCGCAGACACTGAAACTTCTCACAGGTGAAACCATAATCCCAAAATACAGATTCAATCGCAATGTCGTACATCTCTTCCTCCATTACCGGAACCACCAGCATCCCAGCGTTCTCCATCCGCTTCTCAACTCCTCCGTCCAAATTCAGCTCCCTCCCCACATTACACCCGTCTTCTTTCCGGCGGCCTTCGCCTTCCTGTCGCCGGAGAAAAGCAGTGAAGTTATTTCCCTGTAGGTCGTCGAATTTGGACGACGGATCGCCGGCGAGCGAGGAGGAGGACGACGATTGGCGGGAGAGGGCTCCGGATAAAAAGAAGCCACTCTACTCGCACAGCTTGCCTTGCATCGAGGCTTGGCTCGAGGAATTAGGGTTTCGCCAGAGCAAAGAAGACCGCGCCGTTTGGTTGGTGGAGAAGCCCGACTGGCGCGCTCAGCTCTCGCTCGATATGACCGACCTTTACATCAGGTACTTGAAGAGTGGACCGGGGAGCCTTGAGAAGGATGTTGAGAGGAGGTTCAGTTATGCTTTGAGTAGGGAGGATATAGAGAATGCTGTTCTTGGAGGACCTTAGTTCTTCAATCTTCCTTATGGTTTGCTGCATTACTTCATATTTGGAGCTTTGTTTCCTTGTTTTTGCCGTGCCTACTGCAATGAAGCTTTGAGACCGTAATATGAAGTGCTTTCCACTCATTCCAGTTGTGTTCTGTTTATTGAGTAATATGACACCTTAGTGATTGCAGAATTTCTGGCTTGATAATGGGTGTTGCTCTTTGCATGAATTGATTGCTTACATTCAATTTCTTGATAGGGGCTATTTTACAATCTAATTCTAGACTGAAGGTCTGGATATGGCTAACTAATAGTAGGAGCAGCAGTTTTCCTTCTCGCGCCTGGCTCCCCAGTTCATTTTGCAAGTTACTGATTAGTTACAACAGTTTCTGCAAGGCTACAACAACCAGAAGGTCTAGTTGCTGATTCGAGAGGAAAATTCTGGCACAACAAGGCTTCTCAGAAGTTCTTTTTTTGGGGGTCACTGGGACTCTGAAGATTGAGAATGAGACCAGTACTCTTTGACAAGCTGCCCGAACAAGGAGTCTTCCCTCTTCATTAGCTGCATAGGCTCATCATACTCCACCAGTCTCCCTGTTCACAAGCCAAGCAAAATCAGAATGAATTATTCTACATACATCAGCAATCAATCTCCAATGCTCTTGTTTTCAGCTGAGGAGCTGGAAGGAGGAATTTACCATCTTTAATGGCAAGCACCATGGTGCAGTCCATCACGGTTGGTATCCTGTGAGCTACTGTGATGACTGTGCAATCTGCAAACTCGGTCCTAATGGTTTTCTGCAGTATCAAGTCGGTTGCATTGTCTATGGAAGCTGTTGCCTCGTCGAGAACAAGGACTCGACTTCTCCTTAGGATCGCTCGGCCCAAGCAGAATAGTTGCCTCTGCCCCATGCTCCAGTTTGATCCATCCTCAACAACTGTTTGTTACAGATGGTTCTGAAGTGAGTGCTCACTCATCATTTGATCTCAAACCCAGAACCTAAAAGATAATAACTTCCACTAAGAATTACCTAAGGAGTCCAATCCCTCTTCTTTCTCCTGGATGGCCTCTCTTAGCTGGCACTTTCCTAGTACCTGCACAATGAAGACATTATAATATCTTCTTTCAGATTGGCAGGCAGTCCAGGATCGTACTACTACCCAGATGAATAACAGATTGCAAGATTTTCACCTCCCATATCTCCTGGTCAGTGTGCTGAGCTAAGGGGTCCAAGTTGTATCTCACAGTTCCACTGAATAAAGTGGGATCTTGAGGTATGATTCCAAATCTTGACCTAAGATCATGAAGTCCTATCTTGGTTATATCAATACCATCCACAACAATCTTGCCTCCTGCTGGCTCAACCAGACGGAATAGAGCACCAATGAGAGTGGTCTTCCCACTGCCGGTTCGCCCGACGATGCCAATTTTATGCCCTCCTTGGAATGTGCAACTGATCCCTTTAAGAACAAGTGGTGCTTCAGACCTATACCTTATCTGTTTCATTAAAATGGCAACTTCCTCAGTTGTGCTGACTTCTGTTTTTCACAATAGTTACATTAGAAGGATCCTGAGTGAAGTTCTTACCTTCAGGTCACAGATTTCCACTTTCCCCACTGATGGCCAGGATGGTGAGGGACGGTTTTCTTCAATCACTTCAGGGGCTTCACTGGGTATATGCATGTACTGATTGAGTCTTTCAACTGAAATGATGTAGTTCGCTAATGTGTTTTGGTTTTGAATTGAAAAGACAAGGGTCATGTTTAAGGAAAGACCGTAGGAGAGTGCCATTCCAATAAACCCTGCAGATAAATGACAGCTCAGAATTCAGCCAAGTCTAGTTTTTTTTCTAGAGAATGAAAGTTGAAAAAGAAGTTGGCATCTTTTTTCTTACCAGAGCTGAAAGTCCCGGGAGGCAGCAGAACCATGCAGAGAGCTGCAGAAGCTAGAACGGCTGCACTCATGGTCTCCAACCGTTGAATCAGCCACTCGTTTGCTGTGAAGCTGTGGAAGAAAGGACTAGCATTTTTGTCAATGAGGTCCAGGTTCTTGGCAAAGAAACGTTCCTCTTGTCGGAAAGCACGTATAGTTATTGCCCCTGCTACGGATTCCGCCAGATGATTTGCCACATAGGACTTAGTGGTGCCATTTATCCGCATGAACTCTTTCGCAGATGAGAAATAGTATTTCTGTGGAGAAGGATTGAACAGGTTATTGCTCTTTTCTTGTCTAGGAAATGTGGAAGAACAACAAAACCAGTTTCAAGAACATGGACCGAAAGACATGCCTGTAAACGAATTGCCAGATAAATCATTGGGATGGACACGAACAAGACTTGCCATGTGATAACCGCCAGAACTCCAAGATTAGCATAATTATTTGAGGTCGCCCCAACGGCCAAGATGAACCAGAATGGTACATCGAGGTCCACAATACTGAGATCAGAAGACACCTATGAAGCAGAAAGAATCCAAAGACGAAAGTTCAGTTCGTTGCTAATTCTTGGCATGTGGATTGGTTTGAATCTTCCCAACGTTTGCTTACCCGGCTAAGTATTCGTCCAAGAGGCGTGGAATCATAGAACGACATGGGTGCTCTGAAGAGGGAGTTGAGCAGCTGTGAGAAAAGCGACCTTGAAGATTGCATATTCAGAATTACAGTGGAGAGTCCTCTAGTAAGCAGAAACACTGTCGAGCCAACTCCAATTAGCAAGTAAACTCCAATCAGCTTCAACGTGCTAGTGTTTGGATTATCGATGTTGGCAGCCATCCACGAGTTCTGTGATACCTGACCAGCCACAAACGTGAGGTGACTAATGGCAGCTAGGGAGAAGTAGAGATATCCTTTATTTTGATTCAGGTATTGAATGTATGGCTTCAACCCTGTATCTCCCATTTCTCTTTCTTCCTTCTTGATAAGTTGATCTCCCTGTGCCACCATCGTTTGGTTTTCCACATAAGTTTTCTTTATCTCCCTGGAAGATGATACTCCTGGTTTATGTGCAGAAGAAACTTCAGCAAGCCTCTCGGTGCCAGCTGTCTCCTTGTGGGCATGAACGAGTTCCTGAAACTCTCGGCTAGATGATAACAACTCGTTGTAAGAAGCTGCTCGTAGGATTTCTCCATCTGACATTAACTGCCAAAACTCAAACTTCATCAGACTTTAATCCAAAAGTTGAAACGGTGGACTGTATGGGTGTGCAACAATTCCGTTTTCAGTAGACCGAATTGGATAGAAAAAGCTTACCAGAACAGCATCAAATGCCGGCAAGAAATCTACTTGGTGGGTCACGAGAAAGACCGTCTTCCTTGCTAGTGCCTCCATAACATATTCCTGAAAAGTAAGTTCAAAGTGAGATTCCTGATAAAGACATGCGGAAGAGTAAAATATCTTGTTTAATCTATGATTTTACATTGAACAAGCTTGTGGCAGTATGGGCATCCACAGCACTGAATGGATCGTCCAGGAGATATATATCAGCATCCTGATAGAGAGCACGAGCAAGCTGAATCCTCTGTTTTTGACCACCACTCAAGTTGACTCCTCTTTCTCCGATTTCGGTTCGATCTCCATAGGGGAGCAGGTCAAGATCCTTCACCAAGGAACATCTTTCCAGAGTATCTTGATATCGCAGTTTATCCATGTGAGATCCAAACAAGATATTCTCTTGTATGCTCCCTGTCTGAATCCAAGCCGTTTGAGAAACATAGGCCACTGTCCCTTGAACTTGAATCTGTGGTGGTAACAACAGCGTCAGAATTCCACTCTACTGCGAAATTTCATTGCCATAAGAGTTTCAACAGACTTACAGATCCTCGAGTGTTTGGAACTTCTCCAAGAATAGCTGCCAGAAGGGTTGATTTGCCGGAGCCTACTTCCCCACAGACCGCCACCTTCTCACCAGGTCGGACCTCCAAACTTACGTCTCCCAGTGTAGCCTTTGCTGAAGAATTCTCTTCCCATGAAAAATCTGCTGACTTAATCCGAACGGTATAATCACCACCACCCACATTGCTGCTCCGTTGACCGTGGCCCACATGCTGCAGCTCTGGCGCCTCTAGAAACCTCTCAATTCTTGCAAATGCCACCTTCGCCTGAATCACCACCCCAATAACATTAGGGATCGACCTCACAGGCTCCTGAACCAGCCTCAACGTTGCCACGAAGGTGAAGACATTATTCGCATGAAGTGGAACTTTGAGCAAGTAACAAGCTCCAAACGTAGCAACAGAGACCAAAACAGGTGAAGACCAGAACAGAATGCCATTATACGCCTTCAGGAGCTGCGCAGCTCTCAGCGACGTGTACTCAACTTCCCTCAGCTTCTCTATCACAGTCCTGAAATGTGTCTCCCAGGCATACAGCTTCAGCACCTTCATATTCACCAAAGCCTCCCCGCATCTCTTCAGCCGCTCGTCCTGTGCTGTCATCAGCTTCGTCTGAAACCTGTGCTGAAGCTTTGCAAGCGGAACATTGCAGAGAACCGTCAGCAGGATGATTGCCATTGCAGCGAACGTGGCTAAGCCGACTGCATGGAAGAGGATCACGAGCGAGAGGCAGAGCTGCAAGCTTGTCGTCCACGTTTGGTGAAACCAGAAGGGGAACTCACCGATTCGGTAAGCATCTACTGTAACGTAATTCATTATCTCTCCTGCAGAGTGAGTCAATCTGCCTGCGTTTGATAACTTTAATTGCTTCTTGTAAATGGCTGATGCGAGTAGAGATCGGACTTTCAGGCCGATGAGCCTAGACCTGAAGTACCATTGTCTCTGTGATAAGGACTCCAAGCATTTGCACAAAAAAAGGGTCACAGCAAGCAGATAGCCTTCATGTTCAAAGCTGGAGTTTCCTTCTGCGACGAGTATGAAGGAGTTGAGAAGCATGGGACCAGCTGAGGCTGTGACTATCTTCAAGAGAGCAAACAGCCCTGAAACGAGAATCTCTCTCGAGTGGCATCTCACTATCGTCCACAGTAATGCTTGTGGTTGTTGTTCAGATGGCTTTTCGTTGCTAAGCTGTTCGAGGAAGACCATGTAGCAAGTCTCCGCTCGATCTGCATGGCGCAGCTTGGGGATGTCGGTTTCCTCCAGCGTCTTCTCTCGGCCGATTTTCATGAGTGGATTTAGCCACCAGAATGACAAGGTGCCAAAGATTCCTGTTTTCGAAAATGGAGTAGTGAGTTCATCTTTCGCTACTCTGTCACAGCCACTCAAAGGAGCATACAGGCCATTGGCAGCAGCCTCTTCACTGCTATCATGCGCCTTGTGAGCGCATAACACCAACAGAAAAGCTCCTGGAAGTGACAGAACATCTGCAACTACCTTCACCCCAACAACTCTATCTACAATTGCTGCAAACACAGAGAACCCACACACGACCGAGACGAACAACAATGCCGAAATGGAGAGAAGCTTGAGTGGGAATTCGGGTAGAGATCTTCCTTGAAGGCTTATAACTAAACCAATCAACAACCACGTCGAGCCATGGAGGAACAACGGTACCCTCAACTTCTCTTCTACAATCCATACTCCTGAGCACAAGTAGATAAGACCAAGGCAGCCATTGAAGACTGCAGATCCTATCTGCAACCTCGAACGAGCACGAAATCGTGGCGGAACATTATCCATTTTAAATGATGTTGATTTTCGTATGAAGTTGAACAGGAGCAGAGCAAGAAGGACAAAGTCGAAGCAGATCACGATCGCTTTATTGACACACGAACTGGGATGATACAAGAACAGCATGGTGACGGAATTCAACAGCAGCTGTCCTCCATCAGGAGTCTCCGTTTTCCCACAAAACATCTCCCACAAGCCATCCATGGTAAGAGAAAGATGCTTTTACTTATCAAGTTTGCCAAAGGGTAGCAGAATCTGGAGTTAGTACGTTATCAAGTTGGCCAAAGCTGGTATCTTTCTTTGATAAGTATAATAGAAATCACTCTCTCCTGGAATTGCTGGCAGGATTGTAACCATAAAAGTGCTGGAGCAGGGGGGTTGCTAGTTTGCTGCAATTTGGGAAACAGAGTCATTTTAGAGATGAAGAAGACGCCATTTCTGGTTCAAGAGTGAGAATTGGGAAACCTTAGTCGAGAATGGAAACCGATTTTTTTATGATGAAAGAGTGGATGAAGTACTTTGATTTCGTAATAACAGGCAGAATCATGGACAGCTGGGGTTGGATTGCGTCAGGTAAAATCAGCCATGGAAGAAGTTTGGAGATTGTTCATTGTTGGGTAATGATGATCCAATGGCGCTTTTTTGCAGGCTGGCTTCTGCCCATTCAGTCAGGGAGGGAGGGAGTGACGAGAAACGAGCTAAAAGGAGACGCATTTATTTACAAGTGGTTGGTTGAGACTGGACACAAAATGATTCTTGGTGAACAGAGGAAGACGTCGGCAATCTGTAGGGATGCCCTGAATCCCATTCCAATCAAAATTTGCACCTTTATTCATCAGGCAAAAAAGAAGTTTCTGCCCCTTTTTTTCCCCATCTTTTGAGAAAGAAGGGCCAATGATCATGTGTTGATGTCGTTGGATCCTGTATAGCATCTAGCATCATGATTTTCGTCGTTGAATGGAAAAATCAGTATTTGTTTGAAAGAGCGATTCTAAACTCAAAGAATATGTGAAAGACAATCCATCGGCATCAACGTACGAGTCGTTGGTCGACATCCACTTAACATGATACCAAATGTCCTTAACAATAGCTGCACTATAACGATACTGGTGGCTAATTTACGCTGAGAAATTATATGAAACAAAGGAATTTAAACAGGCGTGAGAGTGAATTCTTAGAAGGTTGTGAAGTCTCGCGCCCTAATAATGATGAGACAATGAGACGGGGCTAGGTTTGCTGGTAGATATTATTATAGGTTTTAAAGCAGTTGCATGCAAAATTTTATCACATTGGTGGAATTTAAAACTAAACTAACCTTAACCTAACTAAGTGCCTGCTTAACTACTGTGGCCCAGGAGCGGGGACCGTTTGGGCCCAAAATGTTAACTTGCTCGAGATGGACGGTTTGGGCCCAACAAGTTCCCTTCGCTTGATGAATAAGAAAAGGACATTGGGACCCGACCTATGACAATTTGCTCGAGTGGGCAAATCAGAGACTTTTTTTTTATCAGTAAGAAATATAAACATCAATTTCTCCTCAAGTACCAACTGCCAACCGAAGCCTTTTACAAGCTGGTGGTACTGGTAGGTTAGATCACAATGATATCAGACAGTGACTGAGGAAATTTTAGTTTGAAACTCTTAACTCATTTGCTAACAGACGAGTTTGATACAAATCTCGTTCAGTTCACGAGGCTCGTGAGTTAGTTCAACTCGGTGGGTTGTCGAGCCTACTCGTGAACTATAGCTCGTTTAGAGCTCATGAGATGTCTCGACATTGTGCGCAGAGAGTCAACTAGATACCCGATTTATGAGCAGATCGATCTATATATTCATAGGATTGTTAAATTATTATGTCTCACCTTGTATGATGTTTAGAATATTGAGTATGTAAGCAACTATGTCTTGTTTATAATTTTAAAAAGCAATGATGTATCATGGATTGCTTCAATATAATGAAATAACATAATTTAGACTAGTTAATGATGAAAATTTGACTATCTCTTGTACATCATAACATCAATCACATGTATTATACATTATATAAAAAATTAATGTAGTAAATACAAGCCAAGATTTTTGTACAAGATACTAAATCAAATTCTACTCGATTCATTAATAAACAAGTTAAACTCAAACTCGACTTGTTTATTAACGAGGCGAACCCAAATTAATGTAAAACTCAACTTGTCTCGACTCGATCATAACCCACCATGCTATATGCCCATGTCACTTTGCGTATTACATATAAAAAAAAATTAATTGTTATCTATGCGATAATATTAATTTTATGAATCTTTATAAAATAAATCTGGTCAAATGTCAATTTTACTATTATCATAAGTTCATAACCAAGGATTGTGAAATTGTATCGTTGGTCATACAGGAAAAGTCACTGGTAGTGTTTTGTACTAAAATTATAATTCAGTCGTGATTCAACCATTTAATACCGTTAAAACCCCACCTACCAATTTGAGATAGGCTACCCAGTATTCTCGGTCCAACCAGATGGTAGGGTATGATTTCTAAAACACCGTTCATAACATATTATTACAACGATCATAACAAAGTTAATTTTGCATTAAAATTGATTGGGATTTTCCAGTTTCAAATTAAAGCATATAAAAAACTTATCTAGTAGACCACAAGTAGTCTAATTTCCTTATTTAAAAACAGAATGGGACTTGAACGGGCCAACTTACCGTACACGTGCGGACTTGAACGGGCCCAGGGATTGTTGCGGACCACAAAAACAGAATAGGTTCCAGCCACGGCTGCATCTATTTCATGCCTCCATAGCGATCACCGTAACCGAGTCTTGGATTGTTCCGATGCTGGATCTGGACTCCACCAACGCCGAGAATAAATGAGATAATTAGAGAACGAGAGCTTCATAATTGTTTGCAAATTAATTTCCCCAATCCTTCTTCCGTGTGCTAATCGCCTAATCCCTTCCCTATGAAAAGAAATCCAAGCATACTAAAAAGATCCAGTCATGCTCATGAAGAAGGGTGATAAATTGCATGCAAGTAAAATTTAAAGATTTGAGTCATTTAATCAAATCATAATCAACCACCCCTTTTTCCATCATTTGCAAGCTCTAACAGATAAGTGACAAAGAAATCCACAATATCGCTTCACTGTAACAATACAGTATTATTGAAGATTGGTGGCTTTCTTTTCTTCTTCGTTAAACTAGCGTCGAAGATATACAAAGAGGGGGGGTTTAAACAAGTGATAAGAGAATGGAAGATTAAGAAATGAAAAACAGAGACCGAGAGGGAGTGGAAATTGACGTTCGGGGGGAGGATGACATGCAGGAGAAAGGTTTGCAAAGCTAAAATTAAGGACAAGAAAACAGGGATGGGGAGAAGTGGCTACCAACGGCGATATAATTGAGATCGAGAGAGAGAAATGAATCATGAGCCGGTGAGCACTGAGTAGCTTTTTCTAGGGAATATAGGGTTTTCTTTAAGCCCTTTGATTTCTCAATGTTGGTAAGATATATGTGAAAGGGCAAAACAATACTCATTTTTTATTGCTAAAAAGAAAAAAATTTAACAATAAACTAATGCATGGATTCTAATGGGCTAACCGCTAAACATAGAATAAAAGAGTTGAATGGGCCTGACTCATACGAGATTTGACCATCAAGTTTCAAGTAAAACAAATGAACATCATGGGTTTGCCATCCTAAAACATGATATTTTCTCTAGCATAACATATATTATTCTATTATTTAATATCTTAGTGGCTAAAATATAATGTATTTTAAAGTTATTAAATGGTTCGACCTCGACCAACCTGATTAGTCCAATTTTTAAAATTTCAAATATATATTATGTAATTATTTGATATCCTAATGATTAAATTATAGTGTATTTATAGGGGATTTTTTATTCAGTTTTATGGAATTCAATTTTTATAAAATTTACTCCACCTCATCATATTACCAGAAATAATATTGTTTCACAGGGTAACAGGTATTCGAACTTGGTTCATAAGGCTGATTTTTTGATTCGTTGCGTCATCCATGCCTCTTTCCTGCTAAAATTCACTATCTTTATCATGTGTTTCCAAAAAAAAAACTACACAACAATAAACTATACACTCCATTACATTTTCAAATTTCAAATCTCGCCTTCCTCCGACCAACTGGCCGGGGCCCACGCTAGTTTCTCTTTTATAGAATCAAAGTTGCTCTCTCTCATATTTCTTCGCGCGTGTGTACCATATGCACGCGGACTTTCAACTTCTAAAAGCGAAAATAAATTGAAAATTTCTTTTTTTTTTCTTTTATTTAGACTCCGGTAGGAGGTTTTCCCGCTCGCACAGTTGGAGGAGAAAAATACATAGTAGATAGATATCGGATTATTTGTCGTGGTAAGGGTAAATCTCAAACCTCATGTAACAGCTTACGCCCCACGCCCGACCTCCGACGTGGCCAGCACACCGCTGCTTATTCTGGAGGACATCTTTCGCCGTAGCAAGGCACGCCGCCGCATCCTCGCCGTCGTCTCTCCACCTGTAACCGTACACGGCGCGCACATCCTCGTCGCAGTTAGAACTCTCGTAGAATTCGCCCACCGGCACCGGATCCGTCCATCCGAGCAAGTTGTCGAGCAGGCGATGTACACAAACACGTGGGGTAGAGCCGCCGGGGAACTCTACACCGTTGCAAAGATAGCTTATCTCTTGCTCCTCCGCCGCCGCCGACGACGTCGAGTGAATTGCAATGAGCGACATGATGATCGTGACGACTACCAAAACCGCCGTCGATGGCGATGATGACGACGAACTCATTTTTTTCTTCTTCTTCTTCTTCTTAATTTGTACACAAATTACAAAGTACTATGCTTCATGATATTATTATGTCAGTTTCATTTTATAGTAAGAGTCTAAGAGCCATTCGGCAAAACATTCCTAATCCAATTCATAAATCGCCAAACTACTTGCGTTGTTAGTTGTTCGGCTATAAGTACTATGTATCTGTTATCGATGATGCATGCTCTCTTGATTGTTTAGATTCTACGTACAATACAAAAAAAAAAAGTGTAATATATTGGATCGGGTGTTTCGCCATAAATAGAAAGGAGAACATTATACTAGCAAGGAACTATTTCCTTGAATATCACAATGCTAGCTGTGAAGAGGTGATTGTGATTTGGGACCCTGCAGTTCAAGCTTTGATCAGTACTAGGGGTGGCCGTTCGGTTACCGGTTACCGGTTATCCACTAACCGGTAACCAAATTTTGGTCGGATATAGGAAGCTAGACGCAATGGTTTTTGGTCTTAAAATTGGTTCGGTTAACCGATAACTGGGAAACCGAAGCCTGTTTCGGTCAGTTTTTGGTATGAGGGGTGGTTATTTCGGTTAACCGATAACCGGCCAATAGGTTACCAGTTATAACCAAAATAACCGAACTGCCACCCCTAATCAGTACGACGCTAAACTAAAAGATACATCCAAAGGTTCAATCGTGGATCATATACCATTTACTAATACACCCCTTCAAACTCAAGCCAATCAGATATGCTTGGAGTTTGCACAGACACATAAGAGGCTCACATAAGAGGCTCACATCCGGACACCATGTGCTTAACAGAAACAGATGGGGTCACGGTCACATAAGAGGCTCTGATACCATGTCAAGAACCAGTTGATCCCAATAACTCAAGCCGTTGGGAGATGTTCAATCGTGGATCATATACCATTTAGTAACACTTTACCTATATATGGACCATTCTATCGTACCCCGGGTAAAATCCAGGGTATGTCGTGCCTTGAATATGAAAATGATATCTAGACCTTGAATTGGCCGGAGTTTGGCATCTGGTACTACTCTCAAACCCTTAAACATTAAAATCTATATCTTAGCTCTATAAATCTCATACACGAAGATCAATATATTGAGAAACAAAAATCGACGGTCATGATTCGTTGAAATATATGCAACAAATTGAATGCACAATCTTAGGGGTTAGGCTCTACAATTTAGATAACTAAGGCCTAGGGTTCACCCATCAAGGGTTAGGATATAGTATCATGCCAAAAAATCCGGTTAATTCGAGGTTTAGATAGCATTTTCTAACTCAGAATATGTTGTACCCTTAATTTTACCAACGTACGATATAAATATGATGGTTTAGATTTGTATATATATATATAATTTCATTTATTTCTTTTGATTCATTATAAATATGATGCGTGGCGTTATAACACGTCGACTGTACGTGTTGTAAAATAAAACTCATGGAATACTTATATACTATACTTCAGTTACTCACAGTGTGATATATCTCTATCTAGACCATAAATTAAAGTAAGATTGGAGTATGATACTATACCCTAATTTCTAATGGATAAACCCCAGACCCCGATTTTCTCAACCCAAACTCTAAATTCAATTTAATAGAAAATATTAATTGACTGTTCGAAACTCGTCAAAGTACTTCTAACAATTAGATCACTTAAAATATCCTATAACCACTCTTTACCATTAATGAGCGTGGATCCCATGACTAAGGGGAGGTCCTTAGTCACTTGACTAAGCCCCTCCTAGCCATTAGATCTGGATACTTTAATCTAATGGTTAAAAAGTGGGAAGAGCTATTTAATTAATGACAGGGGTAGTTTGGGTATTATGGAAAATTATAAAGTATACAAACTGGATTTACAATCAGTACAAACCATACAAACATACGAACAGTACAAACTAGAGCGACAAAACATACAAACATTACAAACGTATAAACTGTACAAACAATACAAACTAGACCGACAAACAATACAAACCATACAAAAAGAAAAAACACCCGGGTTGACTTTGGAGGCTCCATCCCTATATAGAGGGGCTCCTTCCCAAAGTCAACCCGGGTGTTTTTTATACATAAAAAACATTACAAACATGGTTGACAAAAATGATAAACACGGTACACAAAAATAACAAAGTTTACAAACATTACAAAAAAAACCGACAAACATTACAAAATAACAAAGCGTACAAACATTACAAAAAAACCCGACAAACATTACAAAATAACAAAGCGTACAAACATTACAAAATAAACCGACAAACAATACAAAGCATACTAACAGTACAAAATCTCTCTCTCTCTCTCTCTCTCATGAGAATAATGGCCGCATGAGCCTCTGGGTAATGGCCGCAGAATTCCCCTGGCCGGAAAAAATTGGACGGAGGCGCAAGGGACGGGGCGGACCCTGCCCGGAAATTTGCGACCATCCTTGGGGAAAATGATCACGCCGGCGAATTCGGCGAATTCTTTCCACGCCACCAGAGAGAAGGATCGGCCGGCGGGAAGGTTCGCAATCTGTGGAAAAAATATGCAGGCTGCCGAAGGAGGGAACAGATGGTTGGATTTTTATTTATTTTAATTGGTAAATAAAAATTAAATAATTAAATTAATACATTGCCCCTCATTAAATTGGATTAATCAGGACCATTGGATTTTAATGAGGTGGAAGGGCTGAGATTCACTTAGTCACATGACTAAGAGACCCCCCTTAGTCACCTGATCTTAGCCCACCATTAATAATCAAGGCAGAGTGCATGGCAGACCAACCAAAGCTATTTACAACCACATGACATGGGAACAACGTAGCTGTGGGCTGTGGCGATTAATTCGTGGATGAGGAACATTAGCCGAATTTAGTAAGTACAAAAATGAAAATAAGACAAGTTGATCTTTACTAATTTCCTTGCTTCCCATTTCATATATAATATATATACATGCATGCAACGTGGGATTTATCCTTCTCTTGCTGATAATAGGAATTATGTATGCAAGGTAATACCCATCTTCAGACTTTGAGTTTATTAGGATGCTTAACAATTTAATAAGGGTTATTGGTATAATATGTCCCCTACTATGTAGTTTTATCAAACATGTCCCTAGACTATTTTTTATATCAAACATGCCCTTGTACTTTGGAAAAATGATCAAACATGCTCTTCTGTTAAAATTTCCATTAAAAAAATTGCCAACCATGGTTGAACCGAGATGTAGATGACCCGACATCGGCAAATGAGAGCGAAAATGTCAGTTTTGTTCCCCATTTTATTTTTCTAGGTCTCGTTAAAGTGAAATTATTAGAGGTATTTGGCTCTACAAAAGAACCCAAAAACATTTAAAGTGAAATTACCAAGGATATTTTAGACATTTGTGTCGCCCAAACCAAGGTACGACCATGATTGACTGTTTTTGGATGGAAATATTAACATAAGGGCATGTTTGATCATTTTTCTAAAGTACAAGGACATGTTTGATGTAAAAAATAGTAGATGGGCATGTTTGATAAAACGACATAGTAGAGGGGCATATTATACCTATAACCTATTTAATAACACTAAAGTCTATGTATTTAATGAACTTTGAATTAATTGAAATTTTTAGATGAGCTAACATCGACGAGAATTCTAAATTTAAAAATCATGTTAAACCCTATGTATCTAAAGAATTTTGTTATTCCAATTTTGGCCAAGTGGCCGGATCCTGGGATCCCTATCCTCTATACCTCCCTCAACCAATAGTAACACCCTAGAACGAGAGTTATGTGATACGTGTATATATAAAGGTCGTCCTTAAAATTACTCTTGATCGTCCTAAAAAATAACAAAGTTACACTTTTAATCTTTTGGCATCTTTAGCAAACAAATATTACTTTGAGTAAAAAAAAAAAAAAGAGAAACACTCAATTTCCCACACTCTCGAATTAATCGTTGACATTCTCGAGTCGTAATCATTGGGAATACGTACGAACCATGAGTAGCGACTCCGACGAGGTAAACATCCCGATTTTCTCTTATTTTCTTTCTTATTTATTCATAAAGCCGCCGGCCGCCGCCGATCAGTACACAGAAGTTTCATTACAAACTCTTTTTACAAAGCAAGTAACTAGGGTTACAGGCAACAAACCGGCTTTACTTACAGCCCACACATTATTATAGCCAATATCACACCACACTTTAAAACGTTGTGCCGAAAAAAAGTTGTCCCAACAGACAGAGTATTTTACACTGAAACCATGATCCAACCGTAGTTTTACAAACCATTTCATACCACGAAAAAAAAATCACCTTACCGCGCAATATATTTAGACTCTGATAGGAGATTCTCTCGATCGATCATCGGATTATCAGTCGCTGTAGTCGTCGTCGTCTTCCAGAGGGTAAATCTCAAACCTCATGTAACAGCCTTCGCCCCACGCCATACCTCCCATGCGGCCATCGCACTGCTTCTTCTGGAGGATATCTTTCGCCTTAGCAAGGCACGCAGCCGCAGCGTCGCCGTCGTCCCTCTTCCGGTGACCGTAGACGGTGTGCTTGCCCTTATCGCAGTCATAAGTGTCGTAGAATTCACCCACCGGCACCGGATCCGTCCACCCGAGCAGATGATCGAGCAGATGATACGCACAGACACGCCGGTGATCGTCTAAGGGGAACGATAGAGCGTTGCAACGGAATTTTATCTCTTGCGCCGCCGCCGGCGACGTCGAATAATGAATTGCAATGAGCGGCATGATCATGACTACCAAAACCGCCGTCCGTGGTGATGATGACGACGACGAACTCATCCTTAATTAATTAATTATGTTTCTTTTGATGCTGCTGCTGCATGCCATTTTATGATTCAATTTCATTTTATAGCAAGAGTCTATAAGAACCATTCGGCTGATCCATTGCATAAATTAAATCGCCACAGAAAGTTGCGTAGTTCTTTGTTCGATCTACTCGATTGTTTAGATTCTACGTACAATACAAAACAGAATACGTATATTCTGTGGATTGGGCGTGTCACCATGGAAAGGAGAATACTTACAATATTAGCTAGCTAGGGGCTATCTTTTTTATATATGGTTAATTACTAAATGTTCTTTTGTTGGCATATGGGTTACGAGATGTTCTAAACGTGATACATGTCATGAACCAGTTGATCCCAATAATTCGAGTTGTTGGGAGAAGGTTATGCTGGATCTTATACAGGTCCGTGTGTGGTGCTTAACCACTTCCTTACGCGCCCTCTCAAAAGAAAGCCGACTCATGGGCTTGAAGTTTGCACAGGCCCGCCATACCATGTGCTTGAAAGACAACGGTTAATATTGGGGGGTCGTGAGGACTTGAACACGTGACCTCACGGACAAACCAGCTCTGATACCATGTTATGAACCAATTGATCCCAATAACTCGAGTTGTTGGGAGAATGTTATGTTGGATCTTATACAGGTCTGTGTGTGGTGCTTAACCACTTCCTTACAATACCATCTTGGTTCTTACAAAATATGTATATGTTTAACAAATCTATTACATAAGGGTTTTTTCAAAGTAAGATAGGTCAAACTCGGCAGAAAATAATCGCGGCTTGCGATTTTAACGGTTTGATTCATCTACCGCGAGTTAATCAAGCCGTTCCTCGATCTCTATACTTTTTTCGCAATAAATCTAAGTCAAGCAAGTCGCGATTCCATTGGTCAGGTGGATCATTGGCGCCAGCTTGACATCTGGAACGAGTCGAAGATTGATCTCAAGACCTAAGTACTGTTATAGGGTGTATAACATGATTTCCACCAATAAGCTAAAGCACATCTTGGGATATCAATATGAGCTCTAATCAATATATTATGTAATCCTTTTAAGTATTACATGCATCTTTAGTTTGATCATTTAGATGCTTATTGCATATTTGGTAGAGGCATAGTCAGACTTTGAGTTCATTGAAGTCCTTAAAAATTTCATAACACTTAAAACCTATGTATCTAATGAGTTTTGAGTTGATTGGAGTCCTTCATTGAGCTAACATTGACGAGCATATCATATCCTAATTAAACTTAAATGATCATACTAAACCCTATGTATTTAAAAGAGATTTCTAATCTCAATCTTTTAACAAGTGGGTCCTAGCATCCCTCTCCTCTCCTCAACAACTCCCTTCTTTAGAGTAGAGTAGTCTTCATTAATAATTAGGGCACACCAGGCTAAGCACAAACATAGTGCTTACAAGCTCAAGGGCGGTTAATCTTAATTAATCCATGGATCACGAACGTTTGCCGAATTAAAGTAAGTACAAAGAAAATAAGACAAGTTGATATTTACTACTAGCTACTGATGGTGCAACCAATTATTTAGAGTGAGAAAGTAAGAGTATAAATTCGAATACAACCATTTTCGACCAGTTTTACCCCCGACGATCAAGTTAGAGTGAGAAAGTAAGAGTACAGATTTCAGAGTGCAACCCCATAAATATGCACACCTTTCCCTATTGATAGGCACAAACCTCGCAAGCGTGTAGTATTTTAATTTGATTCATTCCGATTGAGTTTATTTCCTTTCTTTCAAATGGATTTCTCTACGAATATATACATAAAAAAAAGGTAATGTCAAATATAACAAATGTAAATACACCCATTCAAGTTGTTAACCGACGCGCGCCGTTAAAACTGATCGACGGAAACAGATATTTTGTATATATTTCGAAATTGTAGCTATATTTGTCACAAATGACTATAAAAATATATTATGCCAAAAAATAATATGAAAAAAATAACCAACGCACATCGCAACCAATTAATTAGAGTGAGAAAGTAAGAGTATAGATTTTTAGAGTGAGAGAGTTCACCCCATAAATGTGCTCATCTACCTTTCCCTTATTTTGATTCATTTCGAGTAAGTTTATTTGCTTTTTTTTTTTCCAAAGTTATCCTGAGAGGGAAGCAGCAAAGATACGATAAATAAATAAAACACGATGGTCGACAAGTGTCTGCACCATCGCTCCAAGGGCTTGTCTTGCCACGATATGGGCAGCTCTATTATACCTACGGGGAGCGAAATGGAACGTTGCACGAAGGAAAGAAGCCCGCAACACCTGAATCTCTTGCAGGAGAGCTCCGCCCACCGCGTGCGCCGAGTCCTTCGCATTAATCATCCGAACGATCACCTGCGCATCCCCACAATACAAAACATTAGTGATCGAGTAAGTCATGCACCAACGTAAGAAGTCGCGAAGGGTCAGGAGCTCTGCGAGAAATTGATTTCTCCACGAATATACATTTAGAAAAATAACAACTTTCTCTTATTTTCTTTCTTATTTGTAAGGCCCGCCGCCGCCGGCCGATAGTACATCAGTTTTATTACAACTCTTTTTACAAAGCAAGTAACGTAACTAGGGTTACAAGGAAAGCGCAACCGCACATTATAAAGAAGTTTAGAGCGAAAATTTTAAAAAAATCGAGAGCGATAAATATATCGATTTATATTAATTATTCTAGGTCTTCTTCTATGGGATACATCTCAAACCTCATGTAACACAACCCTTCGCTCCACGCCCGACCTCCGATATGGCCGGCACACTGCCTGTTCTGCAGGACGTCTTTCGCCGTACCAAGGCACGCCGCCCCGTCGTAACCGTCGGCTCTCCACCTGTAACCGTAGACGGTGTGCCTGCCCCGATCGCAGTCGTAAGTGTCGTAGTATTCGCCCACCGGCACCGGATCCGTCCATCCGAGCAAGTGGTCGAGCAGATGGTACACGCAAACTCGCCGGTGATCGTCGCGGTGGAACACCGCACCGTTGCAGACATGGGTTATCTCATGCGCCGACGTCGGATGAGTCCCGATGAGCGACATGATCATGATCATTGCTACCAAAACCGCCGCCGTCGATGGTGATGATGATGATGACGACGAACTCATCATTTTTATTTATTTATTTATTTATTTATGCACTAGCTAGCTAGCTTTTCCTGATCTTGCATGCTGTTAATATGAGTTTTTCGATTATTATACTGAAGAGTATAAAATATATAATAGCCATTTCGGCAAAACATTCCTGATCCAATGCATAAATCGACACTCTATTTGCGTTGTTACAGTTGTTCGCGATCGGCTACGAGTACTATGTATCTTGCTTTTTGTGGCTGCTGTCCTCGATTGTTTGGATTCTACGTAGAATACAAAAAAACACGTATATTCTGAATCGGTACTAGGGGGTGGAAAACGGTGCGGTCCGGATCATCGGTTCCTCCGCATCTTCCTTGGCTGGGAAATATTGTCGTGGGAATTTTTTCCACCCCTCCATGAAGTTTCATCGCACGCAGTACAGAGACACACACGGAGGGAGAGATAGAGAGAGAGGCGAATTTTCCAGACGGCGTCGGAGATTCCGGCGACGGGGGATTTTTCAGCGATAGCATTTATTTTGTTAGGATTGTCGGGGCTATTTTGTAAGTCTGTTTTGTGATTTTGTATCAATTCGGTTTGTATCGTTAATCATTCTAGTTTGTCATTTTTATCTATTATGTTTGTAACGTTTATATGACTAATTTATATATATATATAGAGAGAGTAATTTGTAATGTTTGTTTGTCTAGTTTGTATACTTTATGTTATGATTTGCATATTTTGTATTCATTGATTTGTAATACAAGTTTACTGTTTTGTATTGTAAGTAGTGACATTTTGTACTGTCAGTATGTTTTGTAATGTTTGTCAATTTGTTTTGTAATGTTTGTAAGATTTGTTATTTTTGTAATGTTTGTTGGTTTCTTTTTTAATATTTGTCAGTTTGTAATGTTTTTTTTTAACTCCCCTATATAGAGATTAATCCTCCAAAATCAACTTGGGTGTTCTTCCATTTTGTATGGTATGTCGGTCTACTTTGTAATTTTTGTCCACCATGTTTGTAATGTTAGTATGTCTAACAAAACAATCGGGTTGACTTTCGGACGGTGCCCCTCTATATAGGGATGAAGCCTCCAAAGTCAATCTGGTTGTTTTTCCATTTTTTATGGTTTGTATTGTTTTTTGGTCTACTTTGTATTGTTTGTATAATTCGTATGTTTTGTATTGTCTGTAAATCTCATTGTATATTTTGTCGTTCTAGTTTGTACGGTTTGTAAGTCTATTTTGTATACTTCATAATTTTTCATAATACCTACCCTGTCAATAATTAAAAAAACTTTTCCATTTTTTAACTTTTGGATTGTTGTGTCCAAATTTAAGAACTGGGAAATAATATGATCTCTATTTAATTTGGTCTTAGCTTGCACATAAGAAGCATCACCATTGTTTGGCGACTCACCCAAATAATACCTTTTATCCGGTAGAGTAGATTCTGGATTAATAATTAGGGCAGGGATAATTGCCGAATTAAGCAACTACAAAGAAAATAAGACAAGTTGGTCTTTACTAATTGCTACAGATCGATGGTGCAACCAATTAATTCCTTTTGTTTGGCATGTTGCGATTGGGATTGCATGGGTGACTGAATCTTGCAGTTTGATATCAACCCGCTTGCAAATAATGTGAATTATTGTACGAGTGTGCGCTTGATGTGAGTAGATTATAGGTTGGTTAGCCTCTGGCTCGTACTTATTTATTGTGAAACAAACTTGAATGTGTCTTACAAATCGCTATAATCTTACTAATTTTCGAGAAATTTATTTTAAATGTCAGTAAATTTACCTAATGGTAGCAAGAGAATTGTTTTTGTGAGTTAACCAGTGACCAATCCAAGTTCCAACGAAGTCTAAAAAAATTGTGGGTAGATAACTTGTTACTTATTAATTATGGATCTTGTTATGGGATAATCCAAGTACCACATCGGTAATACAAGGGAAGGAACCCTTTTATATCAGAGTCCACGGCTAACCCAATTAGTATGAGGTCCTGGGCTTGAGGGGAGGATTGTTATGGAACAATCCAAGTACCACATCGAAAATACAAGGGAAGAAACCCTTGTATATTAGTGTCCACCTAGCCCATTAGTACGAGGCCTTTTAGGGAGGACACCCAAGATTAAATCCGTGCGGGCTTGGCCCAAAGCGGACAATATTGTACTATACTAATTGAGCTGCCCAATTTCGACAGATCTCATATCGATTAAACACGTAAGAGATCCATGATTCTTAAATAACAAATTCTATTTAAAAAAAAAACAATAAGTGCAAAGATGGATGACCTCCCGATAAATCACCATTAATTTGCACTAAAATCAAAACCGTGCAAGAGTAAATCCAAAGTGGACAACAACTAATTGATCAGAAAAGCATCTTGATGTTGCAAAATCCTTGCCCCTCTTCTCTGTAATTTTCCCTCCCTTCACTCCTTGACTCCCTTCCTACTTCACCGCGGTCCAAATGATCATCGCCGTTGCCACCTCCTCGGCAAGCACCATAACAATGTACACATCAAATGCAGGAATACTCACGAAACTTTATTTAAACGAAAAGAAAATAACAAATACTCAGTCCATCAACAATCCTAAACTCTAATTTGTTAAATAACTCAACTCTCTACTCGAGCTGGAAACTCTCAACCCACTCACTCAACGCGCGCGCGATACAAGCGACTCAAATGCAACAATTCAAAACTTCAAAAGGAACCAAACCTAACCCTATCATACGACACATTTTTTTTTGTTGTTATTCGAAATCGAACAGAAAAAAAAAAGCTATTCATCCCAACAGTTGTATCATCGTTTATTCGTCGTCGTCTACATCAAAAGGGACAATCTCAAACCTCATGTAACACCCCACGCCCCACGCCCGACCTCCGATGTGGCCGCGGCACTGCCGGTTCTGGAGGATGTCCTTGGCCGTCCCGATGCAACGGCCGACGCTCCGGTCGGAGTACCGGAAACCGTAGATGGTACTCCGGCCGTCCTCGCAGTCCCAACTGTCGTACCATCTGCCGTCCTCCGGCTCGGCCCCCCATCCAAGCAAATCGTCGAGCATGTGATATGTACAAACGCGCTTTGGATCGTCGAGGGGGAACTTTTCGCTGTTGCATAGAAATTCCATTTCCTGCGCCGTCGTCGTACGAATTCCGAGCGACGTGATGACGAGTACTAGCAATACGGCAGAACATAATGATGACGATGAACCCATTTTTTTGTATATGCAAATTAAAGTAATATTTTACCTATTGCATGTAATTCAATCATCAGTTCTATTTATTTATATATATAGTTGGACCAATTCGGCAGAACATTCCTGAGCCAGGAACAAACCAACACCGTACTTAACGTTGTTGTAAATGACTAAATGTTGGTCTATAAGTACAATGTTTGTGCGCTAGAAGATTGTTTGGACTCTACGTACACTACAAAAAAAAATGTACATTTAAGTGTGTATATATATACTCGGGTGTAGTGTATCGCCCAAAATAGAAAAGTAGAGTGATTACAACATTAGCTAGGAACTATTTCCTTTGAATATCACATTTTGGTGTTGTTACTCAAAACGTATTATGTACATGGAAAAGGCAAGCGTACGTCTGGTGTGTAATATATGTCTGTGTTCATATTTATTAAATGTAAAATAGTAAAACATGATAGCCACATTGATTATAGATCTCAATTTGATCAAACTATTGTGTAGGATTAACTTATATCTTATAATAGCTTTAATTTATGTAATGCAAATTGATAAGATGTTGAATATAGGAGGTAACAAAAAATTAATCTTAGTTGATGATAAGCGAATCAAGTAATAAAAAAAATATCACATTTGATTAAACTGTTATATAAAATATAATAGACCTTACAAAGTCTTTCTGTAATGCAACTTGATGAGATTCTCGACAATTTAGTTCACAATTTAGGAATTTTTATTCAAACTTATATGATGAAACGCTTGTGTGATATGTTTGTTTAATTGATGCATAGTAAAATTATTATCCCTCCTTTCAGTTTGTGTGTTGTCCTTAAGTCATTAGATTGATATTGTTTTGTTCAATATTGTACGTTTTGTTTACACAATAAATAACTATCTATCCGTCCATCTGAACTGATATTGTTTCGTGTTGGATCAATTGGTATCCGTTCGGCTAAACTGATATTTGGTTCCCGATGGATTGGTATCCGTCCGTCTGAACCGCGGAATTTTTCGCATAGATTTGGTGTTTGTGAAATGGTCATATTTTTTTATAATTTGGTATTGATCTTTTATTTTATTTTATAGTAGTATTGTTTATACGACCTAGTAATAAATATTTAATTTTCATATCCAATTTACCCTTAGTTGTGCGATGGTGACCATCCGCTCAACATGGAAAAATGTTAACTGTGGCGATTAATCCATGGATGAGGAATATTTGCCGAATTAAGTAAAGCACAAATGAAAATAAGACAAAGTTGATATCTACTAACATGCCTTCTTAGGTCTTGCCCATTATATATAATACTAATACATATATGCCTGCATGTTTCTGTATTTCAAAAGCTCATACTGTGGCGATTAATCCCTGGATCAGGATAATTGCCGAATTAAGTAAGTACAATATGAAAATAAGACAAATTGATATCTACTAACTGTCAGCTGTCCCATTATATAAATATACTAATATAATTCATTTGTTTTGTTTAATTGGATGGTTAGGTGGGAGGTTAAATTGCGGTATGACTTCTTCCATCCGTCCCAAAATAATTTAAATTATTGTAGGTGGATGATTAATGTGAGTGGATTATGATTTGATTAATTTCCTATACTCACACTTATTTAGGTGGGTGATCAGTTGCGAATCATTCGCACACCAAATACTTGTACCTTTTTTATACAATATATAGTGCATTAAAAAATATGAATGACTCGCCTAATTAGGGCTGAAAATTGGCCCGACCCGTCCCTGAAGGGTCAAGATGTATAACTGACCCGCCCCGACCCTGTTTCTTTCATGACCCTGTCTGACCCTTTAAGGTCGGGGCGGGTCAGGAAGGGTCGGGTCAGTGGGTCGACCCTAATAAATAGACTACTTTTCTAAAAATTACAATTTGGTACCCAAATTTATTTTTTCTTACATTTTAGTACCTAAATTTTTTTTTACAAATAAGTCCCTAAAATTTGATGGTAAAATTACGTTTTGGTACCCAAATTTTTTAATTTTTACAATTTAGTACCTAAACTTATAATATTTTACAAATAGGTCCAACATGTTTGTATGATGCTAAGGGTCATAGGGTCAAAAAGTGACCCAACCCTAAATTGACCCGACCCTATCTGACCCTAAGCCGACCTGACCCTAAATTGACCCTATAAACAAACTGACCCAGCCCGACCCTGAGGGTCGGGGCGGGTTGGAGCGGGTCAGTGAATTTTAAGGGTCAAACTTACACCCCTACTCGCCTTCATTGAGTTCCACCTTCGAGCTCAACAACAATTTGTCGAGCAGATCGCTTATGCACTGGCCGACGATTGAAGGAGTTGGTGTTAGCACGGCAGACTAGAACACTCGTAAAATTTGGGAGGGAGAAAAGTGTTAGTCTATACACTTCGAACCTCTAACACTCTTGCTATTCTTGAACACATGTTCTCCATTGGACTACAACTAATTTGTTGTTAGTAATTAAAGCATAAATATAATTATAACGCAACAACACTTTATCACCAACTTTTTGAAAACCTACCAATTAAACCACAATCCGGGTACAGCTACCCCTTCCCCGCATTCTAACACACGAAGAACAAAGAAATCAGTCAACCTCCGACCCTCCTATGGCTACTGTGCTCAGTTGACGGTGGAGGCAAAAGTGAATCAATCATATATATGCGTCTCTATATTTGCTTCTCAGTCGTATTAATTTTTAACGATTGCAACTACAAGTATTTACATAGCCTTTTCATCTTTGGGACGTTACTTCAAAAGCAAGTTTCGGAATGGAATAGACAATAAGTTCACGAACACTTGTCCGGTATAGGTAAAGACTGGTGTACTTCTGGAGTATACTATACTCCAGGTGATCTGGCAATTAGATGTAGTTCGATGAGCTCCGACCAATCTCAACGGTCAATTGATATTTTCCATTAAATTGAACTTCGACATTGAGTTTAGATAATCGAAGCCTGGGGTTTATCCATTAGAGGTTAGGGTATAGTATCATATTCCAAACTCGGCTTAATTAATTCGTTGAGTACATAGATATATCTCACTAGAAGTACCTGGAGTATTCCACAAGTACACCCGGCCGTCTAACTTGTTTAATATAATTTACGTAGGAAAAGAGATTTGTTGAGCGTGCTAGACAGTAAGTGTTATTTTATTTTATTTTTTTTCTTCAAAAGATTCTGTGAACTTTTGCTGTAACTCATGCTAATTAAGGATGACAATTTCGACCTGACCCGTTTTACCCGACTTGTTTGGCCTGCTTTGGGGCGGGTCCGATCCGGCCCGTAGGTGGGACGGGGCGGCCATGGGTACCTCTCGTCTACCCGACCTGTCCTGACCAGTCTCATTCTCGACCCGTTCTTGCCTAAATTACATGTGAACTTAGTCAAATTACTTAGAATTTTCCTCATATTACCTCATATTTTAGCTATAATAAAATTGTAAATAAGTGAAAACCTCAATTTCTCCAATAATTTAACTACATTTTATCATATTACGGTTTATTTCTTGGTCTTTTAAATAAAATAATGAATATTTTTAAAGTTTTTCACATAAATTACACACCCATTGGGTCGACCAGCCCCAACCCGCGCCCCATGATAAATTACCCAACCTATACCCGACCTGTTATGGGGCGGGTATGGGTATCGAGATACCCGGTCCGGACCTGCCCATTCTCATTCCTAATGCTAATCAGAAATAGTTACTAGCTAATATTGTAAGGATTATACTTTAATGTTTTTTTGTAGCCAAAGCACAAACATTGTACTTATAGCCGAACAGACAACAACGCAAGTACCGTGGCGGTTTATGCATGGATCAAGAATATATGTTCTGCCGAACCGGGGCAACTATAAATACGGAACTGATCATCAGTAGTTAATCACTCTCTCTAATTAGCATATACAAAATGAGTTCATCATCATTAGGGAGGAAATATAACAATAAGGCGATGGCGGCCGCCGTTTTGCTACTCCTCACGTCGCTCGGAATTCGTACAACGTCGGCGGCGGTGCCGGTGGTACTGGACTATGCGTGCAACGCCGCGAAGTTCGACGCGGACGATAAGCGGGGTGCTTGTGTAAATCCCCTGCTCATTGATTTGCTCGGGGATCAGAATGCGATGTACACTTACAATTACTACGACACTTATGACGGCTGCGATTACGGCCGGAGCGTTATCTACGGTTACCTATACTCGGAGCCGGACTCCGGTGTGTGCATCGGAAAGGCGATGGATGCTCTCCTGAACCGGCAGTACTGCGGCGGCCGCATGGGAGGTCAAGCTTCGGGCGAAGGCTGTTTCATGAGGTTTGAGGTTTACGACTTTGCAGACGAGGTACTGTAAGATTTTTGTAATGACTTGATCACGCGATGGACTTACGGGGAAAAAAATTGTGTCGTAGGAGATAGAGTTTTGTTTGAGTCGTTTAAGTTTTTGAATTGTTACGTTGCATTTTAGTTCAGTTTTGAGAGCTTTCGGCTTGAGTGGAGAGTTGAGTTAGCTGGTTATTTGGTAACGTACGATACAATTGTTGGAATAACGTAACTCGTCTGAAAATATCAGAATCGAAATAACAATTTTCCTTGCAAGCGTTGTTTTCATGTGGAATCGAAAATTCCTGCTCTTTTTGTGTTTGCGTTGTATAATCATTTGAAACAAGACAGACAACAAAAAAAGGTACTCGTTGTGAATATTAGGGGTGTGCATCCAGTCGGTTCGATTTTTCTAACACAAATACAAACAATCGAACCCAAACCACCCTCGTTTTCCGAGCCAAATTCCATCCGAATCATATCTCGGTTCAGTTCGTTCCAAACCGAAATAATTCAAATTCGGTTCTGATTTGATTGAACTGTGGACCTGGCCGCTCCCTCCTCCTCCTATACGGCGTCGTGTTGGAAAATATGATGAAAGACGTTGGTTTAATTATTGGGTCATGTTAATTATTGATCCACTTGAATTAATTAACCAACTTTTTCTTTCATTTAAATTAACCAACACATCCATTTAACTTTCTGCACGTGATGGTTTATGGTTTGATTTAAATGGATGAGTTTGATGATGGTACAAACACATCACATCCTTTCATTTGAAATAAACCAAAGCTGCCCACATCTTTTCAATTTGAATTAGCCAAACGTCCCTCCAGTTTGGAACCAGATAAGTTTGGGGGTGGATGGAACAACACATCCTTTTAATTCAATTGAATGAAGTAGTGCGTCCCAACCAATGCAACTGATGGAGATGGCCATAGACTTTGTTGAGGGTGGAAATATTTTTTACGGAAAAAACTTCGATCACGACTCTATCACAATCCTAATCACCAGGTCTCGGGCTTTCGTACTATTACCCTCGTCCCTAAAAGTCCCAACACGTCGTTCTAATGGCACCACTCCTCTTGTCCAAACTCCCCCATCTTCAACTGTCGAGAGAGAAAGATCTGCCAGAGATAGTGGCCCTGATTGGTTTCGTCGACGGAAAATCGAGGAAAAACATAATGATGATGAACTCATTTTGTGTATATGCAAAGTAATATTACCTATTGGCTATTGCATGTAATTTAATCATCAGTTTATATAGTTGGACAAATTCGGCAGAATTCCTGATCCAGGGAGAAACCGCCACCGTACTTAACGTTGTTGTATGTTGGTCTATAAGTACAACTAGCTTTGACCCCTGCCCTTCGGGCAGGTAGCTTCTTCGTTATTGTGTATATGTATGATATAGTTATTAAATTAACAAATTTTCTAGAATCACGTAGCTAGATTTTGTAAAAAATACCAAATAGAGTCATTAAAAGTTTTCCTGGTAAATTACAACGCAAAATTCACCTCCTAGAGACATTCAAGAAAGAAAGGAAAAACAAACATCTCTATTTTCGTAAACAGTGGAAGGTACATTCATCTTAATGATGGTTCAAAGAAAAATCTTGTGGACATGTCATGTCGTCTTGCTGTTAAACTCTGGTCAATCTATAAAATTGCGTACGATGCCTAATCCTACCATCTAGAGTTAGGGTTATTTAACGCACGTCAGCTAGTGAGTGAAAATCCAACTGATGTAGTGGATTAGAAATCTCGAGAGAAGTTACATTGAGTCTCTATACGAAAATAACGCTATAGAACAATTGTCGAATGATGAGAATGAGCGAGATGATGTTCATTAGAGAAAATCTTGAGGGAATGGAAATGTTCTATGGTTGATGTGGATTGGCCACTCGTAATCTATGGAAAAAACTCAAAATTATTTATAAAGAAATATTACGTGTAGGTACTCGGAAAACAAATATTTATTAGAATAACATAGAAAATTATTTATTATTTGAATGAGTAAATAATTATAATTATTGTTAACTAATTATCATAAACAATAATAATGAATTATCCAATAATTTATCTCTCATCAGTTATCTCTCACGGAACCAAAAGAAAAAAGAAAGAAACATGTGGAGGAAGAATTCTGAAAAGGAAAGAAGACTGTGCAAATAGTAGGCAGTAGGCACTTTGGTTAGAAAAGCAAACGGAGAAGAGTAAAGAAATTTAAAAAATGAACAAAACAGATTAGAAGAAACCGCTCCACTGGGAAGAAGAAAACATAAAAAATTACAGTATGATTAATCGAAACTAAAAGTGTAGTGTCATGAATCAACATTCGCCACGAAATTGTTATGCTAAATTAATTGGAAATCTAACCACATTGCATCCTCCTTCCCTGCAGCACTGCTTGTTACTTTAATGTGGCAATTGCATTAGGCGAAGTCAAAGTAGTTGTAGTTGGTAGGCAAGGAATAAGGGATTGAAAGGGGTAAATAAATTGGAACTTTAATCTATGTAGAGGTGGAATTACCTGTGGGAATCCAGATCACTTGTTGGAAATAAGAATGTAGACGACGTTGCTGGTATGTTGAGCGCAGTCGGCGGCGGGAACTTTGTGGATTCGCCGTGCGGTGCACAAAATAATGAGGTCAAAGAACGGAAGCGGAAAAGGGAGAGAACGGTCGGCGGATGGGGAATCCTGGGTCTGCAGAACAAATGACTGAATATTTTGAGGGCGATCGCGGCAGGGTTAAAAGGAAATTGGGAGGCCGGCATCGGCGCGGAATAGGGATTTTTACCGTACACGGAGATGAAATTGGGAAGGAATTAGTGGTCTGGGCGGGACGGGAGTTTGTGGGCGATAAGGAAAAAAAAATAATACTTTACCAAAAAACTAAAGGGCCCAGTAAGGGGAAAAAGAGAGCGGGTGACGTGGAAGGTTGTGCGTCAAATGCAGGGTACGTGGCATGGGGGCAAATATCAAACTGCTTTAATGTTTTTAGAGATGTTGGTGCTCTAGAAGATTGTTTAGACTCTTACGTACACTAAAAAAAAACATTTAAGTATGTACAGGGACGGACGCACTGGGCTTTAGGGGACACCCCTAAATTTTGGAAAAATGATTATTCAATTCACGGTGGTAATTTATGTATGGATAAAAGTATTATAATTGATAGTGAGGTATACTCCTAAAATTTAAAAAAAATGATTATTCTACTGTCATTTTTTAAATTTGTGTATGGGAATATAAGCTGTAGGTTGGGTAATTCAAACCTAGAGCACTATTATTATTAATAAACTTAATTTCCATTGAACTACAACTCATTTGTTGTTCGATTTTGAACACTGTATCATAGTAAAATGTTATTCCGTATCTCTAATTATTTTCAAAACCTAGCAATTAAACTAATTTCAACATATCCTTAATTTGTATTGATTTTATGGTTGTACAACAAGTGTTGACAGAGTCTTTCAGTTTTGGGTTACATCAAGAACAAGTTTACAAATCGAATATGCGATAAGTTCGTGAATGATTGTCTAGTGGAGTATATAGAGACATTTTTTTAACACTGTAGACACCAAGTGTATTCTACAATGTTAAAAAAACATAATGAACTTTTTTAACCTGTACGAGTAAGGTATTTTCTTATTTATAATTTTATTTTTATTAATTATTTTATTTTTATTTTTATTTTTATTAAATTTATTTTTTAAAAGAGGACACCCCTACGAAAAAAATTTGGGTCCGCCACTGAGTATGTACTTGGGTGTATCTCCCAAAATAGAAAGGAGAGTATCTAACAATATTAGCTATGAACTATTTCCTTGAATATCACATTGGGTGTTGTTACTCAAGTCAAACCGTATTATGTACATAGAAAAGTAAACGTCTGGCGTATTATACGTCTGCGTTCACATCTTTTAAATGTAAAATAGTAAGACATGCATGATAACCATATTGATTACATATCTCACATTTAATTAAAATATTATGTAAGATTAACTTATCTTACAAAAGTTTTAATTTATGTGAGGTAAATTGGTAAGATGTTGAATATAGTAGGTAATAATAAATGAATTTTAGTTAATAATAAGTGAATCAAGTAATGTAAAATATCACATTTGATTAAACTATTGTGTAAAATACAATCAAATCTTTCCAAGTCTTTCTGTAATGCAAATTGACGAGATTGTGAACAATTTAGTTCATAATTTAGAAATTGTATTCAAACTTATATCACGAAATACTTATGTGATATGTTTTTTTAATTGATACATAATAAATTATTATCCCTCCATAAAGTATGTGTATTGCCTTAGTCATTATATTTAATGTTGTACATTTTGTTTATTTGATACATACACAATAAATAACTATCTATCAGTCCATTTGAACTGATATATTGTTTCGTGTTGGGTTGGTATTTTCCGGCTTAACTGGTATTTGTTCGCAATGAATTGATATTCGTCCGTCTCAACCTGTATTTTTCACGTTGGATTGGTGTTTTTTATGTGATCGTATTTTTTGTAATTTGATATTGATCTTTTATTTCTATTTTTAGAGTAGTATTGGTTCGTACCTAATTTTCCTTTAGTTAATAAATATTTAATTTTCATGCTCAATTCACCCTTAGTTGTCATGATCACTATCGTGCTCATTATGACATGGGAAAATGTAACTGTGGCGATTAATCCATGGATGAGGAATATTTGCCGAATTAAGTAAAGCACAAATGCAAATAAGACAAAGTTAATATCTACTAACATGCCTTCTTAGTTCTTGCCCATTTTATATACAAATATATGCCTGCATGTTTCGATCTGGTTTCTGTATTTCAACAACTCATCTGTGGCGATTAATCCCTGGATCAGGACATTTGCCGAATTAAGTAAGTATAATGAAAATAAGACAATTTAATTAATATCTACTTACTGTCAGCTGTCCCATTCTATCTATATATACTAATATAACTCAATTGTTTGCTTTGGATGGTTAATTAAGTAGATGGTTAAATCACGGTTTGACTTCGACCCCGTCCCTAAATTACTCAAATTGTTGTAGTTTGATGATTAACGTGGGTGAAGTATGAATTGGTTAATCTCCTCCTCACACTTATTTAGATGAATAAGCTGCGAGTCACCTGAATGATCCGCACTCCAAATATTTGTTTCCTTTTTATACAATAATGCATTTTAAAACACGAACAAATTCGCCTTCGGGTTCGCACCTGTAACCGTAGATAGGATCGTGGCGGCAATTGTGTTCCACCTTCGAGCTCAACTCACCAGCGCTTGAAGGAGTTGGAGTAGTCAGTTGCAGACTGGGACATCCCTAAATTTTGGGAGGGGGAAAAGCGTTAGTCTATATAATTCGAAACTCTAATTTGTTGTTAGTACTTAAAACATAAATATAATTATAACGTAACTATCCTACAAATTAACCCCAATCCGGCTATGGGCTACCCCTTGCCCACCGTTCTAACACACGAAAGAAGAAGAAAAAAGAATCGGTCAAGCAGCTTCGACGCTCCTCATCCGCTAGTTGATGGTGAGACAAAATTGAATCTATCATATGTGCATAGGTAGTTACATATGCTTCTGATAAGCTACATTTATTTTTACCGGTTGCAATTACACGTATTGACAACGGCTTTTTCTGCTTTGGTGTTTCATCAAAAACAGGTTTCGGAATCGAATAGGCGATAATTAAGTTCATGAATGTTTGTCTAATAGAATCTATTAAAAGAGATTTGTTAAATACTATACACGGCCCGTAAGTGTATGTTTTAAAAAAAATCAGAATATGAAAACACTTTGTGTACTTTAGTCGTAACTTGTACTAATCGAAAATAGTTACCAGCTAATATTGTAAGTATTCTACTTTCTATTTTTGGCGATACACCCTAGTAGAGCTGAAAATTTGCATGTCCTGACCCGTCCCTGACCCTCTGTGACCTGTCCCTGAAGGGTCAAGATGTATAAGTGACCCATCCCGTCCCTGTCTCCTTCTTGACCCTGTCTTACCCTCAAGGGTCGGGATGGGCCGGGTCAGTGGGTCGAATCTTATCAACACACTACTTTTTTACAAATTATGTTTTGGTACCCAAAATTATTTTTTCTTACAATTTAGTACCTAAAATTTATTTTTTTACAAATAAGTCCATAAATTTTGATGGTAAAATTACGTTTTGGTACCCATATTTTTTTATTTTTACAAGTTAGTACCTAAACTTAAAAAATTACAAAAAGGTCCAACGTGGTGTGAGATATTTGTTGTTGCTAAGCGTCACAGGGTCAAAACGTTACCCGTCCCTAAATTGTCCCCTACCCGTCTCGACCCTTAGACGGTCAACAAATGACCCGTCCCTAATCTGACCATGTAAACAAACTGACACGTCCCGACGGGACGGGTCAGTGGATTTTCCGGGTCAAGCTTTCACCTCTACACCCGAGTGGCCGAGTATGTATACTTTAATGTTTTTTTGTAGCGTACGTAGAATCCAAAATACCAAGAAGAGCAGCCAAAAACACACAACACATTGTACTTATAGCCGACCATACAACAACGCAGCTACCGTGGCGGTTTATGCATGGATCGGGAATGTTCTGCCGAATCCGCCCAACTATATATATATATGTAACCGATCGATAAAACGGCATTCAGTATTAACTAGTTAATTACTCTCTCTTCGCATACGAAAATGAGTTCATCATTATTGAGGAAGAAACATAACAATAAGGTGGTGATGGTGGCCGCCGTTTTGCTACTCGTCAAGTCGCTAGTAATTCGTACGACGCCGTCGGAGGTGGTACTGGAATTTGAGTGCAACACCGCGGAGTTCGAGGCCGGCGATAAGCGGCGTGATTGTGTAAATCCCTTGCTCAATGAATTGCTCGCGGATGATCAGAATCCGCCGTACGCTTATAAATTCTACGACACTTACCACTCCTGCGATAACGGCCGGAGCGTTATCTACGGTTACATATACTCGGAGCCGCGCTCCGGTGCGTGCACCGGAGCGGCGACGGATATCCTCCTGAACCGGCAGTACTGCGGCGGCCGCATGGGAGGTCACGCTTCCGGCGAAGGCTGTAAAATGAGGTTTGAGGTTTACGACTTTGGAAATGAGTTACAGTAACGACTTGATCGTGACGCGGTCTTATAAAAAAGAAAAAAAAACATGTGTGGTATGAATGACAGAGTTCGGTTCGGTTCGAGTCGTTTAAGTTTTGCATTCGTTTCCGTGTGAAATCCAAAATTTGCGTTTGTGTTGTATAATCCACTATTTGCATTTCAAATTTCTCAAGTCACCATGATTTGGGGAAAACGGTTTACATATATCTTTCACGAAGCAGTCGACCACTTTATAAGAAAAATGGTCTATCATTTTTGTCTAGTGGTCCACAGTTTCAGGCAAGTTGGCTACCATTTTCGGCAAGCGATCAACCTGATGGCATACTTAATTGAAACTTACAACCGTGTTTGTTGAAAGCAGTAGACTGCTTCCTCCAAATGGTCTACCGCTTCCGGCGGACGAACGACTAGATTACACAGCTACTCTTTACTTACATTAGAAAAATAATGACAACAGAAGGCCTATAATACAAAATTGTTTTGTAATAATGCAATATCCTATCACATGCGGGCAACCAAATATCTGTGCATATTATAAGTCTAAACAAAAAGAAATAATTGTATGGCAAGTATACTTTACATTTTAAGTATCTTCATAACAACAATAGCAACAAAATTGATCTATCACAAGACAACTATATGATAAAAACTAACAAACTTAGAATTTAAAGAAAAAGGTGAAAATCTCTATAGAGTAATTCAAATCTAAGAAATAAATACGCAAACATTCCTTAAATTCACGGAAAGACAATCACCCAATAAACTTCTCATCTAATGTGCAGCCTTTGTACTAATATTAACTCTCATACTAGCAAACATCTCTATTAATATTGGACTCTTCTAATTATATATGATAAGGTCATTAGCAATGGTTTGTCACACCAACCTATTGTTGGAAGCAGTCACTACAAGAAATTACCCTTATTGTAACACTTAAAAAAGTCACAGAATGTATAAAAAAAACTGTCACGTAATATTACATTTCATGACAGAATACAAAGTGTTACGTAAAAAAACTGTCACGTTAACCATAGATTAACGTGACAGTTTTTTTGATTGCAGACCTTCTCTCAATCAAAATAATTACTATGATGATTGAAACATGGACACAATAAACATAGATTATTCTTTTACTTTTTCGTATTGATGATGTGGCTGACTACTACAGGAGTTTTATTTTATAACCCCTTACAAGTTTACAAGGCACACTTTATAAACATACCACACCAAGTATGCATAGTAAAGGCAGCCGTACTCCTGAAATGCTCGTACTTTCTAGTGATACGACCGTTAAATGTATTTGCACAAATCAGAACCGTCCGTTGTTATTTATTTCCGATCCATCAATGATGGCATAAAACGTCGAAGGCTGAGCTGCGACGTCAGTGAAAGACGAACTGGACAAGGTGTTCAAGATGTACAAGCCAAGCCAGCCTTTCCTCGACTAGTGAATGAGCAACTTTCAATGCCCCTTCTTTTTTCATGCATATACTCAATTGCAGATGCATTACAGTAATGCTCCTCTGCTCATCTTTAGAGGGAAAGAATCGCTTCTCTCTGAGAATCCAACTCGCACAGCTCATTCCTGAGTATGCGTAACCAGTCATGCAATTCATGTAGCTTCTCTCCGGGGCGTGGGAGCGCCAACAATTTATCCATCCAATCGTTCTTCAGAGTTTCCGTCGCAGCACGAATAACGTCAACAGTAGCGAGTGCTGGAAAAAAGATGTGACCAAATTAAGATAGATTAGTTTCAAAAGGACACACAAATTGAGACAGCAGCTTCCAAAAGTAATAGCAGCACAAAGAGCTTGATATGCTCCAAGAGATACCCCTGGAGCGTAAAGAAGGTTTGTTAAAAACGAAGTCTCATTCGATAGTCGAACTCGAACCACAAGAGTCCAGGCCAACAGAAACAGGTGATTATGTCAACCACTATCCTCTGTTGAAACCGAACCAAAACATGGGTGATTTCAAATAATGGGTTCAAGGTAAGAGTAATAAGAGCCAAGAGAAGGTCTGCAATCTCAGTTCTTAAAACGCTGTATGAAATACTAAGTAGTGAAGGCAAGCAAATACACCAAATAAGATTTCTCATTAATCAAACAGAGCAATAAAAGAGAGGCTGAAGGTAAAAACGTACCATTTATTGCTTGCTGCTCTAAATCAGTACTGAGCGGGTTGCTGTTTGCTGCTCTGAACCAGCGGCAGCTTCCATCATACATTCCTCGCAATTCCTCATACCTTGGAATCGGAGTAGGCCAGCAAGAGACCCTAGGCTTGAAAAATGACCAACGAGGTACAAGTTGTCTTAGCTCAGTAAAGAACTCTAGCTTCCCACTACTCAAGTCGCAGCACAATATACCATCAGGGCCAGAAGCAGGGATATACCGGAAATAGACAATATGCGGCCTCTCTGGATGCAGATCAAGGATTTTACAGTATGCAGGGTTATATTCACACCATGATATATCCAGCAACAACCTTTCACATTGTCTCCTCCAAGATAGTCGGTCCTTTCCCAGTTTCCAAACACTTAAACAAGATAGACTATTTCCCTCGTCCAATTCAATTACGTGCAAAGCATCTTCCGAGACCGAGATATCCCACCGTGGATTCTCAGCGAAATCAGAAGTATCGATACAAGTGGCAGGTATATCGAGGCGGAAAATGTTCAACACAGCAAGCATTGGATTCAACTCAGCATCCTGATCTTTACCTATCTTCCCCTCCTCCCCGCGGGCTCTACCATACAACCAAAACAACTCCCCATTGCACGAACATACATTTTTGTGACGGAGCTTGCGATAACCACGGAAAACAAGAGGCTCCTTGGTCCATTTTCCAGACTCGGAACAATACACATCTAGTTTAATGCAATCCTGATGTTGATATATACACACCACCCGAAACCGGCACTCGGAAGAGAAGGCGAAACCTTGGTCGACTCCATTACTATTACTATCACTAAGGGGTTCACAAACTAACCTTGTAACCGGCGCTTCATAACCCATCGGCTTCTCAGGCGCTAGAGGAAGGGCCATCCACTGCTTGGTAAACGGATTGCAGACCAAGTACGTCCTGCCAAGTTGGTGGTAGTTATTAATCTCATCTGGATCCTTCCTAGCCCTCCTATATTTCACATCCATGAACCCGCACAAAAGCAAATCCTTGAAGCAATCCAAAATTTTGAAACAGGCTCGAACCCTAAAAGGCATGGACGGGATGAACCTCATGATTGCCGATTGCGGGTCGCTAGCGTCGTCCGTGTGAAGAAGCAGAGCCGGCAGTTTGTCCATGCTCCGGTGATGAGAAATGAAGCGGCAGCTGAAGCTGGGACTTGAGATCAGGGACCTCCAGCGCTTGCAGACGGGTTTGCACCAGAAGGCGAATCTGTAGTTGGGGAGGCGAATCAGAATCTCTGTGAGGAGATCGTCTCCGAGTGAGCTGATCATGGAACTGGAAGGGTTAACTTCTGAACAGCTCCGAGGTCGTTTTCTGAGTAGCGCCATTGGCGAGAGGCAAAACAGATGGATTGAAGGAAGGGAGAGGAAGGTTTATATAGAGAAAAGCTTGGCGCTAAAATCAAATATATAGAGAAATCCCTAACCCCTCTTTTATTCCAACTAGCTTATTACCCGGCCCGTTGGCCGGATTACTGTATGTTACCCACTTGTGGAATGGGAGAGAAAGCAAGTGAGAGTGAAGGGATTGGGATTCCACTTGATTAGGACCGGCCCACTAATCCGATTCTTCCCGACCCGCCCCAACCTAAAGGGTCAGAAAGAGCCAATAAGAAAATACGAACGGAGAGAATTAGTAATATATCTTGACTCTTCAGAAGTGGGTCAAACAGGATAAAGGTTGGGTGAGGGCAATTTTTAGCGCTAAGCAGAGTTCTGGGTTGAATAACTTTACTTAGGCCTAGAAATTGGTGCTGATGCAGACTGCAGTTTTTATCATACCATCATCAATCATCATTGAATTAGTCCTGGGTATCCCTCCCCGTTGTCGGTCTGAATTTTAATGATGGCTTCATTCATTGCACCAGCCATATCAGCGAGTTGTCATCTCGAGCATGATTTGCCTATGTACAAATGATACAATTAGAGTATGAAACTGAATTCAAAGAAAAGGAAAAGAGAATTCTATCACATGCCAATAAATACACACATAATAGTTGAAGCTAAGTGAAAGTCATTACTCGCACATCAATTCTCAAAAATTACAGACTAAACAATGGCTAGAATGGCACTGAAACTACCAAGAATCATGGACGAAACAACTTGTCAAATTAAATAATCCTTATACTGAAACTACCTTCTAACTTGAAATAAGACATGATCACAGTTCATAGCACTCTTATCACTATGAATTGGTTGCAGCTCGTCCTTATCACTACCTCCCAAGCTCAATTCAAACAGAATAGACACAGTTATGTAAGATAACCATATCCTTACTGATCATAATTCCTTTCTTCACTCCATTTTTGTCAGAGAAAAGAGTTATCCCCCTCTCATGCATTTCCCTTTCCCCCTCTCTTCTCCCTCTTCTTCACAAACCGATCCCTAAACCAGCAACAACAACACAAAATAGCCTTCGCCTCTGCCATCTCCATCTACTGAACGTGTTGGTGGCAAGACAGGATTGCAGAAGCAAAATTTTCTAAAATCAAACTAAATTTTTTGAAGGAGACTCAACCACGAAAAAAGAGTAAAGCAACAATGCTAATAGTTCAGATGGTTGGTTTTGATGTTATACGTTGCTTTTGTTATGGTCTCCAGTGTATCAACTGCAACAGAGATGTTTCCTCCAATGATCTTTAGTGCACGATTTAGAAGTAAGTCCTCTTGTTTGTGTCAAACGGAAACATTCATGGGTTCTTAACTCCCCTGATAGTGTAAATGCATCAGCAGCAAAGAAGTTTGACAACACAGCAAGCACCCAGGCAAAATGATACAATGCAGTAGGTGATATGTGTCTCAAAGGTTTTGAGTTACTAAAGTTCATGTTAAAAATAAACATGAATTAAAATGGATTATTCTATTAAGCAAACATCCCCTCTAATCATACAAAGATCAGATATCTAATTCACAAACAATTAAGCCATAAAAAATCATCACACATCCACCACCTTTGATTGCCTATATTTGGTTTTTCGCAAAGTTGTGGACTCTTAAGGGTAAAGTTCATGGGTAGTCTGTTTCATAACTCTAGAGAGCACAGTAAGCAGCCACCAACCAGACACAGTGCGGTAGGCGAATATGATTCTCAATTCACAATTTCTCACCACCGGAAGTAAGAACAGAACATAATAAGCGTAGCGTTCATGGGTGGTCTGTTTCATAGCACTACTACACAATTTGTTAAAAAGGAAAGAAAGGTATTTAGCATCACGGCGGAACAACTTTTACAGGCCAACAACGACAACATGCTGCAACCACCAGAACTGGTATCACAACTCATAGGGAAAGTCAAAAGATTTACTCTTAAATTAAGTAGTTACAACATCGAGCAATCGTCAAGCACATACACCATCACAAAAGTCACAGAACCTGATTCACAAAGCATTCAAACATTTGAGGACATTTCTGCAAAGATACAACTTATATGTCTTTTTTCCAAGCCATTTCCATCAACATGCTAATAAATTTGCAATGCATAAAACAAATGGGCCAAAACTTGAAATTCAACCTGTTTGACCGACCCATGCCAAATTCTAATTATTCTTTATTTTTAAACTTTCTATTTGAAAATAAAAAAATAGTGAAAGAAAAAAGACGACTACAATTCGCCATTTGCACATCACTTATTCGGGAATAAAACCTTATAAATTCAAAAGGAACTGAAAATGTTGAGGATCATTTTAATGTTTAAAATAACCAAATAGATTTTTATGTTTAGTTTTTTACTAACAAATACCAAACGATTCCCTATAAAATACACTATAATTTGATCATTATGATGTCAAATAATTATAAAATATATATTTGAAATGATAAAAATTGGACTAATTGGGTTGGTCGAGGTTGAACCATTGAATAACTTTAAAATACATTATATTTTAGCCACTAAGATATAAAATAATAGCATAATATATATTATGCCAGAGAAAATAGCTTGTTTTAGAATGGCAAACCCATGATGTTCATTTGTTTTACTTGATGACCAAATCCCATGTAGGTCAGGCCCATTCAACTCTTTTATTTTATGGTTAGCGGTTAGCCCATTAGATACCATGCATTAGTCTATTTTTAAATTTTTTATTTTTAACAATAAAAAGGAATATTATTTTTGCCTTTTCATATATATTTTATCACCACGGATAAATAAAAGGGTATAAAGAAAAAAATTGACACTCCTTGACTCGTTTAAATCCGCATGTGTACGGTAAGTTGGCCCGTTCCATAGAGGAAAGAGAAAAAATTGACACTCCCTATTTTACCCTTCCTACAACCGCTCATGGAACAGGGAATTTGAAATGGGGGAAGAGTTTTTTCCACCCTGCTATTATATGTTTTTAATTTAAAAGGATACAACAAATGTACTTAGTGTGATTGGTTATGATCTTTGTCTTTCTTTAAAATGGTCATGGTTCGAATCCTAGTACATACCTTTTTAATGAATAAAAAAAAGTAATTGTGAAGACCAAAATGTCCTTCCTACTTTCACTCTCGTTGCAGAAAATTTGAAATGGGGCTCCCGTTTTTCCCTTCGGTGTATTATATTATGTGTAGATTTTCCCTCTTCCGGGGTGTAAAAGGAATCCCAAAATATATAATTAAATAAAACGCCTGCTCACTCAGCTCGGATTCGGAATAGTACCTTTCTACGCAAATGTGTATATGGTTGGGCTTGGGCCTGACCACAAGAACCCACCAAAGTTAGCCCAATATTAAAATCTTTTGGGCCTCCAAATTCTCACCCTTGCTCAGCAAGTTACATATTTGGTCATGTTGACTGAAATAACAGAAGCTCCCCTTTTCTCGCTTTCCCGCTCTTTCACTGTCTCGCTCGAATTCTCAGCTCTCTATCACGCTCTGTTTTTCTCCTCTGTCAATCCTCAGCTATGGCGGCGAATTCCCTCGAGGACGATGCAAAGAAATACGGGTGGTTTGAAGGTTAGTTCGATTTGTTTCTTCTACTTGCTTCGTCAGTATGTTACTGTTTTTTCTTTTCTCGCTCTCCTGCTGTAGGCTGGTTCTTGTTGCAACTCCCTCTGTTCTTGCAATTTCGTCGCTCTCTTCCTTATTTCTCAGTTCGGTTGTGAAATTTACGCATAGGGCCTGCTGTAGGCTAGTTCTTGTTGCAACTCCCTCTGTTCTTTCAATTCAGTCGCTCTCTTCCTTATTTCTCAGTTCGGTTGTGAAATTTACGCAGAGGGATTGAACGTGGAGAGGAGGGTAGACCGTCAGAAACTCATTGAAGAAATGATTCAAACAACTGACGCGGAGCTTGCTGGTTACTTTCAAGAACGCAAGCCATTGGCTAAAAGATCAGGCGCAGTTTACAGCGAGCTTGTAAAGAAAGGATATAAACAAGAATATCTCGAATGGGTTAAGGAATTAAGGGAAGTTCCGACGATTGATGATGATGCGTTGATGGATTGGATATATCTCAACCGGCATATCAAAGATATTGATCGCCAAATCGTGCTTGAATGTGAAGAGCGCAAGAACTTGAGCGAGGAGGACGGAAGAATTGTGGGTGAGCTGGTTGAAGTCTCCGAATCTTCTCCACTTAATCTTCAAAAGTTGCTTACTCGAATTGGAATGGCTGAAGAGGAATTGCTCTGTTTCAATAAGCATATAGGGGAGCTTGAACAGAAGGTCAATGGCCAAGGACTGATTGTGAAATCAGACAGAGATATGCTGGATTCTCTTATTGGGGAAAGGGCGCTATTGGAGGAAATGTTGTCTCTGTACAAATCGGATCTTCATTATCTGCAAAATCCAGCGGCCGAAGAAGAAGAAGAAGAACCCATGTCGCCTTCTCGTCAGGAGAAGCTTGATCGTTTTGGTACTGTTGTGTTTGAGCTCCAGGAAATTCGCAAGGAAATCTAGAAGATTGCTTCGACCATCGCAGTGACTCGAGGGCGTCTGGCCGATTCGATGGTTGACAAGATGGGTGCTCTGTTCGACAAGCGGAGGTCATTGAAACTGGAAGATTACACGTTGAGGGCTGAACTGAATGTACCAAAGGGAATCGATTCAGCAGGTATTGTAGCTCGAGTTGCCGAGATCAACGAGCGAATCCAGGAGGTCGATAGAAAGAGACGTGACAAGCATGCGCTCCACTGCAAGCCTCAGCTGCTGGACGAGATTGACCAGTTGAATGCGGAGCTCACGGTGTTGATGGGGAAGGTTGACGGTTCAGATCCTCGAAAAAGCCTCCTGATGATCAACCCAGAGCACTGATTCGATGTCAACGTTACAGTCCTCAGAGTACTCAGCTGCTGCTCAATTTCTGAACTCTGTCTTGAGCATTTCAGACTCGGTTTGATTGTTGTAGTTGATGTTCATTTGCTTGGAAGTATAGCCCTGAGAGTACATGTAGCATTTCAGTGTAGGAAGCGACTTCATTTCGAATTTTGGAAGTGTATTGCTGGAGAAGAGAAAGGATGAACTGTAAATGTGGTCAATTGTATAGCCCTGAGAGTACAGGTAGCATTTCATTGTAGGGAGAGACTTCTTTTCGATTTTGGAAGTGTATTGCTGGAGAAGAGAAGTGAAGGTATAACAATGCTGAGATTTTGCTTCATGGGTAACAAAAGTGAGGTCATGATTGAGCTTGAGCACAAGCTGCTATCAAAATAGGCAGAATCCAAATATGCAGGTCTCCTGTATGGCCTGTTTCAGTATCTTTTCCCAACCTATTTTGGCGTGTGAAAGGGAATCCCTAAATCCTTCGATTAAACGGCTCTTACTTCGGCAAGTATCCTAGCTTCCAGTGAGACATATGGTCACCTCTCACGAGCCCTGTCTAACTTAGTGTTGTTCCATATATCGATAAACATATGAGCTCTTCGAACCTGTGTTAACAGTTCAATGGTAAGTTTGAGCAAAGAAACGGCTAGATCTTTTGCATATCTACAACGTATAACGCATTTGTTACATCGGAACAAGAAGATTACACAAAGCTGGTTGGGCATAATTCTCACAAAGTTCTGAAAACTGAAGCAAACGAAATAGATATTACAACCAAATTGGCACGAGTGAAGTTCAATTCAGTGAGGCTGTAGCAGGGGAGGTTTATGTAGGACTGTTGAGGAAATGAGCCAATGCCTTTTCTGTATCGTTGTCATACATGAGCAGTGCTTCAGCCACGTTGTTCGACGAGAATCCCATTTCCCGTAGTTGAGTGTAAGCGTTGGAGAATTCCCGAACCTGGAGCAAATGGAAGAAGATTAGAAAAGAAGAAGTCCAGCATTAGAGCTTGAAAGTTGTCAGGAAAGACAGTGAAATGCAAGCTGGCCAGCAATCATGTGTATGTTAATCGAAGAAGAGATGGATGGTATTCATGGTACAAACAGAGGCAAGCTTCAGGTTAGGGGGTTCAAGTGGTTAAGATCATAATGCCTACCTTTGTAGGGTTGTCCCCGTAGTTTGCAACTGCAACAGGAACAGCTTCTGGATTAAGTCTCGATGCAATGTATTTGCTGACTATGGGATCTCCTCCTGAACCCTACATAAGCAATATACCCCATCTTATCAGAGAAAGCTACTTCCATCATCCCATGAACAAATGTCATCTAAAAGATACGCTTTGTGAAACAAAACCACATAAAAACTGTTACTTGATCATACCAACATCATAGCCAGGATATTGGGGTTCTTCTGGTAGGTATAAATGCACTTTCAGAGTAACTAACCGAATCACAAATACAGAAATGAGCATCTATGCTACCCATTTCGACTGTCTATCAGATCAATTGTTTGAGTTCTGCTGATAACGAGACGAAGGGCTCTACCCATTTTGACTGCCTATCAAGACGGAATGTTCGAGTTCTGCTGATAATGACACCAAAGCTAAAGGATAGTGCACCCTATTATAAGATCAACAAAAACGAAAAGTGTAAATCCACTAAAATGCATCTAAACCGTACCAATGAAGAATTTGCTTCTGCAGCCCTGGGAGGAGGAACATTCTCCAACCCTAGCCTGCTCCAATTGATGCTTCCCTTCTCCGCTTCAGCCAACAGCTTCTTCTCAAACTCGAAATCGAACTGGAAATTGCTCCGCTGAATCTCTCCTATTTGAGGCGACAATTGAGGCTGCCAGGCACGATCAATTCCAAAAACACGTTAGCAAATTAAGAACCCTATGAACACAACAAACACCAGCAGCAGGTCTAATACGAAAACGTAAAGTCAGCAAGTTACAAGCATATAATCAAACAATTCGAATCGTACCGGAGGAGTGATTCGATACTCTGGCTTCAACGCCACTCGGATCCCCAACCCCGCTGCAAAAAAACACGGCAAGAGCAAAGTTGTGTCACAAATTAGGTCGAAATCGGGAATTATACTGTTCCAAAATTTCTTCTTTCCAAACGAAAATTGAGAAGGAAAAAAAACGCAGAGAAGCTCGATCGGCTTACAAGAAGAAGAAGCCGACGGAGCAGGCGTCTGATGATAAGCGGGGTGACGGCCGCCTGGAGGAGCTCCGCCGTGGCCCGGCTGCCCGACTCGCGGGTATATCGGCTGTCCGTACATCGGGTGACCGGCCTGCGTCGCAGATGAGCTCGATTGCCTGTACATCGGAGCTTGTGGATCGTACGGCGGGTTCGCTCTGTTTCTGTAATCGTACTCCATCGGCGAATCGAAGCTACCGGCGGGAAAGAATAAAAATGATCGGGAAAGCAAAGCAATCGCAAAATCTCGGAGAGGAAGAAGAATAAGAAGTAGCAGAATGCTTAAACGAGAGGAGTTCTTCCTACGACGTCGTTTTTAGTTTATCTCTGCGTGTTGCGTGTTGGAGTTTCTTGATTCTTACTACGGGCCCCTGCTTCGAAGTTTCCCTTTCATTTTTCCTTATGATTTTGACATCTATAATGGTTTGTGATTTGTGAATGCTGAATAGTAATTAACAGACTAATTTCATGCTAAATTCGATTTTTGATAATTAATTTTTGGAAATGATTCGATTCTAGTGCTTTGTGATATGATATATCCTAACCTTCATAGATAAAAAATTTCACCTCATCTGAATTCTAATTGATAATTATAGTTCATAGTTATCACCGCTAATACGTTTCTTTTTTGTTTTGAGTTTTTACTATGGTATTTAAATTGTAATGAAAACTCATGATCACCAAGTCAACATTGAATTCAATCCATGACGTAATGTAACATAATCTTACTATTACTCGAGCTTCCACGATCGAACAAGACTAGTTTGCCAAAACACTTAGCCTAAATCACTAAAAACTACCTTTACAAGAAATTTAGAGCACTACTGTAACATACATTACATGGTATATGGTACACTACACATGCTACAAGGCTCTCTCACAAACCAAAGAAATTGTCACTGGAGCCAAGCAACGTGGCATTGAACTGCCGAGAGTTCAGATCGCCGCCGTCGAGGGCGGACCCGAACCGGTCCAGCCACTGAGCCGGGCTGGTGCTGTCACCCTCTTCCACCCACTCCGAAGTCATGTCTATGTCGTCAGACTGAATCGGATCGACTTCTGCAGCATTCGTTCTCAGCTGTCTGGACAACCTGAGATTGTAGTTTACGTAGACCAGGTCGTTCAACGACTCCTTGTCGATCTTGTTCCGCTTCTCGGAGTGGAGTTGCTGGAACGTGTTCCAGTTTTTCTCGAACGTGAAGCTGCTGCAGACCTGGCTCAGTATCCTGATGGCGATTCGTTGCAGAACTGGAGCAGCATCCCCGAATTGCTCCCACCATATACCTGCAGAGCATATAGTTTTATCAGTAAAGTTGTATCTTTTTTACAGTGTAGAACAGATACAAGACAGCTAGAGTGCATTTTACCTGGAGCAACTGTATCCCTAGCCTCCATTGCCAGGCTACATCCAAACATCCCACTTGCTCTAGTGAAGATGAAGATCTGATTGGTGATATCCCGTCTCACCTCCGGAGTAGGAAGCAGTTTCTCCATGACCTTGAAGAAGTCTTCCTTAATCAACGACAGGAACTTGATCTCTGGATTATACTGGATACTGGGATTCAGGAATGCAGCTGCTGAATGTAGAGGGGAGTGCAGCTGATCCGTCCACTTCCTATCCACTATATCCAAGAAAGTCTGGCATTTGCACTCATCCATAATGTAGTAAGTCCTGATGAACTCCTTTGCCCTAGTCATCATCTCATAGATACCGCCCACAGCAGCTTTCCCACCTGACACTTCTCTCATCACTTTCAGGAAAGGCTCAGAAATCGCCACGATTTCCTCCATCGCCCCCCAGAAGTCTCCATCCTCGACTATCGAAGCAACGGTCTGCGGTCTGTTCCCACAAGATAATGAGCTGGCTGCTGCTGCATACTCTGGGCTGTTGAACATGAGCTTCAGCCTCGGCTTTTGCTTCAGCATTGATTGTAAAGAGAGGAAAGTCGAGACCGACTTTGTGATCCCAGTTCTAATAAGTTCCTGCCCTCCATTAAACTTCTTCATCAGTTCAAGCATCGAAGCATCATTATATATGACCTTCGATATGCTTTGTGCCTGCAAAATGCACCCTCTAACCCAATCTACTCTAGAGAACTCCTCCAAGATCAAATTCAAGCACTGAGAAGCACAGGGTGACACAAACATTGTTGCATAGCTTTGCTGCAGATGGTTAGCTATACCCGTATAGTTAAAACTACTATCCAAGATTACTTGCACCACATTCTCCGGACCAAGATCTTGAATCACGGAGTCAAACAAATCTGCCAGAAATTTCGTGTTCTTGAAGTAGGAAGATGCATCTACTGACCTGAGAAAGAAAGTTCTCGAGGGTGAAGAAACCAAGAAGTTGATCAAAGCTCGAGACTTGTTGTCAGTCCATGTATCAGCAACTACTGTGCAGCCAGTAGTAGCCCATTCCTTCTCTGCGTCTTTCGATTCCAAGCTCACTTCCGACTTTATCCTCCCCAACCACGTAGCCTTCAACTCTTCTGCCGAGGGCCCTGTGAATCCCGATCCACATTTCCCTATCGCCTCGATCATCTGGTAATACGACGGCGACCTGGCAAACCCAAAATCCAACTTATTCTCAAAGAAGAACATCGCAATGCTCCTCTCCGCGCTCTCTTCGTTCGTCAAAGGTGCAGCTGGGACAGAAACTACTGCAGTTGGGTAGACTTTCGTGGCCACATGAGGCACTATCTCCATTGATATCATGCTTCTACAAGCAGTTGTACCATCCCCAATGGATTGGATAACAACTTCTGCGGGCCTCTGCTGCTGCTTCTTCCTTTTGGCGCTGGTGGTTGGAGTTTCTTCCATCTCGCTGTTGCTAGCATCTCTGGATGCAAGTAAAGCTCTTACCCTGTCCGTAACATCATCCCTCACCTTACTACACGGGTTCACGCCTTTGCTCGGAATCCGAGAGAGATGGTGCTTCAACCTGCTGATCCCGCCGTTGAGAATTCTGAGGCAGAACTTGCATTTCACCTTGTTCCCGTCTAGCTTCTCTGCGTATTCCCAGCAAGTGTCCTTTTCCCGAACCACTGCCCAGTGAACATTGTTCCAATTTCCAGATTATGAACCAGAAGAAAAAACTCAAACAACAAAGCTAACGAGCCGAGAGCTAACTTACTGCTTCTGAAGATTGTTAATTGTTATTGCCCCTCTCCGCCTCAAACCCTACAAAAACAGAAGAGCAAATACGAAGAAATCAAACAATCGTCTCAATCAACGAAGCAGCAACTGCTATTAAAAGAGAATTCGAGCTTTCATCATCGCAAAAGAACATTCAAATCTGCAATTGCTTCATTCAGTCGAAATTCTGCAAGCTTAATTAGCTAACTGAGCTAATCGGGAGCATTAGCGATGTCCTAGCTTAGCAGTGGGAGGAAAGGTGGATTGAATCGAGCATTTTCGCAGTTCGATTTTGTTTCCTCGGTAGCCAAACAGAAAATGAGAGGACAAGAGGAGGAGCAAAAGAGCGGGAAATTTGAAGCGACTTACTGGGGAAAGGAGAGAGCTGTGAGAATGATCTTCTCGACGGAGAGATAATCGGAGGGAGGTTGCAGAGTTGAAATCTTCTCGACCTTTTTTACTTATCGCGATATTTTGAGGGGTTGTTAGGGTTTCAGTCGTTCTCTCCTTTTCTCTGGGTTCTTCTTCGCTTCCTCGTTTTTTTGGCGTTTTCCTCCCCTTTTTTCCTTTTCATATTTCTTTTGACGATATATCGCGGAAAAGATGCTAGCCCAAACAACGCCACGTGGAGATGGAGATGGAGAGCCGAAAGCCCAAAAAAAATAGACCCAAAAACATATCAGAGCCTGGTTTCGATCCAGGGACCTGTGGGTTATGGGCCCACCACGCTTCCGCTGCGCCACTCTGATTTTGTTGTTTTAGATCTCGCAGTCTTTTATTATCTTGTTATTTGAATCTACCGATAAATTTTAAATGTCATAGTCTCATAGGAAGTTGACCATAATCCTACTCCCTGCAACTTGTTACAAATCCTTCACATTATTATAGAAAAACCAGTGCGTTCATAGGGAAATATTGTTTATAACCATAATGACAGCATCATGATTCATGAAACATAAACAAATATGATAGAACACATTACACATTTCCTGCTGTCTCTACTAGTTAAGATGTAAGGATCTACTCTCATTTGAAAAGGCTGCAATAGGTAGCATATATTCAGTTGAACACGAGGATAAACACAACATCTCACATACATACATACATAGAGGTAGAGGTGGCAATTGGATCGGATTCGTGGATTGGATTGGTGGATCCATGGATCAAATGGATAGGATCCAATGGATTGGTGGATTCATGGATTGGATCAAATGGATTGATGGATTGATCCATGAATCAAAATGACATCCAAGGCTTGGACCAAAATGTAAATTTTGAAACTTTAGGTACTAAAATGTAATAATGAAAAAATTTAGGTACTAAAATGTAATTTTCTAATGATATTTTCGCATAAAAATATAAATTTTAGGTACCAAATGTAAAATATAAAATATATAGGTACCAAATCGTAATTTGCCATATGGATCCATGGATTCCAATTGGATTTAAATGGATTGGATTAGGTGGGTAATTTGGTGGATGGATTGGATTGGATTCATGGATTTGGATCCTAATTGTCACCTCTGCATAGAGGTAGGGCTGCAAATGAGCCAAGCTGCTCGCGAGCAACTCTGCGTTCGAATCAGAAAAAAACCCGTTCGACACTCGACTCGTTGTTTAACAAGCCAGCTTAGTAAACGAGCCAAGCTTGAGCTAGGCCATGCTCGGCTTGATAAGCTCGTGAGCTAGCTTGACTCGGTGCCTTGTTGAGCTAAGCTCGTGAGCTGGCTTGTTTAAAGCTTGTGGAAGGATTAATTACTCTTCTGAACATGAAAATTATCTTTTTAATAAGGATGTGTATGGAAGTTAGATGTTATTTTTAGTTTCTAGTGTTCTTTTTATTATTTTTAATTTCTAATGTTCTTATTTGTACACATTTTTCAGCAAGAATGGTTTCAAATCGAGCTTATCTTGAGCCGAGCTTGTACTTAGCTTGACAAGCTGTGTTAATGAGCATTTACCGAGCTCGAGCTGGATTATTTTTAATCGAGTCGAGCTCGAGCTGGATAATCAAAATTCGAGTTCGAGCCGAGCTCGAGCTAAAAAATTTATAAAGGAACCGAGCTCAAGCTAAGGAAAAACTCGACTCGACTCGACTCGACTCGTTTGCAGCCCTACTAGAGGTGGATTGGATTGGTGGATTCATGGATCAAATGGATTAGATTGGTGGATTCATGGATCAAATGGATTAGATCCAATGAATTGGTGGATTCATAGATTAGATCAAGTGGATTGATGGATTATCCATGAATTCAAATGACATTCTCAACCAAGGACCAATATGTAAAATGTGAAAAACTCTTTTGTAACACAATCAAACCGACACTTTTTAACACAGTTTCACAGTCACCTCCTAACAAGCATATATAGTTAGTTGAGTGGTATTTAAGAGAGGAGAAAGCTCTTTGTACTTTGATGGTAGGGATGGAATAAGTTAGCATGTGGTATCCATTATTCTGTCACGCCAACCCCCCACATAACCGCCGCCACATTCATTGGCTTTGGCTCCCGCCGGCCGCCGGCGACACAACAAGTACTCTCATCTATATGGAACATTGGACCCCAAACACAAACTCCTATCTTAGTTGCTTTGTGTACCCTGTACTCCAAGTCTCAAAGCACATCATACATTAGGTAACAAGATAGACAAAAAGTACGGAGAACACGAATAACAAGTAATTTTTAAGATATCGTGCGATTTTAATAGATAAAGAAATCATCAATATTGCCATTTTTCTCTCGAAAACACAGGTGAGACTTACATTTATGTGAAATAATAACATAGATATAACATGAGTGTAAGTGGTGTCGAAAGTTAAACCGCCGCAGAATTTATCTATAAAATTACCTTCCCGAACCCCAATCTCATAAAACCGTATAGAATATCCATCACCCCAACTCTAATGATGGTTCTATCTGTCAAAAACCAGTTGGTCCCAATAAATCGAGTTATTGGGAGAAGGTTATGCTGGATCTTATACCACTCTCTAACACGCCCCCTCAAACGAAAGCCAACCCATGGGCTTGAAGTTTGCACAGACCCACCATACCATGTGCTTGAAAGACAACGGTTAATATTGTGGGTCGTGGAGATTCGAACACATAACCTTTCGGTTCTAGGCTCTGATACCATGTCATAAACCAGTTGGTCTTAATAACTAGAATTATTAAGAGAAGGTTATGCTAGATCTTATACCATTCTCTAACAATATATTCATTAAATTTCCACTATCTAATCCATCTCCATAATCTAGTAGGCAACACCGCAACAGGACAATTTACAGAGTATTATCTGGGAGAAAGATTCAGCATCGACATTCAAACAGTCAATTCTCCCATCTTGAATTCTATTTTTGTTGTTTTGCCAAATCTGTTCTGTATCTCACTTCCACCTTACAACCGATTATAATAATGGAAAGGGAGGCAACCTGCTTCGAGTGATGCAAACTTCTCAACCGTCCCCGCCATTACTCCTCCACTGCCTCTGTCACCAGAAGCAAGAAACAAAATCCAATAAAGAAAACACGAAGGCAGCAAGCAAGCAAGTAGCAGACTCTGTTCCTTCTTCAAACACGCATCAATGGCGGCAGCAACAAAACCAAGTTGATCAGAGATGATTGCCCCCATATAATAGTCCCGCAGAACAAGAAAGAAGCAGAGCAAGTCAGCTGATTTCTTTCCTTCCTTACTTCCTTCACATGCTCTTTCCTTTTCCTGCGCTATATTATAAAACCAGCTCTCTCATTCATTTGGGTCAAATCTCAAGAGAGGGAACACAGACCGCTGCATGGCTGATTAGATTAAGCTTTCTAATCCTAAGCTAATCATATGGTGGATTACTTTACTGTTTTATCTCACTTGGGTTTCCGCAGCTTCTTCTTCTTCTCCTCCTCCTTCTTTCCATGTGATGCTTCTCTTCCAAGCGAATACAGCTCATTCTCGCCATTCATCATTACCCAATTCATATAATTCCCCACAATTCATCAAGTGTCAACCAACTTCCCATCTTTCCCCATCTCTGTTCCTTTTCTGGGTTCAAGAGCGCTGAAGAAATGGATTCACTGAAGATTGGATTGGTGGAGTGAGAAAGCAGAGATGGAGATCCTCTGCATTCCCCTGGTAAGTCTTCTCTCTGTGTTTCTCTGTTTGTTCTCTGTTCACTCTCTAACAGGAAACCCTTTTAGGTGAACAACAAAAGACAGGTGTTTTCTTGAGGATCCAAGAATTGTTCCTAGCAGCCAATTAATGTATACGAATAGAAAGTTTCGATCTTTTCTCTCCAATTTTCCTGCCCATTTGTTTTCTCAGCAACCAAACAGAAGTTAGGTCATTCCATTTCCTAGTATAAAAAAGTCAACAAATTAGCTAGCCATAAAATGAATGCTTTCTTCCTGTGTTAGCTGTTGATGTTTGACTTGAACGGCAATCCGCAATAGGATAACAGCTAGTAGTTTGTTAGTCTATTATGGATTTATGGGTTCAACAAAGTAACGTCTGTTCATCCTATTCATTACAGTCATAAACTCCATTACTAAATACTACCTTTTTATCTGGTTTCTTGTACCAGATGTGAGTCACCGGCCAAGTTTTGTAGCAGCAGCAACAGCAAGGATCAGCCATGGTGGAAATGAAGATGATCACATTCACTCTCTCTGCAATCCTCATCATTGCTTCAATCTCACTCCCGATCACCAAATCCGAGCCATACGAGGACAAAGAAGCATTACTCGACTTCATAAGAAACATTCACCACTCCCGCTCCCTAAATTGGGACACAAACTTCCCAGTATGCTTCCTCTGGACAGGGGTCACCTGCAACAGCGACAACTCTCGAGTCGTAGCACTCCGATTGCCCGGTATGGGGCTCCGCGGCTCGATCCCATCCAACACGCTGAGCCGCCTCTCGTCGCTCCAAATCCTCAGCCTGAGATCCAACGCGATCTCAGGCAGCTTCCCATCGGATTTCTCCAACCTGAAGAATTTAACTTCCCTGTACCTCCAATCCAACTACTTCACCGGCTCGTTGCCTTCTGATTTCTCAGTATGGAACAGTTTAACCGTTCTGGACCTCTCAGGAAACCGATTCAACGGCAGCATTCCGCCTTCCATCTCGAACCTGAACCACTTGACGTCTCTCAACCTCTCCAACAACTCGCTCACGGGCGAAATCCCCGACATCAACATCCCCAGCTTGCAGCAGATCAACCTCACGAACAATCACCTCACTGGCATTCTCCCCAATTCGCTCATGAGGTACCCGAGCTCCGCATTCTCCGGCAACGAGCTGTCCTCACAAATTGCAATCCCACCGGCCACCTCTACCGAAACCCCAATTCCTCAGCCGACGAGGAAACCACGTGGGAAGCTGACCGAGCCAGCGATACTAGGGATCGTGCTGGGCAGCTGTGTTCTTGCATTTGCCACGATCGCGCTGTTAATGATATGCAGCTACTCTCGTGGGAAGAACGATGGTGGATTGCCTACTACCAAAACGGTTACAGTCGCGACCAAGTCGAAGGAGAAAGGCGAGCCTGCTCTGAAGCTGAAGAAGGAGAAGAAGAAGGATATTGGTGGTGGTGATGGTAAGAACAACAAGTTGGTGTTCTTCGAAGGGTGTCGCCTCGCGTTCGACTTGGAGGACTTGCTGAGGGCGTCGGCGGAGGTTCTTGGGAAGGGGAGCTACGGGACGACTTACAAGGCTGCGTTGGAGGACGCGACGACGACTGTGGTGGTGAAGAGGTTGAAGGAAGTCGGGGTCGGGAAGAAGGAGTTCGAAGGGCAGATGGAGGTCGTTGGTGGGATTAGGCATGAGAATGTGTGTCCCTTGAGAGCTTATTACTGCTCCAAGGATGAGAAGCTGATGGTGTATGATTTCTACGACAGGGGAAGTGTCTCTGTTCTGTTGCACGGTATGTGATTCTGAAACTCTAATCACTTTGTTTGTTACGATTTTATAACGGTTAACCGCATTATCGACTAACGATTAACCGCTAACCCACCCGACTATCATTTCTAGGGGCCTTAACGAAACAATGTGTGTTTTTGCAGGCAGAAGAGGGGAAGGCAGGACACCATTAGACTGGGAAACCAGAATGAGGATCGCGATAGGAGCAGCAAGGGGAATTTTCTACATCCACAGCACACGCCAATCCGCGGCCAAACAGCTCGTCCACGGCAACATAAAGGCCTCGAACATCTTCCTAAACTCAGACAACTACGGCAGCATCTCCGACGTCGGGCTCGCCACGCTGATCACTCCAACCCCTGCACCAGCACCACACAGAGCAGCATCCTCAGGGTACCGTGCCCCTGAAGTAACCGACCCACGCAAGGCGACCCCTGCATCCGACGTCTACAGCTTCGGCGTCCTCCTCCTCGAGCTCCTCACCGGGAAATCCCCAACAAATTCGTCGTCATCCGGAGGGAGCGGCGGGGGTGAGGAAGTCGTTCACTTGGTGAGATGGGTGAACTCTGTGGTGAGGGAGGAGTGGACCGCCGAGGTGTTCGACGTGGAGCTTCTGAGGTATCCTAACATAGAGGAAGAGATGGTGGAGATGCTGCAGATTGGGATGAACTGTGTGGTGAGAATGCCAGAACAGAGGCCGAAGATGGTCGATGTGGTGAAGATGGTGGAAGGGATCCGACGTGCAGGAGGTAGTGTTAGTGTTAGTCCCGGAGAAGGTCGGGGATTCGGGTCGGATTCCGGCGTGGAGATCGCCATGTCGACTCCGACCCCGACCCCGCCGGGGTCGGATCGTGCCGGTAGCTCTTCAGCTATACCGTAGGTGTTCAACAATCTGTGTTTTGGTATTCATTGTGTGGGGAAGGATTTTGCCTGCTGGGATTAGACACCAAAATCGTAGTCTAGACCGAGTAATGTGAGATTTTCTTCAGATGTATAAAACTAATGGATTAGTTCTGATTCAATCAAAGTCCATTTCAGTGCATTTCTGCTAGTTTGTTGAGTGAGTTCACATGTCATGTTAAACCGAAACCAAAATGCGATATATTGACGAGAAAGAGATGTTGACGAGTTATCATAATAAGTCATAATAGCGCGCTAAAATGTAACTGACGTGATAACCGAAATCTACGTGAATAACACTTGGAGTAGATCTGACAGTTTCAGTGACTTGAGCCTTTCATGAGTTCATACCAGCTAGGGCAAATTCTGGAAATTAGTATCAATCTTATCACATAGTACATGCCGCTAAGAAATACAGGCACTTGGTTCTCGTGGACATGCAAAATCAATAGGAAAAACAGAAGGAATGCAATCCAATTCCCATAGTTACAGTAGTACAAACAATCAGAAGTATAATGTATATATATGCAGCAAAACAACCAATAACGGTAAAACTATTCTAACTTGGTTGGCATAGACATTCTGATTTCTGAACAATTACAGATTCTTGCCTTTACATTGATATGATCCGAGCGATTCCCTGAGGTGGTCTATAGTTATGAAGGGTTGAGAGACCATGAACTGTTTGCAATCTCATTTCCTCAGGATTCTTGTTCTGACACCACCTGGAGAAACAAACAGAGGTGCATAGAGAGGGGGAAATGACAGGGATCAGGAGAGCGGAAGATTGAGTAAGCTAGAACATTGGCATCTTCGAACCAGGCTGCATCCATCACGATTCGGAAATAAATAGTTATAAAATAGTATCACATACCCTCAACTTCCTCGAACTGAACTTCCTTTGTCAAATCAGCAGCTGCCTGATACTCGATGCTGAATCATAGAATATATCAATATACTTAGAGGTATTCACATGGAAATATTTCCTAAAATACAAAGGATAGTTGTCTACAAACAAGCCTTTTCATAAGTCTTGAATCAAGGTAGACAACCATATTGCCAAAGCTATGAGGTAAAACAACTAGCAAGCATGGTAGAAGAAGATGGCACAGCTAAAGCACCTATTGAGCAACTAAAAGCCAGACCTGGAAAGCAAAACCTTAGCTTGCTAGCAAAGCATCACAGGAGAGGGATTGGTTCTTACCTATTGGAGAACTCCACATCTAGCTCATAGTTCGAAGAGCTCTTGGTATGTTCAACTAAAACAGTAACAATTTCCGTCTTTCTGGTACTGGCCATTAGTAGATCATACTCCGTCGGGATAATGATCGCTAAGAAGTTATCACTCAGCTCACTCAAGCACAGCTTCTCCACTGCAGCCAATGCAATCCGCCTCTTAAGCGCATCGTTCTCCGGATCGAGAATGTAAATGGCGAAATCCGTTATCAACAGGACCCGCCTCTTCATCTTCCCTGAAGCAGTGAATTTCAAAACTTTGTCTGCAAATAATATGTGCTTATCTCCTGGAAAGAGCACAAATGAAACATGATTCAGGCTAGGATATAGCACACAAAATTAAAATTCCTGTTGTTCTGAATCACAGGTCTTGAATCAAGCTTGAATTGCAAATGCAGGAGAGCCAACCAATTGTTTGAATTAATCATTTCGAACTCCATTACCATTACCCTAATCTATCTTGCATTCAATCAAAACCAACTTAGATATGCAAATCCGAAACGAGATATAAATTGGCCATATCAGATTAAATCAATAAAGGAGCGCAATCGAGTGTCTACGGAAACCTAACCTTGTTTCTGCAAGATCTTCATCAGGCGAGGATGCGAAGGCACGTCGATGTAATCTCCTTTAACTTCCCTGTGGAGCGACGCCTTCCGTCGAACCTTGACCCCCATGAACGGCTCCTGGTCGTCGCTCACGTTGCTGCTCGTCGATCTCAGCTTCGCCGCGCTTCCTTCCTCCTCGCCGCCTCCGTTCTGGCCATTCCTCTCGTCGTCGTCGTCGTGCTTAGGGTCGTCGATTTGGACTCGCCTGGTGAATCTGCTCATCGCGGCCGAGGAAGTCCACGAGCGGCAGCGAGAGAATCAAGGTCGAGAGCCGGGAGGAAGCCGAGCTGGATTGTAGTGGGGGAGGAGGGAAGTCAGTTGAGGACGCCCGCCGGGATTCTTGGCGGTGGCGATTGCGATGGCTAAGCTGTAATGGCGCGTTTGGTTCCGCGGCCAGCTCACCCTGCGCTAGCCTGGTGGGCTGGTGGTCAATTTTATTTTTTAGTTTTTTTACACATTAGAAATGAAATTAGAAGCAATTAAAAAGGGTTAAATGAATAATTGCAATTATAGATTTTTTTCGCAATGGGTTGGTCAGTATGGTATTGCACCGGGACAAGGTCGATATTTAGACTGCATCACACGATCGATTATAATATGGTCGAGAGAGAGACAGTTGCTTCATTGAATTTTATCAGTACGGAAGAAAAATGAACTGAATTGACATTCGAACCGGATCAAAGCAGATCAAATGCATTGTTAGTATGAATTTTAGTTTTATAAAATCTTTCAATATTAGATCATAATTCTTCAAGAGTTTGATCTAATTATGAACGGATCGACCCGGTAGACCTTTAGACAAAACCGCCGGTTGTACGATACGATTTCACGAACTCCGATCGAAAACCTAGAAGAAATTAAAGAAGGGAGGAATTATTCGGCGGCCACTTTCGGTGGAAAATCGCATTTGACGTAGAGAAAACGCTTAGCCTGGGTCCCACCACGCAAGAGTGGGGAATATATATAACCCAATCAGGAGGGTCTGGATTCTGGAACCCGAAGCTCGCCTCATGCCATCCAGCCAATTCACAATTTTTCTTTAGCCCCATTTTTTATTTATAATATTTTAATATTAATTTAATAAAAAGCGATAACCTTACCGAATTCCCAAATACCTATTTCCCTTTCTTCTTCTTCTTCCTCTTCAATCCCTCGCTCCATCTCGCCCGAACGCCGCCTGGTTTCAGAAAAGAAGGAGAGGATCTGATCTCGAAGCTCGTTTGCTCTCTGGTATTTCCCTTCCCGCCTCACGATCTCCGGTCTCGATTGTGGTTTCTTAACGAGATCTGATCGATTTTGTTGCGTTCTCTGTGGGAGCTTAGGTTTTCGGCGATGGCGTCCAAGCGTATCTTGAAGGAACTCAAGGATCTACAGAAGGATCCTCCTACCTCATGCAGCGCTGGTAATTTCTTTCTTTTCCATGCGTAGATCGGTATAAAAGAATTTCCCTCTTGGTTTGACTTTATTTTTGCTTCACTGTTTAGAAATTTGACAACAGAATTTCCTCCGCCGTATTAGCCGGTCGAGCTGGAGAATTTCAGCCGTCGGCCGGTGTCATGATAGTATAGATTGATTGATTGATGATTTAGGCATTATTGTTTCATGTATATGACGACAGCGAGGACTGTGGCTTTAGGTTTTTGGAAATGGAATTATACTGTTGTGTCCTGAAGGACGGGGTATGAGCTTGTTCTTGTTGATTAGGCGATGACATGTGTTGCTAGGGTTTGATATGGATTAGGAATTAGGCTATTAACCTGTTCTGATTGCTGTGTGAAAAAACCTGCAATCGGGAGCTACGGCAAGGAAGTCGATAACCAATGAATGAAAATTCAAGTTGGGGTAGGAGAGTCAACAGTTTGGCTCTACCATGGTTCTTGTTTCGGGAAAATATGCTAAGCTGTGTCTTGTTCGTTTTTGCTTCGTAAGAACGCCCAAGAGCTTATTTATGATATTTATAGGGAAGTGGCATTAACGATATGCAAATGCAACTGGAGCATGCACGATAGGATTGGACTGTAAAGAGGTTTTGTGTTCATGTCTGTGTAGTTGGCAGCTCATTATCCAGTTATACCCAATTGTGGGGGTTCTGCAGTTGTAACTTCTTAGGGATGTCTGGTTCCCTGTATCTCAAAGTTTATGTTTTATCAGATCATACGGTACATGGAATGTCCATGCATCCTATACAAATCAACAAGATGCCTGATTGATTTTTGGAATTCCTTGCAACAACATGATGTTTAGAGTTAACTATAATTTGAAATATGAATTGATGATCTCATCCTGTACTTATCTGACTTTTGTTTGGAATGCTACAGGCCCTGTTGCTGAGGACATGTTTCATTGGCAAGCGACAATTATGGGTCCTCCAGACAGCCCTTATTCCGGTGGTGTTTTCCTGGTCACCATTCATTTCCCTCCAGACTATCCATTTAAGCCTCCCAAGGTATCCATTGAGCTGTCTAGGCTATATGTCCATTGTTGCTTGGTTTCATCTGCAGCTTCTTGTAACCGAAATCAATTATGCATCCAGTGCATGTTGTAATACATGGAGTAGTGCTTCCTGCATATGGTTTACCGTTATTCCTACTTTGTCTAGCCTTTCGTTTCCTCTGACCTAAAAAGTTGTGCTCCCTTCATGCCCCTACTGTTTTACCTTTCCTCCCCCCTCTGCTCCTCAAAAACTGAGGGATGTGTCTGTTTTTATGCAATTGCCAATTTCTTTTAACCTCTTGAAAACCTTGGTACATTTGACATCATCTCTCATTTATACGTTCTGATAACCTTGCACTTCTTGAGAACCCTATAGATTTAGTGTGACTCATCGACCTATCAACTCGAGAATGCATTTGCAGGTGGCATTCAGAACAAAAGTGTTCCATCCTAATATCAATAGCAACGGGAGCATCTGTCTCGATATCTTGAAAGAACAGTGGAGCCCTGCTCTAACCATATCCAAGGTATTTTGCTCAATCTGTACTTGATCCAAGCGCTATGATTGGTTTGGGATACTTCTCTTACACGAACGCTCTTTAAACATACCCAAGTGAACAATTTGTGGTCTTGCTGGTATTGAACCCCTACGGATCATCGCTTTAAAGGTGACCAATCTGAAATGTTAATAACATATGGTATGCAGGTATTGCTTTCCATCTGTTCGTTGTTGACGGACCCCAACCCCGACGATCCGTTGGTGCCCGAGATCGCTCACATGTACAAAACCGACAAGAACAAGTACGAGACGACTGCTAGAAGCTGGACCCAGAAGTATGCCATGGGCTAGAACTGGGGGGAAGAAGGAAAGGGTGTGTGATCAGTGGTGGAAGGGTTTGGCTTTGCGAGTTAGGGGTCATCTTCTTTCTCATTTGGATGTTTGCCTTTTGTCTCTCCACCTCTCTGGCAGTTGCTATGTATTAATGTCCAGTCGTGAATGGTGATATGCTCTTCGAAACTAAATGGGCTTAAACTGGCCCAATAACATTTCTCTCGCCCCAGAAGCCTAACAAAAGAACGACACCCAGAAAGTTTATGTCGTTTAATTTTTTTTTCTTCTTCTTCTTCTAATGTATGGATGGATGATTTGATGTTGGAACTTCAAAACTGTGTCCTAACTTTCTTGTGTATTTTTCACTTCAGGAACCGACTGTTTCCTTGTTATCTAAGTGTTCTATCCTTGGTTGAATGAACCAGATGACATAAGTGTATAATTATTGATGTATCTGAAGTTCAACACTACAACTTTTATTTTGGTATATTACAGCGAGTACCCGAGGCTGTTGTACAGTGTCGAACCATCGCTGCTTATTTGAACCTTGCGGACAATTGATCATATTTGTTAACACAAATTGATAAAATGGTTGGCTAGAGAACGCGGTATTCGAACTTTGATGGACCATCCATCATATTTGTGCACTCAAATTGGTAAATGGTTTGGGTGCATAGTGAGCCGACTCTGGAAACTAGACCCTCATTTTACGATTAAAGAAAGTCGCACCGCGTCAAACCCTCATATGCATTGAGGTACCACGAACGACACTGCAGGGTTTTTACTTGTTTGAATCAAATGGTCAGATGTAATATATCAATATAGCTTTTCTGAAAGCATTATCTAATATCTGAAGTAACAATGTCGATTTTTACAAAGGACTGCAAGTCTGATTGTCATGTGGTGGATGATCGATGTCATGGGCTGCAGAGAAATGGTGAGGTAAAAAGCATTGGTACGGGCTCATGGGCTAGGGTTTTCGGCCCAGTCATTAGATGACATGCACCTGTCGTTGGCTTTCTATTGGGCCGAGTAGATGCAACCCATAAGCTAAGCTACTCCACCTCAATCTAGCTAGTATGTAATGCTTCTCTACAACCAATTATACCAACGAGTTGGTAAGGGATCAATCTAAGAAAGAGTAATGAAACAACTTTTTGTATCAAGATATTGTTCGGGATTTAGATTGTCAGAAACCAACTTGTACCAATAATTCGAGTGATTGGGAGAGGCTCATGTATGGTATTTAATCACTTCTTTACATGTGCTCTTAAACGAAAACCAACTCATGGGCTTGAAGTTTACACAGGCCAGCCATACCATGTGTTTAAAGGCAACGATTTAATGTTGGGGGTCGTGAGTACTTGAACACGTGACCTCAATGGCAAACTAGCTCTGATACCATGTTATAAATCAATTGGTCTCAATAAGTAAAGTTGTTGGGAGAAGCCCGTGTATGGTACTTAACCACTTTCTTACATAGATCAGCACGGTTTTTACTTTTGAGTGCATATCAAGGTGACTTCCGGGAAGTAACCCATCACTGCATTGTTGCACAGTAAGCACGTTTAACTTCGAAGTTCTTACGATAACCCTTCAATTTCACCTCAAAATGCGTCTTGTCAGTTAATGACGGATTCTTACTTATTAATCATAGATCTCTACCATGCTTTGTCGAAGTGAGATTCATCTAAGGTGCTACAAGTAAGTCCTTGCATAGTTGAAGAACAAGTCTTCGTATATGATCTCGTCTTTTGGTATTATTTTCGTTTCATTCTCAATTCTTCTATAATATAGACTAGATACATATATTAATTCGATACAACTATATAATTCTCAAAGAATTCATTTTCGCTCTTTTGTAAGAACAATATTTTATATGGAACTCTTGAAAAGAACACACCTAGTACGTAGTGGGTAGATCAAAACCATTAACTCCCCAAATATATGGTCAACGACCGGTCCAAACCCCAATATTGAAAGCCAATTAACATGAAGTTTCGAACACACTGATACTTCAAAATCTTTTTTTATTTACTTATTCAGAAATGAAGATTGATTGTAATGTAAATAAATATAATATGGGTCGTCTCCATGCCTTGAAGATTAATGGAAGACATTGAAATGAAGAAAATATCTATGGAGATAATATAAACTACCAAGAAACAACAGCCCACTAAACTAAAAGTGCTGCTTCTTCACACAGTTGACACAATTACCTTTCTAGCCTCCTCAATCATTTCTGCTGCAAACTTAATAAGCTTGCAAAAAGATCCACCAAATATGACAACTTGCCATTATGAAGGATCAAAGGTCGAAGAACCCAGCGGTACTGAGAATGAAGTTTTCCTTTTGAGAGAAAACCCCATTTTTTTGCTAATGAATGGTGTTAAGTAAATTACATCGATCCATAATCTTGATTGAGAGATCACATTACAAAATTCATTGAAACCAGATTCCGATCCTCTTCACTTAATCCCATATTAATTAGCTTTGCTTAACCCACTAATCACATCTCCTTGATAATATATTTTTCTTGCCTTAATTAATCCCAGATTCTATATACGTTAATGAGGGGACAAGTAACCCTACAAACAGCAGAACACATTAAACAAAAAAACAAAAAAAAAACAAAAACAGACACCTTCTCAGTTCATGCACTTACTCCATCATACAATAATCATAATCTCTTTTTGGCCTGAGAGATTCTCGTCAGACTCTGTGATTAGCATTAGCAATGCAATTCCAGGTACTCTCCATACCAATTAGTGTGAGATTTACGTACGGAATTGCTTAAACTTTTGTGTTTAGTGACTTAATCTCGTCTGGCTGATTACAACCAAAGCCACTAATTATTGTCTAATGAATGGTCTTCAAATGCTCAGGAAACAAGGGCCTCCCATGTTCTTTGCAACTCATATTCTGGAGGACCAAAATGAAAAAGGGGAAAAAGTGTATATTAATGTGGGAAAAAGAATTTCAGACAAAATACCACATGCCAAGCAGTAAGCAGAGGGGGAAAAGGACCAAAAAGGGAGAATAAAATTGTCTTTATAGCAGAAAAGATGTAGTTGTAAGTGTAGTGGAACTCAGCTTGATCAAATATAATTTCTCCCCCAATTTTTAGGGTTTTCTTGGATTTGATAAAACCAATCATTTATACACAAAAGAAAAACCCAATATATAATTTATGTGGACAGTATCTCAGTCTGAGTGACTTCATGAAACATAGAGCACCAACTCCCTAAAAATTGTCTCTCATAAATCATTAACGCTTAAAAAAAAAACATTCTTTTGTGTTTGGGAAATAAAGTATAGGGTATGCCTACTATGACATGTATGTCACCGTGACATGGACTTTTTGGTCGACCTAATCCTGAAGGCGGTCGACCGAATTGACTAATTTGGGCAGCACGAGAAAGCATTGCGGTCGACCTCAAAGACCACCTAGTAGACCGTTCTTAGCTTAAGTTGTTATTTTTGGTTGACCAGAATAAACCTCGGTCGGCCATTTCGTTGGCGTCAGAAACAACATGGTCGACCGTAAAGGTATATAGGTCGACCACTTGATGGCAGTCATTAACAACATGGTCGACCAGATAAAGAAAGAGGTCAACCAGATAGACGATAAGTGTTCTATCAATTTATCCAATCATTTGACGTAAAATGAAGATCAAGTGTTGGTGTCGAGGTCGACCTAATCCGGTACGAGGTCGACCGAATACAAGAAAGTCAGGCTAGTCAGCCTATGCCTCGTGTCTTTTTTGCTTATGTATGTCGATTTGTGTGGTTCTTTTGCTCGTATAAATTACGCTTTAATCCATCATAACTAGTCATAAATAATGATAACAAGGACTCATCAATTATGCTATGAATTGAGGTCGACCGCCTTTAGGATTAGGTCGACCGCAATGCTTTCTCGTGCTGCCCAAATTAGTCAATTCGGTCGACCGAGAATTAGGTCGACCGAAAAATCCATGTCGCGGTGACGTGACATGCATGTCACCATAGCAAAATCCTAAAGTATAAGGACCATAACCAAACTTTTACTGTGAATTTATTAGTAGGATTGCAATTTTGGTCTTCTCATCTTACAGCCCATAACAGCTTTAAACAAACAATTTCCAAGAATAGTAGATATATAATATATTAATATGCATTAATCATCAACAAAATATCCCCCACCATTAACTTTGTGAACCAAATAGGAGAGAGTCACATATAGGATGTAATTAAACGATGGTTGTAGCTCCTCTTATGTTAAAAAAAAATATTGAAAATTGGTAGAATAATATATTATCTAGGCCCTCTTACAAGAACAACATGAATTATGAATTAGTTGGCATTGATGGACATATCCGACTCAGCCAATATTTACAAGAGGCCAAGATGGCATAATTCTTAAAATAAGTTTTAGTGTAGCAAATGAATGATATAAGAACAATTGATCAACCAAAAATTTCAAATTATTACGATAAATCGATTTTTTCACAATACAATTCATAACCCGATAAGAAGATGTTGATAAACACACAATTTTAAAGTTTCGTATTACCATCATATCCGCGCGCTTTGCATAATACAAACCCAATAAGCATACTCGTTTCAGGAGCTAGCTAGCATGTTTGTATAACAAAAAAAACATTTCGAGCAGACTACACTACGTGTTATTCCAAACTAACTATATATTGATACTCTCCCAACAAACTCAAATATGACTAAAATGATTACCAGTTCTCATGGTTAAGTCTACAATGAGACTCAAAATGGATCAACCAAACCAATTAACAAATATAAAGGTGGCGCAACATCATTAATTAGACCAGTCTCCATTCCATCATTTTCCAATTTTGGAAATGTTAGAATTTCTCCACATTTAACTCCTACCTACTGGCTAGCTAGCTACCTAGACAGATTATATTCTCTATCATATCGTTCATTCATATACGAACGAGGCAAAGCTAGGGCGCCACATCATCGTCACATGGAGTTAATTAGGCACGTGACTAGCTTGGGTCGCCGAGAAAGGCGCAATCGCCGCCGGTCGCCGTTTTTCACTACATCCAACACAGACTCGGTCTTCAGTAATGTCGGGGGCCGGGCGGCGTCGGGTCTATATCACCGCTAACTAGCTATATCACCGCTCGCCGGCGGCCACCGTACGCTCTCCACCTAGTTTCAGCGATACTCGCTGAGTAAATCTCGTGTAGATTTCGTTCTTACTTAGATTCTCATATAATTTTTGCATTCTTATGTGTAGATGATTGCTTTAGCTTCTTGTGGTCACTGTTCATTTGCATGTCAATGCAAAACCGTTCACGTGTCCTTAGCAGCTCGTTCGTATACTGATTGTATTTCGATCGGATTCGGGTGGAAAACTTCAGTTTATTTGAAGAATCGTGTCGTATTTACATTAATATGAGTTCAAACCGAGAACAAAACGGAATAGAAAGGGGTGGAACTTGGAAAAAAATCTCCCATAATCCTATTTCGACCACAGATCAATGGATACTCGTTTAAAATAGATCGAACCTGAATCAATCGAGCCGATATAGATTGGTGCAAAGTTAAAAACAGAAAAAAAGGTAAATAAACTGAAGTATTGTGGAGATTTCAGTTGTGGGTGACTCCACTGAAATCTGTAAAAGTTCCATGAATGAACTTTCCTTTCTTTCTTTTTTATGATTTACAGAAAGCTAGCGATAGCTCTACCGCACGTCGAAGGGTCTTTTGATCATTTGCTATATAGTATAGAGACAATGTTTGTAGTTCTTGGATTGTTTACTTTCCATAATGTATTTTTTTTAGGGTTTAGTTTATTCGCTTCACTTAGGTTATTAATAAACGAAGAGCATAGAAAAGAGCAGCAGCACGTGATCTCACTGAAAATTTGAGTGTTATGTGTACATAGATATGCACACTTCTCAGTTCTCTCCCAACTTGCTTGCTGGCCATGAATCATGCATCACCCAGGCCAGCTTCTACTATATTCACTCACTCGGCTATCATAAAAAAAATGTGAACAATTGGTAAAACCAATATAGGTAGAGAGTGATCGAGTTGCGTGTAGTTTAGAAGGGGTTATTAGCCTCCCTTTTTCAAGATTTAGGTTCAATCGTGGAACGTTGTTGCAGGGTTTTTTTTTTTCATCAGTCCCTCCTCATGCTAAATCCCAGCATTTCCACTCTCTAAATAAAGAGTGTATATGACACTTGTATTCAGTCATTGTAGATTCGGGTATAGTACCATACCCAAAGTCAAGGTTATTCATGCATCGTATATATATATCGTGCCACCTCATTAAGAGTATTTTATGGTTTGGATTACATAATTGGGGTCTGGGGTTCCACCCATTATAGGTTAGGGTATATAGTATCATGCCTCATACGCTTTTGATAATTATATTCAAGATCTTACTATAAAAATGGACGGGCATACGGTAATGGCTAATCACAATCTCATATCATATACATTATACATTGTGCTTGATTGGCATGTCATTGACCGCTAATCATCTCAAATAAGGAAAACTATGATGATGCCATATATCGTACAATCCAGTGGCGTAGCCAGGCATTGAGTGTACTGGGGTCCTTTAAAATTTACTAACACTAATGCTTATGTATCTAATGAATTTTGAGTTAACCGGGGTCCTTGGTGAGCTAACATCGTTGAGAGTATGGGGTCCTAAACTTGAATTATCGTACTACAACCTATGTATTTAAAGGGTTTTGTTGCCCAATTGTTTGCCAAGTGAATCAACTCGTCTCGATAACTCGAGTTCTGACATAGTTAATTTGTAAGATGGGTCTACAACTATTGCTGCACCAATCATGATTTGGCCAGAACTATATGTTTGCCAAAATGTTGTTATAACTTGTGATGCAAGATTAGATTGCCCCTCTATATATATGTTGGCAAATTATGTTGTCTAAGAAAATGCAAGCATTATAATTCTCTTTTTGGTGACGATCGATGTTTCCCAATGAAAACTCATGTGGAAGGAGAAAAAAAAAACTTTGACTCACTAATTATATCGTCCATCCATTTCCAGTTTCCAGGCGAAAACTATAAAGAAGCAGAAGCAGAAGCAGAACTGAAGAGAGGGAAGCCATGCACGTGATTGTGGCAGCAGTATACTTCTATTTATTGCCACTTGCAAATTATCTACCTGCACTCCGGCAACTCTCTTTTTCCATTAAATAATTAAAGAGGTTGTGTACGTGCTACAAACAATATAATTATATAGTTGCAGATGACCAATATTTATAATCACACAGTGGAGAATGGAGCCAGCAAGGTGTAAAAAAAAGCTCTGGTTAAAGATTGAATGATTATTTTTTCACACAGTCGATGACTAAAGATTGAATCATAAAAAAGCTACCTATATATGCCAGCTAGCATGGTAAATCTTGTACAATAATTATCACAGCAATTTAAATTTTATCGTGTGATTGAAATAATTAAATTGATCGCTCTATAAGAATATATTTTGTTTTAATGCGACAATACGACGTCGTTTCAAATAAAATATATTTTCTTTTAATTCATTCCTTAAAAGACATGATTCTTCCGTTTGTGTTGAAGGACGAAAACCAAAAGGTGGCCATTCAAGAAGAAGGAAATGATACCTCAGTGAAAACCAAAAGTGAAGGGGGGAAAAATGTCATATTTCCTCAAGTTCACATCATTTTAGTTCATTTTAATCATTATAACCATCACTTCAATCAAACCCAATACTCAATCAAACAATGTGTTTGAAGAATTAATTGAGGTCAATAACTTAAAGCAATGAAGAGGTTCATCGGTTTTCTATTCATTCCTTTATACGCTCGTCTCGAACTTTAAACCCAATTCATGAGCTTCAAATTTTTTATAGGCCCACCATACACTGTCATTCAATCAAGTGCTACTATTGGGTTTCGCAGGAATTCGAGCATAGAAGAACCTCCCAATCAAAAAAATTCTGATACTGTTGTCGCCGCGAATCAATCGGTCTCTGACACCGTGAGTTAATGAAAAAGATTTACACATATATATATAGATCTCATACACATCGTCGTCGTACCTATAAATTCACATTTTTGGAAGTGTAGAAAAAATGAAGCAATCGAATGCTGAAGTTTGATTATTCGTTTCATGCCTTTGATTTTTTTGTTGCCCCAATGGTATTTATGAGAAAAGGCTGCAAGGTTAAAAAGGTAATGACCAGGCCGGCCGGCCAACATCTCTTGCTTCACCCACAAGCTTGCTTGCTTGCTTGCTCTCGATCACTTCTTCTACAAGATACAAACATGTTACGATTGATGATCTATGTACGTGTGTTATTATTTAATTGTGGCTTCGTAACTTGGTCTTTTATTTGTACCGTTATACATGTTCGTTCTTCTTTTAACTTTGTAATGTAACATTATAGTGTCCTGAAATTCCGAGCTTAATTATGTCTATGGTTTAATTAATCAATTATTTAAGGTTATGATATGAAATTGTAGTAAAATACCATGCGTACGTACCAAGGTTGTCAAACCGGTTTATGCCAGTGTGCCAGTTTAGCAAGTGAAATGGTTCAACCGGTGGTACATATCGGTTGTGCCGGTTCATGCCGGTCAATATTACAAATAATTTACAAATACTCATATTTAAACACGACATTTAACATCAATACCTAAACATTTGTGCTTGAATCCAACAAATAACATCAACAATTAACTTTTAAACTCATAAAATAAATAGTAAATTAATTTTTATCAATTAAATTCACTAAAATAAGATCAATTTACTTAGAGATTCGTATATCGATCATGCCGGTCATACCGGTGGTGCCACGCCGGTTTTATGACTGGTATTGGTTCAACCAGGTTCAACCAGTGGCACGCCGACCCGCGTAACAACCATGGTACTTACTAATTATGCACACAGATTGAAGCCCGACACGGTAATAAAGCTTCAGCATTGGAGGAGGAGGGCCCTTCTTTCTAGAATAGATCTTGGATCCTCTCCTTAATTACTGATTTACCCTCTCCTCTATGTCTGCGGATTCCTGTTCACACCATATTTTCCTATCTAGGATTTTCTCTTTTACTTTCGTAGTATGTGGCAATCAATGTGTCTAAAATATTATCGCGGCGAGGTATATTATATGCGCACTTAGTTTTGGATGTAAACAAGATGTCGTACATTTTATAATTTGATATTTGTTATTTGTAAACGTCGAATGATATTTATATATATGTAATTACAAGTTAAATACAATTGTGTAATAGGTGTTATCTTTATCGTATCGAAGAGTCCAACAAGTATCTTCTAAAGTTTTAATAAGACCGTATCAGCACGAAACGCTCTCAAAATTCAATCCGAAAAATCTATCATTTCGAGAGATTTTTTTTTTTATAACCATGACATGAATCAAAAGTCACTCCCATGAGTTTCTCCGATACTTATGGTATTGGTATCAATCATAGTCTCGCACTTATGCATCATTAATTATACCAAACTTAAGTCTGATCAAGATTGAGATCCATCTGTTAGAAGTTTGGGTGTTGGATTGTAATTAACCTTCTATAGTTTGGGTGCAGAAGTTTGGGTGCTGGGTTGTAATTAACCTTCTATAGTTGCCGAACTATAGAAGGTTAATTACAACCCAGCATCCAAACTTCTAACACCATCCACCCTTGCCCAAACTTATAATTTGGCCAAACTGTCAGAGGTTGAGAGAGAGAGAGAGACAAATGAACATTGACCAGATTAAGCCCTTGCCAAAGTGAGGAAGGAGAACAAGAAGCAAGACAAATCAAAAGCTTGTAACAAGCAAACATTTTACTGCAGTGAAATATGAAAACAAGAAGCAAGACAATTAGACAAAAGCCTTCCAAGTTCTGAGTTCTGACCATGCAAGCAGGCTTTCAAGCAAGATGCAAGTGTGTTGAAAGAGAGGCGAGTGGCCCTGCTGGGCTGGCTGTCTAGTTGCCAAGTAATTTACAACCATATATTTATATATAAATACAAATTCAACTGATTCGAATTTGCACTCGAGTCAAAGATGCTGATGTGTTTACTAATAAGTCTAGACGGAATGACTGAACAACTCAATTACAATAACAATTCGCATGCAACCGGGCTAGCTGCCGATAAAAAGAGGATGTTATGGTACTGAATGAACAGTTCCGAGAAAGTTCTCAAGAGAAAAAACACACAAGTACAAAGAGTCTGATTGTTGATGCCTTTGTTTGAATTCTTTCAAAATCTCAAGTTTAATTAGGAACTTGACTTGAAATTTGACTTAATTAGTTCCAAATTGCTATACTCATGCCCTTTTTTAGCATGTAAAACACCAAATATGTAAAACAAAAACAATGCTATAATTATAAGTAGCGGGTTCTTTTAGGAGTATTGAGAACCGTGACTTAAACCAAACATATATTAACTTCCCAACGGGAAAGAGATTAACTAAAACAATAAGTTTGATTAATGATTTTTAATAACTTAATACATTTAGCGGCAGATGATTGGAAATAATTTGTCGAACTTGGTGTAATTAGCGGTCATATAGTTTGTTTATGGCTTCACTTGGCTCAATGAAAGAAAGGGCCACTGTCCAAGAAATATTTTTGGTACAAGTTTGCTACCTTGATATTTGTCCTCCTTCTTTTGCTAATCCATATGCTTAATACTCTCTCTCTCTCTCTCTCTCTCTTCTCTCTCTTAATCTCTTCTTGTCTATTGTCTATGCATGGCCATGGGATCTCTAAACCCACAAAAATATCAAGCCCTTCTCAATCTCTCCCTCTCTCTACAATTCTATAGTTCATAATTTCTTAAAAAAAAAAAAAAACTAGTTAGTTACCGTGTCTAATGTGGTTTCCTAATTACAATGCATTAGGGTATTGCTGGACAACATGTATCCGCATCGGATATAGAAAAGATATATTATATATACGTTAGATTGACATGAGTACTATCTAAAAAGTAGAGCGCGTCAAAGTAGGTCAGTCACCAGTCACCACCTATGCTTTTCGAGTGTTGTGTGGCTTAAATACACGCGGTATATGTATACCTATGCTTTCCACTAATTTCTCTCACTCCTTCACTTCTACATTCTCATTCATCAGCATCTGTGTTGCGAGAACTAGTAGGACGTTTTTAATTAGTTAGGACAACACGTTAACAAAGTACAATATCAAATGGTCCTCGCCATCTTTCGACAACTCCAACATGTGGGAGAGAACAACAACTCAAAAAGGTACAAAATCATTATGTGCTAGTACAAAATGCCGGTTTTATACTTTCATTAGGCCAACCGTTCGATTTTAATTTTAAAAACGCCATTTTCAAAAAGTAGTTTTTGGAGTAGAGAAAGCCAAGAAGAGCTAAAAACCCACAAACGATCCCACCACAAATTGTTGGAACATAAACCAAAATAACCAACGGATGATCCAATCCGGCAATTTCTACAGTAACAATTAGGTCCCCGATTGTGACCGGACGGTGACGGAGAGAGCCCAACCACCAATCATTCCGTGACACGTACATATATGAACCCCACCACCGCCGGCGTCTATCGGCCGCCACACCTACCGTGTGGGTGAAGTCTTTTAATTTGCATGCCCAAAAACAACAAAAAATCGGTCGGCTTTCTTTGTTTGATCCCCTGTTTACGTTTACAAAGTTTTCGAATTATTATTATCGTTATTCCCCCCAAATCCAAACGGAAATTATTGTACATGTTTCAATTAATTAATTAATTAATCAGCTCATAATTATTGGTTAATCACTTATTATATCATTGATGTTGTTGTTTAATCAAGTCAAAAGACTTGGCGATGGAGCCATCCATGGTTGTCTCACTTGTTGTAGCGCATGAGATTTATCGGCATAGTTTACGTCTTGTTTCGTTTCGTCGTTTCATGTTTGTTGTTACTGCGTTTCATTTCGCCGACGGCTATAGCGTGCAATTTGCAATTTACAGGCGACAAAGAATTAATGGAGCTTTCTAAACCGTTATTTGAAAGTTTCATTGTTAGACAGCTTAAACATTCAAGACAAGATTATGTAAACGTAAATCCACGACCAAGTTTCACTCCTAGTGGACAAAACAAAATCTTAAATCAAACCATCGTTTACAACATTAACAGCATATTTAGTACTGGAAAAATGCGATTGCTTTTTTTTCTATCCAAGATAAGCCTCAAGGCATGGTCGGACAACAAAATACAAAACATATAATAATAAAGAACGGTAATCCGTATGCAACCGGATTCCTGATGAAAGAGCCTGTTATGCCACTAGGTGGGCAGCTCTGAGAAAGCTCCAAAGACCGAAAAGACACAAAACTGACACGAGGGGCAGAAAGAGAGAGAAAAGAAACTTCCCTCAAAGTGGCTCATGCACTGGAAAGAGAATGCTTCCTCGATGTAGGATCCATGTTGATCAGTTGAGAAACCCCGCAATATGTAACAATCAAATGCGATTGCTTGATTGAAGGGCAATTGAAAAATCAGGACCCAACGTGATCGTACGGACCAGTCCAAGTCCACGACGACCTTATTGGCTTATTCCCTGTTGACTTTTCTGCTTCCACGAATCCAACGGTCTGGAGCTAAACGGGTCAGTACGCGGATCCGGGTCCTCCAAATTGTAACCCGACCCGCTACGATGGGTCCTGCCGCCGCCTACGTAGAGTCCATGTATTAGTATTAAATTATTATTATTAATTAACATTCCAAGAAGTTGAAACGTTATTAACGAAATTAATTCATTAGTTACGATAAAATGGGGAGTTTAAGAGGTATATAATCTCACAATTCGGAACATCTTCATTAAGAATCTTAATTGTTTTTTTTCCCGGTCTTACTTGCTTGACAAGGAATGGTCATTGTAATGTAAAGTTTGTAACCATTAAGTACCCTCTCCTAAAATTAGGCTTTCTGTTTTCAACAGCAATCGTAATTATCCATTATGAGGTTAAAATAGAAAAATGGGTGATTAAGATTGGTATGTATCCAATTGAGTGACATGGTTACATGTATAATTAGAACTCAGTATTTGACTGAATAAGTATGTACCCAATATTGTCAAACTGGATTAGCCACCAAACCAGTTTGTCAAGTGGGTTGAGGTTTAATGGTTGGATCAGGTTCAACCAGTTCAAAGTCAGTTTCAACACAAATATGTGGGAAAAAACCTCTGATACCAAATAGATTATGTGTATAGTTGACATATATTAAAACAATCTCACTAATCCACATATATATATTACAAAATTATGAATCATCATCTTCAAACTCGGTTTTGACTAGTCTGACCACCTGATTTTAACCGATTTAACCTGGTTTTAACTTTTCCCATAACCGTCCAAATGGAATGTATTCCAACAGTTTAGATGACCGATTCAGGTCGAACCCTAGTTAATCGGTCCGGCTAAATACGATACTGTTATATTTTTTATTTTCTTGGATTTAATGGAGCGTGAGGCGCACGGAAGAGAAATGGGAAGTGGAGGAGGCATATCTCGGTCGTGTGAAATAAATGTATGACTGTACGTTTTTAAGTGTAGAGAGCAGAAAAGGCCCAGAGAGACGTGTAGTAGTACAACGATAAAACAGAATTTATGAAAAATTGGCGGCGACTTCTAGGTTGCCGGCCACGTTACCCCTCCTCACTTCAAGCTGGCAGCCAGTGAAAAAAAGGGTTAAAAAAAATCATTAAAAACAAACCGCTACAACCACAACAAATTAATCCCCGACTGTTAAATCTTCCAAACCGTAACAGAAAAGAAGTAAAAACGACTGGCAGCAGGAAATGACGAGCGCGCCCTTATGGGAAACGGCCAGCTGTTACCTGCAGAAGGGTAGAAGTGACATTACGAGCAACGGGAGGAGATTTGTTAGTTTGACCGACTTACTATTACTAATTTACTTATTAATTTTATTTATGAAAATGGGAAAACCCCCATTTTAACCGGACCCGGGTATCTTGGGCCTCACGTGACTGGGGATCACGCTCATCGAGGGGAAAGAAACCAAAAAAAAAAAGCGCTGAGTCGGCAGGCTTTATGATGCTTACCCATTGGGCCAAAACCCTTCCCGTTCAGGCCCACTTGGGACAAGGCCACGTGTCGGTATCGCACTGCACCACGGGGATGCGGCGGTGCGTTCTCCTTGGTGGTTAAGTGGAGTTTGGGTTTGGGTCGTTGCCCGGAAACGGGGTATCCGGTCCGACCAGTTCGGTCTTTTAGACCCAATTAAGTTCCCAAGTAATTACCTTCCCCAAAGGAGATTTTTTATGGAGTAGGTATCCACTATATTCAAAAGTTTTGAGTCATTGATCCGGTCTCCAAGTATTGTAGTTTAGGTAAGTAAGGTAATAAAACACATTTGGTTCGAAGTCTTGGTTAGCAAGTTAAATTCCGAGAAGAATAATCGTACATTATGTATCGTTCACTCAGTGTATATTTTTTTTCGTTTAAAACGGTTGAATATTTTTTTTTAATTGATTAACATAGAGTTTTTGTTGATGATCTTCTGTATGTAGAAATCCGTCATGTTAATTTTGTGGCAGGGCTTTGCAAGCATAGTATGATCTATTGATTTTCCTATGATCTTAGTAGATTTTTTAGCAAAATATTTCATTGAGCAAAAGTGACATATCACTCTCGCGTCAACGTCATTGAACACGACTTTTGATTCGAGAAAGTGATTAGCTCGGAAGAAAAAAACAGATATCGGAATTGTAATTGAACACCGGGTACAATATTTATGATTTATCTAATGCAACATAAAGATAAAACTATCAGTCTCCCAACAATATAGAGTTGTTGAAGTTTTTTCGACGATGTTCTCTGGAAGCCGGGAGGTTTTTGGATTCCGATTGCTATATGCTCATTTGGATGGTCCTCAAAGAGCGGGAAGATAATGCACAACTCATGGTCTACGACTACGGTTAGCTAACCATACTTTTCGTGGATTCATTCAGAAATTAACTATTATGTTCCGAAAACTCAAATGACAGAAGCCTATTTTCTTCGCGGGTGAATGACTCAACCAACTATTGAATCGGAAATCCAATTCAAATCGGCCGTTTTCGAGTCGATTTGATCGTATTGCCCAGATTTGAGCCATTAACCCGCTCTATCCTTTACTCCTATTTTGGTCCAACCGAGCAGACCGTTCTAGGATTCATTACCATAGAATCCAATAACCTCTTTTCTTCTCAAAACCATTTAGAATTTCATTCAAAAATATTACTAAATAGTAGCCATAGAAAACCAATTATGGGGGTACTCCAATTTCGGCTGTTGGGATTCCTTATAAATCCCCTCCTCCCACCAAATTCAGCGCTCTCCTCTGTCAATTCCTTTCTTCACCATCTTCTCTTCTGCTCCCCACTTCACACTTCCTTCCTTGCTTACTTACTCTGCCCCTCCGTACGCTCCTTTCCTTTCCCTTCCCTACACTGATTCCCCTCCCCTGTTCAGGAACCGACGAAATCCACCGCTTCTTCTTCCTTTTTTCAGGCGATTCTCCGGCGTGGCCGCAGAAATCTTTCCCTCTTTTAATCCCCCAGAAAAGCCGATTTCTTTATATATTCCCAGTAACCCCTTTATTCACTCCTAAAACCTCGAAAGATTTCTCCTACTGGGTTTATCTCTCTCTCTCTCTCTCTGGCCCTTTTGAGGCAGAGTAATTAATCACCCAACAAGATTTCTGATCCATCTCAATCTCTCCATCCATCGATTAAACCTTCTCAATCACGACTGTTCTTCCCCCTCCTTTTTTGCCGCTTTCCTTCCCCCTTTTAACCCCTTTTCTCCGATGCCCGGAGAGATTCCCGAGCCCAGAAATTGAAAACAGAGTACCAAAAAAAAAAAAAAAACAGAGTACACAGCCATGGACGGGAGCTTTCTCTGTCCGGCGAAATACACAGAGCACAGAAGCTCCACCAGGAAGTACACCGCAAAGCCGTCATCTTTAAAGCGGAAGAAGACGATTAATGGGTATGGGTCGCCACCCGACCCGACGACGCCGGAGCTGCTTCACCCGCCGAGGGTTGTCCGGATATCGGTGACCGACCCGGACGCGACCGACTCCTCCAGCGACGAGGAAGGGGAGTTCTTCGGGAGGCAGAGGGTGAAGCGATATGTCAGCGAGATCAACATCGAGCCAGGGTTTAACGAGGTGAGAGCGGCGGCGATTTCTTCGGAGATTGGGAAGCCGGCGAGGGAAGTGCGGCCGGCGGCGGCGGTTCAGTCAGGTGAGAGGAAGTTCAGAGGAGTAAGGAGGCGGCCGTGGGGTAAATGGGCTGCCGAGATTCGGGATCCGGCGAAGAGGGTCCGGCTCTGGCTGGGAACCTACGATACCGCGGAGGAGGCGGCGATGGTCTATGACAACGCCGCGATTAAGCTCCGGGGCCCGGACGCACAGACGAATTTCGTCAATCCGCGGGAGAAAGATGAAGAAGTGGAGATCAATAGGCCGGAGGTTAAAGTCAGCTCGACTTCAGGGTACGACTCCGGCGACGAATCACACAACAACAACCTCGCATCCCCCACCTCTGTTCTCCGGTTCAGAACCCAACAATCCGCTTCAGAGTCCTCCGAGCCGGAAAATTACAAGCCGAATCCTTCAACGCCCGTCTCTTCGCCGTCGATCGAGCCGGAAGAGCCGATGTCTCTGCTTCTGGCGGAGCCGGTCGGCGAAGAAGAGGCGACGGCTGGACTCCAATTCCTCCAGGAGTGCGAGGGCGAAAACAGCAGCAGCAATTTGTACTCCTGCTCCGACGAGTACTTTCTCTCGCCGCAGCTCTCCTTTTTAGAAGACTGCTCTTCGTCCTCGTCGTCCTTCATCGCCGACGATTTCTTCAATTTCACCGCCTGCTGCTCCTCCGCCACCGATTCCTCGTTACCCACCGGTGAGGATGCCTCGATTGTCGCCAGCGGGACCGCTCTCTTAAAACAGAGCTTCTCAGGCGGTGGGTTCTGCGTCGACGACGACATTTTCCTGCAGGATGTTCCCAAGGACATGATCGTTGGATCCGCCGCGGCTTCAGTTTTCCAGGAAAACAATGACGACGACTACTTCCAAGACATTGGCGACTTATTTTTCTCGGAACCTCTTGTGGCACTCTAAGTAAAAAAAATAAAATAAAAAGAAGTGACCGTGTTTCCTGCCCGCCGGTTGGTTGCCGTTGATCACCGGCAAATTTTGTTCCACCGGCGGTGGAAGTACTGTGACTGAGTAATGATCGGCTATAGCTAGAATTTTTTTTTGTAATTTTTTTTTCATTTTTGATTAATTTGTTTAAAAGTAAATCAATGTGAGTGAGTCACCTCTCCGTCAAAGTTAACGGAGCGGGGACAGTGAAGTTTTGTTGAGTATTTTTCCTTCTCTTTTTTAATATAAATAAATAAAATGTCGTATATGCTGACTGCTGAGTCTATTTATTTACTTACTATTATTAGTCTCTTAATTACTTCACTAAGTATGGGTTAGCGATGGTAATTAGTAGTAACGCCAAAGAGAAAAAGGCTGCCAGGGTGGCATTCTTTCTGCCGCACACGAGCAGGCGCGATTAGCGGTTTGAGTTTGTGGCCGGCTGAATGAGTCAAGTCGGTGTCGCTGCTCGTGTGTGTGAATTCGATACTCCCATTAATTTAATTTAATTAGTTTTTAACCAAGTAATTAAGAAGATTAATTCATCCGAAGATACTCCAAAATTAAGGCTTGACTGTTGACTGAAAACCGTGGATACGAATACTCCGCTGGTAGCCCCCGTCTGTCGTGCTGCCGCGAAAAATTAAAATAAAAAGCCCTGCCCATAAAAAGAAAAGCCTAATAATAATTAATTAAAAAATAAATAAAAGGAGGAAATAAAGCAAATGGAGAAAAGGCTAAAAAGGGAGGAATTTTCTTCTGATTCGGTCTCTTTTTGTTGAAAAGGAAAATATATGTAATGAATGGAGGAATTTATTTTTTGTTACGGTTACCTTTTAGTTGTAAGTAATGAATGGTGTGGAGAATTATTGGCCGTGGAAAGTACTTGATTAGGGTGGATTAATAATAATAATAATAATAATAATAACCGGTCAAGTGATAAATGTGTCCTACTAAAATTAACTGCAACCCCTAAAATTATTTCACTGGACGTCGGTGAATAATTATGTGGAGAAAGTGGGTTAAAAGCTGAAAAAGGGTAAAGAAACGGGGGGGAAAAGGTGAAGTGAGAAAACGGAGTTTAAGAAATTGGGGTATCGGGAGGGAGAGTGGAAGTAATTGAGAGGACTAAATTGTAAAAATGAAATGGGTGAAAGAGTGTCCTCCCGCGGCAGGCCATCCTGCGTCGTCGTTCAATAATGGCGACCGACCAAAACGCACGCGGATCGCTGCTTTTTTCATGTCGTTTTAATACTAGAAACTTGGGCCCGCTGGCCCGCTGGCCGCCAGCCAACTAATTTTTTAGTGGGGTGGCCGCCGGCCGGGGCCTCAGTCTATCTTCTTTTTTTTTTTTGTCTTCTTAAACTTTCGGTTTTAGGGTGCTAATTGGCATTGTGTATCATTCATCAGTCATGACTTCGAGTATCAATGGATCATCATGCTATAACAAATTTGATTGTGGTTTATTGTATTCGATTGTTCGGTACGATTTCACATAGCGAATAAGTAGTACCTTGTTTTTATGCTGAACAAATGAGATTAAGAAATGTTTTGGTATTTTTTTGGTTGTGACTAGGTTTTTAGGTTTTTTAGGTTAATAATAATTTGTAGTTTTAGCCACTCGGTGAAAAATTTCGATAGTATCCCCACTTATTATCTATTTTCTGCACCGCTCTGTTCTCTAGTCAGACCCTAGTTCCATCCTGTCTTCTAAACTCTCTGATATCGACATTGTCTAATCTCGAGTGTCAAAGATCAGTCCACGCGACATACTGATTTCCAGGCGCCTGATTAGCCACAAGCGGCCATCACTTTTGCACATGGTAGATTTACTCTCATGATTTCTGAAGATCGTCGATTAACTTACACGATAATACACGATAGGTGGGATGAAGAATGCCAATTACCAACAATTTCGGGAGTTACAAAAAAAAAACCACCTATATTCTTCTATTTAAATAATACATATTCTTTATTTTGCTCTAATCAAACCCTACTTCTGCTCTTCAGAAAACTCATGTTTTTTTTGCTATGCGGCGTTCTTGTATTCAGAAAACCGTTCGGTCAAGTTGATCATCACTTGCACACGAGATCGACACTCGAAATCTTTAGATGGTTGCCGTTAATATTGCACGAAGATACACGAGAGAGTCTGATGAAAGACGCGCGAAATACCGACAATAATTTTGAGTTATGATGGAACTTGTAAGAGATAAGGGGGGTAATGGAGCTGCGGCTGGGGGACCCTATAGGGTCACGTTGTGATGGGGCTGGGAATTATCAGTGTAGTACTGATCAGCAGGCTTTGCTTTGCTTTGCTATTACTCAAAACAACAAACAATGAACATGTGGGGATAGAGATAATATTAACATTCTGGAAAAAAAAGGGGAATTTGTGTCGTTCTCAGACTTCAATGGCTAATTACGTGATCTTCAAGGAACAATTACATTATTTAGTCACTAAATCTTTGTTCTTCTACTATTTACGTTCCTCGAATACCAATTTTTGGATTTAGTCACTTAGTCCATAGCTTGGGGCACAAGGAGATATATCATATACGACACTAATAAATTTTGTACCGTTATTTCTTTACATGTTGATTGTAGTGAAGGTCAGCTCGTCAGAAGTCACGTTTGCTTATGATCGTCATATTCAACTGGCTTACCGTCCATAAATTACTTCTTAATATAAGCGATTCGATATGAATTCTCGATTATTAAATTGATATTTAATAATTTTTAAAATCATATATGGTTGTGTAGACAAAAGGGCAGCATGTCCATATTTTGAAATGGTCACAGTATATAGTTTAAATTTTGGACCTTTTTTGTTTTCTCAGTTTACTATTAAGATCTATGGGATGATCTCAGATGGTGGATTTCTGAACTGAGGGAATTTGACCCAACCGTCTCATCTTGCATCACAAAAATGCATCATTTTGAAATACTTGCCCCTCCTCCTGTCAATTCAAAATGCTACAAAACAAGCTAATATTCAAATTGTATCAGCCAAAATGGGTGCATCCTAATTCAGTGTTGCCAAACGAAATAATTTGACCCAATAACTTCTTTTTGATGCAATTAGGTCAGATTGCCTCTTCCAATTCCATCCACAAAACAACCTCAATATTTTTTTGTTTGAACCATCTTGAGGTGAAAAACTGTAAAAGTAAAATTACGAGTATACAAGGGATTAGCTTAGGGAGCTAGCTAGGTAGAACAGTTAATCTTAAGAGGAAAAAAGGTGATTAAGATATGCCATGGGGCAATGTGATTAGTGGGCCAATAATCCTTTAAAAATCTAGGAGCCTATAGTACTTTGCTTCAGTTCTAATCAAACCAAGGAAAGAGTAAGACATGCACGAGATGGGTATTAATCACAATCACAAAAAGCCCTCATAATTGTGTCCCAAGAAACCTCTCTCTCTCCCACATCACAATACAATATAATGTTAAATTATTAATTCTAATTATTATACTATTTATCACAAAATAATATATATTAATATTATGTATGTATCCATCATATTGTGCCAAAAACCTGCCACGTGTCCGACGTAAGTCATACATATGTTGAATATGGATGACATGAGAGTGTGAGTAGTGAGGTCGATCTCAGCAGGTAGTTGACCTACTTAGTGCTTTGTACAACAATTAACTATTTTACTAGTCCCTAGGGGCTCAAGAAACAACAGATGCAAAGAAGACCACGTGGATGAAGTCTTTGCTTGATTCAAGTTATGTTTTCTTTTCCTACTAAATGAGTAATGGCTATTACCCAATGATATAGTGGCCGAGAAACATGCTCTACTCAATTGATACTTAGAGGGGGTTTACGAGGTAAGGCCCAGAGGAAGGCAGGTGGGGGTATATACTAATATTGTCACCCTTATAGAGAAAGATGATCTGCCTACTTCCCATCGTGAATGGAGGCTCTGCACCTAAGGAAGTCAGGTTACAGCTATACTGAAACATCTCTTATCACTTTTATCCTATAAAGAGACTATCCCAGGAACCTAAGGGGCGTAGCGAGCAATCAAAAGCTAATCTCATACCTCATGGTCTACTAAAAAGGGAAGAGTAGCTTGGTATTGGTTCGAATCCAATTCATGAGTGGTCGGCGTTAAACCAAGATCGTCGTGAAGAACCGGATAAAAAATGTGAATGTCAACATGTTTCGTAGTTTTTTTTTTTGAACTTAGATGAACTTCGACATTTAACTAATTAATTAGATTGACAGAGCTTTGCGGGGTTTGAGAATAGACGAATTTGAGACGCTTCAAGATTCTATTATAGATGTTGTATCGCTTTTATATGTTATTGTTATGACTAGTGATTACTAATTCGTTGTGGGGTCTGTGTTAGAGATAATAATCAGAAATTATTTTGATTGATGGAACATGTTTTTTTACATCTACAAAACATTTACGATTAAAGTTAATTAGTAGTTTGCATCGGAACTAAAATGTTAGGCTAGCAAAATTGGGAGAACAAAATCGGTAGTTGTACCCTTCTCGGGCATAAAAGCTATTTTTTCTTGTATAAAATTAAAAATTACGATGTTGACTTGTCGATTCTTAAAAGATCATTGGATTGAGAAGATTCAGAATTAGGATGGCCAAACTTCGTTCATAACGATGCTAGACAAATTCAGATGAATATCATGTCGATAGAGATGTGCCATACCATCGCAATCACGACTCTAACAATGATTGAAATTAGGCCAAGATATATATAAAGAGAGAGCCAATCTTATAATACTATTAGAGAAATTTGTGGAATTGGTCAATGGGTAAACAAGATTGGAGCATTGGAAGGTTGAACGCAAGGCACTAGGCCATAAAACGCAGTAATAATCAATCAAATCCACATCAGTAGTCCAAGGCTATATATGGCTAGTAAAGCTAGTTTAATTTGCTGCTGTTTCTCTTTCAAACCCTCACTGGGATAGACTTTTTTACCTGAGAAAATGTCCAGGACAACAATAGAAAAGTCATTGATGTGTATACATCTTTGGAATTAAAGATCACTCGAGTTAAAGAAGATGTAACTTGTGACGATTATCAATATTGGTAATACGAGTTCGTCGTATATGTACTTGAAACTTGTCAACTAATAGGCACATGTGACTATGTGAATTTGTTTCTCAATTATTATTAATCGATTGATGGTTAGTTATAATTGTCGAAGAAAAGTCTTAGAGTTTGATTTCACTTTCTGTTAGTATATAATTGGCCATCCATCTCCGGCAGTGGATGGTAGGGTTTAGTTTTGCCGGTTGGCGGAATTTTCCAAAGTTTATAATCTCATCACTTGTCTTCCTCTTTAAAGTTTAAAGTGCCCGCTAGTCGGACCAAATCAAAAGAATTAGTAATAAAATCACAACTTAATGATAACAACAACCATTTTATATAGCGTTTTGATGTTTTGTAGCGTTATTATGGTGCCGTTACTTAGAATAGGATTTTGTTTAATAAAATCCTCCAGATTTTGTGTTAGTATCGTTCGAAGGTAATGGAAAGGACAATCAATAAAGATATTATACACGAGTAGTGAAATAGTCAAGTGTATATAGCTAGCTATCATGTAGGAGAGTTTTCTTAAGGTTATTATTTCTAAGAGGGAAATTCATCAGAGACGGCAAATCTCGACCCCAATGAATATATACTTAGTAAATCATAATAATTCAGTCGAGTAAACAGTCTTGTCGCGGTGCCCACCATAAAGAATAACTCGACAACAACTAACTTATGCAGTTCGGATTAATTTATGAATATAATTTTGTAAAATAATTCTTTTATGAATACTTGGTTCTCATTATATAAGGTGTTTCATTTCATACGTGAACTAAAAAGATGTGAATCTCATGTTAGTTTTGCTTTTTCTGTTTAGATTTTTTTGTCTCTCCCAGTCCCACTTTCCCACTTTGTTTCCCTTTTCATTTCTTAATGTCTTATCAGCTTATTATTAAGTTTTTCCCTTCTTTTCCACGTCATAGCTCAGGTGGGAATTATGGATAAACATGAAAAAACTTTACACATAATTAACATAATTAGGAGGACCATTCGTTGGCAAATCAATCCACTTCTATTGTAAAAGAAGTAATATCTACAATTTAGAGGTCGTTTGCTTTTGGTATTTTGGTGTTGGATTTTGGCCCAAAATCCAACATATGTTGGACTTTATAATGAATCCATGTTTGTTAGCATATAATGGATTTTGTTTCAATCTGTGGGGTCCACTAATATTGGATTATTTGGAGCTAAAATCCGTGGGCCCCATGGATTATAAAATCTTACCTCTATAGCTAGGATTTTGGAAGATAGATATAATCCATGATGTTTAATGACCGTGTTACCCCCACTCATTTTGTGTAATCCAATTTTGCCCTCGGTTATTATTATCTCTACTGAGGACTTTTGTCTACACTCTCATCTCATCAACTTTGTCTCTTCGTTGCCAAGGGATTGCAACACAGCAAAAAGCTCCGGCAACCTTTTCCATCTCTGCTTATCGTCGTTTTGTCTTCCTTTTATATGAAGCTTCAACAATTAATTATTTCATGCTTACATCCTCTTTTTTTATAATCCAATCCAAACCCTTGATTTTCCTTTCGACATTATTGGTTTGGGTTGAGAGTTTCAATTTACTTTAATGGCTTCTTGCGTGTATACAATATGACCAAATAGTATGGATGTTGCTGTCATTTTTACATATGCTAATTCTTCATGTATATACAAAAACATTCAAAATACAAGTAAAGTAAAAAGTGGTTCATTAAGGATAAGAAAGTAATTTCCCCCATCAAGCCATAATTCCAACCTACTAAAAGCCATTACCAAATCCTACAAACAAACATGGAAGTTTCAAAATCCAACATAATCAAAATCCAACATAATCTCTCATATTCAAAATCCAAGGTTTTATCATAATCCCTCATTTTCTAAAATCCTAGAAGCAAACGACCCCTTATTAGAGTAACAAAAACACACACTCAGCAATTAACCATTCATTTCTTCCCCTAGATGATTTGGAAAATATCACACGTTGTCGTACTTAATTATGAATCGCGATATGTATGAATGCCGCGTTGTTCTCTTGAGTATTGGCCATCAAATCTCGCGAACTACTTCCTAATTGATTCCTTGTGTGGGAAACCCTTGTTTAGCAAATGTTACAATGCAAATTATATAAAAAAAACTAGCTATAAATAGTCATAGACCAATCTATTCTGTTTCCATTCACACTACTGCCTATGTTTAGCCCTCTACAGTACACACAACTTTGTGGTGGTGGCCTGCAGCAGGCAGGGAATTATGTAGATTGAATGAATCCAAAATTTGCCAACGATTCCAAAATTGGATTGTATAAAATCAACAAGAAAATCAACTGTTTTTGTTGCTGCTGTTTCTCGATCTTCCTTCAGATATATAGTGGCCAAAATTCGTTGTTACAGTTGATTTGTGTATATGTGTGTGGCTGGTATATAAATGCGTGGTCACTTTCACTGGATATTTCTTTGACTCGAAAAAGATGATGGATCTCAGATGAAAATTCCATTATAGTGGCTATAGTACAAGTTATTGCGCCACATATGCAGAGATAGAGGATGTGAATGTTTCCTTACTACTTTTTTTTAGGGTAAATAAAATTTTATATACAAACCTTTCATTTTAAACAATATAATAGTCAAACTTTTTCGAAAACAATCTAATATCCAAATAGTCAACTTTCCGTTCGTTTGACCGTTAGTTGACACTTCAAAAAAGTTCGAAGTACGACGCATCATCAATATCCATCGATATCTTCTCTGAAAAACCACCAACATATCGTGGTTCCAAACCCGAGAAGTCCATGACTCCACCATGGTGGTATAGAATATCTAAATATTCAGTCATCTCCAATGCCAAAACAAGAAAACAAAGTTGTATTGTGAAAATTTCCCCTAAAACAAAGCTTTTTTGAAGTGTCAACCAATAGTCAAACGGACGGAAAGTTGACGATTTGGATGTTAGATTGTTTTCGAAAAGGTTTGGCTATTATATTGTTTAAAATGAAAGGTTTGGATATTAAATTGTATTTACCCTACTTTTTATTACTAAGTCTTTGAATGTGAAAAAATCTATAAAATATTGATTACAAAACTTAAAATCCTAGAGAATCTATTATCTTCCCCATTTTAATTACACATTTTTTTAAGGTACGGACTAACCGGAGCAAATACAACTATTCGAGGCGGTGTCTTGCTCGCGAACCGGGTCGAGTGGGATTGTCCTCAACCCAAGATTAACAAGAAACTTGAATCCTCAGTTTCCTCTCTAGTTACACTTGTTCCATTTGCAATTATTTATCAACAAGAACAAGCCGCGCGTTTGCCTGAATACTATTTCACAATTTACAATATTGTTGATTCTACCCAATTACGGGTTTCACGATTTTAACATACAATCTCAGATTCACCGCTGATTTTTCAATTTTAGTCGCATTGGTTGACGTTGTTGGCTTGTTGTCATCAAAGATTCAGAGACGTGGATGTGCCATGTTCATTCAACCAAATTTGTATTATGTTTTGTGGTCACTCATTAACTTCTAATTGATAATATGATGAACACGAGGTTAAAATAGAAGGCGCGCAGCTCAAAACTTAGCGACATCTATTATGCTACTAGTTGTCGTGTTGAAATAACACCTGCTGCAATGAATACAACACGAAGAAATATTTTTAGAATAGGATGATTGATGAAATCATGAATATATATTTTTTTCCCCGGCTGGTGGGATACCTTAAGAATGACATTCCTCATAATTTTTTTTATGAGGAATGCACTTTATAAACTTTTCAGGATATGAAAGCACACCCGTGAAACTTTAGACGATGAATAAATTTCTGGCTACGCAGCTTATTCTAGGAGACCGACCCATATGTGATCTGGTTAAAAATATTTATGTGGCTAATTTCTAACTACAACGATTAAAATATAATAACCAACAAAAAAAAATGTCGAAAAATCATAATATTTGATCCAAACAAAACCCATTTGAGTGGGAATATAGTAAGGATTGGAATTTCCTTGTGACTGAAATATCTACCGAACATACACAGCATAGCATGAAACTAGTGTATAGAAAGGAGGCTGGATTTTTTTCACTGGCGAGCTCTGTAAAAGAGGAAGAGGCAGGCCGGGCGGCCGGCCAGTAACTTTGTCATTTTGCTTTAATTTGTATCCCCAAATTAAACGGCACGTTGATTGAATCCGCTAGCTTCTGGCGACCTGATCGATACACTTCATCAAACCTAAATCTAGCTGTGGCTCTCTCTTGTGTTCATCATCTCTGTCAAAGTATAACATGCAATAATACTCACACTTCACGATGTTCTGTGAAGAAAAGGTGGGTATAAAAAGCTTATGGTTTCGATCGAAGATCTTAATTGATACGTTTGTGGTAATGGGTACTCGAAATGTTTTGTGCATGTTTGAATCTTCTAATATTAACGTCTCAGTTTCTGTGTGCAATCTCATTAATGAATCAGCCTGGTTCTAGAAATATATATGTAAGATGATCTTTTGGGCCTCCCTCGGTTATAGAGATGAACAAGCCCAACTGCCCAAGGTCAAATGACAACGAGGTGAAGGGAAATCGTTGAAACTTGAAAGATACAAAGTTAAAAAAAAAAAAAAAAAAAGAGTTATTGTCATTACGACTTCCATTCTGTTTATTTGACGTATGATTGTGAGTCATTAGAACTTACATTTACAACCGAGAGAATTAAGGTGTTCATATAAATTTTGTAACTTCTTTGTAATATTTACGTACATAATAAAACTAGTCTCTTACTATTATTGAACCAACAAGTGAACCACGTAAATACATATATTTATTTCCCTTACTACTACGTTGTCGATTACCCGTTTGTCGCAACATATATAGTCAGAAAAACTTCAAATCTATAACCCAAAACTCTTTCCTACACAAGTGTCAAGTTTTCCCATGACAAACAGAAGAGAGATATTTTGTATAGCTCCATGGCACATGTACCCGAGCCAAGGGATAACAATTATGCAGTATAAGCACAAGTGGCGCCTCAGGGACACACTAACCAGCTTATCTAGGTGAATCGAATCGAATCGAATCGAATGAGAAAGTGAATACGTTTAAGCTATGCACAGATAAATATCAGCTTCTTATTGTTAAGGTCCCCCCCATCTATATATAAGATTAAATTCTGTTTGAATATCTCACTGCCGCTTCCCTTTTGTTCCTCTTGCAATTTTGCAAACTTCAACGAGTGTGTATGTGTGTCTATATACAGAGATATGCGCAGCCGCCGGATTTATGTGCATCAGCTGCTGCGCTCTATGGCCAAAAGCTAATAATTATTTCGATATGCGAATAGGGGGCAACTGTTGTGAGCATGCAGCGTGACCTAGTTGTAACAACTTGATGGACTTATCTAAAGTTCTAAACTATAGAGATCACTCTCCTTACTCGATCCCGACGACCAATAAGGGTATTGTTTGGTTACAATTCAAGTATCTTATCGAAAAAGTAAGGGAAAAGTTCTTTTGTACCTATGTATTCACATGCGGACTATATATCTCGATTAAAGAGACAATTCTCTCACTTGCAAACATATCTGGGGGATTCAATATATGACGGGGTTACCCGATATTGTAATAATCCTTGATCAACAAGAAGAATATACGGCTCTTCGAGAATGTATCACTTTGGGATTGTATTAATGTGAAGTGATCGGTTTTAACAAGCGGAACCCGAGCCTGGTTTTGAGAGTTCGAATTCAGGGTGGTGGACTGCCACATGTTGTATATAGGGCATCATTGTTTGACCTTGTAACAAGAGAAAATCAATGTCCGATTTCTTGTATCGAGATGTCTGATGAACTCGAAATTTTCAGCAACGAATTTGTATGATGACTCATGTATGTTATCCATCAAAATGAGATGCTATGTTGGTGCTTGAATTTGGTTAGCTACTCTGCTCTTTTATGTCATTTTTTATTTATTTTCCCTGGATTGTATCTATATTTTGAAGTGATGTAATTCCAATGTGTTCGTGGGAGGTGTGCAATTTTCCTTTTGGTAGTCTCCAAAAGCCTTACATAAATTGAAATTGGTCCCCTATCTCTCTCTCTCTCTGCGTGGAGCTAAGGTAGCCGCAGTGTTGATTGTATTATGTTATCTAAAGCTAGTGTCACCAATCACCATCGCCTGATATTCTTGCGTTTGCATGCACTTCCCCCATACACTAATCTGCCTTCTTCACGCCCACCTTTTTCTTTCCTTTGCTTTCCCTCCCTTCTTTCGAATTCTATACTGATGGTTTGCATTGTATTGTAGCATAACCATGGTTGTCAAGCCGGTCGGCGTGCTACTGGTTGAACCTGATTCAACCTATACTGGTCATAAAATCGGTATGATACCACCGGTATAACCGGCATGACTGGCATGATCGATATATGAATCTCTAAGTAAAATGATCTTATGTTAGTGAATTTATTTGATAAAAAGTAATTTATTATGTATTTTATGTGTTAAAAAGTTAAATGTTGATGTTATTTGTTGGATTCAAGTACAAATATTTAGGTATTGACGTTAAATGTCGTGCTTAAATATGAGTATTTGTAAATTATTTGTAATATTAACCGGCATGAACCGGCACAAACCGGTATGTACCACCGGTCGAACCATTCCACTTGCTAAACCGGCACACTGGCACAAACCGGTTTGACAACCTTGAGCATAACCTAAAAATTGTTATCATTCATTTGGATCGCAAAATCTCAACAGAACAACGAAGGAAATGTAAAAAAATTATTGATCAATAAACAAAATTTCGCCTCGCGCGAAATTTGTCTTGCAACTCGTTTGAAGATTAATAATCTATCATGTTGTCGGTGTTAAAGTACACTGTTAAACTCCTCGTCCGGAAAATCATAACACTTCTCCTCTACATTTCTCTATATGAAAGTAGAAGTTGAAGAGGGTACCAATAGGTATTGCTCTGAATCTGTAATCAGATGATAATGTTGATATTGTATTAATGAGTGACGGGTTAATGATACATGAGGGCGGAACTATAAACATCTTGACTTGGACCCTATAGGATTATAGGGAGAGGGAAAACGACACACCTTAAACCTGCAGGAAAGAACATCGAATCAATCTTAACCTAATCGGGTCAATCAGTTTAAAGATTATTTCTCTTAGTCATGTCTAATGCGAATCTGAATCTGTCGGTTCTAGCTATAAACAAATTAGTCAGACCCAAATTGTATAGATGTAAGTGCTCAATGTACAAACCATGATCTAAATGCTCAATGTTTGAACAAGAAGTATACCCATATGAGAAGAAGAAAAATTTGTCAGAAACATTAATCAACCAAACCCACATGGAATTGGGACATTGGGACAGGAAATCGAATACACATGCAAGGAATTGGAGTAGTAGAATTCACGACTTCGTTTCCACCTGTCGTCTGGGCTGGCTGACTGGTGAAGTGTGGTAGTAATAATTTCGAGCCTTTTCCTTTTGGTTGAACCATCTCATCATCGTCGGTTGACTATTGGCCAATGCATTTGAATGATCAAGTGGCCAAGGCTTTTTGAGTTTTTTGATTCCCCACACCACGTGCCTGATTGTACCGGCCGGCGACCGGCTCCTAACCACTTTACTGTCCCCGCCGGCCGGCCGGCCGGCCGGCCCCCACACCCGCATTCATTGGGTCGCCGATATCGAGCCCAGTCCATTGCACATGAAAATTTCACCCATGACACTGACTTTTTTTCGCACCACCTGTGTGGGCCATGGGCTGCTCGCTGATAACCGGGCCCATAAGAGGGGAAAGACTTACTAAACTCATCGGTCCAACCATTTTTTTCGTTTCGTGTGATCAAACCGAAATCGATGCATGCCGAGCGTTTGCTTCTATATCAACATTCCATTGTTTGCATGCGCGAAAATTTGTAGGTCATTAGGGTCTCCAATTGGCCTTCTATATGTATCTTGGTCATCCGGCGTTAGCCTTACGAAACGATTCATGCAATACAACGAAAATATCACTTTTGATAGCCAGAGACGAATCGCCTACACATCAGAGATACCGATCTCTTATGTTGAGATCGGATCTTCTGCATCTCCCGCATCTATGGACAGTCGTTGTAATTTTTCCTGACCGACTGTTAATCAGTTCGTGGCGAAACTCGGACAATATTAATATGATATAAGAAATTGGAGCTCTGACATGACATGGGGGCAGCTCACCAAATTGAAAAACAAGCCCCAAATTTGATCGAGTGAAGATCCTTAATTTTCCAGTTAGTTACCCACTAGATAGATTTGGTAGGGAAGTCTTTTATTATGGTCACCACCGTGAACTAGTGATGATAAGTGTATAAATGAAAGGGATGGAAAATGGCGGGAAGAGATTCAGATGTGTGTCGGACACGTGGAACCGGACCCATGCATGGGATCCGACGGCCGAGCCGTGCCACGTGGCAGTCAGCCGATCATCTGGACGGTCGTCACTACAGTAGGAAAAAACAGGTGAAATTTCTCTTTCAGTTTCGGTGGAAGCCAACTGCCAGTTTCCTTTTGCTTTTTCAGTTTTTTCACGACCACCTACTACCGACCGACAAGTCGTCGGCACGACGATGATTTCGATCCTCCGGCCAATTACTGCCCTATTCAATGTTTGAACATTGTGAAACAGCAAATAATGTCCTCAAATATGAGAATCCACCGGCTAGTAACTTGTAGCATTCAAGCTTTTTTTGTCAAGAACTAGTTAGTCCCAATAACTCGAGTTATTGAAAGAGGTTCAATCGTGTATCATATACCACACACTAACACACTCCTTCAAACGAAAGTCACTCACAAGGGCTTGAAGTTTGCACAGGCCTGAAGACAAGAATATCACGTGCTTAACAAATAGGGGTCGTGAGAATTCGAACACAAGACCTGTGGGTCACATATGGCTCTGATACCATGTCAAAAACCAGTTAGTCCCAATAACTCGAGTTATTGGGAGAGGTTCAATCGTGAATCATATACCACACACTAACATTTCTAACCTGATATGTGTGTACCCGAATATGAGCTTGAAGTTAGTTAATTAGTTGATGAGGTGATTAATAATAGTTTGCATTTCATATGGCCGGTTGTGGTTTGATCAGATTCTGTGTTGTGAAATCATCAGCCACCACGATTTAACTGACAATTATATAAGGATTTGGAACTTCCCTTCATCGTAGAGAAATTTAGAAGTTTCTCTGTTTCAATTTGTCGTCGAGTTATATCGGAGCGAACCGAACTATGAAAACCAATTCGAGTGAAGTAAGATGTTGAAAATGGCCGCCACTCACTTTCTCTATCAATAACTACTTCTACAATACTTCCATTCTCAAGACTGACGTTTTCAACACATTTTTTTCTTCTCCTTCTCAAAGTTGTAAGAGCAATTCTAAAGAATCGTAAGTCGTCACAGACTTCGCGGTGTAGAAGCGACAACTATCAAACTACGCATCCCATGCTTTCCTCCGTAAAAAATTTTCCCAATAATTCATCCAAATTCTTTATCAATAAATGAATTAATAAGCCGCTTTGGATTATTAATTTGAATATGCAATAGTTGACTTATATAATAAATCCTACTCATCAAAAGGCTGACTTTTCTCATCTTGAGCACATCACATTCACCAGATTTACCGACTTTGACCTGTTTTTTTCTTAATTAATCATTTAACTGAAACTGACTTTTTTACTTATATATAATCCTTTTGACAACTATAGCCTTTCACGTAAAGCCAGCTTTAATTAATTATAGCATGCAGGTAAATTACCTAAACCTAGTGGTTAATTTAATCTAATCGTGCTTTTCTTTTGGAGTGAAACCGGCCGGCAAATGAACGGAAAGTTTGGATGGCTTTGGGGACGGTTTTATTATAACAAAAACGTTTGACTTGAGGCTTTGAATTGTCAAATGTGGGGAAATAATAAAATTATAATTTAAGTGGAGAGTGGTGCTGTCTTGTCCCTACTTAGGATCCCATTAGGATTACGAACAGGGAAAAGGAGACAGCAGACACAACAACATCAAATGACGAATGAAATAGTACACAATTAGGAAAAAAAAGTTGCATTATGGTTCTAGTTGTTGTTTGTTCTTCACGTTATATATTTCAATTGTTATAAAATAATCCAAAGGTCCCGAGGGAATAAGAAATCCTTAATTAGGAAATGACCATGAGAATTTAGGTCGGCCGACGGACATGCCGTCTATCCCAAGTCAAATGGAATGCATGCGCAGCCATATATATAGGGGAGGAAAACTCGTGTCCGACGGTTTGATTTCGGCCGTGCAATTGATCAATTGAATTCGTAAGGTTATGTGGAACATCTTATTGATGGGTGGATAAAATTGATAAGAGCGTGTAAAACTATAAGTTGTATACGTGAAGATAAGTGAATGTGCTTCTACGTTGGTAGAGTTATGTGAAAAATATAGAGTCAATAATTATTGCTCGTGGTAATATTCAATTGATATATGCATTTTAATTAGAATTTGAATATCGAGAAACTATTTCTTTGGAAAAACAATGAATTTCGATGAGCATGTCAGGACAGTTCACGAGGCGCGAAACGCACAATTTATCCGGGTAATTAGCATAAATGGTAACAAACCTTTGCACTTAGTACAAAATGGTCACAAACCTTTAATTTGTAACAATAGGGTAACAAAACTTTGAAATTGTATAAAATGGTCACCGCTATTTAATTTATGACCGTTTTGTTTTAAGTGCAAAGGTTTGTTACCGAATCGTTACAAATTAAATGTTTGTCATGTTTTGAGGTCTCAGGTAGTTTGTTCGTTAAGTATATGACACTAACCACTTGAACGACATATAAGATGTCAGGTCATGTGTTCATCGACATATTTGCTTTGCCGAATAAGAATGCCCTAAGTTGACCTTTCAATTTCGATACCAAGAAAGTAAGAAAGTAGACAGAGTTTTTTCAACTAAAAAGCAGTCTGGAACCCGTTTGTGAGCCATTGAATTCTCATATTGCCATCCTTTATGACGATCATATCATTCACTTACATTAACAAAACCACCATACAACTAGAGTGAATTGTAACGGTGTTTGAGCGTTCAAACTTTTGAACTAAATTTGTACAAAACGATCCCCAAAAGTCTAATTTGCAACGACACGGTAACAAAAGTTTGAACTGGTATGAAATGGTCACACTGTTTAATTTGTGACCGTTTTGTTCTAAGTAAAAAGTTTTGTTATCAAATGGTTACAAATTAAAGGCTTGTTACTGTTTTGTACTAAATGCAAAGGTTTGTGACCATTTATGCTAATTACCCCAATTTATCCTTGATGATTCGTGGGGTTAGAAACAGACTACGAATAACTCCGACGACCTGTAAGATTAGTTGTAATGTGTGTTTATGCTTTCTCTCTCACACACTTTTGATGTTTGCCTTTTGGAGCAATATAATCCCCATTCCAAGCAATTTCCCACTCCCCCTCTTTGTTTTCCGCTTTCAGAACAATGTAAAAGCAAAACCCCGTTTTCATGGGAAGAAGAAACCAACAAAATCTTGTTTCCCCATCCGACATTAACCCTTTTCGATGTGTTCACTGTCTTTGTAGTTTCCAGTTTCCACTCGTTGTGTTCCTTTTCCACCTGTAAATTACGTGTTGACCTAACCCAAACCAATGAATCGAAGATTAGTGGACAGCGTGAGAAAGGTGGCTAAGAACACAGGTGGAATTGTTGAACTTATTAAATTTTTTGTTTTTTCTTGTTTAAATTCCACATTGGTAGCACCTAATTTTGGAATCATGTTGGACTAATTAAAGTGGCCTATATATCTAATGGCTGGAACATATTCCTGGTGTATGGTTAAAGAGGCAAAGACAAAAAAAAAAAAAAAATTCGTCCATATTTTAAGGGGTGATTAGAGTCCACTTTAGGGTTCATGTAGGGTCAATTATGTGTTCTTATCGGCCCCATCCGGTTAATCGGGTTGACCGGTTTAATTAGGAACCCGATCCATGAGATCAGCCTAATTAATAAAAGATCCCAATGGTCAAACCGGCCCATATGGGGAAACGATCCGTACCCGGCAGTCCTTGGGTTCTTCCATGGCTCAATGACATGGGTCGGGCCGGTTTCACGCCAACCGCCGGCCCATTAAATCAAGGCATTAATTACGATGGCCGTCGTCATGCCGCCGTGATTCTGGTTTGGTTGACCTCCCTTTAATTAACCGGCGGATTCGAAGAAGGGTTTACTTTGGAAGTTAGGTTCGGATTCTTATTCGGTTTACAGAATTAGCAAAACTACCTCCCTACAGAATATAAACCAGGAAAGAAAACAGGGGGAGGCATTGTTCTCTTATGATACAAACCGAACTTGTATCTTTAACGTTATGATAGAGCTACAATTTGTACCTCTCGAATCATCAATGTTTTAAAACATGGTAAAAGTAGTGATCTTTTGTTCCGTTTTTTTGTACTGTAGCATAGATCGGTCCTACTCGAATCGTGTAAAAATCACACGGGACGATAAAATCTTTCCTGAAATAAACGGTTCATATCTCTGACATTGGTTTGGAGACCTTTGTTAAACTAAGAATTATTAAATCATGTCATGTTTAGTCTCTAGAAAAAATTAATATCAATATAATGGAGTTGGACGGAGGCTAACAGAGAGTGGCTAAATGTGACGTGTTTCAGTAATTCGAGTGACATTCATAATAATAAAAAAAATGTAATTCGAGTGACCGGAGTTGGACGGAGGCTAACAGGAGATTGATTAAATGTGACCTGTTTTAGTAATTCGAGTGACCAAAATTAATATAAATTTTTTCTAGTGACTGAACATAACACGATTTAATAATCCCAGTGACCAAATTTAGCATTTACCCGTACAAAATTGAGATGCTACAACTATTATTTTCATCTTGCTTCTTAAAAGCATTTATCTCCTTTTTATTTTTCGTCTTACAAACTATTATTCGACAATCGACACTCACTAACTATGAAATGAAGTCAAACCACAGCAATATTCGGAGCGATAAAAACGGAGCTTGACGGACCAATGCATTCCTCTCCTTTGAAATCTAACAAGAAGGCTAAAAATTCATGGATTTAGGAGCAGAATCATGAACCGCAAGGTTTACTTTATATGGGCCTTTGTGGCCAGCCTAGGGTCATGTTAAGCACACTCAGCCCAGCACTGTGATAAGACTCATAACATTGCGGCCCTCCAAAACTCAAAACAAAAAAGCCCAATTAAACAAATCCCTTTCACTGAAAACGACTCGAAGATTTCACTTCAACCAAACCGCCAAACCAACTCTTGTTTACATCAAATGGCACTCAATAAATCAACATTCAAAAGCGGACCCCAAATGTCCACCTTCCACACATTCTTGCACCAAATAGAAAGGCCAGGAATCGCACAAAACTTGGCACACACGTAAAGACAAAGCACAAGAAAAGCTTGTTAGCAAGTGGGATACTGTTCTATATATACACAAACAAGATTCCTCAGGGAGGGTTAAAACTTAGCAACAAGAACCCTAAATCACTCATGAACTTATCTTAAAAGTAGGGCAGCCCAAACAACTTGTGTGTTAACTCTTCACTCTTGCATCTATTCTAGGAATCAATCAAACATCTCGATCCGGCAACCCCCGAAAACATCAGCCATTTATTCAGAACAGCTACCAATTGCAGCCTTCAACCCCTTGCCAACATCACATTCAATTCGGAAGATGACCCTTGTTTCTCAGATGCTTTCTTCCTAAGAAAGTGTTGTGCTTGTTTACTATAAGCATCACCTTTCGACGCTGCTACTTGCAGCTGCTGCTGCTGCATGTGAAGCAATGCAAGCATGCTCACGGCAAACAATGCAGCATTTCCTAGCACACCACCGGCATTATCCAGTCGAAGCAACCTCTTGGCGAAATCGAAACTGGATAGAAGGACGTTTACCAGGACATTCGATGTCTTTCGTCGGAGGTTGGTGAGGTCCTTCTCGCCGCCTGGACTTTCAGGAGTTGCGTACAGGTTGTCGGGGGAGACGAAGCGTTTTGCATCGTGTACATCGCCAATGAAGCTCAGAGCTTCTTCGATGACATTGTACTTCTTGCCATGGTGTTCGGCCAATCTCAGTGACAGAGCAATCCTGCTTTGTTCAAGTCGCGCTATCGCTGCATCTCTCTCTGCCCGTTGTTGCATTTGCACGGTCTGCAAAATATAATCCAGGGGAGAAGAATATTAAGAATCAAATTTCAATCTGACTGCAACCTGAATCAATTTTCTCAACTTGATACTGCTTCACCAAACCCTAAAACAGTACAATTACCCAGATTCTGGTACGATAATTCGCGAAAGCTTAAGAATTGGCAATGTAACACTAGCAGGTTAAGCATTGCTTCCAATTTCAGAAAGGAATACGCAGAAAGCAGGATATTTCATTTCCGGATTTTCCTAACAGCATTTTCTCAGGGACCAATCAAAGCCAAAGAAGAGCAGAATTCGCCTAATTCTGAAGATTTTATTCCTAACTAACCACCACCAAACATTCTCCCCTCATCGGAGACCAAATTAACCGAAACGGGAATGAAACCCTAGAAGGCGGAATTCAAACAACTCACATGGAAGAACTCCAGCTGCTCCCCGAGGTTCTCGAGCGCGGCCCTAATGGCGTTGAGGCTCTTAGCCTCTCGAATCGAAGACTCGTTATCGTCGACGCGGAGCTCCTTGACAAAGACGTACCCTCCACTTCCTCCTCCGCCGCCAGCTCCCCTGCTGTCCTCGACGGCGTCGCCGAAGAGCTTCTTCTTGGCGTCGGGCCGCCGGAGGTTCTTAATGGAGTTGAGGAAGTGAGCTCGGGAGATGGTGTGGATGGCGTCGCTGAGCTTGTCGTGGAGATCCCAAATCTTCTCGAGGACGGCTTCGATTTCTTCGACCTCCATATCCCATCTCATGGCGGATGGCCAGAGCTGCAGAGAGAGAAAAGCTTGGGAGCAAGCAGGTGAAAAAGGGAAGTTGGGGGAAAATGGTGGTTCGAGAAATTTTTGCCGGGTTTTCCAAAATTTTCTCGGCTACAGTCAAAACTCAAACCGGGCTTCCCGCTCGGTCGTTATTTGGGCCGGGCTTCTCGTATCCAATAAGCCAGATAAGTTTTAGCCCACAATAGTAAATCACTCGACCTAACCCGTGAAGCATGATGAGACAAATATTAGCTGAATCGCAGTAGCGGGGAGGAGAGCATAGATATCTACTTTTGATCAGTCTTGTCCCGTCACACAAATTCTTGGTACATTTTATCTCAAATTTTTATCGTGACTATTCATATTTATCTTATTTTGATTTTTTTTCCCCCAACTAGTTAGACTTGATCTTTCAACCAGTTAGACCACCTAATTACCCATTATATTATCACTATTTTTCATTCATAAAGTGTTTTTATTCTCGTTTTATGGTATAAAAAAATTTTGTGTATATTTTTTTCAAATAACATGTAAAGAGTCGTTTGGTTTTGGTGATTTTTTTCAAATAACGCATGCGACCATTTGCACAAACAATACTAGCATTGTTTGCTTGATATAACACAAACTATCCCTCAAAATGAGTGATAGTTAAATCTCAAATTGTTGGTGAGATTGTTTGATTGAGATTATTGTGTTTTCTTCTTCCAACTATGTACTTACCTTTTTATGTGTGTTGCTTTTTTTATATTAAAAACAAAGAGTAAAAGTGACATTTTCTTCAAAAAGTAATATAACTTATTTAAATAACACAATAACTATCACAGAAACCAAACTATGTATACTACAATATACCAATTTCCATATTTTTTTTTTTGCATTGAGGGGAGGCAAAGAGCCTAGAGCAGAAAACGGAGGTACAGGGGATTAAGCGGGGAGAGGAGTCCGAATCGCAATACGGCGCTCGAACGTAGTTCCAAGGAGGTCATCCCGAAGAATAGCACTGAGCTCGGATGGCGGTTCGGCAAGCTCATGCATACCGTAGGGATAGACGAGACTGTGCTTCGAGAGCCAGTCCACGACTCTATTCCCTTCGCGGTATGTATGAACGAGACTAACCAGCCAATCCCTTCCCATATTCCTGCGAATCATCGAGAGAAGCGTCGCATGCGGGTGGAGCGGATCTGATCTATGCTGAATAAGCTGAATTGCCAATTGAGAGTCCGTCTCTATCTTCACAGCCCGGCAGCCAAGCTTCCACGCCAACTCTATCCCGAAGTTGATGCCCCACAGCTCTGCAAGGGCCGCGGTCGCCGACCCGATGTTGGCCACAAACCCTCCCAGCCAACGCCCCGTCGAATCCCTGACCACTCCCCCTGCCCCAGTCGGACCGGGATTTTCGTTCGAAGCCCCGTCAACATTCACAGTGACCCATCCTTCTTGAGGAGCCGTCCAGCCAATATCTGCCCACTGACGCTCTGCAGGCCGCACACGGTTGTCGGGAAGGGGTGCAGGAGCGTTCCAAGAAGTATGCCACAGGTTAGCCTTCGTGAGAATGGAGTGCTCGAGCGAAGGGGCGGTGAGCGCAGCGTTCCTTCCCTGAAAAGCAGTAATACAACGATTCTTTCAGATAAGCCAGGCCGCCATGCTGAAGAAAGCTGGCCAGCTAATGCCATTTGGAGTCTGCCTGTCGTCTAAAAGATTCATCCTCAACCAATTTCCATATATACATATATATTATTATGCATGCATTGATGACAATGCATTGATGATGGCCTCTCCAACAACCCTCCAGGGAGTTCGCTCCAAGACTCATGATCGTCTTCCAATCTCCAAACTCTTAAACGAGCATGTGTAGGTTTTATTTCAAACTCAATTATGTGCAAAGCACCTTGTGTGGCCGAAATATCCAACTTCACATTCTTGGAGTATTCATAAACATGAATACTCGTTGTGTGTATATCAAGGCGGAAGAGATCAAACACAGCCAGTGAAGGATTCACCTCAGGGAATCGATTCAACTCCTGGAACACTGTCAACTCTGCAGCATTGTATCCCTTCCCGGCTTCAACACATAACCAAAACAGCTCCCCATTGCACGAACATACATTTTTGTGGCAGAGTCTGTGATAACCATCATAAACAACAGCCTCCTTCGTCCATTTTCCAGACTCCGGACAAAACACGTCCAGTTTGATAGAGGTCTCATGTTGATATATGCACACCACACGGAACCGATACTCTGAATAAGCAAATACTTGTTCATCATCTCCTAGATCAAGCTTAAAGTGACCTTTACTAGTCTAAACTCCAAAACCGGGGTCCGGGGCCAGTGCTAGTTTTTCCATTTTTCCAATAACAGAATGAAACCCTAGCAAACATGTCAAAGAAATAGATTTTTCGAACATATAAACAACCTATTTCTATCACCATTCACCAACCATGAACGCAAAGCAATCTCTATGTTGAAGCATGTCGATTCAACATTGTCTTTCCTGCAAGCATCCACGGCGAGGAAAGATTTATTTTATCATCCCCCTCAGCTCTTGAAAGAACTTGTTAAACTCTTCAAAAAGTGAGTCCGACTTCTCCCCATAATCGAACATGCTAATTTTGTCCAACCGATCTCTCATCAGAATAGTCAATGCAATTTGAATAGCGCAAATAGTAGTAACTTCTGCAAAAAAAAGAGTGGCCAAATTAAGATATCGGTATATATATATATTCTTCAAAGAACTTGATAGCAGACTAAAGATTAAAAAACTTGATCTGCTTACTTTCAAATTACATGTCTACATGAAAACAGAGTGCCAGAGATTTGCCATTGAAGCGATAAAGGAAGATATCACAATCACAAAGGATCCCATAGCGAAGATCCAAGCACAAGAGACCAGAATGGTTGAAACCAGCTTCTCATAAGATTGTCAAACTTTGATCCCCAAGAGTGGAGACCACCAGAAAGAGATGAGGATGACTATGCAATCACAATTCTAAGTTGAAACCAACTCAAAACATTGTTTATAGCAGCTATCTAGATCTTTGCTCCAAGGATGGGTTCATATAATGTGGGTTAATGGTAAGTGAAGTTATAACTGAGAGACGGTCTGGAATCCCAGTACTTACACAAGTTGAGAAATACTAAACAGTGAAGTTCCAAAATGCAAGTCAATAAACTTTTCACTCGTAAAGCAAAGTGACAAGGGCTTGGCTTGAGAGGCTACTTCACAAACAAAAAAGAATAGTAACAGAAAAAGGCAGCAAGGTACATGTACCAGTTCTTTTTCCCGACGGAGGAGCTGCTGATTTCTGCTCTGAACCAGAACTGAGGGAGATGTCAGCGTTTGGTCCTCTGAACCAGCTGCAGATTCCATCGTACATACCTCGCAATTCCTCGTATCTTGGAATCGGAGAAGGCCAGCAAGAGATCCTAGGCTGGAAGGCCATCCAACGAGGAGTAAGTTGCCTTAGATCAATGACGAACTCTAGCATTCCCTTTTTTGCCGGGTGTTCCAAAATTTTGCCGGGCTGTTACAATTGATAGATGCAAGACTTTGATTGTCGGCCAAGAAAGGACTGCTGACTCCGAACCCAAACAACGATTCAACCGTTCCAGTATGTGCGTGGAAGCTGAATGGTGGTTAGACCAGGTATAAGGAGGACCCTCAAACCCGAGATCCACTAGAGAAGAGCCTGCAATGAAATAACGAAGTTGATCAAGCGCTTGAGGGGACGGCACATTCCCTCCTTGTTTTTCATGGGCAAAAGCAAGCCAATTGAAATCGCCAAACACCACACACGTTAAGGATGAAGAAGAAATAAGACGAGATATACCATTAAGTTTAATTGAGCGAACATTGAAGTCACAAGAAAGATAAACAAATATGTACAATGCAGTCCCAAGAATTGGGTGAACACATAGAACAGGAATGAAGAAGTTAGAATCACCCTACTTGAAACAAGAAACATCCGACCAAGCAACAACTAAACCGCCAGAACTGTTGTGAATCGGAGGGAATTACAAATAATTTAATTTTATATTTTTAATAGTTGGAAATGAGTTGAAAATTATAAATAATTAAAATTTATTTATTTTATTATTTTTTAATTGACATGTCACACATTTAACGGTCAACTATAAGAGTTGACTGCCACATAAGCAAAAGTTAACGGAGTTGGACGGAGAGTGACCAAACTTGAAACATTTAACTAATTTTAGTGACCACAAATGAAATTAAATATTTTTAGTGACCAAACGTGAACGGATTTAGTAATCCTAGTGACCAGCCTTGCAATTTACCCCCTCTGAAAAAGTGTAGGCGAGCTTAGGCCAACTTCTTACAACCATCCTGATAAAACATTGTCAAACTTACAACCTTACCTTTATCACATTCGAAAAGTATGATTTTGGATGAAATCATATGTTGCATCCGAGTATGTAACTCTCTTTTACGTGATATAATCTGGGCATACACCCAATAACAAGTATCTACGATGGTGTTACTTACCGCATACACAACAAGTTACTTACACGGCCTTAAATAGTATAACAACAAATTGAATGACCAATGTTGCATATATGGAAAAGTATAGGGATGAAACTGATATCCCTTCGCTCAAAGTCGGTTTCAGACATCAGCCAGCCAAACGCGGCCTACTACCCGCAAATTGGCGCAAACCGTCTCTTCCTCCGGTTCTCGGAAAAGCATATTTCTCTAGTTTGTTATGGAAACCCTTCTTTCCCCAAATGTGCCGGAACCCGGAAAGTGAGAAGAAAAAAGAAGGCTACTTTTTCCCCCTTTCCGCGACTGGTTCGGCCGTCTCTTTGATTCTTTAGCTATCGAAGGGAGGGGAGAGGGTATTATGGCCGAGGTAGAGCGGTGCCGGAATCCGTGGGTGAACGCAGAGCCGATCCCCATTCCCGGAATCACAGCAGCTCTGGAATTGCAGGGGGAGCCAATGGCGGTCGCCGGCGACGGCGTGCGGCCGGGGAGCTTCTCGGCTAAGCAGGATCACCAGACAAACAACGGTAAAGGCGATGAAAGTTTAGGACTTGGCGAGAGAGCGCTCTCTGCGGCAGGGGCCGCTTTCCTATCGGCGATTATAGTAAACCCTCTTGACGTTGTGAAGGTAATAACGGCTTTGCATGGTACTTTCTTCGCGTTCTTGAGATTGGAAAATGGTTGATGGGGAAATGTCGGAAATCTTTGATCTTTCATATTTGGGATTGGTGGGTTGAGCCTCTTGCTATGTGGGTCAGTGTGTTTTCTGGTTTTTTCGTTCCGATTGATGCTTCTTGGTTGGTATTCTTGATTTGGGATTTCGTTATGCATCGCATAATAGTGGTATGTGGAGTTAGTTTGGTAGGATAGGGGAGTTGATTGCATTGATGGGGCATTGATCAATTTCTTATTGTTCCATTGAACAGACGAGGCTGCAAGCACAGGCAGCTGGAGTTGCTTACTCTCATCCACTTAGTAATGTCGTAAATCGCATGGCTTACTTTGGTCCGACCATGGTAGATATCTCTTCTTCTTTTTAGCTCCAATTGCTTCTGTCAATCATAATTTCGTGTTTTGAATAGTCTGTTGAGTGACATTCGGCCTTGTTTGCCAGTTGTTTGCTGATCTTAGATGCTCACCATCTTGTACTCGTGCTGGACTTCACGGGACAGTGTCCATGTGCCCTCCTGATTGTTTTCAGTACAAAGGAACCTTCGATGTCTTCAACAAGATCGTAAGACAGGTGTGTTATTGTTGTTAGTATTTGCATTCAATGATGTGAAAAGTGGTGTTTATGTATTCTTGCATTTGTTTTTTATATTGATCGAACACCAATTGTTGAACAAAAAAGGGTGATACTTGCAGGAAGGGTTTGCCAGGCTGTGGAGGGGCACAAATGCGGCTCTTGCTCTAGCTGTCCCAACTGTAAGTTACTTCTGATCTGTGGAATTGCGACGAAGGCTTAGTTTATTTGGATGTTGGCACTCTTGGTAGTGTAGCTTTAAGCTTATATTGGTTCACATCCTGTTTTATGCAGGTCGGCATTTACTTACCCTTATATGATGTATTCCGCATATGGCTCGAGGAAAAAACCTCTGAGAGTATTCCTGGTGCGGCACCATATGTTCCCTTGGTAGCTGGCTCACTGGCACGGTCATTAGCTTGTATGACTTGCTATCCTGTTGAACTTGCCAGAACTCGCATGCAGGTATTTTAAGACTCCCTTTTTGTTGCTTTATATCCAGCAGTGAAGTTTGGTTCCTTTGATCCCCTCTATCCGATGGCTCTCTCTCTGTCTCTCACTTCCCTTTTGTTTTACCTAGCTGGGACGTTCATGGCTTTTCTCTTATCGTTTTCTTTGACTCAAATCATAGGCATTCAAGGCTGCGCAAAATGGTAAAGCTCCTGGAGTTCTGAAAACTCTACTTGAAGCCCTTACTCACGTGCAAGGCACGGATAACCCTCGAACTAATTGTGAGTCGGATTTTGCTGAATTTCTAAGCTCTGTTGATTTGAAAGTTGTATGGTTTTAGTTTATTGTAAAAGAATAGTGTCTGGTGGATGGGAAGTTATATGATTATAATTGACATGCCCTCTTGCAACAGGGAGAGGTTACCGGCTACTGTGGACAGGCATGGGAGCACAGCTTGCCCGTGATGTTCCATTTTCTGGAATTTGTTGGGCACTACTTGAGCCTGTGAGCACATCTCCTTTCCCTTTAAGTAAAGAACCTGTTAATAGTAGTTTTTTGCTAATGGATTGTGATTCAACTCTATGTATGTTTAGCTGGGATATCTTTTTTGACTTCCCTTTCTTTCTTTTGGCCTCACAGATGAGGAGAAATCTTCTTAGTGTGGTTGGCGATGACGCGAATGTAGTCAGTGTACTCGGAGCCAACTTCTCGGCTGGTTTCATCGCAGGAAGTGTTGCTGCAGCTGCAACGTGTCCCCTTGATGTTGCTAAAACTCGAAGGCAGATAGAGGTTAGTGCTATCTTCCAAGGTTTTCATAATTCAACAGATAGTAGATGCTTACATTTTGTAGTTTCTCATATTTGACAGTAAAATAACTTTCCTTTTTCTTGCTGTCTCGACTTCCAGATGGATCCTGTAAGGGCACTAAGTATGACAACAAGGCGAACGCTAATGGAGATCTGGAGGTAACTTCCCTTTCTAAATTCATCAAGCCTTTATCTTTCCATTGGTAGCAGTAGCTTGGTACTAATCATGCTTTTCATATGGTGAACAGGGATGGAGGAATGAGGACACTTTTCACTGGTGTCGGTGCTCGCGTTGGAAGAGTGGGTCCTTCTGTTGGCATTGTGGTCTCGTTCTACGAGGTGGTGAAGTACGCACTGCATTCTCGGTATGAATCCGCTTAGGAGGGAAAGCATCAGATGGGGTCTTACTGACTGACCATTTTGTTTCTAGTGTTCATAGTCATGACAAATATTCCTTGGGAGAGTATAGGGAATGAGAAAGAAAAGGTTGGGTAAAAGAAGTAGGTGTAGCAGCAAAACAACAGTTTAACAAGAGAAGAGTCAGTTTTGTTTACTGGTGAAGTTTTTGTGGCCTTATTGAAAAGCCTGCAAGTTTTTGTCTTTAGGTTTAGTTTCTTTCTCATTTCTTTTCCTGTAGGCTACGAAGGGCATTGCTATGCCACGGAATAGAAACGCCCTCTTCTCTGCATAGTTTTGACTCTTCAGCTTCCCAAGCTGTGAAATTTTGGTTGCATTTTCATTGATCACTTGAACTGGAAATTGGGCAGAGTACAATAATGGATTTTGTCTGAGGGGTTTTTGCTTATGATTGCTGTTCATTCTTAAACCCAACAAACATAAACTAACCAGTTAACATTGAACAAAACAACTACAAACACTGTATTCTTTTATTTATTTAACCTTGATAGAAGTTTCCTGCTCCTTGGATCAGCCGTGAGGGTGACATCAACCACTGTGGCATCTGCAGAGCACTGGATTCGGGGACTCCGCCGCCTTGCTAGTCTCTCACTTGATGCTCACGATATCAGCAGCAGCAGCAGCAGGTCGAGTCGCCTCTTGCTTGATGCTCGTGGCTGCGGCAGCAGCACCAGGAGTAGGATTTTGGTAGCGATCTCCCCGAGCAGCAGCTACAGCTCCTTCCTTGGATTGCTCTTAGGCTGGTTAGCAAATTATAGACCTTTCCTCTGTGTTGCCTTCGTGTAGGTAGTTTGGTGCTTGATAAGAGAATGAGCATGAGTATTTGTACAGAGATAGGGTTGCATTGCATTAGTGATTGTACTTTCATGTACCGTTAATAGGATTGTGGAAGCCCAAGAGCGCTTTGATTGTGTGTAGGTTTGGTGGTTGAACTTGTATAGTTTTATTATATGCTTGATATTTGCATAAGTCCGTATCTAGACATTGATTTCACTCACTCGAATTGATGAGAAAGACGAGATATGATGTTACGAAATTCCTACAAAACCTGAAGTATACCCGTCTATAAGTCCTTCGAACATTGATGGGTTGTGGAGAGTTGCAAGCCAGTTTTGTAATTTGCAATTCGGAAATGTAGTTGTATGATCGATACGTTAGAATCTTATTGTCTTTGAAGTTCTTGTAAACTTGATTAAACCGATAGTTGGATAATCAGAAACGCGATATGAAATGTAAACTTGATTAAACCGACAAAAACGCGATATGAAATGTAAACTTCATTCATATGCAAGGTTTTTTTTTTATATTAGCGCAGGTGCTAGACTGCAAGTTGGGTACATTTGCTACAGCTCGAACATAAAAACTCCCAAAAAACTTCACAAACTGAGTTACCAGATGGATTAGGAAGTCGGCTAGTAAGCAGCAGGACTAGAGTTACAAGAAGAAGAAGAAGAAGAAGAAGAAGGTGACAGGGAAAAGTTGAAGATGATGGGATGAAGATCCGACCAAAAGGGGAAAAACAGGATCTGTGCTGTCTCCTTCAATCTCTTCCTCTTATGTCTGTGGCATCAATGGACAATGTAGGTGACGGCCAACGCCAACACCATCAGACCACACGCAATCGCCTGGTCCAGCTTTGCCCCTGTTCCAAACACGAAACAGAAACAAGTTAGACCATATCCAACTGATTCTATCCGGAGGGAAATCGACAATACAAGAAACACGAACTTAGGGTTGTTTGGAAGTTGCGTATGCTAAATCATTGTATTGTTATGAATCACTATGATATAAATGCATGCATTGATATAATAGATGCATTTTGAAATTACATTGTTTGGTTGTTGAGATTATAATTTATGAATTGATTGTTATAAAGTTACTTTATAAGAAAATGTCATATTTGTCCTCTACTTTTAATATAAAACAAAAAGAACTATGGACATAATTGGAAAAAGTAAAGGTGCTCAATTATTAAACCAACAATCACAACAATCTCAACTTTTAGTTGAGATTGTACAATCCCTCATTTTTGTTGATTGTTGGTGGGAACCACACAAAACAATACATGCATTGTTTTGCAACTTGACACTTCCAAACGTTGTATTGTGGACAATACATGTATTTAACAAATACAACACTAACAATCGCAACTTCCAAACGAGTGTTAGGTGGTTCATCCATAAGTTATTAGAGATCAGTTTCACTATACCTGAGAAGATACATACTATAGAACTTGAGAAAGTATAATAACACGGTCTCACTAATGAGACCTCGTGACTTCTCGTAGACGACATATAATTTGTAGCAACATACTCATTCGATAGAATTCAAGTGGGTTAGATCGATCATTATCTGGCGTTTGAATTCAAGTTTTAAGAACGAACGACCTGTACGATCTACGAGACATGGTAATTTAATAACTCGGGTTATCGAAAAGGTGTAAAAAAAGAGTAGGGTTTTGTGCTACATTCTTACCTTGGTCATCGGTGGTGGGAGAGGGAGAAGAGGAAGTCGTCGGCGGTGAAGATCGGCGGTGACGGGACGAACCCGCCGGCGGAGGGAGTGGAAGAAAGGCGATGGAGGACAACAAAAGAGCCGTGGCGGCGAACACTACACCTCCTCCCCAAACGTCCATTGTCAGATCCACTCTGTTTTTTCCGGTCGCCGGAAAGATCTTTTTTTTTTTTCACTCTGTCTTTTATTTGCCGTCGTAAGGAACAAAAATGAAATGGGTTTAGTGAAATGAGCATTCCGGCTATTTATAACATGTAGAGCCACGCCATGGCCGTCTTCTACGATTCCATTACACGCCGAACCGACAACAATTTATTTACCTCTTCCCTGCTTACTAATTCTTACTAATTCATCTTTGTTTTCTGTCGTTTTGCGCGCTGACGCCTTCGTTCGACGCCGGAAAAAGCCGATTTTTTGGCTTCGGCTTGTATAATCTTGAGGGAGGATGCGGACAGAATTTTTTTTGTTTGTTTAGATTGTCCGTTCCCGCCAAAATCCCCCGTGTTCTATCTATGAAAGTGGAGACTGCACGGAACAAGTCATATCCAATGGTTTTTCAATGATGACAATTATTATTATAGTTTAACACATACCATTGAAGACCACTTTCTAGTATTATGCTTTAAAGTATGATTCAAAGTACAGATTGAAGTTATACTATAACGTTAAAAGTATAAATTGTAGTTGGATTGTTAAGGAATCTTAACTTTTATATTATGGTACAACATGAAGTTATACCATAAATGCAAAAACTATAAGTATCAATGCTTTAAGGAGGTCGTTTGGATGAGGAATGGTAACGGATCAATTTGACACAATTGTCTCGTATTGAGACAATTGTACCAAATTACCTCGTTTGCCAGCAACAAAATTTGGATGGATCAATCTGCCTGAGGTATTTTGAATAGATCCGTTTTGAGTCAATTTTAATTACCTGGGGTGGTGGCAGGTAATTCGATATGGCACAATACCACCAACACATATATAGAAGAATAGAATAACAACGTGTGCCAGTTATTCTATATTCTCTAATTCTCATTGCCTTCTGTTTTTGTCCCCTATCAATCATCATAAGCTCAAAGAGCTTGTTTACAAAACAAGGTTAACTTTGGAGAAGTCGAGGCCATCTCACTTACGTTACGTAACGTTTCCACAGTTACAACAAACTCAAAACTCCCCAAAGAAAGATTTCTTTTGCTGAAATCAAACAATGTCGGGAACCTTGCCTTGTTTCGGCTATATATACTTTTACTGTCTTCTGTTTTGACTGTTTTTCAGGCTGGATCCAGTGATGTTGGGTTTTGGATCAAGATCGTAACTTGGGCCTTTCATTGATAAATTTATTTATCTTTTTGGATCCAAATCTTCTATATGAATGAAACCTGGGTGGGCCGGTGTTTCTGGATCCAGATCACAAATTGGACCCACAACTCGATGGCTAAAATGAAACCCAATTTTTTTTTAGAATAGTAATTGGTAAAGACTAAAGGAGTAGGTGACAATTGAGATTACAAAAAAAAAAAAAAAAGAGATGGAGTTGGTTGGGGAGGGGACCAAATTGAATTGAATCATGTAATCAGATGAATAGGGAGATGAAAGTGAGATGGTCCAAGCAGTACTCCAAAATGTAAAGAGAAATGATGCAAAATTTACTCCCTCTTCTTTCTACTACCAACAAGGAAGTGGTTAAGACTTAAGTATCATCGTGGATTAGTCTCAATCGAGGATATATACCAAGTAAACTTTGTGTGTTTTGTGTTATTTTACGCCGTTACGCGTTATCAAATTCTACATGGTATCAGAGCTGGTTTGTCCTTGAGGTCACGTGTTCAAGTCCTCACGATCCCCCAATATTAACCGTTGTCTTTCAAGCACATGGTATGGCGGGCCTGTGCAAACTTCAAGCTCATGATCAGTTGGCTTTCGTTTGAGGGGGGCGTGTAAGGAAGTGGTCAAGTACCATACATGAGCCTGTATAAGATCCAGCATAACTTTCTCCCAACAACTCGAGTTATTGAGAGCAACTGGTTTATGACACTACCCGTATTGCATAAAGAAAAGGAAAAAGGAGAAAATGAAAATGGTGATTGGATTGGAGTAATGTTGTGCGCATACTTTTCGTGGGTGGCAGTAAATGATGGTTTCAGAGATTTATTCTCAGAGTAAATGAAGCTTGCCGGCCGGACTTCCCCACCGGCTCTCTTACACTCTCATTCATTCATTCATGGCCGGCTGTCAATGTTGTCATTCAGCCATTCATTATCTTCGTCTAGGGTTATGGCCGGCTGCAAATTATCTGTCTGTATTGAGGGCAAGGTGTTTTTTTTAGTCTGAGACTTAGGTTTAAAAAAAATGCACCAATTGATGCGGGTCATACAAAAGAAAACATACCACTTGCAACAGCTGCTAAATAATACTAAAACAGTCATGTTACTTAAGGTGGTCGTAATAAATACCCAAAACTAGCTCCAAAATGACTAAAAAAAATTATCGGTACAATCTCGAAGATTAGCCCTACGCAATAATTCAACTCATTTTGAATTCGAATTGTGAAGTCAACATCTTATCAAGATCCGTAGCAACAGCTGGCAGTAGGGTTGGCTATTTGGTCTGGATTGTTTGGTTTTACCCGAAACCGGACCGTATAATTCGGATCGGGATCGGACTGGGACTGGATAGCAAACAATCCAATCTCATATTCGGACTTAGATTTGAGGTAAAAAAACAGGATAAAGATCGGATAAGAGACCCCCAACACCTAAAATCAAGATCAAATTGGGACCAGACCGGGTCAAGACCGGACTGTATCCAATCCAATCTTTGGTTCTTATATTCCTGAAAAGACCGGACTGGGACCGGATCAATTTGGTCCAATTTAACCGGACCGGACCGTATAGCCACCCCTAGCTGCCAGCTAGCTAGGAAAAGAAGCCGGAGTTGTCGAACGTGAAGGCCGTCGTCGGGTCGTCAAACAAGTGGTCCACGTTGCCGAACGGGTAGTCAACCGACCCAACAACCGTCGCCGGCGGCGGAGCTGCCAGTGACGTCACCACCGTAGTAGTAGTATGCGGCGGAGGAAAGAACGAGCTTCCGGCGAAAGTGGCTGCCGCGGCCGGAGGAGAGTAATAATCGAACTCTGAGCGAACGTCGTCAGTTACCACGTCGACGTTGAATCCCCTCCGGAAGTTCAGGAGCAGCTGGTCGTGTTGTTGACGGTCCTCAGCCGCCACTGACATGGCTGGTAATTCAGGCGGTGGCGGCGCTAATTGTGATTGGGTGCATGTGTGCCTTCCTCTGTACGTAATCTCGAAGATGGTGGAGTCATCGTCTGACCTTTGGACTTGTTTTGTGGCCAGGCAGCCTTGCACGTTCCGTAGCGTACACCTGTAAGGCTGTAATACCCTCTGCCGTTTTTTTTTTGCATTACAGGAGGCACAAGGCCAAAGAAGGAGAAACAGGGGGGAGAGAGATCAGATGTGAGAGATGGGAGGAGTGTTCACTACACTTCTAGGAAAAGTGATTCCTCGCTGATCATCCTGTAATATGGGAAGGACCTCTTGCGGCGGATCCTCCAATTCATACATACCGTAGGGATAGACAAGACTGTGCTTCGAGAGCCAGTCCGCGACTCTATTCACCTCTCGGTAGGTATGAACTAGATTCACCACCCAGTCTAGAGCAATCTTCCTCCTTTTGGCCGAGAGAAGAGCAGCATAAGGATGAAGAGGATTTGTCATGTTCTTCACAAGTTGAATAGCCAACTGCGAATCTGACTCGATGATGATAGTCCTGTAGCCTTTGTTCCAACCAAGCCTCAATCCATGATAGATAGCCCACAACTCGGCCAGAGTAGCCTAACAAGACCCCAAGCTTGAAACAAAACCACCTAGCCAGCAGTTGTTGGAGTCCCCAATCACTCCTCCAGCCCCGGCCAGCCCCATCAACATTGACTTTCGCACATCCCGCAGGTGGCGGCTGCCATCCGATCTCTGTCATCACCCAGTTCGGCGCCGGGTTTCCCCTTCCACCAAGCTGCGTCGGAGAGTTCCAAGCCCGAATCCAAATATCTGCTTTGATCTTAATTGTCTGCATAAGAGAAGGGGCCGACAGGGTCTTGTTCATACCTTTGAAGACTCCTTCATTTCTGTTTTTCCATAAGCACCAAAGGGCAATCCCGAAGAAGCCATCCCAGGGGAGACCTGTTGTTGATGACTCCTTGCTGGTCAGGTTGCGGTGTAACCAGTCATCCCAAGGGAGATTGAAGAACTCGTGTTGGGCCTCCGCGGGAACTACTCGATGCCAGAAGAAGGATGCAGGTGGACAGCTCCGAAAAATATGGGATAAGCTCTCTGTCTGAGAAGGGCATCTGTAGCAAGAATCTTCCTGGGTAAGCCGTCTATGAGCTCTGAATTCGTTCGAGCTCACCTTTCCCTGCGCAAGCAGCCAGATGAAACACCTAACCCGCTCGGGGACTGTTAGATGCCAAATGGCTTTCCACAAACTCTGCTGCGTGCTGACGGGAGCTGCCTGAAGAATCTGGTAAGCACTCTTCGTAGTAAAACGTCCATCCGCCGTTGGGGTCCAGAACAAATGGTCTTCCTCCGTAGCCAGGGGATCAACAGCGTGGGCTGTTATCTTGTGCAGTATCTCCTGCGGGAGCAACGAGCCAAATTTCTCCACTCTCCAATTTCCTTCCTCATCAACAAACTCGGACACCGGCAATTGACGGTCTTCCCCTGAGATCATCTCCGTCGCCATCTCGTAGAGAGGTCCCTGCAAAATCCAATTATCCGACCAAAAATTAGTCTGATTACCCCGATGAATATTCCAGGCACACCCTTGTTTAAGTAAATCAGCTGCTTTGGTAAAGCTAGCCCAAGTAAAGGAACTTCCCTGAACACGTTTAAGAATATCCAAGTGCTGTCTGTTTCCCCCATACTTAGCAAGCACCATCTGGACCCAAAGGTTTTCTTTTTCCTGGACAATGCGCCTGGGGTTCACTTCTCTACTTGACCGGATACCAAGGCCTCCATTATTCTTTGGCAGGAGCAGCTGGGGCCATCCTACCAAATGAAGATTCCTCTTGACTTCTGTGTCCCCCCAGATGAAACCTCTATCAATCTTATCAAGCGACCTGCAAACATTCATAGGGAGCAGCTCTGTTTGCATAGGGTAAATAGGAATGGAAGCAGAGATAGATTTCACCACCGTTATCCGGGCTGCCAGAGATAGATGCCTGGTTTTCCAGGGTGCGAGTTTCTTCTGAATTCTCAGCACTAAATCTCGATATCTATTCTTCGTAACTCGACCGTGGATTGCCATGACTCCAAGATACCGACCCAGGTCTACTGTGAGTGGAATCCCAGCTCTTGAAGAGAGACGGTTCGCCTTCCTCCTGTCGATGTTAACCGAGACAAACATGGCAGACTTGTTGTAGTTAACTCTTTGCCCTGAGCTCTGGCAAAACTCATCGAGACATTGCTTGATGATCCTAACTTGTGAGCTTTCTGCTTCTGCAAAAAGAACAAGATCATCTGCAAAGAAAAGGTGAGATAACATAGGGCCTTCTTTGGAAAGCCTTAGAGGTTTCCAGAGTTTGTCCTGAACGACTTGATCAATCCTGTGAGACAGTCTTTCCATACATAAGACAAAAAGGTATGGCGAAAGAGGATCTTCCTGACAGACTCCTCTAGTTGGAGTGATCGGAGTTGAAAGCTCGCCATTCCACAACAGTCTCATCCTGTTATGCTCGACACAAAACATGATACAATTGATCCATGAGCTAGGCAGGCCTACTTCCTTGAGAGTATCTCTAAGAAACTCCCATCTCAGACGGTCGTATGCCTTATCAAGATCAATTTTCATAACAATTCCTCCTTTCTTACCCTTCTTCTTTCTCAAAGAATGAAGCACCTCTTGCAAAACAATAATGTTATCTGTGGTCTGTCGCCCAGGAATGAAACTGCTTTGTCTCGGAGACACCAGCTTTCTCATGATGGGTTTAAGCCGATTGTTGATGGCCTTGGTGATAGCTTTCAGGCAGGCATTGTTGAGGGATATCGGGCGAAAATGCGAGGCCATCTCCGGATGCTCCACCTTGGGGATGAGCACCATCGTCGACTCCACCACTTCCTCTGACAGCATCCCTGTCGAGAAAAAACTCATAGCCATGTCAATAAGAGCTTTGCCAACCACCTGCCACGATTTCTGATATAAAACCGCTTGAAAACCATCCGGTCCTGGAGCTTGATTCAAACCACTTTGCCAACCAATAATACAATTATTTTTAATCTCATTAATTCGAACCATATATCATAATATTACGTGCTTAGCCATAAATTTATCTAAAGTAGTCAGCTTCAACAAGTTTGAGAATGTGTTTTCATATTCTGAAAAAGTTTTAAAAATACATTCATCGTGATGTTGCGGTCGTTCGATAACCTACCAAAATAGGGTATTCGTGATTTCATCATGCAACTGCCATCTGATTTTTAAGTATTTCTTTACGTTCTTCATTGTGTTAATAAGTGTTTCTTTTCTTAACACTGTAATGACAACTTGTAGCTATGGCTGAATATTTGGTCCGGGTTTTTTGGTTTTATCCGAAACCGGACCGTATAACCCGGACCGAGACCGGACTGGGACCGGATAGTAAACAATCCAATCCAATATTTGGGCTTAGATTTGAGGTAAAAAACCGTTTTGGACCGGATCAAAAACTGGATAAAAACCAGATAAGATAGCTCAAGACCCAAAACTTAAGGGTAATTTGCATAAACGGTCACAAACCTTTGCACTTAGTACAAAACTTAACCAACTCCTCACCCTTTCAGGCATTAGGCCACTCAAATCCCCACAATCTCAATATAAAATCAAGACCGAATTGGGACCGAACCGGATCAAGACCGGAATGTATCATCCCATTTTTGGTCCTTATATTTTCAAAAAAGACGGGACTAAACCGGATCAATTTAGGCTAATTTAACCGGACTAGACTGTATAGCCACCCTAAGTGTAGCAAGTTACGCTACTAAGTTAAAAAGACGAAGCAAGCAACTAGGACGATATTTAATATTGTGATAACTTTTATATGTAAATGCCTAGGATATTTGGCGCCGAGGATGTCTGGCCGTATTTTCTCCAGCTGAAGCCATCGTCGAGTGGGACTTCAAGGCCCATCCCTGGGCACACCCTTACTTGATTCGTCCACCTCGGAATGCTCTTCCTGCAGCTCATTAATTACAAAACTTCCCTTCAATATCCAAAGAAAATGGCCTTTCGTCGCCCAAGAAATTACGAAAATGCCATCCGAAAATAAATTGGCCAAAATCGATGCTTAACGGACTTATCATCCGTGGAGAATAGGATCAATAGACTTCATTATCGGTGGAGAATAGCCTCGGCCTAATTCCGTGATCTGTAGCCTCTAAAATCGAAAGAAAATGGCATTTCGGGTAAATCGCCCAAAATATGTGATGGTACCCCTTTGGAATCTGCCAAAAATTGATCCGGAATATATCCGCCCAAATCGGTGCTTAATGGACTCAATCATCGTTGAAGAATAGCCTCAGGCCGAATCCTTGATCTGTAGCCTTCAATATCCAAAGAAAATGGCCTTTCGTCGCCCAAGAAATTACGATAATGCCATCTAAAAATAAATTGGCCCAAATCGATGCTTAACAGACTTATCATCCGTGGAGAATAGGATCAATAGACTTCACTATCGGTGGAGAATAGTCTCGGCCTGATTCCATGATCTGTAGCCTCCAGAATCGAAAGAAAATGGCATTTCGGATAAATGGTCCAAAATTTGTGATGGTACCCCCTTTGGAATCTGCCAAAAATTGACCCGGAATAAATCCGCACAAATTGGTGCTTAATGGACTCAATCATCGTTGGAGAATAGCCTAAGGCCGAATTCGTGATCCGTAGCCTTCAATATCCAAAGAAAATTGCTTTTCGTCGCCCAAGAAATTACGAAAATGCCATCCGAAAATAAATTGGCCCAAATCGATGCTTAACAGACTTATCAACCGTGGAGAATAGGATCAATAGACTTCACTATCGGGGGAGAATAGTCTCGGTTTGATTCCGTGATATATAGCCTCCAGAATCGAAAAAATGGCATTTCGGATAAATCGTCCTAAATCTGTGATGGTACCCCCTGGAATCTGCAAAAAATTGAACCGGAATAAATCCGCTCAAATCGGTGCTTAATGGACTCAATCATCGTTGGAGAATAGCCTCGGCCTGATTCCGTGATCTGTTGCCTCCAGAATCTAAAAAATGGCATTTCGGATAAATCGTCCGAAATCTGTGATGGTACCCCTTTGGAATCTGCCAAAAATTGACCCGGAATAAATCCGCCCAAATCGGTGCTTAATGGACTCAATCATCGTTGGAGAATAGACTCAGGCCGAATCCGTGATCTGTAGCCTTCAATATCCAAAGAAAACGGCCTTTCGTCGCCCAAGAAATTACGAAAATGCCATCCGAAAATAAATTGGCCCAAATCGATGCTTAACAGAGTTATCATCCATGGAGAATAGGATCAATTGACTTCATTATTGGTGGAGAATAGCCTCGGCCTGATTCCGTGATCTTGTAGCATCCAGAATCGAAAAAAATGGCATTTCGGATAAATCGCCCAAAATCTGTGATGGTACCCCTTTGGAATCTGCCAAATATTGACCCGGAATAAATCTGCCCAAATCGGTGCTTAATGGACTCAATCATCGTTGGCGAATAGCCTCTGGCCGAATTCATGATCTGTATCCTTCAATATCCAAAGAAAATGGCCTTTCGTCGCCCAATAAATTACGAAAATGCCATCCGAAAATAAATTTGCCCAAATCGATGCTTAACAAAGCAATCATCCGTGGAGAATAGGATCAATAGACTTCATTATCGGTGGAGAATAGCCTCGACCTGATTCCGTGATCTGCAGCCTCCAGAATCGAAAGAAAATGGCATTTCGGATAAATCGCCCGAAATCTGTGATGGTACGCCTTTGGAACCTGCCAAAAATTGACCCGGAATAAATCCGCCCAAATCGGTGCTTAATGGACTCAATCATCGTTGGAGAAAATCCTCAGGGCGAATCCATGATCTGTAGCCTTCAATATCAAAAGAAAATGGCCTTTCACTGCCCAAGAAATTACGAAAATGCCATCCGAAAATAAATTGGCCCAAATCGATGCTTAACGGACTTATCATCCGTGGAGAATAGGATCAATAGACTTCATTATTGGTGGAGAATAGCCTCGGCCTGATTCCGTGATCTGTAGCCTCCAGAATCGAAAGAAAATGACATTTCGGATAAATTGGCCGAAATTTGTGATAGTACCCCTTTGGAATCTGCCAAAAATTGACCCGGAATAAATCTGCCCAAATCGGTGCTTAATGGACTCAATCAAAGTTGGAGAACAGCCTCAGGCCGAATCCGTGATCTTTAGCCTTCAATATCCAAAGAAAATGGCCTTTCGTCGCCCAAGAAATTATGAAAATGCTATCGGAAAATAAATTGGCCCAAATCGATGCTTAACGGACTTAACATCCGTGGAGAATAGGATCAATAGACTTCATTATCGGTGGAGAATAGCCTCGGCCTGATTCCGTGATCTGTAGCCTCCAGAATCGAAAAAATGGCATTTCAGATAAATCGCCTGAAATCTGTAATGGTACCCCTTTAGAATCTGCCAAAAATTGACCGGGAATAAATCCTCCCAAATCGGTGCTTAATGGACTCAATCATCATTGGAGAATAGCATCAGGGCGAATCCGTGATCCGTATCCTTTATTATCCAAGGAAAATGGCCTTTCATCGCCCAAGAAATTACGAAAATGCCATCCGAAAATAAATTGGCCCAAATCGATGCTTAACAGACTTATCATCCGTGGAGAATAGGATGAATAAAATTCATTATCGGTGGAGAATAGCCTCGGCCTGATTCCGTGATCTGTAGGCTCCAGAATCGAAAGAAAATGGCATTTCGGATAAATTGCCCGAAATCTGTGATGGTACCCCTTTGGAATCTGCCAAAAATTGACCTGGAATAAATCCGCCCAAATCGGTGCCTAATGGACTCAATCATCGTTGGAGAATAGCCTCAGGCCGAATCCGTGATCAGTAGCCTTCAATATCCAAAGAAAATGGCCTTTTGTCGCGCAAGAAATTATGAAAATGTCATCCGAAATTTTTTTGGCCCAAATCAATGCTTAACGGACTTATCATACGTGGAGAATTGGATCAATAGACTTCATTATCGGTGGAGAATAGCCTCGGCCTGATTCCATGATCTGTAGCCTCCAGAATCAAAAGAAAATGGCATTTCGGATAAATCGCCGGAAATCTGTGATGGTACCCCCTTTGGAATCTGCCAAAAATTTACCCGGAATAAATTCGCCCAAATTGGTGCTTAATGGACTCAATCATCGTTGGAGAATAGCCTCAAGCCGAATCCGTGATCTGTAGCCTTCAATATCCAAAAAAATGGTCTTTAGTCTCCCAAAGCTCCTCCCGGCAGTGAAAATACGGGCATGGGAGGGGAAAATACGGTCGTAATTCTCCTGCCCGTATTCTTCCTCCGCTCCTGTTTAATGCTTCGTTTCTCCCTCGTTCGGACTCCGAATCAGTCGCCGTTTGATCCCAGACGCTCGTAGTCTCGTTCTCTATCTTTTCATGACAAGATTCCATGATTATTTGTCCATAATATGAGGTAGAAGTCCATTCTTCTTGAGCTCATGCTCGTGTTTCTTCTCCCAAATTGCCAAATGATCTCCGATTGACTTGAAACTTGCGCCTATGCTTCAATTTACATGATAGGACCTGAAATGTGACAAAGGAACACAATCTTTCATAAAATAGTCCAAGAAAGCAAAAACTCAAGCCAAAATGATCAAGAAACGAGAGTGCAAACATGTGCAAATATGACGTTATCAACGGACTTATCATCCGTGGAGAATAGGATAAATAGACTTCATTATCGATGGAGAAAAGCCTCGGCCTGATTCCATGATCTGTAGCCTCCAGAATCAAAAGAAAATGGCATTTCGGATAAATCGTCCGAAATCTATGATGGTACCCCTTTGGTATCTGCCAAAAATTGACCCGGAATAAATTCGCCCAAATTGGTGCTTAATGGACTCAATCATCGTTGGAGAATAGCCTCAGGCCGAATCCGTGATCAGTAGCCTTCAATATCCAAAGAAAATGGTCTTCAGTCGCGCAAGAAATTACGAAAATGCCATCCGAAAATAAATTTGCCCAAACCGATGCTTAACGGACTTATCATCCGTGGAGAATAGGATCAATAGACTTCATTATCGGTGGAGAATAGCCTCGGCCTGATTATGTAATATGTAACCTCCAGAATCGAAAGAAAATGGCATTTCAGATAAATCACCTGCAATCTGTGATGGTACCCCTTTGGAATCTGCCAAAAATTTACCCGGCATAAATCCGCCCAAATCGGTGCTTAATGGACTCAATCATCGTTTGAGAAAAGCCTCAGGCCGAATCCATGATCTGTAGCCTTCAATATCCAAAGAAAATGGCCTTTCGTCGCCCAAGAAATTACGAAAATGCCATCCGAAAATAAATTGGCCCAAATCAATGCTTAACGGACTTATCATCCGTGGAGAATAGGATCAATAGACATCATTATCAGTGGAGAATAGCCTCGGCCAGATTCCGTGATCAGTAGCCTCCAGAATCGAAAGAAAATGGCATTTCGGATAAATCGCCCGATATCTATGATTGTACCCCCTTTGGAATCTGCCAAAAATTGACCCGGAATAAATCCTCCTAAATTGGTGCTTAATGGACTCAATCATCGTTGGAGAATAGCCTCAGGCCGAATCCGTGATCTATAGCCTTCCATATCCAAAGAAAATGGCCTTTCGTCGCCCAAGAAATTAAGAAAATGCCATCCGTAAATAAATTGGCCCAAATAGATGTTTAACGGACTTGTCATCCGTGGAGAATAGGATCAATAGACTTCATTATCGGTGGAGAATAGCCTCGGCCTGATTCCGTGATCTGTAGCCTCCAGAATCGAAAGAAAATGGCGTTTCGGATAAATCGCCCGAAATCTGTGATGGTACCCCTTTGGAATCTGCCAAAAATTGACCCGGAGTAAATCCGCCCAAATCGGTGCTTAATGGACTCAATCATCGCTGGAGAATAGCCTCAGGCCGAATCCGTGATCTGTAGCCTTCAATATCCAAAGAAAATGTCCTTTCGTCGCCCAAGAAATTACGAAAATGCCATCCGAAAATAAATTTATCCAAATCGATGCTTAATGGACTTATCATCCGTGGAAAATAGGATCAATAGACTTCATTATCGGTGGAGAATAGCCTCGGCCTGATTCCGTGATCTGTAGCCTCCATAATCGAAAGAAAATGGCATTTCGTAAAAATCGCCCGAAGTCTGTGATGGTACTACCCCTTTGGAATCAGCCAAAAATTGACCCGGAATAAATCCGCCCAAATTGGTGCTTAATGGACTCAATCATCGTTGGAGAATAGCCTCAGGCCGAATCCGTGATCTGTAGCCTTCATTATCCAAAGAAAATGGCCTTTCGTCGTCCAAGAAATTACGAAAATGCCATCCGAAAATAAATTGGCCCAAATCGATGCTTAACAGAGTTATCATCCGTGGAGAATAGGATCAATTGACTTCATTATCGGTGGAGAATAGCCTCGGCCTGATTCCGTGATCTTGTAGCATCCAGAATCGAAAGAAAATGGCATTTCGGATAAATCGCCCAAAATCTGTGATGGTACCCCTTTGGAATCTGCCAAAAATTGACCCGGAATAAATCCGCCCAAATCGGTGCTTAATGGACTCAATCATCGTTAGAGAATAGCCTCAGGCCGAATTAGGGATCTGTAGCCTTCAATATCCAAAGAAAATAGCCTTTCACCGCCCAAGAAATTATGAAAATACCATCCGAAAATAAATTGGCCCAAATCGATGCTTGACGGACTTATCATCCATGGAGAATATGATCAATAGACTTCATTATTAGTGGAGAGTAGCCTCGGCCTGATTCCGTGATCTGTAACCTCCAGAATCGAAAGAAAATGGCATTTCGTATAAATCGCCCGAAATCTATGATGGTACCCCTTTGGAATCTGCCCAAAATTGACCCGGAATAAATCCGCCCAAATCGGTGCTTAAAAGACTCAATCATCGTTGGAGAATAGCCTCAGGCCGAATCCGTGATCTGTAGCCTTCAATATCCGAAGAAAATGGCCTTTCGTCGCCCAAGAAATTACGAAAAAGCCATCCGAAAATAAATTGGCCCAAATCGATGCTTAACGGACTTATCATCCGTGGAGAATAGGATCAATAGACTTCATTATCGGTTGAGAATAGCCACGTCCCTATTCCGTGATCTGTAGGCTCCAGAATCGAAAGAAAATGGAATTTTGGATAAATCGCCCGAAATCTGTGATGGTACCCCTTTGGAATCTGCCGAAAATTGACCCGGAATAAATCCGCCCAAATCGGTGCTTAATGGACTCAAACATCGTTGGAGAATAGCCTTAGGCCGAATCCGTGATCTGTAGCCATCAATATCCAAAGAAAAAGGCATTTTGTCGCACAAGAAATTACGAAAATGCCATCCAAAAACAAATTGGCCAAATCGATGCTTAACGGGCTTATCATCCGTGGAGAATAGGATCAATAGACTTCATTATCGGTGGGGAATAGTCTTGGCCTGATTCCGTGATCTGTAGCCTCCAGAATAGAAACAAAATGGCATTTCGGATAATTCGCCCGAAATCTCGACCGCCTCCGCATCAATTCGATAAATCTGCGTTTTCATGAGCGTTGGCGGGTCCTGGAGTGCCTGTCAAGTGATGATACATATTTGGAATCTGCCAAAAATTGACCCAGAGTAAATCCGCCCAAATCGGTGCTTAATGGACTCAATCATCGTTGGAGAATAGCCTCAGGCCAAATCCGTGATCTGTAAACATCAATATCCATAAAATGGCCTTTCGTCGCCCAAGAACTTACGAAAATGCCTTCCGAAAATAAATTGGCTCAAATCGATACTTAACAGACTTATCATCCGTGGAGAATAGGATCAATAGACTTCATTATCGGATGAGAATAGTCAGGTTCTGATTCTGTAATCTGTAGACTCAAGAATCGAAAGAAAATTGCATTTCGGATAAATCGCCCGAAATCTGTGACGGTACCCCTTTGGAATCTGCCAAAAATTGACCCAGAATAAATCCGCCTAAATCGGTGCTTAATGGACTCAATCATCGTTGGAGAATAGCCTCAGGGCGAATCCGTGATTTGTAGCCTTAAATATTTAAAGAAAATGGCCCTTTGTCGTCCAAGAAATTACGAAAATGGCATCCGAAAATAAATTGGCCCAAATCGATGCTTAACGGACTTATCATCCGTGGAGAATAGGATCAATAGACTTCATTATTGGTGGAGAATAGCCTCGGCCTAATTCCGTGATCTGTAGCCTCCAGAATAGAAAGAAAATGGCATTTCGGATAAGTCGCCCGAAATATGTGATGATACCCCTTTAGAATCTGCCAAAAATTGACCCGGAAGAAATCCCCCAAAATCGGTGCTTAATGGCCTCAATCATCGTTGGATAATAGCCTCAGGCTGAATCCGTGATCTGTAGCCTTCAATATCCAAAGAAAATGGCCTTTCCTCGCGCAAGAAATTACTAAAATGCCATCCGAAAATAAATTGGCCCAAATAGATGCTTAACGGACTTATCATCCATAGAGAATAGGATCAATAGACTTCATTATCGGTGGATAATAGCCTTGGCCTGATTCCGTGATCTGTAGCCTCCGGAATAGAAAGAAAATGGCATTTCGGATAAATCGCCCGAAATCTGTGATGGTACCCCTTTGGAATCTGCCAAAAATTGACCCGGAATAAATCCGCCCAAATCGGTGCTTTATGGACTCAATCATCGTTGGAGAATAGCCTCAGGCCGAATCCGTGATCTATAGCCTTCAATATCCAAAGAAAATGGCCTTTCGTCGTCCAAGAAATTACGAAATGCCATCCGAAAATAAATTGGCCCAAATCGATGCTTAACGGACTTATCATCCGTGGAGAATAGGATCAATAGACTTCATTATCGGTTGAGAATAGCCACGTCCCTATTCCGTGATCTGTAGGCTCCAGAATCGAAAGAAAATGGCATTTTGGATAAATCACACGAAATCTGTGATGGTACCCCTTTAGAATCTGCCAAAAATTGACCCGTAATAAATCCGCCCAAATCGGTGCTTAATGGACTCAAACATCGTTGGAGAATAGCCTGAGGCCGAATCCGTGATATGTAGCCTTCAATATCCAAAGAAAATGGCCTTTCGTCGCCCAAGAAATTACGAAAATGCCATCCGAAAATAAATTAGCCCAAATCGATGCTTAACAGGCTTATCATCCGTGGAGAATAGGATCAATAGACTTCATTATCGGTGGAGAATAGCCTTGGCCTGATTCCATGATCTGTAGCCTCCAGAATAGAAAGAAAATGGCATTTTGGATAAATCGCCCGAAATCTGTGATGGTGGAATATGCCAAAAAATGACCCGGAGTAAATCCGCCCAAATCGGTGCTTAATGGACTCAATCATTGTTGGAGAATAGCCTCAGGCCAAATCCGTGATCTGTAGCCTTCAATATCCATAGAAAATGGCCTTTCGTCGCAAAAGAAATTACGAAAATGCCATCCGAAAATAAATTGGCCCAAATCGATGCTTAACGGACTTATCATCCATGGAGAATAGGATCAAAAGACTTCATTATCGGTTGAGAATAGTCACGTCCTGATTCCGTGATCTGTAGGCTCCAGAATCGAAAGAAAATGGCATTTCGGATAAATCGCCCGAAATCTGTGATGGTACCCCTTTGGAATCTGCCAAAAATTGACCCGGAATAAATCTGCCCAAATCGGTGCTTAATGGAATCAATCATCGTTGGAGAATAGCCTCAGGCCGAATCCAAAGAAAATGGCCTTTCGTCGCCTAAGAAATTACGAAAATGCCATCCGAAAATAAATTGGCCAAATCGATGCTTAATGGACTTATCATCCGTGGAGAATATGATCAATAGACTTCATTATCGGTGGAGAATAGCCTCGGCCTGATTCCGTGATCTGTAGCCTCCAGAATAGAAAGAAAATGGCATTTTGGATAAATCACCCGAAATCTGTGATGGTACCCCTTTGGAATCTGCCAAAAATTGACCCGGAGTAAATCCGCCCAAATCGGTGCTTAATGGACTCAATCATCGTTGGACAATAGCCTCAGGCCGAATCAGTGATCTGTAGCCTTTAATATCCATAGAAAATGGCTTTTCGTTGCCCAAGAAATTACGAAAATGCCATCCGAAAATAAATTGGCCCAAATCGATGCTTAACGGACTTATCATCCGTGGAGAATAGGATCAATAGACTTCATTATCGGTTGAGAATATCCACGTCCTGATTCCGTGATCTGTAGGCTCCAGAATCGAAAGAAAATGGCATTTCGGATAAATCGCCAGAAATCTGTGATGGTACCCCTTTGGAATCTGCCAAAAATTTAACAGGAATAAATCCGCCCGAATCGGTGCTTAATGGACACAATCATCGTTGGAGAATAGCCTCAGGCCAAATCCGTGATCTGTAGCCTTCAATATCCAAAGAAAATGGCCCCTCGTCGCCCAAGAAATTACGAAAATGTCATCCGAAAATAAATTGGCCTAAATCGATGCTTAATGGACTTATCATCCGAGGAGAATATGATCAATAGACTTCAATATCGGTGGAGAATAGCCTCGACCTGATTGCGTGATCTGATGCCTCAATAATCGAAAGAAAATGGCATTTCGTATAAATCGCCCGAAGTCTGCGATGGTACCCCTTTGGAATCTGCCAAAAATTGACTCGGAATAAATCCGCCTAAATTGGTGCTTAATGGACTCAATCATCGTTGGACAATAGCCTCAGGCCGAATCCGTGATCTGTAGCCTTTAATATCCATAGAAAATGGCCTTTCGTCGCCCAACAAATTACGAAAATGCCATCCGAAAATAAATTGGCCAAAATCGATGCTTAACGGACTTATCATCCGTGGAGAATAGGATCAATAGACTTCATTATCGGCTGAGAATAGCCACGTCTTGATTCCGTGATCTGTAGGCTCAAGAATTGAAAGAAAATGGCATTTCGGATAAATCACACGAAATCTGTGATGGACTCAAACATCGGAATAAATTGACCCGGAATAAATCCGCCCAAATCGGTGCTTAATGGACTCAAACATCGTTGGAGAATAGCCTCAGGCCGAATCCGTGATATGTAGCCTTCAATATCCAAAAAAAAGGCCTTTCGTCGCCCAAGAAATTACGAAAATGCCATCCGAAAAGAAATTGGCCCAAGTAGATGCTTAACGGACTTATCATCCATGGAGAATAGGATCAATAGACTTCATTATCGGTGGATAATAGCCTTGGCCTGATTCCGTGATCTGTAGCCTCCAGAATAGAAAGAAAAATGGCATTTCGGATAAATCGCCCGAAATCTGTGATGATACCCCTTTGGAATCTGCCAAAAATTGACCCGAAATAAATTCGCCTAAATCGGTGCTTAATGGACTCAATCATCGTTGGAGAATAGCCTCAGGCCGAATCCGTGATCTGTAGGCTTCAATATCCAAAGAAAATGGCCTTTCGTCGCCCAAGAAATTACGAAAATGTCATCCGAAAATAAATTGGCCCAAATCGATGCTTAACGGACTTATCTTCCACGGAGAATAGGATCAATAGACTTCATCATCGGTGGAGAATAGCCTCGGCCTGATTCCGTGATCTGTAGACTCCAGAATCGAAAGAAAATGGCATTTTGGATAAATCGCCCAAAATCTGTGATGGTTCCGCTTTGGAATCTGCCAAAAATTGACCCGGAAGAAATCCCCCAAAATCGGTGCTTAATGGCCTCAATCATCGTTGGATAATAGCCTCAGGCTGAATCCGTGATCTGTAGCCTTCAATATCCAAAGAAAATGGCCTTTCCTCGCGCAAGAAATTACTAAAATGCCATCCGAAAATAAATTGGCCCAAATAGATGCTTAACGGACTTATCATCCATAGAGAATAGGATCAATAGACTTCATTATCGGTGGATAATAGCCTTGGCCTGATTCCGTGATCTGTAGCCTCCGGAATAGAAAGAAAATGGCATTTCGGATAAATCGCCCGAAATCTGTGATGGTACCCCTTTGGAATCTGCCAAAAATTGACCCGGAATAAATCCGCCCAAATCGGTGCTTTATAGACTCAATCAATGTTGGAGAATAGCCTCAGGCCGAATCCGTGATCTATAGCCTTCAATATCCAAAGAAAATGGCCTTTCGTCGTCCAAGATATTACGAAATGCCATCCGAAAATAAATTGGCCCAAATCGATGCTTAACGGACTTATCATCCGTGGAGAATAGGATCAGTAGACTTCATTAACGATGGAGAATAGCTTCGGCCAGATTCCGTGATCTGTAGCCTCCTGAATAGAAAGAAAATGGCATTTCGGATAAATCGGCCGAAATATTTGATGGTACCCCTTTGGAATCTGCAAAAAATTGACCCGAAATAATTCCGCCCAAATCGGTGCTTAATGGACTCAATCATCGTTGGAGAATAGCCTCAGGCCGAATCCGTGATCTGTAGCTTTCAATATCCAAAGAAAATGGCCTTTCGTCGTCCAAGAAATTACGAAATGCCATCCGAAAATAAATGGGCTCAAATCGATGCTTAACGGACTTTTCATCCGTGGAGAATAGGATCAATATACTTCATTATCGGTGGAGAATAGCCACGGCCTGATTTCGTTATCTGTAGCCTCCAGAATCGAAAGAAAATGGCATTTCGGATAAATTGCTCGAAATCTGTGACGGTACCCCTTTGGAATCTGCCAAAAATTGACCCGGAATAAATCCGCCCAAACCGGTGCTTAATGGATTGAATCATCGTTGGAGTAGAGCCTAAGACTGATTACGTGATCTGTAGCCTTCAATATCCAAAGAAAATGGCCTTTCGTCGCCTAAGAAATTACGAAAATGCCATCCGAAAATAAATTGGCCCAAATCGATGCTTAACGGACTTATCATCCGTGGAGAATAGGATCAAAAGACTTCATTATCGGTTGAGAATAGTCACGTCCTGATTCCGTGATCTGTAGGCTCCAGAATCGAAAGAAAATGGCATTTCGGATAAATTGCCCGAAATCTGTGATGGTACCCCTTTGGAATCTGCCAAAAATTGACCCGTAATAAATCCGCCCAAATCGGTGCTTAATGGACTCAAACATCGTTGGAGAATAGCCTCAGGCCGAATCCGTGATATGTAGCCTTCAATATCCAAAGAAAAAGGCCTTTCGTCGCCCAAGAAATTACGAAAATGCCATACGAAAATAAATTAGCCCAAATCGATGCTTAACAGGCTTATCATCCGTGGAGAATAGGATCAATAGACTTCATTATCGGTGGAGAATAGCCTTGGCCTGATTCCATGATCTGTAGCCTCCAGAATAGAAAGAAAATGGCATTTTGGATAAATCGCCCGAAATCTGTGATGGTACCCCTTTGGAATATGCCAAAAAATGACCCGGAGTAAATCCACCCAAATCGGTGCTTAATGGACTCAATCATTGTTGGAGAATAGCCTCAGGCCAAATCCGTGATCTGTAGCCTTCAATATCCATAGAAAATGGCCTTTCGTCGCAAAAGAAATTACGAAAATGCCATCCGAAAATAAATTGGTCCAAATCGATGCTTAACGGACTTATCATCCGTGGAGAATAGGATCAAAAGACTTCATTATCGGTTGAGAATAGTCACGTCCTGATTCCGTGATCTGTAGGCTCCAGAATCGAAAGAAAATGGCATTTCGGATAAATCGCCCGAAATCTGTGATGGTACCCCTTTGGAATCTGCCAAAAATTGACCCGGAATAAATCTGCCCAAATCGGTGCTTAATGGAATCAATCATCGTTGGAGAATAGCCTCAGGCCGAATCCGTGATCTGTAGGCTTCAATATCCAAAGAAAATGGCCTTTCGTCGCCTAAGAAATTACGAAAATGCCATCCGAAAATAAATTGGCCCAAATCGATGCTTAATGGACTTATCATCCGTGGAGAATATGATCAATAGACTTCATTATCGGTGGAGAATAGCCTCGGCCTGATTCCGTGATCTGTAGCCTCCAGAATAGAAAGAAAATGGCATTTCGGATAAATCACCCGAAATCTGTGATGGTACCCCTTTGGAATCTGCCAAAAATTGACCCGGAGTAAATCCGCCCAAATCGGTGCTTAATGGACTCAATCATCGTTGGACAATAGCCTCAGGCCGAATCAGTGATCTGTAGCCTTTAATATCCATAGAAAATGGCTTTTCGTTGCCCAAGAAATTACGAAAATGCCATCCGAAAATAAATTGGCCCAAATCGATGCTTAACGGACTTATCATCCGTGGAGAATAGGATCAATAGACTTCATTATCGGTTGAGAATAGCCACGTCCTGATTCCGTGATCTGTAGGCTCCAGAATCGAAAGAAAATGGCATTTCGGATAAATCGCCAGAAATCTGTGATGGTACCCCTTTGGAATCTGCCAAAAATTTAACAGGAATAAATCCGCCCGAATCGGTGCTTAATGGACACAATCATCGTTGGAGAATAGCCTCAGGCCAAATCCGTGATCTGTAGCCTTCAATATCCAAAGAAAATGGCCCCTCGTCGCCCAAGAAATTACGAAAATGTCATCCGAAAATTAATTGGCCTAAATCGATGCTTAATGGACTTATCATCCGTGGAGAATATGATCAATAGACTTCAATATCGGTGGAGAATAGCCTCGACCTGATTGCGTGATCTGTTGCCTCAATAATCGAAAGAAAATGGCATTTCGTATAAATCGCCCGAAGTCTGCGATGGTACCCCTTTGGAATCTGCCAAAAATTGACTCGGAATAAATCCGCCTAAATTGGTGCTTAATGGACTCAATCATCGTTGGACAATAGCCTCAGGCCGAATCCGTGATCTGTAGCCTTTAATATCCATAGAAAATGCCCTTTCGTCGCCCAACAAATTATGAAAATGCCATCCGAAAATAAATCGGCCAAAATCGATGCTTAACGGACTTATCATCCGTGGAGAATAGGATCAATAGACTTCATTATCGGCTGAGAATAGCCACGTCTTGATTCCGTGATCTGTAGGCTCAAGAATCGAAAGAAAATGGCATTTCGGATAAATCACACGAAATCTGTGATGGACTCAAACATCGGAATAAATTGACCCGGAATAAATCCGCCCAAATCGGTGCTTAATGGACTCAAACATCGTTGGAGAATAGCCTCAGGCCGAATCCGTGATATGTAGCCTTCAATATCCAAAGAAAAAGGCCTTTCGTCGCCCAAGAAATTACGAAAATGCCATCCGAAAAGAAATTGGCCCAAGTAGATGCTTAACGGACTTATCATCCATGGAGAATAGGATCAATAGACTTCATTATCGGTGGATAATAGCCTTGGCCTGATTCCGTGATCTGTAGCCTCCAGAATAGAAAGAAAAATGGCATTTCGGATAAATCGCCCGAAATCTGTGATGGTACCCCTTTGGAATCTGCCAAAAATTGACCCGAAATAAATCCGCCTAAATCGGTGCTTAATGGACTCAATCATCGTTGGAGAATAGCTTCAGGCCGAATCCGTGATCTGTAGGCTTCAATATCCAAAGAAAATGGCCTTTCGTCGCCCAAGAAATTACGAAAATGTCATCCGAAAATAAATTGGCCCAAATCGATGCTTAACGGACTTATCTTCCGCGGAGAATAGGATCAATAGACTTCATCATCGGTGGAGAATAGCCTCGGCCTGATTCCGTGATCTGTAGACTCCAGAATCGAAAGAAAATGGCATTTTGGATAAATCGCCCAAAATCTGTGATGGTTCCGCTTTGGAATCTGCCAAAAATTGACCCGGAAGAAATCCCCCAAAATCGGTGCTTAATGGCCTCAATCATCGTTGTATAATAGCCTCAGGCTGAATCCGTGATCTGTAGCCTTCAATATCCAAAGAAAATGGCCTTTCCTCGCGCAAGAAATTACTAAAATGCCATCCGAAAATAAATTGGCCCAAATAGATGCTTAACGGACTTATCATCCATAGAGAATAGGATCAATAGACTTCATTATCGGTGGATAATAGCCTTGGCCTGATTCCGTGATCTGTAGCCTCCGGAATAGAAAGAAAATGGCATTTCGGATAAATCGCCCGAAATCTGTGATGGTACCCCTTTGGAATCTGCCAAAAATTGACCCGGAATAAATCCGCCCAAATCGGTGCTTTATAGACTCAATCATTGTTGGAGAATAGCCTCAGGCCGAATCCGTGATCTATAGCCTTCAATATCCAAAGAAAATGGCCTTTCGTCGTCCAAGATATTACGAAATGCCATCCGAAAATAAATTGGCCCAAATCGATGCTTAACGGACTTATCATCCGTGGAGAATAGGATCAGTAGACTTCATTAACGATGGAGAATAGCTTCGGCCAGATTCCGTGATCTGTAGCCTCCTGAATAGAAAGAAAATGGCATTTCGGATAAATCGGCCGAAATATTTGATGGTACCCCTTTGGAATCTGCAAAAAATTGACCCGAAATAATTCCGCCCAAATCGGTGCTTAATGGACTCAATCATCGTTGGAGAATAGCCTCAGGCCGAATCCGTGATCTGTAGCTTTCAATATCCAAAGAAAATGGCCTTTCGTCGTCCAAGAAATTACGAAATGCCATCCGAAAATAAATGGGCTCAAATCGATGCTTAACGGACTTTTCATCCGTGGAGAATAGGATCAATATACTTCATTATCGGTGGAGAATAGCCACGGCCTGATTCCGTTATCTGTAGCCTCCAGAATCGAAAGAAAATGGCATTTCGGATAAATTGCTCGAAATCTGTGACGGTACCCCTTTGGAATCTGCCAAAAATTGACCCGGAATAAATCCGCCCAAACCGGTGCTTAATGGATTGAATCATCGTTGGAGTAGAGCCTAAGACTGATTACGTGATCTGTAGCCTTCAATATCCAAAGAAAATGGCCTTTCGTCGCCCAAGAAATTACGAAAATGCCATTCGAAAATAAATTGGACCAAATCGATGCTTAACGCACTTATCATCCGTGGAGAATAGTATCAATAGACGTCATTATCGGTGGAGAATAGCCTCTGCCTGATTCCGTGATCTGTAGCCTCCAGAATCGAAAGAAAATGTCATTTCGGATAAATCGCCCGAAATCTGTGATGGTACCCCTTTGGAATCTGCCAAAAATTGACCCGGAATAAATCCGCCCAAATCGGTGCTTAATGGACTCAATCATCGTTGGAGAATAGCCTCAGGCCAAATCCGTGATCTGTAGCCTTCAATATCCAAAGAAAATTGTCTTTCGTCGCCCAAAAAATATCGAAAATTCCATCCGAAAATAAATTGGCCCAAATCGATGCTTAAAGGACTTATCATCCGTGGAGAATAGGATCAATAAACTTCATTATCGGTTGAGAATAGCCTCGGCCTGATTCCGTAATCTGTAGCCTCCAGAATCGAAAGAAAATGGCATTTCGGATAAATCGCCCGAAATCTGTGATGGTACCCCTTTGAAATCTGCCAAAAATTGACCCGGAATAAATCCGCCCAAATCGGTGCTTAATGGACTCATTCATCGTTGGAGAATAGCCTCAGGCCGAATCCGTGATCTGTAGCCTTCAATATCCAAAGAAAATGGCATTTCGTCGCCCAAGAAATTACGAAAATGCCATCCGAAAATAAATTGACCCAAATCGATGCTTAAAGGACTTATCATCCGTGGAGAATAGGATCAATAGACTTCATCATCGGTGGAGAATAGCCTCGGCCTGATTCCGTGATCTGTAGACTCCAGAATCGAAAGAAAATGGCATTTTGGATAAATCGCCCAAAATCTGTGATGGTTCCGCTTTGGAATCTGCCAAAAATTGACCCGGAATAAATCCGCCAAAATCGGTGCTTAATGGATTCAATCATCGTTGGAGAATAGCCTCTGGCCGAATCCGTGATCTGTAGCCTTCAATATCCAAAGAAAATGGCCTTTCGTCCCCTAAGGAAGTACGAAAATGTCGTCCGAAAATAAATTGGCCCAAATCGATGCTTAACGGACTTATCATCCGTGGAGAATAGGATGAATAAACTTCATTATCGGTGGAGAATAGCCTCGGCCTGATTCCGTGATCAGTAGACTCCAGAATCGAAAGAAAATGGCATTTCGGATAAATCGCCCGAAATCTGTGATGGTACACCTTTAGAATCTGCCTAAATTGACCCGGAATAAATTCGCCCAAATCGGTGCTTAATGGACTCAATCATCGTTGGAGAATAGCCTCAGACCGAATCCGTGATATGTAGCCTCCAATATCCAAAGAAAATGGCATTTCGTCGCCCAAAAAATTACGAAAATGCCATCCGAAAATAAATTGGCCCAAATCGAGGCTTAACAAACTTATCATCCGTGGTGAATAGGATCAATAAACTTCATTATCGGTGGAGAATAGCCTCGGCTTGATTCCGTGATCTATAACCTCCAGAATAGAAAGAAAATGGCATTTCGGATAAATCGCCCGAAATCTGTGATGGTACCCCTTTGGAATCTGCCAAAAATTGACTCTGAATAAATCCGCTCAAACCGGTACTTAATGAAATCAATCATCGTTGGAGAATAGCCGTAGGCCGAATCCGTGATCTGTAGCCTTCAATATCCAAAGGAAATGGCCTTTCGTCGTCCAAGAAATTACGAAAATGCCATCCGAAAATAAATTGGCCCAAATCGATGGTTAACAGACTTATCATCCGTGGAGAATAGGATCAATAGACTTCATTATCGGTGGAGAATAGCCTCGGCCTAATTCCGTGATCTATAGTCTCCAGAATCTAAAGAAAATGGCATTTCGGATAAATCGCAAGAAATCTGTGATGGTACCCGTTTGAAATCTACCAAAATTGACCCGGAATAAATCCGCAAAAATCGGTGCTTAATGGACTCAATCATCGTTGGAGAATAGCCTCAGGCTGAATCCGTGATCTGTAGCCTTCAATATCCAAAGAAAATGGCCTTTCGTCGTCCAAGAAATTACGAAAATGCCATCCGAAAATAAATTGACCCAAATCGATGCTTAACGGACTTATCATCCATGGCGAATAGGATCAATAGACTTCATTATCAGTGGAGAATAGCCTCGGCCAGATTCGGTGATCTATAGCCTCCAGAATTGAAAGAAAATGGCATTTTGAATAAATCGCCCGAAATCTGTGATGGTACCCCTTTGGAATCTGACAAAATTGACCCGGAATAAATCCGCCCAAATCCGTGCTTAATCGACTCAATCAGTGTTGGAGAATAGCCTCAGGCCGAATCCGTGATCTGTAGCCTTCAATATCCAAAGAAAATGGCCTTTCGTAGCCCAAGAAAGTACGAAAATGCCATCCGAAAATAAATTGGCCCAAATCGATGCTTAACGGACTTATCATCCGTGGAGAATAGGATCAATAGACTTCATCATCGGTGGAGAATAGCCTCGGCCTGATTCCGTGATCTGTAGACTCCAGAATCAAAAGAAAATGGCATTTCGGATAAATCGCCCAAAATCTGTGATGGTACCCCTTTGGAATCTGCCAAAAATTGACCCGGAATAAATCCGCCAATATCGGTGCTTAATGGACTCAATCATCGTTGGAGAATAGCCTCAGGCTGAATCCGTGATCTGTAGCCTTCAATATCCAAAGAAAATTGCCTTTCGTCGTCCAAGAAATTACGAAAATGCCATCCGAAAATAACTTGACCCAAATCGATGCTTAACGAACTTATCATCCATGGAGAATAGGATCAATAGACTTCATTATCGGTGGAGAATAGCCTCGACCAAATTCCGTGATCTATAGCCTCCAGAATCGAAAAAAATGGCATTTCGGATAAATCCCTTGTAATCTGTGATGGTACCCCTTAGGAATCTGCCAAAAATTGACCCGGAATAAATCCTGCCAAATCCGTGCTTAATCGACTCAATCATCGTTGGAGAATAGCCTCAGGCCGAATCCATGATCTGTAGCCTTCAATATCCAAAGAAAATGGCCTTTGGTCGCCCAAGAAATTACGAAAATGCCATCCGAAAATACATTGGCCCAAATCGATGCTTAACAGACTTATCATCCGTGGAGAATAGGATCAATAGACTTCATTATCGGTGGAGAATAGCCTCGTCCAGATTCCTTGATCTATAGCCTCCAGAATCGAAAGAAAATGGCATTTCGAATAAATCGCCCGAAATCTGTGATGGTACCCCTTCGGAATCTGCCGAAAATTGACCCGGAATAAATCCGCCCAAATCCGGGCTTAATCGACTCAATCAGCATTGGAGAATAGCCTCAGGCCGAATCCGTGATCTGTAGCCTTCAATATCCAAAGAAATGGCCTTTCGTCGCCTAAGAAATTACGAAAATGCCATCCGAAAAGAAATTGGTCCAAATCGATGCTTAACGGATTTATCATCCGTGGAGAATAGGATCAATTGACTTCATTATCGGTGGAGAATAGCCTCGGCCGGATTCCGTGATCTGGAGACTCCAGAAAATCGAAAGAAAATGGCATTTCGGATAAATCGCCCGAAATCTGTGATGGTACCCCTTTGGAATCTGCCAAAATTGACCCGGAATAAATCCGCCCAAATCGGTGATTAATGGACTCAATCATCGTTGGAGAATAGCCTCAGACCGATTCCGTGATATGTAGCCTTCAATATCCAAAGAAAATGGCCTTTCTTTGCCCAAGAAAGTACGAAAATGTCGTCCGAAAATAAATTGGCCCAAATCGATGCTTAACGGACTTATCATCCGTGGAGAATAGGATGAATAAACTTCATTATCGGTGGAGAATAGCCTCGGCCTGATTCCGTGATCTGTAGACTCCAGAATCGAAAGAAAATGGCATTTCGGATAAATCTCCCGCTCGATGTGGGCAAGAGTCACGCCCTGCTGAGTCTGGATCGTGTCCATCCTGGTCCGGTACTCGGCCTGGTCGGCCGCATACTGCTGATGGAACTGCATCTGGTGATCGAGGAGCAGCTGGTTCTGGATCCTCAGCTGCTCGAACTGCTGGGCGAAGTAATCCTGGCCCTGGAAAGCGGAGCTGCTACCCCCGAAATGGAAGTCAGTCTGTGGGGGATTATCAGCAGCATCAGCAGCGGCATCCACCTCCTCGGGATCCACCTCATCGGCAGCCTCCTCCTCCTCTGGTACGGGCTCCGCGGGGATCGGAGGCTCCGGAAACCCATCGACCCATTGAACACCGTTCCTCTCCCGCAACAGCAGCATCTTCCTGATCGTCGTGCGGCCAAAGATGAGGGTGTCCCCCTCCTCGGTGCACCCCTGCAGTGAAAGGCCAAAGAAGGTGGCCAGGCGGGTGATGAGGGGGGCGCAGTGGAGGCTCTTCAGCTCTGTGGCCGTCTTCTCGAAGGTCTTGGCCACCACTGAACCCAGGTGGAGAGGATGGCGGCGCTGGCGGATCGAATGGAGGAAGTACAGGGACCTCTTCGTGATGGCGCCGGCGCTGTCAGCTGCAGGAGTGTAAGACTTCGTCAGCAGGTGGTGGAGAAGTCGGTTGTCGATCTGCAGGGTAGAGGCCTTCGTCCTCCCTGACCGGAAGGGACGCGTCTGGCCTGGCCGAGCCAGGCTGGTGTACAGCCTCCCGAAGTCCACCGCCGGTGGCTCATTCACCTCGGTGACGTAGTCCTCACGGTCGTCGAGGTCGAGGTCGAGAGCCTCGGCCAGCTCGTGGTAGCTCAAGGACCGGGGGACCCCGCCCAGCCTGAATTGGACGGCCGTACCGTCCTGCCAGTTGTCCGTGGTATTGTGCTTGAAGGTCGTGTAGAACTCCCACACCGGCTCGTAGTAGACCTTCTCGCAGAGCTGGAGCAGACGGCGCCAGGCGGTGTTGGCGACCGCGGCGGAGAGCTGCTCGTAGCAGTGCAATCGCCGAAACTCCCGTTTGGACCAGCAATGGTGTGACCCAAACGGGGTTTCCGCGACCTCCTTGAAGCGCTCTGCGGTGGGTCCCCTCCTCAGATCCCGGATGAACGGGTGCTGGAAATTAGGTTTCGCCATTGCCCTGCAAAACAACAACCCAAAGTGGAACCCAAAAGAGCCAAAGAAAAAGGTCAAGCGCACCCCCACACTTAAGAACAGAAAACAGCCTAGCCATGGTTTCATCCATAGTTCGGGGGTCAAAATCTCGATAAATCAAGCAGAATCAGGGTGGGGGTGCACATTCACAAGAAAATAGGCAACTCAAAGTTCACATCCATAGCAAATACACCCTCAAACTACATCATTAAGGGCCCCAACCGGTGGCCACAACCGAGCATGGAAAACAGGCATTTCAGCGAACACCTTGTGTGCACTACTAAGTTAAACATGAAATTGGCCAAATTCTTGCACACAAGGGCTTAAACAATCAAAGGGGACTTTGCCCAACATAATTCAATCACATCCCATGCATTCCCCTCAATCAATTTCATAAGATTCACATGATTCAATAAGGTTCTCTAAACATACACCCTACACACTCAATTCTCCACAATTAACATAGTTAGGGGTAAAATCAAACCTGGAGACTCAAGTAGAGGTGTAGGGAATGATGAGGGGAAGACAATGGAAGTGACGAAACGCCGAAAAACTGGCCGGAAATGCTCGTCGGAGTCTCGCCGGAGTCTCGCCGGAATTCTCCTCCGGCGACTAAAACGTCGCCCAAACTCGCTCAAAATCGAGGGATAGGCCGCTTTGGGTGTAGAAAGAGTGGGTTTGTAGTTGGTTTGGTGAAAAAATTACCCAAAGTGGCCGAAAAAATCGAAAAAAGGTGGGTTTTGCGCGGTTTTCTGGCGAGGGCAGAGGATTCCGGCGAGTGGTTTTGGTTTTCTGACCACAATGGCCGTGCAGGCGCCAAAAACTTGACACGCCAAAACACAACACCAATCTGCGACCAAGTGTAATCGCAGACCGGGAATGCAGTAACAGGCAAGTTATATTATCAACCCGGGGTCTAGATCTACTGCTTACTCAGTGATTCTCTGTTATCTAGCCAACTAGAGTAAGTGATTGTTGTTTAAACTAAAAGCAGAAATAAAGCAGGAAATTATTCGGTTTTCTTAAGCAGGAAAGAGTCACTCGGGAATGAATCCCCCTAGCTCTTTAGTTAGGTTTCAATTGCAATTTACCCTGGGTTGATTTACTGTTGATTAGACTGCGGAAGATCCGACAGTAGCTTGGAATCTCTTAAGCTGACCAAGCCCTCTCAGTCTAACTATCCGGCAGACGACTAGTCTTCACCGGGATAGAAAGCTGAGGCTATGAACACAGAACTCCACTACTGGCGCCAAGAACACCAGTACAAAGCAGTAAACTGGCTAACTCTCGTATAGCCAACCTCCTACTATCGAATGAAGAGGCTCTAACAACCTAATCAGATTCTATCTATCTCAGGTTGAAGCAGAAATTGAGACAAGCTGATCAGACTCAAATCAATTCATGAAACATGCATCATTCGATTAAAATCAAACAGTAGTATCATCCCAAGTCATTACAATCAATCCCTAACACATAGAACTAGGGTTCTTCATCCCCAAGTGAGAGAAGGGTTCTACTCCATAGAGAGAGAAGAGAAAACAAGAATCGGATTAGTCATACTCATAACGATGAGGATAATCTGCTCCGGGACGATGATTTTCACTCCTATGACGATCTCCAGGCTCAATTCGATGAAATCCAGCTCTAAGACAGCTTCTAGGATGTGTTCTTCGTACTTTCTCTCTCTAGGGCTCTGTTTTTGCTCTGAAAAACACTCTTTTTTCACTTCTGGCTCGGATTAGGCTTTAAAACCGGGTTTTCCCGAGTTGCACGGCCAGGGTGCACGGCCGTGCACCTCACCATTCTGGCCGTGCACCATGAAACGCAGCGTATCCCTTAAGTCGAACTCAGGCCTCTTGCACGGCCAGGTGCACGGCCGTGCAATCTTCAGGGCCTGCCCGTGCAGCTCCTCGACATGAGGCGCACGGCCAGCTTGCAACCGTGCACGGCCGTGCAGCCCCTCTGGTCTGCCCGTGCAGCTCCCAAAAACCTCGCCACTCGTCCGTTCTTCGTCCAATCGACCCCAGACTCGCTCCTAAGCCTTCATTCACGTACTAGGACCTGAAATATCACAAACAAGCACAACCTAGCGTGAAATCGGCCTAAAACACGAGAATCAACACCTCAAACGGTGTAAGAACGGGGGTAAAAACATGTGTAAATGACGGTCTATCAAACTCCCCCACACTTAACCGTTTGCTTGTCCCCAAGCAAACCAAGTCAGACACTAGGTAAGCTTACATATTTCAATCAACCAACATTGGGGACAAGTCATAAAGGCACAGAACACGTGAATCGCACTGGTTTTCAACCATCAATACATGCACAACCTCAATAACAACCTGGACAACCACCACAAAGGACATTCGAGTGCAGCAAATCGAGTAAAGGAAGAGTCTCCCGTCTGTTCACTGGCCAACCTAGACTTGATTCAACCACTTACTCAAAACAGTCAACTCATGCATTCAGCTCAAGACATCAGAATAGAGACCGAGCAATCTAGGTCCTCACCGGGGTACAAGAGCATATAGAAAATGAAAATGAATCACTCACTCTCGACCAGTGGGGTCAGGACAATTTGATGCGAAAGATGCGCATGCTATTTCTCTCAATCCCTATCATCTCTTCACCATGATGGCAGCCTCTAAATGCTAGAGTTCACATATGGGGTGTCACCACTAGCTAATCAGGAGGTCTTAGACACAGGTTCAAATGACTGGCTAGGGTCTTGGACATGGGGAAAAGGCCTTTTAGGTGGTGGACGTATTCATAGCAAAAGGTTCCACATTTTCCAAACACACAATCACAGTCAAACAAACCGGTATTTTCCTTCTGCTATTCTGCATTACTCAATATCTTAAGAACACAAGAGCGAAGGAGGCATAAACATCAGCATTTCCAAGCCAAACTGCTAAGAAACACTACTTGCTGGGCATTATTCAGATTTTTTGGTAGTGGCTCTCTTTGCTTTCAATTTTTTTTCTTTGTTTCTCTTTCATTTTCTTTTCATTTCTTAAGAGAGCCACCACTCCTGCACATATTTCAAACATCCGCCCAACTTTTAAGCACTACCTCCAACACTCACATAGACTTTAGCAGAAACAGCAGAGAATATATAAAAACCACTCTGTGAAACCTTCTAAAAGATGCAACAAGGGTGATTTCTTTTCATTATAGACCAAAAGAAAGGATAACACACGGCTCAAAGGGGCTGACTAGGGGATATGACACATCAGGACAGTCAGTTTTGGGCGTGGGCTAATCCTATGCCCCCATCATCTCAGCTAGTGACAACGTGAATGCTACACATCATGGAAGAGGGATCTATCGCACAAGAAAGAAACGAGCAGGCTCAAATCTCACATGGCTACCTATATGCTCTATCTCATATTCTGCTACCCTGAACTAGATGCATAAACGACTGTTAAGAACAAGTAATCAGATCAAGTCAGATCAAGTCACAGTTGGCAAGCAAACAGTTGGAAAACTGAACCTCTACATCGTTCTACTGCACATCTCAGTCCTCATCATAGGTTGTCCTAGTCGCAAACAAGTTGTCATGCATTAATCCGAAAACCAATCAATTCATCCATCAAAACACAGTGCCAATATGATCAAACAGCAGTACTTGGAGCCCTCAAATCGTAAGATTCGGACAGCGGACTAGGCTCCAAGCACCATCATACATATTCCAACCGATACAAAGCATCCCCCCACACTTAAGAACGACATTGCCCTCAATGGAGCAGAGGGAAAGATAAGGGGAACGATGTTACCAGGTAGGAACACTGCTGGGGGACTGGAAGTGGACCAGTCAGCGAGAAACGAACGGGGGAGTGGACAATGCTGCACAAATCGAACACCAGAAACACACTAGCACACTGTGCGTTAGGGATAAGTGTTAGCCCAGACGGCTACATCAAACCACAAAGGAAAAACCAAAAACAAAAACAAACGACACTAAGTTCAAGCTCCGCACACATGGAGCAAACACACAAAAGTCTAAAATGAAAAAGAAAACACACTGAGACGGGCAACGAGTACAGCCTACTCGTCGCCAAGATCGTCGAGGTCGATGTCGTTCATGAACGCGTCATCATCCGCAGCGCCAGTAGCACCGTCATGTGGAGGGGAGTCATCCCAGGGAGTCCTCCAGACAGGTGGCTCGCCCGGGAGCAGCTGGAGCAGGTGCTGCTGGACCTCCTGCATGCGCCGGGAACGGCGCTTCTCCCGCTCGATGTGGGCAAGAGTCACGCCCTGCTGAGTCTGGATCGTGTCCATCCTGGTCCGGTACTCGGCCTGGTCGGCCGCATACTGCTGATGGAACTGCATCTGGTGATCGAGGAGCAGCTGGTTCTGGATCCTCAGCTGCTCGAACTGCTGGGCGAAGTAATCCTGGCCCTGGAAAGCGGAGCTGCTACCCCCGAAATGGAAGTCAGTCTGTGGGGGATTATCAGCAGCATCAGCAGCGGCATCCACCTCCTCGGGATCCACCTCATCGGCAGCCTCCTCCTCCTCTGGTACGGGCTCCGCGGGGATCGGAGGCTCCGGAAACCCATCGACCCATTGAACACCGTTCCTCTCCCGCAACAGCAGCATCTTCCTGATCGTCGTGCGGCCAAAGATGAGGGTGTCCCCCTCCTCGGTGCACCCCTGCAGTGAAAGGCCAAAGAAGGTGGCCAGGCGGGTGATGAGGGGGGCGCAGTGGAGGCTCTTCAGCTCTGTGGCCGTCTTCTCGAAGGTCTTGGCCACCACTGAACCCAGGTGGAGAGGATGGCGGCGCTGGCGGATCGAATGGAGGAAGTACAGGGACCTCTTCGTGATGGCGCCGGCGCTGTCAGCTGCAGGAGTGTAAGACTTCGTCAGCAGGTGGTGGAGAAGTCGGTTGTCGATCTGCAGGGTAGAGGCCTTCGTCCTCCCTGACCGGAAGGGACGCGTCTGGCCTGGCCGAGCCAGGCTGGTGTACAGCCTCCCGAAGTCCACCGCCGGTGGTTCATTCACCTCGGTGACGTAGTCCTCACGGTCGTCGAGGTCGAGGTCGAGAGCCTCGGCCAGCTCGTGGTAGCTCAAGGACCGGGGGACCCCGCCCAGCCTGAATTGGACGGCCGTACCGTCCTGCCAGTTGTCCGTGGTATTGTGCTTGAAGGTCGTGTAGAACTCCCACACCGGCTCGTAGTAGACCTTCTCGCAGAGCTGGAGCAGACGGCGCCAGGCGGTGTTGGCGACCGCGGCGGAGAGCTGCTCGTAGCAGTGCAATCGCCGAAACTCCCGTTTGGACCAGCAATGGTGTGACCCAAACGGGGTTTCCGCGACCTCCTTGAAGCGCTCTGCGGTGGGTCCCCTCCTCAGATCCCGGATGAACGGGTGCTGGAAATTAGGTTTCGCCATTGCCCTGCAAAACAACAACCCAAAGTGGAACCCAAAAGAGCCAAAGAAAAAGGTCAAGCGCACCCCCACACTTAAGAACAGAAAACAGCCTAGCCATGGTTTCATCCATAGTTCGGGGGTCAAAATCTCGATAAATCAAGCAGAATCAGGGTGGGGGTGCACATTCACAAGAAAATAGGCAACTCAAAGTTCACATCCATAGCAAATACACCCTCAAACTACATCATTAAGGGCCCCAACCGGTGGCCACAACCGAGCATGGAAAACAGGCATTTCAGCGAACACCTTGTGTGCACTACTAAGTTAAACATGAAATTGGCCAAATTCTTGCACACAAGGGCTTAAACAATCAAAGGGGACTTTGCCCAACATAATTCAATCACATCCCATGCATTCCCCTCAATCAATTTCATAAGATTCACATGATTCAATAAGGTTCTCTAAACATACACCCTACACACTCAATTCTCCACAATTAACATAGTTAGGGGTAAAATCAAACCTGGAGACTCAAGTAGAGGTGTAGGGAATGATGAGGGGAAGACAATGGAAGTGACGAAACGCCGAAAAACTGGCCGGAAATGCTCGTCGGAGTCTCGCCGGAGTCTCGCCGGAATTCTCCTCCGGCGACTAAAACGTCGCCCAAACTCGCTCAAAATCGAGGGATAGGCCGCTTTGGGTGTAGAAAGAGTGGGTTTGTAGTTGGTTTGGTGAAAAAATTACCCAAAGTGGCCGAAAAAATCGAAAAAAGGTGGGTTTTGCGCGGTTTTCTGGCGAGGGCAGAGGATTCCGGCGAGTGGTTTTGGTTTTCTGACCACAATGGCCGTGCAGGCGCCAAAAACTTGACACGCCAAAACACAACACCAATCTGCGACCAAGTGTAATCGCAGACCGGGAATGCAGTAACAGGCAAGTTATATTATCAACCCGGGGTCTAGATCTACTGCTTACTCAGTGATTCTCTGTTATCTAGCCAACTAGAGTAAGTGATTGTTGTTTAAACTAAAAGCAGAAATAAAGCAGGAAATTATTCGGTTTTCTTAAGCAGGAAAGAGTCACTCGGGAATGAATCCCCCTAGCTCTTTAGTTAGGTTTCAATTGCAATTTACCCTGGGTTGATTTACTGTTGATTAGACTGCGGAAGATCCGACAGTAGCTTGGAATCTCTTAAGCTGACCAAGCCCTCTCAGTCTAACTATCCGGCAGACGACTAGTCTTCACCGGGATAGAAAGCTGAGGCTATGAACACAGAACTCCACTACTGGCGCCAAGAACACCAGTACAAAGCAGTAAACTGGCTAACTCTCGTATAGCCAACCTCCTACTATCGAATGAAGAGGCTCTAACAACCTAATCAGATTCTATCTATCTCAGGTTGAAGCAGAAATTGAGACAAGCTGATCAGACTCAAATCAATTCATGAAACATGCATCATTCGATTAAAATCAAACAGTAGTATCATCCCAAGTCATTACAATCAATCCCTAACACATAGAACTAGGGTTCTTCATCCCCAAGTGAGAGAAGGGTTCTACTCCATAGAGAGAGAAGAGAAAACAAGAATCGGATTAGTCATACTCATAACGATGAGGATAATCTGCTCCGGGACGATGATTTTCACTCCTATGACGATCTCCAGGCTCAATTCGATGAAATCCAGCTCTAAGACAGCTTCTAGGATGTGTTCTTCGTACTTTCTCTCTCTAGGGCTCTGTTTTTGCTCTGAAAAACACTCTTTTTTCACTTCTGGCTCGGATTAGGCTTTAAAACCGGGTTTTCCCGAGTTGCACGGCCAGGGTGCACGGCCGTGCACCTCACCATTCTGGCCGTGCACCATGAAACGCAGCGTATCCCTTAAGTCGAACTCAGGCCTCTTGCACGGCCAGGTGCACGGCCGTGCAATCTTCAGGGCCTGCCCGTGCAGCTCCTCGACATGAGGCGCACGGCCAGCTTGCAACCGTGCACGGCCGTGCAGCCCCTCTGGTCTGCCCGTGCAGCTCCCAAAAACCTCGCCACTCGTCCGTTCTTCGTCCAATCGACCCCAGACTCGCTCCTAAGCCTTCATTCACGTACTAGGACCTGAAATATCACAAACAAGCACAACCTAGCGTGAAATCGGCCTAAAACACGAGAATCAACACCTCAAACGGTGTAAGAACGGGGGTAAAAACATGTGTAAATGACGGTCTATCACCATCCGAAAATAACTTGACCCAAATCGATGCTTAACGGACTTATCATCCGTGGAGAACAAAATCAATAGACGTCATTATCGGTGGTGAATAGCCTCCGCCTGATTCCGTGATCTGTAGCCCCCGGAATCGAAAGAAAATGGCATTTCATATATATCGCCCGAAATCTGTGATGGTACCCCTTTGAAATCTGCTAAAAATTGACCCGGAATAAATCCGCGCAAATCGGTGCTTAATGGACTCAATCATCGTTGGAGAATAGCCTCAGACCGAATCCGTGATCTGTAGCCTTCAATATACAAAGAAAATGGCCTTTCGTAGCCCAAGAAATTACGAAAATCCTATCTGAAAATAAATTGGGCCAAATCAATGCTTAACGGACTTATCATCCGTGGAGAATAGGATCAATAGACTTCATTATCAGTGTAGAATAGTCTCGGCCTGATTCTGTGATCTGTAGCCTCTAGAATCGAAAGAAAATAGCATTTTGGATAAATCGCCCGAAATCTGTGCAGGTACCCCTTTGAATCTGCCGAAAATTGACCCAGAATAAATCCGTCCAAATCGATGCTTAATGGAATCAATCATCGTTAGAAAATAGCCTCATGCCGAATCCATGATCTGTAATCTTCAATATCCAAAGAAAATGGCCTTTCGTCGCCCAAGAAATTACGAAAATCCCATCCGAAAATAAATTGGCCCAAATCGATGCTTAACGGACTTATCATCCGTGGAGAATAGGATCAATATACTTCATTATCGGTGGAGAATAGCCTCGGCCTGATTCCGTGATCTATAACCTCCAGAATCGAAAGAAAATGGCATTTCGGATAAATCGCCCAAAATATGTGATGGTACCCCTTAGGAATCTGCCAAAAATTGACTCTGAATAAATCCGATCAAATCGTTGCTTAATGGACTCAATCATTGTTGGATAATAGCCTAAGGCCGAATCCGTGATTTGTAGCCTTCAATATCCAATGAAAATGGCCTTTCGTCGTCCAAGAAATTACGAAAATGCCATCCGAAAATAAATTGACCCAAATCGATGCTTAACGGACTTATCATCCATGGAGAATAGGATCAATAGACTTCATTATCGGTAGAGAATAGCCTCGGCCAGATTCCGTGATCTATAGCCTCTAGAATCGAAAGAAAATGGCATTTCGAATAAATCGCCCGAAATATGTGATGGTACCCCTTTGGAATCTGCCAAAAATTAACCTGCAATAAATCCGCCCAAATCCGTGCTTAATCGACTCAATCAGCGTTGGAGAATAGCCTCAGGCCGAATCCGTGATCTGTAGCCTTCAATATCCAAAGAAAATGGCCTTTCGTCGCCCAAGAAATTACGAAAATGCCATCCGAAAATAAATTAGTCCAAATCGATGCTTAACGGACTTATCATCCGTGGAGAATAGTATCAATAGACGTCACTATCGGTGGTGAATAGCCTCTGCCTGATTCCGTGATCTGTAGCCTCCAGAATCGAATGAAAATGGCATTTCGGATAAATCACCCGAAATCCGTGATGGTACTCCTTTGGAATCTGCCAAAATTGACCCGGAATAAATCCGCCCAAATCGGTGCTTAATGTACTCAATCATCGTTGGAGAATAGCCTCAGACCGAATCCGTGATCTATAGCCTTCAATATCCAAAGAAAATGGCCTTTCGTCGCCCAAGAAATTAAGAAAATGCCATCCGAAAATAAATTGGCCCAAATCGATGATTAACGAACTTATCATCCGTAGAGAATAGGATAAATAAACTTCATTATCGGTGGAGAATAGCCTTGGCCTGATTCTGTGATCTGTAGCCTCCAGAATCGAAAGAAAATGACATTTCGGATAAATCGCCCGAAATCAGTGATGGTACCCCTTTGGAATCTACCAAAAATTAACCCGGAATAAATCCGCCCAAATTGGTGCTTAATGGACTCAATCATCATTGGAGAATAGTCGCAAGTCGAATCCGTGATCTGTAACCTTCAATATCCAAAGAAAATGGCCTTTCGTTGCCCAAGAAATTACGAAAATGCCATCCGAAAATAAATTGGCCTAAATCGATGCTTAACAGACTTATCATCCGTGGAGAATAGGATCAATTGACTTCATTATCGGTGGAGAATAGCCTCGGCTTGATTCCGTGATTTGTAGACTCCAGAATCGAAAGAAAATGGCATTTCGGATAAATCGCCCGAAATCTGTGATGGTACCCTGTTGGAATCTGCCAAAATTGACCCGGAATAAATCCGCCAAATCGGGGCTTAATGGACTCAATCATCGTTGGAGAATAGCCTCAGACCGAATCCGTGATCTGTAGCCTTCAATATCCAAAGAAAATGGCCTTTCGTCGCCCAAGAAATTACTAAAAATGCCATCCGAAAATAAATAGGCCCAAATCGATGTTCAACGAACTTATCATCCGTGGAGAATAGGATCAATAAACTTCATTATCAGTGGAGAATAACCTTGGCCTGATTCCGTTATCTGTAGCCTCTAGAATCGAAAGAAAATGGCTTTTCGGATAAATCGCATGAAATCTGTAATGGTACCCCTTTGGAATCTGCCAAAAATTTACCCGGAATATATCCGCCCAAATCGGTGCTTAATGGACTCAATCATTTTTGGAGAATAGCCTCAGGCCGAATCCGTGATCTGTAGCCTTCAATATCCAAAGAAAATGGCCTTTCGTCGCCCAAAAAATTACGAAAATGTAATCCGAAATTAAATTTGCCCAAATCGATGCTTAAAGGACTTATCAACCGTGGAGAATAGGATCAATAGACTTCATTATCGGTGGAGAATAGCCTCGGCCTGATTCTGTGATCTACAGCCTCCAGAATCGAAAGAAAATGGCATTTCGGATAAATCGCCCGAAATCTGTGATGGTACCCCTTTGAAATCTGCCAAAAATTGACCCGGAATAAATCCGCCCAATTCGTTGCTTAATGGACTCAATCAACGTTGGAGAATAGCCTCAGGATGAATCCGTGATCTGTAGCCTTCAATATCCAAAGAAAATAGCCTTTCGTCACCCAAGAAATTACGAAAATGCCATTCGAAAATAATTTAGCCCAAATCGTTGCTTAACGGAGTTATCATCCATGGAGAATAGGATCAATAGACGTCATTATCAGTGGAGAATAGCCTCGGCCTGATTCCGTGATCTGTAGCCTCTAGAATAGAAAGAAAATGGCATTTCGGATAAATCACCCAAAATCTGGGATGGTACCCCTTTGGAATCTGCCAAAAATTGACCCAGAATAAATCCGCCTAAATCGGGGCTTAATGGACTCAATCATCGTTGGAGAATAGCCTCAGGCCGAATCCGTGATCTGTAGCCTTCAATATCCAAAGTAAATGGCCTTTTGTCGCCCAAAAAATTACGAAAATGCCATCCGAAATTAAATTGGCCCAAATCGATGCTTAAAGGACTTATCATCCGTGGAGAATAGGATCAATAGACTTCATTATCGATGGAGAATAGCCTCGGCCTGATTCCGTGATCTGTAACCTCCAGAATCGAAAGAAAATGGTATTTCGGATAAATCACCAGAAATCTGTTATGGTACCCCTATGGAATCTGCCAATAATTGACCCGGAATAAATCCGCCCAAATCGGTGCTTAATGGACTCAATCATCATTGGAGAATAGCCGCAAGTCGAATCCGTGATCTGTAGCCTTCAATATCCAAAGAAAATGGCCTTTCTACGCCCAAGAAATTACGAAAATGCCATCCAAAAATAAATTGGCCCAAATCGATGCTTAACAGACTTATCATCCGTGGAGAATAGGATCAATAGACTTCATGATCGGTGGAAAATAGCCTCGGCCTGATTCCATGTTCTGTAGACTCCAGAATCGAAAGAAAATGGCATTTCGGATAAATCGCCCGATATCTGTGATGGTACCCCGTTGGAATCTGCCAAAATTGACCCGGAATAAGTCCGCCCAAATCGGGGCTTAATGGACTCAATCATCGTTGGAGAATAGCCTCAGACCGAATCAGTCATTTGTAGCCTTCAATATCCAAAGAAAATGGCCTTTCGTCGCCCAAGAAATTACGAAAATGCCATCTGAAAATAAATTGGCCCAAATCGATGCTTATCGAACTTATCATCCGTGGAGAATAGGATCAATAAACTTCATTATCGGTGGAGAATAGCCTTGGCCTGATTCCGTGATCTGTAGCCTCCAGAATCGAAAGAAAATGGCATTTCGGATAAATCGCCCAAAATCTGTGATCGTACCCCTTTGGAATCTGCCAAAAATTAACACGGAATAAATCCGCCCTAATCGGGGCTAAAATGGACTCTATCATCGTTGGAGAATAGCCTCAGGCCGAATCCGTGATCTATAGCCTTCAATATACAAAGAAAATTGCCTTTCGTCACCCATGAAATTACGAAAATGCCATCTGAAAATAAATTGGCCCAAATCGATGCTTAACGGACTTATCATCCGTGGAGAATAGGATCAATATACTTCATTATCGGTGGAGAATAGCCTCGGCCTGATTCTGTGATCTGTAGCCTCCAGAATTGAAAGAAAATGGCATTTCAGATAAATTGCCCGAAATTTGTGATGGTACCCCTTTGGACTCTCCCAAAAATTGACACAGAATAAATCCGCCCAAATCGGGGCTTAATGGACTCAATCATCGTTGGAGAATAGCCTCAGGCCGAATTCGTGATCTGTACCCTTCAATATCCAAAGTAAATGGCCTTTCGTCGCCCAAGAAATTACGAAAATGCCATTCAAAAATAAATTGGCCCAAATCGATGCTTAACGGACTTATCATCCGTGGAGAATAGTATCAATAGACGTCACTATCTGTGGTGAATAGCCTCTGTCTGATTCCGTGATCGTTAGCCCCCGGAATCGAAAGAAAATGGCATTTCGGATAAATCACCCGAAATCTATGATGGTACCCCCTTTGGAATCTGCCAAAAATTGACCCAGAATAAATCCTCCCAAATTGGGGCTTTATGGATTCAATCATCGTTGGAGAATAGCCTCAGGCCAAATCCGTGATCTGTAGCCTTCAATATCCAAAGAAAATAGCCTTTCGTCGCCCAAGAAATTTCGAAAATGCCATCCGAAAATAAATTGGCCCAAATAGATGCTTAACGGATTTATCATCCGTGGAGAATAGGATCAATAGACTTCATTATCGGTGGAGAATAGCTTCGGCCTGATTCCGTGATCCGTAGACTCCAGAATCGAAAAAAATGGCATTTCGGATAAATCACCCGAAATCCGTGATGGTACTCCTTTGGAATCTGCCAAAATTGACCCGGAATAAATCCGCCCAAATCGTTGCTTAATGGACTCAATCATCGTTGGAGAATAGCCTCAGACCGAATCCTTGATCTATAGCCTTCAATATCCAAAGAAAATGGCCTTTCGTCGCCGAAGTAATTAAGAAAATGCCATCCAAAAATAAATTGGCCCAAATCGATGATTAACGAACTTATCATCCGTAGAGAATAGGATCAATAAACTTAATTATCGGTGGAGAATAGCCTTGGCCTGATTCCATGATCTGTAGCCTCCAGAATCGAAAGAAAATGACATTTCGGATAAATCGTCCGAAATCAGTGATGGTACCCCTTTGGAATCTGCTAAAAATTAACCCAGAATAAATCCGCCCAAATCGGTGCTTAATGGAATCAATCATCGTTGGAGAATAGCCGCAAGTCGAATCCGTGATCTGTAACCTTCAATATCCAAAGAAAATGGCCTTTCGTCGCCCAAGAAATTACGAAAATGGTATTCGAAAATAAATTGGCCCAAATCGATGCTTAACAGACTTATCATCCGTGGAGAATAGGATCAATAGACTTCATTATCGGTGGAGAATAGCCTCGGCTTGATTCCGTGATCTGTAGACTCCAGAATCGAAAGAAAATGGCATTTCGGATAAATCGCCCGAAATCTGTGATGGTACCCCGTTGGAATCTGCCAAAATTGACCCGGAATAAGTCCGCCCAAATCGGGGCTTAATGGACTCAATCATCGTTGGAGAATAGCCTCAGACCGAATCCGTGATCTGTAGCCTTCAATATCCAAAGTAAATGGCCTTTCGTCGCCCAAGAAATTACGAAAATGCCATTTGAAAATAAATTGGCCCAAATCGATGCTTAACGAACTAATCATCAATGGAGAATAGGATCAATAAACTTCATTATCGGTGGAGAATAGATTTGGCCTGATTCCTGATCTGTAGCCTCCAGAATCGAAATAAAATGGCATTTTGGATAAATCGCCCAAAATCTGTGATGGTACCCCTTTGGAATCTGCCAAAAATTAACCCAGAATAAATCCGCCCAAATCGGTGCTTAATGGACTCAATCATCGTTGGAGAATAGCCTCAGGCTGAATCCGTGATCTGTAGCCTTCAATATCCAAAGAAAATGGCCTTTCGTCACCCAAGAAATTACGAAAATGCCATTAGAAAATAAATTGGCCCAAATCGATGCTTAAGGGAGTTATCATCCGTGGAGAATAGTATCAATAGACGTCATTATCGGTGGAGAATAGCCTCTGCCTGATTCCGTGATCTGTCTCCTCCAGAATCGAAAGAAAATGGCATTTCGGATAAATCGCCCG